TTAACCTTAAAAATAATAAGAAGATAGATTAAAAAAAATATAGAAATTTACCTAGGATAATATAAGTTATACCTAAATTATAAAATCTTAAAATTTTTAAAATTTTTAGTAATAGGGTTACTCTAAGGAGGGTAGGATCGCCTAAAAATCGTACTTAAATTATAAAATCTTAAAAGTTTTAAGATTCTCGCTAGTTAGGTAACCTCGGGTTTAATCTAGGAACTATTTTTAGATAATCTAAGCTACTTTATACTCTACGTTTCCTTACTATCTCTCTTATTACCCTATTAGAAGGTCTAACTTATAGTCCTCTCTTCTTCTTTTTTATACCTTTATTAACTACCTCTTTATATAGTCTCTTAAGATATCTTAAAAAGTTTAAAACTATAGCCTCTAGTATTTACTTATACCCTTATTTATACCCTTATCCTTACTTTTATTCTTACTTATATCCTTACTCTTATTCTTACTCTTATTCTTATTCCTATTTAGGCTCTTCCTCTTTAATAGAAAGAAGTACTAGAAAGGTAGAGAGGCCTAGAGATAATAATAGTATATCGATATATATAAAGGATAGAGATAGAGAAATAGCGCTAGCCTCTTTTAAGAAAGTAAGATTAATAAGGTTAGGTAGATCGAACGGATTAAATATAGTATTAATAAATAATAGAAATTCGATATCTTTACTACTAGCTCTAATAACTTCTTTCTTAATAATTAGGGTCTTCTTAGATAGGGTCTTCTTAGATAGTAAGGTAGTAGGATAAAAAGTAGCTTACTATTTACTCTTTACTTATAGTATAGAGAGTAGTATAGGTATAGGTATCTTACTCTTTCGCTTTAATATAGGCGTAGGTATAGGTATTACTAAGTTATCCTTATTAGTATTATTATATTAATTAACCTTATTAACTACTTCGAAGTAGAGTCTAAATATTATCTAACTCTTCTTATTCTTATAGAAGTAAGTAGAAAGCTCCTTAATAGTTTAAGAGTTTAGCTATAAAGTTCCTATAAGTAATAGTATATAGCTATTAAGATTAGTAATAAGATAATAAGGCCCTTTACGCTAAGATACCTCTTTATATAGATAATTAGCTTAGATCTAATTATATATAAAGTACTCTCTCTTAACCTTCTTAAGACTAGTAAACTTCTACTTAAAGTCGCTATTTAAGCGCTCTACCTAATGTCTTCTAAGTTCTTTTAAGCTAATATAGCACTTCTATTTCTAAGGGTCGATAATAGCTTAAACTAAGTAAGCGTAATAGGTAACTTTAATACTAGTTATCTATAGTAGTTTTATTTTAGAGACTTATTACTAGTAGTAATATTATTATACTAAGAAAGAGTAGGTAAGCCTATATTTAATTATCCTTAGAGGTTAGTTATAAGGTTTTATCTAATACTATAAGTTCTCTATATATTAGTAGTACTACTACTAGCTATAGAGGATATAGCTTAAGTAGCCTAATTAGTCCTCTTACCTACTTATTTAGTTAATTCTAACTCTTATAGTTTATTTATATACGCTAGACTTTCTATTAGAGGTAGAGCTAGAGTTAGAGTTATAGTTATAGACTAGTAGACCTAGCCTTATTTAAGTGCTATATAGTATGCTTTATTAATAGTAGACTCTTATATAATTAGTAATTTAGTATAAGAGAAGTTAGGATTAAGAAACTTATATTTACTATATCTCTTATAAAGTCTATAAAGCTTCTAATAGTTAGTACTAGTAAGGTAGTAAAAGGGATCGTCCTAAGGTATTAGAAAAGCTATAGTAGATAAGGATAAGAGAAGGATAAGGGAAAAATACTTAAGATAATTAAAATTTAGGCAGTTAGTTAGGTATCTTTCCTTTTATTATATATACTAAGTTACTTTCCTAAAATCGCGGTAATTCGTAGTAAGAATTCGCCGAATTTTAGGTTATAAACTTCTATATAAATTAAATAAAATCTATTTAGAGGTTTAGCTTCTATACTAAGAACTTATATAGTCTTAGATCGATATTACCTTCTTTAAAGCGACGTAGTATATCCTCCTAACTAGAGCTATAGATAGCTACTACCTCTAGATTAGTATTCTACCTATAAGCTCTATATAGTATACTTAACTCTTCTATAGAAGGGTCGTTACTTATAACTATATAGAGGGCTATCTTAGTATAAAGAAACATATAGGCTTTAAGGTAAAGTTAATACCTATTAGTATTAGCGTCTTAAAGCGTAATAGGCCTTACCTTACTAAGTTTAACATCGTATAAATTAGGGAATTATAGGCTAAGTTTAGCCTTATACTATTTAAGTATAATTAGAGGGAGGTATTCGTCTATATTAAAGCCTTAAAAGTAGTCCTAAAAGGGCTTAAAGAGTTCCTTAGGTATATTAATAGTATACTACTTACCTCTATATAGAGTTAGATAATCGTAGAGTTCTTAGAGTTAGCTAGGAATAATATAAGGCTAGGAAGGTTACTTATAGATCTTATAAGCGGACTATAGTTTATTAAATATATTAACCTTACGCCGAATAATTAGTATATAGATAGTAAGAAGAGTAATCCTATTAGTAACTACCCCTATTATATATAGGCTAGCCTATAAGAGCTTATTAAAGACTACCTTAAACTTACCTAGGTATAACTTTATAAGTTAAGCCTACTAACTCTTAATATACTAATTCTCCTTACTAGTTCTTTAATAAAAGTAGTTAACGAAGTATAAGTTATTATCTCTAAGAAGCTCCTTATAAAGTATAAAGTAGATATTAGTAATTATAATAGTCTTACCTCCTTAATTAGTTTATATAAACTATAGTATAAGGCCTCCTTCTAAGAGATATTAGATATATTAAGTAGTAATAGAGATAGCTATCTAAGTAGTTATACTAATATATAGCTATATAATCTTATAAGACTATATATTAATACTAGTATAGATCTAAATACTATACTTCTCGAGCTTATAATATATATCTATATACTATATATAGTTTAGCCTAGGATAAGTAGCTAGGGTACGTCGAGTTCCTAAGCGCTTCTTTCGTTATTAATAGGTAATAGGATTAATACTTATAGTAACTTAGTAAATATAATTACTATAGTAAGTATTATTAGAATTAGGCTACGAAATAGACTACGAATTAGACTTACTAGCCGACGATATCTAGGTTAGTATACTTCTAGTAAAGATAGGTATATAAATAGTCCTTACTAAAGTCCTCGATATAACTAGTATTATACTTAGTAGTAAGTAGCTTATATAGAAGTCCTTTAAGTTCTTTAGCCTTAATACGCTTAAGTCGCTTCTTTAAACTAAGCTCTTTTCTAAGATCCTTAATATACCTTCTAGATATATACTTAAAGCTATTAATAGTAAGTATTACTACTATAGTATTATTAGTCTTATAATAGTAAAAGAAGAGCTCTATAATATAAGCCTTAAGACTAAGGACCTCTAGATTATAAGAGATACCCTAGGCCCTTAGATTACGCTAAAGAGTACTCGGTATAATAACTACTCCTTACTCTTTAAGAAGTTTAAGGACCTTATTATACTAGCTACTAGCGTCTTTAATCTATTCTATAATAAGCTTATACTATAGTTTAAAGTTAATCTATAGTAATATAGAGAGAATAAGGGCGAAGGGTAATAGTAATAGCGATAGTAATAGCGATAGTAATAGCGACGGTAAGGTAGTAGAGGTAAGGGTAAAGGGTAATAGTAATAGCGAGGTAGTAGAGAGTAGTAGAGCTAATTTTTCGATTTTCCTATTATAAGAATAGTTAGAAGAAAACTTTAGAAATATCTTAGTGTAGAATTACCGATTTATATGGCGAATTGCACTACGAATTAAAAAAGCGCACCAAATAGCAGCTTATTAATGTTTTGATTCTAGGAGCTAAGAAGCTAAGGAGCAGAGTGCCAAGGCACTGAAGATCCGCGTACCTTTGGCGGGCGGTCGCGCGCCGGCCCGGACACGAGACGGGCATGCCAAGAGCGGCGCCGGTCCGACTCGCATCGTCTTACCCATCACCACTCCAACGTCAAGTGACTGCCACGCTGTCCGACTTCCAACTGTCCATCCAAATCATGAGAGCCCTGCACTTGGACGTGTCGCTTTCTTGCCTGCTTCCGCCGCTGCTGTATGTCGACCCTGTCACCTGTCCGCGTCCGACTGCTTCCATTGGCCTAGGGTGCACCTGCTGTTCTAGAGCCGCTACGACGCATATCTGCATGTCCGGACTTCGGTAGCATGCATCCATTGGTCATGACTTAGCCGCTACCTACCATCCTGGATTGTTGTTTGGCATCCTTTGTTCGTCTTGTCCTTTCTGCCTCCTTATTCGTGCCCTCCAATTTCTCGTCACCTTCTGTGCAAATGAAATCTTTGTTTCCCTACGTTGCTTCCCCTGTCCAAAGGTGGAGACTGTTCTGCAGGGAGCCTTTTCCTGCCACCAAACACCGCACTTGCATAGCCATTGCTTCGTGCACCCACATTTCCCCCCTGACCCGACCTGTCATGCGCCTATCTCACACCCTCACAGTCAGGTTTCAGAACTCGTTGCGCAAGGCTCTTTCTTCTACCTGGTAGGCGGTCGTGAGTGCCCTCTCCACACAGCCTAAAAGCTTGTTTGTATCGTGCCATGCAGCTATGCGAATCGTGCAGCAAATCATACCATTTATAAAGGACTACGGTTTGTTCGAGTACGCCACGTGTGACGCCCTGTTGGAACGGCAAACCATCTGCCATGGCTCTAAGAAGGTACTCTCTCCTGTTTGTCCCTCACTTTAGCCTTGTGTTTCAAGTGTGATCGTATGCATGTGATACCCTTCACTATATCTTCTTTACTTTTCCCTCACTTCACTTCTACCAAGTGGAACGTTTGCTTGGTGCCTCTCGCAGTCTTCAACTCAGTCACTCCTTTACATTCGTTCTTCCTTCCACCTTCCTTTCTCTTCATACTTCTCATTACACTCTATCTTGTTGATCAAGATGCGCTCATCACTCTCTCTGAGCCTTTTGCTTACCGCTGGCCTGGCGTCAGCTACCAAGTACAGCCTTGTCAAGGACTACTCGGGTAACAACTTCTACAACCAATTCGACTTCTTCACTGGCGCCGATCCCACCCAGGGCTTCGTCAACTACGTCTCGCACGACCACGCTGTTGAGTACGGTCTCATCTGGAACAAGAGCATCCCTACCTGGGGCGTCGACTCCTACACCCACCTCAACGCTGATGGCTCCAATGGTGGTCGCACTTCTGTGCGCATGACCAGCAAGGACACCTTCACCCACGGTCTCTTCATCGCCGACATTCAGCACATGCCTCAGAGCTCTTGTGGTGTCTGGCCTGCCTTCTGGACTTTTGGTCAGACTGGCAACTGGCCTCAGTCTGGCGAGATCGACATCATCGAATTCGCCAACCTTGCCAACCAGAACAAGGTCTCTGGTCACACCATGCCTGGCTGCTCCATCTCTGGCACTTCGCAGAGTGGCAGAGTCCAAGGCACTGACTGCTCGGTATGATTTATCCCTTGCATACTCGTTCTGACCACAAGGCTAACAAACTACAGNTCTGCTGGTGATGGCGCTGGTTGCGCATTCCTCTCGCCCTCTAGCTCATCCGCTGGCTCCGGTTTCAACCAGATCGGTGGTGGTGTCTATGCCATGGAGTGGACCTCTCAGCACATCAATGTCTGGTTCTTCCCTCGCAACAACATCCCTTCGTCGGTCAAGTCCGGCAAGCCCGACGTCAGCAAGTTCGGACAGCCCATGGCCAACTTCCGCGGCTGCGATCTCGACAACTACTTCTACAACCACGCCATTGTCTTCGACACCACCTTCTGCGGTACCTGGGCTGGCGAGACCTTCAACAACGATGGCTGCTCTGCTTCCTCGTGTGTCGAATATGTCGCTGGCAACCCTTCTGCATTCAAGGATGCTTACTGGGCTGTCAACTACCTCAAGGTGTACCAGCAGAGCGGCTCTTCCAAGGCCAAGCGCGACTTCCTCCGTCGCCACGCCAGACAGACCCACCTCAACCACGTCCTGGTTTGAAGCACTCTGCTCTCTCAGCATGGCAGTGTGGATTTGCTTTTCCTTTCCTCGCACACCAGCATGCAGGACATGTTTCAACCCACCTTCACTTTCTTCCTTTCAAGCATCAGCAATGGCGTTTGTCTCTTTTTTCGCTTTTTCAGCTTTCGCTTCTTTGTGATTGTTGATCAAGCTTTTCACTTCATGTTTTACTTTTTGACGACGAGGACGGCTTTTACGAACTTTTGGCATCAGGGAAACTGGGGTTTCGGAATGCTTTAAGGTTGACTTTTTCGGTTTTCGCGGAGTAAATACATTCGCTCAAAGAATACAAATGAAGGCTTCTTACTTACACTTTGATGTGATGATTTCTTCTTGCATCGTGATAGTTTGTGTAAGGAGCTCTGGCTCTATCTGCTCTGTGCTCAGGTGTTGTATGGCATTCCGTCGGGAGTCATCCGTCTTGACTGTTGGACTACAATCCTACCGACTAACCCGGGCTCAAGTCATTATGATACATTGAGTCCCAGTCATCCCAGTCTGATCCTTTGCTAGCTTGAGAACGAACCGTGAAAGTATCATAGACCTTAAGGACGATATTTTAGCAGCCTCGAGGCTCGCAATGGATGGACAACAAAGCTGAGTGCTGCCTGACAATCGATCAAAATCCCCTTCGAGATCAGACCACAGAAAACTTTCAATGAGGCAATCGTAGATGTCATAACAATCATCTTTTGATTTGTGCTAGTATTTTTTACATCCATAACTACATAATAGATTTTCAAAGATTGCTTTAGGCAAGGCCCTTGAGGACACAAGCCTCGGCGTTGAGGATAGACGATCCAGCAGCACCAATGACNNGGCTAGGAGAAGTCAGTATTGCTCGTCGAAGTTTCGAAAATGAACTATGCTTACTGTTGTGGCTCAGAGCAACAAACTTGATATCGAAGATGCCACTCTCGTCCTCACGAACTCTACCCACGCTGACAGCGTAACCTCTGTCAGTCTCTCTGTCGAGTCTGGGTTGCGGGCGGTCGGGCTCCTCCATAACAACGATGGCCTTCTCAGGTGCAGAGGGGCAGCCAAGCTTCTGAGCATCCGAGACGTAGTCGCGCATAGCCTGCTTGACCTCCTCGGCGCTGGGAGCGGGTCTTCTCTCGAAGCGAAGCGAAACACAAGCGGTGTGACCGTCCAAAACGGGGACTCTGTTGCAAGCAGCAGAGATTCTGAGATCGCTCTGATCCGAAAAACCAGTGACGTCCGAGTTGACCTGGCCGAGAATCTTTTGGGCTTCGGTCTCGAGCTTGTCTTCTTCGCCCGAGATGAAGGGGACAACGTTGTCGATGATGTCCATGCTGCTGACACCAGGATAACCTGCTCCTGAAACAGCTTGCATTGTGACGACCGAGACTTGGTTGATGGGACCGAACTTGGCTTGCAGAGCAGCGAAGGGAATGACGATGCCAATGACAGCACAGTTGGAGTTGCAGACGAGGAAACCCTTGTTCAGGCCGTAGTGCTTTCTTTGGTGGTGGACGACATCCAGATGGGGCAGGTTGACGGTGGGCACAACCAGGGGTACGAGGGGATCGCGGCGGTAGTTCTTTGCGTTGGAGAAGACGGCAAGTTCGGACTTGAGGAAGGCCATCTCGACATCGCCAGCAACGTCGCTGTCCAGACCAGAGAAGACCATGTCGCAGTCGGCGAACTCTTCGGNGGTACACTTTCTCACGACCAGCTCGCCCAGCTGCTTGGACATAGGCAGTGACTGCTTCCACTTGACGGCATCCTTGTATTTCTTGCCTGCCGAGCGCTCAGAGGCACCGACAGCATGGAGAGTGAAGTGAGGGTGGAGGGCGAGCAGGAGGATGAATCGTTGGCCGACAGAGCCAGTGGCTCCCAACACACCTAACAAGCAGAATGTCAGCTTGGTCCTGAGCCAATGCCAATGGAGCACTCAAGAGCACGAACCGCACTTCTTCTTGGNGAAGTCACGAGCCTTCTCTGTAAATGTTGTCACATCCATCTTTGTTCGATTGGTATATAGCAAGGGAAACAGCTTAGGAAACACCTGCCCCTCGCAATGACTCTAATCGGCCGCTCTCCAAAAATTCGACCGATGACGCGCCATGGGGCAGCCACCCTCTCCGAAACCGCTCCCCGACCATCGCGTCGCCCCATTGCCTGTTCCTCAACCACCGAACTGACTGTTTTGTCTTCATTGACAAATTCTGCATTCCAAAGCAGGACGTACTACACCTTGTAGTCGCACTTTCATTCTCGACAAGTATTGGATGCCAATCGAGTGTGAGGCTAAAGAAAAAGTTCTGCGTAGCAAACCCAAAAACAGTCCACCGACAAGTCGGACGACTTTGGTCAATACAGGAAAAGGAATCAATGTTCAAGGCCGACAAGAATTCGGACTTTGCATTGCTACAGCCTACAGAGATTTGAGAACTAGTCGGCAGCTATCAGATCACTTCAACCTGTCCAGATACCTAGCCATTCTTGGGATCCTACCATACATCGAGAAAAAAGTGTCACTCTGGGCTATCGCACCATGCCTCAGAAATGCTCACTGCTCAGCAAGCCCATAATGCATGTTCGAATCTCTTGATGTTCTTTTTGCTTCCGCGCAGGTCGTATGTGGTACGACGGGCTCCCGAAGTGACCTTCTGCTAAATACCACCATTGCGTAAGCATAGATCATTACTTGACAAGCCATTTCTTGTTTGTATACAGTAGTCTGTCTGATACCATACGCCTGTAACCAATACTCAAGCCGCTGCGACACGAGCAAGAAATATTCGCATACTCCAAGCTGCCTCCCCATGTGCTCAGACGGTCACGATGTAGCTATAGAAATGCACAACATGTTGACAAAGCAAGTGGTATGTAAGAAGAGCACCTCAGTCTAGACTGTCTCAGTGGTCACACTTCGATCTAGAAAAGGACTGTGCATTGTGATAGCTTATGCGATTACCGCATTGACCCCTGAAGCGACCTTCTGCTGACAAGTTCATGTTCAGTTGATAGCATTACTTGACTGTTGATCTGTCATCTGTAAAAGCAGACTGATTTTATCTGTGTCCTTATGAATGACAACCTAGTCTGTCTAACATATGTACCGTGCCGTATTCAATCTGACTGGTTGTCTATCGCAATAACCACCAAACTCATTAAAGAACCATCTCCCAAAACATTCTTTTGAATCATCGCCAATGGTTCCGAACCGCTCATGTTATGTCGATATGTACATATGCTCTTCTTACACACCCCCTCTTCGTTATACAATATTACCATGCTCGCTGTCACCCAGGCCCAGGGTGTTTCGAGAATATTGCTGGTGTACTGCCTCTTCGGTGTTGACAACCTCGCACGAGCGAGGACTCGAGCGAAACAATGGTGATGGTGTTGCGTCAAGAGGTGAAGTCAACGTCTCCAGCCGTGGTGCTGGTGGTGGTGTCGTCGGTGGGCGCTGGCGACGCTTGCGCAACCTAGGTGGTGGTCTTGAACTGCGTCTACGGCATGGTGACGGCGACGCATATCGCGTGGGCGATCCTGGAGCGCAAGAAGACGATGCTGGAGACAGGGATGGAGTCTCTTGGGGAGAATGTTTGCTTTCTTCCATAGTATGCAAATTATTTTCTGTCGCTTGCTGAATTTGCTGATTCTGGTACTCCTCGTCGAGATACGCTGGATCGAACTTAACATTTTCGTTCTCCGAAGGATAGCCGATATTTTGGGAGTAGCCACGGCTGGCGAATGGGTTGCTTGTTGTCATACGCCATGTCTTATAACCCCAGCCATCAAGTGCCCGAGAGTCAACCTCATTATCATCTTTGACGAGTCTCGAATCGTCCCTCTTGACTCGCTTCGGCGATGAAGGACTTGCTACTGGAGAGAGAGGCCTTTTCATGTCTGCGACATCATCGATATGTCTGTTTGATGGCATTTCGTGTTGGTGAGTTGCGAACATGATGCTCGTCTGAGATGGCTAGGGACAGCTACCACCGCGAAAATAGTTCTGAACCTGAACACGAAGCTTCGTGAAAAACTGGTATTCGATAGAGCTTGGAGTGACTCGTCGTGTATTTTGTGTCGGCAGTTTCATGCACTATGATGCGCGGTCAAAGACAGAAAGTGGAGGATGGGGGTTGGAAACAAGAAAAAGCAAGCTGGAAATACGCGAATAGGTTAGGTATCTTGTGAGTCAGAGAGATTCACGTGCTTTCTGAGGTTGGGTACTTGTCGGGCGTCGCTAGTGGCGGTATGCGCAGATTTGCTCGCTATGTCTCAGATCTGTGATGGTGGAGTGCCGACAACACAACAATTACTGCGCGCTGTCTGTGGACCGATGGAATCTTCATCGTCATGACAGACCAGCATTGATAATAATACAATGACCATCAGCACAGTATTACAAGCCTTGTGACCTACCAGTGTCTTATTTGACATTGTAGATGTTCGTCTGATTTAATTGTATCAACACAAAGCATACGGCATGTTCCACACCCAAGAGCCAACGCAAATGTTGTCGCATGTCAAACATACCTCATGATAGCAGTTCGACTTGATCTTTGTACCTGTCGCTAAGGGTACAATGGTGCATGGGCAAGCAATACCTAGATGAGCTCGTATCCAAACGCGTCTCAGCGATGACAGCTGCCTTCCCATATGCTCAAGACAGTCACAGTATAGCTGCAGGAATGCACAACGCTTTCACAAGGAAGATGGTCTCCACAGAGAGAACCCCAATGAAGGCTATCTCAATGGCCAGCCTCATATTCGGATTGCAACTGTGCATCTCGACAGCTGATGTCCCTTGTACCTTAGGTCGGAGAAGGGGTCAGTTGCAAAGTTGTGACTGTCTTCAGCACATGGGGAGGTGGTGATTTGATAATCCTGATATTTCCTGGTTGTGTTCTTCTTTCTTGTTGCGGACAGCAATATGTCAGACAGGCCAGAGTGGTCGTGTATGATGATATTGGCGGTAGGCATATATGCGGTAGACAGTTTCATTGTATGAGAACATATAATGATAGTCACATCTTTGACAAGCAAAGTCCCCTGACTTTGTTGTTTCGGTTTTATCAGAAGGTTTTCGTGATCGCAAGGACTGTCGGCAGAAGATATTGCAGTCGGAGCTAATACAGCACGGCTTTGATGATAGAAACTCGGCGGCAAGCTGGAAGGCTCTTGTTGATCTATTCGAAGGCAGAATCCGATACAGACAACGTTCACCTCAAGACAAAGTAGTCTCTGAAGAGTTTCTGATACACGAGTTCAAGTCAGTAACATCCCAGCTCTCACCACATGTTTCTCGGTGTCGAAACAACGTTGTGTTCAAGCGACAGACTTTCAACCAGTCAGTGAACAGTTAATAGCTTCCTCAGCTTTAGATGTTCAGACGCAAAAAAGAATATTTGTTGATGTGGCTCGAGCAGTATCCATCCTCTGATAGGTAGTGATCGGCAGACACTTCTCGTTCCGAAACGCTTAGGTAATGACAGCCGCGAGGATGCGGGGTAAAATCGTGGAGGTTTGACCACGCTCGTGGCTGCTTTCTGGTTGAGTTCTCGCGGAAGGCGGCTAAAGAGGCACGACTTCATCTCTTGAAAGTGCTTCACCTTGCAACAGTCCCTCTTCGATGCATGCTTCGCCTCTTCTTTTGCGAACCAAGAGCATGGCGGAGTCTTTCCATGCGTATCGGCTATCTGTTACTTGGGGTTGAAAAACATCCTTATCACTTGGCAATGGCATACCAAGACCGCCATTGCATGTTGCCCAGAGTCTGCCCAGAGCACCGGTTCGGGGATCTCCCCTCAACAGCACCAATTGACATTCGCCTCCGAGTTCGCCCTGGCAAGTTGGTACGGTTAGGAGAGCCTCGGCCGCTTCTTCAAGCAAATGGTCACATTTTGAGGTCACATATTATCATTCGTGCGAAACTCTGACGCGGGATTATTGGGTGTAGGGCGCACACAGCCTGGCAAGGCGCGGTTCTCTGGCTGAAGGAGTGTTTCCTTGGCGTTTACGAGTAACAATGTGATAACACTTTAGGATCATGGAAAGGAACATCACCAATAGTTCACCGGGTGACCTCTCTTTGGCTGATAAGAAGAAAATATCTCTGCAAGTATATGGCCATGGCGTTCTGGGCAGCGATATTAACGAACATGTTGGCCTTCATAACATTACTGCATTCCTTTTCCCTTTCCTCTTACTCGAGTACATCCTCATCTTCCATCCTCCATCGGACTAAGGATTTCTTATTAGTGAGAGATTGCTCCTTCTGGCGAGAACCCCGGTCTTCACGTTGACCATTTGCTGGGCAACCTCTTTTCCAGCCTTTTTCGTACGTAATAACCCCCTCTCTTCTGGAGGAGCAGTTTTCTTTAAAGATCCCCAGAACTGATCGCATGTTTTTCTCCAGATTCCCCCACAGTCCCCCACATCTTGACCTCGTGGTGAAACTTCATTCATTATGGCTTCCTACGAGAAAGGAGGACCTGATCCTGAGATCGCAAAGACTGCTTCCTACGACTATGAGGCCCAAGATACCACTGCCATCAAAGAAGGCACCACACTTGAGGCTGAAGGAGAGCAGCTCCAACGTGGTCTGCACTCAAGACAGGTTTCTATGATCGCCATTGGTAAGTTGTACCGGTTTGCAGGGAACTAGCAGAGACTAACCAGCTGCNNAGGTGGTGCACTTGGTACTGGACTTATTATCGGAACTGGCAAGGCTCTTGCTCAAGCTGGTCCGGGATCTATCTTGATTGCATACAGTTTCGTTGGTCTTCTTGTCTGGATTGTCATGGCTGCCGTCGGTGAGATGGCTGCTTGGATTCCTGTTGCCGGCGGTTTCAGTCCTTTCGCTACTCGTTTCTGCGATCCTGCTCTCGGTTTTGCTCTCGGCTGGACGTACTGGTTCAAATACATCATCGTCACGCCTAATCAACTGACTGCTGCAGCGTTAGTCATATCGTATTGGGTCGACGCGGAAAAAGTCAATCCAGGAGTTTGGATCACCATCTTNTTGATCGCAATCGTCGCCATCAACTACCTGGGTATTCGATTCTTTGGAGAGTTCGAATTCTGGCTGTCATCAATCAAAGTTCTCGTGGTTTGCGGCATGATCATCCTCTCCCTCGTCCTCGCACTTGGAGGTGGCCCAGACGGCGACAGAAAGGGCTTTAGATACTGGAAGAATCCAGGAGCTTTCAAGGAATACAAGGGTACAGGTGACGCAGGTCGCTTCTACGGATTGTGGAGTTCGATGGTTACTGCTGTCTTCGCCTACCTCGGTACCGAGTTGGTCGGTGTGACAGTCGGTGAGGCTGAGAACCCTCGCAAGACCATCCCCAGAGCCATCAGATTGACATTCTTCCGTATCGTCTTCTTCTACATCTTGTCGGTCCTTTTGGTCGGCATGATCGTTCCCTACAACTCTGACAAGCTTGCTTTCGCCACCAAGCAGTCCAACTCTGCTGCTGCATCGCCTTTTGTTGTCGCCATTCAGCTCGCTGGCATCAAGGGTCTCCCTGGATTCTTGAACGCTTGTATCCTGATCTTCGTCTTCAGTGCATGCAACTCCGATCTTTACATCGCCAGTCGTACCATCCACGGTCTTGCCCTCCGCGGCCAAGCACCCAGGTTCTTGGCCAAGACCGACAAGCGTGGTGTCCCTTACTACTCTCTTGGTCTGTCGACCCTGTTCTGTCTGTTGGCATACATGAACGTCTCGTCAAGCAGCAAGGAAGTCTTCGGCTACTTCGTCAACTTAACTACCATCTTCGGTCTTCTGACCTGGATCTCGATCCTCGTCACTCACATCTGGTTCCGTCGCGCTTGCAAGGCTCAAGGCGTTACTCCTAAGCAGTTGCCTTACGCCGCACCTCTCGGCATCTGGGGCTCCTACTTCTCCCTCTTCTGGTGCTGCCTCATCGCTCTGACCAAGAACTTTGCTGCCTTCACCCACGACAAGAAGACCTATGGCAACTTTGACTACAAGAACTTCATCACTGGTTACTTGGGCATTCCTCTGTATTTGATCCTCCTCTTTGGATACAAGTTCATCATGAAGAGCAAGGGTGTCAAGCCCTCTGAGGCTGATCTGTTCACTGGCAAGGATGTCTTTGACCGTGATGAGGAGTACTGGAAGGCTGTTGAGCATGAGAAGGATGCTAAGCGTGATGGCAGCTGGTTCTACAGAACCTTCCTGTCTTGGCTGTTCTAAGCTATTCGGTCTTTAACAATGGTCAGGAGCAAGAAAGAGCGATGATGATTCGCAAGTTACGATTCTCTACATCTTATGGATTATGATGATTATGCAGTTGCGATGTATGAGTGGTAGTACTTACCTTCCAATCACAGTTGTCTTCAAGTCAAACACCCCTAATCGTAATTATATATCACTCTCCAAGCAATGAATTAGCCAAGGTGTGCGAAAGTGCATCTTATAAATCGTTCATACGTGTATGCGTGGATCATCTAGCGTATACTAGAACCAGCTCTTCCGACAGCGTTTAGAGATATCTAAACCTTGGCTTCCCTCCTGGTGAATAGTGATCGAACCCTTTCTCTCAACTTCCTCAGCACGTCTCTCAAGCTCGCCAGTAGCAAAGCCCTGGCGACCACCAGCAGCAGTTCCAGGCACAAACAACGGAGCTTGTGCAAATAGATAGTTCATCTCCTCAAGAGGACGTCCAGCAGTCTCAGGAAGAATAGCCCAGANAAAGATGGCATTGGTGAAGTTGCACACGATAAACACAATATACCATCTCCAGCCAATGTTGTCAATGGCAACAGATGTAGTCTGCCCAATCATGGTGTTGAAAGCAAAGGAAACCATGGTAGCGATCGAGACACCCTTGGAGCGGGTTCTGGTATCGAAGATCTCGGCGGGGATGATCCAACTCAAAGGACCGCATGTAGATGAGAAGGAAAAGTTGTACAACCAACATCCGACGACGATGAAGCCCCAACCAGCACCCTTGTTTGAGTTGTCGGGATTATTGGGGTCCGGAGGGAATTTGGCGAGGAGGACTGTTGCAACGATGAAGCAAAGAGCATTGCCGATGTTACCAAGGATAAGAGGCCAACGACGACCAAATTTATCAATCAGCATGAGACAACAGAATTGTGCCAAAAGAGCAATCAGAGAAGAGATGGCTTGGTACTTTAGCGTGTCGTCTCCCGAAATACCAATCTGTTTGAAGATTTCGACCGAGTAGTATTGGATGACTGATACACCGGTCATTTGAACGGAAGCCTGGAGAGAAACAGCAATAAACAAGCGACGGAAGCTAGACTTGTTGGTGAAGAGCTCGAGGTAAGACTTGGCTTCGTGCTCCTTCTCGTAGGTGACAGCGTCTTGGATGGACTCGAATTCGGCGATGACCCAGGGATCTTGAGCGTTACCATGAGAGTGCAACTTGGCGAGAGTCTGGAGTCCCTTCTCGGTTTGTCCGTTCGACATAAGCCNACTAATTAATGTTAGCTATCTTTTCAATCTATACCAGGGCAAGGTGCATACTCTAGGGGACTCTGGGAAGAATAGAATCAAAGCACCAAGAAGCACGGCAGGGAGCATTTGAATACCGAGAGGGATTCTCCATTGCCTGCTGTCGTGAGCTCCGTAAGAGGTGTAGCATCCGAAGGCGGCCCAAGATGCGACAAAGGCACCGATACCCAGCATGAATTGTTGTAGAGATGTTACACGACCACGGATGCTGGGGTGAGCCAATTCAGCTTGGTACAGGGGAATAATCATGACCAGCATGCCGACACTGTATTGCAGTCAGTATAAATTGCAGGCTACAACTTAATCGAGTGGATCTTACCCAAGACCAGCAATCGCACGGCCAGCGTAGAGGTAGTGCAGGTTCTGAGCAGCAGTCTGGAGGGCACCACCGACAATGAAGATGATAGACCCAATCAGAATAGTCATCTTTCTACCAAGTTTATCACCACATGGGCCAGCGAAGAAAGCTCCAAAGAAAGCACCACCAGTAAACACACTGACGACTGCACCAGTCTCATTCGAATCGGGTTTGAATTGGTTGTTGAAGGAGTCAGAGCCGATGGCTCCAGCAATGACACCGAGATCATAGCCATATAGTACAGAGCCCAACGAGGCAAAGACTGAAACGAGGAACTGGTACCATTTCGGAGGCAACGCCATGGTGGGCAAGTAGTATAGTGGAGAAGGGAGATGATCAGAAAATCAAGTCCCCATGGGGGGATACCTGCTTAGATATATACACAAGGACGATCACAGCAGTAGGGTTTGGTTCCGTCCAACCGGACGTGTTCCTTGCTAACGGCAGATATTGATGCCGCATGTGCAAAAGACTCACATAGCATCAGCTCGATAGTGGTAGGTCTCGTGGGTGGCGCTGCCAGCATCGTGGAGACGCCTCCCCGGCGGGACTCGATAGACAATACCTGGTCGTTTTCGGTCGCCTACTCGAACCAAAACACCCACAACGAACTACATCGGCGAGGTACTCGGCAACAATGTGGGGAAGGAAGATGCAGGTGGCATGGATAGTGGAGGAAAACATGGAGTCGGTAGAGGCGTCCGGAGAAACCCTCGGCCAAGATGCCTTCAAACCGTGAAACCCTAAACACCATACGCACATCAGAAGGCTGATATGTTCGCTATCAGACCTCTTTTCAGGCAACTTGCCCATATCAACCTGATCTACCGACCATCAAGCAAATTTTCCGGTCTGTTTCGGCTCCTTGTTCCTGCCAAGTTGTGCATCTCATCGTATTGAAGGATTCATGAAGGAGCTCGCGCCTTGGCGAACGACTGACATCTGATCGTCACTGCCGTTTGGATATATGTCGATCAGCAGACCTTCAACCGCAGAGTGGACGCCCTCACGGATAATTACGAGTAAAGAAGCAACTCTATTGGGTGAGATGCTGCAGCATGGCCAGCATCCAAGATCCTTGCTGCGACTCGGGCCTTTCGCTACACGCCTGAATAGAGATATGCCGAAGCCCTGAGGTGAGACTGTGGGCCACCATTGATTTACTCCTCCGCTGAGCGATGGTCATGTGGTAAACAGAAACGACGATTTAGGACTGAAGCTTTCCTGGTGCTCGATAGGTATCTTTTCTCTGTACCTCTTTTGACTGCCTTGGTTTTGTCAAGGTCTCGAGAGTGGAAGGAATACTGCAAACCGTCCGATCGTCACTTCCTTCCGAATACAAGCATGGCCACGTTTACCAAGATCCCGGATACTGAAACCCCTGTGGTATCGGTCAATCACCTTAACAAGATCGCAAAGATCAATGACAATGTCTATGGAGGTTTCACTGAGTATGTCCCCTGTTCCCTAAGCTTGACCATGTATTATGTAACTAACATATCAAAAGGNCATATGGGACGTTGTATCTACGGCGGCATTTACGACCCTGGCAACCCCCTATCAGATGAGAATGGTTTCCGCAAAGATGTAATTGAAGCCTTCAAGGAGCTCAATTGTCCCGTTGTCAGATACCCTGGCGGCAATTTTGTAGCTACTTACCACTGGCTCGATGGAGTTGGTCCCAAAGACCAGAGACCTGTGAGGTAAGTGTCTCTCTGTACAAACAAATTGTCGACCGATGCTAACTTGTATCTNAGACCAGAACTTGCTTGGCTTGGAGAGGAGAGCAACCAATTCGGCACGGATGAGTTCTTGAAGTGGTGCGAGGTCGTTGGCACTGAACCTTACTTTGCTCTCAACTTTGGCACTGGCACTTTAGATGAGGCTTTGGGCTGGTTGGAATACTGCAACTCTGACAAGAACACATACTACGCCAACTTGAGACGTAAGAATGGCCGTGATAAGCCTTACAACGTGAGTCATACTTCTTTTCTTACATCAAGAGAATCAGCAGCTGAGTTATCGACANNGGTCAAATACTGGGCTCTCGGAAACGAGATGTGGGGACCCTGGCAGGTGGGCCAGATGACCAAGGAGGCATACGCAGACAAGGCCTACCAATGGGCCAAGGCCATGAAGCTGCTAGACCCCAGTGTGGTACTGATTCTCTGCGGCGAGACTGGTTACAGCACTTGGGACAGCTACGTCCTAAAGGAGTGCGTGAAGTGGGATACTCACACTTTGGGAGGCAGTACAACCGCCTCGCTCATCGACATGCACAGTATCCACATCTACACAGCCTCAAACGATCACTTGAAGAACGCAACTGCGCCTCGTAGCGCCGAGCGTGCAATCGAGATTACTGGAGGATTGATTGATCTCGTCCGTATTGAGAACAAGGTGCCCTACACAGTACCAGCACCCACCATCTGTTTTGACGAGTGGAACGTCTGGGATCCCGTACGTGCTCCTGGCGACATTGGTGCAGAGGAAAAGTACACTCTGTCAGATGCTCTTGCTGTCGGAGTGTGGTTGAATGTTTTCATCCGTCAAGCCAAGTACATCGGCATGGCGAACATTGCTCAGAGCGTCAATGTCATTTCACCTCTCATGACAAGCAAGGACGGTATCCTCAAGCAGACGACATGGTGGCCTCTGCTGTTGTTCTCCAAGTACATGCGCGGCTGGACCGTGGCAGTCAATGTACGCTGTGGCGAGTACGAGGGCGAGACTGAGCCAAAGTGGATCAGAGGCACTATTGAAACTCCTTGGCTGGATGTCTCTGCTACCATTAACGAAGAGGGTGTTGTCAGTATGGCTGTTGTCAACGTTTCCGACAGCAAGGACTTTTCCACAAAGCTCGAGGGTGTCGGTAGTGAGTCGGTCACAGTCTACACTGTCACTGGTGACAACCCCATGGTTGCCAACACCAATGGTAACGAGGAGGAGGTTGTCATCAAAGAGACCAAGTGGGACGGCAGNGGCGAGTTTACCTTCCCCAAGCACTCAGTCACTATGCTCAGGTGGAAGGCCTAAATCAGCAGCGTCGAGAAGAAAAGCGATCCATGTAAATAAGTTGATTTTGGGAGAGATGGACATCTAGAGGCATTATAGATTCAAAGACTTTCTCAAATCCACCCATCTGCCCTTGCGTAAGGGATCGAGCTGTTCGAGTTGATCTAGCCATGCTGTCAACTCGAGTGTGGTGATTTTCTTGTTGCCAGCGTCGATTTCGAGGTACTCAGGAGTATATGTTACCAACGCTAGGTATATCCATTTGCAGTCCTTGGTGTCTTCGAGCATGTCCTTCAGCAAATCGAATTGTGTATCAAAGTACTCGATACGATCTTGATTTGTCAAGTCAGGGACGATCCTGAGGTCTGAGGAGGTTTTGGGCGACAGATTTGTCATGAGGTAGTTGTGGTAGAACCACAGACTCTGGTCGTAGGGGTCTGTGTAGAGAGCAGTGATGATGAGTTCGAACTCGTCATCAAGTAGCTNTCTGCGAGCAGCATTATCGGCGTTTCTCTCTTTCAAGAGCTTGGGTATAAGTTGCAGTCTGTTGTGCCAGGCAGAGAAGTTTGATAGATTTGTCTTGATCATCTTGGTGGTGTATGCAAACTCGGACTCGGTCATGGACTCTTCTGATTTCTGATTTTTGTCGGCTTGTGTCTTTTCTTGTTGCTCTAGAGTCGAGAGGTGCTCGATAGACTTGACGACTTCTCTGCGATAGCTCCAGCCGTGGAAGTTGCGCGAGTCGTAGGAGAGCATTTTGCTGTCAAGAACCATCTCTTCTTGCCACAGACGTTTGGCCGACGTGACTGGGAGGTACTTTGAGGCTTGCTGCAACAGCCATGCGCGGTGGTTCCAGACCCAGTAGCATTTGGGGAATTGCTTGAGCAGAGGCAGCAGGAATGCCAGGTCCTCGCGAATCAATAGAGTGATCTCATGTTGGGCCGGAGTCAGGCCTGGTGCAGGTTTCGACTCGGCGTCTTCAGCTGGTGGAGAGTCTATCTCTTTGGCAAAGACATGTTGGAGGACGAGGCGGCGGTGGTTCCAGATGGTGTAGTATTCGGGATTTTGAGTGAGCAGAGCGGACGTCAAGCTGAGCGTTTCGGCCGTGTATTCGTGTGCCTTGATNNCTGGACATGACGTTAGCGACTGTTGTGTAGTTGACTGATCAGAAGTCGGTACCTTTGCCTGGACATTGTCGACCAGGGCTTTGTATGCTTCAATCTGCTTGAGCTCCTTCTTGCGTGAGGCGTCCGTCTTCTCGCTGACTGCGACGCGGGGCACACCGTGCTGTGACCACGTCAACTTTGACCACCCATCGACTCGCTCCTCTCTTCGACACTCACACTCATGGTCCTAGTAGTCTATCTTTGTTGGTTGGTCGCTTTGTGGTGAAAGAGTCGAGCTTGTTTCATGTCGCAGCCAGAAGATGGCCACAGCTGGAGACAGCACTTTCGACCGACCAGCAACCATCGCACGCGACATCGTCGCTTCTTTGAATCAAATCAAGAAGTTCATGTCGGCCCCTTTTCCTTGACCCTGAAAGCACGCTACCCTGTTCGCACCTTCTTCAAGAACCTATCCTTGCACTTTTCGCTACATCGTAAATCTACCCAGAAATCAAAACCATTCCATATTCCTTCTCAGCCCATCAAGTATTCTTCTTCAAAGCGGCGTGGGAGCTCAACCTCGCACCGCGATATTCACTCAGAGCCTGTCCCCAAACATCGTTGGTTCAATTTGGATTGATTGCCCTCCGCCTCTGCCCCCTTCTCCGATTAAAGCTCCCAGCCACCCGTCCGAGACACAAGATGCACTCCCAGCAGTCGTCTAGTGAGAATGACCCACTCGATACTCAGCCATCTTTGAAGACTTAGCATGCCTCGAAGCCAGCTCCGGGCTCATGGCTGCATGTCCATCTCTCAAGACAACCGCCCTCATGCCATCAATGGCTTTGTCCGCTCTCTCCAACCCCTGTCAAGCCAACTCCCGTATCGTCAGTCTGCCGCCTCATTGACTCTTTCAATCTGGACGGCTGCAACGATGACATGGATATTGATCAGAGCGACTCTGTAACACCTGACATGGATACCGATGAAGAGCCAGAACACATCCAACATGATGAGCCAGAGCCTATGGAAGGCATCGAGTACTCTGAAAACTTCGACTCAAGCCCGCCAGTTAGTCTGCCTGCTCGTCGACCATCTATACTCAGGAACCATATCAGTTCTCGTCCAAGACCATCGAGAACGCCTGACCGTTTCGTCTTTGACAGGTCTCTTGACGTGCATCCTCGGGAAAGACTCATGCTGTCCACCCCTCCTCAGGAACTTCCTGCTGATGACAAGTGGAGTCGTCGCCAGTCCCATGCCCATGACGCCTTTGGATCCAAGATCAAGGTCACTCGGCGCCCGAACCTCGCCAAGTCTCCACTCGCTGCCCGTGCCTCCAGGACTCCGAGCTTGTTCATGAGTAGTCGTGTCAACCCTCTCGGTCTTGTCACCCCTAAGAGTCCTCGTGAGATCAGTCGAGGCGCCGTATGGAATGTTGGAGGCTCGTCACCTGCTCACCCTGTCGACGGTGTTCGAAGTATAAGCGACGGTCGAGGNGGGCACATCACCAGCGGTACAAATGCACCAATGTTTAGATCGGATTTCTCTAACCACGTGCACGACGACACTGATCACTTGCACATTCATGGGAAGCGTTTGAGTGCTGCTATGGAAGTTGATCAAGCCAATAGGGTCTTGGACCAAGGTTCAGGCCTGCTTACTCCATCACACTCACCGAACGTCGATGCTGCTAGCAGTTTCAGTCCTACTGTCTGGCGAAACAATGAATGGACAAAGCCTAGTTCTCCTCCNATGTAAGTCACTCGTCATCTGATACGTTCTGGATCTGACTGAATTTCGTACAGTGCAACGCATACAGTGCAAACCAAGAAAGACTGTTCCGGTCATCCCCTTCAGATAAGTCCATATAGNCTCTTTGTTGCTCAGCCAATGCTGACCGCTTACACAGTTCTGGATGCACCAGCTCTTCGTGATGACTACTACTGTTCCCTCCTGGCGTACTCGAACACAGCGAAGTGTCTCGCGGTCGGTCTTGGGGCACAAGTCTACACGTGGTCAGAAGTCCGAGGAGTAGAGAGTCCTGAGAGTCTCGGCCAGCCCTTTGCTGGGCATGTTACTTCGCTTTCATTCTCGTCGACAGAGGGCGAAAGGTCCATCCTTGCTGTCGGGCGATCTAACGGATCCATAACGCTTTGGTCTCCTTCAGAGGAGGGCCCACGATTCAGTTATACTCATCGTTCTTCGGTCGCTTGTGTCTGTTTCAGTCCTCGAACCTTTCGCAGAGCGTCTGTCCGTCATTCTGGTGTCAAGGTGCAGGTGGAGTATCTACTGGTCGGCGATGAAGCTGGCCACATCTACCTATACTCAGTAGAGTGGCCAACCGCAGAAGATGTGGATGTTTTCGCATGGCCTGGCAGCATGACCGTTCTTGCACGTCTCGACCTTCACTCACAACAAATCTGTGGGCTAGCCTGGAGCCCTGATGGCCAGTTNTTTGCTTCAGGTGGTAATGATAATGCGCTGTGCGTCTTCGAGACTCGACGAGTCTTGCAACTCGAGAACATCACGCCACAACACCTGATCATGGTAAGAGATGACTTTGCCTACTATTCACCTGCTGGCCAAGAAGAAGCGATATGGATCTTGCCAGGTCGCGAGAGTCACCATTACACATTGAATGCAGCAGTGAAGGCTCTAGCTTTCTGTCCGTGGCAACCTTCGCTACTAGCAGCAGGTGGAGGAAGCAACGATCGCTGTATTCACTTCTACCATACCATTTCCGGAGCGAAGCTTGCAACTATCGACTGCTCGTCACAGGTCACGAGTCTAGTCTGGAGCAGAACCCGTCGCGAGATTGCTGCTACATTTGGCTTCACTCAACCAGACCATCCTATTCGTGTGGCTGTCTTCTCATGGCCGGCATGCGAATGCATCGTCCGCATCCCTTAGTACGGCGAAGAGCGTGCTCTCTGGGCTATCGGGTTTCCTGGTGGACCGGACAGTTCCAATCCTGGCGAAAGCTCTGGTAGACCATCGGCAAGAGAAGGCACACCGTGGTATGCAAGACGAACGCGTGCAGAAGGCTGTCTGGTAGTGGCTTCCAGCGACTCGAGCATCAAGTTTCACGAAGTCTGGAGCGAGGAGCCGATGTCAAATCGAAGTGGACCGGTGAAGCCCATGGGTACGAGCACGGGTCTCATGGGATGTCTGGGAGGCAGTGATATCCTTGAGTCGCTCCATGGGGTAGAGAAGGAGGGTGCTTCGGTGATTCGGTAGGCCTCTTTTCACATTTTTTTGCAGGGGAGGAGATATGTGCTCTTCATGAGTTTGGATTGTGGTTTATTGGTTTTTGTTCTTGTATTATGTCGCTTCGCCCCTAGGTAAACCATCAATTGATCCTAAGGTTCTCTTCCTCACTTGATCATCTTTTAAGAAAAGGCAAAAGCTCATTGCAAATCATTCTTTTATATTCGTTCCCTCTACTGTATACACAACCTGTGATAGGTGGGTAGGGGCGCAGATATTCTAGATGCAAGCAAAAAGGCAAAAAAAGAACTAAAAAAGTACAAGCTGGGGGCATGATATAGAAAAAAAAAGCAGATAAACTCCCCCTGTAATGTCCCATGACCTTCGTGATAACATGTGAAGAAACAAGCAGTAACGCCTTTTGTTCTTTGTTGTCCAACCCCAAGATTGGAATCCAAGATGATGAGCAAGAGTCAAGCAAGCGGTCAGATCAGAGCAGGGCAGGGCACATCTATGCACCAGCCTCAGTCTTGGTCTTCTTGGCCTGAGGAACTTCGGCCTCCTTGTCAGCCTGGTCCTCGAGCTCGCGCTTCTCAGCGACACCGTTGAGTTCCCTCTGCTTCTGCTCGAACTTCTTCTTCTCCTCTTCGGTCATGTTGGGCAGGAGGGGGTCCTCGCTGTCCTTGTGCAGGTTGCCGTGGAAGGTACGGATGATCGAGTCGGCGTCGTCGATGGCGATGGGGCGGACGTCGGCGAGGGCCTTGATCTTGGCTGTGCAGAGCTTGACTTGGGCGTCGGTCATTGTGAGGGAGAGTTGCTCGACACGCGACTTGATGGCGTTCCAGCCGGTAAGACGCGAGGCGAAGTGGACGTAACGCTTCATGCCGANACTAGAAATTTTGTCAGTACAGGCTTCAACGCTGATAAAAAGAATGGAAAGACTTACGTCGGCAGGGTCGATAATCTCATAAGTCGAGGGGTTGGCAAGAATGGCCTTTGCGTGGATACCAGCCTTGTGGGTGAAGGCGGAGAAACCGGTGATGTAGTTGTTGAAGGGGATGTTGATCTCGACAGAGTCGGCGACCAAGTCCTCAATGGCCTTGAGCTTGTGAAGGTCGTACTTGCCCTTGACATAGTCGCGGTCGGCGACAATCATGCGGGCCATAAGACCACCGAGAGGGGTGATACCGTTACGCTCACCGATACCGATGACTGAGGTATCGATGTGAGTGGCACCGGCCTCGAGGGCGCAGTATGCGTTGGCAATGGCACAGCCAGAGTCGTTGTGGAAATGGCACTCAATGTCGCAGCTGACAACACCACGGAGAGTTCTGACAAGGTCGTAGACCTGTCTGGNGGAAGCACAGCCGACAGTGTCAGCGATACCGACTCTGTTGACACCGACCTTGTCGACGGCAGCGTAGAGCGAGAGAAGGTCGACCAGGTCTGATCTGAACGAGTCCTCTGACGAGAATCTGATCTCAAGACCCTTGGACTTGACAAACTGGATAACCTCAATGGCGGCGTNTCTGGCATGCGAATTAGCAACTGAAGACGAATTTGTGACTCAGACAAAGCAATGTACCTTGATGTAAGTCATGTCCTTGCCGTGCGAGTGCTCTCTGAGGAAAGAGCTGGTGCCAATGACAACGTCGACACCGTCAACACCAGTCTCAACAGCAACCTTGACATCGTCCATGTGGCAGCGGACGTGGGTCAGGATCTTAGCCTTGAGGCCGAGCTTGCAGATGGCCTCGCAGTCAAGACGCGACTGCTCGGAAGCACATGGCGAGGTGAGCTCGATGCAGTCAACACCGAACTCATCGAGAGCCTTGGCGATCTTGATCTTGGTCTCGGTGTCAAAGTAGGCATTGGCGAACTGCTCGCCCTCACGCAGCGTCGACTCGATAATCTTGAAGTTTGACACGTTTGACAGGAAGTCGCCTACGGGTTGGTAGGGGTTCTTGTTGACGGTGTGGGACTTGCCCTTCTTCTCGAAATCGCTCTCGAACTTGGTGAAGCCCTCGTGNNTGCTGTTGCACCAATTCAGCGAAAGTGATGTTTTTGCATTATGCAGGTACTTACAGCCATTGGCTTGAACACCGTTGGTGGCAGGAGCGCCGTCGTCGACTGTGGGACACATTGTGGTATAGATGGATGTGAGAGGGTATGATGGAAGAGGGAAAGTGAAACTGGCATGCGAAAGCCGACGAAGTTTTATTAGCAGCTGCTTGAGTCACCGTGAGTCAAAGCACCAAAGGGCCACAAATTCGGGTGGGGAACCATGACATCGCTTGGAAAAATGCACTGGCCATCCCCGACATCGCCGGTCGCCCTTTCCCTCTCTGCAAAATGGTCAGCGACCAGCAGCACTTCACGTGCACTTTGAGAATGTTCAAGCACCGAATGAGGGCATCCTTTCACCAATTGCCTTCTCTCTACTATGTAAACTTAGACATTGAACTGTCTATTTATCATGCCTCTTATCTTCTGCTATCTCTGTGCTGCTCTTGAGTCCGGACACTCGTTTCCATTGATCACCGCTCCGACAAACAAAAGAAGTTTGAGCGGCGTCATGTACGGAGACTGCCGTCGACCTCAGCAGCGGTTGCCCGAACAAGACTGGACTCACAACCATCTCCGCAGCCCTCGTTGTCTGGCCATCCGCCCTGCTGACTTTTATCATTGACATTACAGCCCCCATCGTTCTGTTGAGATACCACTTCTCTGCACTCAACCAATGCCACGGACCGAGTTTCGGTTTGCTGTCCATGAGAATGTCGCGTGTGCCTTCGGATTTGTTCTCCACCTTTGTTCATTAACTCCGCCTTTCCCCACATTCTCGATGCTCATACCTTGTGCTTTGTTGATCTGCGAGGTCCCTTGATCGAGACTTGAACGCCTTAAAGGTCTCTCAGGTGCTAGACTTTGTCACAGTCCGGCAGTTCGCCTCTCTCCCTTGTCAATGCCAAACAGAATAATGAACTATCAAGATACACAACTCTATCCAGATCAGAGCTACGTCCGGGGAGAGCCCGTCATGGCAGTGTCTCTCTGTGGATACTGCCCTGTTTCTCGATACCATCTTGTAGCTGTAATAATCACACACCTTCGCATCTGGGAGGTGACGATTTCATAGAAGGGTTGATGACCCTTGACTAGTGTCCAGAAAAGTCCAAGATAGCTGTCTTAGCAACTTCAGGTCCAACCATGGCTGCGTATCTGCCAACCACTCCTTTAATTGAGTTTGGGTCTTCGATACCACCACTTTCCCATGCCACCAGGTCCTCTGTGTACACCGTCATTCCTTTGCTGATGTGGATGCGCATCTTGTCCATATTGACCTGCGCTTCGACGTCTGTAGGACTCATCATCCCTGGCATGCCCCATTGAAACAGATCTTCCGGACTTGCAGCTACTTCTGCCGGCGTGTCTAACAGATAAGGAGTTTGTTTCTCGCCTTGCTTGTGTTTGCGCTCGCGAGACAACGAGACATACTTTTGCTGACCCATCAACTCGCGCAGTTCTCCATCCAGCGGATTCCACTCGTATGTCTCAGGATCCAGCACATACTGCGGCTTGTAATCGCCCTTGTAACGCATCTTGATGCAGTTGTGAATGTAGTACCCCATGTAGTAGAACTCGTAACCGCCTTCAAGCGCAAGAGCTGCTTCTCTCGTTGCACTGAGCTTGCCAAAACTCCACTTCTCAAAGTCTTGATGGTAGATGAAGTAGACTCCACTAACAGCATGTGGCAAGAGATCCAGTACGCCGATTGCAATCAGTCGACCATCGAGTCTGTAGCATTGATGATATGATCCAAGACGCATGTCTTTGCCATTCTTCTTTACGGTCTCCCGAGCTATGGGGGATTTGCAGAGGAAGCGCTCGAAGCCTCGTTTTGTAACCTCTCCAGGCTCGTCGTGGTGCACATGGATCTGGTAGTTCTTGTAGACTTGGAACTTCTCCTCAGTGCAATCATCGGGCTCCAGAGTGACTTCGAAGCGATGGGCTGGAGTGACGGGCTTCAGTTGGTCGACTTCTGCTTCGTGAACTGTATGCAATAAATCGAAGCCGTTTCTTTGCCGAGCTTTCTCNNTCTGAGAGTTAGGGTTTAGTCACCTGCTCGGCCAGGTACAGGAAGCATGCTGAACTTACTCTTTCGTCTTGGGGAAGCGCTTGGCAGTCTCCTTGATGTAGTCCTCTCCAAGCACAAACTTGTTCCAACTGTTCAAGGCCTTTCGCTGGTTGGTGTTTGTAGCTAGAGATTGTGCGGGTAGTCTGGAAGATTCGTCAACGGAGTTCGGCTGAGGTTGGAAATGTGTTGCTGACTTGATGGTGTAGTGAGGGCAGCATGACCGGTATACATCAGGCTTGTAGATGAGATTACCAGACCTATACAACTGTCAGCCTTCTGAGCTCCACTTGCGAATGTATCGTAGTATCAGCAAGCGAAGTACGGTAGGTATCGAGGTCCATATCCTCAAGCTGTAGCTGCTCTATACGATGAATGTATAGAATGCTTACCTTCTCCATCCTCGATCGACCAAATCTTGGTACACTTTGGCACTCAAAGATTTTGTAATCACATAGTACGAGCCACCTGCAAATGTCAGAATATCTGCATGTGACGAGGGTGAAAGGCGACGATAATTGATGGGAGGGGTATATCCATCAAGTAATCGATACGCACGAGATTTAGGGGTTCTCTGACTTGAATCTTCGCCTTTGCAGTAGCCACAATCGCCTTAGTACGAACATGTCAATATTGCGCCTAGGACTTTGAGAAGAATTAAGGGGAAGTCACCTGGCTGGTATCCTGGAGTTGGTCTCCATGTCAGCCCGATACAATTACAGAAGTGGAGTCGACATGCAGCACAGCCGGGTCTTTTGAGAGCTGGGAAAGAAGCACATGTTTTGATGCGCTCTTTTTATTGGATTGTTTTTGCTGGACATACCGATCGGTGTGAGAAGTGTTGCGGCGGCGGGCATTGTGATTTGCGTGTTGCGTCGGTGGCTAACGATGCGTGAAGGCACGCGTGACAGTGGAGTTTCAGTCAGTCAGGGATAATTTGAGAGAGGATGGCGATGGACGAAGAAGTGGAGTTTAAGTATTTAGATTGGGATATGGCAATAGGTAATAAAGAAGTGTAGCGATACGTGGAGTCTCGAAATTCTGAGTGATGATGCGGCATGTAAAGACGACGCTGTCTGGACGGAGGTGATTCATGCAGTTTGTGGTACCCGTAGCTCATGGATTCTTTGTTGAATATACAAATACATGTGTGGGCTACTCACTACAGTACTAAAGAGTGAGAGTGAGAGTAGTCTCATGGGTTTGGTAATATTTAATGTTGAGAAGGTTCAGCGTGCAGGCACTTTTGGTCCTTCGGCAGAGTCTCCGCTCGATCTCGAATTTGACAGCCCCAGACCCCTTCTGTAATTGACTACACAACAAGACCGCTACTTTCATGATTTCCACACTCCGATAGCAGTCACCCGCCGCGAACGGGTCTGACCTTCAGATCCTCCCTTTCGATCCTCCCTCTCACCAGAGATCCACACCCACACTCATTTTCGAGTCGACTCAGCCTCTGTCGAACGCCGTAGACTTTATTTGGCCGGACACGTGAGCCGTACACATCGACCGTCGACGGACGACCTTCACTTGTCAACACTCTCGGCTTCTCAGAAGTGGCTTCAGTGACCAATATGACACAAGACTTGAGCGTTGAGCGGCCCATGGAGGCTCGTGTCGGCAGGGAGAACCANGAGTGCGTCTCAACCACTGTGAAGCCAGCTGCCCACTTTTGTACTGACTTCATGCCAAAAGGATACGGATCTCAAGGCGAACGTCTCGTCGCTGGCATCGTGCCCCTCTCCAACGACCGCAAGTCCGTCCTACTCATCCAGTCAATGCGCCGTGGCGGCTGGGTCCTCCCTAAAGGTGGTTGGGAAGTCGACGAGACCGTCGAGGAAGCCGCCTGCCGCGAGGCCTGGGAAGAAGCCGGTGCCGTCTGCAAAATCCACGCCGACCTGGGCAAGATCCCCGAGAAGAGGAAACCAGAGCAACTCACCGAGAAGGCTCCAAAGGCCGCATACCACTTNTTCGAAGCCACAGTCGCCGAGGTCAAGGAGGAGTGGCCGGAGAGCCACAAGCGCAAGAGGAGGTGGATGGGCTATCAGGAGGCCATTGGTTTGTTGAAGGACAGGCCAGAGTTGTCAGAAGCGCTCAATAGAAGCAGCATCGACAAGCAGCTCTGAGCGTCGCGGTCGTTTGCCCATAAACACATCCCTCACGACTCGCTCGAGACTTTGACAATCGAGCTGATGCAGTCGTACGAAAAGAGACTTAGAGCGCACGTTATGTCGTGCCCGACGTCAGTTCAGACTTTTGGAGAGAAGCAAAAGATATCGACATATCGACGAAGAGAACCACGGACAGGAGACGAAAAGATGGTTCGTCCTTGAGAAATACTTCGGCTTCAATTCTTGCGGATTTTGCTCGCTAGATCAACCAATTGTAATGCGAAAATAAAAAGGATCAAAGATACATCCTCGCCTCGTTTTTCAGAAGCGAGATTCTCACTGCACAAGCATTACGACAACCTCGATCCATCCATATATGTGATACAACTAATTTACAGGACATCCCGCTACCTCTTCGGCGACATGTTTTCTCAAAGAACAGAGTCTACTACCTATCTCAGTTCGACTCCAAACTTGCTTACAAGCTCTTGTCGGATCTTTTCGTGCATGTCGTTTGCTTGCTCCTTGGTCAACGTGCTTTCAAGGCTGCGGTAGTTGATTCTGTAGCACAGACTTCTGCGGCCGGTCTTTGGGTGGGTGAACTCATCAACCAGAGTGACGTCTTCCACAGAGTCTCCAGCAGCACTACGTACGATCTCCATAATGTCGTTCTCGTGGAATGCAAGTGCTGGTGCAGCTGCCTCGGATGCGAGACCACCAGCAGGAGAAGGTGTTGAAGATGTATTCGAGGCGGTAGCAGCAACGACATCATCCTGAGCGACGCTCTTTGGCAGCCAGAAAGCGACATCGCGGGGTGCAGCGGGGTACTTGGAGAAGGGCACGAAACGACGAATCTTCTTCTCATCAAACTGAGACAAGAAACGAGCGTCCTTGCTCCAGAAGAGACGGATGTCAGGGATCTCGTAGAGCAGCATAGCGATTCTTTCAAGACCGATACCGAAAGCCCAGCCAACTCTTGATGGTGCGTCAGCGTTGTCAAGGAGTGGTTGAGAGATAACACCGCAACCGAGGACTTCGAGCCAGTCTCCCTGCCAGAAGATCTCGAGCTCCCATGATGGCGAAGTGAATGGGAAGTATGCCTCTATCCAACGGACTTTGAGTGGTTCTTGTGATTGGGCTTGATTGCGGACTTCGTCAATGGCGGATGCAGCTGCGGCCTCCTTGGCTTTTGAGAAGATCTCAACGACGACATTCTCAAGAGAGCGTTTGAGATGAGCTGCGACGGCTTCGGCTTCTTCCTGAGTGTGAGGCTTCTGCAGAGGATTACGTTCGGGGTGAGTGGTAGGGTTGGGATCTTCGACAACAATGTCGGGCTTGGGCAGCTTTTCCACATCCTCCCATATCTGTTGCGCGAGTGACTTTCCTGCGGGTAGAGCATTGCGATCCCATGTCATTGCGCCTTCCATCTGGTGGAAAACAGGATAATGCGAGCGATCGATGGCATCTCTACGATAGACATCGGCTGAGATGGTGAATCCGTCGCTTTTGTTAGCACGGAAGACATCAGCCTGGTGTGCAGATGTGTGTGTCCTTAGCACAGTATCCTTGTTGATGTAGTAGGTGTCTGTTCGAGAACGTCCAGGATGATCAAGTGGGAAGCCCAAGGAGTCGAAATTTTGACCGACGGTCACCACAGGAGAGAATTCATTGTGATGCTGATATCCTGGGAAGCGAGACTCGATCAACTTTCTTGTGATCGAGATTGGATGGTTGTCCTGCTGGTGTAATTTTCGTGATACATTGTCAAGAATAGTACTCGGCACGTTTGTCCACGAGTCTGATGGATAAGTTTTGCCATGAATTGTCAACTCTTTTCGCTTGGAATCTATATATTTTGCTGTTAGCATAAGAGACTATCAAACACTGTGTGGTTTGTCTCAATGTACGAGCGCTCGCTTGTGATCAAACAACCTCATTGAGCAGGCGACTTCCGGTGTGCTTTTGGGTGTGCGATTTCTTCTTCATCCAATCGTATTCTCTACGTGCTTGTCTGTCTTTCGACAGGGAGATTGCTACTGACTGACCTGAGCTGTTGTATCGACGAAAAACTGTCAACAATGCAATTGACGCGTTCTTGCTAATCTTTGAGCACCGCCCACATAATGATGCAGATGCTCGAGTAGATATGAGATTAATCATTCTTCCTGACAGGAAGTTGTGACTTTTGATTGCTGAGCTAGTGGTATGCAATGCTCAACTCTGGAGCGAAGGCTGGAAGAAGCTTTGAGGGGTCAGTGCGGGCTTCTCGCCAGGGTGCCTCCCTTCACAATATTTCTCGAGCCTTCGAATCGATTATTGCAACAGCAAAGGCAGGTACGATGCTGAAATCATCTCCTCTGGATTTGCTTGAGTCTCTGAGTATCTTGTCACAGATCTGAAGTTATACGTTTTGCCCTGTCGCTCTTTGGAAGCATCTTTCATTTTTCGGCCAACATCCTCCACGAACATCCCCAGCCATGACCATTTTTCCTATCGTTCCAGCAACCGATAACAAAGGCATCACCAAAGCCATCGCAAAAAGCAACGATTACGGCAATGGTCCCATCAAGTATCCGCTGTAGTTTGGTGGCACATCGTCAGCCATGGCTGCCCTCTTCTCTCATCCATTGGACCTAGGTATGTACGACAAGATGAATACACCTCACTATTACTGATGTCGTCTAGTCAAGGTTCGCCTACAAGCACAGCATCACAAGGGAGCACTCGACATGGCCGAGACGTTCAAGCATGTCTACAAAAGTGAGGGCGTAGCTGGCTTGTATCGTGGCATCTCGGCATCCATCTTACGTCAACTCACCTACTCGACTGCACGTTTCGCGGCCTACGAGAAACTCAAGTACATGGCTGAGGACGACGGCGTAAAAGCTCCACATACTATGCTCGTCGGACTCGCAGCAGTCTCAGGCTTGGTAGGCAGTGTCGTTGGAAACCCAGCCGACATCTTGAACGTTCGGATGCAGAATGATGCCGCCTTGCTGCCAACCGAGCGCCGCAACTACGGGAACGCGATCAGTGGATTCATCACCATCGTACGTGAAGAAGGTTGGAAACAGAGTATCTTCAGAGGCATGGTGCCTAATCTCGGAAGAGGAGTATTGATGACAGCTGGGCAACTGGCTGGATACGACGTGTTCAAACTAGAGATTCTGGCCACGACCGAGATGCATGATGGTACCATGACACATGTCGCTGCCAGTACCCTCGCAGGTCTCGTTGCGACAACGCTTTGCAATCCCTTCGACGTGCTGAAGACGCGAATCATGGCTAAGGATGAACGCCTCGGCATGTGGAACACCATCAAGACAGTACACAAAACCGAAGGACCAGCTTGGATGTTCCGTGGATAGCTACCAGCTTTCATCCGATTGGGACCTCACACTGTGGCGACATTCCTCTTCCTGGAGCAGCACAAGAAGTATTACAGAAAGCACTATGCGGATTAGAGTGTTTTCAGATTTATCCTACGAGGTTGCTGATGGTGGTGAGTCAGAGACCGACGCGGATTATTGATATACCTAGATAACAATGCGACCTGAGTGATCTGTCCTTGTGCTCAAGCAAAAGTATGAACACGTTGATGCTTAGTTCGCAGGAGGCCCAGCTTTGAAACACACGGCAGTGAGAACAATTGTTCAAGGGGCTTTCTGGCGGAGATGGTCGCCAAGATTCCGCGTCGGGTCCAGCCGCGGTCGCTCGCCAGCTGGCCTCACTCTGGAGCTTTAGGAGATTGAGTTAGTAGTTGACTCCCCTCCCCATTGATTCATCTCCATTCGTCGTCACTCCCTCCGGTTCGAGTAGAGAGACAGTCAACATGAGCGGTCGTGAGTCTACACCCTGTAACGCNAACGTGCTCCGCAGCAATACCTTTGCAGTCTCGCAACACGTACAGTGCTGGCGCAATGGAGCACGTCAATTGACACGTCTGTCGCATGACGACTAACACCTGGTGCTCGCAGTACGATTCCTCGACTTGGTGAAGCCTTTCACCCCCCTCATCCCTGAGATCGCTGTCCCCGAGACCAAGACTNNCCCCTTCCAGCAGCGCCTGATATGGACTGGTGTCACTCTCCTGATCTTCCTGGTCATGTCACAGATGCCCCTCTACGGCATTGTGTCCTCTGGTGAGCTACAGGCATACAATCTGGCACGCGACAGCAATACTGATGCAGTCTANGACACCTCTGACCCGCTCTACTGGCTCAGAATGATGATGGCCAGTAACAGAGGTACCCTCATGGAGTTGGGTATCACCCCTATTATTTCTTCCGGCATGGTCTTCCAGGTGCGCAAACGATGCTTGAAAGCTACAATTTCGATGGAAAGGCGGTTCTGACAAACTTGGTAGCTTCTTGCTGGTACCCACCTCATCGACGTCAACCTTGACCTCAAGGCCGACCGCGAGCTTTACCAGACTGCCCAGAAGGTGAGCTCCTACGAAACTACGTGTTAAGAGGAGTCAATACTGATTTGCCTANNGCTCCTCGCCATTATCCTGTCTTTCGGTCAAGCCTGCGTTTACGTCCTTACCGGTCTCTACGGCCAGCCCTCCGACCTCGGTGCTGGTATCTGCGTTCTCCTCGTTGTCCAGCTTCTTACCGCCGCTCTGATCGTCATCCTCCTCGATGAGCTCCTCCAGAAGGGCTACGGTCTCGGCAGTGGTATCTCGCTCTTCATCGCTACCAACATTTGCGAGTCGATCGTCTGGAAGGCTTTCTCGCCCACCACCATCAACACTGGCAGAGGTCCTGAGTTCGAGGGTGCCATCATCGCTCTTGTCCACCTTTTGGTCACCTGGCCCAACAAGCAGCTTGCCCTCAAGGAGGCCTTCTACCGCCAGAACCTGCCCAACGTCATGAACTTGATCGCTACCATTGCCGTCTTCAGCGCCGTCATCTACCTCCAGGGTTTCCGTGTCGAGATCCCCGTCAAGTCCTCGCGCCAGCGCGGTATGCGCGGTTCTTACCCCGTCCGTCTCTTCTACACCTCCAACATGCCCATCATGCTTCAGTCGGCTCTCTCTTCCAACGTCTTCCTTGTCAGTCAGATGCTCTACTCTCGCTTCAGCGACAACCTTTTGGTTAAGATGATCGGAGTTTGGGAGGCTCGCGAGGGCTCTGCTCAGATGCTCCCTATTTCCGGTCTTGTCTACTACATGTGAGTTGAGGTCCGCTCTTTTCTGGCTTGGGTGCGATTACTGACAATCTTGCAAAGGTCCCCTCCCCTCAACTTCAAGGATGCCCTTCTTGACCCCGTCCACACTGCTCTCTTCATCGCCTACATGCTCATTGCATGCGCCGCCTTCTCCAAGACCTGGATTGAGGTTTCGGGTTCCAGCCCTCGTGATGTTGCCAAGCAGCTCAAGGAGCAGGGTCTTGTTATGGCCGGTCACCGTGACGAGTCCATGTACCGTGAGCTTAAGCGTGTCATCCCTACTGCTGCTGCCTTCGGTGGTGCCTGCATTGGTGCTCTCTCCATTGTCAGTGACCTTGTCGGCGCTCTTGGCAGCGGTACTGGTATCCTCATGGCTGTCACGTAAGTTTTGACTTGTTCTGTAATTTCGGACATTCAGCTAACAATCATCTCAGCNATCATCTACTCTTACTTCGAGATCGCTGCCAAGGAGGGCGACATGTCCGGCCTTAAGGGCATGGTCATGGGTTAAGAGGCTGAAAAGTGCCAGATTTGAGAATCTTCTACACTGTATATTTTATCACCAGGGGAAGAGAGGTACGCTACGAGCGATCTTGAAAGAATCTTGCTTGTAATAAAAGCCAGTCTCTAAAAGAGCTTTGTAGATTATTGAGGCCAGGAACTCTCATTGCAGGTGTCCTTGATTTGGCCAGATCGCCGTTAGTCCTACGCTCTTTTGTAGGATGCAATTTTAAGAAAAGTTATTCACAATCGCTCTTGCCTCATTCAGTGATTATGGTGTCACACCTGGCCTCATGAATTTGATTCTGCAAATCTTGCATCTTCGCGTCGCTGCTTCCTGCATATGCTGCCAACACCTTCACTCAGTTCTTATCCATGCGTCACTCCACAACCACACATGTTTCTTCAGTCACTGCCTACCACATCCTTCGCCAGACGTAACCACAATAGTTTCGTCGCACTACAAGCATATCAGTTGTCTGCTTTCTCTTCACTCGACCCCGGTCGCCCATCACGAAACACACACGTATATTGTGTCCCTCAGAAATCCGCCATCGACCCACTACGAAGGGTAGTGTTTCAGTCCAGCATGCATCTTCGTAGTGGTAGACATCTACTTCCCGCTCCTCCAGGTCGCGTCCGCCGTCGTGGACCTCAACCATTCCGTCTGCTGGACCTTCCTGCTGAGATTCGGCTCATGATCTATGGCTACGCAATGGGATACCACAACGTTCATTGGACAATGACACACGACTTCAGACCTGGATACAGGCTGGCGCTAGGTGACATATACAATGCGAGAGAAAGGCGTAATGTCGATCTGCAACATCGCCCCCTTGGTCTCTTGCGGACCTGCAGATCAATCTCGCAAGAAGCCTTTCCAGTCTTCTTTGACCAAACACGTTTTGACGTCTGTTTCTATCGTGATGAGTCACTTGGATATCACACTGGGTACCTGCTTGGACTAGGAACTTGGTGTGGATACGTGGATGACAATCTGGCTCGAGTCGTTCTTCGGCGTGTCAAGCATCTTCGCATCTTCCTCGTGGATGACGGAGAACGGACTCAACTACGCGCACGATCCGACGGTTTTCTGAAGCGGACGATGAATCTAAGCCGGTACTTTGGTGCCGGAAGCTGGCTCAAATCACTTCGATTTGTCTTCAGCAAACAGACCGATGCCTCCTGCTTCATGAACTCCTTGCACGAAAGATGGTACTCTGCGGATATGTTAAGTTTCTGGTTATACCAGGGTAATCCTATACTGGAGTTCCCTGACGCCGACCCTAAAGACGAAGACATTGCCGAGTTCAAGAAGTCCTGGAAGAGTAATATGCCCCAGCTTCTATCCTGCGCAGGCATACGCTGACTCATCGTAGCGGCAGGAAACCATTCACCCTTTAGCGTATCCAAGAAGAGCGATAGTTCAAGTCACAAGAAAGATTGGTGGGCCGAAATTGACAGTGGACATCATCAATGATAGCAACCCGCGATGGTCAATCGTGTTGCTCCCTACAATTGTTGATATGGCAATTGCTACTACGTTATCTCTATCACTCAGCATGATAAGCGCTGTCTGCACTTTGCTCTGAATATTCATAGCAGCTTTGTTACCATCAGCTCAGACCAGTAGCAGAATGAGCATCAATCCAGTTTTCAGAAGCAACCAATTGTGTGCAATCCAAAATAATCTTCACATGTTGAGATAAGTTTATCGTGTTTCCACGAAAACACATCTTAACTTACTCTTGTACCATCACCGCGAGAAAATCATCACTTACAAGGTCAAGCCTTTATAACTATGCTTTGTTCATGTGTTCCTCATCCACGACTCCTTGCTTCCGTGAAAAGTGCTTCTCGGTCAAGCCGGCTGAGAACGCAGTTAAACTGTTCGTTCGGACTGGACCTTCAGATCTATGCCAGGCCGCGTGCAAGCAGTAGCTTCGAGAATCCGGTCGATGTATCGACCATAGGTTGTTGCCATCCCGGATAAACGTAGGGATTAAGGCATCATGTATGGAATGATTCCACGAGAGATGTATCAAAGACGATAACGAGGTGACAGGATGGTAGGTCTATGCCTTAATAGATCCGGTCGTTGTAACGACCATAAAACTCATGCTCATGCTGGACGAGTATAGAGATAAAGACATGAGTCCTGAAACGACTGCAGAGAAATGTAATAAAGAGACTAACGAGGTAATGGGATGATATCATGCAAGATATGTCTTGGTCCAATTAGCAAAGAACGTAGTCGATCTGCTCGTTCAGCCTAGTATGTTAGATCTCAATCAGCTGTGTGCAAACGGCAACCTTGATGTATTAACCGCAGGACTCTTGCTTATCCCAGACGAGCTTAGTAAACATTTGCATGATTGCTCTTGTCTGATCCATCCAAGGCGAATCGTTGTAATTTCACATCTCAAACTTGCTCAATTGCTATGATCTTAACCTTGAACTTTGTCACCTTGTTCTGACGCATACTATGTGAGTCACCTGTCTATCGCAGCATTTCTAGTCTTTCGCGACTCTTCTCTTCAAGTTGACTATCTGCATCGAGCTCTTTCCAGATCCCGAGAAGCAGTGTGAGCGGATCGTACCTCTACATCTTCACAAGAGCCAGTGCTTGTATCCATCATGGCACCCCGTAAGGGCAAACGAATGCTTCACAAGCCATCGAATCGAAACCTACCTCACCAAACCCCAGCGTTGACATGTTTTCTAGACCTACCTCTCGAGATCAGACTCATGGTCTACAAATACGCAATTGATTACTACGAGGTGCAATGGACGATGACCCAAGAGTTTACATCAGGGTTCGTGTTACTGCGAGGCGACCTAAGCAANAGTAGACAGCAAGCGCAAAAACGCCTTCGCCCGTTGAGTCTCTTGAGAGTCTGCAGATTGGTTCATCAGGAAAGGCTCCCAATTGTTTACGACAGGATACGATTTGACATCACCTTCAGATTTTGGTATCAAGAGGATCAAGAACGTCTCAGAAGCCATTTGCGTACCAGATACCATCTTCAGCTGACGAATGAAAAGAGCCAGCCCACTCACGGTCTGACCCAAGTAGTTCTTCAACGTGTCAAGCACGTTTGTGTGTCCATGAATGAAAGGATACCGGCTGCGTTGCTCTCGCGAATGCACGTCCTAAGCACTTGCCTACGTCACGGAAAGGACCTCGAGTCGCTTCGCTTCGTTTCCAGCAGCCGCATGGCTTCCCCAGATGATATTTGGAGTCTTGCGAGTGTGTTGTACTTTGACTCGTACAAAGGCGCTGCTGTTCTGGAATCCCTCTACGACAAAGTTACGGAACGGCACATTGCCGAGATCAAAAGGTTCCAGAAGGGTAAGATTGAGCTTGAGGATTTTTGGGCCGCGGATGCTGACTTTTTGTAGTAGCGGGACTCGCATTGTCTGTCGGCATGGAGGGACATTCCAAGTGACCTGATGAGTTGCTTGGCTGGGGTAGTTGATTGAAGTCGCCAATGCTGGCTGGTTGACTGGTCGTCTTGCTTCAACGACCAAGATCGACCAGTAGGGCGTAGCAGAGAAAGCTAGGTGTGCTCAGCACAAGATTGGAAAAAACGTGTTACGCAACCTGATCTTCCTGTAATGAGATCTGTCAAGCGTGTAGTTGTATGATTGCACAGATATCAGAGATAGTAACGAGGCGACGGGATATCAGACTTTGCGGATATAGAAACACAATGCCAGTACGTTGAATAACGGACAGTGTGATCCGTGGTGAAGTGATGTTGTTGAGCGACTGTGGCAGTACAGACTTGTTGTTGAGCAACCGAGATGGCTGTGCGAAAACTGTGCGGAAGGCGGAGCAGAGTCGTAAGGGTATTTGCGAGCTCTAGTAAGGCACGCGTGTTGTTGGAGTGCCTGAAGGAATGTGCAGGGCACTTGTCTATCTTGCTGCCTTTGTGTAGTCGTGTATGCTAGGACTGATCAGCAAGGTGAAGCAGTGAGAGCTCGATGTGCTCAACAAAAGGCCCACCAGCATATTACGCAACATGACCTTCACGTGTTATGTGGAGTCTGTTACGCGTGTAGCTGTAGAACTGCACACATATTTTGTTGGGTTAGGAGTATATCCAGAGATCCGGGAAGATATAGCTTCCAACGAGAGAATCAGAAAGTATTTCGCATCTCGCATTCCAATATCTCTGCAGATTACCAGATGTCGCTATTAGATAGGAAATGTAACAACAGAGTTGTAGTCGTTGCATGACCTTCCTGATTCTGACAAGTAAGATATACTTGTTGTGGAGAAACAGCAGCCGCATCGGGGCTGAGTATTGGTTCAAGGTAGCATCCTAGACAGGCAGCGGTAAAAAGTCGCGACAAAGGACGGGTTACAAAGAAGAATTGGGGCTGTGTATAGCGGATGTAGCAGGAACAGTTTCTTTTGATTTCTTTGGTCTTGGGTTTACCAAGCAAAAGCCCAGAAAATGGTCTGTGGGGATGCTGTGCAGAGAATGAGGTGGAAGTGGCAAGTCGTGAGGGAGGCTTAGAGAAGGTAGGGAAGGTCCGTGTAGGCAATTCCATTTAAGCGATGCAGCTTAGAAACAGATTTGTCTTGACTCAGTGTGTCTTTGGAGGAACAAAACAGTCGGAGCGAGAGTGCTGCGGCGGGTTGGCCTGTGTAGAGAGACAAATGGTCAAACAGTATCAGCCATGGCACCAACGGTAGCAAAGCAATTGGCAGTCGCAGCAAGGGCCGGAAGCTTCGGCGGCTGAGCCATCGCATACAGAGTCCGTGCACGCGAGCATGACGGTGCAAACGGCCATGCAAATGGTCGAACGAGGCAGTGCAACCACCATGGGCCGTACAGTATGTAAATGCTACATGGTCCGCCTATCGGAAGAGAAAGGACAGATACTACAAAGACCTTATCAGCACCCTACAAGAACAAGCAAGCAAGCCACGTACAAAAGCAAGGCAAAAAACACCTAGACTCCATTCAACGGACATATCAAGCCAAAGCCCGAACATCTCGACCCTTAGCCTTCAGTAGCAACATGGCAGCAGTCACTTCGCTCCAAACACCACCAATGTCTCCTCACGCCTCATCGCCTTCTGCCTCGCCCACAAAGCGCAGACACTCGCCCTCTCTCTCCCTCGACCTCAGTGACCTACCACAACTATCCACAATCCCCGTACCTTCAAACACCCTCATCATCACCGGCCTAAACGACCCTGCCATCTTCGGCGCCACAAACCTCGCAACCATCAAGGCCGCCCTCGACAGCCACGCAACAACCTACTCCTTCTCGCCTTTAAAATCCTTCCGTCGCATTATCGCCTCCTTCTACAATGTCGACGCCGCAATCGACATTCGTACAAAGCTGGATGGCGAAAATGTACTAGGTCAACGCATCCGCGTCTACTTTGGCGCCGAAACAAAAATCACCACTCAAGAAGACCAGCACTTGAAGGCGCCATCAACGGGAAAGTTGTTCTTTATTTCGCCTCCGCCGTCGCCTCCCCATGGCTGGGAGTCCAGACACGAAGACCCTCCTAACAAGGAAGTCCACGCTGAGGACTTGGCAGAGGCGTTGCATAGACTATCGTCTGTTCCTGAAGATGAGCAGGCCCAACACATTGAGCAGGCTGAGGAAAAGACTGCTCCTGTTTCTGTTCCTGCTGTGCAGAGAAGCAGAGCTGATTCGAGGACTATTGTCTACTCGCCTGTTGAGCAAGGCCACTCGCCTCATTTGCCTGCTATCGCTGTCGAGGATACTAGCTGTGAGGCTTCTCCTGTGGAAGAGACCTTTGGCATGGATGTACAGAAGCCCATCACCCACACCGCTCGCCCTCCTGTCGAGCTCATGGAGGAGTAAATCTCTGTTAAGCTTATCACTTTCCTTGTGTTTTCGGCGATGGCGTGGATTTGAGGCTTGGTATTGGGAGTATCAGGGTTTGGATGGACAGACATAGGGGCGCAAAGCAAGCATTGGGTCAGGCGTTTATTCGAAACAGCGACATTTTTGTCCTTTAGTACCACTCAAGTCAAGAAAAGCAGTCTTAGTAGACGAGAATCAAGCTTTATCAATCATCCTATATCTATGGTCCTCTTCATTCTTCTGCATCCAAACCAGTCGACGCAAAATGTAAGTGTCCTTTGTATCATAGTGCTGAGCGATTAAACATGCATACACAGGCACTCACAACGGTTCGTGCATTCAACTGGGTGTTTGAACAAGTAGGCATTATATCCACTATATAACAAAATCCACAGTGCGTGTCGTGAAAAAGGCGCCCATAGCATATTCGTAAACAAAACTCCTCTCCAAACTAGACCGAGCAATGGTCCAAACGACAGCTTATTACACTTTTGCTTCCTTTACTTGACTAGGCGTTATGTCCTGTTACTTTCGCCTCTTTTCCGTACTTGTGGTTCTCCTTCGAGGGGGGACTCTTGTGAACTGTCGAATTCTGTCGTTTACTGGGTGCGACCGGCAGGGGCAGCGGGTCTGGCGGCAGCACCACCCTGGGGACCCATTCTCTTGCNTCCTAGTATGTTTGTTAGTACCTTGCTTCTCTCTCATACATTAATCAAGCGATAAACTTACATGAAGGTTCTGGAGAAGAAAGAAATGCCAATCATCAAAGCCCAGCTGGGCATGACGGAGAAACCGTAAACAACCCAACCGAAGGGAATGGCAAGACCAGTCTGAGCGAGCATGCCGTTGAAGGGGTGGAAGAAGCCCTCGTAGGGAGTCTTCTCCTTAAAAGCCTTCTCAGTGGCAAGCTCAACAATGTCCTGAGCGGTGACGGTGGTGCGGTTCAAGGGGAGGTAGTAGACGGTAGTGGCGGGGGTGGTCTGGTCGGGAAGAGGCTGAGGAAGCTGCATGTAGATGACGCTGGGAGCACCGGCACCCCATGCGTTGCAAAGTTGAGGCTCCTTCTCGCAGTCAAGACGACCGAGCTGGGGAGCGCTGGGAACGGCAGAGAGGAGCGAGACAGCCTTGGACCACTCGACATCGGCGCGGGCACACATACCGAAGCAGGTGCGGTTGCCGCCAGTGGTGTAGATCATCCAGTCTTCAATGCCAGGACTGGCAGTTGCGGCGCCAGGCTTCAGGACCTGGTTGTAGTTCTCCTTGGTGAAGTCGGTAACAGTGAGCTGCTCGACCTGACCAGCGGCGGCGTGGACGGGGTTGGGAACACCAGATGCGGCCGAGGCAGCTGCTGAGCTGGCAGAGTTGACACTCGAGGTAGCGGCACCGACAAAGTTGTTGAACCAGCCCTTGGCCTGCTCGAGGAGAGGGACTTGCTGCTGGGCAGCTGCCATGGCAGGCAGTGCCAAAACGACGGGAGCGAAACGCATCTTGTGTGGTTGTGAGGTGTTGATTAGGAGATGGGCAGAAGTCAGGAGATCAGAGAGTATATTATTTCTGCAGCGAGTCCACCGAGTTAGCTATGTCCGAGCTCAGAAAATAAGTCTCACCGACATTCACTTACCTGCGAAAAAGTGGTTGTGGAATGCCTAAGCTCAAGTCAAGCTGGAGGGTTCAAAGGTATCCCCGTTTCTGGGAAGTCGCCATGATGACAGACTGCAGACAACGCTTGGCACGCCGCCATTTCGAAAGTGCATTTCATCCTTCACCTCCTTAACTTTTCACAGACACTTTTGACATTTGTTGAATCTGGAATCCTAGCCACTCAATTATGTGTTCTGTACGGCAAGACCTCGAACTTCTGAGGCCTGACTCGTACTGTTTCACAAGCTCAGCATCCTGAATCTAGCTATTCTAGCTACCTCACGGCTCAAAGTCCGGCATCGACACATACGGCCAGATATCTGTTGTATCGAAAGGAAACAGTGCGTCTAGATCAGCATAGTCGTACGACAAGAAATCCTGCACGGTTGGCTGAAAGATTGCCATCTCACTCGTCATTTCATCCATCTGCAATGCATCAATACTCGAGAGTTGTTGTGGTGTGACTCCCAGCAACTGCTCAGACTTCCTCGCCTCGAATCTTGAGATGCATTCGAGAACAGCATCTAGGTGCTGACAGAATTCTCGTGCAGCAATGTTACCTAGTCGATCTAGTTGCTTCATGAGGTGATGTGCAGACTGGAAGGTCTCCTTGTCTGCCTGTGCACTTGATCCGAGGCAGAGATTCGACACTGCCAGAATGGTCGCAGCAGCATAAAGATATTGTGCCGACGAATAATCTAAAGCAGGGAGCGCAGTCCAAGATTGAGTTAAGAGGCGGCATGTATGTCTCGCCGTGTGCACGCATGTCTCTGCCAGCATGAATGTAGCTTGGGGAATCTCATCCTTTCGGTTCGTGCGATTGGTGACATGAAATACTCGCAGCAAAGTTGGTCGTGTAGCGAGAATGACGCANNCTAATACAATCAGCTACTACTACGAGCATCAGAACTCTCGACATACCTGATTGAAAGATAGATGTAAAGCGACGATGTGCCAGCTCGCAGGCTTATCTGGCCACATCTTGACGCTTTCCGGTAATGTCGCTGACCAGTCCCGAAGACTCTTGAATATGGCTTGCACCTTCTGAACAAACGGTCGATCATTCTTCTTGCGACTGTAAAGGGTGGAAATTGTTTCACCAGCAATACTTGCCAGTCGCATACTTGCACAGAGGTAATCGGCACTTACCACATCACCTTTCTGCGCATCAGTAAGTCCGTCATCTGAAGGTGGACTGACTTCTATATCGTCGTTCAGAATGAAGGCGGAATGGCCAATCTTGCTGGCAATGAAACGATCGAGAGCGTAGACTGTCCACCACAGACGTGCTCTCTTCTGTCTTGCAGCTAAATCTGGCATTTGCGATTCTGTGATGTTGTGGTGTAGACCTAATGTCATCGATAGTCGCATCGCAGATCCAATGTACCAGTAAGCTGAATGCCGTCTGTTCATCGCTAATGAGTAGATCGNTCTGGATTAAATCAGCAATCATGAAGCCAAATCGCAGCTTCCTCAACTCACAATGCAGATTAGAACTTCCACGTGGTCCGCTGTGGCGCGCTCGGGCAACACAGGCAGGAGCGCTCTAGCTTNTGCGAAATACGGCAATCCAGGAAACACCGTGTGTTGAGATTCGGCCAATCTAGGTGAGTAAACCTGGGCAAGTGCGAATAAGGAAAACAGCTTGCACTCCTGCATCTGGTTGAGTGCTGCTCGATCAGTATATGCCTTCTCCAGTATACTGCGAACACTAGACAGAGAAGACAAATGGTAACACTGTCCCACTGTCGCAATGACAGACTCCACAAGCAGATATGCCTGCGGCCTACTCGGCCATGGTGCATTCTCATCAGCGGCTTGCAAGATCTGACCGTCTTGGACATAGTGCGTTCGAGCTATGTGAATCTCCGCCTGAGTGTGAAGNNGGAGAAGCTGGCGCAAACGTGATGAAAACGCTGTACATGCTGCCTCGCCGATGTAGATGGTACTTTCATCGAGTGGGACGAACCAGGCATCATCTCTCACCAAAGGATTTCCTGAGTCGGTGGTGGCAGAAGGCTCAGGTGTGTTACTATGACTCTGTTGTTGATTATCGCTCTGCGGTGTGGGAGCCTGTTGCTTGAGACGCTCGATCTCCTTCAGCAGGTTGTTGATATAGCTTCTNNAGAACGTTAGTCGCAATATGCTTGAACCATTTCGAGTATTTCACCTTTCTCGGACTGTAGTCTTTCGATCTTTGACAGGATATTCGCATTGAGCATCGTTCGCAACTCTGCAGTTTTTGCAGGGCTTCTGACCATCACATTTGATCTTGTGCGAGTGGCATCTTTGGCANNGCTGTGTTCGGTATACTTGATCAGTTTACCGAGGCTTCATCAGAAGGTGGATAGCAACATACGCGACACTCTTTCTCGGCTTCTTTGACACTTTGTTACCAGATGATTTCAACATCCTTGCTGTTTCCATGTTGCAATTGTGTGAATATGAAATTAGTTTGCTGGATTGGATATCAAGGAAGTANNGGAGAGATGTCAAGATGCTGTGTCGCGTATGACTCCGCTTCGGTGTAATGCTTCGTTTTGCCGAGGCGAATGGTACAGTAAGCAGAGTGGAACTATGCCTTGACTGGCCACAAGATCAACTATATTCAGGAAAGACAAAAGGGATTGGGTACAAAGACCACTGAACCTCAAATATCCACGGCATCAATACTCGAATGCTAATGCTCAAAGACAATTTTGGAGCAGCTGTTTGTTTCCAGAGTAATGAAGAAGAGTGCTGAGAAAGATCGATTTCAGATGGCACAAGAATTTCATAGCAGTTAATATCTGTTGTAAGAGCTGATAAAGATTATAACATAGATTTAGAAGCAACATGGACAGAAAGAGAACAAGACCCACGGCTCCAAGATAGAGAGATGGTTACCTTAGCTTAAGCGCTGCTGAGCTCTTTCAGAGCTACAATTGAAAGCCACCTATGTGAGCTGAATTCTTTGTTAGATAAGTTGAGCTGATTACGAATCTGGTAAAATGTTCATGTTCATGGATTGTGGTCCTCGTTTGTATGCTCGGCAAGACAAACATTTTCGCCGAGAGCGCAAACAAACATCCTACCACGACCACGCACTCATGTCAATTGATGTTAAAGTCCTATAGTATCAGAGATATGATGTATCAGGTAGGAGACGTTGTCGTCGCTTTTTCTAAAAGGCAAGTGTGTGTTTTCCTTCACAAAAATTTCGCTCAAGATGCTTTTAGCCAGCTTCCCACACTCGACATCTTTCATCCACTTATGTAGAGCAACACAGGCAAGTCTTTCTAGGAAGTAAGTCTCTCATTTTCATGCTATGTATTTATGTTCCATGAACAAGAAAGAATTAACCCCGTCCTGTACGCTTTCTGCAACAAAATTTCGCAGCACCACCATTCCTTCCCTCCCATCACCTTCATCATCGTCTATCTACGTTTTCTTGCCCTCAATGAGCAAAAGAAGATGGTGGTCAGTACGGGGGTCGAACCCGCGACCTTGGCGTGCCATATATCACAGGTGGATGATCACCGATATTAGCACCACGCTCTAACCAACTGAGCTAACCGACCAGGTCTAGTGGTAATTGCTTACCACGTGATGTTCTCGAAACCGTCAGGTCAATACTCAATCTCATGAACATTGCTTGAACAGCTGATTACGAGTTTGGGATGCTTGATCTAGCTCACGTTGCCACAAGGAGAGGCTTCAGTGACAGCTCTCCACGATCGGAGTCTTACAACCAAGCGATGCTTATACACACTTGCCAAGGAAGTATTATACACTTGATAGCTTAATCCAAGGTCATCTGTTGTTGCAAACTCACGGAGCTGGTCTGATGTGAAGCCTCGAGTGTGTGAAGCCTCGAGTGTGTGAAGCCTGGAAAGTCGGATATCGCCTATACAGCTCACGGGCCACCACCACCCTCAAACTCGTAGATCTTCGGTCAAAAGAGTTTGCAGTGTCATTCTTTGAAGCTGTCGCACGCTTGCTTGCCCATATATACAAAGGTTTCGAGGAATTACTGTCACAAGCGTTCCTGGAGCGTATACCCTGTGCAGAATTTCCGTAAGTTTGTATTGGTCATATCTTGCTCAAAAATAAACGTATGACGAAGCCGAGCACAGCAATGGAAAGCTGCAAGGTTGCTCTATCAATTCCTTGTTTCCAAAACTCGAAAGGGTTCAAAATTCGGGCCCCTACATACTGCTATGAAATCTTTTGAGTACCAAACTCGTCGGGATGATGGCACAGGGGTAATGCGCCCCCTTCGCATGGGGGGAGATCCAGGGTTCGATTCCCTGTCATTCCACGTCTCTTTGCGCCCCTGGAAGTGGGTATAGGTGGTGTGGTGACGTATAGGGAAGGGGGAGAAATTTTTGGCCCAAATCCAAGATATTGAGCGACACACAACTCGCTACTCAACGCGGCCAAGACATATGATAGAGGAACCCTCGCTGCATACGCTGTCCAAGTTTCAGATGGACAGCTAACGTTTTGGTGGAGATATCCATGGTTGAAGTTTTGGGTCATATTTTGGTGCACCTACACACTGCAACCCAGGACCGCAACCATTCAAAGTGCTACTTCTCTGAGTCATGGACGGACTATTCGCGCATTCGATGACTAAGTATTAGAAGAATATCTCGAAGGTTGGTCGAGATATCGTTGATTGGGTCTTAAGGCTTCACTCGAGTATTGCTACGTAAAATTGCCGACAACGACGACCGATCAACCTATCGCTTTTCGAATGCGAATGCATCGTATGTTTGTCATGCTTTGGTAAGGTTTAAGTGTTCTCAATATCTGAAAAGGTAGTGTGGAACCAGAATTGGAAACGGTCATCTCGGAAGTGGTTACATTTTGGTATACTTATCAGTACTCTGGTTGTATCTGCTGCATAATCTACGACATACAGACGTCAAGGTGATAGAGAAGTAGAGGTCGAAAGAATATGTACATTAAAGCTTCTAAAAGTATATGAATAAAAACATGAATCTTGTAAAAAAAAAAGTGGCAGATCTCAAAAGTCTCCTTCTACAAAACGAAGAACATCAGATTCTCCTACTCTGTACAAGCAGGTGCATTCTTTGCAGTCTTTGTGACAGTCGTAGAGATTGTGGATGTGCTCTTGACAGTCGTCGTCTTTGTTGTGGGAGCTGGTGTCACAGTAACCTTAATCGTGCTGCCCTTGAGCGAGGTAGTCTTGAAAACTGTTGTAGTAGATGCAGGAAGCGTCGTCTCGATCGTCGTCGTCGAATCCGCAGAATTGGTGATTGTGATTGTAGATTGATCAGCCGTGACCACGGTCGTGCTAGAAACCAGCTTGAAGCTTGTCACGGTGGCTGCTGATGCAGAGATCTTCTCGGTCGAGCTAATGGTTGCAACGCTGTAGTAAGTGCTTCCAGGCAGGGATACTGTATCGTGTTCAGTGCTGTATGCAAGACTGGTCACTGTAGATCCTGCGATGGTTTCTGTGATCGTTGAAGTTGACACAATGATCGAGGTTGCGGTGGCAGCGACGGCGCTTTCGGTCACAAGATCAGTCGATGTTGCGAATGACGTGCTCAGGACAGTCGAAGTGGCTGCTTTGAGTGTGCTGGTTGGCTCAATAGTGCTAGTGCTGGTCACACTAGTATAGATCGTCGAGCCTGCACTGGTGATCACTGAGGTCTTGACATAGGAGGTCAATGTGGTGCTGATGAAAATCGTTGTGGTTCCAGCAGCACGAGCCTCAAGTCCTCTCTTGAACAGTCTGGCAGCATCTGCAGTAGGTACACACGAAGCGGTGATGGTAGTTCCCTTCGTGGTGGTCTTGACGGAGAAGCTCGAGACAGTCACAGTTGATGGCTTGAGAGTGGTTGAAGATGTAACATCTGGTCCTTGAATCGTCGTAATGCTGCTAACAGTTGAGCCCTTCATTGTCGAAGTTTCGTAAACTGTCACCACAGAACCAATACTCTCAGTGATCGTGACTGGCTTTGGAGACGACGTCGAGAAGACGAGAACAGTACTTGTCGCTTTAACGGTCGAGGCCTTTCCAGCGACAGTGGTCGTGAAATAGTCGATCTCAGTACTCTTGATGGTGGTGTCCTTTCCAGCAATGGTCGTTTCGCTTGAGACGGTTGAAGTCTGCTTAATCGTCACATCCTTAGCAGATGCAGTAGCAGTAGCTAGAACGATCGAGGTAGACTTCACTGTCGTCGTTTTGCCTGCCTTTGTGGTCGTAGAGGTGACAAATTCGGTTGATTTGACAATGGAAGTCTTCAGAATCGGTGCAGGCGTCACAGTGATGCCATCATTTTCCGTGACATAAGAAACGATAGTCGAAGTGATATCGCCTTGCACAAGAGTAGTGTACGTTGTCGCTTTCTGAGTAATGGTAGTGGTAATCTGGGTTGTGGCCAAAGGCAGTATTGTGGAGCTATTGCTTGACATTGTTGAGAGCATGGAGGAAGATGAAGAACTGACACATCCAGCAGGAGCGGAGCCAAAGCCAGCAGTGAAAGGCTGAACATCGACAACAGAGAAATCAATCCATGAGGTGGTAGGAAAGAAGTTGGCCAACTGGAACTGAGCAGCTTCAGCATCGGACAGCTGCTGCGAGAAGCTTGCACGGCTGCAAGTATTGCTTCCTGGGCCGAAGTTATGGTATTCGGCAAATGTCACACCATCAGTCTGAGGAGCAGACTTGCTCCATTGCGTCCAACCTGCTGGGCCAACTGATCCATCGAGGTAACAGCCAGCATAAAGCACACGAGCGAAGTTGTTCCAAGGACGTCCTAGCGAAACATTCTTGAATCCGGAAGAGCCTGCAGCAGGGACGATAGAACACTGGTCGAAGACGAACCCAGCAGATGTAGTGTTGGTCGCACGTTTGGCAGCAGTAATGGAATCACCGTCCTCGTTAGGTGAGATCGTTGAGTTAAGGAAGTAGCCTGATCCAGCACCAAAGATGAAGTCAACATTTCCTTCGATGTAACTCTTGAAGGTGAACATGTTGCCTGAGATGTACAGAGTATCCTGGTTGCCATAGATCTGGCAACCGTGCATGAAGGCATACTTGCTACTCTTGACTGCGAAGCCCAGGGAGGCAATGTTCTGCTGAGTGCCGTTGTTGTTCCTGAAATTGACATTGTAGGCATAGAAGTAGTTGCCAGTTGCATACACAGTGGCAGCATCCACATCGCTTCCAGTGCCTTGTGTATCCACGCCATAAGACTGCTGAATGGTAACCTGGTTCTTGCTGTAGTCATCGGTCGAGTCAGAGTAGCCCATGAAGATGGTAGTACCGCTCTTGTTGACAATCAACTTTTCTTCATAGACTCCAGGGTAAATGAAGATGGTAGCATTGGTCTTGCTTGATGTTGGTGCAGCATTGAGAGCAGCCTGAATGGTGTCATAAGTAGCAACACCATCGATTGCATTCTTAGAGACGATAAGAGCACCACTAGGAGGCACGGTTCCATTGTAAGAGCTCGAGCCAGAGACCGTAACATTTGTAGGCGATGTAGTGTTGATCACTGCAGGCTGTGGTGTGACGATTGAGTTCCAGTAAGTCTTGTCAATCCAAGCTGTGTCATCCATAACAGAGTCGAGCGAATAAGAGTCGGATGTCAAAGAGTGGCATTGCCGAAGGCTTGACGTGCGGCAACATTATTTACCCATGATCCCGGACCGACATTATTGTACTCAGCGAAGGTGATGTAATCAGTGCGAGGATCAGTAGTTGACCAGACCTTCCATCCGGATGGGTTGATGATATCGTCTAGATAAGAGTTCTTCACCACGACAAGTGCATAAGCAGAGTAAGGACGACCCAAGTACACTGAGTTGGTGAGATCAACTGTTGCATCAGTAGCAGCTGTGAACAGGCACTGGTCAAAGATATAGCCACCAATGGCCGAAGAAGAAGCACGGCTCTGAGCAGTCATAGCAGACTTTTGTCTCTTGGCACCGATAGTACAGCCCTTGAAGAAACTCTTTGAGTAACCCCAGATGAAGTCAATAGCTCCAGAGATATAGCATGACTCGTAGTATTGGTAACCAGTAGTTGCACCAGTAAGGAGAGTATCTTGCCAGCCTTGGAAAGAACATCCATAGAAGCCAATGTCGTTGCCGTAGATAGAAGCAGCGAGCGTCACATAATTTGCTTCCAATCCATCGAGATTATCAGAGTTGATGAAGTTAACATTGTAGAACGAGATTCTGTTCGATGCAGTGGCAATGGTCGCAGTCTCAGCATCGCTGTGACCACTAGGCAAAGGAGAAACTGACAAACCTCGTGCAAAAGTGACGGTCACAGAGTTGTCCTTATAACTCTGTCCAGGACTGCCAGGAGTATACCCAATGACGCGAATGGCACCAGGACGGTTGATTGATGGAATTTGCTCGTTGTAAGAACCTGCATAGATGAAGATAGTCTGGTTGGTACTGTCATTGGGCAGAGATGCAAGAGCAGCAGTCAAGTTCGTGAAAGAGGCATTGTGTTGGCCATCAGCCGAGACGACGACGGCATATTGGGGAGGGATACTGCCGCTGTCAGGGTGCGCATTGATCGACGACGTACTGGTGGGTCCAGAAACACCGGAAGAAGTACTGCTAGCACTACCAGTAGTTATTGATGCAGGGAAGCTCCAGGACGGCTCAAGATCCCATGCAGCCTGATCAATGAAGCTGGTGTCGCCAACCCAAGTTGAGAGGCTGTAGCCTGCAACCTGATCGTCGGTCATGTTGGTGGCAAAGGAAACACGAGCAGTTCCGGACACCCATGCTCCAGGGCCAGTGTTATTGTACTCTCCAAAGACGACATTAGAAGTTTGAGGGTTTGAAGTCTGCCAGACCTGCCAACCAGCAGCATTGATATGCTTGTCAAGATAGCTGTTCTTGTAGACAACTGTTGAATAATTGCTGTAAGGACGACCGAGGTAACTGGCGGCAAATGTGCTTCCATAAGTTGAGGTGTATGTGACCAAGCATTCGTCAAAGATGTAAGCGGCTGGAGTGGTCACAACACGGCCTTGGGCGGCGATACATGCACCCTTAGTGTTCGAAGCGATAACAGATCGATAGAAGTATGCTGTTCCAAATCCCCAGATAAAGTCGATCGAGCCTTCGACGTAGCAATTCGAGAAGACTTGAGTGCCCTTGTTGGCGAGAAGAGTATCTTGGAATCCGATGAAGGAACAACCATAAGCGGCCATATTGTTTCCATAGAAATCGGCTGCAAGAGCGGCAGTATTGGCAGTTTGGGGGTAGCTGTTGACGAAATCAATGTTGTACAAGGCCAACCCAGAGTTGTCGTTGGTCTTCTTTGAATTGATGACTGGAGTCTGCTCGTTCTGGCCCAGATTTGTGGAGCGACCACTCGAGAATTGAACTTTGACCTGGTTCTGGCTGTAGTCGTTTTTGAAACTAGTCGCACCAATGAGAGTAACCTTGCCGTTTCTGGTGATGCCGATTTGCTCGTCGTAGACGCCCGGGTCAATATAGATTGTGTAAGGCTTGCTGTCATTGGGAAGAGCGGCGATGGCGGCAGAGATGTTGTTGTATTGGCAGGCTGTAGCATTTTGAGATACTACCAGAGTTGCTGATGGAGTGGGTGTAGCGCATGTGCTTGAACTGGAGACAGACGCGGTACTGCTGCTTGAAACAATGTTTGAGAGTGACGATACAGACGACAGAGTTGAGTTCACCGACGAGCTACTGGCAGAGTTCGAAACAGATGGGCTCGAAGCAGAAGAGCTGGAAACTGATGAGGTCAAGGTAGAAGAGCTCGAAACAGAGGATCTTGAGACAGTGGCGACCTGGGCAGCATCTGCTTTCTGAATTGCGCTCAGGACATTAGAGTCTATCCAGGTGGTATCGAACGAATTGAATCCGACGAATGCGTTTCCAAAGACTTTATCGATGGTGAAGGTAGAGACCTGATCAACAGAGAGTTGAATATCGCAGACTGCATCTCGAGTCGAGTTATTGGTTGACGAATAAGCTCCTGGACCAGAGTTGGCGAACTCTCCATAGAGAACGTCATATTTGCAAGAGCCGCTGTAGAACCCGCTAGGCGCAATCAAGCTTCCAAGGTTGCTGTTACGGTAGATGGCTTGGGAATAGTTGCCATTGGGTGCCGCAAGGTAGACATAGGTATTGGTCAATCCAGCTTTCTGAACCACAGAACTAGAGTCGACTACAAGAGTGGCGTTACCGGTAGTCGCGTTGCCCTTGCCATACATGATCAAAGCGTTGGAAATGGTGGGAACGATGGTCGATCCATATACGTACGCGGTAGGATAGTTGTAGAAAAGTTTGTCCGCGCCCTCGATGTAACTTGGAAGCAATCAGAGCGAACCCGTATGATGAGTAATAAACACCATAACTGCTTGAGACCAAGGCGCAGTTGTAGATTCCATGCTTGGACCCCGCGACTGACACAGCAGGAGCAAGACCAGATGTGGCAGAGTTGGTCAAGTTCAAGTTCTTCAGGGTGATCCCTTGGGTATTAGATGTAGCAAAACTCACGACACCATTCTGACCACTTGCAACAACGTTGACCTGATTCTGTGCAACAGAGCTAGCAGTTGGGCCAATGATCGTCACTGTCTGGCTTCCTCTGATAACAATGGACTCTGTGTATGTGCCTGCTTTGACAACAACTGTGGGAACACTGCCAATCTGAGCAGCATTGACAGCAGCATTAATAGCGGTGAACTGAGCCGAACCATCGAGAGCGACGGTGTATGCAGACGTCAAAGAAGAGGTTAACGTTCCGGAAGAAGCGATGGTTGATGAGATCGGCAAGATGAGGGAGGAGCTCGACGAACTCGGTGTAAGGAGTGAAGTCGTAGAGGAAGCGAAGGTCGATGAGCCAATTGTCGAGTTTTGGCAGGCCGCAAGAGCAGCCATACCAAATGCACTGGACAAGATTGAAGTCCTCATTTTGATGGTGACCACCTCTCAGAGAGGGGTAAGAATGAACGAGGGGGATAGTGATAGAGTAAGAAACTGTTTGGGAGAGAGAGTCAGCATGAAGGGCATTGCACTTGTTATATCTCATATTGGAGAAGTATGTACAGAACCCAATATCATTCCTTTCGGCATCGCCGAATGACAGCTGATTGGTCCGTCCGCCTGAAGAGCCGACTAAATGATAGACCATAGACCAAGTCTATGTAAGTGTATGGAAGCTGGAGGGCGGTTCCTGCTGTAGCGGACGGCAAGGTGCACGTGTATTCCTCCGATGTGGAGGCAAGAAGCGTCAAGCCATGCATGACACTAACAAAATATAGTGATATCAGCAGGCAGGTAACATAGACCTAGAGTAGGGCTGCAGACTACAGCATTTCCGAGTCTGAAGGTGCCGCACTAGACGGCGAACCAATATCAGGTACCTATCGCAGTATCGACACTGGATTCAGCCGTTCCAAAGATTGCTCATCAGGCTGAAAATACTCACACTACTAATTGGAATTCTCTTACACAGAATCAGTAGCAAGGTCAAGATTGTCGGTTGGTGGATGTATCTCGAGATTCGCCGACACTATTAGCGGACTACAAACCTTTCCGAATGAGTTTAAGGGCAGTGATAAGGTTTCGCAACTTTGGTTGCTGTTAAGCGAGCACGCGGTGCGTCTGCAGGAGAGCTGCACCGTAAGGTAGATCCGCAGCATGTATCTTTGAACCACAACTCAGCTCTGCAAATTACCTGCTTACCATGTTGTCGGTCTCTGGTTCATCGTTTCCGTTCCGAGTCTCTCCAGCTTGTGCCATGTCTAGCTCGGAAAGCCTAGCAAGATTGGTCCACGGAAAGAGCTAGAACGGAAACTTTTCTGATGGCTTGTGGGCAACATCATCTAGCTCGTTCCCGGAAGATTGCCAGCCGGGAGCATGGGTCGCGAAAATCCACCACGTACGTGCAGGTGAATGCAGTGGAGATTCATCGCGTATGTGGTGAAGGAGGAAGGCTTGAAGTGTCGCTTAAACATAGCCACCAAGTCACGGAGGAATTCAAGGTACTCCACCACCAAAAGTCGAGTTTGGACTTGGGCGAGAACGTTTCAAGACCCACAAATTACCCCGAATTAGTCGTTGAGATCTGAAGCATGGTCCAACGGCACGCAGAGCAGCTGAACACATGAACATTATTGTGCCTGATGAAAGAAGGAAGCGACGCACATCGTGAGGTTTGCACAGCTGTTGTCATGAAGGATGCAAAGCTTATCTGTACCCGAATCAGGCGTCCACAGGGTCTTTCGGTTGAAATTCTTCTGACTCGGCTTGACAGCTGCACAGAACCATCACCCTGCCCGGTAGCTTGGGATGAAGACAATCCTCCGCATCGTGGACGATCAGTTCTGGGGCCTTTGAACGTTCCTGGACGGTGTGGATCTGCATAGACTGCAAACGACCAGTCGTGCATCATTGCAGTCGCTCTGCATGTTATCGAATGCGAAAGCGGACCTTTTCATTAGGGCTGTCGAGGTGCCAGGAACAGAAGCAAACAGAAACGGATACACATGTTCGGTTCCAGGAAGAGCACGAATCGCGGCAGAATCGGAAGAATTACAGGAGTCAAAACATGGTACAATATGAATGGTACATGCATGTATCGCGGGATAGCCCGCGTTTGTCAGTCATCCTTCATGCACACTTATCCAACAAGCTCATGATCAAGATCAAAGACAAGCTTCTCCTTACCTCTGGGTCAGATGCAGTTTCGGAAAATAGTGAATTTATGACCTGAGATACGCACATCTCAATGTAACGAATCTGCTAAGTATCAGTAGGTGAATTGTAAATTTAATCCTTATTGCACTCCGGAGTTCTGACCGCTGTTCCTCGCTGCCGCTGTTAGCAGCCGTTGATGGGACAGGCACTTTGTGTGCCGGGTTCTCGAGTGAAAAACAAGGCTCTGTTCGTTTCGATGCATAGCCACATTTTGGGCCTGATATGTCTTACTGTACCGAAGTGCATCTGATCGCCTAAAATTGGTTCGGCTAGAAGGCTCAATCACGTTCCTGTTGTCTGTACGGACAGCTTATGGTCGGGTAGACATGCTCTCAACCCAGGAAAGTTCAACAATAATTGTTCCTCGAGCTGAATAGGGCTGACTACAATAGATCCTGGTACCGACTTGTCAGTGCTCGAGGGTTCAGCTACTAGGATGCCGTGTTGAATCGATCTCTCTTCCTCTCAGCGCATGATATGACTCTTTAGAACTGCCGCGAGCGACGTGACACCCTTCGATGGTCAGGGGACGATCACAGCTGACATCTAAGCTCTAGCACAGCTCGTAAGAGGTAGAAGCTCACCATGCTCGATCGAGACTGAATGAGACCATTGCATGATGAAGATAAAAGGTTGATTAGATACAGATATGTCAACAGAAATTACACCAACAACGCCTTTCCCATGCAGACATGCAGTTTTTAGCGACATAATCAAGCCAATCAGAACTTGGCGAAGGCAAGCTCAAAGGCAAGACCAAGAGTGAGCTTCGCATGCTGGAGCATGTGATCAAAGTTCAAGTACTCAATCTTGTCCTCAGTGGTATGGATCTTGTTGTCGCTGTACTTGAAGTCACTCTCAATGACGAAGGCACTGGGGTAGCCGGCCTTGCTAGCACTGGCGTGGTCAGAGCATGCATAGCCACACTTGGTTAGGACGTAAGGGATGTCGCAGTATGTGGTGACAACCTTCTTGATGAACTCGGTGAGACCAGGGTCGACAAAGTCGGTGATGACGCCAACGCTCTCGGGCTCGCCTGCATCAAGAGTCTTCTGAACGTAACCAGTCATGTCCTGCTGGAGCATGGCCTTGACATCGCGACCAGCCTTCTCGTATGTTTGGAAGATAGCCTGAGATCCGAGCAGACCGCCCTCTTCGGCACTGTACCAGTGAAACTCAACAGTGTTGTCCTGCTTGCCTTGGACGATGTCCTGGTTGAGCAACAGAACACGGAGTGCCTCGAGAATTGTGACAGTACCAGAACCATCATCATCAGCGCCGGGCGCAGCAAGAAGCGAGGGGAAGAACAGGTTGATGCTGTCCTGATGGGCGCCGATGACGACGGTCTTGTTTGTCTTGCCAGGGAGAGTGGCAATGATAGAGTTCTGGCCCCAAGCGTGTTCAAAGTGCTTGACGCTTGCACCGTGCTTCAAAGCTCCAGCGTGGGCCAGAGTGTCGTTGACCTGGCCCAGCAGCCAGAATGATGACTTGGCGCCATATTCACTCTTGTAGTAGCGTGTGTGGAAGGAGGTGAACGTCTCGAGGTGGTCGTGCATGTTCGACTTGGTCAAGTTGCGGGCGAGACTCTTGACAGTCGTGTTGTGTTCGGTGTGAGCTGGGAACTTGACAGCGGCATTGGTCTTGGGCACAGAACCCAAGTCTGGTGTGTCGGTGATATCGAAGAAAGAGATGCCCTNCCTATCATGTCGTCAGTCCAGTGTTTTCTGATGTAACAGAACAAATCCTACCCTTCTCAGTGCCCACTTCTCAGCATCCGTCACCCACTTGGTCTCGCCAGGAGCAAGCTCGATCAGGTACTGCTCAGGCGACATGAAGCCCTGCACTTGCTGGGCTGCATTCTGGGCAATTCTCGGGACGCTGAATGCCTGTACGGCAAGACCAGATGCGCAAGCGGCAAGGATAGATGAGGTCTTCATGGTCGATGTTGGTGGTTACGGTAAGAGAGACCTCGAAGACGAATGTGACTGCCTATCAATGTGGAGTTGACCGAACAACGCTTGTATCGAATGCGGCAGGTACGCACGTCATCGTCGCAAGTCGCATGTGATCATCTTTTGGAGTTTCGCTTCTCAGCGCACTAACACCTTGAGCTTGGCGTTACGAATGGGATGAAAATGTCAGGATAAGGATTAGAGAAACTGGTGAGGACGCAGTGAGGCAGCAGACGTGTCAGGGAAGTCGCGTACATCAATGATAGGTGATTGCCATCATCATGGCGGCTTATATGTTGTTTAGTCCGACACTTTTCCATAACCCGCCTCGATAGTATAACGGCTAGTACGAAGGTCTCATATCGGTCATCGAAATGACCAAGCATGGCTTGGGTAATCCTTAGATGGGAGTTCGATTCTCCCTCGAGGCATCTCTTTTGCCCTTTCTTTACGCTCATGGCCATCGTTGTTGCCTTGCTGGGTCGCTACTCCTGGACTTTCAGTTTGTTGTTCGCCTTTTGTTTTCGTGACGCTTTACAAGTCGTCAACTTTGCAGCCAAATTCTGATGGGAGTTTTTCCAATTTCGCGGTCGAGTTGCACGTGAATCCGCGTCACCAAATTCGCCTCCATCACGTCTTCCAGAAAGTCGACGAACGAAATAACCAAACACTCATGGATGTTTTACTAGATGGGCTGAATCGCGCTCAAAGGCTCGCAGTGACTTCGCCTTCACTGGCGTTGCAGGTTTTAGCGCCTCCTGGATCTGGAAAAACCAAAACACTTACCGCCCGCGTATCTTATNNCCTCATCGCTGAACGAGGAGTAAAGCCATGGAATATCATTGTTTGCACCTTCACCGTGAAAGCGGCACGGGAGATGAAGGAACGCATCAAAGACCTTGTTGGTGACGGTCTGGAAAAGAAACTCATCCTCGGCACATTCCACTCCGTCGCTCGACGCTTTCTTGTATCATATGGCAACTTGATTGGCATTAAGAAGAATTTCGGTATTGCCGACATGTCGGACAGCAGAGCCATCATTACTCGCATCATCAAACGACAAGGCTTCTCTATTGAACCAGCAAGTGCTGGAGCGAGGATATCCAGTCTCAAAGCCAAGAGTATCAGTGCAGAGCAGTACGGCGTTACTCGCAAAGCCGCTGAGCAGGAGTTCAGTATTGTCTATGCCGAGTACGAAGAAGCCTTGCGAACATCCAATTTGTTGGACTACGACGATCTACTCCTCCGTTGTGCCTTGCTTCTTCGCCAACATCCGGAATGTGTTTCCAACATTGAGGCTGTTCTCATCGACGAATTCCAAGACACGAATAGTGTACAATTCGAACTTATGTGCCTGTTCTCACAATTCAAGAAGAATGTCACCATCGTGGGCGATCCCGATCAGAGTATCTATGGTTGGCGAAACGCTGAGATCAAGAACCTTGAACGAATGGAGAAGCGATTTCCTGGCACGGATGTGATACACCTGGAAGAGAACTACAGATCAGCAGGAGCAATCCTTCAATCAGCTCAGCAAATCATTGAGCAAGATGAGAGCAGACCTGCCAAGGCTCTCAAGCCTACCTTCGGCATTGGAGATCGACCAGTTCTTCGCAAACTCCCTACAGCTGATGCAGAGGCAAAATGGCTTGTTTCAGAAATTAGAAGAACGCAAGCGCTGAGTGCAGAATTGCTCAAGCCCAACGATTTCGCGATTCTGCTCAGATCTGCAGCTGTTTCCAGACATATCGAATCAGCGCTCGGAAACTCTGGTATACCATATCGCATGGTCGGAGGAACCAAATTNTTTGATCGTATCGAGGTCAAGATGGTTTTGGACTACCTCCGTGTCATCAATCAGCCAGATCACAACGACGCACTGCTTCGCATCATCAATGTTCCGACGCGTGGCGTTGGCGATGTTACTGTCAAAAGTCTAATAGACGAGGCTGAGAGGAAAGGCAGTACCCTGTGGACGATAGTCCTGAATATTGTTCAAAGCAAAGCACGATCAGATACGAAACTCTCCGCTCAGGGGTCGAAGGGATTGACTGATTTGGTCAACCTTGTTTTGACTGGTCAGAAGAAGATTACAGGCACAGAGGATCAACAAGCGTCTCCATTCGAATTGGTCGAATACCTCATCAAGAAGCTAGATCTGTCCAAATTCTTGCAGAAAAAGTACCCGGACGATTACGAAACTCGATGGGCCAACGTTGAAGAACTCAAGGCACAAACAGCAGACTTGACATCAGCCATGGCTCAAGGCGAGGCATTTCTCGAGGAGGAAGTTTTGCCTGATATCGAGGGTCTGGAGCAACGACTTATCAATCCGAATGAGGATGCGCTGACCTTGTTTTTGGCAAATATTGCGCTTTCGAGCGAAGCGCAACGCAAAGAAGACGAGAATCCTGACGAGACTCAACAGCACGTCACCATATCGACCATACATGCAGCAAAAGGTCTCGAATGGCCTGTTGTCTTCATCCCCGCTTGTTACGAAGGCTCAATACCACATTCCAGAGCCGACGACATTGACGAAGAACGAAGATTGTTGTATGTCGGCATGACCAGAGCTCAAGCTCTGCTGTACTTGAGCTGTCCCAACAAGAACAGTCAATCTGGAGAAACAACTATGTCTCACTTCCTCACGCAGAGAGGAATAGAAGCTTTCTTCGAGACTCAGGGACCCAAGCTTTACGACGATGCAGTGATTGAGCTGGCAAGAACACTGAGAAGAGACAAGCCTGCTCTGAAGCAACTCATTGACGCGCGTAGCACATACGAAAATCCTGAAGACGCCCATTGGCCCATAGATGGCACTTTCCCTAAGAGCGAGAATACAAGATGGGACCAGGGCCGCGAGATCGAATTCAAAGAAGGGATCTATGCAAACAAGAGACGCAGAACGGACAACGAGCAGCAAAATGGGCCTACAGTGCCGGTAGCTGGATTCATGCCTGCCTCGAAAGTCACTGTGCAGAACCCAGCAGGATTCTCGACGGCATCAATGACAATCTCACCAAAGATCATGACAGCTGCTTCGCGAATGCAAGAGTTGAATGCTGCTCAAGAGGAAGCCAGGCTGCGAGATATCGACGCTCGAAAAGCACCAGTCAAGAAGAACAAAGCAGCCGAAGGGTCTGCCAGCATCATGTCATTCTTTGGCAAACCAAAAGCTGCCAGCACGGCACCACAATCACTGGAATTGACACGTACATCCAGTGTCCCAGAGACGCATGCGCCGTCCAAACTTCCAGCCTCCATGCCTCGTCACGTCTCCAATCCTCTCAACGACATATCAAATCTCTCCTCTTCACGACCGTCGACATACCAACAACAACCCGCCCTAATTCCTCCACCAAAAGCAGCCCAAATATCGAATTTCAAACTCCGCACCACACCTTTGTCAACAAAACCTACATCTACGAAAAGCAGTGACAACGCTTCAACAGCTTCAAAACCGTATACCTTTCTTTCCAGCCCTCCTCCAGTAGACCCACCATCTTCTCCACCAGAAAACACAAATGTGGGGAATGGCAGAGGCGGAGGAGAAAAGCCAGAAGCTTTTAAACCGGCAACAACATTCCATGCTACCAGTGTTGCGCAGGTGGGCAATAGAGTTGGCACCACACGCAGATTGGGCATGGGACGTAGTTTCAAGCCTTGGAGCGCTAGAGGCGGACGAGGTGGTTGAGCTAGAAAGCGTTTGGTGTATGGGTATCATTCCTTGTCTTTTGCTATTGTAGCATTATTTGGCGTTTTTCTGAGTCACTAGAAGCATGACGGTATACGTACAGCATTTTGTTCCTCCCACTCCCACTGGAGGCAGATGGAAGGTGCACTCATTCAAAGGCTCAATATTGGCTGGCATGGTGTCTCACAAAGTACTGCATTTGCTTAAAGGGTTTGTGGTATTCATTCTCCCATCCAACTTTCGGCTTGGAAACTCTTGTATCTCCATCTAAAATGGTCAACGCATCGCTCTATACTGTTTTGTACTGTTGTGGAGGAAGGGAGGGCATCGCAGACTTTTAGCACATGGTACTGGGAGGTCCACATGAGTACAATAACCCAGACGTATCCATCCGAAATCATGAAGCAAAATTTGTCTTGGGCCTCCCGGTGTGTTCAAGATCATCAGGATATCGCTATTATTCTCTTCTCCCTCCAAGAGGAAAGGACATCACTTATGGGCAGGATGCACAGTTGCGTTCTGAGTCTGAATGCCTTCAATAAGGCCCCCTCTACGACTACCACATTCTTTGGAAGTATTGCACATTCCTCCAGATACATCGTGATGGGCTTTAGCATATGGGAAGGTATAGATAAGAGGAAAAAGAAGGTCTTTTGGTAACACTAAAGCGAGCTGTGGGAATCTAGACTGCAGTGAAACCCCTACCACCGAACGGTCAATCTGAAATCGGACCACTTCTCGCAATGACGGCCTTATCTGAAAGTCAGTTGTGAAAGTTCAACCACTGGATGATCAACTCACATAAGCATAGAGTGGTACCGTCGAGTCTTAGAACTGGACGATAGCAGTAAGGGCAGCGTCTGAAGCCGAAGTGATGTGCAATTCTCTGAACTGCCGAAGCTTGGTGTGCTTGATACTGCTGACAAGACATGCCGTAGTGCTACAGAGACTCGCATTGAAAGCAGTGCAAGGCGCCGCATTTGCTGCATCCGACTCGGGGGAAGATCTGAGCTGTATTGCCGTGGTAGATCTGGCCATGATCACACATTGATGGATGTGCTCTGCACCACCGAAAGTGTGGATGTCTCTCCTGAACATGATATTCGTCAATTTCAAAAGTAAACGTGAAAGAGTGCTTGCGCTTACCTCTCTCTTCTTGCACAGGTTGGAAAGGTGTGCATATATCTGATGAGCATCCAACATAGGCTTGATATAATCTAAGCCCCAATCTGTTCCGCAGTAGGGGCATGGGTAGACGTCCCGGACATTGTCCAGCATCAAATCTACCACTGTGATAAGACAACCTCCGCAAGCGAAACCCCATGTCTAACAGCATTTCGGGTAAATTGTGCCCATTTCGGTCTCATAGTCGATCTGCTGCCAACAGATTATACAGTGGTCACCAACTGTGGCGCCTTGCTGTTGCATCTTGAGATATCTTGGAGCGGTATTGATAAGGAGGTAGCTTTATAACCATCAGTCGAAAAGCTCGCAAAAACTTTCCATTCCTGATGCCGACCTTGATAAAAATTGGTCGAAGACGATGCTGGATGTGGATGTTGAGAAGAAGAGGATATGGAAAGTCTGCAAGATTGTTGTGATGACGACTTTGTTTGGTTGAGAGGCAGGTGCGAAGTGGGAAGGTGCTGATGGCAATTGCTGGTACGCAACTTCTATTCCCGTGCTGAATTGCACAATGCTTTTCGAGAATAAGCAGTTTCCACAAGAGGTGGGTAATTACCAGCTCTTGTTGGCGACATCTCCGCTTCCGAACACAATCGTATTTATTTGCAGGATACTTCCTGGAGGAGGAGGTTGAGTGTCAAAGACTTTATGTCATGGGCCGTGTGGCAGAGAGGCATGCTTGCTTTGAGATGGCTTAGAGGATTATAATGGAGGAAGATCGCATATCATTCCCATATCGACTGATGATTGTACCTGCAGGCGAAGCACCGTGTCTTGGGACAGTGATGATTCAAGCTTGGTGTTGTTGACCGACAGCAATTATCATCATAGGGTAGTCACGATTGTGCTTCATGCCTGCTGAAAGTTAACGAGCTGGGTTGAAATCTGAAACTCTTACACATACCGATGGTCTTTCCCCATGGCAAGAATCTGAGCTTTCGCGGCGTGAAAATCGCATGGAGACGAACCGATTGAATGACCAACAGTGTATGCAACATAAAGCGATGTACGAGAGATGTAGTTGGTGATGAAGTGTCGCGCTTAATTGGCTTCATTCGGCATCATCTTTCTCAATCGCAAGCTTAGTCAGAAGTCATAAAACAGTAAGATCGGGGACATGATTTTGAAGGTAGAAAAATATCGTAATTTCTTAGTCGTAGCTATGTCTGTCATCCAATAGCAGGTATAATGCTTAATCATGAAAAGGCTTTTGTCTAAAAAGTCCCAATCGCCAACCCAAAAACGCCGAAAGCTATATCATCAAAGCTTTTAAAGAGCATAGACATCGTCGTGCGCTTAGAAGAAAGCGGAGGTGACGGACTTGACCTTGGCCATAATGCCAGTGGCCTTGACTTCCTCCTCATCATCATCAGCGAACTCGCGCATGTCAGTGGTGACATCCATGTCAGCGACGCTGACCCACAGCTTCCACTCGCGGGTCCAGATCTTCCAACCAGCGTACAGAGTGAAGATAACGGGCCCAGCGAGGTAGGACTCGAAGAAGTTGGCAGCGTCAGGCTTGCCACCGATGGGGAAGAGGGCGACGTAAAACTGAGCAACAAGACAGATGACGTTGAGGAAAAGACCAATGTAACTGCCAATGACACCGTACTTGGCCTTGTAGGGGAGCTGCTCGACAGTGCGACCAGAGTGTGCCCAAGCCTTGCGGAAACGGATGTGGGAAAGGTTGATGCTACCCCAGACGAAGAAGTTGGCAAGACCGGTGAGGGACAAGAGCCAGGTGAAGAGAACGTCGCCGGCAGCTGCCAAGTTGACAAAGGCAAGAAGACCCATGGACATCTGAAGGATGATAGTGGGGATGGGACGACCCTTCTTGTCGACGTAGGCGAGGAACTTGGGAGCCATGCCACGAGCAGCAAGAGCCTGGAGGGTGCGGGTAGAAGCGAATGCGGAGCTGTTGGCGACACTGATGACGGAAACAGTGATCACGGCGTTGAAGATGGAGGGGAGGACCTTGATACCAGCGAGACGGATAGCAATGACGAAGGGAGAGTACTGAGAGTGGGCACCGTGAGCGTGGAGGAGGTTGGGGTTGCTAGCGGGAACAACGAGACCCAGGATGAAGAGGCCGACGATGTAGAAGAAAGCGATACGCCAGAAGACCTGCTTGACAGCCTGAGGGAGAGCCTTTCTGGGGTTGGCGGATTCAGCGGCTGCGAGACCGACCAACTCAGTACCACCGAAGGCGAAAGAGGCAGTGACGAAGACACTGCAGAAGCNCCTGAAGCCATTGCGGAAGGCCTGTCCGTCTTGCCAATAAGATACTCCGATGTAGCCACGAGTGTCGGTGGGAACGCCACCAACATCGATGACAATGCCGAGAATGATGAAACCGATGCATGCCAGGATCTTGATGATGGAGAGGACGAATTCGACCTCACCGTAGGCACGTACGCCTAAAAAGTTAACACCGCCAAGAAGGACAAGGAAGATGGCGATCCAGACACCGATGTTGATGTTAGCTGCTTCTTTCCAGAATTTGATTGTGATGGAAGCAGCGGTCAATTCGAAGGGAAGGATAGTCAACCATTGAATGGCGTACTGCCAACCGATAGCAAAACCCCATGACTCGGAGATGAAGCGGCAAGCATNAGCTAAGTAAATGGTTAACAAGGATGTTCGAAGCATGTTAGACGATATTCAGACTTACGTGAAGAATGCACCGTTGACGGGGTACAGAACAGTCAGCTCTCCCAAAGCTTGCATGGTTGCCATCAACATGATACCAATGATTGAGAAACCAATGATCAACGATGCAGGGCCTCCGGTACTAAGGGCTCCGCCGGCCCCGACGAAAAAACCAGCCCCAATGGCACCACCACTATAGACACCTGGATCAGTACGGGGATCATCCTGGACGTGTTGGGAAGCTTACATAGCAATCATCTGCATGTGTCTGTTCTTGAGCGAGCGCTTGAGTTCATTCTGCTCACCAGACTGAATCTCATACTCGGGAGACTCGCTGATGGTCTGGGACAAGCCCTTCTCGGCATCGAAAGCCTTGTTTGCGTCCATATTGAGGACTTGAAAAGATTGTATAGGGAAAAGAGGGACGAAGGTGTCAAACGAGTGACTGATTGATTGTGATTGTCTGCTGATGGAATGCTGAAAAGACGGCCATGGTATGGGTATTTAATGTGCTGGAGTACCTACTGTCGCGTGTGCTTCTAGAATTCAGTGGCGCGCCTGGAGCCGTTGAAGGTTTTGGGTGAGATGGCGCTAGCTGAAGCATCTAACGCCGCTCGTTTAACCAGACCACTTACCATTTGGCATCTCGGCCGACCCTACCAAGTCTTCAAGTTGGAAGAACAAGCAAACAAAGCCATGTCTTTATACTTGGTAATGCTTGGTTATTAGCATGTGTGAACTCACTCAGAGCGTAGTTCCTCAGCGATGGCAAAGCCTCCAGGAGTGAACTTCTCCAGCCACAGATGAGAGTCTCTGACCACCCACATGCTTTGAGTGCCTTGGTCAGGATACCGATCTCGCACAACGATGAATATAGAATTTGGTACGGTGTTGATGTCTCTCGCGTGCGCGAAAGACAAAGATGGTAAGAAGGGACCAATCATGGGGCCGAGACCTACGCAATGTCCACACGATGACCATATAGGAACCAGTGGGTGAGAACTTCCAAAATATTAGCGCAACGGCGACGTACTTCTCCATGGGGAAATCAGATCTGTGCTCTACACCGAACAAGCCTCGAAGTCCAGATGGCGTTCCGGCGCTGCCAGGCCCGTCTCTAGCCGCAACGAAACAAAGTATTTGCCAGCAGACAGGCTTGAGACTACCAGCCTAACGTCGGCACAAAGCTATACCAAAGTCAGATCATATTGTCAGAGATAGCCTTTCCCATGGGGAATCGCGATAAGGTCTCATAGTCTGACATCTCGGTCGTGCGGACTGTGGAGGGAGGGTGGTGAACCGTCAAAGGGCAGAGCTGAGGAGAAAGAAGCAAGGAGTAGAAGCACCGAGTATTAGGCCGGAGAGCATGCACCATTGAAGCCGATAAGGAACAGTCAATGTTCGCGATAGACACAGTGTGAGCTTCAAAATCATGCCAATCTGCCCTGCCCTTGTCTTGCAGCGTTGTGTCGGGAGCTCTGACAGCTATACAAATCAACTTGTTCCTCAAAGGGTTGCATAGTTTTGCGCCGCTTTGCTTTGCGATTCGCGCCCTCCGCAAGTGCGGGCTTTGACGGTCTACAGTGCGATTCGTTCTAGAAGCACGTGCTCTCTTGCGTCGTGTGACGAGCGCATTGTGTTTGCTAACAACTCCTTCAAGATACACAATCAACACGCCAAGGTGAAAAGAGGAGATGAGAAGAAACGTACAATAATTCGACCGAGCGCTACTCCGGGCTTCTTATCAATAACCATGACTCCAAGCTACAAGTCACAGCACGCTATTTCGATGAGCAGAAGAAATGTGTATCTTTGCAGTATCATAAAATAATTTCATTTCGTGGTGTCGGTATCTCAAGGAGAAAAAAAGACTAGACTTTACCCAAGTCATGATGCCACCCCTCCCAACAAATTCGTTAACAACTAGATTGACCATATCCGACCTTTTAAGAGACGTGCTCGATGCGGTCAGCGTATTCGGAGTTCTGACGCTTCTCGTTATAGGCGTTTTGGTTGAGTGCCTCTGCGGTGTCCACGTCATGGATGACTCTCATGTCACGACCCTTGTACTCNNCAGGGCCGACGAGAGTAAGGATGATAACATAAGCGTACACACAGCCGAGGAAGATACAGATGACCTTTCCGTAGTTGTATCTCTCAACCTTGCCAGCAGGAGGCAGAGGGAACTGCTCGCCGATCTGAGCCTCGATGGTCGAACTTGCGCTGGAAGCAAGGTTACCAAGTTGGTAAGCAGTTCCGACGACGAAGGTTCTGAAAGCACCGGGAGACAATTCCATAAGATGGATGGGGATGACACCCCAAGCACCTTGAACACAGAACTGCTCAAAGAAGGCAGCTGCCATGACAGCCTTGGACGAAGTGAAGGTGTAAGGGTAGAGCAATGCACCACCAACGACGCAAGCCACGATGATAGTAAGACGACGACCGAAAATGGTAGAACAATATCCCATGATTGTGCCACCAGCGATCGCACCAAGGTTAGCAACGACCTGAGTGATGGTAACAGCGTTGGCGTCGAATCTGTATTGGTTCTTCAGCATGGTGGGGTAAAGGTCTTGACTTCCGTGAGACATGAAGTTGAAACCAGCCATCAGCAAAACCATGTAACAAAGGAGGAGCCAATGGCGCTTAAGAGCGATCTTTCCCTCAGCGATGAATGTACCACCAATGCCTGGACTGCCAGACTCGCGCACAGCTTGACGTTCGCGGTATGCCTGTGTCTCAGGAAGGCACAATCTGAACAGAATGAACAAAATAGGAGGGCAGGCACCGAACCAGAAAAGAGGGCGCCATCCGTGGGGAGTGGTGTTGACAAGTCCACGGGCGAAGACCACAGCGAGCAAGTATCCAAAGGCGTAACCTTGCTGCAACATTCCACTGACGAGACCGCGGGCCTCCTGTGGGCAGTCTTCAAGTGCTGTCGCAGCAACGTTTCCGTAAAGACCACCCATGGCGATGCCGAAGAGTGCACGAACGGCAAGGAACTGGTTGTAGGTTTGGCAGAAACCGGTACCGAGTTCAAGGACGATGAAGAGAAGGTTGTTGACAACGAAAGGCCATTTGCGTCCGTAACGATCTGCTGCGATACCGAATGCGATAGAGCCCACGGAACGGAACATCAAGACGAGTGTGATGCCCCATGTGATGTCCTTTGTGTTTTTGCCAAAGGACTTGGCAAGGTCAGATACTGTAAGTGAGACGGTGAAGAAATCGAAGGNCTAGAGTAGAAGCACAGTCAGCAAATGTTCAGTCTGAGGTGCTTGTGGCCTTTGCTCACCATCCCAAGTCCATGCGATGAATGAAACAGTGAAGAAAAGCCATTGTTGTAGATTAAGCATTCGCAGAAGTTTAATTGGGTTCTCCACCTTGGTCATTGGTGGTTTGAGTGAGGAAATGCGAGTGGCGATGTATTTTCCGGCAGACATGTTCTCATCTGTCTCGCCGGTAGCAGGCATGTGCTCCTGGTGAGCTGCCTGAGCGTATTCCTTGTCCATGGTGGCAGAGGTATCTGTCTGATCGACCGTTAGCCAGGCTCGTGCAAGCAGCGTGCTCGCGGGCTTGACAGAGCTTGGTATTACGCCAAGCTCATAACAAGCTCACTGCCCAGACTGAATGCCCAGGAAGTTGCGAACCATACCTAGACAACAGACAATCTTGGAAGAAATCTCGCGCTATGTGTTGTGAGAGCTGGATCAAAGATACCAGAGTCGGACAACAGAAACAGTGCTCGGTCAGAAGAAAACAGGATGGGTCACACCCCTCTTTAAATATCTTTCAAACGACCTCTCCAGGATCTCCGGGAATTAGAGAAAAGGATTGGCTGTGCCATGGGGGAATCGTGCTAGCTACCGCGCTATTGACGAGCCTTTACTATGTTGGGTATAGTGTGCCCTAAAGGCGGCTGAATTATGAGGAGACTCCGCGATTTCTCCATGATGAAGAGCTTCGACCAGTTCCGCTGCGTGGGGTGAACAGTACACGTGAGTAAGTAGGTTCCGAGAATATCCTGGAGAAAATGTTCTCGAACCAACAGTTGACAGGCTGAGAAATTCAAATTCCAGTTCCGAGCTGAGCCATAAGAGTCTCATTTGATGCGCCACGAACGGTATGGCTGTAAGGAAGCACTTTCCTTGGCAATGACTAGCATTTCTTGATGAGCTTGTACGTACCCTTGGCATTGACGCAGCGTCGGAGAACTCGATCTCTATCTGGAAGAGAGCGAAGATACTAGGCTCATACATGCGACTCAAGTAGAGATCAACGAGGATAGTGTATCTGAGTGGTTTCAGTGCATGGAATAGGGACGGCGGTGCCGCGGCTTCGAAACGTCTTGCGTGCTCGAATTCATGCGAAACTTACGAGAGATTCTCGGTGATGAATGCTCGTGCGTTGCGCATGCCAGACTCCAGTGACATTTGCGAGCAGTTTGCTTTTGCTTTGACGAAAACTCGCGAGAACAATCCGGGCACAGAAGATATAAGGTTCCGAGGAGACGGCGCCACGTTGTACTGTAGACAACTGCATGGCATTTAGCGTATGAACGTTCGGTCGAGATTCTCGAAAGCACATGTCAATGGGACGACTCGGAGCATAGACTTGATGAGACTTGTACAGATATAGGCTTCTACCAGCCTCTGGTATCGGGTGCACCTTTGACAGACTTTCTCACGATATCGCTGGTCATCCAGCCTCCATAAAAGTCACCTGGCTGTGGCTCGACCAGTTCTCCGTCGACGTAGCACTCCCACCGTGGGTCGGCATAGAATGACACATAGTCTTTGATGTCGGCAAAGGTTGGGGTTGGCTNCTTGTACGTCCAAGCACGGCTCTCTACTAAATCCCCTTGTGGTGTCTTGAAGGTGAAGTAGTTGGCAACACCTTTCCATTCGCNAAAGGTGCGTCGAGACGTAGGAGTCAGATCCAACTTGATAGAGGCTGGCGGCAAGTAATATGTGGGCGGGTGATAGGTTTCAAGTACCCAATATGCGCGGTCGGTAGAAGCAATGGTTTGTCCATCAGGACCAGGAAATTTGATCAAAATATTCTTCTTGATTTGTTGCAAGGCAGGTGGACGAGGAAAGGTTCGAGGATCCAGCATTGTGAATGTGGGTAGATTGTGTCGTATGTGAGTAAGTACACGAGCAAGAGCGAAGGTTAGTTATATAATCGGTGTATATGGTGAAAGCGATAATGTTGCCGACGGTATAGCAGGTCAAATGGCCGAGAGACGATGACGCGAGATGCATCACGCACGATAGGCTTGGCAGGGTCTGCAACCAATGATGTGGCCTGCTCGATGCTGCTGACCCGTCTGTTGGAACTTGGAAGTCGAAGCAAACACCAGCATTGCGGGGTGTTACAGTAAAAGAATCGAACTTGTCTCGAGCTCAAGTTGACCTTGGTCGTTTGTCTTTGATGCTTCGAACAAGCCGACGATAGTCACAGAGGCGCGGCAATCTTGCGGTCAGCGACAAATCAACAGAGTCGACGAGGGCGCCGTGCCTAAGGCCCTAAGAAGCTCGGGCTATTCTTCTGCTCTGGTCTGCGGTATTATTTCAGTCTTTTGTTTGTCTCGGCCACCTACAGAATACAGCATATTTTGTCCGACTCTCAGTCGCATACGCCCAACACGATGCCGACGCCAAAGTCGCCTTCACACGCATCTTCGACTCCTCGTCCCGTACTCGCCCATGTGCCCGCGAACCCGTCCGGTTTGCGCGTATCGCATACCCTCTCGTCGCCCGAGAACCCTTCGATGATTTTGGGCGCTGCAGACAGGACTCGATCACCAGAGGCCATTCCTGACGCATATATCGCGCCCAATGGCGAGCACTCAGAACCCACCGCTCGCACACGTCTTTTAGAACAGCAGAACTGGGATCAAAGGCCCAAGTTCTTGCAACACTACGGCAGCACCTTCAGCACCGACTCGTACGACCAAAGAGAAGGCTTCGAGAGTGGCACCGTTACTCCTCACAGCCTACTCGATGAAAATGTCACCGATGGTCTCCTCGCTTCTGCTTCTGGTAGTAATATGAGCACAACTCGATGGCTGGCCAAGCAGCATGGTGTCAAGAATGAGCGGACCATGTATGTANNGCACACTCCCTTCCCAATACATCTCTTCTGCCTTCTAAACCTGTTTCCCAGGTATCTCCAATACTATCTTCCTGTGACCAATTGGATCCGCCAGTATCAATGGAAGTTCCTGCGTGGTGATTTGATTGCTGCCTTGACTATGGCTTCTTTTTACATCCCTATGTCTTTGTCCTACGCCTCGAATTTGGCTCATCTACCACCTATCAACGGTCTCTATGCTTTCGTCTTCAATCCCTTCATATATGCCATATTCGGTACCGTACCGCAATTGGTTGTTGGCCCCGAGGCTGCTGGTTCTCTTCTTACTGGTCAAGTTGTGCGTGAGAACATCAGTTCTGGGAAGCACAGAGATAACGACTTTGCAAGCAACACTCAAATCGCTGGCATGGTCACTGGAATTTCTGGAGCCATCATTTTGCTTGCTGGTCTATGCAGACTCGGCTTCCTCGACAGTGTTCTGAGCCGACCTTTTCTTCGAGGCTTCATTAGTGCCATTGGTGTTGTCATTTTTGTTGACCAGCTCTTACCTGAGACCGGCATGACTGCGCTTCTCGAACACGATCCTAGCGGTGCTGCACACGGCAGTTCTCTGACAAAAATTGTCTACCTTATCAGGAATGCCAACAAGGCACACAAATTGACGTGCGCTGTATCGTTTGGTGCCTTTGCGATCGTCATGGTCTTCAGGCAATTGAAGAGAAGCTTGCAACCCCGATATCCCTCAGTGGCCTACTTTCCAGACCGTTTCTTGGTCGTAGTGTTCTCTGCCCTATTCACCTGGAAGTTTTCATGGGACAAACAAGGTCTCGATATCTTGGGTGACCTGAAGACTACAGGCAAGCCTTTCCAGGTACACTTTCCGTTCCAGCCATCAATGATGGAGCATGTCACCGATGCATTCTCCACATCATTCTTGATTGCTCTGCTGGGCTTCTTCGAAAGCAGTGTCGCAGCCAAAAGTCTTGCGAATAATACGACCAAGGTTGAGAAGAAGGTCGACAAGGATGGCAACGAGTACGAGGAGGCAGATGGCATTGTCAACATGAACGTCTCTGCTAACCGCGAGTTGGTCGCATTGGGTGTCGCAAATATCTTTGGAGGCTTGTTTATGGGCATTCCTGCCTTTGGTGGTTATGGAAGAAGTTTGGTGAATAAGAGCACTGGCGGCAAGACGCCGATGAGCAGTGTCTTCTTATCCCTGATCACCGTGTTCTGCATTCTGTTCCTACTGCCATACTTTTACTACATTCCCGTAAGTCCTATTGCCGAACTCGAATTAACGAGACAGCTCAAACTGACACATGTAAACAGNAAAGGAGTACTCGCCGCCATGATCTCGGTGGTAGCTTACTCACTGATCGAAGAAGCACCCCATGACATCCACTTCTTCTGGTCAATCAAGGGCTGGAACGAGATCTTGCTCATGCTCCTGATTTTCCTGACAACCTTTTTCTGGAACCTGCGCATTGGCATCGCCGTCGGTATCGGCCTTTCCCTCCTACGTCTTCTCAAACACGCCACTCGTCCCCGAATTCAGATCCTTGGTCGTGTCCCCGGCTCCCGCAACCATTTCGACAGCGCTGAACACGGTGGTCTAGAATTCATCCCTCACGTTCTTATCGTCAAGATCCCTGAACCTTTAACTTTTGCCAACACAGGAAGTCTCAAAGATCGATTGAGGAGACTAGAGGCTCACGGCACTGGTGCTGCTCATCCTGCTCTACCGCGCGTGCGAAGCCAACAGCAAAATCGCAATGTGGTATTCGATGTTCATGGCGTGACTTCCCTAGACCCGGCCGCTGCTCAAGTGCTCCTCGAGATTGTGAGTGGGTACCGCGAACGTGGGACAAGGGTCTTCTTCTGCAGAGTACCCAGTCGCAGGTCTCAGGTGTGGAGGCTTATGCTTGCGAGTGGCATTGTCGAGGTTTGTGGTGGTGAATCACATTTCCTGAGGGGAGTTGAGCAGGCGCTTGAGATGGCCGATCATGAGGAGAGAGCCGATAGCTTGAGAGAAGATGGTGGGAGTGTCGAAGAGGGCAGAGCAGCAACCACCTGAGTCATGATGTTGTACAAAAGGAAAACACATTTTTAACGATAGATGAGGCATGAAGAAGTTACGGTGCAATACCATTGTTACAGTATAGAAGGAGTGGGCAAGGGTCTGTGCAGCGTGACCTCGTGCTCTCGGATCAGAGGATATAATCCTTGGATATCACAATAATCATCGATGGTCTCTCTTCATGTCCTCCAATCTTGTGCTCATCTTTGCAAGACGTTGTTACAGTCCCCTCGGTCAGGAGTCTGGTCGTATGTATGAGCCCATGGACAGGGTTGTACCATCAACAAGATCTTTCGTGCGTGATGCTTGCACAACTTGTCTAATCTCTCCATTCCATCTTGGTTAATTGAACATAGAGCTCTCAGCGATGGCCTTCACCATCTCGAGCATATTTACAAGCATATATAGGTGTTGACGTTGAGTAATATCCGATTTAAGATTTCACAGGCTCGATATCTGCAAACCTTGCATTCACGAGACCTTTTGAGCTTGGAACAGACCGGGAGACTTGGACGAGTTTTTGCTGTGTTATGTTTTTGACTAAGTAAATATGTGTTTAGCTGTCAGTGTCTTTATACGCAAGTGTTACCTTGAGCTTAGCATTTCGTTGGTGATTTGTGAGATTTTGAAGATAGGTAGCTAGACGGGTTGCCGACGTCGGTGGAAGCTTCGACGTCAATGGTGGGATGGATGCCAAAGCTCTCTCAACATGCACATGCGCCCATGAATTTATTGTCGCTTGCATGGAAACCGTCTTTGATTCACAAAGCTTCCAGTCGTAACTTTCATTCCACCGTCAGGATGCAGGGCGACTACAATGTATGCATCACAGGGTCGCTCCTCCGAAGACAATCAACTGACCAAGCATGACAGGCAGCCGTCGCGGCATTGAACACGCTGCAGAGCAACTTTTCCATCGTCGACGCGATTCGCAAGTCTGGAAGGGGAATGAACAAGAATGCCATCCCCGAGATGATTGAATGGGTCAAGAAGCTCGGCTACGAGGTGTGCGTTCGCCCATGACGACTTCGAGAGCTACCCATGACTGACACTTGTATCTGCAGNCCCGCCGATTTTAACAGATTGAACGCCGTCCACGTCGCCGGAACAAAAGGCAAAGGCTCGACCAGCTCCTTCGTCTCTTCCATCCTCGGCCAGTATGTCGCAGAAGGCAAAATCACCAAGACCGGTCTATACACTTCACCCCACTTGCGATTCGTGCGCGAGCGCATCCAGATCAACAACAAGCCCTTGACTGAAGAGCAATTTGCCAAATACTTCTTCGAGACATGGAACAGACTTGAAGCTGCCGCCAAAGCTGCTGGTCATGCCGACCCGACGAGCAAGGAGACTAAGCCTGTCTACTTCCGCTTTCTGACCTTGATGGCCCTCCATACCTACATCAGCGAAGGTGTCGATGCTGCCGTCATCGAGTGCGGTATTGGAGGCGAGTTCGACAGTACAAACATCCTTGTCAAGCCCAGCGTCACCGCTGTCACAAGTCTGGGCATCGACCATGTTGCCATGCTGGGTGATACGATCGACTCAATCGCCTGGCACAAGGCCGGTGTCTTCAAGGCCGGTGTTCCTGCTTTCTCTGCTCCTCAACCTGAGGAAGCCATTCGAGTCCTGCACGAGCGCGCCGCCGAAAGAAACACCAAACTCGAGGTCGTCAGCACCCATCTTGAATTGGAAAACATTAAACTGGGACTTGCAGCAGACTTCCAAAAGACAAACGCCTCTGTCGCCATCGCTGCCGCTGCTGCATACCTGCGCCGTCTGGGTGTTGAGGATCTGCCCACCCCTACATACCTGCCCAGCGCCTTCCGCAAAGGTCTCGAGGATGTCCACTTAGGCGGTCGTTGCGAAACACGCATAGATACCACCACTCCAAACCTGAAGTGGCACATTGATGGCGGCCACACACTCGAAAGTATTGAGCTAGCTGCTCGCTGGTTCGGCAGCCTCATCTCGTCATCCACAACTTCAAACACTCGCATCTTGGTCTTCAACCAGCAGACGCGCGATGCTTCTTCATTGGCCTCGAAACTACACGAGACTCTTGCGTCTGCATTGGCTGACCAGAAGCCCTTTTCACACGCATTCTTCTGCACGAACACTACGTATGCCGAGTCAGGGTTCCGCCCTGATCTCACGAGCATCAACACCAATGCTTCGGATGTCGAGACACTGAGTGTGCAGAATGCTCTGGCCGAGACCTGGAAGGGTCTAGACAACACCTGCGATGTGCGTGTGCTCAGGACCGTTGAGGATGCCGTCAAGGCTGCTAGAGAAGTTGCCGGTGAGCAAAAGGAAGAGGTCATGGTGCTTGCTACTGGCAGTCTGCATCTGGTCGGTGGTGTGGTGGAAGTCCTTGAAGGTAGTAACGCCTAGAATATTATGACGAGAAATGATAGTTTCAACAACTCTGATCTTCAAGTCAGCTCAATTCGAATCATTGGTACAGTTACAGCAACCAGGTTGCACGTTCAATGCCACGTAAAGGATGATGTTGTGTGAGACGTTCTCAATGCTCTTCGTTTTCATGCATGACTATAATACAATAGAAAGGTCATAGCCTCATAAACATAAGGTATCTTTTTGATATGGAGGAGTCCAAGGGTCCAGCCCTGTCCTTCCTCAAGTCCTCGTGGTCATTCAAAATTCACTCTTGAAGACTCGGTGTTCCTTTGTCGAATGCAGAGGTAGAAGCAGTTTACTTCATGTTGGCGTTGGAGGTGGACTCGGTCGATACGGGAACACCCTTGATGCCCTTCTCGCCGGGCTGGTTGCTGCCGTTGTCGATGCCAACGTTGGTGACACCAGAGTCGGAAGCGACGGGGGCCTCGCCAGGAGCCTTGGATTCAGTGTGACCGGCTGCGTTGGAAGCACCATCGCCGTGCACTGTCGATGTTGTTAGATTTGTGATTCGAAGGTAGAGAGGCAGCTAGATATACATACTCTGAGCTTGCTTCTTGGCTTCCTTGTCGGACATGCCAGCGCCGCCGGGAGTCTTGGAGTGAGGCATTGTTTGAGATGTGTGGGTTGTTTGTTTGTAAAAGGTTGGAATTGAGTTGTGTGTGTGAAAGGAAGAGTGTAAGAACAAAAGTACTTTGATAAATATATGTGACTTCCTTCCATCTGATAGAGCTTAAATGTACCTGATGTCATCACCCATCCATGACGCACAACAATCGATCTGAGATGATAGTCGTGGTTTATTTTCGTGTGCAGATTTCAAAGACAACTCCACCTTTTGATCCTTCAGTGGTTGTCAAAGCTGCGATTGTTGAGCTCGGAGTTGCTTTGATCGTGTTGGTGTGGTTCGATCATGGTGATGATCGGAGGTGATAGTAAAGCTTGGTATGCGACAGCGAGATACGCAGCGCTCGTGATAACCTCTTGACTCGGGCCTTTTGCACATACCCTTAGGCAAATACTTATATCGGGTCTTTATGCGCTTCTTACAAAGCTCAAGACACGAAGATTGACTGCATTGTTTCTGTTATATTCTTAGCTCCCAGTCGCGGTACTCGAACTCAACCTCTACGAAGCTAAGTTGAGCTCTCATAGTACTCCTAATCACATGCTGCCTAACCGTAGATGCGTGATTGTACCTACATGAAACTGACATGCAAGTTTAGAATGCGACACCCATCACGCGCTCCATGTATACCATTTGTTGTGTGCAAAGTGTGGTGAACGTTGTTGAGCCTCCACCACCGATCTCCCGAGATCAACGGGGCAGATTTCTCACGCAACATGTGCCAAGCGTTCCAAAGGAGGAAGGGATTGACACTGACTCAAGTTCCACGCCCATCAGAAATGCTGCGCGATCGAGTTCGAGGGTTGCTTTGTTTCGCGATGGAAGCCGTCTACATACATGGTGGCTATCAAGTTGCCGTTGTTGGAGCTGCCGAACAACAGTTCCAAGGTGGTCATCAAAAGCTGATCAATCCTCTTATCAAAGACTTCGAGACTTGAAAAGGTCTGGCCAAAACGGTTGCACAGGCTAGATCTACGTCATTCAAATAGCGACGGCTCCGTTCAGGGAAGAGCGCAGACGGCTTTTCGCTCTTCGAAAGGAGGCGTCAACACCAGTATCGACATGGAAGAGAGCGTTGCTCTGCCATCAGAATGGTAGACCCGTCAAGATCCCAGGCTTCATCCTTTCGATCGACGAGCCCTCACCGTGGGCTCATGTCGCCTAATTCCACATCCTCGCAATCTTGCTCCGGATCGCTCTTCTCAAGCCTGACCGACATCAATTCTCTGCTCGAGTTTCTGAGCGACGATGACCGACCTACCTTCTTGATCGAGGTCCTTTCTTCGAATGTTGCTGTTCCTCACATCCCCCGTGTCGTATTCCAGAATGCCGCTTTCACCTCGTTCCTCGAGCGAACCGTCACCAGAGACTCGTATGATGACTGGCTCCGATCGCTGTCCACAAACGTAGCCATACCTAGTAATCGACCCGTGAAATCTTTCGGAGGAAGAGCTTGGTCAAGCAAACGATTTCGCAATGCCTGGCGCGTTGTCTATTGCAGTCAATGGGAGGATGATAGAAGGCTCGACAGCGTCGCCGAAGCACGTACAGAACCACACAACCCTAGCCAGGAAGACACAGATATGACAGGCTCAGAGCATAATGACCAACACTCTCCATGGTCAGATGCACAGGAGAAGACCATCGACTGGACTCGATTCCCTTCAAAAGTACGTCATTCCACATGGATTGACTTTATCAAAACATATCCTTTCGAAAAGACCTTCCTTGGACCCATGTCGCGATGGTCGGACGACTTACGAAGATTGGCAGTGCAGATCATGTCCTCCCCCGCTCCCAGGATGGTTTACTGGGGACCAGAGCAGGCCATTCTCTACAATCAGGCAGCTGCATCTTTGCTCGGGTCAAAACATCCTAATTTCGCTCTGGGAAACCGTTTCATTGATGTCTGGGGTCCTGAGATACATGAGAAGCACATGAAAATGATTAGAGCGGCTCTGGATCGAGGCCAAGTGGCCGAAGCNAAAGAGATGGAGGCCATTCTGGAACGTAACGGCTTCATCGAAGAGACATATTGGGATGTGGTCTTGCAGCCCTGCAGCGGTCCCGATGGTCAGATGGTTGCCGTCTTGAACACATACCAGGAATGCACCTCTTCTGTTTTCCAAAACCAACGGCGTACAATGATCGACAAGGTTCAAGCCATCATACCTACAGTTGACAACTTCCCCGACCTCTGGACATCAGTAGCGAAGGAGTTTCGAAACAATCTCCATGACGCGGCATACTCATTAATTTACACCGCAGTCAACCAACCTACCGAGTCAGGTTACGCCCATGCTATTGATCGAGTGGATACTTTCCAGCTAGAACTACAGATAACATCAGGAGTCGCGGCCCAAACTTTTGAATCTCTCGTCCACGCTGGCGAGCGATTCCACAGACCTTCCTTAGGACCTGTCTTTGCGGAAGCTCGTAAGACCCAACAAGTTGTTGTACTACAACAGGACAGTCTTCCTCCGGAGCTAGCTCTACTGATCCCAGATCGCGGATTTGTGACTACGGCTTGTGTTTTGCCCATCGCAAGTGTATCTGGCCAGCAGATTGCGTTCGTTGTTCTTGGCATGAACCCGCGAAGACTTTTTACCGATGAGTCTCGTCTTTTCCTCAGCCATATGAACGATTTAATATCCAAGGCCGCTGCTTTGATTTCTCTTCCCGAGGAGCAAAGACGAGATCAGGAGAAGTTCGAACAAATCAACTTTGCCCTCTCCCAGCAGCTGCAAATCATCGCCTTGAAAGCCGAGAAGAACGAGGAGACGTTTACTCGTATGGCACAAAACGCGCCCTTTGGAATGTACGTTCTGCTCAATCTACCGAGAAGTTATAACCTGGACTGATTTGAATGCATAGGNTACATGTTTGATCGCGACGGCAATCCTAAATATGTCAACAACGCATACCTTCGACTGATTGGTCTCGATCGTGATACCTTTGAGCAAGCAGCATCCCGCGGACTGGCATGGAGAGACACCATTTATGAAGAAGACATCGACCTGGCTACAAACATATGGACCCGAATGAGGGACTCTAAGACACCACAGACATTTGAGTATCGAGTCAAGATACCGCAACCTGGTGAGAAACCTGGCATCAGAACACTTGAGACGATTTCCTTTCCGGAAATAGATGAAAGTGGCCGTATTNNAATCACCGTGCAAGGTTGGCTTATGGACATCTCTCCTCGCAAACGTTTGGAATCTCTTATGGCCCAACGCCTGGAGGATGCTTTGGAGACCAGAAGAGCATCAGAAAATTTCATCGATATGGGTATGCTGACCGAATTTGTGCTTACTGTTCGTGCTGACAAAAACTANGTATCGCATGAGATGCGCAATCCGTTGTCAGCCATACTACAGCTTGCGGATGGTATCCTTGGCTCGCTCGATATCGACCCAGCAAAGGATCCTGTTTCTTTGCCAGCTGACACAATCAATATGATGGTTGATGCAGCTCAGACTATTGTGAGTCCAATCGAGGTATAGATCGGTTGTTCCTCGAGACTGACTTTTGGCTGCAGNACTCTATGTGCTCAACATCAGAAATGCATTGTAAGTCGAGTGTGAAAAGGCGATGTGTCTTTTGTTGGTCATTCCCTTCCACCAAATTCTCATACGTGTCACAGNGTTGACGACATCTTAACCCTGTCCAAGCTGGATTCTTCGCTGCTTGTCATAACTCCAGATAAGGTCCACCCACCTACGTTGATCGAGAAGTCTCTCAAGATGTACGACGCTGAACTTGCGAGGGCGGACATCGAAGCCAAACTGGTCGTTGAACAGAGCTACCACGACGCCCGCTTGAACTACGTGATGCTAGATCCTAGCAGAGTATTGCAGGTCATCATCAACCTCTTGACCAACGGAATCAAGTTCACCAGAGATTGTCCAAAACGACAGATCTCGGTGTACTTGTCGGCGTTTGAGAAGCCGCCGGTTGGAGGTCAACGCAGTGTTACCTTTATCGAGCCTCGACCGCGACAATCGAGTCTCTCTACTTCGCCAGAGTGGGGTCCTGGNGGAGAAGTCTACATCCAATTTGCGGTGCAGGACACCGGAAAGGGATTGACAGAAGATGAACTGAAGCTGCTTTGGCAGAGATTCAGCCAAGCTAACCCCAAGACTTACAAGCAATATGGTGGCAGTGGTCTTGGCTTGTTCATCTCTCGTGAACTGACCGAATTGCAAGGGGGTCAAATCGGTGTCCACAGCGAAGCAGGTGTGGGAAGCATCTTTATGTTTTACATCAAAGCCAGACGTTGTGTCGAGGAGCCTAAGAGTCGACAAACGAGCTTCTCTGCTCCTACTGCCTCCAGTCCGGTCCTACTTCCGCACACGGCGTCTGAGGCAAGGAGAGCCAATGTTAGTGAAGGTTCTGTGCATACGCTGTCATCATTCACCTCGACCATTCCTCCCGAGGAGATTCATATTTTGATTGTTGAGGACAACAAGATCAACCAGCGCGTAAGTTGTTGCCATGTCGACTGTTCATATCTTTTGCTAACCCTGGCACAGGTAATGTCACAACAACTGCGCAAGCTCGGATGTGTCGTTCACACCGCCGATCAAGGCCAAGATTGTCTCGACTTCCTCCAAACGACAGTCTTTACTTCCAACTCGAAAAACATACCACTCTCCATCATACTCATGGATCTTGAAGTATGTCCTTCCACTGCCGCGCCTGTGATTTTAAGTCTTGATACTAACGACTCCACANNGATGCCAGTAATGGATGGTCTAACCTGCGTGCGTAAGATTCGAGAGTACGAAGCTACAGGCCAAGTCATCAATCATGTTCCCGTCATCGCCATTACTGCCAATGCAAGGAGCGAGCAGATCAATATCGCTATGGAGGCTGGTATGGACACTGTCGTGACCAAACCGTTCAGGATCCCAGACCTGGTGCCTAGGATGCAGTCGCTGTTGTCTGAGTATCCAACCAAGTGAAGCTTTTCTTCAAGCTATGCCTAGCTTTTTGTCCGAACCGCCCGGCCAAGCAAACTCTCTCCAGACTATACCTGCGCCAACTACGAGATGACATGGCAGCTTGCTGGCCTGGAACTTGATCCCAAACCCATTTTTTGGTTGCCGAGACCTTTGTCTCTCGCAGCGCAAGCTGCACGAAATGGTCAGCGCAGGGTGGCGCTCAGGACGTGCCCGCGGTCTATACAGAGAGTGCTGCCAGAGACCCACGCTTTCCCAAGCGAAAAACGAGACTCTTCGATGAGAAGCTCAATAATGAAACCGAGAAATTGGATACCAATAGACGGGTTATGGGACTAGCTAGCATTGGCTTGTTGGGCTTTATGGCCCACATAATGATACCAAAGTTCCAAAGAGTATGATCTTTTAATCAGATCCAAATGCATCCGTCCGCTCGAACGCTACAACACGAACCCGCAGCCTGTGCGTAGTGAGGTTTGCAGAAAGTACACCAAATCAAAGTATATAACAAAGAAAAGTATTAATATTGTCAGCTGAAGGATAATATATACAAGCGGGATTCTAGCCAATCCTAAAAGGCGGTTCGGAGGATTGTTGGGGGTATCATGAAAGGCACAAACGAGAAGGGAGGGTTCTTTAAACCCAAGGTGTTGACTGTGCAGAACCAAGGCCGGCGGAAATGCAAGAGCCGGCCAGGAAGAAAAACCAAAGGCTTGAGTGTATGTCAAGCTTTGATGGGTATGTGCAAAGACCAGTAGATCTTGTGGTCGCAACGACTATCGCAGAAATGAAAACGGAGGAGAAAATAGAACAAATGAAAAGGAACTGGTCCACGAAGAGAACGGTGTTCAAGGGTGACTGATCACTCGCGTTGCATACCAGCGAACGCGACAAGACCGTCACAGAGCTCTTGCCATGGAGTCTTGGAGTTTGGTTCGTCATCTTCGGACGAGTAGTCGAATTTCTCGCCACATGCGGTGCACAGGTGCTCCTTTTCGCAGCAGGGCGATTGGCTTGAGGAAGATTGAGCTTGGCTGACAGCTACTTCTTCCCTCGCTATCGTCTTCAACCTCATTCGNNAGACCTCGTGCTCGGTTTTGACAATCTCAATTGGCTCTGTCTGTTGCGACTTGATCTCGGACTTTGTGAAAGAGGGTTCGCTATCGGTCTGAGTGCCCCGAGTGACGTGAGCCACCACCTCGGTTTGGTCGATGTGCTCCTCGGAAGGCGCTTCTTCGGTTTGAGTAGATTGCTCGGAGTAGACAGTCTTGACGATAGGCGAGGCAGGGATATCAAAGTGTGACTCGATCAAAGCTCCTTCCTCAGTCTGAGCCTCAGCCTCATCAACGCGCTTGAGTGTGATAGACTTGACTCTTCCATGCTGATGCTTGCGAGTTTCGAGTTGCCAGTTGCCCTGGTCTTCGGGATCAACAGGTGTCTCAGTCTCCAGAGTGGGGAAGTCTTTGATGTCAGCAGATGTGACACGGTTCTTCTGTCTTCTTGAGCGTAGACGAGCATCAACGCTGTCCCAATCAGCCTTCCACTGAGCAAAGTCTTCGGCGAGCAGGACATGGTTGTTGTGATCGTAATTCTCTTTCTGCACCTCAAGGGCTTGCAGCTGCAACTTCAAGAACAAGAGTTCTGAGTGGTCAAAGCCCAAGTCCTGCTTCAAGCTATCGTTCTCAGACTTGATAGTCATGAGCTGAGTGGTCAATTCTTCAATCTGTACCGACTGAGTATCGCAGACTTCCTTGCTCTGGTCATAACGCTGGCGCAGAGATTCATTCGCTTTGGCAAGACGCTCGACTACTTCTTGCAGATCAGCAACAAGACGGTCATCGGTGGTCTGGGTAGAGATATCGGCATAGTTGTTGATCCACACAGAAGACTCGGCCATATCCTTCGAGGCTTCTTCCTCAGTTTGTGTGGCCGAAGTAGCATAGGCAAGTTGATCGGCGGTCTGAGTGAAGCCATCGGCGTATTCACAGGCATCAGCCATCCAGACCTCAGACATTCGAGATTTGTTCGAATGCTCAGGGGACGAAATACGCTCGCGAGCTTCATGACCTTGAGAGTGATCCTCAGTGTAAAGTCGTCCTGGAAAAGAGTTGCGACGGTCCCTCTCTTCGATTGAGGAGCCAGCGTCACTGAAACCGCCGTCGTTGACCATTGCTTCAAGAGTACACAGTTTCTCGTTGAATTCGGAGAGCGAGTCGTCCTGGAGTCCAAGACGTAGGATGTCACCACCAAGATTGTTCAGGCGCAGCAACAGCTTTTGAGCAGGGTCGGAAGGATGATAGGGGGCATTGTGGTCGACGGATTTGGAGTCGTCAGTGAAGTAGTCGGAGAAAGGGGAGCCTTGGAATCTGAGATTGTTGAAGTTGTTACTGGCGAGATGAGGGGAGCGTAGAGGAGTGGCAGGGTTGTTGCGCGGCTTGATGGTGTCGTTCGGGGAGTAGGAATAGTCCTTTGGCGAGTCGCGAGCGAAATTGAGACGCGCTAGGGGTGAAGGAACGCCAGAAGCTTCGGTATGCGAAGAGCGGGTCGAGAGTGAAGATTGATTGCGGGCATGTTGGCCGCCTGTGCTGGTACGAGGAGTGGGTTTTGGTCTGGCGTGCTCACTCTTGTGGTAACGCGTCGAGGGGCCAGGGACGTGCCATGATTTTGTGCGCGTGGCTCCTGGAGTGCCTAGAGGAGTCGTGGCAGCAGAAGACGAGCCCTGTGATGTCTGGCTAGACACCGACGACGAGAAGTTCGTCGACATGGCCATTGGCGAAGAATGTGGTGGATTTATCAAGGTTGTCGCGTTATCGAAAGAACGGTTGGAAGCTTTGCGATACTCCATGTTTTTGAAATGAGCGAATTGCGGGTGGCTGGGAGGTCCTTGGTAAGCACGCTCCTGCCTCCTCTGCCGTTCTATGTCCGTTTCACAATGATAAAATCGTGCACAAGATGCTGGTGAGAAGTGAAAATTAGTCGAAGTCAACCGAGAGAAGCTATATCAGTATTTGTAAAATCAGATGTGTTTGAAAGCGCAAACAAAGCTGCAGACAGCTGGTCGGGCAGGTCAACGGCTGGAAAGCATAAACAGAGGGCCGGGTTACCTGCGAGGGGCCAGAGGTGCTGCGGGAGGAAAAGCTTGGCTCGGCTCATGCTTCGCTCTTGCCGGATGCGCCTTGCATATCTGAATAATTATTGACGATTGACTCAACTTTATCCTCGATCGACCCTTCCTACACCCGTTGTCACTGTGTCACTCTCCTTCCTTCCTGGTATAGCATCCAATCAGACATATCATTAGACATGGTACGCACACTGAGCAAATCTCCCCACCAACTTCAGAGTCTACAGCTGCTGATTCATGTCAATAGGCAGGTGTACAGCCAACTCTCCCCGAAGTGCGCCAATTACTTCAAGAAGCAATCAAGCTGCCCAACCCTCCAAACCTCGTCCCGCTATGCGCCTCAATCTCTTCCGAATTCTTGACTCCCTCATCGATATACTTGAAGGTGTCGGCCAAGTCAGTCACACCCTCTGCCGCCCAATCATGACAATAGCTCATTGAGTCTCTTCACAGTGCCAAATCGAAACACTCGTTCCTCTTCGAGAGCGCTGCCACCACAGAGACCATCGGCCGCTATAGTTTTGTCGGTGCCGATCCGCGACACATGCTCAAGACCGGAGAAGGTCACGGCCCCGAAACAGACCCTTTGCCCATCCTGGACCAGGAGCTGTCAAAATGCCGCGTCGCAGACATTCCAACCCTCAAACTGCCTCCCATGACTGGTGGTGCTGTCGGTTATGTTGGCTATGACTGCGTCAAGTACTTCGAGCCCAAAACCCGCCGTCCTATGAAGGATATCCTCAAGGTCCCCGAATCGCTATTCATGCTGTACGACACCATCGTTGTTCTGGATCACTTCTTCCAAAAGGTCATGGTCGTCACATATGTCAAGGTCCCCGAGAGTCTCGACAACCTGGATGCTGCCTACGACGAGGCGAGGCAAACAGTCAACCGCATGCTGCAAGTCCTGAANAAGACCGAAGCTGTTCTGCCGACACAAGACCCCGTCAAGTTGGGCAACGAATACACTTCCAACATTGGTCAGGAAGGTTACGAGAAGCACGTTCACAAACTCAAGGAGCACATCAGCTCTGGAGACATCATTCAAGCCGTTCCCTCGCAGCGCATGGCCCGCCCCACCTCTCTACACCCCTTCAACATCTACCGCCATCTTCGCACAGTCAACCCCTCGCCATACCTCTTNTTCCTCGACTGCGAAGACTTCCACATCGTCGGTGCCTCGCCAGAGCTCCTTGTTAAGGCCGAGAACGGTCGCATCTACACTCACCCCATCGCCGGCACTGTCAAGCGTGGTCCTACAGCCGAACAAGACGAGCAGCTTGCTCAAACATTGCGTGACTCACTCAAGGATCGTGCCGAGCACGTTATGCTGGTCGACTTGGCCCGTAATGATGTCAACCGCATTTGCGACCCTTTGAGCACACGTGTCGATAAACTCATGGTTGTGCAAAAGTTTTCCCACGTTCAGCATCTGGTATCAGAAGTCAGTGGTGTCTTGCGTCCCGACAAGACGAGATTCGATGCTTTCCGCAGTATCTTCCCTGCCGGTACTGTATCTGGTGCACCAAAGGTCAAAGCTATGGAGCTCATCGCAGAGTGCGAAGGCGAGAAACGTGGTGTTTACGCTGGTGCTGTTGGTTACTTTGGCTACAGCAGTGTAAACCTCACTACCGGCCAAGAAACCGAGGGTGCCATGGATACTTGCATTGCTCTACGAACAATGCTCATCAAGGACGGTGTGGCCTATCTGCAAGCTGGCGGTGGTATTGTTTTCGACTCTGACCCATACGACGAGTACATTGAGACCATCAACAAGCTCAAGGCCAACACGACATGTATCGAACAGGCCGAGAAGAAGCACTACGACGAGCAACAAGAAGATGTTGAGATATCCGGCTCGCTAGAGAAGCCCCACGTTGATCTGGCCGCCGGATAGATTTTTGGATATATCTTCAAAAAGTAACCAACTCAAATTTCAGATGAAAATTATGATACCCAAGGCTATGGCGCATCGCAGGTGTTACTGAATTTCAGACAACTAGGTCATGTCCACCACGTCTATAAGCACAACAATTTTGGAGTGCCAGCATCAATATCTCATTACCCCATCTTCATCAAACTCGTCTTTCATCTCGGTAAGCACGGCAGCTGGTCCGATGTTCGCGATACCATAACTGTTTTTCATCGCATTCTCCACAACCATTCTGATCTCAAACCATCTTGGCCTTCCTCCCTGTTGCTCGAGGTCTATCCAATCACTAATCATCTGCTTTGCTCCATCAAGTCCGATACCAGACACATTAGTCTCTGTTGCACCATCTTTATTGTTTGCCAAGTTCTCAACCAGGAACATAGTTTCCCGGTCATCCATATCTCGAGCATTCTTGATGAACCTCAACAGAAGCTCATCGCTTCTNNCCTACCTGTGAGTTTGGCTACGTTCAGCAAAAGAAGTCCTTCGTCCAGATTTCGCGTACGAGAACGAACCTTTGTTCCAAGCCAGACGAACCTCTGCTTCTTGGATAGCATCCACGTTTTCCCGCGCACAGAACAAGATTGTGTTGTGTTGAGCTGTACGTGCATCGATTACGCCAAAAGCATCATCTGCAAGCCAGTCCATGTAAACATTGTTGTCGTGGCCGAGACCATTTTCTCCACATCTGTTCGAAACAAAGTCTTGCAGCGCTTGAATGTTGCAATCTAAGAAACCGCTGTGAAATGGTTTGGTGGGAGCAACACTGGGTTTTGCAACAGTCTGTTGGTCGGGATGTTGGATTAGGCTCCACCTGTTTTCGAAGTCTTCGTCTTCTTCCTGTTCCAAGGCGGCACTTCTGAGCACTGAGTCGATNNGATCTCGAGGACTTAGTGTTTGATGAGAACAGTATGATAGAACTGATCGAAATACCTCTGTTGGCACGTCTGCGGTTACGAGTAGTGGCAACCACCTAGCTTCGCTCATAATGCGATCAGCCCTCAAGTCAAGATTTGTCTAGAGCAAGAGTAGCCAGGTAGCAGAAGCACATCAACAAAAAGGTGCCGTGATTGCATTCAAAGGACAATTGGGTGACTCTCCTTTAGGCGTTAAATCCAGCCACGCTTCCGGTGGCCTTATCCCCAAAACATATTTGGAACACCCCAAAACATTGACAGACACACTCAAAAATGGAAGTATGGGATTGGGACAAAAGGAGCAAAACGTACAGCAGCAGGGGTTCCCACGTGGTCACCCACCGTAGTACTAATCTGCCGTTCAACTACTTATGTATGGCAGAGCGGACGGGATGCCCAGTGTTCAGCTGACTGTGGCCGTACGTGAAAGACGTGCTGTCTTTGTTCAATATATATGAAGGTTAACAATCAGTCCATTGGCTGCCGGTCGCTCATAAAAATCTGAAGATTGGGCGATTACTGCTTCTCGGGTTCTTAGTAGCTTAAACGTGGTTTTGTTATGTGCAATTTTAATCTCTCTCATTCTCGTTGACCTTAGTGGAGCATTCAAAGATGAACTATGAGAATGTGTCATACCTTTTCACATCGATCAAATTGTTTGACTTCCAAGAGTAATGTATTTCCTTGGAACAGTTGCAAGGAGACTCTCCTGCATTCAAAAGGTTACACTAGTCATCACAAAGGTTGATGGTTCGATTTGCGTGAAAAAATGGGCTTTTGGCCCTGTTTGAAAGTATATACAGTAAATGCTCTCAAGTATCTCTAAATCTTGTTCCCATCTATTTTTGATCGTTGTTCTGTTTTCCTTCTGAACATGTATGCTTCTATTCTCGCTTGATATCGCTGATTGAAATAACAATTCTCTTTTCTTTCTCTTATCTCTCTGTCTGTCACTGCTTAGCAGTAAGAGGCGTTGGTCTGCTTGGTGATGACACCCTGGTTGATGAGGTCAATGTAAGACCAGTAGTCTCTCTGGGTACCCTCGCCGTCGACGGCTGCGGTGGAGTAGGAAACGGCGGTCCAGAATGATCCACCGGCAACATACTTCGACCAGGCGTAACGCTGAGTGTCGAAGAGAGTCTTGCGAGTAGTGACGTTCAGAGTGTTGTTGTACATAGCTTGCAATGAGTATTCGCCAATGAAGACAGGGAACTTGGTCTCTTCGGCAATGTACTGGGCTTGACCGCAAACAGCAGGGTTGACGTAATTGGCGTAGGTACCAGCAGCGGCGAAGTAGTAGACGTGCGAGTCGAAGACGATGTTGGTGCTAGCATCGTAGAAAGGTGCCCAGTAGGAAGCTCCCTTAAAGCAGTCCTGGAGCTGGAGAGGAATACGCTTGTCAACAGCAGCGATCTTGTTGAGGACACCGTTGACGTAGGTGTTGATCCAGTTAGTAGCATTGTTAGAGAGACCAGCGGCGCTACCGAAACCAGCAAGATTGTCGGAAGCCTCGTTAATAGGAGCGATGGTGAAGGCGTTCTGGTAGCCAGAGTTCTTGATGAAGTTGAGGACACCGTCAACAGCCTGGAAGCTGTAGTCGAGGTTGGTGGCGTTGTAGAACCAGCCATCGTGGAAGAGAGCATCGCCGATATCGAGGTTGTTAACACCACCGGGAAGGGAGTGGAGTCCAATAATGATGTGCATGTTGTACTTCAAGACAGCATAGTCGGTGATGGCCTTGAGCCACTTCTGCTGGTTACCAGAGTACAACTGGGATCCAGGGACCTTAACCCAAGCGGCGTAGGTTGTGGGGATACGAAGAAGATTGACACCAACGCTGGCAAGCTGATCGATGGTGGTTGTGTTCAAGAAGCTTTGATAGCGAGCCTCGAGAATGGGACCACACTGAGACCCAAGAGTCTGACACAGCGTCCACTCATCAGGAGCGTTGTCACCACCGACTGAAGACCACCAGATGGGATCGTGGGTTCTCTCCTTCTCGAGCCAACCGCCAAGGTTAGCACCATTGCTCTTGAAGGTTCTCCAGTTGATGTAATCACCGCCGTTGACACCCAGAGGCCAGGTGATGTCGTGGCTGAAAAGGTCGGTAGAAAGACTGACCGAAGTGTTGATACTGAAAGGGCACTGGTCGTGGAATGGAACGGTGGGACCGTGAATGTTGGCGTTGGTCTGCAAGGTGATACCAAGAGAGCTGAGGAGCGAGTTCAGGTCATTGGTGAGAAGGCCGAAGATACTGCTCAAAAGGCCAGGAGTAGGAGCAGCAGTGGCAGAGCTAGCCAAGATAGTAGCAGCAATAGCAGCTGAGGTACGCATTGTTGCGAGTTTGATGAGAGAGTGAGAATAGAAACGAAGGCAGAAGCTGAAGAAGCTGATGAGATGTGATGAGGAATCCTGTGTTTAGGGGAGATATCTACGACTACTTATACTATTTGATACCTGGTCGAGGCCTACTGAAATTTGTATAGACATCTCAAGCTCGATGACAGACAAGCATCTGTCGCTCGTTCCGCTCCCGCTGGGCCGCCGCTGAATCGACTACAAGCCTGTGCCATGCGGTAAGCAAACGGCGATGACGAGAGCGGTCCAGGTACCGTCCATGATAGCGTCCGTGGAAGCACAATCGACTCATGTTGAAAGGTTGGAGTGCTTCGATTTCTCGCCAAAAGTCTGGGTTGACAGTTGGGGCAAAAGTTTAACCAGGCTGCTGAACCGCACAGATCAGGCTGCTTAAGCTTCGCAGCCCTACTTGGCCTCTTAATCTTTCCTAGCACTCATCGCAGACCGTCTGACTTCTCTGCCCCAACTTCAAATATCCCATTTCGGACACAGGCTGTGTAATTTTCCCATAATCGCGACTGCCCGTTCGCGGATGACGCTCAGCGGTTTCGACTGCCCCATGTACGCTCGGCTCTTGCCCTCAAGTCCCGAGTCGACCGTTGCGCGTCACAAATTCTGCTCGCTGCCCTACAAGCTCTCCCAATGCGGAATGGTCTACATCTGAAAGTCTTCCAGAAACTCGCCATCGATCATGGAAACATTCGTCCGGCAACATGTCTGCATCACATCGAGCATAACTCCTATCTTCAGTGCCAATCTCGGTAAGTGTCGTTGTCGATTGATTCTAGGTAACCTGCATGTCACTTTGCGCTTCACTTCAAAGCGAATCATCGATGATAGCACATCCATCTCCATATGGCCGATGTCACTCTTCCCTTGCCAGGAGAGTACTATCAGAACTGTCCCGCACCCGCCCGATACATAGCTCATGTATGGCATGCGAAGCCGACAGCATCTTTGCCTCTTTGTTACTCAGCCGGATGCACCGATCACCAGCCGCCCAGCACATCACGACTGGATGCCTTCACCCCTATTGAGCCCATGACTTTGTTGCGCAAGCAGTCGTTCCGAGAAGAGTCTCTGACAACCAATGGCATTGCAACGTTTAAGACCTGCGAGCTCGTGACCTGACACAACCCATTCATCTCCATTGTCGAATTCGAAAGTCCCACAACTGATGACAATTCATGCGCGCTATAATGTTTCTCATGGCCGATCATGTTAGCAAAGGACCCACGTACAGCAAGAGTCTCGATCACTCATCAAGGATCAACCTCCGACGATGACAGTAGAGGGTCGGAGTACCGCTCATATTTGCTTATGCAGGCAGGCATTGCTTACCCGAATTGCTTAGACCGCTCATCACCATTGTTATACTCTCGACCAAACCATTTGCACAGCAAGCCTTGCGTATTCATTAAGGATCAATACAGGGGAAACAAACGGCACATACCCAACAACACAGTATTTCGCTTATGCTCTACACCAAATCCCGAGAAGGTTTGGATGGCCTCATCATAGTCTTGCCACGTGGAACCAACGGCGAGAAAACAACGTGCAGACGGTTGCTGCGACTGCTATCAACTCTTGCACCCAAGCAGTTGTTATCGATAACTTGTCGAGCAATCCTCCAATTGACACTTTTGCGTGCTCATCAAGTGGGTCCTGCTCATGCAAAATGCTTCGGCATCAGATACATGTTCTAGATGTCCTGATCTTCACAGAGAAAGCAAAAGCTAAGTGCTAAGTGCTCAGAGCTCCGACTAGCGGCGACTCGTAATTACACAACTTCCTCTAGGCATCATCCGAGGAAAAACATGGGCCGAAGTATTGATCTGGCACTGCTACATCATTCGGATCCGGTTTGCGACTCTCATAAACTTTGCATTGCTTGTCTGAAGCGGTTTCAGTCTTGCATATCTGAACATCATTAACTACACGCTGCCATGGCGTGCAAAATCCATCGTCATGCTACTACTAGCAATGGGCAAATCCAGATCACGAGTGACAATTACGATAGGATACTTCGGTTGACTTCTGGTATGGGGAGGCTCATCGTGAGCATGATCTGCCGCTTTATCAGAAGGAATAGCTTCCCGCCAGATCCCTACGTCTTTCACGATTCGAGTAGATCTACTGAAGGGATGTTGCACTAAGTCAACCACAAAATGCTCGCACAACAAACTTTTCAGCATCCCTTGGTATCCTGCTCTCGATCGATTGGTCTGACAGGCCAAGCAGTCTTTGGATCTTTGCCACCACGCACTCCTTCTTCTGAGGATGCATGGTGGATCTGAACTCTGCCACGCATCACAGGGGCTGTTTGGGTAGTTTGCTTGCAGGAGACATGATCTCCTCTCATCTCAAACACACATGGAATATTATCAAGTCACTGCAGAAATGCCATAGAAGTACCAGAAGCCCGTCATGTATGAGCTCTGGTTAGTATCCGCCTGGGTGAGCTTCTTGGCCTCCGTAATTCTGTCCTCAACGCTGTGGAAGAGTCTCTCGGTCCACTTGCCAGTGGGACATTATCTTTGTGTGCTTCATTCTTTAAGACTTGCAGCTGCCGGCACGAACACTGAAGAGTCTTCCAAACACGCTCTCCATTTTCATCTAACCGCGACCGTGAACTGAACAATCTTCGTCTCGCTTCTCGCGATGCCGTTCCTCGCGAACCCTCACTTCGTTCCCACGTTCCTTCGACCCCTCGTAATGATCACTCCTCGTCTTCCCACGTCCACGAACGATCTCCTATCGGGTCTCAATGTGCAAACTCCCAAGTCGCGTTCCCGTTCCTACGACCTTTCCCGTTCGCCCCCTCGTTCCTTGCGTCCTCGTTCACCTTTTCCTTCGCCCGTTCATGTTCCTGGTCCTGCTGAGTCCGACAACACAACCATCAACTTCGATAATTAGCTCATCAAGACGGGACCCAAGCTCAAGCCCGATCTCGGCCACGCTGACGAAGAGTTCAAGATCGAGTACATCCTCTCGCGCACTACAGCTGGCCCCTTCAACCGCCTCAAGGCTCGCGTTCTCGTCCCACCATGTCTAGTCTAGACGTTTTGCTCCTGTTTCGGCGTGTTGATGTGATTACACATCTGAGTACACAGCCTGAACATGATCGCTGGCCGTAGACGCTTGCCTACCTCGGAGTCGTGGAAAACTTTGAACGCTACACGCTTCAACATGGCATCCATGTCGGCTGCAGACATTCGAGTGAAGTTCTGAGCACAAGTGACGGCAGGAGCTTTACGTTCGCAATGCTCAGCTAGCGCATATAGCTGCTCAGCTAAAGGTAGAGTGGCATCCACCACTTGTAAAATTTCGTCTCCTAACAGCCCAAACAGACCGCTGTTGACAGCTCGTCCAGGGTCGAGGTGTATAACGACCACCCTTACAACTACCTTCCATTCTGGCAGTAGCTTTAATGCTACTAAGTCTTCCTGCTTGCCTGTGACCAAGGGTATGTTCTCAAACCACTGAGATATAGGTTCGTCAAAGGGCTCCTCCTCCCCATATCACTGGTCATTTCGCTTAGCATGAAAGATGCTGATCCGTTTAGACGCTTCGCTTCCTGGGCCAAAGAAGTCAAAGGGTGACCAGCTATCCTAGGGCCAAAGTCTATGTCATAGAAAACGGTCCAGTTCAGATGTACAGTGTCACGGGAAGGATCTTGCCAGAAACCCTCGTCTATAACGTTGTCAGTGCTCCAATCAGCTTCATACGGTCCATTAACACTCCACGCGTCGCGGCGCCAATGGAGGGATGAGACCCATTTTCCTGTAGCAAAGGCGACTCTGCGCGACTCACGGCAGATTCGCGTAAGTAATGGCGGGCGAATATTGCTTTGACTGGTTTTCCAGAGCCAACAGGGAGTATTGTCGTCGTCATCTTCGTCGACCTCATAGACAAATCTTGCGATAGGTCTGTCCATTTCGTACACCCGATGCGGCAGGCAGAGGCGCCATATCTCTTCGCGAAGTTCAAGGGGTAGGCGCGGGAAGGGGTGGAAATTACCGTCCATCATCCTTGTGTTGTTGAAAGTAGCGTTGGAGTTGAAGCTCAGGAGGATATGCGCAGGCAACAGAAGAGTGTGTATGAGTGTGAAAGAAAGTTGCTAGCTTGTTGGTAGACGAGTGGGATATAGTCCTGCGTAAGATTAGGTCTTGGCACTTTCGAAATGAAGTCTGGACGGCGAGGTGAAGTTAGCGGTACGGGACGCGGCGGCGACATCGTGGTGCTAGTAACATGACTACAATAGAAAAAGGCTATAGAAGACAACATCAGATATCCTCTTGCTGTTTTCCATCAACTCACCCTACCAACATCTCTCCACACCTAAAGTTCATCAAATCTTAATGGGACTGAGGTTCTTGCGTGGCCAGCGAACTCCAAAAGCTTGAAACAAGCTGCTGCAGTCATTGGCAATGTGTACAGGAGGTCTGCTACTTCACCGGATCCGCGGGTTTGAAGCGCTGGTCTCCTCAGATACAGACACTGACATCATGTGACGTGGCTACAGCAGACTTGCTCGATGCTGCTCAGAGACACGCTGTAACCCTCTCCATACCCAGGTTGGCCCTTTGATGACTCGTCGGTGTGAAGAAATGTGGTTGATAGATTGAGTTGATGGAAAACAGCGCGAGGTTCGGCGTGGTCGAGGAATCATTGTAACCGATGGACTTGTAGAGACCAGAAGCTGGCGGTGACAGTCGAGTCGTACGTTCGCTTGGTCGCTTTGTAGAAGAGAGATGGAGATATGAAAGAGGCATGTTGAGATGATTGTAGCGATGCACAAGTGAATGTCCAAGCAAGCTGCTATTTCAACAATGATCAAATTCTGGAAACGAGAAAGAGGAAGAGATGATGCAGTTGACCGAGCCTTCTTCAAGGCGTTGAGTAAACAAAGGATTTTGGTTGCTGGTTGGCGTTAGGGAAGGAAGTACTCAGTTGAAGACGCGCTGTCCTTCCGTGTAATTGGGGTATAACAACAATCGCTCTCTCCTAATCAGTCAACCCTTCATTGGACCATCGCACCTTCTCACCAATCTGCTCGTCGTTGAAGCAGCTGGCTTGTCTGGTAATTAATCTTTAGACTTGTATTGTTGATGATGAAATCGTTTAGCCGCGGTGCGCGGCTCGGCTGCTTTTAGCCTGAGCGCGCGGTCGCGCTTTCCTCTGCAATACATGGTGAAATCGGACACGGCATTCATACTGGAAAAGATGTGGTTAATGATGGCAATTGTGTTGTGTGGTTTCGGGATTGAGATTGGAAGAAAGCAGGTTGGGCTGGGGAAGTCGTGGTTGACACTCTTGTAGCCGGACCATTCAGCGGACTTGGTCCTCACAGCTTCAGTCACAGTTCTATCACATTACTTGTATTAGCCATGATAAGAATAATATCTTTTGGTTCTCATTGCGTTTCGTCATCTTGGGTAATTACAAAATTCAAACAAAATCCACGTGCTGACCATCATTTGATTATATGCTTTCGAAAATGATGTCTCAAAGCCGGCTCTTCTCTTTATCTTTGGCGTCACTGTCATGCATTCAGTTGATACCGGCCTTCTTCTTGAAGGCGTTGATGAGGCCAGATGTGCTGGCATCGTGGCCGGAAACGTCGCCTGCAGTCTCAAGCTCGGACTGGATCTTCTTGGCCAAAGACTTGCCGAGCTCGACACCCCACTGGTCGAAGGAGTTGATGTTCCAGATGGCACCCTCGGTGAAGGTCATGTGCTCGTAGTAGGCGATCAGAGCACCCAGAGTGGCAGGGGTGATCTTCTGAGCCAGGATGGAGGTGGTGGGGCGGTTGCCCAAGAAGGTCTTGTGAGGCACAAGCTCGTCTGCGGCACCCTCTGCGCGAACTTCCTCAGGGGTCTTGCCAATCATGAGAGCCTCAGCCTGGGCGAAGTAGTTGGAGGCAAGCATCTTTTGGTGCTTGTTGTCCTCGATGGGGTTGTGCGACTCGGCGGCCAAGATGAAGTCAGTGGGGATGAGCTTGGTGCCCTGGTGGAGAAGCTGGTAGAAGGAGTGCTGGGCGTTGGTGGCGGGCTCGCCGAAAAGGATGGCACCGGTGGTGTACTTGACGTAGTCGCCGCTGCGGGTGATGGCCTTGCCGTTAGACTCCATGGAAAGCTGCTGGAGGTAAGCAGGGAAACGGTGCAAGTATTGGTCGAAGGGAGAAACAAGGTGAGTCTGAGCGCCGAAGAAGTCAGAGTACCAGACGCTCAGAAGACCACCGAGAACGGGAATGTTCTGCTCGAGGGGAGTCTCCTTGAAGTGCTTGTCCATGGCGTGACCACCAGCAAGGAAGTCGTGGAAGTTGTCGTAACCAATGTACAAGCAGACGGAGAGACCAATGGCGCTCCAGACGGAGTAACGGCCACCGACCCAGTCAGCGAAACCGAACATGTTCTTCTTGTCGATACCGAACTTGGTGACCTCAGCCTCGTTGGTCGAGAGAGCAACGAAGTGCTTGGCAATTGCGGACTCATCCCTTGCGTGTCCGAGGAACCACTTCTTTGCGGTGTTGGCGTTAGTGGTGGTCTCAGCGGTGGTGAAGGTCTTGGAAGCGACCAGGAAGAGAGTAGTCTCGGGGTTAGAGTCGCGGAGAGCCTCGGCCATGTGAGTACCGTCAATGTTGGAGACGAAGTGGAGCTTCATGTCGCGCTTGCCGTAAGGCTTGAGGGCCTCGGAGACCATGACAGGGCCACTATATAAGAGTCAGCACCACGACTTGACAAATCCTAGGGGCATAAGAGATACTCACAGATCAGAACCACCAATACCGATGTTGACAATGGTGTCAATGGTCTTGCCAGTGTAACCAACCCACTTGCCGCTGCGGACCTCCTCGGAGAACTCCTTCATGTGCTCAAGAACAGAGTTGACCTCCTCGACGACGCTCTTGCCATCGACCTGCATGGGCCAGTTCTCGGTGTTGCGGAGGGCGACGTGGTAGACGGCGCGCTTCTCGGTGAAGTTGATCTTCTCACCCTTGAACATGTCATCACGGAGCTCCTCGACCTTTGCCTCGCGAGCGAGCTGGCACAGAAGCTGGAGGGTCTCATCGGTGATGAAGTTCTTTGAGAAATCGAAGATAGTCTCGGACTTGTCAACCTCGTTGGTGAAGGTGCGCGAGAACTTCTCGAAGCGCTTAGGGTCCTCGGCAAAGGCATCCTTAAGGACAATGGAACGACCAAGCTCTTGGTGGTGCTTCATAAGCGACTTCCATGCCGACAGATCGCTTGCTTGGGCGAAACCAGGCATCTTGATGTTTGTTGGGAAAAGTTGGGGTGGGGTGATGCGTGTACTACACGTGGGAGCAGCGAGGTCAGTCAGAAGGTCGGAAAGAAGTGTAGTGTCAGAGATGACAGAGGTACATACGAGAGTGGAGTGATAGGTTGAGAGGGGGGAAAAGTGTATGAGAGCGAAAAAGGATAAGTGATGGTCAAGTCACAATTTGAAGACGTGATGGGGACACGAGCTGGCCCAAGGCCGACGAGCTCCGGGTGAATACAGCTTATGACGAACTCAGGCGGGGCATCTCTCACTCTCAGGCGGGTCGTGCACAAGCCGCCAGCACCAACCAGCCGATGAAGCTGCTTCTCCGGCAGGCCTGATTGATAACAACCCGACCTGCTGTCACATTTCCTGCTGTGAAACTTGTTACGCATAGACGACTCCTCGTGTGTGAGACTGTTATTTCTGATACTGTTGTTACGCGAGGAAACCCATATCGTCCAGTCCAAAAGTCTACCTAGCCAGGTTGCTGTCATTCTTTGTTGCAGTCCTGCTGCGTCGAGCAAATGTACACGACCAGCCCGGCCCTTCTATTGTAAATCCCATCAGTTAGTCATGAAGGATGGATCCTTGATACTGCCTCCTGCATCGCCCAAGCCCTCGACTGGCCGGTTGTATGACCATCCTGCGAATTGTTGTTGCATCGTCGACGAGAGCATTGGTCCCTCGACGTACGAATCTGTAGGTGCTTCTGATGTGAACTCGCGATCAAAGTTGGCAGTATCTCTGTCATCGAGNNCTAGCGTCATGTCAGCATTTTTCTTGCTCGTCACATAGCAGTCACAGATACTCACCACGTTAGGCTTGAAGCTAGGCTCGTACTTGCGGTCCAAGAGCTTTCTCCAGTCAATGCTGTGGAAGAATGGATGTGCCTTGATTTCTGCTGCGCCGTTGACACCCAATCTCTTTGTCGGGTCTCTGTCGAGCAGCTTCTGCAACAGGTCTCGTGCGGCAGGGGGCACAATCTCGGGGCCAGGNNGGAAGTGTAGAGGCTCTGCCAGAATCTTACGGTACATGTCGTTGGTGTTTTCGTCGTAGAACGGCGGCAGTCCAGTCAGCATCTCGTAGAGGAGAACACCCAATGTCCACCAGTCAACCGTCTTGGTGTAGCCGGTTCCGTGCAGCAGCTCGGGTGCGAGATACTCGGGCGTACCACAGANATGCTACAATCTTGGTTAGTATGGAGCCACTCAAACCAGCGTCTAGAAACACATACTGTTTGTCTTGTCCTCATCCTTCATGTCGAGTTTGCAAAGACCGAAATCGCACAAAGCAATGTGGCCAGTGTAGTCGAGCAAGATGTTCTCGGGCTTCAAGTCTCTGTAAATAACGTTGAAACCGTGTAGACACTCAAGCGCACACAAGAGTTCGGCAGCGTAGAAGCGAGATCGGTTGATGTCAAAGCGCTGCTCTTTTTGGAGGTGGTGGAAAAGCTCGCCACCGTTGACGAAGGCCAGCACGATGTAGAGCTTCTCTGGAGATTGGAAGGAGAACTTCATGGGAACAATGAAAGGGTTGTTGATCTGAGCCAGTACCGAACGCTCGGCAAGGGTGTGGGCAACTTCGGAGCGTGAGATGATGTGAGCTTTTCTGATCGTCTTCAGAGCGTAGATTCGGCGGGTATCGCGCTTNNTCTATAGTGGGTGTTAGTTCGAGTTCGCGACAGGGCGAGATTGGGCAAATACGTACTGCACTTGCATGACCTTGCCGAAACTGCCTTTGCCAACAACCTTGAGCAGTTCGAAGTCCTCAATCTTGAGCGATCTTTGTCTGTTCTCGACGAATTTGACACCACATCTGATTGATCCGGTTCCGTACTGGAGGTCGACCCACTCGGTGCCAGATTGACCTTGAGTCTTTGCCTTCTCTGCGTGGGCGAAAGCGGCCTTTTCCCTGTCTTTTCTGCCCAGCTTGGGATCTTCTTCATAGGGGTGAACTTCTTCAAAGCGAGGGTTGATTCTGCACGTTCCCAGGAAGATGTCGTCGTTTCTACCGGCATTGGGGGGAGCGTTGGGGTTTCTGATGTAGATGGATAGATTTAGTTCGCAAGCACGAGAGACATCGAACTTGTATTGTGTGTTCTCGCCGGCCCAGACGGGCTTCTCTGGTGTACCTGAAACAGAGTTGACAAAGACTTGTTGCTTGTCGAAGTCGACGAGGGCGTAAGGGAGGTACTTGGACGAGTAACGGCCGTGGACCGAGGGAGCGGCGTTGATGCCTCCCTGTGATGATTGGGGGCGTCCGGGAGCATACGAACCATAGGCCGAGTTGCTGACGGAACCGGGGCGTGCACCAGCTACAGAAAAGCCACTACCACTGGAAAGAGAAGCGCCGTGGCGAGGTTGGAAGATCTGTTCAGCGCCGGCAGGCAGAGAGAAGCCACGGCCTTCGTGGAAGGTGAGGATCAGGATACCAGGCTTGAGAGGTGGGGCTGGAGGCGAGGATTGGGCTTCGGACGCGGCNNTGTGCAGTGTCAGCGGCAATCTCGCAGAAGAGACAGGGAGTTTCATACCGATGCCATTGGGGTCGTTGACGGCGGTGGATGAGGCTAGAGGGCTGTTTGGCGGCTTTGGTGCAGGGTCGGGAGTGATTGTCGAGGTGGAAGACGAACGGCTGAAAGTGTTGGCCAAGGGCGCCAGATGCGTCTCCTTGAGTTCTGGGGCGGTCAGCGATGCTCGTCGTCAGAGGCAGACAGTAGCAAGGGTGGTAACGCACTCTTTGTGAGCTTCCACGACATGGCGAGAGGACAAGCAGGAGTAGTGCGAGGTCGAAGTGCTTGTCGAGTCTTGACAGTAGAGAATAGAGTTGGTTGCTGCCAGTCGATAAGGCTGAAGTACAGAGTGGGGATAACGGGCCGCTCGAAAAGGAGAGGAAACGAGATCTAAGACCAAGGCCAAAAGCCCCGACCAACAACTCAAGGCGTGCAAAGGAGATTGTGCTTGACCGGAAGGTTTCCTTACAGAATCTTTCGAAAGCCGACCTTTTCCTCAGTGAATGATATGGAGTTATGGGATTGTTTTGATGCGTGTTGTTAAGTTTAGAAGCAATAGACAGTGGCTTGGCATTTATGGAGATGGCGTCGGCGTTGACGGGCTCGTAAGCCGTATACCGACTGCACCTCCCTCGCTCGCGCGTCGCAACTAGAAACAATCAACAACACTCGTACTATTCCATCGCCATACTCTTCATCCGTTCCACTGTATCATCGCCTAACTTACGCGACCATATTGACACCACTTTGTCCTGGCCTCAATCACTTCCGACGCGCACGACTCCCCACCACATCTCGGGCTCGCGCCCGCCCATGACCCACCATGGGCCTCATCAAGAAGAAGACGGCCGTCAGAACCACCGAGGGCGGCATTAAATACATCTGCGACATCTGTTCTGCCGACATCACCGCCACTGTATGTTACTTGCTATACCTCCCTGTCCTCTTGCATGGTCTGTGCACCGTATACTGACAGGGCTGCCTANNGGTACGCATCAGATGCGCCGACGACGAATGCTCGAACTACGACCTGTGTGTCCCCTGTTTCGGTGAGGGAAAATCTTCCGGCAAGCACGACCCAGCCACACATTCTTTCCAAGTCATAGAACAACATTCAATCCCTATATATGTCGAAGACTGGGGTGCCGACGAGGAGCTGCTGTTGCTGGAGGGCGCTGAGACATATGGTCTGGGATCTTGGGCCGACATTGCAGATCACATTGGAGGCTATCGAACCAAGGACGAAGTGCGCGAACACTACATCGAGACATACATAAACAGCTCCAAATTCCCTCTACCAGAACGCGCCAGTCCCAAGGATACCACTCTTTCCGACTCCATCCCCAGAGATGAATTCCAGGCTCGCAAGAAACGGAGGATAGAGGAGCGAAAAGAGGCCGCCAAGAACCAAGCTATCATCGACTCCAAACAGAAGCCCACTTCCAGTGTACCTTCGTGTCACGAGGTCCAAGGTTTCATGCCTGGTCGTCTTGAGTTTGAGACAGAATACTTCAATGAAGCTGAAGAAGCAGTACAACACATGCAATTCGAGCCTGGTGATGGCATAAACCCCGCTACTGGTGAACTCGAACCCGAGATGGATCTCAAGATTACCGTCATGGACATCTACAACCACCGTCTTACTGCTCGTGTGGAAAGGAAGAAGGTCCTCTTTGAACACAACTTGCTCGAGTACCGCAAGAACACTGCAGTCGACAAGAAGAGGACAAAAGACGAGCGCGATTTGAGCAACAAGATGAAGCCGTTCGCACGCATGATGAACCATACCGACTTTGAAGCCTTCACGACAGGGATCGAATACGAACACAGCATACGACAGGCTATCAAGCAACTACAAGACTGGCGCCGCATGCAGATCAGCGATTTGAAATCTGGAGAAAAGTACGAGGCTGAGAAGGCTGCACGACAGGCTCGAGCTGCGGCAACAGCAGACCGCTTTTCTTTACCTGGTAGACTTCATAAGCCTAGCGCTCAAGAGCCACCTTCGGCAGCGTCAGCCTTGATCGGACCAGAGCTGCCGCCAAAACCAAACACTACTGGGCTACAAACCCCGCCAGAATCAACGTCACCAAATGCTAGCAATACCAACCCTCCGCCAAGGTTCCCGCTACAGGCAATAACAGGTGTATCCAAGATGGATTTGTATGGCAACAACAGCCAAGATGCGCATCTTCTGACCGAGAACGAGCAAGAAATATGCAGGGTGGTGCGTGTTCAGCCAAAGGCGTACTTGGTCATGAAGGATGCCGTGCTCAAGGAGGCGCTTCGATCGAATGGTTGTCTGAAGCGTAAGAATGTCAAGGAGATCTGTAGAATTGACACGACCAAGGCGGGAAAACTATTCGACTTCTTCGTCTGGTCTGGATGGATTGGAAAGGATAAGGGTGAGAGAATCTGAGGGAAGGCATGCTATTATTTCAAAATACCCACCATCAACAACGATTTACGATATTGCTGTACAGTAGAAACCCTACGAATAGACAGATGATCGGCCCCAGAGGCATTATACTACTCTGAAGCCATCTTCGACTCGTACTTGATAAACGAAGGCTTAATACCTTATATACAAAGGGCTGGCCGAACGAAAGCCGAGGTGCCCGCATTTCGGCGACGCGGCAGTCAAGAGCGGCGGCGGCGTCATTGGCCTGTGATTGCGACTGGCCCTGCCTGCTGTCTTTAGTACTTCCAAGTTCTAATCCGTCAATTCAGAATACCTCCTGGACGTCTCGATATCTCTTGTCTAACGACAGCTCTGTGTGGACAGGAGACAACACCATCTCGCATCAACCTTCATCACGACGCAGCCTGGAAACCATCACCTCGACCCCCGCTATCGGTAGAGCACCATGAGTGGGCAAGTGTGCGCCAACGGCCTGAGAGGGCTGGCTAGAGTTGCTCGCAGCACCAGACAGCACCCTTGTCGTTCATGGATTGCGGAAGCACAGAACGTCAACCGAGTCAAGTTCCAAGCGCAATCGCAACGATGCATGGGATCTTGGAGCGACCGCCGGGTTAGAGGCCAATGGGGAGCACACCAGATCAAGAAACGAAGCTATGCAACTTCGAACTCGACCGTCTCCATGGCCGACTATAGAAAGAGTAGGTGAAACGAGGGAACCCTGGATACACCCGACTTCAGTCAGTAACAGCCCTCGTCTTTAAGGNNTGAATATGGCCCTGTGGCCGAATACGATCGCCGAGTTAAATCTGGTGTCCTTAAAGACGACCCGCATCAACGTAGTAAGTTCTCCTGAAGCTTGTCATCAAAAGAGATGCAGCTAGGCTAATTCATTCAAGCTATCATCGAATCGCTACAAGATCTGCATGACATGCTGGCAAACTACAATCCGCCCGCCGTTCAGGAGCCATCGATAGCATCTCTGCAGCCCAAGAAGAAAGGCTTTCTCTCGGCAATTTTCGGTGGCGGTCAGAAGACACAATCCGGTTCGGAAATGCCCAATGACTTGCCTAAAGGCTTGTACATGTACGGCGACGTTGGCAGCGGCAAGACCATGATGATGGACCTTTTCTACGACACATTACCTGAGAGCATTCAGAGGGCTACGCGCATCCACTTCCACAACTTCATGCAAGAGGTACACCGAGATCTGCACAAGGTCAAGATGCAACACGGCCAGGATATCGATGCCATTCCTTTCGTGGCCGCTCATATCGCCAAGCGCAGCAGCGTGCTCTGCTTTGACGAGTTCCAGTGCACCGATGTGGCAGATGCCATGATTCTACGAAGACTGGTCGAATCTCTAATGCGGCACGGCACCGTTATTGTGACTACCAGTAATCGCCATCCCACGGAGCTCTACAAGAACGGCGTGCAGCGCGAGTCTTTTATCCCCTGTATCAACCTTCTCCAGCGTCAATTGCGTGTTTTGAATCTCGATTCGCCCACCGACTACCGCAAGGTACCTCGCCCTGCGTCTGGCGTATACCATCACCCGCTAAACAAGGCTGCGAGTACACACATCACTCATTGGTTCAAATACCTGGGCGACTTCGAGAATGACCCGCCACACACAGCCGAACATTATGTTTGGGGACGCCCTATCCAGGTGCCTCAGGCGAGTGGAAAGGCCGCACACTTTGATTTTGACGAATTAATTGGTCGTGCCACTGGCGCTGCTGACTACATCGAGCTGATGCGCAATTACGATGCTTTCATCGTGAGCAATGTGCCGCAGATGGATCACCGCAGTCGCGACCGAGCCCGCCGCTTCATCACGTTCATTGATGCTGTTTACGAATCACATGCCAAACTTGTTCTCACCACTGCTGTACCGTTGACCGAGCTGTTCCTCTCTCGCGAAGAAGTCGACGCAGCGATGAAACAAGCGGCAGCCAAGGGTGATAACACTGCACAGACCGCACTGAACGAAGGATCAGATGTCGACGACGTGATGCGCCAGATGATGGATGATCTCGGCATGAACATGAACATGCTCAAGAAGAGCAACTTCTTCTCTGGCGATGAGGAAGCTTTCGCGTTTGCCCGTGCACTATCACGTCTATCTGAGATGGGCTCGCAGATGTGGGTGGAACGTGGCATGGGTCTCGAGAGTAAGGGAGGCAAGAAAGAAAAGGATGACTTTGCCAAAGTCAGGAGCAGATGGAAGGAGGATAGCATGTAATGCCTGTCAGACTATGCGTCTGTTGGCCATGGAAATTGATCCTCTGATGACAAGCTCGGAGAAGCATAACAGTGTGAATCTCGGAGCATATACATCCATTTACATATCCACATTGCAATCTGCATCCATCTTTTCAGATTAAGCAACTTAGTCTGACAAGTTAGACAAAGTGCGAATGTAAAACTCATGACGGAGTTTGCATATGAAATCATAATACTGAAGACATGCCCTCCGAGAATTCTTGCTTGCATTATCTTGCTCGAGCAAAGCAACAAACGTGCTTTTGGGTGACTGGCCTCAGATATGTGTCATGTTGAGATCAAGTCCACAGCGTGGATCATTCTCTTCCTATTATAATAATGATGCCTGAGCATCGTTCATCAACGGCCATAAAGGAAGAAGAAAAGAGAAGGAAAATCCTCTCACAGCTTTGGAAAAAACACACCGCGACGCAGTTCGGCCAAAGCGGTGTGCCAAAACTCGTGACTGCACTCAAGCCAAGACATATGGCCCTGACGGCTCTCGCGAGGAAATTCTCGTATATAAACGTCGCATTCCCTGCCACCCTCTCTTTCTTAATTCGTGCGGCGTCCGGGTATTATACAGTTTCCCCTGTTGCTGGTCTTTCAAACTTCACTGTTATTTTACGTGAGAGGCTGGCGTCAACCCGTGGACACAGATCAAAAATATTGCATACCTGGTCCTATCAGCCACTTCCGACGGAGCCTACTATTAAATTGGCTCTGTTGGTGTGCTGATGGCTGGACATCTCTTCAAACTTGTAAATCTGTGATTTTGTGAATCAGAGCTGGCAGTTCTGTTGCTTCGCAGTGATGTGCAGGACGCTTTTGGAATGTTCTACTTCTGAGCGCCTAGCTGCCAGACGAGAGTCCAGATATCAGATTTGCGTCTGGCGGGGAGGCTTTTGACGCAGGAACTTGAGTCTGCAAGAAGCGCAACCCACTTCAGACCATCTTGGTCCATCCATTGCTACGAGATACTCAACTTCTGCGGACTCTATTGTATCTTATGCAAATCTTCCCTGTCCACTCGATTCTTAGCTTGTAAAACACGGTTCCATCTAGCTGATCAGTTTTTTCTTGTAACAATTTTTTCTCGATCAATAAAAGTTTCCATCAACCATTGATATCAATATTCTTTTCCTTTAGCACATAAACACAGAACATGCCCGGACTAAAGGTCGTCGCCTTAATATCTGGAGGAAAAGACTCCTTCTTCTCTATCCTCCACTGCCGTGCAAACGGACACGAGGTCGTCGCTCTCGCAAATCTGCATCCAGCCATCCAGAATGGCGAGCGCTCCGAGGACATTGACAGCTACATGTATCAGACCATAGGTCACAGCATTATCCCGCTCTACGAACAAGCACTAGGTCTTCCACTCTACAGACAGGAAATATTGGGCGGAGTTGTGGATAGTAACAAGAGCTATGCTTCTCCCGCAACCACCCAACAGAGCCAGCAAGACGAGACGGAAAGTCTGGTGCCTTTGTTGCGTAAAGTCATGGCTGCGCACCCCGAGGTCAATGCTGTGAGCACTGGAGCCATTCTTTCGGACTACCAGCGCACTAGAGTGGAATCGGTGGCTATCAGGTTGGGCCTGGTGCCTTTGTCTTATCTATGGCAGTATCCTTTCTTGCCGCCGTATACGGAGACTTCGCTGTTGGATGATATGGCTGCTGCTGGACAGGATGCGCGTATCATTAAAGTCGCCTCCGGAGGACTTGACGATGGCTTCTTGTGGGAGAATGTAGCAAACTACCGCACAAAGACTAGGCTTGTGCGGGCGATGGAGAGGTTCGGCATTATTGGGGATGGTGCTGCGCTTGGTGAAGGAGGAGAGTTCGAGACCCTCGCGATCGATGGCCCATGGCCACTGTGGAAGAATTCAATTCAGACTGAGGATGATGATAGGATGGTCGTGGCTGGGGAAGCGGGAGCTGCATCTGTGAAGATCAGGACTGCACGATTGGTGCCTAAAGAGCCGTCCTCAGATTTCTCATATGAGCAACTGCGGAAACCAACAACACTGGACGACAAGTTTACAGCTTTGAACTCGCGATTGGACGAGATAGTCGAAGAGATTTCAACGACATCCGATAAAGCAGCAGAGACAACAGAAGCTCTCGACCAGACTTCAGGATGGACGACTCAAACTACAGACACTTGCACGATCATCTCAAACGCAATGGCAGAAGGAAACTCAGCAGGAGAGCAGATGACCAATATCATGACCCGCTTGGTAAACGACTACAAGGTCAACCCCTCCTCGATTGCCTTCACCACCATTCTGTTACGAAGCATGTCCGAGTTTGGTGCAGTAAATCTGGCATATGGATCTCAGTTCATCACACCGAACCCACCAGCCAGAGTCACCATCGCTTGTGGCAGCACACTCCCGACTGACACTCACGTCTCTCTATCAGTTGTAATTCTGCACGACGACATAGTAGCACAGAAGCAAGGTCTCCACGTGCAATCTCGCTCATACTGGGCTCCAGCGAACATCGGCCCCTACTCTCAAGCCATCGTGACACCATCTCCTACCTCCTCCTTACCCCAGCTCATCCACATCGCTGGACAAATCCCTCTCGACCCACCTACCATGGAGTTCCCAGCACAAGGAGATCTAACCCCAGAAGCACACTTTGCAACCCAAGCCATTCTCGCACTCCAACATCTGTGGCGCATCGCTCAAATCATGCAAGCTTCACATTTCCTCGGCGCTGTTGCGTTTATCGCTGCAAACTCGACTACATCCACACAAAGCCGAGTGTCCGCCGCACTGCAGAGTTGTAAACTGGCCCATCAACCACCTGTCACAGAAGAGGCAGAAGACGAAGAAGACGAGCACTTCGATGTGTGGGATCAACGTCAATTTGGTGGCAACTCAGGAACTAATGTGACGTCTACTTGTCGCAAAGATATCGTGAATACATCTGTGCCGCCATGTTTTGTTGCTGAGGTGGAGAGTTTGCCCAGAGATGCTCCGATTGAATGGGCGAGTGTTGCTATCAAGGCTTTTGATGGTGCTGTAGAGACTAAAGGTAAGCATCATTCGTCACTTTCGAGGGTTTGTCTATCTTGCTGACAGGAGGTATGCAGAAATTAACGATCATGGATATACAAGACAGACATTGAGCATCAAGTCTGGATTGGAGGAAGTGGTCTTGGCTGGTTGGATTGCAGTTGACAATTTCGATGATCTGAGCAAGGTTACATTGCCAGCGTCACAAGTCTGCACTGTTTATACCACACAGATCTTACCGGAGGGTTGGGTGAAGGAGAAACAGCCTACCATCGTTCCTTGCTACAAGCTCTGGAATGGTCACGGGCAGCGAGTGGCTGCTGTTGTCGCATACAGGCAGCAGTGATGAACCCACACAAGACGTATAAGAACAGAGAATCAGGGGTATATAACAAGGTGTATTTCTCATCATTGCTCCCAACGTCTCCAACTCTCCCTCTCCTTCGTTCCCCTTTTGCCCATTCTCTTTCCGGTATGCATTCGCAAAGAGAAGAAAAGCAAAGAAAACAGCATACGTAAATATAAGAAACCATCATGTCCCATAAAGCGCCAAAAAGTGTGTTCTGGAAAAGTGAAAAGGGTCGTGCAATTGTACAAACACATTGTTGACTTTTGTTTTCTGGCTCGTCTTCTGTCTGCCCGTCCATCTTTCCAATCGTGGTCCAGTCCTCTAAGTGGCCTTCTTGGCGAACTCGACACGCAGGATAAGATGTCCGTAACCGAAGCCGTCCATCTTCTCGCATGCAACGGCGGCGTCTGATCGGTCGACGAAACTGACGAAAGCGAAGCCCTTGGCCTTGCCTGTTTCTCTGTCCTTTGCAAGGAAGACACGGGTGACACGACCGAAGCGCTCGAACAGTGCGCGGAGCTCGTCTTCTTCGGCGAATTCGGAGANCCTATAATCGAACGTGTTAGATGGTTGTATAGAGAGTAGAGTAGGAGAACGGGAACTCACGTTGGTGACACGCAGAGTAGCCAAGTCGTCTCTCTCAAACTTGCCGCCCATTCTCTCGCCAGTAGCAGCACCGCCCTTGCGGAGATGTGGGGGCACGTAGGAGGAGCCACCGGGGCCAGAAGCGCCTGGCGCAGGGCCGCCTGCAGCCAGGTTCTGAAGAGTAGCAGCGCCAACATCACCGTCGAGGTCGGCAAGACCGGCACCAGCCTCGCCTTCGGGAGCCATGGTGTTCTTGAAGGGACACTTTGTGGTGAAATGCTCGCCGGAACAAATACGACACTTGATCTTCATCTGCTTGAGCTGCTGCGTCTTCTGGTCCTCCTCGGCGGTGGGTTGCTCGGCGGCGCCAGACTTGAAGCCGACCTGGGNGCGGAAAATGATGTTCTCTCCGAGAGTGGTGGTATCGGGTTGGGGGCCAGCAGGACGGCCTGCCTCGAGACCCATCTTGGGCCAGGCGCGGCGCTCTGCGACACCGGCCTTCTCATATGTGCGCTTGGTGACCTTGCGGATGCGTTGTGTGCGCTTGACCTTCTTGCCGTCGTCGTTAAGGAAAATGGTGACGATGGTCTCGGTGCCGTCCTTGTTCTTTGTGTGCTGAGGCGGGGGGAGAGCGGTGGCGAGATCGGGCTCGTCGTCCTCGGCCCAGTCGGTGCGTCCTGGTTGGTTTGACATGTTGGCAGATGTGTGGGTTGTGGTATGGGAGTGGTTGCCGTCTCGTCGTCGCGCCTTGCTGCTGCGTCGCTGTCGAAAAGTTTAGCGAATGAGTCTGGTGTGGCCCGTGCGCCGACCTGCTCCCAGTCGTTCTTTCCTACTTGGGCAATATCCAACACTCGTCTTCACGTGCTTTACATTCTCGTCGAGTTTTCATTCGTTTGTTCTCCTCTCTGCTTACCGCCCTTCTCTCATGATGGATCAGATCATTGCAGCCAAGATGGCACAGTATGTTTCTCACAATATCCCTTGATGTTTCTGGGTGCGAAGATTGTCACATGCATCTGCTGGAATGCCCAAGATTTCTGAGAGCAGTATCTTCATCGAGACCAGAATTGTCCCGATGCTACTTATTGTATAAGAATCGCTCGGATGAATGTCCTGTCACCTCAACTATTACAGCTTTCCAGAGAGCAGTGTGGCAGGCAGAAGGAACAACCCTCCGATTTTGCCGCGATGGGCCTCTTCAGCGAAGACAGCAGCTTGCTCCTGCTCGATATGAAAGACACATTCAAGTTATGTTGATCATATCGAGTCATTGATGAGGACAGTGGTTATACCTCGTCCGTGGAAATCTAAAGCTCAGCGCCTGGGCTCAGCCTCTAGTGAACAAGCATCTCACGTTATCAGACTCGCTTTTCAGGCAACCTTCATAATCATGATCTGTACGACCTGAGTTCAACTTCATGAGTGTACATGACTGCAGCTGCTGGTGGGATCAAGAGAACCAAGCGCAAGTTGACTGGCCAAACAGCTTCCGCGTGCCGAAGAATCCCTGCATGCGCAAGACGTCACAAGCTTCCTTGCTCAACTCCCACCAAGATTGAACACTCTGGCGACCCGCATTCGAGTGCTGGCATCTCAACCAGCCAGCCTCCACCAGCCTGCGTCATGCGCTGAGTGCATTGAGATATGTGGAGGACATGAAGGCTGCGTCTGTGCCATCTTTATATGTGTTCCTCCTTCCGTCGTCTTTCCATGTTCGTGTCTTTCGATCGGCGTTCTTTGCAACCTTTTGACTACCCTTGTCACTTACACAAGAGCTTAAAATATTCCGGTATCTAGCCAAGGCACTCATTACGTAGAGGCGCATTTACTGAGGCTTGGTCGTATTACCCTTCCATGACCAGGCATCCATCATGTCCGACTTTGTTGTAGGTCTCTTGCAGTCTTTCCTCTGTCAACGTTTCTCTTTCCCACCTTGAAGTCGCATATCCATATTGGGTAGCCGAACAAATTCTTGCGAACCTCTCGATCTGACGCTGTCTGGACTGTAAAGGAACTTGGCTTGGAAGGCTTCGACAAGACTGCCGATAAATACTTTGACAAAGGATACGACAAACTACACAACTATCGGCATAAGAACGATCGCGAAGACAGTAACAACCAAAACAACATGAACGACGCACGCGGACGTGATCGCGGGTATGACAGTGGTTCAGACGACAGCTACGACCAGAGGCCAAGACGAAGATCATACCCACGAAACGATCGCGATGACAGGAGACCACGACGATTTGACAACCGAGATATCGAGCCACCACGTAGACTCTCTCCACCAGGACAAAGCTATCATCCTCGTGTTGTAGAGCCACCTCCGTATATACCATATCAACAAGGAACCTCGCGGCCAGGTGATTTTCAGTACTACGACAACTCACCACGGCCCTTGTCTCGCGGAGACTACACGCCGTCGTCTTCAAACAGAGGTCCTCCAAACAACGAAATGGCCAGATACTCTAGACCCAAAGACCGCTCACCATCCCGCTCACGCTCACGGCGGCGACAACGCCGTCGCTCCTCTTCCTCGTCCTCGCGCTCCCGTTCCTCAAATCGCGACTTTCATGATAGTCCCTTGATGGCACTTGACAGTAGGCCTTTAGGCTTGGGAGCAGGCATTGCAGGCGCGCTCATCGGCAGCTACATCGGCCGTGAAACCAGCGATCGTCATCAAAAGCGTGGTGCGGCTCTAGGGGCCATCATTGGTGGTATCGGAGCCAACATCTTGGAAAACAGGGTCAGGATCTACAGAGAGGAAATGAAGGAGGAACAGAGAGAGGCAAAGGAAAAGTGGGACGCTAGGCAGAGGGAAGCTAAGAAGGAGAGGCGGAATCGGAGAGTGGAGTCGCCACAGAGATGGTAGATGTTGGATCGAACTTCATATTTCGACAGTAGAAGTTACACTTTACGATAATGAGGATGAACGAGGATGAAATATTAATAATGTTAATGATGGTTGAGTCATTCCTTGCAGGCCATACCTCATGTTTCTCCTGCCATACAATGCGGTCCATCATGTGTCGATGTAAAAAGATGCGGGTGGATGTATTCACCACTGTCTACCCTCCCCGTGTGCTTAAGACAGTCACAATTGCAACCAACTCCTTCTCCATCCCGAGTTGCAAGGGTGATCATAAGCTATCGAAATACACAGTTACGATTCGAATATAAGTCTGGCCATTGAGATAGCCTTCATTAAGGTTCTCTCAGTGGAAACCATGGTTTTCGCGAAAATATTGTGCATTTCGACAGCTACACTGTGACGGTCTTTAGCACATGGAGAGGACGCCTCCTGCAACACTACCAACTCAGAGTCATATCGGCCTTCTAAGTATGGTGCTTTACATCTCAGTGGTTTTACTGCTCGAGTCCAGTGCTATGTGCTTTCTGCATTGTGTACCTCTCCCAGCCGACATAATGAAACTTGTTGCTGACTGTGAGATTCGGAGAAATAGCTTTGTCAGAGAAATACACGGCGAACGTCCTTGGATGGAAGATCTCAATGACTTCCTAGCCCATCTCAAAACCAAAAAAGTGTACGAGACACCAGGTCATCGTATTGCAAAGATAGAGAGACATGGGCAACGGTAGAGTCAAATAATGTACAGTTCACCACTAGCAGATAGGCAAATATGTAAACGTATTGCAAGCACCCATGATCGACGTCTTTTCTCGTTGAATGGTTCCCAGAAGAAAAAGCACAAAGCCTCCCAAGTCGAGACGAAGAAAGCATGTACGCCCTGCTGCGCCGTAGCTCTTCCTGTCTCTCGTTTTCAAAAAGAGAAATCGCAAAACAAACGTCAAGAGACGAAAACAAGGAGATAGACGATATGAAAGGGTTAGAGAAAGATGCACAGTAGATAATAGAAAGATGGAGAGAAGAAGCATGTGAACGCCTCCCTCTCGTGGTCTCGCGAGCCGAACCACTCCCCCAGTTTTGTGTCGCAGAATAGATGTAATAAGATCGGGAAAACTTGAACGCCATAAAACCCCTCGTTCCTCCAGTTCCGCTGGTCGTATGAGATCTCAAAAGAGCATCAAGCTATAAAGAAGATTATCAAGAAGGGAATGCACAATTCAGTCGGACCGTGACTGAGCAAAACATGGTCGTCTTCACTTCTTCTTGAGGCCTGGACTAGGCTTCATGCGTTGTGAAGGTGGACCTTCGAGTCCCATATCATCGCCTTCGAGTTTGACTTGTGAGCGCCGACGCTTACTGCTCAAGTTCGGACTTGTCGATGCTGACGGATGCGCACTGTTTGGGTTGTTGCCTTGCTGCGAGTGCTGCGGCACCATCATTGGTGGACCCATGTTCGGGCTCGGCGAGTGGTGCATCTGTCCCATCATGTGGTTGGGAGCCATCANAGAGCCACCGGGCAAGCCCGGGTGTGCAATGTGAGGTGAGCCATTCATAGCCATCATCTGTTGCCCGTTCAGGTGCTGCATCGGCAAATTCATATGGGGAACTGACGGCGAAGAGAAGTTGGGCGTTTGGCCAGGCAACTGCATGTGGGCCTGGCTGGGCGTGCCAGCACCCTGAGGCAGAGGCTGAACAATGCCGTTTCTTTGCAAAGCCATCTGAGCGTGGTTTGGCTGCATGGGGTTGGGGACCATGTTTTGGGGCTGGCCGAATTGTTGCTGCTCCTCGATCTGAGCGACCATCTGGTTCATGGCGTCGTGGGGACGGAGTTCGTTCTTCTGAGAGTATTCCATCAAATCCTTCATGAAGAAGATGGTTTCCGCAACNNCTGGACCTGGTCAGTTCAGGTGGTCGTACAGCTGGAACTCTGGAACAAGCACATCTACCTCAAGGTATTGCATAACAGCGGGAGTGACGGCGTATTCATTGACAGGGGCGGATGGGAAATCTTCGAGCTGAAGAGCGCCTTGTGCCTTTTGCATTGCCTTCTTAGCCGGTGTTCTGCTTAACTTGGGACTTTTGTTCATCAGGGGGGAGCCCTGGGCGACAACACGCGCGAGTTCGGAACGTGGGATGAATTCCTCCGTCTTGGACACTTCGAACTCGAGCGATTCGAACTTGTCCAAGCCGGCAGGGAACGAGGCTGTCAGCTTGCCTTGCCAGATCAGCTACGAGACGAGTTAGCTGGAAGTCATACAGAATTGGGGGAGACGATATACTTGGGTGTTGTTTGCAAACCAGAAAATATAGCGAGCACGTGTGCAAGTCACCCAATGAGCATTGTTGGGGGCAGGGATCTCCCTCACACCCTCTAGCTGGAGTTGTATGTTCTGCACACCACTGTCNNAGAACCAAGTCCAGTAGTAACGTGCTAGCGAAGAGGCACTAATCATGAACTGCTTGGTCGACGAATTCGTGTTGTCGAGGACGTGTTGTACGAGCCGGCCGTCTGGTGTCCAGAACTGGTTCACAAAGTTGGCCCAATGCTCTGATGAGTTCGATTCGCGCGANNCTGTACACCATTGGTCAGATGATTGATATCTCAACTCTAGATTTGAACTTACGGTCGCGTTGAATGCGCTGAGATGATCAGAGAATTGAATCAGCTTGAGGATGAACTGGCCATTGCTTGTGCGACTTGGCTGCTGCTGCTGCTGCTGTTGTTGCTGCTGTTGAGCAGCCATGGCTTGCTGTTGGCGCATCATGTTCATGTTGTTCATATTCATCATCTGCTGGCGTTGCTGCTGTTGCTGAGCATTTTGAATCTGTTGCTGCTGCTGTGCCTGCTGAGCTTGTTGCTGCGCCTGTTGCTGCTGCTGGGCATTCTGCGGCTGGTTTTGAGACTGACCAGAGCCCGGTTGCGAAGGGGTTTGCTGGTTCGGCTGCTGAGGTTGCGAAGAGGGAGGTTGAGGAGGTAGCGGTTGTGCCTGCATTTGAGGCGTAGGTTGGGCACTTGGAGGCTGAGGAGGCGGCTGCTGCTGCTGTTGTTGCGGTGGTTGCTGCTGCTGCGGCTGCTGCTGCTGTTGCTGGGGTTGTCCTTGAGACTGTTGTGGCTGCTGAGGCTGAGGAGGTTGAGCGTGCTGTGATGCTTGACCTTGGCCTTCAGGACCAGACGGGATCTGTGACTGGCTCCTCATCTGAGCTGGGGGCGGCTGCTGTGGTGGAGCCTGGCTGTTCTGAGGGGCGCTCTGGTGCGAAGCCTGAGACGAGGCGTGCTGCATTGCCATGTGCTGAGCCATTGACTGCTGCTGCATCTGAGGCGTTGCAGGAGCCTGAGGGCCTTGAGGATGCGGCGTCTGCTGCTGCTGTTGCTGCTGTTGTTGCGCGTGTTGCTGTGCCTGAGCAGCTTGGATCTGTCGCATCTGCTGGATTTGCATTATGTGTTGAGGCGGTAGATTGGCCATTTGTGCATTCTGGAAGGCAGGGTTTCCCTGCATCTGTGCAAACTGCTGAGGACTCATGCCTGGATGGCCGTTCATACCCATGCCCATACCCATGCCGTTCATCTGCTGCTGTTGCTGCTGCTGCTGTTGTTGCTGGGCTTGTTGCGCTGCCATCATCTGCCGTTGACGAGCCAGGTGTTGCTGCTGCATCATCAATTGAGGGTTGCTGGCCACTACGACGAGAGTTGTTAGCATTGAGATGATAGCAGAGGTGATTTGGANACAAAACATACTTGCTTGCTGCATTTGGTGATGTTGCTGCATCATGTGGGTCTGGGGGTTGAGATGGCTCATGGCCATGGCGTTTGCACCGGGACCGCCCATGGACTGTTGCGGCATCATGCCACCACCCGGGCCGGGACCCATACCAGGAGGCATGTTCTGCTGGCCGGGTTGCATACCCATCATAGCTGGTTGACCCATGTGAGGAGCACCAGGACCCGAGACACCAGGCATCTGCATCGGCTGGCCCATGTGCTGAGCATTGGGAGGCATTCCTGGGTGACCGTGGGGCACACCTGGTTGCATGCCCGCCGGGTGCGGAGGAAAGGACATGCCTTGCATCATAGTGGTTGGAAGTGAGCAAGCGAACGCGTTATATCAGACGACGACAGAGACGAAAGCTGGTCAAGTCGACGACGCGCGACGGGGGGTGTGAATTGGAGAGAGCGCGACAGAAGGTGCGCTCAGATGCATGTATGGACACGAGATGGGTCGAGTATGCTGTCGCTCTGGTTGCGCAGAGGCGGAGTTGGTGGTGGGTGGAAGACGCGCCTTCGAGCCTGGGCAAGCGACAGCGACAGCGGACTGTACAAGGCAGTACCGTGTGCGTGGGCGACAAGGGTCGTCAAGGCCGGGACGATGGTTGCGAAGACCAAAAGACGCGAGCGAAGGACAAGTACCAGAGTCGAGGTGGTCTCTGGTTAAGGGAACCGGGGTCTGCTTGGGGCAGGCACTGGGAGAGCGAGCGACAGTAGTAGTCGTGGACGGGCGCGTTCCTCTCCGGCTCTACGAGCTTCGCAGCGGCCGAGTCTCGAATATGGCGCTTGTCGGCCAACGTTGGGTCCAGCAGTTACGACTTCTCACCAAAACTAACTACCCACTGATTCATGCACACGCCTATAGCCCTTCTGAATAGAACTTTTGCGAACACAGACTCCGAGTTGCACGATAGTTTGCGAACGCAGACTTGCCCTGTCACAAAAATGCCTGGTGAGTCAATCGTCGCTCGTCTCACTCGACGCTCACCTCACTCACTCGCGAGTCCTTGTGATTTGTCCGCTGACAGGGCTCGTGCGCCACTAATGAGCACTTTGCGCTTGTTATCCAACACCTGCCAAGCTCATGCCTAACTCGACCCCGTCCTCTCGTCCGTATGTATGCACTTGGATCAGCACCATCAGTACTGGCTGACCACTATCTCATCAATGAGCATCTAATGTGAGATATGTCTCTTCATGGGACGTGTTGGTCTGACCAGACACCGATCGCCCGTCTCTGCGACTTTCTGATTGAACTGGTCGATAGCAAAACGCATGGACGTGCTCGTCTTGGCAGGCGCGAAGTTTTGCCGTGCGCATTGATCGACGCCAGTATTTATTTGCGATCAAGCTGAATCTTTCTTCCCTGCAGCAATCCCTTCATCGCCAGAATTCGCCGTCGTTTGTCGCTGCCAGAATCTCGCGCATCTGCTATGCCTCTCTGCGCGACATTCGGCGGCTTCTGTAACATCTGTGAGTATCTCCTCCATCTCTGCGCATCCACTTCTTCCCACCATCATTCCGAATGATGACAACTTTACAATCATGTCTTCTTTTCCCAACAGATTCGACCTTGACGAAGACTATCTGTTCGGGCAGCCGTCGCTGGCAGCCTGTATACTTGCCAGTATATTTTTGTCTGACACTACACCCAAAACAACTCGTTCGCACTACACCTCTGCGATACATTGTGCTAACATACGCTAAAGTACAGGATTTGCACCTTATGCCAGCTTTGATAAAGAGAGGGAATACAATTGGGTGTCGATGGTCTGCTGAGCACTCTCGTCGACACCCGTCAACAACTATGGTCAGTCGCTTCGCTCTCTTTGCCTACCCTACACTGCAACACCACCTCTTCATGATGAAACCCATACCACATTCGCAGTTTTCACGCTAGCCGTCGCCTAGAACCTATCTTAGACGGTCGTTGAGCGCAATATCTTCCTTGGATGTCTGATTTCCTTTTCCACAACTTACGCTTTGGTCTTGACTGCTTCACATGGAACTTTACTGACCATTTCAAAGACAGATCACGCTTTTCAATCTCTATATAGTATCAATATCATCTTAACCCAATCTTTTATTATACTTTGTGTCTCGAAAACATCATCTGAAAATCTTCAACGGTTGTCTTCCATGCGTTAAAGCTGCACCCTGAAATCACATGTTACGGTTGGATGATCCAACGGACGGATGTGCAAGAGAAGGATTCCTGCCAGGCAGATCCAGATAACGCATCTGCAGCATGATCTCCCATCTAATATGCCTTGCAGCACTCATTTCCTGGTTTGCAATTCTCTCAGCTCATTCACCCTGCATGACCTCAAATTTCCTCCAACCTGGTCAACGAAGCAGAAGCATGTCAACAAAAACAATCAATCGCACTCGATGATCATTTGGGTATCTCTCGCCGACCGGCGCACTGGCTGCAATAGCTCCAGTTTAGGACTCCGTGACCGAAGAACCCACTCTGCACCTCGCCATGTTGGTATCTTTTCTGTATACCTCAGACCAGCTAATCCTGCAAGATGGACATAGTCAGTGGAAGCTAGAAAAACTAGAAACCCATGCGGCTTCCTTGCAGCGTCTTTTCGCTTTCGAGACTGCGACCAACAATATCTTGCTGCGCTAAGCACCCTGTCATGTCCTTTGCAACACCATTGTTCATAATCACTTGTGGAAGAGAATACGATCTCGATGTGAAGTCATGCCAATGCTCATGAGAAACACTCGTTTGTAACTTCCTTGTCAAGCTATACTTGCCGTCACTTTAGTCAACGACTTAACATGCAGTCCTGACTCTTCAGACGCATTCTACCAGCATAGAGCACAATATCGCCTACCTATCTCACACCTGTATCAATTATACCTACAACTACGTGCATCTCGTATAATTCTTCCTCTTCAAGCCAACCCTCGGCCCATCTACTCTAGTCTCTATGACCCTTCTGCCACCACTTCCCAACAACACTCCCGAAAATCCTGCCGTGATCGCGCAATCGCCCACGAAAAGCTGCGTCGCACCATACCCCAGCAACAGCACGACCGACAGCGGGAATGCCGCAAGCCATTCCCTTCCCTTCCCATCCCCAGAAAACCCACCAATATTCTGTTGGGACAAAGCCCTCGGAAAGCCAGAGAAGACGTCGCTTGCCAAGCTTCATTGGTTTCCAAGATCTGGAGCCATGGGTTCCTGCATGAGTGGGAGATGCATACAATGTCACCAAAACCTAATCGCTGATCTGACCAAGAAAAGACCAAGAGCTTTGAGCGTCGAGCTTGAGTAAGTGTTGAGGAGAATGATTCGTACTCTGATATGGGTACAAAGAAAATACTCCGAGATCGCGACGAGTGCGTGGGCAGCGCATCGTGTTCATTGAATGAGGATCAACGGCGCGGCTGGCTGTGAGCGACACTATGAGCTACACTTTCTTCGGAAGGTCGCAGATACCAAGGCTTGGTGAGTGTTCACATTAAAGGCATGAGAGAAACATGAGGACGCGTCCTGGGTCGAGGGTCGCTTCTCTTTGCTTCGTCAAGCGTCGAAAGCGAGGTCCAATACGAGTGTGGATGAAGGCAAATCACAAGCAAGTGGGCTGTCACGGTTCAGGATGAAAGACAAGAGAGAATAGTTCAAGTTGAAAAATGAATTGATTGATAGACCAAATATCTATCCGAGAAAAAGAGTAAAGGCTATATGCACAAAGAAGGACAGAAAGAAGCAGGCTCCGGGATGCAAGAAGGTATCATGCCAGCCAGAAAATGCAAATAAGAAATGTTTTCCAAGACGATAGACGTCTTTATTACCTTCCTTTCGGAAGCGTCTCGTTCCACCCAGATCAGACATTAGTAGGCGTAGTCCTGTTGCCCAAACCCAAGTTCGTATTGACCCATGCCTCATCGACGAGTCCAGTATGCTCAATATCAACATGAACAGGTCGCGAGAGTGGATGTGTAAAGAAAGAATTCATGCAAGCGAGGCGCTTACAGGAAGGCGACAGCCAAGGCACCGGCAGCGAGGAGCATCTCACCAGCGAAGGTGGGGACGGCAGCAGCACCGGTGTAAGGGACGACGCTCGAGGCAGTGGCAGCGCCAGCAACGACGGTGCCGTTAGCAGGGCGAGTGGCACCGCCAGTAGGGGCCTGAATCTGACCGTCGGAGATCTGAGTAACGGGCTTGCCAGTAGCCATGGTAGGGGCTTGGATTTGGCCGTCAGAGATCTGGGTAACAGGCTTGCCGGTGGTGGGGGCCTGGATCTGACCGTCAGAGATCTGGGTGACGGGGGCAGCGGTCGAAGTAGGAGCCTGGATCTGGCCGTCGGAGATCTGAGTAACAGCGCCCTTGGTGGAGGTAGGGGCTTGGATCTGGCCGTCAGAGATCTGGGAAACAGCGCCGGTAGTGGCCTGAATCTGGCCGTCGGAGATCTGAGTGACAGCGGCGGTGGAGGTAGGAGCCTGGAGCTGACCGTCGCCAATCTGGGTAGCAGCACCGCTGGAGGCAGCAACGCCAGAGTCAAGAATGTTGATGTAGATGGGAGAGCACTGAGCACCGGTGGACTTGTCGTAGAGGTTGTAGAAGTCACCGCTCAAGCACTGGTAGAAGATAGCGGAGTCACCAATGGCAAGAGTGCCGTTGCTGCAGACGGAGAAACCAGAGGTGTAGATGGCACCGGTCTGAGCGGGCTTGTCGAACTGGAACTGGTTGTTGGCAGCGATGTAACCAGTACGGCCCTCGTCGTCGGTCAGGGTGCCGTCCTTAAGAGTGATAGTCAAAACCTTGGTCTGACGAGACTCGAGGTCACGCTTGCCGTTCGTGGTAACATTGGTGATAGAAATGCTGAAGGGGCTGGCGTGGTTCTCCGAGCAGCCCGAGGGAGGACCAGACTTGGNGGAGATGGCCTGGGTAACACCCTGGGGGAAGGCGACAGCAGCACCAGCGAAAGCAGCAGCGACGGCGAAGGACTTCATATTGATGGTGATAAGAGTGGTTTGATGAGAAGATGCAGTGGTGATTATGTGCAAGAAGTATTGATGGTTGTGTTAACGACAGGTGTGGGTGACAGATGTGATAGTTGAAGAGCGAAAGTGAGTTCTGTAACCGGAGGAAGGTACGATTGGCGAACTGTGAAGTGACTTCTTAAGGTTGTCGAGGCGAGTTGATGTGTAAACAGAGCAGCAACAATGGGAGGAATGTTCCTACCTCTTATATCCCCAGCTCATTATCCCGTGGAATGCCAGGGAGGGGTGGTTGGGCCAGGCGGCGTTAGTCCTCTCCACCGGATTATGGTTCCAGCGCTTGGCTCACGAACACGGCCTGTTAGCGCTCTGCACTTACGTACCTACCGTTGGCCGCTTGCGATCAACGGGCAGAGGTTGGAAACGGACGTACCTCGCAAGGTTAGCGGCTGACGGACGAGCGTCGAGCAGGCTTTGGGCAAAGAAACCGGCTCGGCGGCTCCATGTCGTACCAGTGATCTGGAGATGAAGGACGAAACCGGCCAATTGCTCAANACCTACGCCCCNCAAACAGAGACCAACAAGCATTGCGGCTCCAAGTGGTCGTCCTGCGTNGACGACCCAGGATCTACTCAGCCGTGGCGGGGGCGNACAGGCGGGAAGCAAGCAAGCGCACCCAATCAGNNCCCGCAGGCGAGCGGCAGCAACCATGCATGTCTTTGTTTCCAGTCGTCTCATCAGCANACCTTCAAGCACATNGCGGACCCTCACTTGCGAGAAGAAGCACCGAAGAACCATCCTGAATTCAGCCATCTCTTAGTGACGTCTCCATGTTCGGGCTTTTGATTTGTATCGACTCGTAAACTCTCGTCACAGTGAGTGACATCTTTAAACTCCGCCGACCGGACGTAAATCCTTTCTTGGGAAGTCAAGTCGATGACCGAAATAGAAACCCTAGCAACCTCTTTGGCATCCTCTCCAACCATCTCGACAACTTTCCATGACCACTGCATTCGTATGCTCGCATAGCATGTACCGCACCCACTGCCCAGCCATCCTTCATACTCGCTTTTCGATCACCCATCTGGCAGTGCATCGGGGCATTCATGCATGGAGCGGGGTCTGACTGGGAAAAAGTATCCTCCTCTCCGCAAAGTGGCACGCAACTATAGCGCCTCCCCACGCGCGAATTAAGGCCTGTCAGCCTTGTTGGAATTGGCAGGACGTTTGGTGAGAAAAGGTTCAACAGCTTCAGCTGCTGGTCGAGGCATTGTTTTGGGATCTATTCTTGCAGGAGAATCGTTGCACAATCTGGGAGATTATGTTTCCTTGCTTGCTGAGCAAGGTGCAACATGTTCGCCGAGCAACGACATGTTCGATGAAGCCGATGAGAATATTGATGAGTCGATGTTAGGGTTGCGCTTCACGGGAGGGATTCACGGCCAAGCCCGGCAAGGGAACGACATCCTCCCACCGCCCCACTCGAACACGACGACTTTCTGTGAGTCCCAAGCTGCATACCATGGATCATGGATGCTTTTGTGCTCGTTTCATGATTGGTCTTGACGAGCTAGTGACATAGACCTACTCACGTGCAGGATTTCACAACTCAAATCCAGCCATCAAGCATCTAGTCTGCCAGGCGGAGCTCGAGGTAAAGAGGAGTAGAGTTTCCGTGCTGTACGCACGGCTTGGCCTAAAGCGAACAGAGCCGTACCATCGGCAATGATCGACGCGTCATGACAAAAGCCTATCTGCTTCATACCAGACCCTCCGCGGTACATCGTACAAGTCTCTTTAGCAGACTCATAGCCACTGCAAAACATACGATTTGGTTTTCGGTCCATCCCGATCCATTCGTTGCATCGTATTATTTCCTTGGTGTCTCTGTTCCTGAGCGGTTTTGAATCAGGATCAGAGACGTTACGGCTAGCCGGCACCTAAGCACGATGTCGAGTGAGCTCGTTCTGATCTTCCACCGCCCAACGTCCAACGGCCGCATGGATATGAACGTCCTGTGTGATGCCATGGTGGCGCCTGTGCAGCTTACCTCCGTCACCGGCTTGCGAGATGAGGTACTGTACAGTATACTTTTAGATGACCTGCAGGTAGATTTTTAGGCAAGAAATAACAAGAAATGGAGAGGTGATGGTCGGAGAGATCTTCATCGCTCGGTGGCTGGAGGTGGTGAGCGTGTCATGTTAGAAATGGTTGAGCCAATACAATAAGAGTCACATGGTCAATGTCGGCATATGTACGACTTGGCCGTCAGCTCGTAGTCCCGTTCTGTGGATGAGGTATGTCTCAGTTGACGACGAGTTGTTGGTACAATAGTTGTTTACAGCGATGAGGCAATAGGATTTGAGACCGTTGGTGAACCTCCGAGGTCATTGCAACGCAACAACTGTGCCCGCAACAGCCTTTCAAGCCTCAACCTATCTCGAGCTTCCGCAATTGCCTAAACCTGCATATGCGAAAGAAGCATTGTAATTAGGCCGATTCGAAGGGGTTCATTTCAGAGATCCCTGTGAGAACGGGCGATCGAAAGGAGCAACCCAAAAGCATGATGCGTTGTAGCTGCAGCATGGGAAAGTGAGGAGACAAGAACTTGGGTACGAGGGGAGAAAAGTGTGGAGTGCAGGGTGACACAACGCTATCACCTTACCTGTCAATGGGGTAATCCTGATAGCGCAAATATGGACTTACACAACGAACGTCCGGCAAGGGATCCTTGTGTTCTGAAACCTGTGATCGCTTTGAACCGGTTTCATTACCGTTTGCAGAGCAAACAAACATGAAGCGCAGGCAGTTATTGGAAAAGAAGGAGTGGTCAAAACAGTTGCGACGTGGCAACGGTGGATATAGTTCCAAGGTGATTTCCCCACTGTAGGTACGTTTAAAGCGAATAAGTCCTTACATTGATTTCGTATCTGGTCGGATATTGTCCTTGCCTCCAGGTCGGTGACACGCGAACCCTATAATGTGATTGTACAGAAGACATCCGCGACAGTTGGACGCACCCATGCTCTTCATCTCCCGCACACACGCACACGGATATTCGAGTTGAAGGTGTGAAAATGCACAGAAGTGTTGAGGAGGTGGTCAATGTCTGCCAAGAGAGCTGAATGCACTTGCTTGTAGTGGAGATTATCTGTTTAGGATGCTCTTTTGCGGTCGGACAGTTGTGATGCAGGCCACTGTCCGATCAAGGACTAGTAGACTCGTCGCCAACAGTTATGCCCAGCTCCTTTCTCAACAAAGTGGTCAGGCTGGTCTTGTCTCTCAGATAGATCCAGTCGCCTGATGCAGCACCCTCCTTCTGTTGCTGCGACTCGCCCAAAACGACCCAGTCGAATCTCTTGGGGCCACTGATGGGAGAGCTCAACCAGATTTGCTTGGTGGGAGGTTGCTTGTTAACAACGTAGGTGCCGTTGGGAGGGTAAGTGATGGAGAGGACGCCAGCCTTGATGTTTGGTCAGCAGATGCAAGAAGTTGTATGGCGACGATCAATGCTTACCGAGAACTCGACATCGACACCTTCCTTCTCCTCTGCGAGCTCCTCGGCTCTGGTGACGAGCTCTTCAAGGTAGTGGTCTGCTCTCTCGTGATATTCTTCAACCTCAATGGGTGTAGGGTCATTGACCTCGTGCAGAGGTTCTCTCTCCTTCAGTGTGGGCTCGTCGGTGTCGGGCAAGATGCCCTTGAAGGTACGTGAAGTGTTAGAGAAGTAGCGAGGAGCGACTTGTGATGCGCAGAGAGCTTGTCTGGGCAGGTATCTGGGAGCTACAGGACGAGTCGAGAGGCTGCGGACTGCTTGGCGCAAGCAACGGGCTGATCTAGGGGCCGACATGATGGAGGTTGTGAGGCTGGAGTAGTGGGAGATGACAGAGGGTGTTTTGATCGAGATGGGTGTAGTGATCAATGGACGGTGCCTTGAGGTGTAAGAGACGAGGTGAAGTTCAACTTGTTTGCGACAAACGGAGCTCCAGGGCAATGACGATGAGCTTGACCAATGCGGGGGTCTGGACCCATACCTGGGCAGATCGCATCTTTGTCACATAATACAATCTATAAAACCATGCGACTATCGGCTACTGTAAGGACGTGTAAGAGAGAAGACTCCATTAGCTATATCATCTGGATGCGACTGCATATGAAGCTACTACGTATGTTCGCAGCTCACACAGCTCTTTGGACAGATTTGTAACAAATGTGACAAACTTTGGCACATGTGGAGGTGGGCCTGTGAAAGCCGAGCACCATCTCGCGCCTTGATGCTTGTTCTTGTTCCCTGAACCATACAACCCACGTGCTTCTCATACGAAAGGCAGAATTCGCACACCACTTCCAGCCAAGCATACAGATCGATCTCTTCCAGCGTAAAAAAAAACATAGCACAGCCGAATAGCAGCCATGATCAACGCCGTCCTGGTTTTCAATAACAATGGCCAACCACGTCTGACCAAATTCTACACACAGCTGGTGCGATGATAGACGGACATCATTTGGCAACACATTTTCTAAACACTTTCTGCANNGGATACTGCTGTTCAGCAACGTCTGATCTCTGAGATCTTTACTCTCGTCTCGGCCCGACCTTCATCATCATGCAACTTCCTACCACTACCACCTCTTCTCGCTCCGGCGCAGTCCGCTGGGGCAGTATCGGATTCTCATAACGACGTCCCTTCTCTGGTCACCTACCGCCACTACGCGACTCTTTATTTTATTGTCATCAGCACTAGCACCGAGTCGCCTCTGGCTCTGCTTGATCTAATCCAAGTCTTCGTCGAGTCACTAGACAGGCTCTTTGAGAACGTTTGTGAACTCGATCTCATCTTCAACTTCGAAACGCTACATGCAGTACTGGGCGAAATGATTGTTGGTGGCGTAGTAATTGAGACAGGCTTGGACAAGTATGTGTTTGAACATGATTTTCTGTGCTTGTTACTAATGTTTTACAGAGTGGTACAAGGCGTGAAAGCACAAGGAAAGGTCGCTAAGCGGCCTGTCAATGAAGGCAGTCGTACTGGTGGTCTTGGACCTGGTATCTGGGCGGGCAGATGATCATCTCTCAGACAAAGGCACGCATCTCGATTTCGCCAAGCATATTCAAGAACGGATCTGTATCTCCTCGCCAGCCATGTGGATGCAAAAGGCATGGAATGCATTCCAGAGGCAGACTGAAACCGCCACCTTTCGTCGAGAATGTTTCAGACAAGTTCTCTGCAGCAACGCATAGCAAGGAGACTAACGGGCTCGACTCCATTGCTGGATGTTCATATACAATATGCCGAAACTTGGCGGCATGTATACACTAATCATGCTCTCACGATTGATTTGAGGGCTGCTCTGTAGCTAACAATCCAAACTCTGAGAGCATTGGTCTCAAGCAGCTAGTCTCTAATCTTCTATCGTCTACAACTGCAGCAGAAATCTTCGGGTTCGCAGACTGTGCTTTCTGGATGAGCATGTGCTCAAGTGCAATCTTCCACAAGGCTTATGCTTGTCACTTGTCACTCCCGTTCTTTTTGTGTCTGTACGGCGCGAGCTGATAACCCGCATACGTTGGCAGGTGGTCACAGCAGAGACTTTGACAGCTCATGTTGTGTTACGATCTTTCTTGACAGCTCACGATGCGGACTGATCTTGTTCAGAGGTAGCACGAGGCTTGATAGGAGGAGTTCGTCTGGCTGTGCCGAACATATCGTTGGTTGCTCTTGCATAGTAGTCTCGTANTCTTGTCAAACATGTCAGCTCGAATCGCTAGAGTAGGTGAGAAAGTCGACATACCGTGCCAAAGACGGTACCCTCTTCAATGTCCATGAACAGCAACCCATAGACAACGANCAACTAAGCACAGATCAGCACACGGTCGTCGCATAACTTCATTTTATACATACACGAGATAGTAGCCCAGGTGGACAGCTTGACGAACTTTGTCCATGTCGGTCTTGCCCACTTCAGCTTTGCCCTCCTACGGTACCGGCGTTCAAGGCGGAATTGATGCTTCTGGGAGAGTTTTGCAAAGTCTGGCGGCCACGTGCGTTTTGCTTTGTACGGATTCCTCGCAAAGTCGAACTTTGGCAGAGCAGCTGCCCTCCGTAATAACGTCGGGAAAAACATGGTCGAATATGCTATAAAATGGAAGGAGCACCCTCGTGGGCAGATTCGAGGGCGGTAATGCGGTGTCAAACAAGGCAAACTTGCGGGTCGTCAGAAACAAAAGTGGTCCGGGGAAACTTTTGGCAAGCGCAGCGCAGCGCCGCCATCGCAGCAACTCTTTCCGACTTTGAGCAAAGCGACCTCTCTTTGCCCACCACGTCGTTGCTTAGTTGTTCTTTGCGCAATCTGCGGGTATTGTCTTCGAGGCCAATTCAATACCGCTCTTTCACCATGGCCGCTCCTCAGGATACTCAGGGTACTCTCAAGATTGAGAATGTGAGTCACGAGCTTCATGAAGCCTCTACCCATACACCTCAGTACTTCTTCTATATCCTTCTTGTACTAACGATTGCGTGCGCANNGACTGACAAGCGTGACACCCTCATTGCTACTGAGAAGAAGTACCAGCAACAGTGGAAGCAAGACGCCATCTTCCAATCGAACGCTCCTTCGCTCCAAGATGTCCCCTTCCACTCTATCACCCCTGCAGAGCTCCGTGAGCAGCAACCGAAATTTATGGGCACTATCGCGTACCCTTACATGGCAATATTACAACCGTGCCTGTGGTTACATAAGAGACATGCTAACTATGGTGTANNGAACGGTATCCTCCACGCAGGCCACGCATTCACTGTTTCCAAGGTCGAATTCGCTACCGGATGGGCCCGTATGGAGGGCAAGAGAGCTCTGTTCCCTCAGGGATACCACTGCACTGGAATGCCCATCAAGTCTTGCGCCGACAAGCTGGCTCGTGAGATGGAAATGTTCGGCAAGAACTTCGAAAACTACAAAGAGGAAGACGCCGAGGAAGATGCTGTACCCGCGCCCACTCAAGAGACCACCAAGGCCGACATCACAAAGTTCAGCGCAAAGAAGAGCAAGGCTGCTGCCAAGGCTGTCTCGATGAAGTACCAGTTCCAGATCATGGGCGCCCTCGGAATCCAAAAGGAGGAGATCCACAAGTTCGCCGATTCAAACCACTGGCTCAATCATTTCCCTGCTCTCTGTGAGCGCGATCTCACGAACATTGGTGCAAGAGTCGACTTCAGAAGAAGTATGGTCACAACCGACAGAAATCCTTACTACGACGCTTTCGTCCGCTGGCAAATGAACCGTTTGAAGGAGCTGGGCAAGATCAAGTTTGGCAAGCGTTACACTGTCTACTCGCCTAAGGATGGACAAGCCTGCATGGACCATGACAGAAGCTCGGGCGAAGGTGTTGGTGTTCAGGAGTACACTGCTTTGAAGATGAAGGTTCAAGAATGGGCCGAGCCCGCACANAAGATCCTCGCTGGCAAGCTCCCCGAGAACGCCAACGTCTACTTTGTCCCTGCCACCCTCAGGCCTGAGACCATGATGGGGCAATGCGCCGTGTTTGTGTCTCCCACTATCAAATACGGCATCTACAAAGTCTCCGAGACCGAGTACTACTTCATCTCAGAAAGAGCTGCTCGTAACATGGCTTTCCAGGGCATCTTCCCTGAATGGGGAGTCTTNCCCAAGGTTGCTGATTTGCAGGGCTCCGACGCCCTTGGCACTATCGTCAATGCTCCTCTCTCCGTGTACGAGAACGTCCGCGTTCTGCCCATGGAGACCGTCAAGGCTTCCAAGGGTACCGGTGTCGTTTCTTGTGTTCCCTCGGATTCTCCCGACGACTACATTACCATTCAGGACCTGATCAAGAAGGCCGAATACTACAAGATCAAGAAGGAGTGGGCTGACCTTGAGATCCTCCCTATCATCGAGACTCCCACTTACGGAAACTTGACTGCTAAGAAGTTGTGCGAGGACATGAAGATCGCCTCGCCCAAGGACACCAAGCAGCTTGCTGAGGCCAAGGATCTTGCTTACAAGGAGGGCTTCTACAAGGGTACCATGTGCTACGGTGAGCACAAGGGCAAGTCTGTCGAGGAGGCCAAACCCCTCATCAGACAGACCCTCATCGACGCCGGCAACGCTTTCAACTATGCTGAACCCGATGGTGAGGTCATGTCTCGTTCTGGTGATTCGTGTGTTGCTGGACATTTGGATCAGTGGTACTTGAACTACGGCAAGAATGGCGATGAAGCCTGGCAACAAGAGGTTCTTGGGCACGTCAACGGCGAGCTTAACACTTTCTCTACTGAGGCCAAGAATGCCTTCCAACAGACTCTCGACTGGCTGGGTCAGTGGGCTTGCGCTCGTTCTTACGGTCTTGGCTCGAAGCTTCCATGGTAAGCATTTTCTTAATCTAGCAATGATCTTGACTAACTTCGATTAGGNGACCCTCAATTCTTGGTAGAATCGCTCTCAGACTCTACAATGTAAGTCAAGCACCACCTGATATCTGGGATTACGCTGACTGTCCGATAGNNTTACCCTTCATACTACACAATCAGTCACTACTTGCACTCCGACATCTACGGAGACACGCAAGGTATTGGTAAAATCTCCGCCGCACAAATGAGTGATGAGGTGTTCGATTACATCTATTGCCGTCGTGAGGACGTCGAGAGTGACATCCCTAAGGAGACCCTCCAAGCAATGCGCAGAGAGTTTGAATACTGGTACCCTCTGGATGTCCGTGTTTCTGGCAAGGATCTTATCCAGAACCACTTGACCTTCTTCCTCTACATCCACATCGCCCTCTTCCCTCGCGAGTACTGGCCTCGTGGTATTCGTGCCAACGGCCATCTTCTCTTGAACGGTGAGAAGATGAGTAAGAGTACCGGTAACTTCCTTACCCTGTTTGATGCAACCAAGAAGTTTGGTGCAGATGCCACTCGTGTGTCTCTCGCCGATGCTGGAGACTCGATTGAAGACGCCAACTTCGAGGAGACCGTCGCTAATGCAATCATTCTCAAGCTCTTCGAGCTGAGAAAGTGGTGTGAGGAGACTATCCAGGGTGCTCGTGTGCTTAAGGACGGCGAGAACTACCTTGAGGTTAACAAGAACGAGCGTCTCAAGAACAACGACTGTGTCCAGCGTACTGGCGAGAGATCTTTCTGGGACGATATCTTCGAGAACGAGCTCAACGGCTTGGTCAGCGAGACAAGAGAGCACTACTCTGCCACCAACTACAAGTCCGCTCTCAAGTCCGGCTTCTACGACTTCACTAGCGCTCGTGACTTCTACCGTGAGATCACCAAGTCTTCCGGTATCGGCATGCACCAAGACCTTGTTCGCAAGTACGTCGAGTTGCAAGCTTTGATGATTACCGTCGTCGCACCCCACTGGTCAGAATACATCTGGCTCGAGGTCCTCGGAAAACCCAGCACTGTGCAGAACGAGCTCTTCCCTCAAGTTCCCGCCACCAAGCCTGAGCTTACTGCCGCTCGTGAATACGTCCGTCAAACCAGCGGTAATATCACTTCTGCAGAGGGCGCTCAATTGAAGCGTATGACCAAGGGCAAGGCCACCAACTACGACCCTAAGCAACCTAAGAAGCTGACCATCTTCATGGCAACTGAATACCCTGCTTGGCAGAACAAGGTCATTGATTTGGTCCGCGAAGCCTTTGACGGCCTGTCCATTGACATGAAGGCAATCAGCAAGAAGGTTGACAAGGCTGACAGCAAGAAGGCCATGCCCTTCATCCAAACCCTCAAGAAGAGCCTTGAGGGTGGCATTGACTCGAACACTGTTTTCGAGCGCAAGCTTGCCTACAACGAGGTTGATGTGCTCGCCCAGATGGTTCCTGGTTTGATGAGCACAGTGCAAAGATGTGCTTGTGTTGAAGTCATCTCTGTCGAGCAAGGTGGCAAGACCGGTAAGGTTGTTGCCAGCTTGGGTGAAGCTGCTGCTGCAAAGGGTACTGAGTTGCCCGAATTGCCGCCTCAGGCTGAGAATGCTGTACCTGCGTAAGTTGCTCCTCCAAAATTTCTGTGTAAAGAGTTCACCTGCTAACGATCGTTTCCAGANAACCCTACTTTCTTCTTCTCGAACATTTAAAGGGTGTTGTTTAGATGAAGAGATGTTCAAAAGCTAAATGTTCAATGTTCAATTTTCCCATACACTTTGTCTTGGTCTTTGCCCAGCTGTCGAGCAAGTTTGGTTTTTGACCCGAGTGTCGTACGTACCTGCTGGTGCTGCATGTGCATGTCCGTTGTGCTCCACTGATGTTCCTCCCCCTTGTGCTAAGGTATTCGGCGTGTGTAGCTATAGAGATACACAATATCACTAGCGAACAGGACAGTAACCACTGAGAAGCGACAATCCATCCGCTCTCTACGGACATGCCCCTGTTTCCGAAAACAGCTGTGTCTTTTACAGTGTACATTTTGCTCGTTTTTGTAGTCGGAGTACGTTAAGCTTTACAGACCTTAGCACACAGAGAAGTAACTCTATCTTTTCGCAGCCTTATATCACCGCTGCCATCACTATTGCTGTTCTATGAGTCTGGACAGGGTGATACCACAAGCCAAAATGCTCGAGAGGAAACACCGAAGTTCATCCGGGCGGTGAGCCGCAGATGAAACTCGACCTCATCAAAGTCATCAGACCCTTTGCATACCACTGACTCGATTTTCTTCTGTTACGGACGTATGGATGGGACGAGTCTGTAATGGTAGCCTTGTTCTGAGCCGCAATGAATTAAGGATGTCATGAGGGTGTTTGAGAAAATCCTACAGCACTCTTTCAGCCGAACTCGGCCGCCTATCATCGAAACCTGAACCAACCTGGTGAAGTATGGACATCACGACTTCAGATCCGATCGCTATTGCTGGATGCACCGTCAGATCGAGGAGTAAATTCTGTGTTGGTGTTTGATAAACCTTGACCTTACTAGCCAAAGATCAGGCCGATTCGACTTTCGAACCTCGACCATGGAGACTTCGAACATAAGAAGGAACGAGCCTCTTTACAGCACGTAAACACAACGAGTACGTGCGTACAAAGGATCAAGTTCAGGCCATATATCCAAAATTTATCAAACCATGGTCTTGAGTTGCTACCACTGGATTGGCATGTCAGGACTCTGAGGCGGTGTCGATATCATTTCACGGTAGGCATATATAAATCTGCTAAGTATGTCCTCTTATGGTTCAAATCTCTTCATTATAATACTTCTGCAAACCGCACCTGCTTGAATCGAACATCCACACACATCAATCTCGATCGAAGCTATACAGCCAACCATCAAAATGAACTACACCGCACATTTCAACCTCACAAAACCCATTCCCGGATGCAGCCCGTATGGCTCGTTGGGCATGGCTGGCGGCATGTCCGTTCCTGGCCCCAGCTGCTCGATGAACTTCTGCGGCAACAACACACTCATCATGGAACGCTGCTGCGACGGCGTCACTCCTCTCGAAATGACCTACTGGCCCCACATCGATGGTTCCCCCGAGTATGAGGGTGACCACTACACTCGTGCTGCTCTCCACTGCCATCTGGGAGACAAGACCAAGGACGACTTTAAGAAGTGTGCGCTTGGTTTGCATGCTGTGTATCAATGGTATTGCAGTGTTCCTGAGAAGAAGCCGAACACGACGGATAATGCGACTGTGGAGGATATCGGATCGATAGGCAATGGAACGGTGGACAACAAGACAGAAGAGAATTCGGGATTGAGGTTGGAGCTTGGAGGTTGGTCGAGCTTGGCCATGGGATGGTCGGTCCTGGGATTGCTGCTTTCTACGGTTGTCGCATTGTAATTGATGAGACCACTACCATCTCTTCAGCTACGACCTTGTTTCGAAAAGACTTTGTCTTTTGCAGTGCTTACAACACTTGATGAAAACGACAGGAGAGAGGAGGAATTCTCGAAAGTGTTTTCAAAGGAAGGCTGGGTCCCCGAGCCGAGTCTCGACAACACCGTCTTCATCGCAGCAGATTGGGTGGACAGGTCATTGTAAAAATGCAGAAACATGTCCTAGGACCTGAGGTGTCCACTGAGAGCCCTTTGCAAGCCCGTAGATCTTGACCTCTCCATGGAGCCATGCAGGTGTATACAAAGCATCGTGTATTCTTACAAGTAACGAGATCATAGCGATCATTAGTTGAGAGAACCAAAAGTGTCACCAGTGCCAGTACCCCTACAAGTCTGCTATCAGTGACCCCTTGGATTTCTCTCCAAATCCTTCCACTAGAAGGCATTGGTACACATCTCACCAACTCACAAACTCATAAACTCACAAACTCACAAACCCAGAAACCAACAAACCAACAACCACGAACCTCCCCACCACTCCCATCCACCCTCCAACCTCAACCCTCTGTCCAGCCCCCTTCTTACTCTCAACATCCCCTCCTTCACACCCCATAACCCCTCTATACCCCATCTCATCCACACAATTTCCAAAAGTCTCAGAAGTCTGATTGCCATTGGTTCCATTCAGAAAGCAATACAAGCCTTGATAAGTCTTGTTGCCTTCGTTGATGCCTGGGTATGTGTATTCGATGGCTGGGTTGCCGTTGCAGCAGGATTTCATGATGGCGGTTGTGTTGCTGCACGAAGGGACGGCGCAGTAGTGACCGCTGACATGTGGGAAGACTATGGATAAAGGACAAGAAGGTGTTGTGGTGTTTGTTGTGAAGTTGGTTGTTTGGAGTGACATGGTTGCTGAATGTTATTTTTCAGGGTGCCTTTTTGTTGTTTTAATTTTGTTGTAGTGGTCGATTGATGTGCAGTCCGTCGTGTTCCTTTTAGAGGTAGATCTATTCAATTTGCGTGGCTGAGGACTCGAGGTGTTTTTTCTGTGTGCTGACACTGATATTTTCGAGAAACTGCTTCCTTAGCCAACGTCGGTAGTCACTACCTATCTATACTCTCCCCAATCCTTCGGATCATACAGTCAGGCGCAGCAAAATCCTTCGTTCGGTGGGCCCATCACCGTATCAAAGCCACATCGTGTAGTGTAGTATAGCTGGTCTGGAAGGGGTATATGGTCATAGTGTTTTTACGGCCTTATTCTGCCTTTATCAAACGCCTACCTGCCCAATCAAGTCAAGCCTTCTTCTACTCGCTAATTTCCACCGTTGAACAGATTGGAAGCGCAAGTGTTCTGCGATAGGCGATGTGGATGAGCTATATTGTGTGTCAAGAAACATGTGCTGATGCGAAAGAGCAAGTCATGGTCAGCGAGTCGCGTAGGGGTCTGATAGGCACAAAGGACAGGGTCACCATCCGAATGTGGTGAAAAGATTGTTGCAAAGATGTCAAAAACTGACATCAAAAACCAGAAAATGGGCTTGCTGTGTTTATCTAATGTACAGAAAATGCGAATTGTGGCAGAGTTCCTTCTTCCGGCCAACTTCAACAGAACGTGGGATATATAACCTGGAATGCTGGAGCAACATGAAAGTCTGATGCATCAATCCTGCTCTTTCTCATTATTCAACCAACCAGTTGTCATCATCATCGGCTACGTCGTAATCCATCTCGGCTGCTGGTCTAGGAGGTCCAAGATCTTGAGGTTCGTCCATGTTGACATCCTTGGATGTCTCGGAGGCTGGCTGTGTGAAGGCGGCAGGAGTGCTGGGAGCAGGGTTCGCCATCCATGAAAGCTCGACCTTGCCGAGATGAGGAATGTCAGAGCCATGATTGAGGAACTTCTCAGCTTGATAGCGCTCGGAGAATGCCAGCATGGCCGCGTCTGAGCGTGAAGGATGAGGGCTGATTTGCGTGGACTCCATGAGATCGCNTCTGTGAAAGATTAGTACGTTGTCCAAAACAGATTGTCCTGTGCCATCACTTACGAATAGTAGGTATTGCCTTAGCGCCTCGTCTTTCTGAGAGTCCATTTGCTCGTTGTTCGGGAAGACGACTGCGACAGTCCTGGGTCTGTTGTCTAGCCTTCTGACAGCACCCCCACGAGGAGCAAAGCGCCTCTTCCNTCCTCGCCATGCGCCTCGGGGCTGGAAACCTCCGCGTCCTCTATAACCACCACGGCCACGCGGCGCGAAGCCTTGCCATGGCTGGTCTTCATTCGGGTTTATGCCCATGCTTTCAGCTTCTCTCTCCAACTCTGCAAGTTTCGCTTTCAGAGCGTCGGTCTGCGAGGGTGTACCATTGCTATCAGCACCATTAGTGGCGCCGTTCTGGCCAGCAACACCTGCTTGGTCTGGAGTACCTGACTTTCCTCTCTCTTTCGCAGCGAGTTTGGCGAGCAGTTTGCTGCGTTCTTCAGCCTGAGCTTTCATCTTCTGCTCCAACTCTTGTCGCTGTGCCTCGGCCTCCTTGATCTTCCTGGTCTTCTCTTCGTGAGCGCGTTGTGCTTCTTCTTGCTTCTTCGCGAACTCGACAGGGTCAATCTTCTCCTCTTCTTGCATGTCGACATCACCATCGCTCTTGCCGAAGCCATTCTGGTGGCGCTCCCGTTGCATTCTTTCGGGCTTGTACCAGTAGACTTTGACGAATCTATTATCGAAAATGACCTTAGGGCTGTCGTATGCCTTCTTTGCGCTGTCGTAGTCCTCGAACTTGATGATGGCTAGACGCTTGTAATCCTGCAGCTCGACCGATTCAATGGTTCCAAATTCGGAGAAGAAGTCGCGGACAGATTGTTCGTTAAAGTTTTCCTCGGGGATTTGCTCAACAACAACCTGTGTAATGGAGCGATCGTGGTTTGGACCAGCAGACGAGAAATCGGCGCGACCTCCGCGTCCACCACGGAAAGCACCTCTGTCGCCTCTACCGCGACCACGACCGCGTCCTCTATCGGAGAACGGACGGCCCTGCGATATTGATGCATTTGTAGGATCGTACTCGTCTGCTTGTTGCTGAGGAACCAGAACGGGATCGTTGCCATGCTCATGAGGACACGAAGCACCAAGCGCGCAGAAGCCTTTTGTATCGTAGTCGTGGCATCTCTGACCAGAGCGCGGGGTTTGTGCAGAGTTGCCAAAAGCACCAGGTGAGGCAGGGAAGGGCATTTGTGGCATTCCAGGCATGGTAGGCATACCGGGTAGACCCATGGCTTGCTGCATAGCCATAAGAGCGGCCATGGGGTTGTTCGGATCGAATGGGGGCAGGGACTGAGGGGCGCCAGACATTGGACCCATGAAACCTCCTCTTTGACCACCGCGTCCACCCCGTCGCATTTGCTTCATGGGACGATCTTGCTGGTAACCTTGAGCGTGATTATCGAATGCATTGCTATCGTTGAAGTCGCGCTTCCTTGAGGGGCCCGAGGGAGGATTGAAGGGGGGGTTCGCTAGGTTGGAAGGCGGGCGCAGTAGGTTGGAAAGNNCGGTCGCGGTGGGCTGTAAGGGCTTAGAGTCGGAGTTCGCGAGGTGGGCGAAGACGTCGTTGACAAATTGAGGAGTGCTGTCGTGCAAAAAGTCGAGCAAGTTGTCCTGACAGTTTTGCTTGACTTGGTCGTCAGACTCGTCAGACTTGATCAGAGCGATGACATAGTCGGCGAGAACGTCCGAGTCTGCGTCTGAGATGTCCTCCAAGCGCTTGACGACCCAAGCCTTGAGTTCTTCCGACGCGTTGTCGTCGAGATGCATGGTTGGGCAATTGCTAAGGAAAGACTGAGGGAGCAGCTTTGAGAACTTCGCTCTCTTCGGCCTGACTGAGAGCTTGAAATGCACCCTCGCTACCCCAGCCTTGGCTGAAGTCATTCCCATCCTTGTACGCTCTTTGTGCGCTTGCACAAGATTCATGTGAGAGTAGAGTGTCTTCTAGTCCACTTTCCCCTACAACACTGTCGGGCAACAAAGTGATAGACTCAGACTCATTGAGCTGGTTTGGAGCAATCTAGAAGTGTCTTTCGGAAAGTGAACAAAATTGGATTATGGACTGGATCAAGGAGAAAGACTTTCTTCAGATTTCTAGCTTCCATGTCGATACAAAAGTTAATGCATTCGAATAGTGCCTTGAATGTCTATTTCCTATAATCTATCAGAGATTTGTTTCATGCAAATATATAGCCTGCAAGTTGGCATAATAGAGAGAAGTGCTGTACCTTTAGTCAAGCAGATGGAAAGATAGGTGGTGCACAGGCCATCTTGGGAGACGGGCCTGACGTACGGGGAGACCAACGTCCATCTCTTGCCAGTTAACGACGCGGTCGGAGAGTTCAACCATCCAGCTCGACCAGTCTGCTGTGTACGGCAGCCAACACCACCTCTCCCCTTCAAAGCATACTATCGCCACCGCAAACATGGCCGGAGAGGATTTCACCGTCGACCCCAGGATGATGCACGTCCAGCCTCGCATCCGCTACAACACCATTGGCGGTATCAACGGTCCCCTGGTCATTCTGGACAATGTCAAGTTCCCTAGATTCAACGAGATTGTCTCGCTCACCTTGCCCGATGGCACCGAGAGATCTGGTCAGGTCCTCGAAGCTCGCGGTAAGTCTTGGACTCCTCACCTCCGTCTAGGAGCTGCACACTGACATTCTTGTACAGGCAACCGTGCCGTCGTCCAGGTACGCCATATCTCGATCGCCACATGGCTGCGACTGTCGACTCGCTATTACAAGAGCATGGAGCTTACAAATGATAANCAGGTCTTCGAGGGAACTTCTGGTATCGATGTCAAGAAGGTGCGGCGAACCAATCAACAATCCAGGATTCAAGCAGTCGTGCTGATGTCTAGTAGNACCAAAGTCGAGTTCAGCGGCCACTCGCTCAAGCTCGGTGTGTCCGAGGACATGCTGGGTCGTGTCTTCGACGGTTCCGGTCGCGCCATCGACAAGGGCCCCAAGGTTCTGGCCGAGGACTACCTCGACATTAACGGTCAACCCATCAACCCCTACTCAAGAGTCAGTCATCATCAAGCCAGTGCGCTTGCCGTGTATTGACATTCGTAGGAATACCCCGAGGAGATGATCTCGACTGGTATCTCGACCATTGATACCATGAACTCGATCGCCCGTGGTCAGAAGATTCCCATCTTCTCTGCCGCTGGTCTGCCCCACAACGAAATCGCTGCCCAGATTTGTAGACAGGCCAGTTTGGTCAAGCCCACTAAGGGTGTCCACGATGACCACGAGGACAACTTCTCCATCGTCTTCGGTGCCATGGGTGTCAACTTGGAAACCAGTAGATTCTTCACTCGCGATTTCGAGGAGAACGGCAGTATGGAGAGAGTTACCCTGTTCTTGAACTTGGCAAACGACCCTACGTACGTCCATCTTATCGTCTATCTTCTGCACAGACTACTGACATTCTACCAGNNTATCGAACGTATCATCACTCCTCGTCTTGCCCTCACCACCGCCGAATACTACGCCTACCAGCTCGAGAAGCACGTCTTGGTCATTCTTACCGACCTTTCGTCTTACTGTGACGCTCTTCGTGAGGTTTCGGCCGCCAGAGAAGAAGTCCCTGGTCGTCGTGGTTACCCCGGTTACATGTACACTGATTTGTCCACCATCTACGAGCGCGCTGGTCGTGTTGCTGGCAGAAACGGATCCATTACTCAGATCCCCATTTTGACCATGCCCAACGATGGTATGTCAAACCTCTGTTAACCACCAGATATTATGCTGATTGATTCTGCAGATATCACCCACCCTATCCCCGATTTGACTGGTTACATTACCGAGGGTCAGATCTTCATTGACCGTCAGCTTTACAACAAGGGTATCTACCCTCCGATCAACGTGCTTCCTTCGCTCTCGCGTCTCATGAAGTCTGCTATTGGTGAGGGTATGACCCGTAAGGATCACTCGGATGTTTCCAACCAGCTGTACGCCAAGTACGCCATTGGTCGTGACGCAGCCGCCATGAAGGCAGTTGTTGGTGAGGAGGCCTTGTCAAGCGAGGACAAGCTTTCGCTCGAATTCCTGGACAAGTTTGAGAAGACTTTCATCAACCAGGGTGCATACGAGAAGCGCAGCATTTTCGAGTCGCTCGACACTGCATGGGAGTTGCTCCGCATCTATCCCAAGGAGCTTCTGAACCGTATCCCCAAGAAGACCTTGGACGAGTGGTACACACGCCGTCCTTCAGACAAGACGGCCAACAAGGACACTCGCGACAACCAGGACAGACAACAAGAGAGCGAGAACCTGATTGACGCATAATTGAAGCTGAAGAGTGGACGTGGTTGACCGATTTTCCTTTTTTCTTTTCCTTGTTGTAGATAGCGCCTGTGTTTATACCATACCGCAGTATATCAAATATTTGATTGTCACTGATTGCACATTTGTATGGCAGTGAATAAATTCTAGTTTGCTATTAATTAGACAATGGATGTGAGAAGTGAGCAGGGAAACTGCGAGGATGGGTAAAGAGCCATGTTGAAAGTCACGTGTGGGCCGTGCATTCCGTTCCGCAACGACGGACGGGCTTTGGGAGTGCAAGAGCTGCGTTGTGCTAAAGGTTGACTCCCATCTCCGCTCATTGTATCTCGCCATCGTCTGCAAAATGTTGTCTGGTCGCATTGCTGCTCGCGCCACCCGCGTGGCCGCTCCTCGCGCTCCCATTGCCGTCAGATCCTACGCCGCCGCCGCCTCGGGCTCGTCTGCCGCTTCCAAGCCTCCGGTCGCTCTCTTTGGCCTTGACGGCACCTACGCCAGCGCCCTCTACACTGCCGCTGTCAAGACCGAGTCTCTGGATTCCACCGCCAAGGGTCTCGAGAACCTCGCCGCCACTTTCAAGAAGGACGCCCAGCTCAAGACCATCCTTGAGGCCCCCACCCTCAGCACCGCCGACAAGTCGCAGATCATTGCCGAGATCCAGAAGTCCCTCGGTGTCCAGGACAAGAACAACACCATCAAGAACTTCCTCGAGGCTTTGGCAGAGAACAACAGACTCAACCAGCTTGAGGGTGTTGCCGAGAAGTTCGGCACTCTCATGAGCGCCGCCCGTGGTGAGGTTGAGATGACCGTTGTCAGCGCTGCTGTACGTACATGAAGAAAGAGAAGACCCATACAACAGCAATTGTTTGCTGACATGTTGCAAAATAGNCCCCTTGACGCCAAGGTCCTCCGCCAGCTCGAGAACTCCGTCTCCAAGTCCTCATACGTCGGCCAGGGCAAGAAGCTCAAGGTCGTCTCCAAGGTGTGTATTATGTTATCGCTATCGACATGTGCAAGTCTCCTGACGATTAACACANNGGTCAACCCCGACATCCGTGGTGGACTCGTTGTCGAGATTGGCGACCGCACCATCGACCTCAGTGTCTCATCCAAGATCGCCAAGATGAACAAGCTCCTCAGAGACACCCTGTAAATATTTGACTACGATTTCCCCCTCCTCGCCTTGTAGCAACAGAAAAGAAGAATTTATGGCGGTCTTGATTTAAATGTTGTCCTCAAAACCTCTCACAGCACGTGTTAGTTGCAAACTTAAAGCTTGATCGTTCTTGCCTTTCCAACCCCATCCAGATTTACATCCGGTTTGTTGTTGTTTTTCCTCCTCCGACCTTCATCTTTGCACATCAAACCATTATTTTCATCATGGATCTTTTTCGTCCCGTTTTCCTCTCTCTAGCTGTCTGCGCATGGCTGTTTCTTGCACATTTTCTCACTCAAGATGCACCGCTGAGCGGTGTGCCACCGTGGCTGGCATATGCACACCTATTCTTCAGCATTCTGATGACGATCGCTTTGAGCTTCTACATATACCATATGGCCCGTGTTTTGATACGATGGCTGATAGAATTGGCGGAGCGTGCACTCGCTTAGATCGCGCACGTCATGCATCCCCTCTTGGACTCTCTTCCGTGGTATTTCGTTCTGGTGGTGGACAATGATGCCTGGTGAGTTGTTCGCTGTCGGGGATGTCGATCAAACATGCATCATGTCATGCCATGCCATATTGGAAGGAGTCGCATGATTAACATGGAACAGATTTAACAACAACCTAAGACGTACAGCCATCCATTCATACATTCGTTCATTACCACTATCTTCTACTGCGAATACGCCCGTATCTTGAACTCAGCATTCTCCTCTGGTAACGGCGCCAATGGGACCTGCTGGAACTGTGGCAGCAAGTAATACGCAAGGTCTCTCCCTTCAAGCTGATTGGTACTCCACCCATTACCCAACCACGCCATCTGGTTCTCCTCTTCGTACTCGCAGTCATAGTCCTCCCATCGTGGACTCCTCAAGGCCTCTATACAATGCAATGTCGACCCCGGCCACAACCCGACTACTGTATCACCTTTGCGGTACCAACTCTTACAATCGTCCATGAAGACCGTGTTCTTGAAATACGCATCTGAGTATGCCAGGAAGTCACGTACTCGAGCGGCCTTGACAGTCATGGATTTGATGTTTTCCTTCTGGAGTTTGCGAACGCACTTGATCACATAGTCACCTACGCTCTCTATCATCATCGTCAGGGATCCAGATCCAATCGCAGAATTCGGCCCCAGCATCATGTACATATTCGGGAATTTGTCTGTTGCGATGGAGAGATATGATGTCGCTCGGTGTTGCCAATGATCTGGTAATGCAATGCCGTCGACACCAGTTACGGGGAAGGGAGGTGGTGCACCAGTGTGGAAGCCCGTCGCGCAGACCAAGACGTCGATCTCGTGGAGTTTTCCATCTTCAGTCACTATTCCTTTCGGTTCGATCTTTGTGATGGGTGTGCGGATGAAGTCGACATTATCCTCGACCAGAGCTTCCAGGAAACCAGGTCCCGGCGTCAAGCGTCTGCACCCAGGGGCAAAACTAGGTTTCAGCCAATCAAAGATCTCCGGTTTCTTCTGTAACCTCGTCTTCATGTTCTCTTCGAAGTGTTTCTGAGCTCCCTNTTGCATGTCCGTGCCCATGATTGTCAATTCGTGGATCTCGTTTCCACCTTCTTCGATCTCCATACGGAATTTGAAGAAGGCTTCTGGGTCCTCGCGGAATTGTTTCTTTTGCTCCTCGCTGAATTTGAAGCCGTCCATTTTTAGTTTGTCTTGGATGGCTTGGCCGAAGGGAGGAGAGATCCAGGTGCGGCTGCGGATGAAGCAGGAAAGCTGCGTGCCTGAGAGACGTTGTAGAGAGGGTATGATTTGAATAGCTGAACTGCCACTGCCGATTACTCCAATGCGTTTGTTTGTGAAGTCGTANNACTGTGTGAGGAGAGATTGTCAGTAAGTGTGATTCAACACGAGGACAAAAGCGGAGGAAGCATACTCTTGGTTCCAAGCAGCCGAATGCATAATCTCTCCTCCGAAACTCCTCAACCCTTCAATCTGTGGCCAAGCTATGTGGTTCAAACCTCCTCTTGCCATAATCAACACATCACTGCTATCTTCGAATGTCCTGTTTGTCTCCAAGTCTTCTATTTGGACGATCCAATTCGAGGCTTCGGCATCCCAACGGCAGGATTTGATCTCATGGCGTAGCTTTATGAAACGATCGACCGAGTATTTCTTTACTGTCGACTCGAGGTATGCTTGAATCTCTGCGGCGGGAGAGTACATAGACGACCAGTTTGGATTCGGGTTAAAGGAGTATTGGTAGGAGTGTGCTGTTGGACTCTATCAGTACTTGCCCCTTATCGCACAACTCCCAGAGAAGACAAGAACTTACATGGNGATATCACAAGCACACCCCGGATACCTGTTCTCATACCACGTTCCTCCAACCCCAGCGTTCTTGTCGTAAATCGTCAAACCGACATTGCGCAAGCGTTCGGGAATGCGGATGCCGTGGTAGATGCCCGAGTAGCCTGCTCCCACCACGATGACCTTGATGGGTCTTTGGTTCTCAATCACTGTATCGTGGAGGGTGAATGCAGAAGATGAGTTGTAGGTTGTGTTGGTGGGTGAGTCTACGCGCTTTGTGGACAGATGGGGTATGGCATTGGAGGCTATGTTGTCGAGGTCGTGTTCGCGAGCTTTGGCGTGGTGGTCTGTTTCTGGGATATTGGGGATTGCAGACATGGTTTGTTGGTGGTGGTGTAGAACACCCAGACAGAGCAGTATACACGTTTATAGTGCAGCAAAAGGAGGTAGACAAGATAGAAGAGGCAGAAGAGTGTTATGAGACTTAACACACAATCAACTCAATGCAGGAACAAAACCTAGAGACAAAAGGGCCGTCGCGGGAAACGAAGAGACGATGATCCCTCTTTTATATACGCACGGAAGAACCGCAACGGACAGTGGAGCCAAAAACGTATCACATTGTCCATGTACCCGAACTCTCCTCTTTGCACTTCCGCACCGTCTGTTCAGGGTGGAGTACGTGCCATTGACAAGTGGATCCCAAAATGGCGTCCGCGAGTCTACACATCAACTGCCGTGGGGTATCCAGGCGGGCCTACAGGCAAAAAAGAAACAGCACGCTGCACGCAAGCAGGAGAGGCGGTCGTGCAAGGTTACGGCAAGAGTGGATCCTTTCGAGAGTGGATCCTTTCTCGGGAGATGCGGGGTGCGTAAATGTGGGGCTACTTGTTCTGGGGGTGATGAGTGGAGACTCGGATATGTTGGCTGACTTTTACGGAAACTCGGATGTTTCCAAACAGCATCAAGGCAGATGTTTCCGGCAAGAGAAGATACGGGAGTCAGGAGAGACTTGACAGTCACAAGTGAGGAAGTATACTGTTAGATAGAGCTGGAGGATGGAGATTCAAGGACTGCTACAAAGGAGACTTGCTAATATCTGTCTCTCAATAGCAGAGAGACGGTGTATTTTGATGATAGCGACAGAAAGTGGGTCGCCGACGCTTGATACTCGACGCTTAATACCCCACCTCAAGTAGTTTGGGTCTTTGTCGCTGCAATCTCCTTTGCTGCCGCTGCCACTCTTTCAGCAGCCTCTCGGGCCTTCTCTGGTTGAGGATGAACCCAGTTCTCAGGCTTTCTGCCATACATCTGGAACATGGGCGTGANACAATCCTGAGGTCGAATCAGCATACTACTTCTCTACGCATCTCCAGTTTGCAGAGAAGCAGAGAACTTACCATGTTTACCACCATCTCTCATACCCCACACGGCTTGTCCTTGTGTCTTGAGTGCCTCCATGATAGAGTCAGCGTCAACCTTGCTCAACATGCCAATCTTGGTTTGGAACCAGACCAAAGCCTTGACAGCTTTCCACACCGCAGGCTTAAGCCAGAGCACTATCCACCAATCGTGCCGATCAGGGAATTTCGAAGTATCGCCATCAAGAGGGGTCCACCACGGGCGGCCCTGTAAACTCTTGAGCGCATGATCTTCCATGTGGGTGACTTCGAAACCGGCGAAGTTGAACTCGGCGGTGGCTTCTTTGATCGTTCTCATGTTGACGATACCATTACCGCGTTCGATTCTGTGGCGTATATCAACGTGTTCGGGGTTCTTGGGATCGAACTTGTCGGTCATGCACCATTCGTCTACACCGATGACGCCGCCGGGCTTGAGCACACGACACATTTCGGTGTAGACATCACGAAGCTCTGCAGCATGACAGGTGGCTTCCTGAGCATAGACAAAGTCGAAGGTGTTATCAGGAAAGGGCATTTNTCTAAGACCCTAGGTCAGCTCCGATATTCGATGGTGCAGGAGAGGACTGTTACTCACACAGAAGTCTGCCCGGACGAAAGCAACCTTGTCAGTGATACCTTCGTTTTCAGAGTGCATGTTCGCACGCTCAACTTGCTGCTGGGTGATGGTGACACCAGTAACATGAACATCGGCCCACCTTGCAAACTGGCGCGCGGGCTCACCAACACCACAACCAGCGTCCAAGCCTCGCATACCTGGCTTGACTCCCATAGTCATGAACTGGTAATGGTCATGAGCAGCCAACGCCTCTCGAATGGACTGTTTGTCATCGAGGAACGGAGCAAAGTGGAACTTCTTGTTCCACGAGAACTCGAGATTACCGCCAGCCAATTCGTAGTAGCTACGCAAAGGTCAGTCTTTGAAGTTGTATTATTCGGCTTGTGGGAAGGCATACTCATGAGCGATCTGAGCATAGTCCTNTTTACGCTTCTCACGTTCTGCCTCGAGCTCTTCAAGGTTGGACGGCAGCTTGTCGGTGTTTTCGGCGGTGCTGTAGTGACTGCACATTTGTGCACCTCGGTTATCATCACCAGGCAAGTGCGGAAGATGAGTCTTAGTAGACTCTGAGGTTGCCATGTCTGTAGTGGATTGTGAAACTTGAAGCGAACCAGAATCACACAGGATATTCGAGCTGAATGTGCAATTGCAAAGAAAGATAAGTGAACTATGGTTAGAATTATACTGCAAGGAATGCGAGCGGGTTTGCCGGTTTGAGAGCTTAGTATTGTCTGATGTTGACAGGGGCATGAGGACAATGGATCGCGACAGCCACTCGGCTGCGGTCGATGAAAGGAAGTACAAGACTTTATCACCTACACTGTATGCTCGTATTATTGTATTCAGCGCGATATTGTTTTCTTAACACATCTTCACCTCTCTTTCCATAGCTCGGTCTGCGAGGTAAGAGACAAAGGAATCGTCGTACTCTCTGAATCAACAACTGAGCTTGAAACCTGTCGATGCGACATGGTCTGGACAAATGCATGTTCGCAGCGACGGTCGAAGTCTTTTACCGTCGATGCTGGACGCGTTGCTCTGATTCAGGTGGTGGCAGAGTGAGATATCCTTGACTTGGTGGGAGAGGGCTGACAGAAGCACATGCTGGCTCGTCATAGCATCGACAAGTCAGTCATAGTTTTCCTGGTGCTCGTGATTACTGAACACTGATATACGCGAGTGCATTTTGGACGATTGCACGGGAGCAGATGGTATAGGAAAGGCAGGAGTAGTGGGCGGGTAGCTATCTCAGATAAGGCGTTTCACCACGCACGTGCCCAATAATTATTAGCGCGTCATAGCATTGAGGTCATGAGGACGATCGAGTCCTCAGCAGTGACCAGTTCCTTGATCGTTTCGTCCGGGAGAATCCTCTCCTCTCCTTCTCCCAGAACACAATGCCTCGAGGACAAGAACCCCTGTTGACGCGTCGTCCGTCGTCGCACAACGACGAGCGAGCGACCGAAGAGGATGCTCTNTTGACAGGGCAGAGACCAACCCGCCAGTCTGCAACCTCACGATGGGCCAGATACCGTGAGATCGCCCTTTTCGTCTGGGGACTTGTAGCAACTGCTGCCGTCATTATTCTGGCCGTTGTTTATCAACATCAATCCTCAAAGGCAACACCCGAGAGACATGGCGACCGACCCACTGGAAAGAGAAACCTCGTCTTCATGGTGAGCAATCCGCTGTACTGTCCCGTCCTGGACTACTTACTAAACTTCACANNGGTGAGCGACGGCATGGGTCCAACCTCGTTGTCCCTGACCCGAGGCTTCAAGCAGTATGTCAACGCCCTGCCGTGGGACGACACTCTGGTCCTGGATAAGCACTTCATTGGAAACAGTCGCACACGAAGCAGCAGCAGTCTTGTCACCGACAGTGCTGCCGGAGCCACTGCCTTCAGTTGTGGTCACAAGTCTTACAACGGCGCCATCAGCGTCATGCCCGATCACACTNNCCCCTGCGGTAGTGTCATGGAGGCTGCAAAGAGAGCTGGCTACACTACCGGTCTTGTTGTCACCACTCGCATTACCGATGCTACCCCTGCATGCTTCGCCTCGCATGTCAGGACTCGCGCTATGGAGGATCAGATTGCCGAGCAACTCATTGGTAACGGTCCCTTGGGTAGAAACGTCGACCTGATCCTCGGTGGAGGAAGATGCCACTTNTTGCCCAACACCACTGCTGGGGGCTGCAGAGCCGACGGCAAGGACTTGATTGAGAAGGCGGATGAACGCGATTGGAACTACATCTCCTCTCGTGAGGACTTCGACAACCTTGGTTCTTCGGTCGAGCTCCCTCTGCTTGGTCTGTTTGCACCTACCGATATTCCCTTCGAGATTGATCGCAGACATGTCGACGATGAGTACCCCTCGCTCGAAGAGATGACAAAGACGGCACTACGTGCTTTGAAGGATGCTACGAAAGACAGTGAGCAAGGCTTCTTTATTATGATTGAAGGAAGTAGAATCGACCATGCTGGTCACAACAACGACCCCGCTGCTCAGGTTCACGAGGTTCTTGCCTATGACAAAGCTATGCAGGCTGTCATCGACTTCCTCGAGGAAGATGACACTGAGGGTCTCATGATTGCTACCAGCGACCATGAGACTGGTGGCCTGGCTGCTGCTAGACGTATGTCTCTTCTCGCCCCTTATCCACTTTGCAACTTGCTAACGAATACTTCAGAGCTAAACATCGACTACCCTGAATATCTCTGGTACCCTGGCGTTCTTGCCAACGCGACCCACAGTGCCGAGCACACTGCCCGTCTGTACTCCTCCCACTTGTCAACTTCTAAGCCCTCCAAGACCGACCTTCCCAAATACCTCACTAAGCTCATCAACGACAACTTGGGTATCAAGGATGTAACTCGCGAAGAGATTGATTATCTGATCGAGCACCCGATTTTCAGCCCCTGGACTATGTCCCAGATCATTAGCAAGCGCAGTCAGACCGGCTGGAGCACCCACGGTCACAGTGCTGTTGATGTAAATATCTACTCTTCCGACCGCCATGCCTCAAAGAAGTTGCACGGCAACCACGAGAACACAGAGGTTGGTGAGTTTTTGCGTTGGTACCTCAATGTCGAAGACGAGGTCAAGGAAGTCACCAAGGAGCTGAGACACAAGCTCGAGATTTCCAGTGGTGAGAGTTGGCTAGGTGCTGTTCCCTCCGAGGAGGACCTGGCTGTTGTGGCAAGCCATTTGATGAGCCCCCAAAGAGGCTTTGATTGATTGCATTATCTGCTTGAAAGAGATCAGGGCATTAGCATAGGATGGTTTGGATATGCATTGCATTGTTAGAGCATATACCCGCATTTATTGGAGCAAGCATGCTGTGTAGTTAGACATATACCTATGGAATCATCTAGTTCGTTGAATATCTTTCTTTCTTCTGCTTTCTCATGTCTGGACAACGGAAGAGGACCACCCTAGCGTACAGCTAGACACGAAGGACCTTGTATGGCTGAGTCTTGTAGCCTGAGAAACATCTGTCCTTAAAACACATCCAAAGGTGTATGTCCAGATCTCAGGAAGGTATAGCAAAGGACCGCCATACCTGTCCTGCTCTAGCGTAGAAGATTTCGCCCAAGCGTCAATATCCAAGAGACACTTGTTACGAGTCATGGACGTGCACTGAAGTGTCCGAAAAGCCCATACCAACCACCGCACATTACTCGCGGCATTTTCCATACCAGCCAGTGACGAGGTCGCAACAGCAGCCATCCAAACAACCAAAGTGACAACGCCGTATCTTGCGCATCGCCCACGTTGCTTTGTTGAACCTTTCCACCATCCAAAGGAGTTGTCTCTTGTCCAGATCCTTCTGGTTCTCACGATCTCTCAAGCAAAAGGTAAGCAAACATTCTCCAGGCAATGTCAGATGGCGCATCTGATGTAGTCCTGCACCGTCAACCATGCGCACGATCTTACTGATGGGCATCGATAGCAAGATGGATCCTTCTCATGTCATGCGGCAGAGAAACAATAGGCCTATATGTCGCATGTGGCAGATGGGTCGCTGCCACCTGAGCAGCATCCAGTGCGAATTCCGCCATGCCGATCCTGCCATGGTTGCGCAGCCTATGCTTGCAGAAGGGTTTGTTCCTCAACCTCGTTCTTCTGATGCTCGCTGGGAATATGGCAATCATGTCGTCCACAGAGACAGACAGCCACTACAGGAGATTGTGCTCCCTGCTTCTTCGACATCAGTCCATGAGTATGAGCAAGACCACCAGAGTGCTCAGGAAGAAGCTGGCCAGAGCACTTGGGGAAGTCCTAGAAGCAGTCCACAGCGTTGGTCCAACACCAACCCTGCTAGAGAAACGCAGGCTGGTACGTCTGATAAGTTGGCTGTTTTGACCTGCTCAAGCTGGACCATTGAGACGGCGTGCTGATGGAAGCATAGGTGAACGTACGCCCATTGGTGCTGGATTCCGCAATGATACGTTCAATACTTGGAGAGCTACAGCCCCCACTCACGCTGGCGTGTCGCAACCATGGCCCGAACTTACTGGAAATAATGTCTGACATAGCTATAGCTGCTGGACCGGAGCATGATATCACTGTATGGGAAGACCAGCAGCAAGTGTCGGCTGGTAGTGCTTCCATGAGCATAAGCAACGGTAATAGTGACAGTGACAGCGAAGACGGTATGTTTGGTCGGCTTTCGTTAACCTACAAGATTGCTGATGACTTCCCTAAAGAGATCTCCAGACTGGCCAGAATCGACGAAGAGGTGTCTGATGAGGAAGAAGACAAAGAAAACGACTTGCCAGTCATCATGCCGAGAAGGGTTGTGGTCAATGAGAGGGAGAACCAGCGTCGCCGCTCGAGGTTCGAGCGCAACTTCCAACGCACGGACATCACCAGTGCACGTGCATCTCCATCACCATCACCATCGCGCTCTTTCACCAGGTTTACATCAACCAACTTTCCACCGCGCAACATGAGCCAGTCGAGAGAGATGTCTCAGAACGGTGGTGCTTCTAACGAAAATGGTCTTGTTGGACCACACCCGTCCTTCATCCAGGTCGCCAATCCATACATCTTCCAGCAGCAATTGCAGAACTCTTTGAACGCTCTTGGCGCAACTGAACACAAGGAAGACAGCATTCGTCTTCAAGGCGTCCACTACATCGACAGTGTGAGAAAGGCTCTGCAACTGTACGTCATCTTTTGATTATTCAATCCCACCATTTCTGACTTTTGCTCCTTCATTCAGNNGCCTGTTCGCACATTCAACACTGCTGTCGTCTACTATCACAAATTCCGCCTGGTCCATGCCGACAGCGAGTACATGTGGGCTGTAAGCAGTAAACTTTCTATCGAATCTGATATGATGTTGTTGCTAATTCTTGATAGNGATGCCGCTGCTGCCGCTCTNTTTACTGCCTGCAAGATCGAGGACACTCTCAAGAAGTCGCGTGAAGTCCTTTGCGCCGCCTGGAACCTCAAGCTTCCCTCGTCAGAACACCTAAGTCCTGACGANCCCAGTAGGTCTTGATCTAATTTGACATTGCATTTGGATACTGATCGACATCAGGTTTTCGAGCAGCCATCCAAGACTGTGGTTGGTATCGAACGTCTGATGCTCGAGTCTGCCGGCTTCGACTTCAGAACCAGACATCCTCAGGAGACCGTCGTCAAGATTGTCAGAGATTCGGGTTGGCCCAAGGAGACACTGGGCAGGACCGCTTACAACATGTCTATTGACATTTACCGCACATTCGCCCCTCTGAAGCAGACCGCTCAGACCATGGCAATTGCCTGCATTGAATTGACCGCACGCCTCTTGAATCTCACCACAGACTTCAACATGGACGCAATTGTCGGTCCCGAAGGCATTGGCCTCGAGAAATGGTCCACTACCCGCGGCGAGATCATGGGTACGTACTGACTTCTTTCAATCCACTAAAACAAGATTAACAAAGGGATACANGAGACTTTGCTGGACCTGCTGGACCTCTTCACCCATCACCGCCATGCCACCATTGTCGGCAACCACTTCTCCCTCGACAACTACATCGCGGTGCGCATCACTCTGAACAAAGAGGCCACCGCTCTCAACCTCCCTCGCTACACCGAGACCATCGATGCTCCCAAATCGGTCCTCAACGGTGCAGCCAACGGTGTTTCCAAGCACTCACCAGTCTCCCCGGCTCTCCCTGGAGCAACCAACCAGAGTCCCAACTCCCCTCCTGCAATGGGCCCGACCTCCGCCACGGGCGCGCGCAGCAGAGTCGGCGAGCGCGGCAAGGACGGCACCGTCCGTTTCATGCTGTCCGCCGAGCGCGCTCGTGGCGAGAAGGAGGCCGTGGCAAAGTACTTTGCCGCCGACGAGTACGAGACCTACGAGGAGGAGGTCGATGTCCCTCTCGGCCAGTAGGTTCTCGTTACTCGTCGGTTGGCGCTCGTGTTTTCTTCTGGCGCAAAGCATGAAGGTGTTGCATAGCGAGGGGTTTGGGAGGAGTTCGGGGGCTGCTGCTTATAGGGACCCGGTTGTGCATAAAGAAAGATACCCATCTCCGTCGGCGCGTTTTGTTTTTTGTTAGATTATTACAATGCAGAAAGGATTCGCTCAATATTCGATGAGTTCCAAGTGCCACTATCCTCTCACATCAACCCATAGGAATGCACAGTGTCATAGTCAAATGAAGCAGTGTCCATTGAGAGCATCCATCTGATTGATTCTCTCCGATCATGTTCCCGTTACGAACGTAATCCTGCATTTTGACAGCTAAGCTCTTACTATACGCCGTAGTGGGAGGACATGTGCTTAGCTCTTCTCCAACATCGACGTGAAGTAGTATTGCATACTATAGAAATGCACATTGTAATCAAGGCCAGTGGTATCTCCACAGAGAGCCATCTGCACAACATCTCTCAATGGACATTCTCTTCTTTCTTGACGAAATCATGCATTTTCATAGCATAGATCTCAACCTATTGTTACACGAGAAGACCTTGAACAAAAACTGCAAGCTTGCCCCGAGGATCTAAGAAGGCATGGAAGAAGGCATGAACATGGCAAAGGTAAAAAAGTGAAGCTCTCCATCAGGGAATCGAACCCTGGTCTCCCGCGCTTGACGGGATTTTACTCTTGACAAGCGGAAATCATGACCACTAGACCAATGAAGATGAACTGGCTGTGCCAGTATTGGTGTCACATGATGAGAAATACTCGACCAGAGTTATGTATAGATGAATCAATGAGCTTGATTGATCATGCCGTCTGATAGCAGTAGGTATGAACATGTCTAAAGCCGATATCGCCGTCTAGACAGCCGTGGAGAATACAACCCGGCGGATGCCGCCGACACTTCGCAGAAGACATGACTGACAGATACTCGAGCGATTACTTGAGAGGAGCAATGACAAACGTTGTTCGGAACCGCAAACTGCCGTATCTGTGTAGATGAGATGCACGGCTGGGGTTGTGCGGCAACGAGTGTTCTGGTGGGTGAGAGGCTCAGGGACCGTCGCACGCTGTGCCCCGCGTTGTTTGCGATGCGCTGAAAGATGGACGGCGTGGGCGGCGGCCACTGATAAGACATAGAAGGGTAATCCCATATGCCTCTATGGACCTTCCCCGTTTGATCACTTGACTCCTTTCCTTCTAGATACATGTTTGACCAGCTAGATCCCTAAAGACGTTCCCTATTCGCCACACCTCGCTTTCCTTAATTCATCTGCTGGCCTATACATGAACTGAGACCGAAATCGAATTATCGTTGCCCAATATGGCACCTGGACTGATCGATCCCGAGCCCGCCGTCGCGCAGTCGACAGTGCGTACCCTGTCGTCCATCACCGAGGAATACGACGACACGTTGAGATTCTACCTGAACGGCACAAAGGTCGTGCTCGACACAGCAGATCCCGAAGTCACACTGCTCGAGTACCTTCGTGGTATTGGCTTGACAGGAACAAAGCTCGGCTGTTCTGAGGGAGGCTGCGGTGCATGCACAGTCGTCGTGTCGCAGTTCAATCCAACAACGAAGAAGATATACCATGCCTCAGTCAACGCATGTCTGGCTCCTCTGGTCAGCGTGGACGGCAAGCATGTCATCACCGTCGAGGGCATTGGCAGTGTCAAGAACCCACATCCCGTGCAAGAGAGGATAGCCAAGGGAAACGGAAGCCAGTGCGGCTTCTGTACGCCTGGCATAGTCATGGTATGAGTGCTTCTATTCTGCTCGACTTCAAGAGCTAACACAGCTTCAAGNAGTCTTTACGCTTTATTACGAAACACGCCCGAACCGACAGAACACGAAATCGAAGAAGGATGCGACGGCAACCTCTGTAGATGCACAGGATACAGACCCATCCTCGATGCCGCCCAAACATTCAAAAAGTCCTCGAATGGCAGTGCCTGCTGTAAAGACAACGCCTCAGCCGAGTCCACCGAAGGAGGATGCTGCAAGTCGAACGGCAATGCCACAAAGATCACACCACCCTCGAATGGCTGTGGAAGAGTAGGAGGTTGCTGCCAGGACGGCAAAGCTGTCGTTGATGATCAACCCATCAAGCGTTTCACGCCCCCTGGCTTCATCGAATACAACCCAGACACACAACTCATTTTCCCTCCAGCCCTCAAGAAGCACGAGCTCAAGCCGCTAGCCTTTGGAAACAAGAANAAGAAGTGGTTCAGACCAGTCACACTCCAACAACTGCTAGAGATCAAGAGCGTCTACCCTTCAGCGAAGATCATTGGTGGTTCATCAGAAACACAGATCGAGGTCAAATTCAAGGGCATGCAATATACTGCTTCAGTATTCGTTGGCGATATTGCAGAGTTGCGCCAATACGAGTTCCACGATGACTATTTAGAGATTGGTGGAAACGTTGTTCTGACCGACCTCGAACAGATTGCTCGCGATGCAATCGAACGATATGGACCTTCCAAGGGACAGCCCTTCAAAACAATCCTCAAACAGCTCAAGTACTTCGCTGGACGTCAGATCAGAAACGTCGGTACACCGGCCGGAAACTTGGCTACAGCTTCACCTATCTCAGACCTGAACCCTGTCTTCATGGCCACAAATGCTATCATCGTTGCCAAGTCACTCGAGCAGACCACTGAGATTCCTATGTCAGACTTCTTCAAAGCATACAGATTGACTGCTCTGCCTCCGGATGCCATTATTGCAAGCATCAAAATTCCCGTTTTCAAGGAGAAGAATGAATACATGCGTGCATACAAGGTGTCNAAAAGAAAGGACGACGATATCGCTATTGTCAACGCTGCTCTTCGCGTGGTCCTGAGCGATTCGAACGATGTCAAAGACTGCAGTTTGGTCTATGGTGGTATGGCCCCTGTCACGATATCCGCCAAGGAAGCAGTGAAAGCTCTCACTGGCCAAAAGTTTACTGATCCGAAGACCCTGGAGGCTGTCATGAACGGACTGGAGAAAGACTTCGATCTAAGATTCGGTGTCCCCGGTGGCATGGCTTCTTACCGCAAGTCTCTGGCCCTTGGCTTCTTCTACCGCTTCTACCATGAGATCTTGTCCGAGCTTCCCGTCACTGATGCCAACATTGACCACGACGCTCTTGGAGAAATCGAACGTATCATTTCCTTCGGCAAGAAGGATCACAAGGCTGGAGAAGCGTATGAACAAAAGATTCTTGGCAAGGAGCAGCCACACGTGGCGGCCATGAAGCAANNAAGCACTGGAGAGGCACAGTACACGGACGACATTCCTGTACAAAAGAACGAGCTTTACGGGTACATGGTCTTGTCGACCAAAGCACATGCGAAAGTTCTGAATGTCAACTACGAGGCTGCATTAGAGATTCCTGGTGTTATCGAATGGGTTGATCATCGAGACCTACCTAATCCTGAGGCAAACTGGTGGGGTGCACCATCTTGCGATGAGACCTTCTTCGCTGTAGATGAAGTTTTCTGCGCAGGTCAACCGATCGGTATGATTTTGGCCAACTCAGCTAAGCTCGCCGAAGCTGGTGCCCGCGCAGTCAAAGTCGACTACGAGGAACTGCCGGCTATTTTCACCATTGAAGAAGCCATCTTGAAAGAGAGTTACTTCAATCATTACAGATACATCCAGAACGGTGACGTTGACAAAGCATTTGCCGAAGCTGATCATGTGTTCACTGGTGTTGCTCGCATGGGTGGTCAGGAGCACTTCTACTTGGAGACGAACGCTTGTGTTGCTGTTCCCAAGCCCGAAGATGGCGAGATGGAGATCTTCAGTAGCACACAAAATCCTTCTGAGACACAGACATATGTCGCTCAGGTGACTGGAGTCGCGGCCAACAAGGTTGTTTGCCGTGTCAAGCGACTGGGTGGTGGCTTTGGTGGCAAGGAAACTCGCTCCATCCAACTAGCAGGTATCGTTGCTACAGCGGCCAAGAAGGTTGGTCGTCCGGTTCGTTGCATGCTCAACCGTGACGAAGATATTTTGACTTCGGGTCAAAGACATCCCTTCCTTGCTCGCTGGAAGGTTGCAGTCAACAAAGATGGCAAGCTTCAAGCCTTGGATGCCGATGTTTTCAACAACGGAGGCTGGAGTCAAGACCTCAGTGGCGCTGTCGTTGATCGTGCTCTTTCTCATATCGACAACGTTTACAAAATCCCTAACGTGTTTGTCCGCGGACGCGTTGCCAAAACCAATACAGTGTCTAACACTGCTTTCCGTGGATTTGGTGGTCCTCAGGGTATGTTCATCACAGAGACTTTCATGTCAGAAATCGCAGACAAGCTCGGCATGGACGTCGATCATCTTCGTGAGATCAACTTGTACCAACCCGGCGACAAGACACACTTCCTCCAGAAGCTTGAGGACTACTACGTACCTCTGATGTACAAGCAGGTCAAGGAAGAGTCCAATTACGTGGAGAGGAAGAAGGAAATCGCTGCTTACAACGAAAAGAGCAAGTACTTCAAGCGAGGTATCTCGCTGATTCCTACCAAGTTTGGTATCTCCTTCACCGCACTTTTCTTGAACCAGGCAGGTGCGCTGGTGCACATTTACCACGATGGATCCGTACTCGTCGCGCACGGAGGAACAGAGATGGGTCAGGGTCTGAACACCAAGATGATCTCAATCGCAGCTGAAGATCTCGGCGTCGCTATGGAAGATGTCTTCATCTCCGAAACCGCAACCAATACTGTTCCTAACACATCGTCCACTGCCGCTTCAGCGTCCTCTGATCTCAACGGTTATGCCATCCACAATGCCTGCGCACAACTCAACGAGCGTCTCGCTCCTTACAGGGAGAAGCTTGGTCCTAAGGCCACCATGAAAGAGCTCGCCCACGCCGCCTACTTCGATCGTGTCAACCTCTCTGCCCAAGGTCACTACAAGACTCCTGACATCGGCTATGTCTGGGGACCTAACACTGGCCAAATGTTCTTCTACTTCACCCAGGGTGTGGCAGCAGCCGAAGTTGAAGTTGACACCTTGACAGGAGAATGGACTTGCCGCCGCGCCGACATCAAAATGGACGTTGGCCGCAGTATCAACCCAGCCATCGACTATGGCCAAATCGAGGGTGCGTTCGTGCAAGGCATGGGTCTCTTCACCATGGAAGAATCACTCTGGCACCGTGCATCTGGCCAGATCTTCACTCGCGGCCCTGGCGCCTACAAGATTCCTGGCTTCCGCGACATTCCCCAAGAGTTCAATGTCTCTCTTCTCAAAGACGTGAATTGGGAGAATCTGCGCACGATCCAGAGATCTAGGGGTGTGGGTGAGCCACCGCTGTTTATGGGCAGTGCTGTCTTCTTTGCTATCAGAGATGCGCTCAAGGCGGCCAGAAAGCAGTGGGGTGAGGAGGAAGTCCTAGAATTGCATTCGCCGGCGACGGTGGAGAGAATTAGGCTGTCGTGTGCGGATCCCATCATCAAGCGGTCTATGGTCGTGCCTCAGGAGGGCGAGAAGAGTTTCTTCATCAGCATTTAAGCGTTGAGATCTTGAGAGGTAGGTTAACTTGGAAGGAGGTTCGCACGGCGTCTAGCACATGGATGGTTCAGCATATTACTTAGCAAATTATTCGATCTTCAGTTTGTCTTCTTGCCCCCTTTCCTGATTCTCTGCAAAACTGATAGCTATCGTGCCTTCCTGTTCTGCAGCCGTAATCGCGCCTTCCTTGCAGGGGAGCAAAATGGGCGTTCTTTCCAAGTTTTGCTCCCATTCCAAATGGCTTGGGAAGGCGCAAACCAAGCAACAGGGAAAGGACTAGACGACATGAATCATGACCAGAAAATTGCAAACGGCATAGAGGAAAGATGCAAAGTTAGATGAGCAAGAAACTTTTCTTCTATGTGCTATAAACATTAAACATAAAGGCAAACAAATGGTATCTGAACTAAAATAGACAATCTAATCAAAGAAAAACTAATATCCAGCACGCGTGAAATTGCTGAAGCCATAAGTGACCCTTTGCCCTCTCGCATCAGGNNGATGGAAGTGGCTGCTGTGTGCTGGAGCACTCTCCTTGTCGACAACAGCTCTCTTGGAATTACTCTTTGCAGCCTTCGCAGCAGCATCAGAGTACAGACCAGAAGAATATCCATACGCAATGGAAACAGCAGAATTGGCAACATCGAAGTAGCCGGAAGTGTCGCTGTCGCTCTGCTCAGAGAAGTACTGGACACATTGCCAGAAGCCGGCGCCTTCGCCTGCAAGGCCTTGGCCGCTGGTGCTGATGAAGTGCAGATCGAAGGAGAGGTATTGGTTAGGGTCTTCGTAGCGGTAGTAGGCGTCTTCGGCACATTGCTGGACGGCTTGGTCGGCGGTAAGTGTGCCGGTCAGGTTTGTGGTGACGGGAGGGAAGTTGTCTGAGTAGTAGGCGTTTCCGGGGTTGTTCTGGTCTTCGGTGTAACCACATCCTCTGTAGAAACGTGTGTACTCGGTGTCAGCCACAGTGACGGTGGGAGAAGGTGTGTTGGCGGGAGCACGAGTACAAGTCGATGCAAGGGTGGATGAGTCCGAGGAAGCAGAGGCGTTTGAGGCTGCAGCGGTCTTTTTGGTTGAGGTACCTGAACTCGAGCCCGACTTGGAACCTGAAGACGAAGGGCTGACAGTGACCACGCGAGTGGTAGTCGTAGTAGCAGTCTGAGCGCCAACCGTCTTCACACTGGTCACGGTTCTGATAGATACACTCTGAGCTCCGCTCAATGCTTTGGCAGTGCTTGAAGCTCTAACGGTTACTGTAGTTTGAGCGACAGTGATAGTCTTCTGAGGAGAGTTGACTGTCTTCACGCTGGTCACGGTCTTGACGGGTGCGCTCGACGCTGCTGCGACACCAGATGCCTTGGCCGTGATAGTGGTTTTGGCGATGGTGACAGTCTTTTGAGAAGATCCAACTGCGCTCAAAGTCATGGTTTTGAACACCGTGGTTGGTTTAGGAGCTTGGTTGTTCACTGTGATGGTCGTTTTAGCACCGGAGGCCTTTGCGGTGATCGTAGTCTTTGCAATGGTGACTTTCTGAGTTACGGTCGTCTTGGCAATTGTCTTGGTAGACCCAGCAGCGCTTGAAGCCTTGGCTGTCACTGTACTGACGATGGTATGCTTCTCGGTAACCGTCGAAACGCCAGCGGTCAGGCTGGGAACAGATCGGACTGTAGTCAAAGCGACTGTCGATTTTGCAACCGTGATCGTGGAGTATTGGACAATGGTTCTAGTGGCGACTTTGAATGTCGAGATAGGTGTATAATCGGCGCCGACTCGTGCTGCAGGCTGGAATTGGCCACCGATGATGCATTGGCAAACATCGTATACTTGTTGTGTGTTCAGGCCAGGGACTGGGCTCTGGTTGCGAGGNNGCTATAACATGTAAGCTCAGGGATGGCATGGTATGATTGTGGGATAGACGTACGTTGCCACATAGAATTTGCAGAACGGAACACCAAATTTGATATCCTCGTTGAAGATGTCTAGATGAGACAAAACGCAGGNCTGTAGATTGGTAAGCATGAAACTTGGGCCACAAGTTCATATGGACATACCTGATGCTCTAGGGACTACTTCGATGCTTGCTGTATCGGCGACGGATAGGGGAGATGCAATAGCGAGCGACGACAGCAAAGCTGTGGTGAATAAGGAAAGGAACTGCATCTTGTTCTTAAGCTACCAGAGCCTAAGGTCGGACAAAAATGAGTGTAGTTTGCAATGATTGAAAGAGCGACTGGAACTCGCCACCTTGACCTGATAGCGAATTCGAAAGAATCACCTGGAGCGTCTTGTCAAATGAGATGGCAGTGAGAGGCTTTTCTATCAAGCCGGTGCTTCCTTCAATCTTGGCCCATCGTGAAAGCAGGTTTGCTTGATAGCGCGACGTTTACACTATAGCGATGCGATCACCACACGTACTCACCGTAGCATACCAAGTGGAGGCCGGCACGACAATAACATTCAACGGTTGCAAGATGTTTCTGTGCCGAGCAAGAGTAGGGCATCAGGGCATGAACCCGTTGACGACTAGGAGGGCCTTTTCCAGTGGAAGAGAAACAGAACTAAGATCCATTCCAACCGAGCAGGTACAAGCAGAAACATTAACGGTATGGAGACAACGGTCTTTTCTTCTATACATGCTCTGGCCTATACGTAGTGGACTTGTCGTGGTGCGAATTACGGCATGATGTCGCGGTTGTGCCTGCGTCGAACACCTAGTAGACGCGGTCGCTAGCTCTGTAGTCGGAGGTTCAGTGATTGAGACATTATGGATCAATGAGATGATGAAAGTTACAATATTGGTAGATGACCAAGGAAGCAGGCAGGCACGTTGCAAGAAGGCACCTCTCGGACGTCGGTCATATGTGGCGCTATGTCCGACATAGAGATGATGTCGGTATTAACGCCCATTGCTATATGCGTCAGCAACCGGCAAAATGCTACCATATAACGGAGGACATGACTCTGGCACTACAATCGGTACTCAGAATGTTCCACTCGAAATATAGCGCAGTGCTTGCTTATGTATCACGATGTTATAGAATCATGCTCGATCTAACTACCTCGAAGTTGCTAGACTTGGTGGGGGTCTCAGTATCGAGTCCCTGCATTTGACCTCTTTCTCGGCCGGCTTTCTCGGCCGGCTGTTAAGCCATCATTCCACCCCTTCTTACCAGCCTCCTCTATGTCCTTACAACCCGCGAATACTCGCATACGACACGCGAACAAATCACTAGGCCTGGACTCTCGAGGATCTATCAGTTTTCCATAAGGATTCGTCGTTTGTGACCGTTTAATTTTAATAGCTTCAGCGTTTACCAGCAATAACGGCCTGGGCACTCCTCTGTTTATCAACATGTCAGCATCGGGTCCGTCATACGCATGCTATGTACCCATGGTTCGGCTGTTTGCTTACCTCATTGCCTCGTGGCAGTGGATAGGTTCACCTGTATGGGACCAATTTGGCATGAACCATCGCACTAATGTTCACTTGTGGTCCTTACCTTGACATAAAGGACAATACGTTGAACATACGTTCCATCTTGCCAGCATGAGCCGGGACGAATCTCGGAGAGAACCCTTGTATCCGTCTCAAGGATTGGGTTTGCCCTATGCTCAATCAAAGATGGGGTCACGACCAAGGAGACCATCTCTGGAGTCATGTCCATGACTCGATAGCTGGCAGTTGAGGAAATCGTTTCAATTTCTCTTCCTTCTGTCCCACTTTTTCTTCAGAGTGTGATGACGGCAACTCGCCGTTCCATCTAATTAGAGGCTCTAGACTCGACACACATACACAGAAAGATTGGTACGGCTCGCATTGGAGGCGCATATTCGGAACTGTGAAGGACATGTTCCCAGCCTTATCAGATGTCTCGTCTTCCCGAGACAATGAACCACGGCATCATGACCACCGAACGGTAGACGTTTCCAAGTCCAATACCACTTTAGGACTCTCGTACGAAAGAATGTCCGGCTTGCAATCCTGGCAATAATACTCGGAAGGAGCTACAATAGTGATGGCGCTCAACAAGCCAAGAGGAGTGCCTGGATCCTCGAAGATTGCGATGTCATCCTTCGTGCAAGATATCCTCCCCAACAACCTACTCGACAACAGTGTTCTGATAGTGAACAAGATCCCACCTAAGCATCTACAGCTCTCAGGACTCCCACTAGAATGCATGCCCAGCTGATGATGTCCACCGTCAGAGATCGGATACGATGAACCTTAAGCCAATCGTCAAGCACTCTGACGCTGTTTCCCTTGGTCTCGTCCTTAATGATAGTCGTAAACTTCCAAGCAACGGCGGGTACAAACGCAAAATGAGCAGCACTGAATACTGCTCCTGCAGCATACCATTTTGCTGAGTCCGACGCGGCAAATGGTTGACGACGATAGTAACAATTTACACCTGCAGTCAAGATGGTTGTCGTGTAGGCTGCAATCAGCTGACCAGTATAGCCGTAGAACCATTCTTCGATGTAAGTTGGGAGTAATGCATTGCTCTTGTCTCGGTTTCTTGGTCGGGTAAAGATACTGATGAAAGCGTTCTGTGCCCAGCAGTACGAAAGTGTGGCAGAGGAGGTGATCAGTGGAGCAACTCGTAGAAGAACCACTGGATCAAAGAATTGACGTGAGGCCATTTGGACACTTTCTGATCCGGAAACGAAGCACAAGATGATTGTAGCTGAGTTCGAGACGCTGAAGGCATGACCTGCTTTTATTCTCCCTTTCGATGCTAAGATCGCGTGATTGTGGAGCGACCTGTCGGATCACAGTTGTGCCAAGAGTTGCCATTACAATTGTCAGCATGCTTTGCAACTCTTACAGACCCAACGTGATCTGTTCATCTCGTCTCTGTCGGAGGCGACCATCGAAGTTGTTCAGTACATGGATGAGCAGACATCGTGTGTGCACCTAACATCTGAAAGGCGGTCAGTTTTGGACCCCTCATCTTGAACGGGCCGACATCCGGCGGCTAAGGACATCTCGGCGAGCATTGGCCTATCTTTGCACCGCGATGAAACCCTGTGACCATGGCTCTTGCACCATAATCCTTAATGGTCGCGTGCAATCTGACTTCTTTCGTTCGCTCTCGGATCACAACAAGTGGCACTGCTTCTCTATATTCCTAAACTGGACTGTGTCTGTAGTTTCGGTCCTGAGCAGCTATCAAGATGGCAGCATCCAATAAGGGGCAACCTGAGCGCCGTCTGCCAGTGCAGCAGATGTGTGTACTGGTAAGTAAGCATTGTAGTTCGCTCACTCTCCGGTTCACCATGTACAGATATGACTGATTCGATTGTGGCAGNGCTCTTGCTCGGATATCAGAGCCGATCGCGTTCACATCAGTCTTTCCATATCTGCCAGAGATGATTGAAAGTCTAGGTGTACCGGAAGCTGAGGTCGCGAGGTGGGCAGGTATCTGTGTCTCAATGTTTCCCTTAGCTCAGTTCTTGACTGCTGTATCCTGGGGCCGTGCTAGCGATCGTTATGGCAGAAAACCAGTCATTTTACTCTCGTTGACTTGCACCATGATCACATCTCTTCTCTGGGGATTCTCAAGTAGTCTTGGTATGGCAATAGCTGTGCGAGCACTTGCAGGAGCCGCCAACGGTACTGTTGGTATCATCAGGACTGCCGTTGCTGAAATGGTACCCTGGAAGGAGCTTCAACCTCGTGCATTTAGCGTCATGCCTCTCGTCTGGAATATCGGCAGTATCTTTGGTCCCACGCTTGGAGGCGCTCTTGCAAACCCATACCATGTCAAAGCTGGTCAGCCTCTCTCGGACAATCCTGCATTTTTCGAGCGTTTCCCGTATGCGCTGCCGAACATGCTTGCTGTCATTCTATTTTTGTTAGGTATTACTATAGGAACACTGTTTTTGGAGGTATGATATGGTGTCAATCGTATTCTGCCATGAGACGCTGATCATTATAGNGAAACACTTGCGGCGAAGAAAGATCGTCGCGACTACGGGCTTGAATTGGGATTGAGATTAAAGTACTACACAAAGCATGTGTTCAGAAAGACCAAAAACCTGTTCAGCCATGCAAGTGATCACGAAGATTCGGAGCGAGAGCCACTCCTTAAGCCACAGCTCGCACCTTCCTCGGCTCCTGATGAAGAAACAGGAGCACAAGCGACACCCAAACCAACACTCCCTCCACCCAGCTTCAGCGAAGTGCTTCATTATCAGACCATCATCAATTTGATCGTCTACACCCTCCTTGCTCTTCATAACATTGCTTTCGACCAACTGATACCCATTTTCATGCACCACCCTGTGCAAGACCATTCAGCCGATAACCCCGACTTTGAGCCTCCTTTCAAGTTCGCTGGTGGATTCGGGCTTGATTCTGGCAGTATCGGATTCATCTTCACGCTCTACGGCATCTCAGGGATGTTCGTTCAATTCCTCATCTTCCCACCAGTCGCACGGAGATATGGCGTGGTCAAGTGCCTTCGTGTTTGCGCAATTTGCATGCCAATCATATACTTCTTCGTCCCTTTTACTGCTCTTCTGCCCGACAGGACCAGTCAACAGGTGGCAATCTTTATCATGATGATCATCAAGGGTTTTTGTATGTTGCGCTGATTTCCCTTCTCCAGAAATGGCTCTAACGTGCTTGCAGTCTCCACTTTCGCTTTCCCTTGCTCGACCATCCTTCTCACGAATTCTGCCAGCAGTTTACGTATCCTGGGCACCTTGAATGGTATAGCTACGAGTGTCGGCGCTGTAGGACGAGCGCTTGGTCCAGCAATCGGAGGTTCGACCTTTACGTACGGCGTCAAGATTGGTTATGTCATCTTGCCATGGTGGGTACTGTCCTCCATAGCCGCACTTGCAGCCATACCCTCCTTTTGGGTTGTAGAAGGCGAAGGCTTTGGTGGTGACGCCGACGATGTCGAGGATGACGAGGATAGCATCGTCCAGGAGGACGAGCAAGAAGCTGAGTATGGCGACCCTGGCCCTCTACTCAGTCGTACCGATACCATGTCCTCGGACGTCATCTCGGAGGATGAACGCACATATGATTCCGATGATACTGCTCGTGAGATCACGAGATCACCACAGATCAGGAGTAGGCGTGCATCAGGTAGCAATCGCCTGTCACGTCGCCCCTCAAGAAAGATGTCTGCTCCAATTGGTATGGAGAACCGCACCATCTCAAGACGATACAGTAGCAATCTTGGACAGAGTTTTGGAAGTGCTGGAAGCTATAACCCCTAATTTTGGCTTTCAGATCAAGACATGGCGAGCTCGTGGCATACTTTTGAAGATACTCAACATTGGATGGTTTTGACAAATTGCATTGAGAGCTATCCACAAATTTGTCTCTAGACATTCTCATTGCACACGGACGGGTTGAGTTTCTTTCTGCAATTAAACAGGCCATCAACGTGCATCTTTGGTCTGTTGAGATTGTCCTTGCATTGATTGGGGTAATGGAGTCTGGTTATGGTCTAGTAATGCATTCATGTTCTCATGTGCTTTTCATGTCAAGATCTTGACTTTTACCCTCCGAGGAAACAGAAACTGATGTGACTGAGAAGCAGAGTTGAGGGTTTCGTTCATCATGACCCTGTTCAGAAATCAATACAGGTTCAATAGATCCCCATGGTCGGCCACAAGGCGAAACAGCATCAACCCAGACTTCCACCTATTTCGTGGCAGCACTGGATCATGTAAAACTCAACACGACATACCTGCAAAAGTAATTGATCCACCTGGCATAACTCACACCCGTACAAGGCATCCTCAACCCGGTCCTTCAATCGATGTATACCTGCACAGGCGCGATGCGACATCAGACATGTTAACCCTCGTGCTGCATGGAATGTCTCGTACTCGGAAAGTGTTGTCTCGACTGGTGTAATCTTGACCAGGCAAGATCCGGCTACTGATGCACCTTGTACACCAAATGACCAGAAGTCAGATCTCGTTCTGGCTTTAACCCTCATAGTATATCACAGCGATGCAGACATGTGTGAACTTCACAGCCATGTACCAGATCTCACCGAGAATCCAGAAGATGATATCGGAGTTTCTGATGAGCTTGTAGAGCGCATAGGCTATGATTGCGGTCCAGATGATGGTGCTCAAGACGGATCCGGTCTCAGAGTTGTCTTGCATAGTTGACAGAGGTTCGGTGATGGGATTTCGTTGGAACAAGAGGTGTGTTTCTAAGGTTGGGTTAGTGGGGAGAGTGCAAGGTCTTATATATAGAACCTGACGTTTGTCATCGCGAGACAGTGGATACAAGTCTTGCCAGGAAGCTTTCGTTGTTCGTGACTTCGTCGTATCGTTTTGTTCTGGTAGTTCTAGGTGTGGCTTCCGATCAACATGTGCTACTAGAAGTCTCTCATTCATCACCTTCAAGCTCAAGCACATATGCGCGAACAAGGCAACAAGCAAACTCATGGCTCTTTCGGTTAACCACAGTACGATGTGTCTTTGTGAGCACGCTAGAATGTGGTAACTTTGACACGAGGAGTGGAGGGAAGAAATGTTTGTGAAAGGGTCAATCCTACATCAACTGCATACGAGCAGGAGTAGGTCGTCATAAAGAAATATTTACATCATCTAGCTATATACAAAACAAGGGGCTTTTCATCAAAAGACTCGGATATCATCTCAAACCAACCCATCATAAATCCTTTTTACCCTCGAAAGCAAAACATAAAAACAAAAGACACCTCGGCAAGGTAACTCACTACCTTCCGATGAGCTTGAGCTCAAGAGGTCTTAGGAAGAGATATGACACGAAGCCGAAGGCGAAACCAAGAGCACTGCCAACATCACCACCGAAGTTGGGTTCACCGGGGGCAGCTTTGCCAGCATGAAGAGCAATAGGGCCAACGAACCACGTTTGCGACATACCAGTAACCATACCAGCGACACCGAAGCAGAAAGCGAGGACGGCGGCAATGCCAATGGCAAGGTTCTGAGGCTTGTCGTAGTTGGAGACGACGTAGGCATCAAGAGATCTCTTGAAGACGAAGTGGTCGGAGAATGCAACTCCGGTGTAAATAGCGAGCCAGTATCCGATGAAGTTCATGAAGTTCTCCAGAACGGCCTCGAAGTGGCTGTAGCCAGGAATGGCAATTGCGATGTAGGCAGCGGTAGCGACAATAGTGAGGATGAAGCGAGGCAGGCGCTGGATCCACTTGCCGAACACCTGGACAGTGAGACCGACCGAGTAGATGTTGGGGCAGTTGTTGGCAATGATCGAAAGAGCAAGAATGACAAGACAGAACTTTCCGAACGCACCGGTGTGGGGGATCAGAACAGCACCAAGAAGACCACCGGTGCCTGACTGCGTGTAACCATCCATGTAGATGTTCTTACCGTTGTTGATGGTTGTGGCAGTCATGACAGCCAGACCGAGCATCTGTGTGAACAGAAGAGGGAAGAGCAGACCAATGAAGGTGAAAAGGAAGACCTTCCAGCGCTTCTGACTGCTGGGCTGGTAGACAGTGTAATCGGCAGCGTACGAGGTCCATCCGGTAGCGAAACCGTAGATGGTAGCTCCGAAACTGAGGACATGACCCAACTCAGAGGTACCGGTGCTCCAAGGAATGTTCGCGAAGTCGCCAGTGTGAGCGAAGACGCCGATGACGATCAGGAAAACGATGAAAGTAGGGATCCATGACCAGAACTCGTAAGCGTGAACGATCTTGTAGCCGAAGAGGGTGATAGCGAAGGTGCAGAAAGCAATGATTACAATGCCAGCCCATCCAGGCACGTCGTTGTTGACAGCATTGAGAAGCTGAGCACCCACAATCGAGTTGACTGAGGACCAACCAATGCAGGCAATCACGTTGAAGATGGCGATGAGCTTCACGCCCCACCATCCAAACCAAAATCTCGAGAGGACCATCTNGAATGGAAGTCAGCAATTGAGCAAAAGATTACCATGTCACGTGCTACGAACCTGGCGAAGACCAAACTTGGGGCCCATGGCAGAGAAGAATGATACCGGAATGATACCAATGATGTTGAAGAAGAGGATACACAAGATACCATCGGCGAAGCCAGTCGCGAACACTGACAGTCCAAGCATACCAATGGCGAACGACGAAACGACCATGTTGGCCGAGAGCCANNCTGAAAGGTATCGTCAGCAAGAGGTTCGCTCGCTTCAGCGAATGCCTCAAGTTCTCACCATTGTCATGACGTTCAACAAGGCCTTGATGCCAGTCTCGGTTCTCTCGTTCTCGGGCACGCGCTCAATACCGCGCTGCTCGATATTGAACTTGCCAGCCAGACGCTGCAACTTGGCATAGTAACCATCGCCATACTCGAAGCTCTCCCCTGGGACAGCAGCGTCGTCGTAGGCATAGTCTGCCGACGAAGGAATACTGCCAACACCCGCCTCCACGGGGTTCTTCTCCAGATCCTGAACGTGCGACATCTTCCCTAGAGTGCGTATAGGACTTGACCGAAGAAGCTGGGGTAGGATCGCGCAGTTCACCGCAAAGTCGCGAGATGGCGAAATGAGAAGGCGAACGGTCAGGTAAAAGAAATTGGGGTTAGCTGCAGAACTGGGATTTCTCTGACAAACTGTCGGAGAGGTCCTACAGGTTATAAGTAAGGATTTCGCAGCTCGCCGATGAGAGAAAAATGATTGTGTGCCAGGGCGCCGGCTAGATAAGTGGAAGCGCGCCCCCAATTTTGGCGACAAAAACGCTCACGTTTCCCTCCGGTTCAAGATCTTCCGTGCGTGTCTAGACACGAGCTTTGATAAGACGGCGTGATCCGGCTCAGTCTGAAGCGAAAAGGATGTTTTGTGCTTATTCGTGGCGGGTGAAGCCTACCAACCTGCTTTGCCTTTGCGATAAGGTGACATGCATCCAATCACATATGGATCTTCAAGAAGAACATCTGAACAGTGTGCTGTTCATCTGTACTGTCGTACCCGCGGATGTCGGAGTCGACCACTTTTTTCTCCCACGCGAGCACTTGCCGCAGAAGCCTGTTGAGCGCGCGCGGCCGCCCACCAAGGTCAAAGTGGATCTTCAGTTTTCTTTACGTACACGGGCCCTTGAACCCTAAAGATGATTTTCACGTGGAGCGGCAGACCAGAAGCGAACAGTGTTCAGCAAGAACATCCTGAGTCCAAGGAAACATCAATCACGTCTTGTTGCATCCTTGTCCTTTTGATTGAGATCTTGGAATTGCATTTGAGGTTGACATGACTCTTTGACAAGCAATCCAAGCATCGAACAAGCATCCCAAGGAATGCCGCAAAGTTTTCTTCGGTAAAAGTAGCCAACTTGGCAGCATGTACCGGCGATCACAAAAGTCTTTGGCAGCCTCGACGCTTCGCGGCTCTTTCTTTGCAGAAAGCCAGCCAGCTCTGTTCACAAGGCTGGAATCATGCATGCCGTGCAATCTCCATTGATATCTTCGTCTTTGACGTCTCCTTCATCCTAGAATCTTGAAGACAGGTACTCGAGTACATCAAAGACATGATGGGAATTTATCACAAATCTCAAACAGTTATCAAAGACCAAACATTCCTCCTTCCTGAATCGTCGCCAAGCGAAGCCACCACGCCTTGCCGTTCCGAAATTCCAAAATCCTTCCCGAATGTTTTCGAAGCACCAAGGACTGCCGTATCAATTCAGACTGGAGGCAGAGGTTCGAAATGCCTGGCTCTGAGAGAGGCTCAGTAGGCAGTAAATCAGTATAGCAGTACAGAATAAATCACAAACCTGTGTTCCTTGAAGTCATACTCTTCTCAAGGAAAATTACAGCTGTCCCGGTTCTGTGGGACTGGTCGCGACGCCCTCTCGCTTGTTGCACCATAGCGTCGGTCATCTTGGACCCTGAAAAGTTCTCAGAAGGTCAGGGCTTCGAACATGTCGTGCCTCCTACGAGTCTGCAATGCGGTTCGAACAACTGAATTCAACCTCTCATTCTGTTTCTTTGACCTCGAAGTATGACCTCGTACGGGTAGAACAGGAGAGTAGACCTTAAACATGGATGGGGAATCAGCCAGAAAGAAAGAGAAGAAACTTTCAGGCACATAATGCTGTGGGGGCGACCCGGTCTTATGGATATACATATCTGTATATCGAGCAACGAGTAGTTACTAGTCGAATAACAAACACAGCATGGAAAGTGCCTTCTGTACAGTCGGTCTGATGGCAATAAACTAGGCTCTGTAGCATAGATACGTAGACAGAATGGATAAGCCCCTCGGAAGCAGACTGTCGGCATTCCTTGAGACACTCCATTGGTGTCACGAGATCTTGTCGAGCCCTTATTCAGTCCAACAGCACACAACCAACAACCATATTTCATTCGCGGCTCGAGATACAGGCACATTGGCAATATCACGTTATATATAACATTATCGAGGGCCGTTAAAGATGAGGTGTACGAATGGTATCATTGATATGCTAGAATACAGAATGAACGAGAATGATCAAGAAAGGCAAAAACGAAACTCGAAAGAATCGCAACTGATGCACGCTGAAGCAGGTTGTACATTCCATTGATGTGAAACTTCATGCATAGATGGGCATAGTGGACGATGTCATGTCACCAGAATTGATCGCGTATCAACGGAGAGCGGACACTGATGGCATATGATGTCCAGGCGGCCCGACGATATGTCGGAATTATAGCTCAGAGCGAACTGAGAGAGAACATCATGCATGTCCATGGCACAAATTTGAGTACGAGTGCAGGTCATTTGACAAAATCCATGATCCAGATCGATCCAGAATCATTGTTCCATGTTGGAGATCAACCACGACAAATGGAAGCATGAGCAATGAGAGGTCGTCAAAGCACGCAAGTTTGCCACTGAATCTGTCACAGATCCACGCTTATGTCAAGCACTCGAAGATGAGGGAGGTGGGTCAAATCCAGGAGACAGGAACAGATGACATCAAAACCAGGCATGTGAAGCGCAGCGTGTCACGCATGTCTACCAGCATCGAAAACGACATCAAGCAGACCTATGAGCAATAGATGCAGTCGTCGGTTGTCGTCGTCAAGATCATGGTCAAGGTCATGGTCAGGATGTTCCGGGCAAAGAGATCAGAACCGTCACGCGATCACGGTGTCAAAGCAATGAGCCGCTCTACTGGGGCGGCAGTTGGGGTTGACCCTGTCCACCTTGGCCGTTCTGGGCAAGAGCAGCATACCCTGTATTGAAAACATGATTAGCACGGTCCATACGAAATATGCATTCAATGAACTTACACATAGCACAGTAAGCTTGGTAGCCACCATACGGAGCATATGGATCAGCCGCATTGGGGTCAGCTGCAGGCGCTTGCTGAGGTGTGGAAGAAATGCCCTGCAATGCAGAGATGGCCTGAGCAGCACCACCCATAGGCATCTGTCCATAAGCTTGCTGCTGAGGCTGTTGTGAGTATTGGTTGTTACCACCATAGTCATTACGAGGAGCACGTTGTTCTCTTGCACCACCATTGCGATCACGTTGTTGCTGGTTGCTAGTTAGCAGTCTGTATGCCTCCAGTTTGCATTTGAGACTTACCACAGTGTCGACCTTCTCCCAGATAGCGCGCTTTGCCTCATCGATGGCAGAGCGGCTACCTACCAAACCTATGCGGCGCTGAACGTCGGGCTGTTCAGGTTGGCCGACGTTGATTTTGCATCCAGTAGTGGCTTGCATGTCCTTGATAGTTTCACCTCCTTTGCCGATAATCATACCGACTGCCTCGGATGGCACGTATATCTCTTCGGTAATCTTGTCATTTCCACCACGGTCGTTGCCCATACCTCCACGGTAAGGGTCAAAGGATGCTGGTGCCCGTGAATCCTGCTGAGCGGGTTGGTGTCCAGGGTGACCGGNGGGTGGGCGCACATCGCTCTCGACAATCTCGAGAATCATCTCTTTGGCGATGCGAGCAGCTTCAGGCGAGCCAATCAAGTTGACAGGACGCATGCCGTTGATGCTCTTGTTTTCGCTGACAATATTGACGTGGCAACCACTGCGCTCCTGCAGGTCACGAATAGTCTCACCACCACGACCGATAATGAGACCAACGGTCTTGTCGGGAACCATGATTTGAACACTGTTCTCACCTTCGCGCAAGGCAGGTTGTTGATCCCTCTGTTGCATCATGGACTGTTGAGGGCGGTTCATAGAGGGACCGCGCTCGGNGGGCACGCTACCACCATTCTCATCCATGACACGGAAGATTTCCTGCTTTGCTATTTCGCGGGCCTGTGGAGGACCAGTAATGGTGCATTGACGATTGACAGCATTGGGCTCCTTGGCTGGGATGAACTGGACGCGAGCACCGCTCTCGGACTCGACGCGTCGCAAGTTCTCTCCATTGCGACCAATGATCAGACCAACAAGCGCGGACTTTACTGAAATAGTATCGCTGTCGGTAGGAGCGTTGCGCGAAGTAGGCGAGCGAGGGCCGCGAGCGCCAGGACCGGGTGAGAAGTTTCCTCTCCCTCCACGGGGACCAGGAGAATGAGATCTGTCGCGGTTGTTGTAGCCACGGTCTCTACGGTCTGCGTCGCGGCGCTCATCGCGATAGGGGTTGAAGTTGCCGCGGAAGTTATCACGACGGGGAGGGGAGCGTGAGCGGGATCTAGATTGTTGATACGGGGCTCTGCCGGCGAGACGAGGGTCAGCGCGCGGGGCCTGTTGGTGGATTTGTTGCTGAGGACGGTTGTCGTAAGAGATGCCGCGATCGGCAGCAATGCTCTTGGCCTTCGCGATGGCTTCGGCGATGCTGACAGAACCAGTGTTGACGGGACGGATTGCGCTCAGGTCAACGCTGCCAGAGCTGGATGGCTGCGGTAGAGGGAAGCCGCCAAGTGAGGGGGTAGGGATCTGGGCGGGGAGGTTCTGAGGGTAGCCTTGAGGTACAGCACCAGGAGGAGGGCCCTGTTGCTGGGGTTGAGCAGGGTTGGAAGCAGGGCGCTGAGCTGCAAGATTTGTTAGTGAATCTGTACTCGAGTCAAGGGAACCGAGACACGTACCCAGTGCGGCCAGGATGCTGGAGATGTCGGCTTGACCGGCCATGCTGTCGCAACCTTCAATCGCGTCGAAGAAAGGAATGTGTATGGATGGCTTCGGCTGTCGAGAAGGCGTGCGCAAATGTTCGAGACTTGATGAGCTATGCAGAGGGCAAGTGGGCAAAGATGTAAGACGAAAGAAAGGAAGAAATCGTCACTGAAGAGAAGAAGCCGAAGCCTTGGCCACGCGACGCTACTTCCTAATCCGGCAACTGTCAAATGTTTTCTTCTTTTGCTTCACTGTCCCTTCCCAAATTACTCCATCATGCATGATACAAGGAAGCTTCTATACAGACCCCCAGTCTATGTTTCTGACAACTCAGATGTTCCGTATTGTCTCTGATGATCATTTGTTGCTCTTCCGTTCACCTATCGAAGACTATCCTTCATTGAGTTGCTCTCTTTGACAAGTGACCTGATATCTTCTCATAAGCCCAGTCCATGCACGCAGTCATGTTGCCTTGGACTTCCAGAGGCGCCATGTCAATTTTTAGCTCCTCACAGAGACCGTCTTTCAGTTTCCCCTCTACGTCTCCATCCTCGAACAAAAATGCATGGTCCTTGGCATAGTTTGCCCAAACCACAGAGTCGACATAACCAGGCGGATCCTCCCAAAACCCTTCCAACGTGACATAGCCTGTTCTGGCCTCTCTTCGCTGCTTCACCGTCTTGTGATCCGCCCGCAGGAACAGTTTGATGTCGAACAGTTTTCGAATATGTTGCATCTCTTGTGAGAAAAGCAGGAATCCGTCGATAATGAAGACTGGCACATCTGAGGTTGCACCCAGTGTTTTTTGCGCAGCTTCCTTGAGTTCTGTCACTCTTTTCTTGTCCACTCCAGATTCACCCACCGCATTCTTGTCCTCCTTGGACTCTAGATTCGGCGGTAGATATCCATGGATCTTGATGAAGTCGAGAGCCTTGTCCAACGAATCCAGATCAAGTGATTCGAGGCAGTCCCAGTCTTGCAAGCCGTCTTGATTGACAGGTATCTCCTGATCTGTCTTGTAAAAGTCGTCTTCGTGCAGAATGAACGTGTTCGGGATTATGTCTCTCAACAGCCGGGCGAGTGTGGTCTTCCCCGACGACGACACACCGCTCACGCCTATCAACACTGCCTTGTTCTGTGCTGCGCTCATTGATGCCTGATAATGTTGAAGCCGAGATTGTCAAGTTGTCGGCCTTGGGTGCACGAAGCTGCTGACGTGGGCCTTGGCACGAGCTAGGCGGTTTGAGATTACAATAAACAACTCGTTCTTTCGACACTGGTGTCTTGGTTTTCTGCTTTGTTCTGATCTAGCGATATCCTGTTGCTCGTGTGGCTTGTTGAGCGACTTTCCACAAGGCAAAATCTCGAAAACACGTCTCGAGCCAGCATGGAGCAATCACCGTTAACACAACAATCACGCCCTGAGACTTTTGAACCAAAGGTCGCACAACTTTACCGTCAACTGTTCAAGGTATGCATCACATAGACAAAGAGTCTGAGAAGTCTGCTAATAAATTGGGCANNGGATCGTAACGAAGATGAAAAGCCAGAAGGCTACTGGCGAGAGTTTTTTCTTCTAAAGCCAGATAATGCACGATTTGGACAATTACTGGATGACCTTGAAGCCATTGATCTACTACACGCTTCGGTATGACTCTTGTATTTTGTTAATCCAAGGCCGTTAGTTGACCTCTCTTAGCATCATTGTGAACAATTTGTCTCCCACGCCATTACGTATGCCAAATCGGGAACATCACCGTCAGATGAGAATGCTCTTGATGTATGTGATATCTCTGACTTCCACGGCCACCTCAACTTACGAAACAGNAATCTGACAGTATTTCTCTCCAAAGTGTTCTCGAAGAGATACACGAATCCCAGCTCGGATATCATTGAAGTGCTAGCCGGACTCGATAACGTCGATACCGTTTTCAACGACCTTGTATCGGTGCTTGACACAACAATAAGTTCTGGAAAGACAGGTATGCTAGCTTCATCGATGCTTGTGTACAGCTCCTAATCAGAGATAGTTCGTATACAGAAAAAGGCCGTCCAAGTGGCTCTTTGTGTAGCCTCAGGNGCCTTCCACACTGGACTACTCACATACTTTACGCAGCGCGACTTCTTCCCTTCTCTGATGAGGGTGAGTAGATGAGTATGTTAGCCATGAATTTTGCTGACATATCAANNGTTTATTCGTGACCTGGAAGATCCTTTGGACGCCGCACAACCACTTCTCCTAGCAGGACTCCTAGCAAACTATAACAGGTTCGAGACTTACAATCCCTATCATGCTCGGTTTGCCGATTTTGTCAACCACGAAACGATTGTTCAAATCTGCAAGTCGATAGAAAGCACTTGTGCCTTCCTAAGAGATCAATATGTCGCCATTCAGGACGATATCCCTGAAGCTTGGAGTATCGGTGGCACTCTGAATTACATTGGTCTTGGAGCTCTTGCTGGTGCAAAGCCTGCAGTGCCCGCACCAACTGAGGACGAGATGAAGGCAAAATTTGCTGAACAGTGAGTACACTCTTCATTGCTGAAGATGATGTTTCTGACCTTGGACAGACCGCAACCACAAGCAGGAACACTGCTCACAATATACGACTTTGTCGTTGCCAACAAAGCTTTCAGTGCAGACTTTGTCCGTGCAAACATTGTGGACAAAACACAAAGCTCACCCATAGCTCAATATCTCTCCTTCTGCTCATATCTATACCAGCACGCCTACCGATCACAACGGGCAACGCAATATGCGCACCTCACCTTGTTCACAATTCAGAACTTGGTCGAGGATCTCGATATCGTGAGGAAGTTGTGCGAGACCACAGTACCAGTACGGTTGAGTCGTCAACGACCACCTCAGCTACCTATGGTTACTGCAGACCGTACGCTTGCTGCAAACATGATCGATATTATGGTTGACAGTATCAACCATAATCTAAGGAAGAAGTTGGACGTAGAGCTGTACATGCTCAACGTTGGTATTCTGTTACGTCTCATCACATTCCTCGGCAAAGCGAGGATACGTCTAAGTAAGATCACCGCTACCTGCAACATGTTATCCAAGTAGTTACACTGACCCTGAATTACAGCATATCACTGGCCGGAGCTCTGGCGTTCACTCCTATCTTTTGTCCGCTTCCTCACTGTCTACGCTGACGACCTACGCTCTCTCTATCGCATAGACGTTTTGATCCATACCCTGGTCAACCTCCTATCGCTCTCTTTGACCAATGGTGAGACTTTCCTCCCTGATACAGCTAGCTACGACGACATCTCCTACAAGCTTGTTGAATTTGGACCTTCACTGCTCTCCTTCCGCGACGCCTATGCTTTACAACAAGGTGAAACAGCAGCTGCGATGAACATCTTGGTGCATGTGTCCAAGCACTACAGTGATTTGATCGCAAGCCAAAAAGGCAAAATCAAGAATCTGAGTCCTAGGGAGGTGCAGAAGATTATCAAGGATGGGTATGAGACGCTGAGTATCGAAGCCAAGGAGGGACTGGATCATTGGGATATGTATAGAGAGGCGGAGCACAAGGCGCAGTTGAAGAGGATAGCGAGGACGGCTTGTAATGATGCTAGGGCGTTGATGGAATAAAGATAGCAGTGTTGTGTCATGATGTTGACACGCTCAAATTTTGAGATCAAAAGTCAAATTCAAGGGGAGCAGCAATTCTGGTTGCCCCTTCCTGGACGATGATAAATAATAAGCATGTGTTACAAAACAGTGTTCGTGCTTTCCTACCTCACGAACCCATCACATACGTTCAAAACGGTGAAAGACATTAAAGGCAGGTGCAACTGTCATCCGCTACTTCTGTAGCTTAAGTAGCAATGGTCTCGAAACAATCAAGCACGAAGTAAACTAAAGAATATAACCCACTCACTATCCGACTCTCACTTCTCCCATCCTCTCACTTTTTTCCTCACTACCACCTGTATATTCTCGCTAAGCACCTCTCTCCTCAGCAATTGCTGAGATAGCCCAATCGGTAAACCATCCCCTTTGCGATAAAACTCTCGGAAGTCCTTGGTTCGATCCTCGAATGTAGCGGAACTTTAGTTTCAGGTCTCTTCTGTAAAGGTAGAATACTTTGCAGTAGAAGAGGGTTCTCCCAGATTCGCTGTAAATGCTAGCATGATTTTTTGTTGGTGTCAAAGGCAAAGAAGTTTTGTGACGATTATGCTTTTTGATGGTGTGGTGTTAAGGATCACTGAAGCAGAAGGAATACAAAGGAGTTCAGCAACTGAATTGCATTGTAAAACATTTGTTTTCTTTTTACAAAAGAAACAAGTATCTACAGGACAACGAAACGAAAGGTGCAAAAGAAAAGAAGGGGTATATATCTACAAGAAGTCAAACGATCTCGACCTGCTTCGCCGCAGAATCTGGTGTTGCCGCTGCATAGCTGCTCTATAATCTGTCTATATTGGAAAAAGGGAGGAAGAAGGAATTACGAGAGATCTGGTCTATTTCAGTGCGCATGCGGTAGTCCTTGCTCGAGGTCATGAGCAAACGCACGTGTCGAAGATTGAGAAGCATCATCACGGCCATCATCTTTGCGATCAGAAGCCATGACTGACATCTCAATCGTCGTCGATGTCATGATGCCATGCATAGGCAAATCGTCGACGCTTGACTCGCTACTGCTGCCCCGATTCGTGCTGCGTATATGATGGCTGTAAGGCAGAATCTCCCTTGTGTGCACATTCGTGGTTGTCTTGGCCTCTTGTGGCCTTGTGGGTTCAATGATGGCATGGAAATCATCCATTGACCTTCTGGACAGTCCCAGATTGCTCTTTTGTGTGTTGCGTGTACGGGTACGGGCTGTGAGACCTGTCGTGCTGGCGCCACGTCGTTTGTAGGCCGAGCTGCTGATAAAGCCGGGTGTCCAACTTTTGAGTGCTGGTAGCGCTTCGCGTAGAAGAGGCCAGACGCAAGGTAAGTTCGAGACGTAGACGGCTACCGAGGCTTCTCTCGTATACCAGAACATGTAATCCTCTGCGTAAACCGATTTGAAGAACTCAGCTTTTGTGAGGGTGGCTGCGATGATGACAAAGATGCCCATTGAGAAAACACACTATGGAAATGTTAGTGATGTCTACGGTCGCAGATCTGAAAAATACTAACCAANGAGGACAAGCTTTTGTTTGACACCAATAGAGACTTGCATGATAAGGGGAAAAGGAATGATGAGCATAAAGACGTCCGATGAGATGTTGAAAGTTGCCTGAACTATTGCGTAGTCGAACAACACCATGCAATTTAGTGGTGGAGAAGGAGAGATCTGCCAATATGAAGAGAATGGCCGACACTCGAGAAAGTAAGCCAGCTGACACGCTACGTAGCCAATGGCAGTGTATATGGCAAGTATTTTGACTGCTATTTGCTGTTTCAGGCCCATCCTGCATATGGTCAGTATAAGAAAGTAGTTCAAATTCTAGTGCACTTACGTGAGACGGCCATATAGCTTCAAAGTGCATACTTTCAAGATCCAAATAACGTTCAGCATAGCTTGTTCTGCAACCAGATCAATTTTGGCTCCTCTTTGCCTCTCTTTGACTTGTTTTGCTGTGAGTGCGGAAACATCTTCTCCTGGCATAGCAAGTGCGGAACCACCACCTTGAGCCGTGAGATTTAACGTCAAAATCAGGAGTGTGTAAAAGACAGCAGCCACCAGAATTAGGTAGTCATCGAATTCCAGATGCCGAATACCAAGCTTCCTGATTCTAGCATNACCTGAATCGAAATAATAAGCATTGGTCTAAGCAGAGTGAATATGGGGGACGAACATGCGGAGAGCAATAACCACTGTACCCAGTGCGTATAATGCCCAAGACTCTCTTTGCAAGTCATGCTGAAACTCTAGAGAAAAGGCTCCCATGTTTTGGTAATTGTATGGAGGGTGTCGGCGGGCTCCGGCGTTGGTTAGGTAAGAATTTCGTTCTCCAGGACCAAGCTCATACAATGACAGCGGGTAGTTGAAAATATGCTTAAAGAAACCTGGAGTTAGGTCGAGCACTCTTGCGGAGAGATCATGCTAGTTTGGACCCTTGTAGATGGATGCTAGAGAGGCAGAAAAATCATTTTTCTCTGTGGTCTCAATCGCATAGATGAGCAGAACCAGGGAACATTTTTCGGGGATCAGACACTACAAGTACGCCTCGGAGCACAGCTAACCACCTCGGGAGAACTTTCCTGGCACTGGCGGAATAGGACCCATGACAGAATGAACCGTGCTCTTACCAAAATCCCGCCATGTGGATAAGAGATGGTGGAGCTGTGAACAATGAGGCGTGTAGGATGCAGTTCGTTCGCCAACTAGGTTTTTGCTAGGGCCATTCGAGAAGACTCACCAAAACGCCAATCAGATTCTTTAGGCGAGATTACGAACTCCTACTGCCAATCATGACTGCACGCAAGCTATGCTGGAACACGCGGCATAAGAGTTTGAGTCTTGACAGTACCGTATGTGTCCTATTGGATGCATGTGATGAGATAAGCACGGCAGAGCAGGAGATTCCGTCTTCATGAGACCTCGAAGAATCGAAGCTGGAGGCAGAGATCTATTGTTGAACGACCAGCCCTATCATCAACGCAGATGCCCAGATATTGCTGTTTCATCCTCTCGGGATTTGCATGCCGGGATGCATGGGAGACAGGCATGTGCTTTCGGCCGGCAACATTCTCAACTCAACGTTGGCGCATTCGTACGTATCACTTGAATCTTGTCGTGTGCAGAGTCCCAAGTGATATGCAAACCACCTCGTTTCCGGATATTCTCTCGGCGATCGAGACCCTGAGTCGTGGATTTGGAGATTCGCGACGACAGAGCACGAACGCGATAAGGGCATAGTTCTGTCGAGTCATCTCCCAGCAAGCGCTGCGAGGCTCGGTGGCGCTTGCCTATTGCTTTGAGGCTTCTCGTGAAAATAAGGGTGCAAATCCTTCCCGCTTTCAATCTGACACGCGAGGGCTCTCACGTGTCATGGGCAGATCTTCTTTTATCTGATGCTGAAACCTGAGGACGATGGTTCGCATACCTGGGACAGCATCGATCGACCAAGGTACATACGCAACCCGGGTGTCCGGTGCTGTACAGATTCTAGTCTGGTGAGTCTCCATGCGACCGGGGCGAAACCTGGAGAAGTTCCGACATCATGCAGGCTATCTTAATTAATGTCATCATATCGTTCCTACGAACATGTACGTTAAGCTATTTGAGAGCCATGTTCTGTGCTTCTGCGAGTAAGAGTCAGATGAACAGAAGCTACCACCGCCTCCACATCTCGGCCGGTAGAAAGCGAAGCGTACATTTTGGATAATGCGATATCGGGGCTTCCCTCTACACGATACTCACTCCATAGAAAGGCCGAGAACTGGTGTCTCCAAGGTGATCGAGTCAATCACAAGGGCATCGTGGAGCAGGCGGGATTTTGTGGCTTGTTAATCCTGCCGCGATGCGATCTGAATGGGCAACATAAGGTCTTGTTTTCCGATCGGAAACACGGAAATCAGTCATCGAAATCCATGCCCATGAGGTGACTNNAAAATTCGAGTCAGCAACAACGATCTTGGTTTGGTAACAGAGTTTTCATGATCGCGTACCTTTCGACGATGCGCATGACCTTGGCAACAAAGGCTTCCAGGTGGAAGATGTATTTNNCTTTCTCGCGTCAGTATCAAGGAGGCCGTTGTATAGGTGTAGCAGTGTCACTTACTGTGCCCATCTGGATGCGATGCTCGTAGAAAGCCGACCATTTGATGATTTCGGTCTTGAGGGCGTCGTCAATCTTTGGTATCAACTTGAATGTCAGGGNTCTGTCGGGATTAGCATGTGCACGTGCGGAAAATGTGGTCCAAAGAGCTACCTTCAGAATGGTACTAGCTGGTATGCAATGAGTAAGGAGATCGTAGAGCTTAGCTCTGACCTGCAGGATGCGGGCAGGGCTGCGCTCGGCTAGGATCTCGTCTGCAACTTGAGAGATCAGGGCTTCCCAATCCGGAGGTGGAATCACCGTCTTTTCGGTGACTTGGTCACNTATGAAGAGTCAGCGTGGGCAACATTGGCATGTTTAGTGGACTTGGTACTTTTGAGCATGGACCGCTTCAAACATGAGCAGAGCACGACGCAGATTGCGATAGCTCTCTTTGGCAATTCTCTNTTCGAGACCCTCACAACGTGTGTAACCCTCCTTCTTTCCGACCTGGGCTAGGACGGCACAGATCTCGTCTTCGGTGGGTGCAGCAACTCTGACGAGCAAGGTACGACTTCGAATAGGAGCAATGATATTGCTCGTACTGTTGGCCAGAAGAATCAAGCGCAGGTTGGGACTGTATTTCTCCATTGTTCTTCTCAGAGCAGCCTGAGCGTCTCTGGTGAGGTGGTCGGCCTCGTTGATGACGACAACCTTGAAGCGTTGCTTGGCTGCGACATCGACTTGCTGCGTCTGAGCAACCTCCTTGAGAAGGTCTTGCACGACAACACGGTCATAGTTGCCTACATCGCTAGGTGTTATCTCGAGATGGTAGTTGGATGAGACGATGTTGAATTCGAGCTTGCGGTTGCTTGTTGTCTGGAAGACTCGACTGTCGATTTTTATCTTTTCCACACCAGGGCCGTAGAGTGCGCGGAGGGTAGCTGTGATTCTTGTCTTCTTGCCGGCTCCAGAAGGTCCATAGATCAGAAGATGTGGGAAGTCTCCGCTTTGCGNCCTATGAAGACGTCAGTTCTGTTTAGCCAGCACTGCGGGAAAGAGGCTAATCACCAGTGATCGCAGGCGTTCAGACAGATCATGATGATATGTCAATGTCTCCAGGGAGCGCGGACGGTGCTTGTCTACGAGAAGAGCCATGGTGGGAGTGTCTGATGCAGCGTGTGTCTGGCGTGGATGGCTGCGAGTTTGTGAGCTTAAGGAGGACGCGACTGCGCGTAGAGTGCTCCAACGACGCGACTTCCCGCGATGACAGGGTCACTGCTGACAACACTGCAGTAAGCATGTGAAGTTGAACAACTGCAGCAACTGAAGTTTTGAAAGGCATACTCTTATAGTCAAAATGAGCTTTCATTCATCACACACTGTGCTCATTGGGAGTTGGCTTCAGCGCTGCCATCCGGTCCAGCCTGGGAACAATTGCCCTTCCACCTTGCGTAACTTAGTCTGAACGACGGCACCTTATACTCGAAAGTGATCATCCTACAAGGCAAGCCTGGATCTTCCTCCGAACCAAGTCTTATTCTATCACATGTCAATTGAAGATGGAAAGGTGGATAGAGGCTAACATGGCATCAAGCTCGACTGAATTCATGATTTGGGCAACATATACGATCATACGAAGAACACTATCATAATCGGTTGCGTGGCCCAATGGCAAGGCGCTTGACTACGAATCAAGAGATTCCAGGTTCGACCCCTGGCGTGATCATTTTGCTCCTGACAGGGCATCCTGAAACAGTCAAATTTTTCGAGGCTGCAAGAAGAAAAAATTCGATATCAGGCACAGACTTCAGCCCACCGTTATGTCGGCATGAACCCAATTTTATGCATAGGTAGTCGTTGCATACACATCGTACCAGCTGTTCCCATTTCACATAACGCGTCCTCAATTCAATAACCTCACCTTGACCACAATGATTATCGGCGGCGTTGACGTCGTCAGTCGCCAAATCGTGCGAAACCTACTTAATGCAACCCACCAGCAACAACCCTGTGGAGTAGACCTCACCCTTCGCTGTATATCCAGATGGACCTCTCCTGCCACAATCGACTTTGACAACACGCAACGTCAGGCTGCCAAAACATCCATCATACCCTTTTGTTCCAGAACAAGCACTGTCACCCTCCAACCCGGCGCATATCTGGTCGATTTCAATGAGACTGTCAAGATACCGAGGAATTGCATGGGCAGTGTGTTTCCTCGATCGAGCTTGTGGAGAAGTGGTTTGGGTGTACAGGCTGGAGTTGTGGATGCTGGGTATGAAGGTGCGATGGGTGCGCTATTAGAGGTCAAGAATCCGAGTGGGGTTGTTCTGCACAAGCACGCAAAGTTGGCACAGCTTGTTTTGGAGCAGATGGAGCGAGAAGTGGAGGGATACAATGGGGTTTATCAGTCATCGACTAGTAGTGTAGGGGTCGATGGTGCAAAGGAAATCTGACTTCTGAATGTCTATGGGTCTTGTGCCACTACGAAGGTTGACAAAGATGTCCAGCTTTGGCATACTGACAAACATGATGCACGGAACATGTTGTAAATCGATCTGATCCCTACATATATTTTCCGCCACCTAAAAATGAAGTCTCCAGCAGTACACTCGTGAGATTGGAAAGCTCTTACCAGAATACATAGCCTCAAGTAGTGTCAGGGGTATCGCCACTACCATGGAGACCATGTTCTTGTCGGAAGATCTCCATCCATTGCGTGTCATCAGCGAATGTCTGGTTCCAAGGATCGTCACTATCAAACCACAGCCGGCGAGATTCTTGCTGAAACATCTCGTCTGTAGGTACGATGCCAGCCTTGATTTTCTCCTGAGCAAAACGACCGAGATGGAAGGTTAGAATTTCCCATGCTGTCTTGAACTGTTGGTTGTTCTCAGCCGGACGATTGTCAGGTGAAGGCGATGGATCTGCCACAACACTGTTGCTGTTGTTTGCTGCATCATTCAGGGCAGCTCTTGAAGAAATTTGTGCCAGAAGCTCCGAATGCCCAGGTTTGGTCGCAGAAAATGGAACCGGCGTCTTCGATTCGGAGCCAATTAGGAAAGGAGGCATCGAGTTTGTGACTTGTTGAGCGACGTGTGGTTCGAAACCATGTGTTCCCCGCCAATCCAACATCTTTTNTCCTTCTCGGAAATGCTTGCTCAAATGATCAGCTCGAGCCTTCCAATCGTTCATCTTGGTGTCGCAAAATCCGCAACGCGACTTGATGGGAAGCTCCGGAGGCTTCCACTCTCCGATGGTTGGAATGGTGTCAACCTTGTGAACCAATCTGAGATGCTGTATGAGATGATCCTTTCTCTTGAAGCTCCTAGATTCAATACTCTTGTATGCGCAAGCAGTAGAATTGTGACTCTCTAGGTGTTCTTTGCTTGGTTGAGGGACTAAGCAGTAAGCGCAAAGAGGATCGCCTGATGACGGGCAGGTGACCACCTCGCCCTCAGGGGAACAAACCCATTGTTCAGGGTTCAGATGTAGCGACTTCTCATGACGACACCAGTCGAACTTGTTCTTGAAAGTGTCACAGCAGAATGTGCATTGGAAGGGTCGATCGTCGTTACCAGTTCCCGGTCGGGCTCGAGATTTAGTAACCTTGCTACGAGCAGTGTTACGATGATTTGAGCTCGCAGAAATACGAGAGTTACCCGAGCGACCTGATAATATAGAGTCCATTGAGCCATTTGATGTAACACTCTCGAGACTGCTTATGGAAGCAGGCCTTGATGTTCGACGAGCGGCATAACCAAAGCCTTGAGCTTCGACGCCTGGCGTACTGACTCTACTACTGTTTGCCGAGCTCACAGTGAGATGCCGATCGAGGTCGTTTGAAGCTACCGCATGATTGATGGCGGACAATGATGCTGGTTCGTTCTCAGGTGGACTATTTTGCCAGCGTTGTAATGGGTCCAAGGCCGACCAATCAGTGTTTTGCTGTTTCGGTATCAAGATCGGCACACCAGAGTTTCTGGAGTACAATGACCTCCGACGTGGGAAGGCCTTTCTAAACCTGCTGTCACGTCTTGCGGATTGTGCAAACCAATTTTGCATCTCGTAGCTGTTTGCAGTCATTGCAGCATTGGCTGATTGGTTTTGATAGGGAGATATTGGTCCTGTAGACAACGGTTGCTCGTAAGCAAGCCCGGGAGTAACCGCCGGCGAGTCCATATACGACCCTTGGTGGTCTGGCATGGTCGGTGATTGAAAAGCGGACATGTCCATGGCGTTAGGAAAGTATGGACTAGACGTGGCTTCCATGGAATTGTTCCAGAGTCCTACGCTGGTCATAGGCTCACTGAGTGGTGTGAAATTGTCAGACATCCATGGATAACTTGTTCCATATTGATGTGGCACTTGTGGTGGATATGACTGATGTGATGAACTCGGCTGATTATCAAGTTCTTCTGATGGCAGTCCCGGATGACTGGTTGTTCGCATCAGTGCAAATTCTCTCGTAACAGGAAGAGAAAGACCAACTGATTCGCCGAATTGACCGGATGCTGGTCTGGTCGTCGCATGGCTGACTCGAAGTCGAAGTAGTCCATGATCGGTTATACACGGTCTATGTAGTTGCAACAGTCACGATATGAAAGACAAGAGAGTTGTATGCACGAAGAATGTGTTCTAGATGCCGATTGGCGTGGCTGTCCTTTGTGGAAGCCAAGGATGGACGTCGTCGAGCTTCAGAGTTTGCCGCAAACCGTGCGCTCTCGCAACACACGCGCCCGCACCGGCTCAGCCCGGACGCCGACCGCAGCTTCATGCTCGCCGAGAAAGATCGCTTCCCTCCTCTCCTTCATCGAGAAGCTGTGGGCATTCGACAATCTCGTGTGCATCACAATTGTTTTGCCCTCCAAGTCAATTGAGTTGTTCGATCGATCGACGCGGCATGTTGCCATGGACCCCTTGTCCCCCTTGGCCAGGCTTGCATCCTTCGCGAAGACCGTGCGCATAGGGGAGAGAACCGCTGCTGCTCTCCAAATTTCCAACACGAGACTGACAGTTGGATACCGCATACCAATGGCTCACTGTAATTAGACCATCAAGACGTTTCTCTCCTCAAGCCCTGTTGATTCGGATCCTGCCTATACTCTAATCTCAACCATGTCGTAGTGGTGGAGGTGTTTTGATTTTGCCTCCCGTGAGTTTCCCCCATAACACTCAACGGCTTCCCCCAGGACTTGCAACCGCTGTTACCACTGCTCCATTCAAGACAGCAGAACTGGTCGTAGGTATTATCGATCACCTAGATGATCCACTTGCCGATGTTGATCTGCACCACGTGAGGGACTGGGTTGGTTTTTCCTTCTTTGCATGCTATCTCCATCATCTTCGATGCGCATGCATGCATACAGCGAACATGCATGATGGCAATTGGCCGTTCGAAACGTCTGCCATCAAGCTTCCCTGGTCGAGCCGCCCCCTTTAGCGGTCTCGTTGTCTGCCTACCAGCTTTTGCTATTTTGCGGTAGCAACTAATCTTATCGCCAACTCAACGACAACAGTTCTGACGCAAAATCATATCGCTAATCCATCTCGACTGACCGTCATGCAGGAGGATTCTCGCATGGAGATTGAGATCCACACGACAGGTGTAACGCTCTGAAGAGGCGAATTAACTAAACAACGAGTCAATGGCAGACTCTATCCTGAGAGAAAGGCATATATATACCATGGTCCATCTCTGCTTGTAGTCTCCTCATCCAACAACAGCAACAGCTTCCTTCAGCAGCATCTTCCAGTCTTTGGCTCAGCCGTCCACTCTTTACAACACTCTTTATCAATACCAACCCGACCACCAATCAACTAATTCACCTCCACCACCAACACTAAAACATCAAAATGCCTTCCTTCACCGCCATCTCTGCCGCCGCCATCCTGGCCTTCTCTGGCATGGCTTCTGCCATTCCCCAGTACAACTTTGCTAACGGCACCTCCGCCGCCGCTCCTGCTGGCTCTGGCCGTCCCACCTCCAGCCCTCTCCGCCCCAGTGGCAGTGTTGGCTCTGGTGCTGCCTCTGGACAGAACTCTACCGCTCCCATTGACGGCAAGTTCTGCCCTGGCCTCGACCTCGACCTTTACATCGACAACTCTGGTTTCACTTTCCAGATTCAGTGCGACACGTAAGAACATCGAATATCACCATAGAAGACTCAAAAACTGATTTACATCTGATTTTAGNNCAACCATTTCGGTGTCATTATTGACATCCAGGCCAACCTCACCAGACGTGCTGTTCCCTCCAGCCTTGACGACTGCATGAACCTTTGTGATGCCACCAACACTTGTGTCGGGTAAGTGGTTTTCCACCACATTTCATGGAAAAACTTCGATCTAATCGAGATTTCAGTNACCGCATTCAACACCAATGCTCGCACTTGCACTCTCTACAGCGATGTCCAAGCTGCCTACACCCAGCAGGGCACTCAGTTCGCTCAGCGCGTCGCCAACGGAGCTGGCAATGGTGCTAACGGAGCTGGCAATGGAGCCGGCAATGGCGAGTCCACTATCCCCGCTGGTGGTGTCGCTACCTCGACCATCTACTCCACCAACGTTGTCACCATCCACAGCTGTGCTCCCACTGTCACCAACTGCCCTCTCAGAAACGGTGAAGGCGCCGTCGTCACTCAGATCATTCCTGTTTCCGAGACCACCTACATCTGCCCCACTGCCACCGTAAGTCAGATCTTCAAGGAAGCGGATGTAACAAAGCTAATCAAAGCANNGGTTGTCCCCGCTGCTCCTATCGCCTGTGCTGGCAACTGCCCTTACACCGCATCTACCGCTACTGTCTTCTCTCAGACTGGCGGCTCCGTTGTGCCTGTTGCCACTACCGTCTACGCATGCCCTCAGGCCACTGGCACCACTATTACTACTACTATCTGCACTGCCTGCGCTAACCCCACTGCCAACATGAACAACGGCAACGGCGCTTCCACCCAGACCGTCACTGTCTGCAACGGCCAGAACTGCCCTGCCATGACCTCCGCCCCTGCTTCCAGCAGCTCCCTCATGGCCACCTACACCCCTACCCAGAGCTCCCAGATGGCCGTCTACACCGGCGCTGCCTCCAACGTCAAGGCCGGCATGGGCTTCGCCGCCGTTGTCGGTGCTGCTGCCCTCATCCTCTAAGCATCTGCTTAGCAGTTGACACTTCCTAAGAGAAGGCAAAACAACAAACTTTTCGTATCTTTCTTCTTCTTATATATACATCTTGGTGGTGTTTGCTTAATTAGCCTTGGTTGGCATTCAAATGGTTTCTCTTAAAGGGTTGGTTTGTTCTCTGGATTTATTACATGACTTTTCATATACTTATAAATGGATGCTGCTGTTCATTTCAATATTTCCATCTGTGAATCTTTTCTAATCTCCCGAATCTTCGAATTCAATCGATCTTATTGAGCTATCCGCAATGTTCACTGAATCTTTTCAATGCACGACAAAATGTTTGTACAGAACGATAATCTCATGCCGAAAACCAAAGCGCTTGTATCGTTCCAACTATGAGAAAGCACGAGCGTATAATTGCGTGTATATCAGTCACATAAATGACGGATGGGGATTGTGAACTCCAACCTACCCGTGTGCTAAACAAAGAATATGACTCTCGTTCCGCTCCGACTATAGCAGAGAGTAAAGTACACACTTCAAAAATGCACAATCTGTTTAGAAACAAAACCATGGTCAGAGAGAGCTAGTCAGAAATCGCCTCTCAGTGGACACTATCCTGTTCTCTAATAGTACAGTGCATTTTGATAGCCACACGCGTTACATACTTTTGTACATGGAGAGGAACGAATGGTGCTTATCTGCTTGTTTTTGTTGACTTTCTATCTGCTGATCCTGATTGGCTTCAAGCAGATTGCCAATCGTTATTTACTTCAAAAGACTTGTCTTGATCCATTGTCAAGAAACCTCTCGTTGTATGCAAGTTTGCGCTCGATGTTTCACTGTCTCATCCCCCGAGAAATGAACATGCATAAACCCTTGAAGGAGTCAAGAACCCTCCCGGCCTTTGTTTTCGCCTGCTCCTTAACGCCCGCCAACCCGGTGAAATTGTCCCCGCTGGACTTTTGTGATGTTGCAAGAAGATTGTAAGATAGAAGCTTTCGTATTCTACCAGCCATTTTGGCCATAGGGTGTTGCGCCATAAGGTGTGGTGCCACCAGGTACAGCGTTTCCAGCACCACCGCCCCAAGCGCTGGTATTGCCGCCGCCGAAACCACCTCCGTAGACTGAGCCAGCACCGTAAGCAGTTGTGTTGTTGTATGCCGTGGCAGCACCAGTCATGTCCATCATGTCCGGGCTCTGTGGTGGTTGGGCAAGATCTTGCTGGTGTGCTTGCTGAAGGTTGGGTGATAGCTCCTGAATGACCGTGGCAAGTTTTTGTTGGAGAACCTTGATGGCGGTATGGAAGACAGTATCCGGAGGCATGACGCCAGTTCCCTCAATGTTGACGTAGAAACGATCGGGCTCCTTGTCGTAGTCAAAGACATCACCCTCCTGGGGTGGTTCCTCCCACTCGGCATTCTTGCTTGGGGGCCACTCCTCCAGCTTGTCACTCTCATACCACAGGTCGGCATGGCGCAAGGCGTTGTGTGGATCATATTCGAATGAGATGGCTGCCGTTGGCATCCACTTTGCGTGCTCCTTAGCGATTCCCTTCTTTGCGATACAGCGTAGCTTGAGTTCTTGGTTGCGGCGCAACTTGCAGATCAGAGGGCCGTTGCCGTCGGGGTCCATGACAACGGGGGCGCCGCGCTGAGGACCATCGGTGTCGACGTTGGGACGGTACTGGCTGAAAGATGCGTCGATGTAGAGGTCCTTGGCGAAAACCTTGACAGTCTCATCCGAGTTACGGTTGACGGCACTAAGGCGCAAGACGACGGCACAGTTTTCGCAATACTGGTCGCAGTCGCAATCGCGTGTGTATAGCAGATCATCGATGTTCTTGGCCGACAGCGGAATCAGACCCAAGCGGTGGGCGAGGAATTCGTCGGCCAAGACGGACGTGTTTGACTCGACCTCGACAAGATCGATAGCGAGGGTGGGAACTTCAGCGTGCATGGTGCGACGAATGCTGTTGGCCAGCGACAAGGTCGTGTTGCTCAGGACGAACTTGGCCGAGATGGGTGTAGTCTCGCTGATGTTAATGCGTGGACCCGAGTCATCGGCATCCATCCCCCGGTAGTCGTAGTCCATGTTGGATCCGGCGATCGAGTCTAAGTAATGGCGGAGAGGTTGGAGGCGGCGGTGGTGGAAAGCGAGCAATAGAGTGTTGTATGAATAGCTGGATTGGATGCGCGCGTGAAAGGGCGTGTTTGGCCAAGCAGCAAACACTTGCGGAGCGTCAGCCAAGAAGGCGCATTCACATGTTTCAAGCATTCACTCGCCTTCTTGTCTGGATTCTCACTTTCTTATCAACTAATTATGCGCACTCACGTATGGCGCAAGCAACTCACTCGCCTCTCACAGCGAGGTCAGCGCTTGCCCTTCCAGCGTCGTCGTGCCTTCCACTCCTTCACTCGTCAACTTGAAGCCCATCCCAATCCGAATCAGGAAACTGCCAATCTCGAAAATGCCGTCTCGGAAACCGCAACCAAACCCGCGCCTTCCACACGTCGTGCTAGATTAGCCCAGCGTCGTCCCAAGGAAGTCACTCCTTTCACTGTCCCGGATTGGTTCTTGCGTTACAATGTCCGGCTTCATGCTCCTTCCGATGATGCTACCGCCAATAAGGAATCTCGTTGCTGGACTTTGGTTGATCGCGACTCCGGCCACACTGTCCTAACCCTCCCTTTCACCGCCAACCCGTCCGACCCATTGAACGATTTCTTTACGCCCTCGGACCACACTAAGCAAGAAGAGAACAAGGAGATTACCACTCCATCTCAAGAGGAGGATTCTGTTCAGGATGATGTTGCCCGTGCTGTTTCAAACCACTTGTCTGCTCCTTCTGCTCTTCAAACCCCAGACTCACGCACCCTGCTCTCGCTCCAGTTACAACTCCTTCTGTATGCTGCCTTCACTCAGACAGGCCCTTCGGCTGCCCGTTACACAAAGTCAAACATCGACCTGAACACCAGAGATTTTGTCCATAAAGAGCTTGATGTTTATGTGCAGCAGATCGCTGGACTGGTCCAAGCTGACTTGATTCATCTCGACGCAAACGATATCGCTGAGCTCGCGCAGGATTACGTCGAGCGTGGAGACTCTGCCCCTGGCTCTATCTCATCGTTAGCTTACGACACTTTCAGAGGTCTCACTACTAAGAAGCCTGACATTCAGATCAACATAATTGGCGAGTCGGCCAGAGATGATGGCCACGACGATGGTGAATCTGAACACGCTCATGATATGGCTGATTCTGACATGGGCAACCCTCCCATGATGGGCGGCCATATTGGTGATCTCATAGATTTTATCAGGGACAACCCGAATGTGCTCGCCAAAGCTCAGAAGCATGGAGCCGCCGTCCTTGCTATGGCCGACATGCCAAAAGCCAACTCCCAATCTTCAGAAGAAGCCCGCTCTCGTGCTGCCGACATCAGCCCATGGGCCGAGCTGAAATTATCTAACCTTCTCGATACTGTCTTGGACAGCGTACAAATTAGGAGAAATTCTTCCACTGAAAACGCTGCTCGTGATTTCTTCTACGAAGCAATTCCGTCCACCCCAGACACGATCACATCCTCCCCACCAACTAAAGACGGCCTGGAACGTTTCTTGACCGAATTCCTTGCAAGTCGTATCGATTCTGCTACACAGGAACACAAGATGGACTGGAGCTTCATAAAAGAGTCTGCTCCATCACAATCCACTCTGCCACAGCAACGGACTATCATCCATGTCCGTGATATGGATCACATACGAAATGCGCCTCAAGGAGAAACTATCATCAACCTTCTGGTTAGTGCCGTGCAGCGCCGAAGGAAGGATGGCGAGCAAATTGTCATACTTGGTACTACAGCAAACTCCAGTCAAGCTCCTCCGCCTCCTGGCCAGGACGACGACGAGCTTTATTTCCGATACCTGAGATACCCTTCAGCATCGTCACCGACTCAGAACATTGCGAGCCAGTTGATGCTCGCGTCTCACAGCCAACAAGAGTTGGAGCGTAGTGTAGCCGAACCCGCTCTCCAGAGGCTATTCGAGATCAACATGCGCCATATTCACACTATGGTTCGTCATCTCGGCTTACCAACCTCTGACAATTTCTTCTCGGGACCTACCCGCGCACATCTCAATATCCCAGGCACTTCGAAATTAGGAGACAGGACTTTACCTCAAGACGAGATTCAGAGGATTGTCCTTTGTGCAGACAGCTTGCGGTCACTTTACACCACCAGCCCTTCTCTCGAGACTTCCCATATTGCACTTGCCGCCATGCTTGTCAATACTGTTGACAGTGCGCTGAAACCGCCGCCCGGTAACATATCCTTCAACTCCGTAATTCCCCAGGCTCGTGAGCGTGGTGAATCTCGAGACGAATCTGATGGGCCCAAAGACTCTACCTCTGCCAAATTGGACATGGAGAAGTTGAAGAAGTCATGCTCCAAACATGAGACACGTCTCTTGTCAGGGGTCGTCGATCCCGCAAGCCTGCGGACCACATTCAATGATGTGCATGCTGACCCGAATACGATCGAGTCGCTCAAAACCTTGACTTCACTAACATTGCTGCGTCCGGAAGCTTTCAGCTATGGTGTGCTCGCAGCCGATCGTCTACCTGGTCTTCTACTATATGGTCCTCCTGGTACCGGTAAGACCTTGCTCGCTAAGGCTGTGGCTAAGGAGTCATCTGCCACTGTGCTTGAGGTCAGTGGTGCACAAGTTTACGAAAAATACGTAGGCGAGGGCGAGAAGATGGTCGACGCAGTCTTCTCACTAGCAAAGAAGTTGTCACCTTGTGTAGTCTTCATCGATGAGGCTGATGCTCTCTTCGGCTCTCGCGGTGGTGCCAACAATCGCACCACACACCGCGAGATCATCAACCAATTCCTCCGTGGGTGGGACGGCATGGACGACCACAGCGTCTTCATGATGGTTGCCACTAACCGTCCCTTTGATCTAGACGATGCTGTATTGCGTCGCCTGCCTCGTCGCTTGTTGGTCGACCTTCCTCTCGCTAAGGATCGTGAAGGTATCCTCAACATTCACTTGAAGGGTGAGACCCTTGACCCAGCGGTCTCACTATCCGATCTGGCCAAGAACACGCCTCTTTACTCTGGTTCGGATCTTAAAAACTTGTGTGTGGCTGCTGCGCTTGCCGCAGTGCGTGCCGAGAACAACGCTCTGGAAGCTGCTCGCGCGAAGGGCGACACAGAATTCAAGTTACCAGAACGCCGCACGCTCGCACCTTCACACTTTGAGAAGGCTCTACAAGAGATCTCTGCGTCGGTATCTGAGGATATGGCAACGCTAGGTGCAATCCGCAAATTCGACGAGCAGTACGGTGAGAAGAGAGCTCGCACTAAGAAGCCTGGATATGGCTTTGGTTTGGGCTCTAGTAATGCCATTGATGAGACTGGTGCTAGAGTTAGACCTGATGATCCTAGTCCATAGATTTTCTCTGTTTGAGACAAAAGTTCATGGTGTGGTTGTGTAAGATTAGCATGAGGATATTGGTAAGATTGTACGATACGGAAGCGTGGCATAGATAGACATGTTTGGAACAATGATATACTCGACTATGACAGTTGTCTCTGTGTCCCAAGGCAGAATTGCTACCAAGGCCAAAGAGGTCGTACATTCTAGTGAAGGTGCACCGCAAGACGTGGAGCAAGAGAGAATTGTCTCGGCGCTGTCGTGACATGTCAAACGGAGCAAACGTCAAGTCAGCTCCATCTCACTCTTGAACGCTTCATCGCATTTTCTGCCACAGCGTCACAACGTCACCGCCCTCGGATCTCGGCTAAACCTCGCCATACGCGCAATACCCAGCCCTAACTCCGCAATGGACGGATCGCTTCCTCTTCCTCCGCTTGTAGGTTCAGTTGGCAGAGAGCTCATCGCGCCTTCCAGAAGCAACAAAGTTGACACCATCTAGATTATGGCAACCAACTCGATCAAGCTCCTGACTGGCAGCAGCCACCCTCAGCTGGCTGAGCTGGTCGCTAGCCGGTAGGTCCTTCCTTGTTCTGTCTGCTTGAAACACCCCGCGCGCAAACAAAAACTTTTGATCATCCTTCACCGCATGCACATCGCCCGACACGATGCGCAAAGGACTGACAAGATGCGTGCAACAGTNCTGGGAATCGAGCTGGCCAAGATCATGGTCCTTCAGTACTCCAACAATGAATCGAGCATCAGCATTGGCGAGTCTGTCCGTGACGAGGATGGTATGACACATTCAAGACGCCCAAAGCGCAACGAAAGAAGATGCACAAGACTGACTGCTGCGTCCNNAGTCTTCGTGCTGCAGTCAACCGCCCCCGGCGACATCAACGATGGAGTCATGGAGTTGCTCATCATGATCAACGCTTGCAAGACCGCCTCTGCCCGTCGCATCACCGCCGTCCTTCCCAACTTCCCCTACGCTCGTCAGGACAAGAAGGACAAATCGCGTGCCCCCATCACCGCTCGTTTGATGGCTAACATGCTCCAAACCGCCGGCTGCAACCACGTCATCACCATGGATCTCCACGCCTCGCAGATCCAGGGCTTCTTCAATGTGCCCGTCGACAACCTCTACGCCGAGCCCAGCACCCTCCGTTGGATTCGTGACAACCTGAAGGTTCAGGACTGTGTCATCGTCTCCCCCGACGCTGGCGGTGCCAAGAGAGCCACCTCGATCGCCGACGGCCTCGACCTTGGCTTTGCTCTCATTCACAAGGAGCGCGCTCGTCCCAACGAGGTCTCTCGTATGGTTCTTGTCGGTGATGTTCGCGGCAAGGTCGCCATCATTGTCGACGATATGGCCGACACTTGCGGCACCCTCTGCAAGGCCGCTGAGGTCGTCATCGACCACGGCGCCAGCAGCGCTATTGCCATTGTCACCCACGGTATCCTCTCCGGCAATGCTATAGAACAGCTGAACAAGTCGAAGTTGACCAAACTCGTCGTCACCAACACTGTTCCCCATGAGGAGAAGAAGGCTCTGTGCGACCGCATCGAGACCATTGACATCTCCNNCCCTACCGTGAGTTCCGCCAACAAGCTCCCTGACAACGATACACAGTACTGACGATTTTGACCATAGCTCGCCGAAGCCTGCCGTCGTACTCACAACGGCGAGTCCGTCTCGTTCCTCTTCAAGCACGCTCCTGTCGATTAGAGGTTCGATGGTAGCGACAACGGCTCTCTTTTCTGCGATTTCTTGCTTTCGGTTACAAAAGGGTTCCTTCACGGCGGCGGAGTCAATGGCGTTTTCAAGAGGCTTTCTTTGCTCGGTCAGCTGAGCGTTTTCTTCCCTACTTCGAGGTAACGAGGACTTGCGGACATGATTCTACGCACAAAATACGTTCCCATTGAAGATAGACCACTCTGCCCTTTGCTCTCATCCCATACGGCGCCACATCTTCCGTACCAGAAATCAATGCCATTTCTGGCAAGCTTTCAGTTTCTCCCTGTCTCGCGTCCCTTGGCTACCGCTCTTTTCCACACATCTCTTGCCAGTTTTCTCACACCTTTCTTTTCTCTTCCATTCGATCCGTGCACCTCTGTTTACGTTCAAAACATGCATACATCTTACGAGCTCGACCATGCTGCACACCTCGAACGCACGACCAAGAATCGGCTTGCAGCGAAGGATCAGATGTCAAATTAATTAAAATCAGGCATCTAAATGAGTCAGCAGATGCCAAGCGCAGGCTCAAGCATCTACCTCTAGCATTCATTCCAGACTTCGTGGATACCTTCCTGCCTATTGTTTACTATCAAATGGGCCGCGACCGAGAACAACCAAGCAAAATGACAATGGATCCCAGATCGAGACTTACGACAACAAGCCATGGCTATCCCCTCTCAAGCTACTGCGTTGGCCTTCCAAAGGCCTCAGGAACAGACCCAGAAGGCAAGGTTCACAGTGTTCCAAGCGATTGCCAGAACGACGGACTCCCGATCCCACTAGACGATCTATTCGCAGGCCTTGAAATAAATGATGTTCTCGCTTATTCTATGAAAGACATGCACGCAAGCCTCATGTCAACACAACCAAATATTTTCGACAAGCTTCCGCCAGAGATCATATACAAAATCCTCAGCTTCATTTTACCAGAAGATTACGTAGGCTTTGCTGGTACTTGTCAATTTGCACTCGAGCTCTCGAACATCCAGGTCGCATTGGAATGGCCAGCGCTTATAGCTAGCCAAACTCCATCTTGGCCTCCATGTCTCAAAGAAGAGATATCGGTTCTGGAAAAATCGCCTAGCCTCAAGAACTATCTTTCTGCTGTTAGACTTCTCAACCAGCAGGTGCAATGGGGATCCACCTGTGGAGGCTATTTTTGGACATTGATGAGGAGAACGATGTCGACTTGTGATGCCTGGACAACCTACTTTTCCATCTGCAGCGTCTGCTCGTGCTCCCTTGTAGCCTAGATCTACGCTCCTTCTGCGATTTTGGATCTTGCATGTGGAGCCGATGAGTTGGTGCATACAGTTGGTACGAAAAGCTCAAGCAAGATCTCTAATATCTCCCCTTAATTTGCTTCTCCTCGAGCTATTCTTCGACAATCGAAATGCCTGACGCTGTCAGTTCCACAAGCTCGCCTTAAAGTCCTTTACAGAAGTTAGAGTCTCGCAGCAATATGCTATCAATTTATCGCGTGAAAAGGACAGAGCGACGATCATCTCACATGGAGCATTCAACTGAAGTCAAATCTTGAAGACAAAACATACAAAGTAGTTCCTTCCTTGAAATTATATACAAGCGACATCCGGACGTAAGGGAAGATATAGATAGATAAGATGTCAAAGAGATGAACGCCATAACCGTACAACCCACAGAACACAAAACAGCAATAGAGCCAAAGTGATGCTTATCATGCATACCTCGCTCCGGGCGTGTACGCTGGTGGAGGGCCCCTTGCGGGGGTGCCCATTGCCCGTATCCTTGGCCATATCCTTGGTTATAATGTTGCGGCGGTGGCGGGTATGAGTGGTTTGGCGGCATAGGACGCATCTGAGTACCCCAACCAGGCGGCGGTGATTGCATTTTCACAGGCTTGCTTCTACGCCTCTTGCAAGAGCGGACACAGCAGCTGAGAATGGCGAAGAGCAAGAGACCTCCTACACCACAACATACACCAATTACGATGCCCTTGTGGTCATCGATCCATGAGCGAATTTGACCTCCAGTGTCTGTGCCTCTGCAGCGTCCCTATAGAACTGTCAGTGATCGCTCTTACTTTTCGATGTCAGGGGGAACGCTTACATTGCTACATTTGCCTCCACCACCACAAGGCGTGCCATCTAGGAAGTTCTGCTGTACCTCNNGGAAACAAACGTTGTTTCCAAACACAGAAGATCTACCACCGCTCGAGCATTTAATCTGGCAGGTTGAGCTGTCGCAAGCTGAAGTGTTGTTTCCAACACCTTGATAGCCACCCATGACGCTTCTACACTGCTGATCACGGCTTGTGCATTGGCCGCTGGCACACTGAAGGCCACTGCCACATTTTTGACCGTCGGGTGCATTGGCATCTTGAGGGCAGGTACCTGAAGTACCAGGACAAGTCTCTGCAGGATCACAAGAGCCTGTCGAAGCGCGACAAACAGTTCCGTTTGAGGCGAATTGACAGTTGTTGCAGCACCCTTCGTTGCTGTCATCGCAGACGGCATTGTTCTTAAACTTGCATGTCTTTGCGTCACAGCACGAGTTGCCTGCACATCCAGACTCGCCACCACAGTCACAGTCTTCGCCTTCTTCAACAATACCGTTGCCACATTCTTGTGTGCCAATAGTCTTGATGTTTCTGTTGGCAGTTAGACATGTAGACTTGACGCTGTTGCGCCCAAGAGCACTGCAAATATTGCCAATACTGCACGGGCTGAAGTTCTTGACGCCAGCACTAGTCGAAGGGTTCATGATGTACTGTTCACCTGCATTGCAGGTAGTAGAGCTTAGGGGACAACACTGTTGACTGCCGACAGTAGTAGATTGTGCACAAGTCTGATCTGTACAATCATGAACGGCACCGAAAGTGTGGCCAGTCTCGTGAGCAATGATCTGCCATTCCGAAGCTCCTTGGGTTCTGACGACAACGTTCGCGCCTGTGACGGTCTCTGCGCCTTCGGTAGAAGATTGACCGTTGCCGGTAGTGCTGCTGTTGGTAGAATAGGCAGTCTGAACACATGCCTGACCAAGCCAGGCAAGACCAACGGCGCTTCCAGTGTTGCAGGTACTAAGCAGTGTCCAATGGCTGTTTTGGTCCTGTAGATTGCCTCTCCATGCGCTGAACAAGTTGAGGCGGTCTTGAATGTCGACACTATCGCTACATGCCTGGTTCCAAGGACTTGCAGAATTGGGTGTACCGGGACAGTTTGATTCAGAGATGGTCAAGTTGGCCAGACCAAGAGAAATGTTGAAGGTTCGTTCATATATGCTGGATGCTGTGTTCATCTGGTCAATAACATTCATGCGTACTGACTCGGTCGAGTTGAACTGCGCGGTGTATGTGCAATCAGTAGCGACACCGACGAGAGCGACCTGTCTAGTGTTGGGACAACCTCGAGTCTGGCCAATAGTGGAACTGAGGTCGACACCTGCCGAGTTGCCAGCAGTGCTGCTGTCGACCTGGCGTTTGCCAAAGAGGTTACCCAGAGTCTCACTTCCCAGAACAGAGTCAGATCGTCGCAGCATGGCAGTATAGACGGGATGGTCGGGCTGACTGTTGAAGCCTAGGTTATCTGACTGGCATGTGAGACCATCATCATACTCCAGGCTTCGCAACTCGTGCATGTGATAGTCAAGATGCTGATCCAGTAGGATGTCTGAGTCACGATATACAACCATGGAGTTCTCGTCTGCGGTATCGACATGAGGATCTAGGTGGTGGCGCGTGTGGGCGAAGTGGGGAGCCAATTGAATGTGGTGGTTGTCATGGTCCAAAGCAAAGGCGCCCTGGAACAGGGGTTGCAGACCATCCTTGACAATAGTGATTCTTGCCCATCCTGCTCTTATCCATTCGTCGTCGACGTTCTCCTGGCGATACCAAGCACTTCCTCGGAATACCTTATGAGCCAGGCGGTCAAGGTCCTCGGTCCTAGAGACGGATCCATCAGAGTTCAGGTATGAGACTACCAGACCAGTGTTGGGAAGAAGGTCGTCATTAGGCTCAAGAGAGAGTTTGACGTATAGATCCGGGCGCAATACGAAGGACAGGTCGAAGTTATGGAGAGCGGTTACACGGTGGGTATGTGTGTGTATGGTGGCATTTTGGATTGTAGATAAGGCACGTAGAGGATTTCGTGTTGTCGAACTGGCAGCGACAAAAGTGGCGAAGAAGGCCCAAAGGAGATAAAATCGGAAGGCAGTCGTGGTCGTGGCCATGAACGCGTGGTGGCGGGACGGTCTAGCGCCCTCGATGGATGCCGGCTTATACAGTGGAGCGTTTTTGCCCTGCGTCGCTTGTTTACAGACTTGAGAATGGCAGTCAGACAGAAATCGAGGAAAACGAATGGTATGAAACAACGAGCGAGAATGACAATCTAAGTCAGCGACATGGTTAATACGAATAGAATGTCGACTTCGTCGGCCGAAGCGCCATGGCCTTTGGCATTGGCAGCTCCCTTGGCCTAGCAACCAACTGCCTCCGAAGCCTCTCACCCTCTGTTGGACCCTTGTCTTTTCGACAACCCTTACGAAACTCCGTCGTATTCCACCTAAACTCCGAGATCTTCATTAGATATTTCTTCTCTACTTATGGATCCCATTTACTTCCAACACCTCTCATCTCGCGTGCTTTGCCTTTATACCTCGACTGGTCCTCTGTTCTCTTCCTCTCTTCGTCTTCGTAACCTTACCAAGACTCTGCCATGCTATCCGCCATCAGCCGGCACGACAATGACCATGAGGCGTGAAGCCTCTCTGCACTGCCGCAGCCGCCTATTGTGAAGCGCTTGGCCATCTTAATCCTTGGCAACACAAGCATCGACACTGACGAATACGCGTCCGCCATTTCTATTGCCGCCGCTCCATGACTGCATCCTCTACTAACAAGACTACGCAATCCTTTCTTGGCTGTCTTTTCCTTGCAATATGTGCAGTCTTTGCCTCTTTACAGTAGTATACCGTGGCCATCATGTGCTTACCGCTCTGACGCTATGAAGCACGCTATGGTCGCCGAAACACGAACAGTTTCTGCTTGTTTCACCAAACTTGGTAGCAGCTTCGGTCACGCATTCGATGGCAGACACACCGTATCACAGTAAATATTGGGTATGGTCAATCTGTATTATTATCACGCCTCTCGTGCCATTAAGCGGCTGTCACCGTCTCGCCTACATCACACAACCAACATTCCGTCTGCCATTTACCTTCCTTTGCGCAGCACTCCTGCCAGCGCCTTGGTGGCTCCCTGACATCTTCATACTGCGCGCTTAGCCCTCCTCGCACCGTCCCATAGTGCATACCAATAGTCTTCTTGCTGCCAATGTCCTTGTGAATCTCAAGACTGTCTTCAGGGCAACAGTGGACATTGCTCATGAACCACTCGGGTGAGTATAGACCGATAGGTACCATAGCCAAATCAAATCCTCCAAAGACTTCGCCTATCTGCTTGAATGCTGGGCACGCTGTCTTTGCAGAGGTAGCTTTGTATGCCGTGTCGCCCGAAAAGTAGAGTTTCTTGCTAGACTGCACATCTTCAACGACCCATGAGGACCACAGAGTCTGTCCGGCATCGAAAGGCGTTCGTCCAGAAAAATGCTGTGTTGGCGTGCATGTGAGATTGATGCTGCCTACTCCTTGAACATCAATCTTTTGACCGTCCCACCAATCACATTCTGTGACCTCTTCTGCGGTGATTCCAATACCTGCATTCAAGAACCACTGCTTGTTGCCTAGCGCAGCAAAGAAATGTATATCCTTGCCTGCTGCCTTCGACTTTTTGTAAACATGCGAGATGGTCGCGATGTCCAAATGATCATAGTGATTATGCGAAATAATCACCAAGTCGACCTCAGGCAACTCGTCCAGCGTGCAAGGCGTAGGCGTATACCGTTTGGGTCCAAACCAACCCACCGGGCTCGTTCTCTCACTAAACACGGCATCAAACAAGATACGAACACCTCTGCTGCTGTTTCCATCATCGGTCGAACCCTCGAGTCCTGGTGTGGTGGCTGAGCAAGCCGTCTCTACCAAGAACCCAGCATGACCCAACCACGTAGCTTTTAGTTCATGCTGCCAACCGTCTAAGCTTCTGCCCCAATCTGGTTTGCGGACTTTGACCAACTCGTCTCTGGTCTCGGGCACGGGAACAAAGTTTCTGTTGTTGCTGAAGCGTGTCTTGAATACGTCGAGAAGTCCGTGTTGTTTTGCGAAGCTGGGCCAGGGATTCCTGAACGATGTTGGTGGATTGCTGACCCAATGCGCCGGAGGATCCACTGGCTCCGGATTCTGCGAGGGCAAAGGAGTCACTGCTATCTTTGCCATATGTGAAGAGAGAGCTTTTGTAATACGATAGGGCAAAGTGTTCTTGAATAATTGTTTTGTGGTATTCATAGTCAGGGTTGTCGCTACAGAAAGTTGCAGCCTGAAGTGCTGACGTGGGAGAAATGTCATAGAGAACGTTGGGCGTTTGTCTACATAGTGCAGACCTTCCCGATAGCAACATTATATAATTTATATAATGATTTCCTCGCTATAAGCATCCATAACCTTCTTTTCATCAAGCGAATCGTCAAACTACTGCTTGAGGTATTTGCCTAACAAGGTCTTGGCCTCCTCAATGTAGTCCTTGACCTGACCATTCCACAGCTTCTCGTCTCGCTCGCGACACTCTTCTTCAATCTTCTTGAAATCTCTACCAACGCCTTCCGCTCTCCACTCGTAGAGATCTCCCGATCGTCTCGAACTCTGGACCAGCCATTGTGTTCTCTCCAGTCGTTGCTCGCTGTAGGCTTTGAAGGCAGCAGCGAAACCTTTGTGGCCGGCTTCAGCAACTCTTGGGTCGTTTAGAAGTTCAACCATGACTGCCGCGTCTTCGATGCACATACCGGCACCAGCACCNNTAACAAAGAAGAAGCAGTCAGTAGATGTTCCTAAGAGAAAGGTGGGATCTAGATAGCCTGTTGCCGAGCCGATTCAAACCAAGATTTACATACCGTGATGCGGAGAGGTGGCATGACCAGCGTCACCAAGAACTACGACCCGACCTTTGTTGTAGTACGGCATAGGATGGTCTCCAGTGTCGTATATGGCCCAACAGTCGAGATTAGGTTCCAGCATGTCGATGATCTTGTGGACGGTCGCACCAAAATCTTTGAAGTCTTTGAAGACATGCGATTTTTCTGATGGTAAGGTGAGCTTGGTACTCGATGGCCATTCGCCAGGATCGACCTTGAAAGCAACAACGTTCATGGTTGCTCCTTTGTTGACTATCTCATATCAGCCTGCTCCGCTTCTGGAGTTACCACAGTTTACAGAGTAGTTACCTGGGAACGTCAAAACATGGCCATCTTGACCCATGTGCATCTTGGCGTTCTGTGCTAAATCATCACCGAGCTCCTTTCTCGCTTTTTCCATAGGGATCAAACCGCGGTAGGCGTACTTATGCGTGTAGACTGGTGGACTGCACGGGCTGTCAGGACCCATCATCCAAGTTCGCACCTTGGACTTGATGCCATCACATCCGATGACTACTTGATGTCAGCCCATCTCTCTGGAGAAACAACCATACATATAGCGATAAGTACCTGCATCTGCTGTAACATCCGTCCCATCATGGAACTTCAGCTGCAACTTTCCGTCTTCAAGCTCCTCGATAGTGTCCAGATGCTTTCCGAAATGTGTGACTCCCTCAGGTACATGTTTAACCAGTTCATCCAAGAAATGTGCTCGGTGGACAGCGTTGGCTCCGGACTCATTGCCAATGCTGAAAGCATACTCCTCCTTTCCAACTTCGGTATCGTTATGGCCGTCCACCCAATCGAACCATATTGATTGCTTGTCCTCGCTCTGATTTTTGGTTACCACTTTCTCGAACGCATCATAGACGTTCTGCGAACAGATCTTCATGGCTCTAGCAGCGGCGGGGTTGAATGCTACACCCGCTCCAATCTCGCCAAAATGGGCGGCTTGTTCGAAGACATTGACTTCGAGTCCACGTTCGAGAAGAGCGATTGCAAGAGTGACACCACTGATGCCACCACCAACGATGGCAATCTTACCAAGTGGCTTTGAACCTGCCATCCTGATTGTTGTGTAGAGTGAAGCACAACAAGTTGCTTGGTAGTTGTTCCGCGAGCAAGTGCCGCTTGTTATGTGCTCGGTTATCCGAGGCCAAAAAGTGGAGAAGGTTGCTGCAGTGTGTAGATGTAGATGTAAATACGCAAGAAATGCAAAAATATCCCAGGTGCTCTTTCTAGAATATATATTCGTAAGTTCGGAAAGCGTACAATATAGTCTTCCGCAGTCACCGTAATGGTGCTGCAATGTTTAAGTCTCCCCGCCTACCCCATGGTAGAGGGTGTGAGTGTTTGGGTGATAGTGACGTATACCTTCATTTCGGCAACTCATCTTCGGACGTGATTGCTTCCGAATAAGCCTTCGGAAGGTGTGCGTCGGAAGCTTCTTATATCAGAAAGTCACGGCCAGCTTGACCAACATGATGCCCGACCAGCATGATGGTCAAAGAATGGTCGCAAGCCATCGAGCATGATAGTTGTGCCTGTTCTCAGAAAATCCATCTCGGGAACAAGTCATCCCGATCACGATGCACTTCCCGCGTGTTATGCTTACTGATTACACGACTATGCACCTATGCTTCAGATGTTCTCGGTCCGGGCTGTTGGTACTTGCTAGATATGCACTGTCGTTGTCACCTACATGTGAGCTGCGAGAAATAAAGCTTAACCTGACATGAACATCATCGAGAGAGGTAAACGTGCAGAGTGACCTCTTTTCTGGCACAGTTGAGTTGGCCGAGATCGCACACTCGAGTATGGCTGATGTGAATCATTAGTGGTCATGGTAGCCGAAAGAAGGAATCAGCGAACATGCAAAGAATAGGACCTTGGTCTAATCTTGGTTTTAGTAGCTGCATTTATAATTTTATATCATAATATGCTTCTGTTATATCCTATCAGCCCTGCCAAAATCTCGAGATGAGCAGATGCGCCTGCCAAATACAGAATAGCGCAACGGCCGGCTTTGTTCAGGCATAAAGGCCCTGGATCTCGACCAAAGGGCCTCGAAGGCTTGTGTGTGGCTTATTCGGAGCTGCAAATCGGGATCGTGCTTCACAGCTTACTCGAGTACGAACCACGCACGGCACGAATTTCCCCTGAATGCGCGCACCGATTTGTGCCGGAGCATGGTCCGGAAGCGTCCTCCGGCTCGCCTGACAGTACTCTGTAGAGATTACGATGAGGTAACAGTGACCATACATCAACTTGGCAGTGTCAGCAGCGGAAAGCGCTTGTAAACGTCTGCGATGGGGCTGCAATGGCGTGAGGCTGCGACTTGAGTGCGTTCGGGGACGGAGCGAAGGACCGACCGGAAGAGCGTCCGTTGGGAGTCATGATGGCGATCGTTCGCTTGATTTCACAGAAAGAGTCATCGAAGGCATTTTTGACGGATATGCGGCACGACCAAGAGGTGGGCTTTCATGACGAGGCTGAGTAGCGTGCTTAGGGAAGGCTTCGAGACAGACGGTAACCATGGCATTTGACTTGATAAATCCCTTGATCTGCATGTCAGTCGATCGCGGAGTTGGGGGTCTCGTGTTTGAAAGTCGCCGTTGCTCGATCTTGGGTCGTCAGACAAGCTTACTCCGATCATACAAAGGTCTGGCCCAACCTAGTTGGCCAACCAGCGCGCCTCGGACGTGCGTCCGGGCCTAAGCTCTCTCTTGACATTGATTCGTTACTTCTAAATATTTGAGCCTCATGCCACGATCCATCTTACTCTCTCCTCCGCTGTTTTCTGGTCTTCTGCTTCATCTTCACTCCAAACAAAACCAGCGCACACCGACCTGTCATACCACACCAACCAACATGCTTTATAACGAGCCAAAACCGTTTTATCTCGATCAACAGCCTGCTATGGGATATCCCTCCTTCCCCGGCAATGTAGAGGCACTTTTGTTACCAGCAAGCCCGCCGGAGCGTCATTCGTCGCATTCATCCTCGTCGTCTTCAGCCACAACAACTCCCATCTCACCACCACCGCGAACAACACCATCTCAGACTCCAGACGCATCAAATGATTCCTCAAAGCCAAAGCGCAGACAAACACTAGCCGCATGTCGTCCATGTCGGAAGCGTAAATCAAGGGTGTGTATTCCTCTTCTGCACAAAGGAAACAAACCCAAAACACCATGACTTGTTTCTGTGTTTCGTGTTATTATGATCATCGTCTGACGTATGACCTCANNGTGTGACGGTGCTCGCCCGCGATGCAACACCTGTCTAGACAAAGCAACCCCTTGTGCCTACTCAGTCGAAGAAGGCAAAACACAACAACAAGCCTCTCGAGAGGAACTAAAGGCATATCGAGCCGTCGTCTTCATGCTACGGAGAGCATCGCCTCCAGACACAGAAGTTATACTTCAGAACCTCAAACGATTCGAAGATGTAAATGAGGCTGTCAAGTCCATAGAGGCAAATATGATGTTACGAGGCGCCGTCATCTCGACCTAAGCATGATATAATCTGATGAACTTGGTAAGTCGTCTGGCACTCAATGTTAGCTATGAATGTATCCTGACAATGATACCAAACTACAGGCTGGTACAAGACACACATTTTATGGCAGTGCCAATACGACCGATCCATTTCTTTCTTTCGTCTGATATACCCAGAATACATTATCCTTTTTGTTTCCATGTACACATAATGCCTTAAAGCAGCATTTTCCATTAGAGTAATATCTACTCACTCTTCTACCATCAAACATGACTCGTGGTTTCAAAGACCAATAAATTGTCCAGTTCTGTTGTATGCGCGGTCCACTGTATATGCATGTGCCTCCACTTAGCACGGAGTCCTTCCCGTCCAACCGTCTCAAAACCGAAAGCGAAGGCGCAAAAAGGGTGAAAAGAAAAGAAAAGAAAAACAAACGAAAAAGGCTGAAACACTATATACAAATCAACTAGCATGAGCCAGATCGGCAAGTCGATCGATCTTCGGCGTCAAGTCCGCGATCCTGAATGGTTTACTGATGGAGTCATCCATTCCGGCCGCAATGGCCATACTGGTCTGTTCGGGTCTCGCATTCGCCGAAACACTGAGAATGGGCACATGACCTTTCAGTTCGCCCGATCTCTGCATCTCGCGTATCTCCTTGGCAGCGGTGAGACCATCCATGATAGGCATTTCTGTGTCCATGAGAATGACATGAAGGTCTTTTTCTTGCCCTTGTTGTTTGTCGGGTTTGTTCCAATAACGTGTTTGGCGTAAGAAGTCGACGGCTTCTTGGCCGTTGTCTGCTGTCCACACCACGTAGCCTTTATTCGTTAGCTGGCGCTTGAGTACCTTCTGGTTGACTTGGTTGTCCTCAGCCACCAAGACGTGGATTTGTGCTGTTTCGCTGCTGAAGCTTGTCTGAGCAGATCCACTGCGAGGACAGAACGCAAGTTCGTCCTTGGGTCGTTGTTCTGCTGGTAGTGCAGCTGGGCGTGTCTTAACAAAGAATGCGAATGTCGAGCCAACGTCAAGCTCGGTGGCAATGCCTATCTCGCCGCCTTGAAGCTCTGCGAGTTCTCTGCTGATGAACAGGCCTAACCCTGAACCACCGTACTTTGCGTATGTGCGTGGTGATGCTTGTTGGAAGCGCGAAAACAGCTTAGTTTTCTCATCTGGTTTGATACCTCTCCCCGTGTCTGACACGGTGAACCAGATGAAGAATGTTTCTGGACCTGTGCACAGCGCTTCGGACTCACGAACAGTATCACTTAGTGTGTGCGGCAGTGCAAAGTCGATGGTCGTAGACAGTGCACCATCCGAAGGGCGCTTCTTCGAAGATCCCATGGTTATGGTGACGCGTCGTTTCGATCTGTCCTTTGTNNGCTGGGCTCAAATTAACGTTTGCTCAGGGCAGACAATAGGTCGTACTCACAATTTCAATGCGTTGGTGATCAAGTTAATCAGGATCTGATGCACTCGTCCAGTGTCGAGCATGACGTTGTCAACCTTCATTGCTTTGATTGAAGAATCGGGTTGGATTCGTAGTTCGATTTCAGCGCGCCCGGCCTCGATTTCGAATATGCGTTGCATATCATCCAAGATACTTGTGGCGCGGACCGGAGATTGGTTGATCTGTAAAAGGTTGCTGTCGAGTTTCGATAAGGTCAAAAGATCGTCGACAATTCTNNGGTGAGTCAAGAGTCAGCAACTTTTGTAAGTTGTCAGTCGAAGCATCTCAATAGCATACCGTTTTTGATGACTTGAACATGATGTGATGATCTGAACAGCTTCTGCACTGTTACCAACCAATTCACGTAGCCGTTGGCCGGCTTTCTCGTCAGGAAACTGCATCTTGTCCATTATAGACTTCATCTCGTTCAGAGATTCGTCGATGGCATCTGCACAGTGTACGACCGCGCCAAGGGGGTTTCTGATCTACACAAGAGTCAGTACGTTAGAAGTCATCTAATATATGGCTTGAATTGGTACCTCACTAGGAGAATTGAGGTTAGCAGACGATTACTAAAAAAGCCAAGATTGTACTTACTGTGAAGTCATGTCGATGAACACCTCGTTTTGCCGCTTGGCCTCCAGTGCTTCTTCAACTCTTGATCTTTGAACATCCTCGGCCCATTTCAAGTGGCTGATATCTGTTGTGGTTGTCATAATAGCCTTTACTGCTCCATTTTCGTCAAGCTCCGCATGTGACATTGAGGAGCCCCATGATTGATATCGATGCCCGTCACCACTAACGAACATACGACGGAACCTAAATTGGGTCGTCTGTGGCTCGTGTGTAGTCATGATTCGTTGGACCGTTTCTTGTAGCATTGGCAAGTCCTGTTCGAGGATTCCATCTGTCCAAGAAGAGTCTAGCTGACTGACGGGCACAGGAGTGAGGCCCAGCATTTCGAACCAAGCACTGTTACAAAAGCTTATCACCTTACTGGGCATCTCCATGATATGTACAGCTACTGGAGAGCTTGCGGTAAAACGAAGGAACCTTTGTTCACTGGCACTCGCACGCTCGAGAGCCTGCAATGCTTGTAGAGCATCTTTCTCGACCCTCTTTTGAGCATCAATATCAGTTGTACATCCAGNCTGTTGGAGCGTCAGTCAGGCTTGGACATGCATAAATGCTTTGAGCAACTCACCGATGCTCATGATTTTGCCATGTTCATCCATGACTGGCAGACACACGGCAAGAATCCATCTTCCTTCTGGTCGATCAGGATGCTTCCATCTCATTTGATANNCTATTCACAGGTCAGCATTGTAGGAACTCCTTCAACTTTGACCGTGACATACGGTGACTGGTTTGCCCTGAAGCATGCTGTTCCAGTGAGACATGACTAGATCTTTGTCCTCATCGTAGACGGACTCCAGCCAAGAGAACGCAGGTACTGGTTCGTTCTGCCGAGGAAACGCTGAGAGCCGATACCAGGATTCATTGGCCTCAAGCAAGTTGCCATTCCTGTCGCAACTGAAAATACCAACATCACTTAGCTCCATAACCCTGACGAGATGGCTGTATTGACGGCTGATCGTGTTGGCTTTCTTCTCTCGTTGAGCGATTTCCATCGCCGCGATTTCCTTTCTTCTGAGTGAGTGGAGAGTGCTCCCGATGATCCTTCTGAGCTCTTCGTTCCAGCTTTTGTAGGCGGAATCGTAGTTCGAACGTGTCGAGACTCCCAAGACCAGTAAGGCTCTCACTTTGTGATATCGGTTAGCCTGCAACGGAAGAACCACAGCTTCTGTACAATCGTCTTCCCATCCACGGGTCTTTGCTGCTTTTGACCAGGACTCTGGAAGACTGCCGTCGTCTGTGGTCAGCAGCACTGGATCTTCCGTCGTCAAGGCTGAGCTCAAACGTTGGTTGAGACGATCGCTGCTGGTGCCATTCAGGTTTAGAACGTGAGTAACTACTGAATTGTCTTTGAAATCTCCGACTGTGCCTCTTAGCTGGTATACCAGCTCATCATCACCTCTGGCGTCAGGCTCAGGCGCGTAAAGAAGAGCAAATGGACAACAATGTTCTCTGGAAAAATTAATTCGAATTAGCGACACGTTATATTTCTACAAGACTTGGTCTCAACTTCAGAGCCAGTTTCCAAAAATCCATAGATATCGTAGAAACACCCGGATTTTCCAGCCTAGCTGTACGTACCTTTCGGATAAGCTCCCAAGTATATTATCCCATAATGTAGACATACTCGTGGCCAGATTGACAGCAAGGCCCAGGTTATGACATGTGATATGCCTTCTGTCCGACAAACGTTTCTCTGTCTCGTCACGGAGAATGACTGAAGTGCCGACAAGTGAACTTTTCCTGGGAAATGGTACAAAAACCCAGGACATGTGGATCTCCAGAAGACGACCATTTCTTATCAGAGGCATGCAAAAGTTCTTCTCAACAGAAGCTCTGCCAGTAGTAGAGACTTCATCCAGGATTGATGAGCAATATTCGAAAGTTTCTGGGAAAACTATCGAGAGGGGTCGTCCGATAGCTGCAGGATGCTTCTCGCCGACCAGTTCGGCATAGGCTTCATTATATAGGAGCAGACTGTCTGGTCCAAGGATGAGTATTCTAGGTTGCGGGTCGAGAATGATCAGATGAAATAACAATAAGAGTTCTGGTGGCCAGTCGTCAATAGCGCCTATCGATGTCGCAGCCCAATCGACGTTCTGCACCAAGCGAAGATGCGCATCAGTCTCTAGTGAGCCCGACGGCTCGAATATGAGAGAGGCCATGTCAAGATTCCGGTTTGCGACACGTTGTCAGATATTTCACACAGCGTAGGCTCGGAACAAGTGGCTGCGCGTCAATGAATCGGCGGCCGTGAACATCCGTCCCACCAAGCTGGTCGAAGGAAGAGTTGGTCGTGTGTGTCGCCGCGAAGCTGAAGATATCTGCCACTCCCGGCACGAAAATATCAGGAATGCAGCCCTCCGAGCAAAATATGTGAGAGTCTTCCTTGCGCAGACATGCTCAACCCACTGGGTCAGCTTGTTCGCAACGGGTAACTCTAGCCCAATCTGAGCCCGCGGCGGTGGTCGGTCTAGATCCCCGAGTTGCTGCGCGTTTGTTTTGTTTGCGGCAGGAGCGCACAAGAGCTTCGCGAAGCTTTCTTTCTTCTCGAAGCCTTCCCGAAACGACTTTTTGCAACTTTTTAACCAAATTTTTTAACAACCATCAATCTCATCAATATCAACAATAACATTGCTGTTCGAATTTAAAATCAATATGGAACACCAACAGATCTCAGAGCAGTCGCAGCCCAGCAAGCGCATTTACATTGGAAACCTTCCTTACGCAGCCCAAGCCGAGGATGTGGAACAATACTTGGAGGAAGCTGGCTTCCAGATTGAGCGCCTAGATATGTCTACCGATCCTTTTACTGGAAGAAACCCATCATACTGCTTTGCCGAGCTGTTTTCGGTAGAGGAGGCCCAGAGAGCCATCAGCTCGCTTCCTGGTGCAAGCTTCATGGGCCGTCCTCTTAGAGTCAATGTGCATACACCAAAAACTCGTGGTACAAATGGCACAAACACTCCTCTTCGTTCTTCGACCAGATCTCCTTTCTCTACTGAACGCACCTGGCGTGGCTCGCCTGCCCCTAATGGCGCCGAGACTCCTTCCAAGACTGGCGAACGCGATTCTTATGCTTTCAACCGCTGGGAGCGCAATGATGCTGCATCCCACTGGACTGCACCTGTGGAAACTGGCCGCAGACTCTATGTTGGTGGCTTGCCACGAATCGATGGCCAGGAAATTGTCAACGAGGAGATGAAGGCATTGTTCAGCGACTACACAGTCGAGGCTGTCAGCAAGTTGATCTCACCCCACGAGTCCACAGCAACCCTGCCTGGTGACCACCACTACTGCTTTGTTGACTTTGCTACCACCGAGGAGGCCCAAGCGGCTGCAAACGCAGTGAACGGAGCCACTACCTCCTCAGGAAACAAGCTGAAGGTCAACATGGCTAGAGAGAGACCCAACAGAAAGGTTGTCAGAGAGCAGAATCTGTCCGACAACAAGGAGAAGCCCGTACCAGTTAGAGATTTTGGTTCCAGCTGGCGTAGAGCAAACTAAGAGTCCGCGTGTAGTCAAGAGCGACTCTATGGCCGGGGTCGAGCAGTCAAACAGATATTGGCTGCGTCGAGACTGCATAAGATACAGCAGCAGGATAGTGGTGGTTGGTTTCGTTCTTGTCGTTTTCATCACTTCTTTGCATCGATACCCCCATTGCGAGCCACAAAGGCTTTATTCCAAGCTTCATTTATTTTCGAAAATGTAGCGCTTTGTATGATAAGAAGATCTTGAGAAGCCTTCTCAATTCCACCAGAAACTCATGCTGAAGCTCGTGCTGAGGCTTTCCACGTAGTGCCACCATCCTACAGGAATGTATAAACACTCTCCTGGGCCTAGCACACCCTCGATGCACTCTGCATTCTTGAACAAGGGAAACCGTGCCTCGAATTTCTGCTTCTCCGTTCTGTCTACTTCATCTTGCTCCCCCGGTGTGCACAGTCTCTTCGCAAAGGAGATATCGACATGTGACGTGTTCTCCATGTTGACGCCAGTCTCATCAATGCCACGAGGGTACAGTTTTGCTGTCTCTGTGGGCGCATACAGGCGGACGTACTTGTAGCCCACGACTTGACATAATATATTGTGGTAGGAGTCTGTGTGCAATGGACTGATAGTACCTGCTGGCCCCAGCCAGGCATTGCGAAGAGGCTCGTCCAGTGTCTCGGTTTCGACGGTTGAAGAGAGGGATCTAGCCGGAGGTGGGTTTGTATAACAATAGTCCAGGGTATTTGTATCTGCGCTCAGGCATGGCACTTGAGAGAAAAGGTCGTGCTGAGCGAGATAACCGGTTTGTTCTTGCCTGGGTTGTAAAAGATAACTCTTCATATATTCGGCAAACGTCATGATGCGCTGAGACCAATCATCGTCTGTGTAACTCCTGCCCAATTCCACTGGCACTAATCGTCGACCACCGAGTGTAGCCTTGAGTAGATAGGACGGATCGTTCCAACATCGATCTGGGGCAGCTATTGCAGGCCAATCTTCAATCACGCCTTTGATGATGATCGGTGTCGTCTTGATGTCAAGATGTTGTTGGAACTGCAAGAAGTCTAGCCTTTCGACACGAGTGAAAGTGTCATTCTGTGATTGGGGTATTTGTACAACGGGGAATGTCTTAGCAATGTCTTTGTGTTCGTCGGGGTCAAGAAACTGTTGCAACGAGTCAAAGATACTTAATATCAGTTGGCGATGGCGAGGAGCACCAGTCAGAATGATTGCCATATCGAGCAAATGGACTAGACGGGTGATGTAGTCTTGCTCAGGCGACGGCGAAGCATGGCGCTTGCGCTTCTGACCACGAACGCCATGGTCATTGAGGATAACGATTGCCTGATATAGACTGGCTTCCTCATACAAGCGACGCCAACAGAGTGGGACACTATCAAATTTCCAAGTGTGCAATTTCTGGTGAGCCAGAGCTAACACGTCTTCAGGGCGTTGTTGGATGATACGGAGTGGCGCATTACCACAGTCATGAATAGGGTCTTTGAGAGACAGCGATGTCAGGGCATGTCGAATGTCTCCAGCCAGAGACAAGGCGTCCGGACTTGTCATGTTACCTGGCGGTAAGAGTGCAAGGTCGAATATCTCGGAAGTGAGGAGGAAAGGCCGCAACCACCAAGGCAAGTGCAGCCGAGAGAGGGTCGAGTTTGCATCATGTTTGCCAAAAATTAATCCAGACGCAAATGACCCTCTATTACTTTTTCGTCGCAACCCCATTCATCATACAAAATGGCAGCGGAGAAGAAAGTCGCAGAGCAGAAGACGACAGACAAGTCGTCAGCAAGAGCATGGGAGGGACTCACACCCGCACTGTCGAGCTGGATGCTGGACGCCATCTCCAGCATGGGCTTCCAGCGCATGACACCTGTGCAAGCAAGTACGATTCCACTCTTCATGGGCCACAAGGATGTCGTCGTCGAAGCTGTCACCGGTAGTGGCAAGACTCTGTCGTTCCTCATCCCCGCCGTCGAGCGTCTATTACGAGTTGACGAACCCATCAAGAAATGGCATATTGGCGCCATAATTATCTCCCCTACCAGAGAACTCGCAACTCAGATCCACTCGGTCCTCGTATCACTACTACAGTTCCACCCTCCGTCCGCCGCCGTCCGCCCGAAAGGTATCGACGACGAAGATGAAGAAATGACCGACGAGAACGCTCCCCCCAAATCTACCTTTCCCGCCTCGACTCCCAAAGTTGTGCCGCAACTGCTACTCGGAGGCACTACAACACCCGCCCAAGATCTGTCTGCTTTCCTCCGTACCTCGCCGAACCTCCTGATCGCTACTCCCGGACGCCTGCTAGAGCTGCTCTCTTCGCCCCACGTACACTGCCCACAGTCCTCTTTTGAGCTCTTGATCATGGACGAAGCCGATAGATTGCTTGATCTTGGTTTCAGTGATACTCTGCAGAAGATTCTCTCGAGACTGCCTAAGCAGAGGAGAACAGGTCTCTTTAGTGCCAGTGTTTCTGAAGCTTTGGACCAGCTTGTCCGCGTAGGCTTGAGAAACCCCGTCAGAATTGCTGTCAAAGTAAAGAGTGCCTCAGGTGCCCACGACAAGCGCACACCTGCCAGTCTGCAAATGGCATATCTGGCGACTAGTCCTTGTATGAAGCTACCTGCTTTGAACCGCTTACTCATCCAGCTACCCTCGACACCGCAAAAGACAGTCTTGTATGTCTCGACATGCGCAACTGTCGATCACTACCAACACATCCTTTCCGAAGTCCTTCCNAAAGAGTTCAAGATCGTGCCTCTCCATGGCAAACATCCGCCAAACGTACGCACTAAGAACTTTGGCAAATTTGTCAACTCGATAGAGCCGTCGATCCTTCTCACTACCGATGTGGCAGCGCGAGGTCTGGATATTCCTGCAGTCGATCTCGTAGTACAACTAGACCCGCCCAGTGACCCGAAAACATTCCTCCACCGATGCGGACGTGCAGGAAGAGCTGGAAGACGAGGATTGGCTGTGACTTTCTTGAGTAAAGGCAAAGAGGAGGACTATGTTGAATTTTTGCGCATCCGAAAGACACCCATTTCACCTCTCACAACACCGGCTATTGAACCAACAGAAGAGGAGGCTAATGAGACGACACAAAAGATCAGGGAGGTGCTCAAATCAGATCGAGCGTTACATGACAAGGCACAGAGAGCCTTTGTGAGTTGGGTGCAAGCATACAGCAAACATTCAGCGAGCAGTATTTTCCGAGTGCAAGATTTGGATTGGGACGAGCTGGGACATAGCTGGGGTCTTCTCCGACTACCCAGAATGCCTGAGCTGAAGAAATATGAAGGCGATAAATTGCTCGGACAGAAGATTGACTGGGACACATTTGCATACAACGACAAGAAGCGGGAAGAGCACAGGCTCGACGAGCTGGAAAAACTAAAGGCCAATGGAGGGCCGGCGAATAAGAGGGCAGGCGATGGCAAGACAAAAGAAGAGAGGAGGAAAGACAGAGCGTGGACAGCACAAAAGGATGCAAAGGCGACAAAGGAGCAGCGTCGCGAGATCAAGCTGGCACGGCGCGAGCACGAGAGGCAGAAGAAGCTCACGCCAGAAGAGAAGAAGAAGGAAGCCGAACTGCAAGCGATGATTGAAGCAGTACGGGCCAGAGGAGAACCGGAGAGTGAGTTTGAAGGGTTCGACGACTGAACCAGATAGTCATAATATAAGTCCAAGAAGATGGCGTGACAAAGAATGGAATGCGGTCAAAAGCGGACGTGTGATGGATTCATGTTCAAGTGAGCAATGTCGCGTGGCTTGATGATGCGGCCGAGGCCTTTGACAGCGTCGCTCAAGTTAAGGTTATCTGCACACCGACTCCCACGCTCCTTCCTCCCTTCCCTCCTTCCACGTTACATGGACATTCTAGACATTTAACTATGCGCGATCCATTCCCTATCGCAGCGCCGCAGTGGCTCGCCGAGGCTACGCGCCCACTGGCAGACAAGCTGTCCCTGCCCACGCTGCCCATGCACATCCACGAGGTCCTACTCGCCGTTGTCTTCTACCAGACCATCAACGCCGTCATCGCGCCCGCCCTGTCGCGCCGCTTCTTTCCTCAGGCCTACAGCTCCTTCAACCAACGCACGCGTATCAACTGGGATGTGCACATCGTCTCGATGGTCCAGAGCTTGCTCGTCAATACGACTGCTCTATGGATCATGTTCTACGACGACGAGCGCAGTAACATGAATTGGGCTGGCAAGATCTGGGGCTACGATGGTGCCTTGGGCTTTCTGCAGAGTCTGGCTGGTGGCTACTTCATGTGGGATCTCTGCATGTGTACATACCATATCAACATCTTCGGCGTCGGCATGCTTGCACACGCCATTTCGGCTTGCACCGTCTTCTTCTTTGGCTTCGTAAGCTCCTCTTCCTCCCTCAAACCTGTCTTGTTCCCGAGCTTAGCTGACTGACGACTTAAANNGCGTCCCTTCCTCAACTACTATGGCCCCGTCTTTATCCTCTACGAACTCTCGTCTCCCGCCCTCAACATGCACTGGTTCATGGACAAGCTGAACATGACAGGCAGCATCTACCAGCTCATCAATGGAATCATCCTCATCACAACCTTCTTCTTCTGTCGTCTTGTCTGGGGCTCAATCAATTCGGTCCTTGTTTTCAGAGATATCTGGATTGCCATGCAGAATGGTGGTGTTGTCGGCCTCGATGAGAACCTGGGCCTCAAGTACGGTCTCGACCAGTCCATGTCCGCTGTCACTCCCCAGAACCAACCCTACACTGGCTCGGAAGACATTATGCGCTTTGCTGGTTCTCGTACCCTCCCTGCTTGGCTCGCCCTCAGTTATCTGGCCTCCAACATTGTGCTTAACGTGCTCAACTTTTACTGGTTTGCCAAAATGATCGAGGCTCTTCGCAAGCGCTTCGACCCACCTTTTGGCACAAAGCGCCCAGAGAAGAAAGAGACGGCTGTCGAGGAGAAGACACAAGAGCCAGAGATCGAGATTCAACGTGGTCTTTACGCCGATGGTAGAAAGACTATTGAGATCACCGGTACCCAGAGTACCCCTCCATCGGTCAGATCCAGACGTAGAGGTTAGATTCCCTAGGTCTAGGTTTAATGACCATCTTGGTTATTATGTGCTTTTCAGGAATACATCAATTTTCACCGAGCTATTGATGCTTTATCATGGGTCAAATCGAATATGCAGGGAAGTCTGTCACAATTTTCTGCGTGCCTCCGTGGCAGGGCGTGCAGCGACCAACTCGCGAAAGCGCTCGCATACCACGACACAGCAGTGAATACTGAGTGCCCAGCAGGTAGATGCTGGCTGCCAAATATCTGCCATCGCCATGTCTCCCACACCGGCTAAACAAAGCGTGACGATCGACACAAATCCTCCAGTTCTCCCCACTCTCGGAGTAAACAATCTCCGCAGAAGGAGATCGTCCTTACTGTACCAGCAGTTGCGATCTGTACCTTAACGTCAGAGTTCATCCTTTTTCCCTCTCTTCTTGAATCTTCGCTCTAATATAGTGAAGCCCGGCATATGATTACACCGAGCCCTAGAGGTTGATTGGAGGAACAAATACATGTTAGCAGAAGTCCCTCCTTCTTTCCAGGCGACGCCTTGTGCATTTGACTAGGTTTCATGTTCTGGGCATGCAGAGATAAATAGAAATTTCAAGGCAAGGTCAACATTCTCTTCGCAACACCACATTCTCGTCATGATTCTTCTCGTTCATCCTCTTACCTTGCTGGTATGGCTTTTCCCTCTCGTCGCGACTTGTCTCCCTTCTCCACGCCACTTCTCTGTCTTGAAACCTGCGTACTTTCTTCTCGCTGGCGACAGCACCACAGCAACACAGAGCGTAGGTGGAGGTGGCTGGGGCGATGGCTTCTTGGACTCTACCTTGAGGGAAGGCTCCTCAGGTCGCAACTACGGACACAATGGAGCCACGACTAAGAGTTTCCGAGAAGGCGGTGATTGGGACCGCCTGATCAATGAGGCGAAGACAAAGACAGCCGACTATACCGTCTATGTGACCATTCAGTTTGGACACAACGATCAGAAGCCCACCTCGGGAGTAAACCTCACGCAGTACAGCCATAATCTTGAAGCGTTTGCTAGAGAAGTCTCGTCTATTGGCGCTATTCCTGTACGTTCCTGTTTTCAGTGCTGCTTGTTGCCATGTGTCCCAACAACTGGTTTCCCANNGATCCTTATTACTTCATTGACTCGCCGCAAATACACCAACACAACTACACCTACCATAATCCAAGACCTCGCCGTCCAACGCAACCTCACCATCGCTGCGGCCCGCAAAACACATTCGAGGTTCATTGATCTCAACACTGCGTCGACGGGGTACTGCAATGCCATTGGTCCCGAAGCTGCTTGGAAGTATAATCTGAACCCAGCTGATTATACACATCTGAATGGGTGGGGGAGTGTGGTGTTTGGGAGGATGGTTAGTGATTTGATGGCGAGGCGGTTTGAAGATATTGCGGCTGTGACGAAGAGGAATGGGACGTTGAGTAGAGAAATCTGGGAAGGAGTTGCTGCTTAGTGCATTCGTTGTTGCGTGATAGGTGGGCGCGTAGGAGAGGCACGTTGATTGGTAGCGTCTGTCGCCCAACCTCGACTCCTTACAACATTCGAGTGACACTCGAACACTTCATCAACTCCATCGAACCGTCTTCAAGTCTTCCTATCTGCATCGACGGATCATCATCATCTTCTTCTCAAAGTCTCCAACCATGCCCGATACCAAGCGTCCCGGCCAGGACAATGTCTCTGAGGACGTCTGGACCCTCTTCAAGCAGCTCCGTATCGACAACCTCGTCGACGCCATCAAAGAAACTACATTTAGCGACTTTGAGCATCTCACCAGCATCGTCAAAGGCCGCGAGTTGAACCTTGAGACCTTCACGTTGCTCATCTCAGAAGCCAACAAGACTCGCACCGGAAAGGCTATGCGCACTACCATCGGCCTGGCGGTCTGCGTTGTCCTCTTCGTTTACCCCATGGCGATTGTCTCACCTTTCCTGGCTACTCTGGGTTTCACCAACGCTGGACCTGCAGCTGGTAAGAAGCTTCACTTGGACCTACTCTACCTCGACTACTAATGCTTTGATAGGATCTGTTGCTGCTGCTGCTCAGTCGGCTTATGGTGTCAATGCACTGTACAGCATTTTTCAGAGCGCTGGTATGGGAGGCTACGGAGTTCCTGCTGTCGCTAGTGCTGTCCAGGGTGTTGCTGTTGCCGGTGCCGCCTTTGCTGCTTCCAAGCTGTAAACATAGGTACATAAGGGCAACTACGCCTAAGTTTCTCTCCAGGACTTGTCTATCTCAGACTTCCAGCAGAGCCACCAGGTAACAAAAGATGGCGTCTTTGTAATTCTACAGAGAAGCAACTTCACATGTTGGCGTCTTTTGCCTCGGCAAATCGAGTATTTGCCGAACTCGGGGGATTGTACTCCGTGTTGGCTTTATTCAGCAGAGAGACAAGAAGATCGCAACACCGTCTGCAGAGCTTGATAGTCATCAGAAGCCAAAGCGGATTTGAGTATCTGATCTGAAGCTTTCAACCTGTTTCCAGTGAATGGAGTTAAGGGCAAAGGGAGGAAGGGGAGACAAGGTTGCCGTCGGCAATACAGATAGATAACCCGAAGTTTAGGCATGATAGAGGCAGAGTGAGCATGACGCTGCTGTTATCATAGCCGCACGACCGAGGCAGGTGCAAGCTACAGTTCCTTCTTGATTTCTACCATCTTGTGATAATATCCTATTGACCTTTGCGAAGAACAAGATCATCGACTATCAACACCTTGCTACATATAAAGAAATCTGGAAGTCACCGGAATAGAGTCGTTTCTGCAATACACAATGGTCGCCGATGCCCTGATCTACCACCCTACTGTCGCGCACTACAACAAGTTCGTCGCGACGACCAGTGCGTTCAGAGTCCCAACTTTGCAATCCTCATCGTGTATATGAATCTTCGAAGCTAACGACTTTTCATTCNNAGTCGGTCGCGACAAGGCCCTTCGTCTCGTCCAATACCTCTCTCGCTTCCTCGCATGGTACACCCTTCGCACCAACAGCCCTCAAGCAACAGTCGTACAATGGGCCAAGCTCAAAGCCAACCTCGGCCTCGTCCGTAAAGCCATGCGTATTGGCAAGTTTGTCGAGCACTTCCGCGCCGCAGCAAGTGCCTACGATGCAAAGACCCTTGACCCCGTCATCCGCTTCTGCACTACTGGAAGACAGCTTGGATACGGAGCTTACATGCTCACTGACACATTGACCTATCTGGATGCTTCAGGCGTGAGGCCGAGTGCTATGGCCAAGAGAATGCAGGTTCAGGCTTACAAGGCGTGGATGACGGGGTTGTGCTTTAGTGTCTTGAACGGCGTCTACACCATTTACAAGAGCAGGAATGAGGAGGCTGCGCAGACGGACAAGGCAGTCGCTGCCGAGAAGACGGTCGAGGTTAAGAAGTTGCAGCGGTATGTTTCGCTTCCTATTCTACCCAGGCCTTTCTAGACTTTCGTCAGGGAGACAATTTTGCTGACATTTTACAGTGAGAGAAGTGCTGCCCAGACACAGCTCATCTCCGATCTTTGCGATCTCTTCATCCCCGTTTCCGCTCTGGGCTACATCAACGTCGACGATGGCGTTGTCGGTCTTGCTGGTTGCGTCAGCTCCCTGATTGGTCTGATGGCACAGTGGAATAAGACTGCTTAAAATGTCATGACTTGAGTCTGAATATCTTCTGTTTCTCTGAACTTGCGGCGTTGGAAGGATACCCGCTTTTCTTTGTTACCATGATTAGGATCTTGTCTTTCCTTGCACGGAAGGCTGTTTATGGTACACTTTTGCATGCATCTTGTTCTCTTCTATCTTTGCTTGAAACGGTTTAGTTTATGATTCACAATGAAATGTGTCTTGAATAAATGTTGAACTTTTCATTACCATGCCGAAAACCATCTTTGATGTTTCGCGACTGCTCCTCACCACAGAAGTACGGTTTGTTTCTTCGTATCACTCCAAAGATGAAGGTATTAACAAGAACCCCGATGTGATCGCTGACAAGAGATAAGATATTGCATCACATTCTTCTGGACCTGTGCAGTGACGATGGTCTTCGAGATATATTGTGGCCAGGGTCATACCAGCAACCAAAAGATAGGGGCAGAATAGAAAGGTGGAATTGAAATCTGATCGCTAATTGATGAGGTGGACTAGAATCGATAAAAGAAATGTGTAGTCTCCGAAGTCGTGGAATGAAAGTCATGGTATGGGAGATGAGGAGGTGAGAAGAGAACATCGAGACTGTCCGTGCTGCGGTAGGAGAAGATGCAAAGAAAGTCAGACCAGCATGATAGCTAACAGAAGAAACCCCCTTGTGCTCGCAAAGTATTCCAACTCTTGCGAGAGAGATCGGATGAAAGTCTCGCTCTATCCGAGAATAGAACCAAGGGCTTGCAACCCATACGGTGTAAACAAAATAGCCGAGAACATCAGACCAGACCTTGTCGATTCCCTTCCAACCAAACATCACCATATGTTGCAGTCCTAGAACACTGCTGGATGAACCTTTGAAAGACAGTGTGACCACCAAAGAGCAAAAAAACTGATACACAGAAAAACCCTACAAGCCCGCGCTTTCATACGCACGTGTTCATTGAGTTTTTCCATACTCGTTGTGTACGTATGAGTTCCAGTGCAGGCGGCTTCCTGCACCAACTCCACTGAAGGCTTCCCTTTAGTGACCAAACAACGGAGAGGTTGCCGCTGGAGATTTTAGTCGTATAGGAGGTTGGTTGCGTGATGCGTCACAAGCGAAAATGATATACAGTATCTGGCGCTCAACCAGTGTCCAGTAGGAGTTTTGTCGCATAGTGAAAGAGTGGTCTTGTTGATCACGCCAAACTCTACTGACTTGCTGGAGGTGACTTGGCCTAATTATCAGATGTTATTGATGTGCGAGGAATGAAGACAGTGACCTTGCTGCTTGAGTTAGAATGCATGTCTCTTCCCTTATTTTCATGCTGTGAGAGCGCGTGTGTCACTCTTGACTGTCACCTCACCTATATGCAAAGGCACTCTGGGATTGGTCATGTGTTGGAAGCTTTGACATTGCGATTATGAGTCTATCAAACCAGATTGACCGAGGGAGAACAAGAAGATTGGCGAAGCAGTCGTATGGTAGTAAGGCTGGCTTATGAACGAGTACAGGAGGAGAACGGATTCGGTCCAAGCAACAGAGGAGTCATCTAGATGTGTCCCTGAGGAAAGATAGTAGGAGTTGGAAGGGAAAGTCAGATAGTCAGAGAGACAGTGATGATCATGAAGGCAACAAAGAAAAGAAGATCGTCAATTCGTGTCAGCAATTACTTACCCCTGAATCCATCCTTAATAGTCAGTAAAAAGCCTCGTAGACAGACTAGGCCTCGAATCTCTTCTCTCGCTCTGCACAGGACTCGATTTTCTCACACCCTGTTCCTTGACAATCCACACACCACCACTGGTACCTAGTCTAGTGGCACCAGCTTTCAGCATGGTGGTAGCATCTTCGACAGTCCTCACGCCTCCGCTAGCCTTGACTTGCATCCTGTGACGGTCGGTGCGTTTGCCTGCTAAGTGGTCGCAAGCAGCACGCATAAGCCTGACATGCTCAACCTTTGCGCCATGTCCAAGGAAGCCTGTTGATGTCTTGACAAAGTCGAAATTTGCAGCCGAAGCAATAGTACACGCAGCGACAATGTCTCTAGAAGCGAGTTGGGAAGTCTCGAAGATGAGTTTGAGGACGGTCGGATGAGGTGCCATTGAGCGTATGAGGGCGAGTTCGTGGTAGATCTCACTGTACTCTTGTTGTTTGAGCAGAGGCCAGTTGATGACAACGTCGAGTTCGTGTGCGCCAGCAGCGAGTGCCATTCGAGTTTCTTGCAGCTTGTAGTACGTGTCTTGGGTACCCTGGTGGAAGCCAATGACGCTGGCAATCAAGACGGTGCTTCCTTTGAGATTGGCATGTGCTTGGGCGACATAATTGGGTCGGACGCAAACGCNTCTGCACAGTATAGCGTTAGCAAGTTCGATTAAAGGAAGGAGCGAAGCAAAGAAGATGTTTACAGCAAAGTTGGCTACTCTGGCCTCTGCGCACAGCTCGTCAATCTGTTTGGGCGTCGCATCTAATTTGAGCAGCGTGTGGTCGATGGTGCGTGCTATGTCGATTTTGTCCATGTCAGGACAGTAGTCCTGTTCGTACACCTCGAGCTCGCGCGCAACATCTGAAATCATGGCGCGCCATTCCAATTCTGTGTATCTCGTAGTCGTCATGCTGGCAGTGCTGTGGGCTGGTCAGTGGTCAGTGGTACCGTATTCTCCTTTTCTCTCTCGTAGCCGCCCAAAAGACCGCGCTAGTCATTCTGCATGTGCTACGCCCGATTCAATCAGTCATGCCATCCCAAACTGCCTCGTGGATGCCATCTGACCTGATCGAAATCAAGAAGCTCTCGGCACAAAACATGGTTGAGGTTTGAACAAATACAAAAGATGAATGGAGTTCGTGTCTGAGACAGAAACAATCTACACTGTCAAGCACGGTGATGCAACATGCCATCACTCTATTTTAGACCCGCAGAGCTAATCTTTACGCTTTCACGTGGCACTTCATGACTAGTTTCATCGTGGTCACCAATTATATCAAGCAAAAGACAAATCAATTCGCATAGCTAGAACCAGGCAAGCAAGGGTAGCCTTCCTCAATAGCATACAAACTCCTCGCTCCTCAACGTAAACCAACGTTAGAAGACAGGCAGGCTGGAGATGCCATCTCGTCTTCCCATGCATCATGTACAGAAGAACAGCAGATTTAAAGAAGTAGAAAACTCCATTGACAATAGCAGAGACCTGTAAAAGGGAAAAACGAAAAAAGCCGTGGCTTAGGCCTTTGGATATCCGGAACTCCCTTTTTGTGACGACGATGGTCGAGTTTTTGGGTCATGAAACATGTTGCTTTTTTTGGGGGGCGAGAGCGTTTCCCTCTTCTATCCACAATGCGCGCGGCTGACCATTGTTGGTTGTGTGTGCATCTTGATTGGATTCCATTCCGCTTGATTGATAATTTGCGTCCGTCCAAACCCTCATCCATCATCCACTTCTCGTTACGAAAACCAAAGACATGCTTTTCTTTTTCTTTTGGTTCAACGAGTCGTTTACTTTCTGCGGAAAGAGCAGCCCTCGGTCAGGCGGGCCTTACCACCGGTGGGCTGGCAAAGGACCTGGGAGCAGCCGGCGCAGACAACGACGGTCTGGGCGTGCGAGAAGACGGTGGTGATGGTGAAGCAACCGGGGCACTTGACGTCCATGAAGAAGGAGCGAGGGCCGGGGACAAGCATNNCTGCTAAGAGTCAGACGATGTTTATGTGGTTAGATACGAGTCCAGATGTACGCACCTTCAGCTTGTGCTTACGGGCCTCGGCCTGAGGGGTGGGGTTGAGGAGATCGACTGCGAGAACCTACAAGGCACTCAGTCAGTCCATCTCTTTACGATTGCGATTGTGTTTCCATTCTTCTGAGATGCGACGCTGGACGGACGAGGGCGGGTGGCGGGTGACGACATGTTCGGATGCCTGACAGCACTTCGTTCTGTGTGTAGATGGATGGACTGAATGCGATATTGATGGTATTCGGTGGTAGATTGATGGTTGTCGCTCATGTCGTGTGCCTTCTCTTGTCGTTCGGTCGAAATTTGCCACCCGTCGTCTCCTGGTCCAGCGTGCGTCTCAGAGGTCCGGTCGAGTCGGTCTTACCATCTTGACGGTGTTTGATTGACGAGTTTTGTGTAAAAAAGTCTCTGCGTAAGTGGTTGATGGATTGGCTGTGCTAGTTCGCAGGTAGGCTCGCGGTCGACAGGTCAAAGAGTCGGGGCAAAGGCGAGGATAAAGCTCCCGCTGAATTTGCCTGCTGTGGGCGGGCTAAAGACTTGGCACCCGCTTACTAACCGCGGTTCATCCGTGCTTTGCCTTCACTTGATATCACTTCGACATCGACTAACATGTCATGTGCTTCTTTTGATTCTGGATACGCTGTCTATTCACTTCTTGCACCTACTTCACTGCTCTAGACTGTGCTTCGAGATTCTTTTGCGCGAAGCTGTACTGCCAGGTGGCGAACTTCCCCTCTTCGACCGCTGAACGCCTTTGACCCGGCAACCCCGTCATTCACTGCCATCTATCTACTCTCATAAATCTTCTAATATCATTTGTCCAACAAAGATGCCTTTCACATTTGCATACGTTCTCACATGACTCACACAGATGCATGTTCTCGCCAATTGCACCTTACTCACATACTACGAGGTTTGTCATGCGTCATCCATGTGATAAGCAACGGACTATCAACATATTCGTGTTCGGATATGTGTTTGCTTCTTCGAGATCGACACATTTCGGAGCATGACCTCCTGACCTTGACTTCAGTCATAGGTATCAAGAACAATCATCTCGTCGGCAACTATAGCCTCCAACCCCACTAAATACGAGCACCGACATTACTGCCCTGGAGGCATCGTGCTCATCATCGCCACCTCTCAACTCAATAGCCCGTTTGCAGTGCTGACTGCCACTGCTCGTCGGCCAGCGTATCGGGTACACAAAACAACTGACCTCGATTGCAACAGCGGAAACCACCGTTTGATGTTAACTATGAGCTTCTCCAATACAGCACTACCACGACATGGAACTGACCTTGTATCATCACTCATTCAGCAACACGCTCTAATTTGCTTTCAAGGATCTCCTTTCTGACTTCGTTTCGTCGATTGAACACGGATTGGCTTTCCTTGACATGTCTAGATCTCTTTCCTGGTCTGATCAGGACATGTCTCGACTCATGGAGCAAAAGTAGCTTGACGACTCAATCCATACAATTTCCACACTCTGTTGCGGTGTTGTCACTCGAATTGATCGATAAACGCCAAACGAATCTTGGCGAGGGATCCCGAGTCCAGACATGGGTTTCGATCTTGCTCGCACAATTACAGCTGCAGCTGCTTGCTTCCCTAATGCCGCCAGGAACAGGCTCTTCTACTCATTAACGTTCCAAAGACTGTCTACACGTCTTCGGACGTGTGAGATCATTGGCCCCAGTCTCTTGATGCTAAATTATGGAAGCAAATAGCACTCAGCTTGGATCTGCTCTTTCCGATGGCGCTCTTGTATGGCTTGCAACAAGGGTGACCGCTGCTGAATGCACAACAACGCCAATTAAGAATCACCTTATTGTAGTTGAGCTGCGTATCTTGAGAATCTTTACCCTTCGCGAGATACCAATCTCTCTCTGGAGTGTTTCTACAGGACGCCCACTTCCTGGTTTCTCTATCTCTTGACCCGCAACCGACTGCCCATGTTTGGATGGAAATTCGAGAGACAAAGATACTCATTGCCATCCCAGTGGTGTCCAGACGAGGCAAGGATGCTCGTCGCTTTCTCGTCTCAAGCAATACGGATATGACGATGTGGGTCTGGTCATCTAGCGTGCATACAATCGAGGAAGCAGTCTGTACTCGGTCAACTCGCACTGCACGTATTTCAGACATGCACTCGGCCGATCTCCAGTGACACCAGCCAGTATTGCATGCAACGACACTGATCAATTGCCCTGCCGATCTCAAATCGAAGGCATAGAACCGTTGTTGACCATAAAAAGAAATGAAAGAAGCAAAAATGCACACGCTGCTGACCGTATCTTCCCATGCGATTGACCTCCAATTCAGGTACAAGCTGCTATGAATATGGATTCAAAAACACCGGTCTACGCTCGTTCCAGATTACTCCCTGTGGGTCTCCGCTGTATCCTGCGTATAATTATCGCCAAACTCGCTCGCGGCATGGACCTGATAACGAAGAGCTTTGTCCAAGACGAATCGAGCCCTCGTTCGTATCTGCCCGCGATTTCTTACATACTCCAACCATTATGGTGCACCAACGACACAGCAATATCGATCTGAAACAGGAACTGTAGTCGGTGCTCCTCGTATCCGAGGTGTCATCTTCATGGCAGATGTAATCTCGGATCCATCATACTGCTCTACTGGCCAACACTACAACTTGTCGAGGATTGCTGAGGCATGGAAGCAAAGCTCGACAACGACATGTATTTTCACTCGACTGACACTAGGAACAAAAGATCAGGACGAGCCAGCAGATGACCCCAGCGGACCACTATCTTCATCATTTCTCAAAGCTCCATCTCGCCAACAAGACGAGATCTGCTTGGAACAACCACCATAATTACAGTCCGAACGTCAGACATCTATCGACTGGACAATGGCTCTTGATCGCTTCCATAGATCATCCTGGCTTCGAATGAGAGCCATGGCCCAGTTTCATATACGCACAGGGCGGTTGATTTCACATCAATTCAGTACATCTGATCAGGTCTCGTGGTCTAGCGGTATGATACTCGCTTAGGGAGTTGCTTCAAAGCGACTTGAAAACTCTAAGCCAATTGCGAGTGGTCCCGGGTTCGATTCCCGGCGAGACCCTTCTTTGCCCGTGAGGGCATTGCTTTGCTGCTACAATGCAGGTAGAAGTAGGGGTGAATTTTTGGATGACTTGATTTGGTAAAAGAGAGACATGGACCAACAGAATTCGACACAGGCAAAAAGATGGCCAATTGAAACACGGACATGCACTGCACTGCGATTTTGCTACAGCTTGCTACGGACCACTAACAAACGGCCTCATTCAGGTTGGTCAACAATTTGATGAAAAGTTCGTTCCTGGCCAGGATTTTCCTTGCTTCGCACGTGCCCACCCCACAAAAACGCCGAACATCCGAGCGTCCGAGGCGTCACAAAATCTTGGCATCGAAAAAAAAGTTCTTCCGCTTTTCACACCAGCACTCAAGACAAGGACAAAAAGAACAGACAGCGTTTGTTTGTAGGAATAGCCGAAGGCGGGGCTCGAACCCGCGACCTTGAGGTTGTACTTTATCCANATGATAAGAGCCACACGCTCTACCGATTGAGCTACCCCGGCAGGTCTGATGATCTAGTTCACTGTGTGAACTGGCTGCTGACTGATGGACGACAGAATGCTCGTTGAGTATATGTTTTCTGGATTTGCTCTCAAGCCAAACTCGTGTACCCTCACCACGCCCCCGGGTCAACAAACTGGCATGTATGATCATACAAATTAATCATGTTTTGAAGTAGATCAAGATATGTCCACCGTGCTCACGATTGGTTCAAGACCCTCCAAACAACATTGAAGTGCAACCATATTTCATAGGCATCGACCGTATCACCAGCTCTTACTCTAACTTGACTACTTCAAGGTATGGCATACTGCTGTCCGTTCGTAAGGAATTCCTGTCAAATTGACAGGTGTTTCGCGCTTTCTACCAAGCTGATAGTACTACACCACGTGCTTTCTATACCGCAGTCCGATATCCCTAAAGTCAAGTAGATATTGCACTCTCACTACTATGGTCTTGATAGTCCTACTTACTCCATCTGTCCAGGTCTCTTTCGTTGTTGCAAGAAGCACCTTTTAGATTTGCACACAGTCGACATAAGACTTCTTTTCGACTATGTTTTCTCTTTAAAAGAAATGGAGTAAAGCTCTTCCACAAATTGCTAAAGTCAAAGTCACTGTATGGTGCAAATTGTTTTTAGAAAACAGGGCAGAGATGCGAGTAATGGGATAACATCAAGTTCGTTGCAAAGGACAAAATAGGAAGAGCTTTTGTCATCTCTTCTCTCCTATCTTAGACCTATAAAGAACCATGTATGGAACTATCCTATACTTTCGTACTGAGTTCTCTAAACTAAACATGTCTCTATGCTTTACATCTAAACAATGTTATATAGCAAATCCTATGGTGTTGAGAGTAGTCTTGGATGCTCTGCCTACGTGTGAGAGGCGATATGACCTTGATTAACACTCTAGAGATATTCAAGATACCGAGTATTCAAGCACACAGAAGCCTACATAAGTCGTATAAAGCAACAAGCAAGTGTGATACTCTCCACTCCATCTCCATGATCCGCATACAAATCTATCTTCTAACAGAGAACTCCACATGAGAATAGAAAGAAAAGACAGGAGCACTCGTTTAGCTAGCAAGGAGTCAACCATAAGGCGGATACCAGAGCAACATGCACGTCTAGTAGAAACCTCAATCAACTTATCTAGATTCACAGCAACAAAAAATCACAGACACAACTCCAGAGATCGCATTTTCTACATGGCATAGATGTCCTGGGCAAAGAGCATCTTGTAAGCACCGTCAGCTGCGAGAGAGGCATAACAACGAGAGTGAGTCAGGATTGGTCAAGCTAGGAAATTGGCAGAGCATCGGACGAGCGAGCCGATACGCTTTTGTCGGAAAGAGCGAGTTGGAAGTTAGTCAAGAGAGGAAGTGACACTGAGCGACCAAGTGCAAGAGGAAGGAGCAATCAAGCGTAAGAGGCAAGAGCAAATGGCCAAATGCAAGAGGAAGGTACCAACAACCATAACAAGCAGGAGCGATCAAGAACGAAAGAAAGCGAAGTTACTTTGGGAGAAGCTCGATAGGACGTCTACAAACAACAGATGGTCAAAGGAGACAGGAGAGGATATTTCGAGATACAAACTGAGCAACTCGATCGAACTGGAAAGGCAAAAGGAACAAACAGACTAAACAGGAAGTCAGAAAGCGCTGCTGATACACTCTTGATAATATCTGGCATTTTGTGCAAAACACGAGGCCACAGTAGAAAGAAGTGCTTCGTTTCTTCAAAGGGTTGGGATCGTGGAGCTTTCGGATGTCTAGAGCTGCACACAAACACAGCACACAATACGAAGAGCCTTATCTGAAGCCATCATCGCAGGACCACGAGATATACACGATGCTCTAGTGTGACGTACCATACCGTCAGTTCGGGGTGTCAGTGAACAAGGATAAGAGCAGGGTTGCCGTATCATCCTCAGACTGAATAGCATTTGCACGAAACTCTAGTTGATCCGCGTGCCTGGTAGATGTTCGAAAGAGGTTGTTCCGCCAGAAAGTACTATTAGCCGCGCGTGACGTCCAGAGAACTATGAATAGCTGGTGATTGTCTATGACTCGCTAGAATATACGATCTTCTAGTCTTGCAGTAATCATTCTCTAACGGACGACAGCTACGGATCCTCGATCTGACTTTGCTGATCCGTAGCTGATATATTGGTCCAGTTTCGACGACTTGGTATAGCACGTCGTAGTGCTACTAGTGGTGTCGGTGTTTCGACCTCGAACACAGATGAAGGCTTACGATGGAGACCTGTCAATCTTGCAGGTATCGTGTACATTGCATTAGCGAGTGAGATCGGAAACAAAGGATACCTCGTCGACGCAGCGCAAAGACCACTCGAGTCCGGATGAAAGTGCGACATCAGCATGCAAGCAAGCCACTCTGCTTCCCTGTTCGCAGCGGGTACCAGCAGCTATGAACTCGATCCTTCCGTCCAAGTCATCAGACACACTTGTCGGTTTTTGAAACGTGAAACTGTCTTTGCTGGAACCGATGAGAGGGATTCAGAGATGACCACTCCATGACCCCGGCATTGACGACGGATCGCATGCAGCATAAGGGACCCTTGCAGCAAAAACGCGTGAGATGGTCTTTTCAGCAAACACGTGTCCCAGAAGCAAACACCGGCTTCTGAGCCCGAAGCAAGGGATCGATGAATCAAGATGCGATTTCGGCCTCTAGACCCTGGTAACCTCAAGCTCTCTGTGTTGGTCGACATGCAGAACGCCTGAAGATCGAGCTTTCCGAGACGGTGGGATGATGACTCAGTACTGCTGGAACCAAGACCCGACTCTCCATATTGAGAGGCTGAGTACCAGAGGCGCAGAATCAATGTCCCAGAACAAAGGTCCTGCCGAGGCACGTAATCCTTCAAGAAGCGACGACTTGTCCAGAAACAATCAGAGCGATGCTGAGAGTCTCCAAGTGATATCACGGAGTGGCACAGAGGATCTGAAACTGGACGAGAAGGAGGAAGAACCAGGAATTGTCGTAGCGCGATGTTCGGCGCAAGAGTTGCATTGCATGAGCAGCCAGCTGATGATGTTCCCTATGCGCCGGGGGACCGCTCGGCGAACCCTACAATCTGGTCACTGTTAGTCTCTGGGCATCATGTGTATTTTTGAAGCGCGGGATAGATATTAGAAATCCTAAGTCATGGATCCGCGAAAGAGCAACGAGAATAATCATCCAGACGGTTGATCGACGGGGGAACTATGGGCTGCTGTAGTAAGACGCCCTCGATGCTTGAAGCTTGCGCAATAAATTACTTGCATTGGCGCCATCTGACTGTTGGGAGTACCTAGGCAAGGGGACCGACCCGCAACCTTCGGAAAGCCCTGGATGTTTGAAAGACGGAGCAGGTTTCGGACAACGCAGAGAGGTGTGAGGAGGAGCAGATCTGTCTCTGAGCTTCTCGATTTCGAATTGACAGAGTCAGATGCACATCGAGTTGGGAGCACCTGGAGGCTGTGCCTCGGCACTGTACTTGGGATGGCGCAAGTGGTCGCGACTCGCGACTTCCTGATGTTAAGGAGAACGACGTATATCGGACGACCCACTTGTTTGACAACTCTCTTGCATGATGGCAGTATTGGACGTCCGACCTTCTCTCCTGCCCGATAGATGGGTCGGATCCACACGAAAAGGAGAGTGACGAAGTTCGAGATCTGTCCGACTACTCCAGTTGATGAAGAAAGGTCGGCTGGCCTACTTAGGCCGACGAGTGATCACGAAAAGGAAAACACGTCTTCGGGGAGCTGGAAAGGTTGAGCCGCGATCCGTCCCGTTCCTTTTGGGCTTGCCAATCCTCACGCTTTAAACCAGCCACTCCATTGAGTGCACTCTATTTACCTTTTGATGTCTCTTTGACTACTGCACGTGCTACTGAATCATGAGATCCATCGTTCTAGACATGCAAGGAATTCAACCAAGTGTAAGCAGGTATCTGGATTTTGGAAGTAGATCGCGACGATGCGTCAATGCTGCAAAAGTCGGATCCCATCTGAAATTCTGAACGCTCACAAATTTCCCTGAACTCGTATAGCACTCTGGAAACACTTTGTCCATGATTCAAGAAGTGAAAATTAATGGCCTGTCAGGTGGCTGTGACTCCTGTCAAAATTACGGGTACGGAGCGGTCCGAGCAATGGATGACAGCGAGGGCGCACGGTGGGTGGGCCATGGTCGCTGGTCCATACTTTCGATAGCCTCAAACATGCAATGAGGTGCTTCTTGTCCGAGGTTGACATAGTTTTTGCCGCGGTTGCTCCTAGACGGCAGTCGTAAAGTCATGCAATGTTGTTGAGCGATTTTCGATGCGACATGTTGAGTAGAGGTTTGATTGTTGAATTTAGAGACTACCTATGAGAAAGGAAACACCATCACGTTCGACCCCTGATCCTGCGTGTCCGAAAGAAGAAGCAACAGTGATTCCGAAAACCTGAAACTCCGCTGATTTTGTGACTCGGGACTCTTTCGATCCGCAGGCGTTAAGTCATATCGTTGTGGTAACCTTCGCATAAACCCTTTCGACGCCATTCCTAAGTAATGTCCAGAAAGAGAGAAAAAGGAAAATGGTGCAAAAGGATGCAATAAAGACGCACTGAGAACGCCTTCGCTAAATGATACTTGTTTGCGACTTGAATAACCTGGATTCTAACAGAAAGAAAGCAAAGATCAAAGGAGATGGGGTGACCCTGAGTTATGTCTTATGTCGTTACGTCGTCATACTGTGTTTGTTGTGACTGTCGATTGAGAATGAGTGACAGGCGTAAACATTGGTTACGCCCGGCGTATTATGGACGATCGAGATGCCATGTGCAGGTAAGAGTTGAGCACGATCAACGGCTTGACTTGCTCTTGCTGCGAGGATTGGGTACGGTGTATTCCTTGCTTGGATCCCACTCATCGGGGTGGAAATCGGGGTTCANAAAGTGGGTACGATTGAAGTGAGAACTGCACAAGTTAGTCACTCAGTCATTCGACAAGAACACCGCTGCGGCTTACTGCTTGAATTGAGCTGTCTGACAGACAGAGTTCTGAGAAGTGGCATCCGCAACATTCTGCCCGTTCTGCTCGAACATATGGGTGGATGGCCTGAAATTTCCTTTGCCGCCGTAGCTAAGCTGGTCGTAGTTGAAGAATGTGGTTTGGGAAACAGGGGAAAAGGTGTAATCGGCTGTAGAGGAAGGCGAGGGGGTCTGGGTTGCAGGCACATAGGCTGGAGTGGCAACGGGGACGACCGGTGGAGGTGCGTGGTGCTGAACAGGCATCGGTGCAGCCGCTGGCGCAGGTGGGGGTGGCACGGCAGCAGTGGGAGCGGCATAGTCAGAAACGCCATAGAACTGGTTGGACATCCAGTTAGACTGGTTAGACAGCAAGGACATGCCAGGAATCATTGTCATGAAGTCGGACATGCCGAGGTCCATGACAGGCTCCTCATAGTGGTGAAGAGAGGATTGCAGGTATGTCGGCACGGAGATAGGCTGGCTTGGTGGTGGCTGCGAGAAGATCTGCTCAGGTTGATAAAGTATGTCGTAGTGACCNNACTGCATATCAGGTTAGTGGATGTGCTGAGCTAAACCACCACATACAACTCACGGTCTGTAAAGGAGACGAATAGTGTGAGCATGCGTAAGGCTAGGTGCAAATTGGTGCGCGTTGACCTCAGTGCCAGCGCTGCGATCGAGATAGATGACCTCGAGAGCGATACCAGCAGGCTTCAGTAAAACATCAGTGAGAGCTTGCATTCCAGGGTGATCGATCTCAATCTGGTGAGGATCAATGTTGGCGTCGCAGTAACTAGGGACAGTATGAGGAAGCACAAAGGGAGCGTAGTCATTGGCGCGAGTTTTCATCCAGGCCGAGGTGAGAGTNNCTGTTGAAGTGAGCATATGAACATTCGATCTGAACATCGTATCACGCACCTTGAGATATGTGATGATCTGGTTCTGGATTTCTTCGTTGTTGAAATGTTCGAGCAAGAAAGCCTCAGAGTTGGCTGAATCGGCCGACATGCATTTGCGAAGCAGGGCGTAAATTTCATCGGCAAAGTCTTCCCAGATGAACTGACTGTAGCCAGCCATGTTGATGACATTGCCCAAAGACTTGAGACGAGTTTCCTCCTCCAAGAACTTGGTTCTGTCACCTACGCGGAAAAGGTTCTCGAAGTAGCCGAAGGCAACGGCTAATACACGTCAGCCAGCATGTTCATGGATATATTCGCAAATATATGGTCGCTTACCTCTCCAACCACATCTTCCATCGCCACGAGTTGTACGATAGTGAGAGTACTTATTGGGAAGTGCNNCTGAGAGACATTAGTGACGAGCGATGCTAGAGAAAGGATGATGGATCCGTACCGAAGTTTTTGTGCGATAGACAGGGTCGGCAGCAGCATACTCTTCGATGAGAGCACTAGTCAGTTGTTTCTCACCGACCAAAGGTCCNNCTGGTAAATACAAGTCAGTCAACGGGGTCCGAAAGCTTGTGCAATGACACGACACAGGCGGATGCGGGGAAGGGAGCAAGCTCACGGTCACTTCAGGCTGGAATTCAGCTGACAACTTCTGGAGCTGAGCCATTTCGTCTTCCGACTGCGAGTACGCCATGACTGCAGGCGTGTGTTGGGGCGGTGAAGGTTGATGATGGTGATGTTGTTGCTGCTGATGAGAGTGAATGAATGCAGCAGAGTGGTCGACCAAAGGTTGATGGTGGTGGTGTTGCTGGTGATGAAGCTCGGGCATTCCAAGCACCGACGGCCGCATTGGCATCTGCATCTCTGCTGGTCGGTACGACGTGGTGTATGACGAAAAATCGCCATAGGGATACATTCGATCGCCTTGATAGTAGGGCACTCCCACGTACGTATACATGGCAACAGCAGTAGGTTTTGGAAGCGATCGATTGTGCTGTCCTGAGCAATGCCGATCTTATGAAGCAGGAGCGAGAGAAAAGTAAGTAGGCAGGTAGGCAGGCGGGTCGCTTGAAAAGCAAAGAATGATGAGGGAGATGCGCAAGATACGAAACAAGAAGAAAACACCGAGGTAGCAGAAGGTCTATCACGCAGGGTTGGAGCGTGAGGGGTGGATGGGCTTTTTCACACAATAGCCTTGTCCCCTATGTGATAGATTGAGGTGCAGGGAGCCGGGGAGGTACTGGCACGACGGTGGGAGCAGAAAAGAAAGGGATCCGTAAGTCTGGGAAAGGTTGAGCAAATGTTCGGTTCCCTTGCTGCGGTAGAACAAGAGGATACAGGGGGCACTATATGAAGAGACACGAATGAGTATAGGTCGTGCGGCTTGACTCCTGCCAGGCACCAAAAGCGCGTGCCGGGAAAAATGTATCAGAGCATACATATCCGATCGGGTCACGAAGATGGAGCGTGGCAATCGACTGGGACTGCTGCACAGCTGGGAGCCAATCTAGAAAACCACTAGACTCGGCGCCTCATGCACATCAAACTATCACCACACTTGTACTGTGAAACAGAGGCTGATCTTTCGAGTAGGATAAAGTAGAATGGATTGTTCATGAGACAACTCGACTCGATGAGGGCCCGCTCGCAGATTCCGAGCCCAGATACGAGAAGAGCCTGACAGCACTTTGACGCTTCGAATAGAATCGTCATTGCTGCCACACTGCGATTTCAGATTGAAATGATCTAACACGCCGAGTGGGAACCAAACTTTGAACAGTGCCTCTTAGGTGCAAAATGCGACAGGTCGGGGGACTGAACGAAGTGGGTGCTCGACGACCCGACAGAGTGGGTAACTAATCTGAGCGCACAGGGTTCGTCGACGGTAGGCTGGGTTTGATGCCAACTAACCGATCAGGAGCTTCCGGGCCGCAGAAGATCATTGGGCGGCTCCGAAAGAGCGGGGAGCGATGTGTTCATATAGTACTTTAGTAGCACAAGTCTTGACTACACGACAATGCAGCATGCAAGCTCTTTACCTGTCTCTCGTCGGCAAGACCTGTTCTTTGGCTGCAAGCTTACGAGCACGGGATGATCCCAAGCAACATCTATCGCTGTTGCTTTAATCTATCTAACCTTTGCGTCGGGTTTGCAGTGAGTAATCATTGTAATTCGTTATTTTGTTGGCCTTCTATTCACGTTGCTCGAGCTACACGACCAGTACCCGCCGCCCCACCCTCAGAGGGGCGACCTGTCTGTGCTGGTCTTGAGAAGTTCATGTTTGTGTTACCTCGAAGCAAAAAAAGAAAAAGCCGTTTGTGCCCACGAGTGTCAGGATCGTATTAATGGGAAGGGAAGTTGACGAGCGATATTCTATCAATCGCTGACGGGAGTACAAGAACGCCCAGAGGGAGGTTGGGAGGAGAGGGACATAGACCGCTCTGTGCCAGCAGCATGCGCAAGCGAAGAGGCGCATAATAGTTCTTCCAAATAACGTTCCGGGTATCGCCAGGTACGCCATCCGTTGCAGATTTGTGGCAACGTTGTGGAGGTGTGGTGTGGAGGCAAAGCAAAGGGCCGTGATTGGATGACACCCGACATGCATGCAAGTCATGTCGAGATGAATTCAACCTGGGACCCGGGATTGAAGCCTGCGCTTCCCAGAAGGCATATTGGTGCGATGTGAGGAGGGAGCGAAGTACGCCTCAGGGTTTGCCATGGATGGCGCCCCATCGTCACCTTTGAAGCCCTCGCCGTCGTTGAGGACGAATGCAGCCAGAGAACGTACGGCTGAAGTCCAGTCGGCGACTGCGTGCATGCGATCCAAATCTGCCCTACTCTCAATGTCGACAGTTCCGGCTTCTTGGTTAATCTTGCCGTGAAGTTTCTGATCCATGATCAAGAAGCCCACAATGTCTTGGACTTCTGGGATGGAAATGTTCAGCTGCTTGGCAATGAAGGAGAGGCGGAATCGTGTATACGGGGCGACCAGCTTGACAACGGCCTTTGTGCGCATGTTTCGCGTGACTTCGTCAATGTTCTCGGCAATGAAGGGGTCGGCCAACAGATCCTTGTTCTTCTGCAGGATCGACTCGTAGCGGTGAATGTCATCTCGCTGGTAAGCATCGACCAGCTCAGTCATGGCAGCGATACGAGGATCGTTCTTGTATGGCTTGGTCTCCTGCGAATCAAAGGGATTGATATCGGAGCCCATAAGCATGGTCGTCAGAACCAGATACTTGAGCACTTGAATTCTCTGCAACGAGCCGGCCTCATCGTAATTGCGGAATGATTCAAAGAAGTCTGATTGAGCCTCCTTCCAGTTTTCTGCAGGAGATGGGTCAGCATTTGGGGGTCTAAAAGGCGCAAAGCGTGGCGTTCCCGAACCTTCACTCATGTGCATCTTGCCTCCACATTCTCGGATGATGCCCATGATCTTGGGATGTGGCACGGCCGATCTGACTTTGAGAGCGCGTTGATAAAGGGNCCTGAGAATGAGATTGTAAGATTAGCTTGTGGCTCACGACGTCGATCAGGATCATGAGATGTTGTCACGGACCTTGAGACGTTTGTTGTTGCGAGTCTCGGCATACATGAGGATTTCCAGAGCGTAGACTTCGAGCGAGTATGTGCCCTTGCTTGGATCGTCGGAACCATCTTCCAACTGACAGGCTTTGTGAAGCTCGCGCACCTTGTCGGTCAGGCGACGGTAGTCCTTCTGATCAAGCCAGAGGCGAGCCAGCTTTGTGTTTGTCTTGAGCCAAAGACGCTCGTTGTTTGTGCTCTGGAATGAGTCAAGTGTCTTGGAGTAGAACTGCTCCATGCATTTGTTGGCAGCCTCGTCCTCTGCATTCTTCTCGATGAAGTCGAGCATGTTGTTGATGGACTTTTCCGAGTAGTTGCGAGTGACGGCGGATTTGACATAGGTGAGTAGCTCCTGGTAGTGTTGAACGGCTTGATCATAGCGGCGTAGCTTGAACTCGAGTTTGATGGCTTGCTTCAAGCCTTTGAATCNCCCCTGGCTGGTGTCAGTTCACAGTGTCCACAACGAGGATGACGGCGCGCACCAATCTCCTTTCTCTTCCTCAAGGGCAGGAACACCCAAGAATTCATCAATGGCCTCCTCTGGGCTGTCGACCTTCATCTGCTTGGCATTGTAGTACTTGTTTTCGATGTCGACATCGCCGCCCTGGTCCTCATCTTCGTCTTCGTACTCGAAATCATAGCTAGGAGAGGGTCAGCACTCATTACGGTCACGCATGGACTGTAGCGCTTGTTCCCTACTCCTCCTGGTCAGAGTCCTGCATGAAATCGTCGTCGTCGGACATTGTGGCGGTGTTGAAGTGCGGTGTAAGAAATGAGACAGGTCTTTTCTTGTGTGCGAGGTACAGTGGAGGGTGGCACACAAGATGCGGTGAATGGGAAAGGGCACACAGAAGTTCAGAACCTGGTGGGCGGTTCTCTGCACAAGGCAAACAAGTGACAAGTGATGGAGTTGAGCTTCACGTTCATGCTGATGACGGCGTTGTTGTCCGTCCGGCGTTAAGAGGCTTGGCGTTGGACTTTCTGTCCGGCCACAATCCGATTCTTTCTTTTCACTTTCTCACAAGACCTTAACTCTTAAGAGTCTTTCAACTGTTGCAGTATCCAGCTATGCTAACATAATGAAGAGTAGGTATGCAAGTTCAATACAAGACTTGCAGCAGAAACATGCTTAAAACACATGCCGAGAGAGCTTGACAGCCGACTTGTTCAAGCTACTATGCGAGCACCACAGGAGCAGATTGTCTGAGTGTCTAACAGAGCCATGGACTGCTGAGCTCTCAGGATCAAATGGAAGTTCTTGCTAGCCGTCAGAGGCAGAGACGGTGAAGGATATGGCATTGCGGAGTGGTTTGCATAGAAGATGGGGTACATATCAATGGCCTGTGCGAAGCTTTGGACCATCCGTGACGCTTCCACAAACGGGTGCGCTCTCTCTCGTAGCAACCAGAGACAAGACCAAACGCTGTATCAACGTCGAGTCTTGAGTCTCGTCCTTTGCTGCAATCTGACTGCTCATTGCCATTGCCATTGCCATTGCCATTGCCATCTGTCGACCACCCAAAATAACACACTAGTAGCCTCTATCAGCAGAGTCGTCGTCGATTCTACGCTACGTCAGCTTCGGATCAAGTCAAACTCTACGCCATCATCCCCAGCCTCCATCGGACTAGACCACCGCCCGCCCAAGATCCCACGACGCGCCAACCTCGCTGCTCTCTGCCCAACCAATTCCTCGACCAAACACGACTCAAACTTCGACATGCCTCTCTGTGGTGGAACCAAGACCGTTCAGCGCAAGCTGGTCCTGCTGTGCGTGATACCTCGTCTCAGCCATTCACTATACTAACAATTTCCGTGTCCAGANGGCGACGGTGCTTGCGGAAAGACTTCGCTACTGAACGTCTTCACTAGANNGGGTGCGATTGACCTGCCATGCGCACACTTGCTCCTTTGCTGACACGCGACCAGATATTTCCCTACAGTCTAGTAAGACGACTCGTAACCCTTGCCCGCCCGCTCATCGCTAACTCGCATCTCCGCCCTCAGTGAACCCACCGTTTTTGGTACCGTCTCTCCAACACACTCGATCGTGTCGCAGCACTGACGCGACCCAGAAAACTATGTTCACGACATCTTCATCGACAATGTTCACGTAGAACTTTCTCTCTGGGACACCGCTGGCCAAGAAGAATTCGACCGTCTACGCTCGCTGTCCTACGACGATACTCATGCCATTATGCTTTGTTTCAGCGTACGTCCCGACCATTGGAAATACTCGAAACCTCATCATCTTGGACTAACAAACCCATAACAGGTCGACTCGCCAGACTCATTGGAGAACGTCGAATCAAAGTGGGTTGCTGAGATTGCCGAAAACTGNCCCGGAGTAAAACTCGTCCTTGTCGCCTTGAAGTGCGATTTGCGAGAACAAGCGAATGATGACGAAGAGACCAATGAACCGAAACGTCCCATGATTGACTACAAGCGTGGCCTTGCTGTAGCCGAGAAGATCAAGGCTCTCAGATACCTCGGTATGTTTCACACAGAGAGTATGAAAGCCACAAGGAGATGCTGACAGTGCGTGTANGAATGCTCGGCCATGAAAAATCGTGGAGTCAACGAAGCCTTCACCGAGGCTGCCCGCGTCGCCCTCCAGGTCAAGAATGTCAAGGGCGATAAGCAGAGCAGCTGCTCCATCATGTGAAGACTCGCCTTATTCCCTCCAGCACCACACAGTCTCTGCTGGATCTCGCCTACCTATCCCTCGCTTCGCCTCGCCTTTCCTCGCAGTCATGCCTTCACTTCTTGCACAAACATTACTATACCCCATACCCTTTTTTGGCCTTGCTATCTAATTTACGCCCTTTTCATATCTGCTTTATGACCAAATACACGCTCTGATTTACTCGCTCACGAACTCTGTACGAAGCTGCTCGTCTGGCTCTTGTATATGTCCTCTACATCACGATATGGCTTTCCTTTGTCGCTAGCCTCATGATTTATATACACACGTTTGCAATGAGTTTGACAAGGTCAACAGCCCAACAGCTTTGTCTTTGCAAACCTATTCGTGCTCGATCTGACGTGAATTGTTGAATGCACTCCTGGGATTAAGAGAGCTCCGCATAGTAACACGATGAAAACCATCCTGTGGAGATCTTGACGTTCTACAAAAGACGATCCGTCCGACCTCCCCGTGTGCTATAGACAGTCACGGTTTTGCAAATGATCCCTTCTCCATCCCAAGCAAGGTACAACGGTTAACATAAGCTATCAAAATGCACAGTTGTAACTCGGACATGAGACTGGCTATTGAGATAGCCTCTGATGGAGTTTTCTCTGGGAAACGACACTTTTGGCGAGATTATTGTGCATTTTGATAGCTATGCTGTGAGTGTCTTTGGCACACGGAGAAGAGGCATGCTCTGGTTTAAAAAACAGAATGGACACATTTGGAGTGCAGCGAGTGAGACTCGAGCCCACCCGAGTTACATACTTTCACACATAGGAAGGATAGATTGGTCGTAGAGAATCAGGGGGGCAAACCACAAGAGGTGCCAAAGACATAAACTTGCAAGATTGAGCAAATGTCATAGCGTTGTCGTTGTGCCATGAATGGAAAGACTATACATTATACGAGAAGAAATGGTGAAAAACTGTGTCTATATGTTGTGTGTCTACTCTCCTTAACCTTCAAAGATGCCATGGTTCAGCTCAATGCCCATGTCTCCAGCAACTGCTCTCATCTGCTCTTCGATATCTGCATCCATGCCTTTGCCCAATCCCAGCCACTGCTTGATCTTGGCATACCAGAACCACACATCTGTGCCTACCAGCACGGCTCTAAACACTAGATGATTGGCATAGTACTTCCAGCGCTGAGAGATGGTGAGATGGGGTTGTTCGGTCAGCGCCCTGGAAGCCCACAAGCCAGTAATCTTAACGCGGTTCACAGGCGATCCCAAGAACTGGTTGTTGCCCTGAACAATACGCAGATTGCGGCCGATGAAGATAAGTTCCTGCGGCCACTTCTTCTCATCACCAAGAATCTGACGGATGCCATTGCGCATTTGCATTTGCATCTCGTAGGCACGCTGTTTCTGCTCTGCTTTGGTGAGCTTCCTAATGCTTTCGCTCGTGCTGTTGTCGCCACCAGTGTATGGACGCATCAAAGTTGCCGAGGCGAAGAGGTCAGGCGAGTTGATGCCCCAGCCCTTGACGATGCGGCCGATGGTGGCGTTGTCAAAGGTCATGAGGGACTTCCAAAACAAGGCGTAGTCGTGGCGGAATTCAGGGGACATGCGGATGTATAGACCATGGTCGATAAGGACGAGTTCAGGCTTGCCGTTGGGAAGACGGCGAATGAAGATGTTGCCTGGATGAGGATCACAGTGGACGAGACCCCAAAGGAACATTTGCGCAGAAAAGAGAGAAACCATGGTTTCCATGACGGGCTTGTAATTAAGACCCAGGCCGCCCTTACCAGTTGCACCGCGCCACTCATCGCGGCTAGGCTTCAGTTTCTCGTTATTGGGGTCTTTTGATGGTTGGACGTTCGCAGGAGGAGGAAGAAGCTCGCCGCCAGCACCGGGGCTACCTTTACGCCAGCCACCGTGCCATGTTGCTTCAATTCCTTCTTTGTCCCAGAGTCGTACACCCTCGATCCACTCTGCAGTCATGACACGCCTTGAGCTGAGTTCACGGTAGACCTTCGGAATGTAGACCTTACCACGGAGACGTGGCTCGTTCTGGACGAGGTCACGCATTTCGTTGGCGTTGTTGGCTTCGTTGACGAAGTCGGTCTCCAGCATCAGGCGCTCGGAAATGTAGGGTACCAGAGTGTAGAGAGGAATGTCGAACCACCATGTGTATATCTTAGTGACAACTTTGAAAGTCCAAAGGTCCCAGTCGACTTGTCTTTCGATCTCTCGCTTCTGGATCTTGATGGCAACTTCTCTTCCGTCAGGCAGGCGAGCCCAGTGGACTTGAGCGACACTGGCGCTTGCCCTCGCTGTTCTCTCCATGATACCTTTGTCTTGTGCTCCGTCAAAGCTCACGCCGAAAACTTCCTCGACATCTTNTCCAAAGTCTTCCCTAATGACCTGTCTCACATCCTCCCAAGAGTTCTGAGGAGCATCGTCGAACATAGAAGCGAACATTTTCTGGAACTCTGGAGGCAAGATGGCACTCTGCATAGCGATAGCTTGACCAATCTTGAGGTAGAGACCGCCATTGTTGCGAAGAAGGTGGAAGAGGCGTTCAGCACTGCGGTGGTGGACATCGGCAACCGAATCGGCGAAAGGAGGATTTGCGCGGAAGTTGATCTTGTAGTCGAGGGCAACAACGAGACCGGTTTTGAATGTACGGGCAGAGCGTGTAACGACGGCATCGAAGAAGTAGCTGTCGATTGCGAGGACAGTGGCTGAGAGAAGTCCCAACTGAATCAATCGTTTGAGGATGGCTCTTGTTCGACGGTACTGCTTGGCTGCGACAGGTCTCCCTAGCGATTCAGGCGATGGCGGAACTAGAGGTTGAAACTGCGATTGTTGTCTCTGTATCTGTTTGGTGACTGGCCCTCGAGTCCATGAAGGCGATAATCTATACGGCACTCTGCTACGGTAGGCAGGTCGTGATAGGGCAGCGATGAAGGCGCCTTTGCGGCATGACGGAAGCATCTCTTCCTCTGCCTACGTTCTTCTTTTCGACTATATGTCGAGATATTCAGTTCTTGCAAGAAACAGACTTGTCCCTGTCGCATCGTTGAATGCGAAAGTGACCGATGACGTATAGTATATTTTGCCAAGTCCAAAAGACGCGCCGATCTCCACTTCCTCCAACTCTTCCCTCTCAAGCTTCTATACCGCTGTCCTACAGCTCCGACTGCACAAACTTCACAAGCAACTCCTATACTCTGTCTCTGATTGACTACACAATGTAGATCAGCACTTCTCTCCGCCCTCCGAATATGTCCTGCGTCACATCCTGTCGCTCACCCCGCTTCCTCCCCCAGTTTCTCCGCGTCTCATGCAGCAGATCTGCCGTTTGCTAGGCCAAGACTCCATGAAAGAGATCGACTATCGATCTGAACTTATAGTTTTTCCATCCACTCGCCTTGCTCTCTGGTCACCATGTAGGTTCGTGTACTAGGCTTGGTCTTCTGACCGTGAAGCCTTAAGGCTGTGCTATCCACACTCTCGTTTCCGTCAATCCAAATCTTCCAATATGCAACGCTTGTTGTTCGTTCTCTTCCTGGCTATCTTGTGGTCCCTATTCGTCTCCGCATCTTCGCCTCTGGTCACCATTAAGAATGGCACTGTCCAAGGTCGTCACTCCCCCGAATGGAATCAGGATTTCTTTCTAGGCATCCCTTACGCTCAGCCCCCTCTTGGTGACTTGCGATTCAGATGGCCTCAATCCATTAACACGTCCTTCGAAGGAGTCTTCGACGCTTCTCGTTATGGATACAGTTGTTATCAATACGGAAGCAATTTCAATCTGAGCGAAGACTGCCTGACCATCAATGGTACATCATATTATCCAGCTCCTTTTCATTCTAGCTAAATCTTCTANGTCATACGTCCCTCCGGCTACGATCACCAAAAATTACCGATTCTGGTCTGGATATATGGTGGAGGGCTGACTCTAGGCAGCACAGCCGATCCCCAGTACAATCTAAGTGGCATCGTGGAAACCTCAACCCTGACCGACAATCCATTCATTGCGGTCAGTCTGAATTATAGACTCGGTGTGTGGGGTTTTCTTAACACTCCCATCGTTCATGCCGAGGGCTCTTCCAACGCGGGTCTACTTGACCAAAGGCTTGGGCTTCGATGGGTTCAGGAGAACATAGCCTCGTTTGGTGGTGATCCTACACGAGTGACCGTGTGGGCAGAAAGCGCTGGAGCCCAGAGTATTGGCTTTCACCTGGTCAGTTATGGTGGCCGCGACGACAATCTCTTCCACGCTGCTATACTGGAGTCTGGAGGTCCGGAAGGTGCTAGTCTGAACACTTTGCCATTTTATTCTGCTGCCACGGACAACCTGACGAGGACGGTGGGATGCCCTAGGACGTGGACTGACCCCTCACAGCTTGTCTGTCTCCGAAACCTGAGCTCAGAGGCATTGTTTGCTTCGAACTACACTGTCGTCTGGAACCCAATCGTCGATGGCGACTTCTTGACAGATTATCCGTCGTCTCTCTTAGCACAAGGCAAATTCGTTCGTGTGCCGTTGATTACAGGTGCAAACACGGACGAAGGCGTCAGTTTCAGTGTACAAAATCTTAACACTACGACTGATGTCTACAACTCTCTCTTCTACTGGCGCAACTACGCCTTGTCTCCTGCTAGCATCCGCAGACTATTGCAGCTTTACCCTAACAAACCTGCCACAGAGCCACCATACTCTAATCATGCAAATGTCACATATCCTGCATTTGGACAGCAATGGCGACGCTCTGCTGCAATCGGAGGCGATCTCGTCATGATAGCACAACGACGCAAGATGGCAGAGCTATACACAAAAGCTGGCCAGAAAGTCTTCTCATATCGTTTCGATACACCTTTATACAACGCCACCCCACCTGGGTCTGTAAAACACTTTGACAACGTCATGTTCAGCTTTCAGAACATCTCGGGAGCTATGGGACCATTGCCACAGTATCAGTATTATAAGACTCTGAGTACTGGTATTGGCAAGCTGTATGCCAATTTTGTGGGCACACACAATCCGAATGGGAACAATGCAACGAATGGTACTGGATTGCCTTACTGGCCTCAGTACAGTATTGACGCGCCTACAAACTTGGTATTGAATGCCACTGCTAGTTATGTCGAAGCAGATACGTTCCGTCAAGAAGGCATTAGCTTTATCAATGGCATTTGGCGAGAACTGCTGGCATAAGGTGCAGGAGTCAAGTCCGCAATCCGGCAAAGAGATTCCTCAGACTTGTTCTGAGATCCAAGAGGTGTGGCGGTATAGTTTCTCTCATGTATACTTTGATGTTATGCAATGACACAACGAAGTGGTTCCTGTTAATTTTCGTGACAGTAATCGACTTTGTAAGAAGTGACCAAAGCCCTTTCTCCGCTGAGGAAGTTGTTGACTTTCGCATCTTCTCCGCGGCCGGCGACTTTCGCATCGATGCGCGATCTCTTGGCGGGGATGTTGGTGGGGAGGCTACAGAACGTCCGTTACTAACATTGATAGTTCTGAGGGTCTGATATGGTACGAAAACTGCTTATCCCATGCCATTCAAGTATGCGTATGTAACCTGTGATCTCATATTCACAGCTTCCGACCTTATCTTGTCACTTTGTATCGCTTGAATTGCGATGCGACTGGTTTGTGAGAAAGGCTGGTTGCGTTCGGTAAAGAGGACTGCGGGTAAAAGTGGTGGGGCGACCAATAACAGCATGGCCATTGGACGGAGGCAATTGCGTTATCGCGGCGACCGCGTTATCGGGCTTTGGCTTCGAGAGGCCGAGAGAAAAAGTACCAACAACCAAGAGATATGAGTCTCGCGTCTTGTGTTATCTTTCTCCTTGGACATAGTTGATATATTTGCCTTGTTACGCTGCCGACTACTTGCCACTCCTTTGGTTGCTCGCTTCTTTATTGCTTCTGAGACTGTTTACTTCTTACATCTCTACTCGACTTTATATATCCAAGCCGAAGCTTAGAACAATAGGAGGCGATCGCTGTCAACATGGCCACTCCGGCATTGCTTACCGCTGTTGACTCGACCAACCACGTCCACTTGATTGTTGGATCCAACCCTCTGGCTGGTGCACGTTGCAATCGAGCCCTCGAAGTCGGTGCAATTCCCAAGATCATCGCTCCTGAGGACGCCCAAGTACACTATGGACTGGCAAAGAAGATTGAGGAGGGCAAGGTGGAGTGGATCAAGAGAGAGTTTCAGGATGCAGATCTGACAAGCCTGGGACGAGACGAGGTGGACAATGTCGTGGATGCCGTCTTTGTGACGACGGCAGGCAAAGGTGCTCTGAGTGAGTCGATATGGTCTGTCATCTCAAGGAGTCGAACTGACCTTTACACCAGGNNCACACACATCTCTACTCTCTGCCGCAGACTCCGAATCCCTGTCAACGTGGCAGACGCTCCGAACCTTTGCACCTTCACCCTCCTCTCCACACACTCCTCAGGCCCCCTACAGATTGGTGTCACAACGTCCGGCAAAGGCTGTAAATTGGCCTCTCGCATTCGACGTGAAATCGCCTCTGCTTTACCTTCCGACCTCGGTACCGCTGTGGAAAGACTCGGTACGATACGCCGTCGCATCTGGGAGGAGGACCACGCTACCGAATTGTCCATGGACTTGGAAGCTGAAGAGGAGGATGCTGGTCAAAATGCTCAGTTCAACAAGCTCATTACACCTACCGATCTCGAAGCCGCCAGAAACAGACGTATGCGCTGGCTCTCGCAGATCTGCGAGTATTGGCCTCTTCGCCGTCTGGCTGCCATCACAGATGCTGATGTTGATGCTGTGTTGGCTTCATACAGCCAAGAAGCTGCTATCGAAGCCAGCACTCCTCTACTCAGCCCTGGAACTCTCGACTCTAGAACTCGCAGAGGTCGTATCATTCTGGCTGGATCTGGTCCTGGTCACCCGGATCTGTTGACTGGATTGACACTCAAAGCTATTCGCGGCGCCGATGTTATCCTTGCAGACAAGCTCGTCCCAGCACCAGTTCTTGACTTGATCCCTAGACGCACGCCCGTCCACATTGCAAGAAAGTTNCCTGGAAACGCCGAAGCTGCTCAGGAAGAGCTGCTCTCTCTTGGTCTCGCTGCAGCAAAGAAGGGCCAGACGGTCCTCCGCTTGAAGCAGGGAGATCCTTACCTGTACGGCCGTGGTGCTGAGGAGTACGACTTCTTCCGCCGTGAAGGCTACGAAGTCAGCGTCTTGCCCGGCATCACCTCTGCTCTCAGTGCCCCTCTGTTCGCCAAAATCCCCGTCACCCACCGTGCCGTCAGTGATCAAGTCTTGATCTGCACTGGTACCGGTCGCAAGGGAGCTGCTCCCGATCCGCCTGTCTACCTGCCAAACCAGACTTGCGTCTTCCTCATGTCTCTCCACAGACTCGGTGCTCTTATCGACAGTCTCGTGGCTGAAGGCAAGAACTACCCAAAGACCACACCTTGCGCAGTCATCGAGCGCGCAAGCTGTACCGATCANAGAGTCATCCGCAGCACACTCGAATACGTCTGTGCCGCAGTTGAGGAAGAAGGCTCAAGACCACCCGGTCTTCTTGTTGTCGGCCTTGCATGCGAAGTCTTGGAGAAGAGCCACCAGAAGTGGGTTGTTGAAGAGGGTTTCAGTGGCTTTGACAACTTGGGTGAAGGAAGTCTTGATGAGTTAAGCGCTGAGCTCCGTGGTGAGATCGTAGCTTGAGACTTTTCGATTGAGACATATAGTGGCGTTAGGATTGTTGGCTGCATTTCTTTAAAAGATACCCCTGGATTTAACAAGCATGGCCAAACATAACTGCATTCAACATAGACATACATATACAATTTTTCACAGACAGAAAGCGTGTTGCTCCTTGTTTGGCAAGCCGCCCTTGTGTCACCCCACTCTCACTCGTCGCTCTCCTCATTCCTCAGTCGCACCTTCCAGACTCTGAACTTTTGCCAGCCATCAACCCAACCAAGAACAGCCCATCGAAGCTCAACTCCAGAACATCAACACTTTCAACCTACACGATTCTTCAACATGGCCGCCAACAGCCACGAGCTCCCAGAATGGTTACACCAACTCTTGACCCAAGTCAACCTGGAAGAGATCACCTCTGCAATGGAAAATATCACTCTGGCTGACTTCACCCGCCTCGTCAATATCGCCAAAGGTCAAGAACTCAACGTCACCACCATTACAAAGCTGTATGAAGAAGCCAGCAAACTCTCTGGAGCAGGAACTGCTCTCATCGCTGCTGCTCTTGTGGTTGCTGTTATTGCTTTTGCNTTCCCTATGTCTGTGGCTGCAGTGTTCCTTACTCCTCTGGGCTTTACAATGAACAATATTGCTGCTGGTGAGTTTTTGTGGTGTCCTTTTAAGATGTCATATGATTTGCGTGTCTGACTTGTCTTCGAATANGCTTCCATCGCTTCAACTTTCCAATCCATCTGGGGTGTCAATGCTTTGTTCAGTCTTCTGCAAAGTGCAGCCATGGGCGGTTATGGTGCTCCTATCGTTGCAGGTGTGGTTCAGGGAGCTTCTGCCGTCAGTGCTGGTTTCTCAGCCCTCAAGCTCTGGACCATGGGCAACTGGACCATGCCTTGGTAGTTGTGAATCAGGGGCATTGTGCATGAAGATAGGTCTCAGATCTGTTTGGGATGGGCGTCTCGAAGCTAGTAGACGATACGATGCTGCAGCAAACAAGAAAAACGACATGAAAGACTCTACGATATTGGTCATGCTGCTAGTTTGGCTCTTTCCGCTGTTTCATCACGACTGGTGCTGTCACAGTTCTCTTTGTTGTGAGTCTGCAGTCAGCATAAAGAAGAGACATACATACTATACAGTTGTTCATAGACAAAAGGCGTGTTGTCTCTGATTCATTCTTCGACCATCGAAATAGTTGGTCTTTGTTCACTCGCTCTCACTCGTCCTAGTCGTGTCTTTCCAGCTCTGGACGTCGCCAATCTTTAGTGAACATATATGGTCAGAGATTTACAACCACATCACATCAACCCATCAGACTTCTGACCCTCACAGTAAAGCCTTCAAGATGGCTAGTCGCTTCACGCTCTCAGACGAACACCGCAAACTCCTTGCACAAATCAAATTCGAGAACACCACCAAAGCTACGAAGAACAACACACTAATTACGTCCACCTGTCTCGTACACTCCTCCAGATCTCAAATACCTGTCAAGATCAACATACTCACCGACCTCTACGTTAAACTGATCAACCTCTCTAGCATAAAAACAAGTCTAGCAGCCGGTGCTCTTACGATTGTTGTCAACAGTCTCGGCAGGCACATGGCTGCAACCACTCCTTCTCCATCTGCTTCGGGATCTGCGATCGTCGGGCATGCTATTGGCAAAGCTGTTCTTACCTTTTCAAGGACTATCTTGAAGCGTACCTGAATGGTATCGTTGATGGAGCTTTGATGAAGTTCTTGGCTTGATTTTGGATGTTTGTCGCGGCTATCTTCGTCTAATTCGTTTAACGCTCTGTACCTATGGCCCTGTGTAGCGTTTCCTGCTGTGTGCTTCCATACACACTGAGGGACAGGCGATTCCAGACATGATCTTCTTTCAGAGGACGAAGATCTGCAACATCCGCTATATCAGGCAGCCACAACGCGGGATAGAAATGTGTAGCCAAATCCTTGATGGCAACTCTGAATGCAGCTCCAGGTCTTTGGTTTGTCGCAGAGCCCAATTCCACATCGACGGCCATGACAAACGGCGGCGTGCCTGGGCTTGGTGTGGTTGCAGACCGCATACACTGTTCGTCAACAAACAAGCACATTTTCGTCTTCAGCCCCGGCTCGAGTTTCTCCTTGTCGTCCAATTCATCTTCGTCTTCTGTGAAGAATCTGTAGGCTGAAGCAACGTCTTCTGCTTTTGCACCATCGGTCATATCATCATCGACAATCTTCATCAAGAGCCTATCACGGATGCGATCCAGACCTTGAGAGGCAGGTGCCACATCGAACCCGTGCTGAAGAAGCGGATCCCACAACTCGCGAAACTCGTCCCAAAGCTTCTCATCGCCAAAGTACGTGCGAAAGACGAGGAAGCCAAAGACTTCTANGTTGTTTTTTTCTACCATTTTGACCAAGACATGCGGTTCCACTGTTTCAACTTCAGATGGGAAGCGAGGAGGTGGCGCACCAGCAGCTTTTGCTTTCGCTGTCATGGTGTTTCTGAAGGATTGATGTGTTGCTTTTGAGGCAGCTTCCTTTTCTGCAATCTCTCGTTGAAACAGTAATTCGGCTTCNNCTTGGCTTGCTTTGTTAAACATTGATGCATATGATGGGGATAATTTTCTTATCGTGTACAATCTCACCTCTTCTGAAAGCGTCTCCCAATCATCATCAGTTGCATTCTTGTATTTCTCTTCTGTCCATCCACTTGGCAGATAGGTGAGAATAGAGTCGTTTGCCATGTCCTCGATTTCACGCGATAAAACCGGTGGGAATGAAGAACGTCATCCGAGTTTCCTGATATGCGAGCAGCTTTTTAGAGCTAGGCGTGTGGTAATGGGTTTTGTAAGCAGTGTGTTGCGGTTTCGGGAACGGAAGAAGGGTGTTTCGTTATGATGAGATGTCAACAAGCCATGTCGATCTCAGCCTTATATACGGAGTATGTATTTAGCGTTTGCGGCGGAAGCACGGTGCTAGTCTCGTGATGATGGAATACAATAATTATAGCTACCACACAGTATATGGAAAGTGAAGAGCATATGCTGAAGTTGCCAGTTGAATCATCGTATTGACTTTCAAACTCACGAGCTGTCATGGGATTGAAGAACTCAACTATCATGATAACAAGAAGTTGTGATTCGATATTATCGTCTAAGATGCTGTAGGCTCAGCACCACTAACCGTCTCTTCGTCTAACTGCGTCTGTGCAGACATGAATGATGCGTCTTGTGAAGACGATGCTGTCCTGGACGTTCCACTATCCTCTGCAGCACTACTCGTGTCTTGCGATCCTCTTGCATCTTTGTGGTCTGCCAATTTCTGCTGCACCACCTGAGCCGTCTTTTCTAGCTCTTNTTGCAATTCTTTGAGCTTGTCTCCTGTCAAGCCAGTGCAGTTGCCGTCGAGTTTCTGTCTGTATGCACGTAACATTCGCGAAAGCTGTTCTGTCGATGCCGCAATGCTTCCAAAGCCCGTCGCACTGGCCTCTGCCTTGCTATCTCTACTCGCCTTTTCTGCTGACGTGGTGGCAAGCGTTGGTGGCACAGCACCCACAGAAAGGCGATGTCTTCCTGGTGCACTCCTTGGATGTGTCCGTGGACTAGGCGGCAATCTTGGGCTGGGACTAGGCGGCGTGGGACTCGGACTCCGTTGTCTGTTCCTGACCGTTAGACCATTGCGCATAGTCCCCAATGGCGAAGGCTCTAACCTTAGCGGTGGTGGCGGTGGGCGGATGCTCAACCTGCTAGGTTTCTNTTTCAGTACTGTGCTCGTTGTTGCACCTGTTGCGTCTGGGTTTTCTGTTTCACTGGACCTGGCTCGTTGAAACCTGGCAAGCTCACTGTGAGAGATTACTTTTCGCAGGGGCTGTTCTGCAGAGACGATGCCGGGAGCAGTGCTTGCGAATGATGGGGCTGTGTCTGAAGACTCTCTTGATCGGGGTCTTTCAGGTACAGTCGCCCATATGAATATCGTGCCGTCCGCAGCGACCGTTACGAGTTTCATCGCTGCTAGGTCGTCTGGTGCTGCATGTGACTTTAGCAGTGCGATATCAGTAACGCCTTCTGTGTGGCCCCAGTCTCGTGCGAGCAGGGTACCGTCCTCTGAATACATGCGCACAGATTTGTCACTGCCTGCTACACCTGCAATTATCGGTGATCCTGCTGTGGATGGTAGATGAACCAGACTTGACATGATAACGGCATCCCCACCGTCCGTATCGCCGGCCTTGAAGCAGGAGATGACGCGACCAGTTTGCGTGCTAACGAGTTGGATCGTCCGATCGGTTGCAGAGACAAGAAGAGTATCAGCAAACAAAGACATCCTTAGGCAGGTTGGTGAGCTCTTGAGTGTGATTGTCCTGGTGATGATGAACAGGGGTAGGTCAGATCCTTGTTGTCTTGCGGCCTCTCGAACCACTATGGATCTATCGGCTGAGCATGACAGTAGCTGCTCGCCTTTCTTAGCGAATAGAACACAAGTCACTGAGCCTGCGTGTTCATCGAGCGTTTGCAGAAGTTCGAGGCGCCCTGAGCTCCATGTTAACAATTGAATTGTACGGTCTCGGCTGCTTGAAGCTATGAGCGTGTATGTTGCGTCTTCATGAATTGCAATGTCGGTGATTTCTCCTGCGTGGGCTCTCACCCGTGAGACGTCTTCTCCGGTATTAATATTCGAGACTCNTACACATGGGTCAGCGCTCACTCACGTGCAATGTCAGACATTCTCGACTCACCTCAGCACGCCGTATTTGTCTCCAGATACTGCGTGAGAGACATTCGAGAATGCCACAACCGTCTTGAGCTCATTTACAACATTATACATATCGACATACTGGTCCATCGATACCAATATCATTGCCTTGGCCTCGCATTCGGACGACCAGAAGATAACAGTGCCGTTTGCGGACCAGCTGATGAATGCAATACCCTGCTCGTTCGGCGTTGCAACAGCACGGACTCCAAGGACTGCATCTGAATGTGCTGGGAGCTTTTGTAGTACTGCATGGCCAGGATTGTCGTCGCGAGATTTTGGCGAGACATGTCGTAGTTGGATGCCATGACTGTTGTCTACGGTCACTATGGAGTCCTCGATGCACCCAACTGCAACGTAGCCCGAGGCCGAAGGCTTTGCAGATGCTTTAGACCCCGGTGGAGTGTTCGGTGAGACGAAGGTTCTCGTGAGCTCGTCGAGATCAAGAACCTCAATGCTACCATCCAGCCCGGTAATGATGATGTTATTATCAGGCCCGAGGCATGCAGCTGTGATGCTGAAATCGACATTGGTGACCCTGATGAGTCTCTGAGCTTTATCCTCATCGTCGAGAATACAAACGTCTCCACCATCAGTGCAGACAATGGCCTTTGTCTCGGAGAAGGATGCTACACATGTGAAAGTTGCGTCGAGCAGATCACCTAGCAGGGTGTTTCGGCCAGCCAGCGGCTTGTGTTGGCGGTTATATAGACCATAGCCTCGTTCCGAGTTCTCATTGACGCTAGCTGGAAGGTCATTTGGCCTCCATACCTTGATGAAACGTAGTCCTACCGTTACCAGGCTACAGCCCATCCACGCCATGTGTCGCACGCTTGTGGTACATTTGTTGCTAGCAACTAAAGTAGGTGTGCCTCCTTNTTCGTCGATACTCCAAATGTACAAGAAGCCATCATTCACGGTGCCAAGGGACGCAAGGTACTTTGAGTCAGGGCCAAAACTCACGGATTGGACGCCAAAAGTATGTTCGGATATAGAAGACACAGGCGAGTCGGCGAACGACCTGTCAGCGAGCGAGAAAACCAGAACCCGAGGTTTGTAGCCAGTCTCACCCACAGCAAGGAAGCGTCCATTCGGACTGAAGCTTACTGCAGTGGCAGCCTTTACACGTTCGCGCACAGCACTACTCTTACTTCCTGCGGGAGAATCGTTCCATTCAGTGCGGTCTGTTGGCGGCAGCGGAGAGCGAAGCCTTGAGTCGGCGGGTGAGGCAGATATGGCAGGTGCAAGGTTGGACCTATTCGGAGTATTTGCTGGGTTGGCTCTAAAGAAACGTTGTGATATGGACCCATCAGGATGGACAGAGGCGACAACTGCGGCGGCGCCTGCGGTATAGGCGAAACTTTTTGTGTCAGGCAGATGGTCGAAGCAGAAGACAGTCTGACATGTGGTGCCAATGACGCGTTTCAGACTCAGACCCAGCTCTTGACGGTCGCGAGTGTTGGGCTTGATTGGTGAACGAGGCCCGGTCGAGGCAGAGATGGCGTTGGTTCGAGCGAAAGGACTGTTTGTTGCTATTTGGGNGGTGACATGGCGTTGTCCTCGAGGGGTGGTGTTCATACTGTCGGCTTGAATGTCCGTGTTTCTCGTCGCCTGCTTCTTCTTCTGACTTGCCAGGGGATTCGGGGAAAGTGCCAGCCTAGCATCAATACCATGTCTCACAAGATCATGTATGTATAGAGTACAGCAGTGTCGGCGTGGTGACGATTCAATTCCGCTGCTACGAGGAATGTATCGGGTATGGGTATCGCTATCAGACAGATGGGAAGGAGCGGGCTCGTCCCCTGCTTCATCGTTGAGCTTCCATCTCGTGTTGCCGCGAGTTGAATCTTATCGTGATCGAACAAAAAACTCAAGGCCATGCACGCTGACGCGCCGACCGCCGTGGACATGCCCTCTTCCCCCACCATCAACTCGCCATCACCCTGACCTGCACCACCTCTTATCCTTCCCTTCTTTTTTTTCTTTTTGCTTTTTCTCTTTGATTGAATAGGATTATGGGCAGCTGAGTGCATAGCGCAAGGTCATAACCATCGAAGCCCTATTAGAACGAGTATATGTTCTACTTTGATTCTCATCTAAATTGTCCCGTTCGTGCAATCAAGCTCTAGAGCGTCTCCGTTCGCGGTGGTCTACGCCCTTGACACCAAACACCTCCATCCCATCCCTAACACCGTCTCGCAACCCGCCTGTAACGCCATGAACCCACCAGAATATCATGTCCTCTAAGGCCACGCCAACCTGTCCATCATTCCAGTTACACACGGTTTTGGCGATGGCCATGGTGTTCTTGCTCAATACGTTTGCAGTCGCCCAGGATTGGTTGAGTATTTTCTCCGAGATGTGGTGTTCTCGTTCATACTGGTATGCACCTCGGCATATCGTCTGGATGTAAGGCCAGAGGAACGACATGAGAATGAAGATCTGAAGCACGACCATTGCTACTACACGATGGAGTAGCGTTGGATCCTCTTCTTGTTGCGTGACCTGGTTGTCATAGGTCTGATCTCGGATCATAACTCTGTCCGCAGGCTGCTGCAGTGGTATCATTTCAGATGGCATAGCAGCTTGAAGCCGTATTGTCTCTTCGGAAGAGAGGTCTTGTGGCAGACCTCGGAGAAGATAACTGACCCCATCAATGTACAATTGGCGGCTGAAGTCGGGATTTGAAGAAAGACACGACGAGCCTTGGATAAGGTTTTGGCNCTAGGGAAGGAATCATGAGATGGTGAGCAACGAGAACGCTGCGTAACATTTACCTTGACGTGCGAATTCCCATCGTATACCCGCTCGTTCGTCGTTTACGAATACAGCAGTATCGGCAGGCAGAGATCTAGGCGACGTCGGTGGAGTTTCTTGGAAGTCAACATCAGACAGGACAGAAGTCAGNNGGGATGCGATAGGTTCTTGATAGGGCGGTGGAGGGGTTGCTGAGCCAGGTCTGGCACTCTCTGTGCTCAAAGCTCGAACGTGACCGACTAATGCAGCTGCACGGTTGTAACCCGACAGCGAGCGGCGCAGAGATGGCACCTTTGGCATCGAGTTTTTGATCAGCGGTGGTAGTACGGCATAGATGATGGACGTGTTTTCTTGGTCAATGGACTCAAGCACAGGTGATGCGGGCGCCATTCTTGTTGAACAAAGCAGGAAAGACGGAGAGTCAGCGATAGCAGAACTGAGGCAGGCTCCTCAGATATAAAGGCATTGCGGCGACTACAGAGGGAATGCGTTGAGCATCACATGCATGCAGAAACTGCCCGACCTCCAAATGAGAGAATAGTCGGGTGTTGAGCGCAGAGCCGCAATCTTTTGGTGCTTTGCATCGTTGGACCCTCGATCCAACCAGCAACCCTGCTTTTGCATGTGGCATGTGAAAGTGGTCCAAGCGCTCTGTCTACCGAAGCACAGACATCGGCGCGTGAGTACGTCACTGACCTTGTACTCGACTTTCTTTGAATCCATCCGTCACGCGAACGAGCTCTGTCAGATACTCACATGCTTGTCGCCAGGCTGTTTCTGTCATGGGTGTCACTGGCCTGTGGTCTGTCGTCCAGCCTTGTGCCCGACCTATCAAGATCGAAACGCTGAACAAGAAACGACTCGCCGTTGATGCCTCCATCTGGATCTACCAATTCTTGAAGGCTGTTCGTGACAAAGACGGCAACGCCCTGCGAAACAGTCATGTCGTTGGCTTCTTCCGCCGTATCTGCAAGCTCCTCTACTTCGGTATCAAGCCAGTCTTCGTCTTCGATGGTGGTGCTCCCGCACTCAAGCGCGCCACTATCAACGCTCGCAAGCAGAGAAGAGAAGGAAGAAGAGAGGATGCCACCCGTACCGCTGGTAAGCTGCTTGCTCTGCAGATGCAACGCATTGCTGAGGAAGAGGAGAACAACCGCAAGCGAGCCACACATGCCGCTCCACAAGAAGAGGAAGAGCCGCTGCCCGAAAATCTCGTCTATGCCGATGAGGTTCTCATGAACCCGCAAGAACGCCAGCAGAACAAGACTTTCAGGAAGAAAGACCAATACCATCTCCCTGATCTAGGCGTCCCTCTCTCTGAGATGGGTGCTCCCAATGATCCCAGAATCATGTCGCTTGAGGAGCTCGAGAACTACGCTCGTCAATTCGATACTGGTGAAGACATCAATGTCTACGACTTCTCTAAAATTGACTTTGATGGTCCATTCTTCCTCAGTCTCCCACCTAGTGATCGTTACAACATCCTCAATGCAGCCAGATTAAGAAGTAGACTCAGAATGGGCTACTCCAAAGATCAGCTGGATACAATGTTTCCCGACCGTATGGCNTTTTCCAAGTTTCAGATTGAACGAGTAACGGAGCGCAATGACTTGACGCAACGTCTGATGAATCTGAACGGCATGAATGATGACCTTATGTATGGTCTTGATGCTCCTGGAAGAGTCGCTGGTGAGAGAGGCAGAGAGTACGTCTTGGTCAAGAACGATGGTGTCGAGGGTGGCTGGGCCTTGGGAGTCGTTACAGGCAAGAACGATGGTGTCGAGAACAAACCCATCGACGTTGATGCAGCCGATCAGGAAGCCAACGAAGAGCAAGACGAGGATGAAGACGATTTTGAGGATGTTCCGATTGAAGGTCTAAATCGTTTACCTAAGGCAACGACAGCTCAACAACAGAAAACATTAGGCACTGAGATGGCCAAGCGAAGGCAAGCTTTCTACAGATCCAAACGAAGCGCTCCTCGCAAGCGAGCCAAAGCGCCCCAACAACGTAGACCATCAGAAGCCGAGGGCTTATTTGTGGATGATGACCAAGACACTACTATGGAAGTCGACAACGAAGATGGCGATGCTTCTGATGATGAAGAGCTCCAGCGAGCTATTGCCTTGTCTATGCAAACTGAGGATGTCGAACCAGAAGAAGAAGAAGAGGCGCAAGAAGACAAGGAGAAAGAGGATTGGTTCGACAAGTTCCAGCAGACTCGTGCTGATGAGGGTCGTCCTATCCCGCGCGGTGGTGGTTTAGCGATTGCGCACATCGTCAATAGCCGAGCAGGTAAAGCTGTCCCAGTTGCATCAACTCCCAATGAGGGCCTCGAAGACATGACCCTGCAGCCCGATCTCACAAAATCTCGCAATGAGACGACACCCAAGCCCAACGCTTTTGGCGAGGAAAGCGACGATAGTGAGGATGACATGGATTTCCAAGCCGCTCTTGCTGAATCGCGCAAATCAAAATACCAATCTAAACAGCCGCTGAAGACTCGACCTGAACCACCTGCACATTCAGCACCAGCTAAACCCGACTCAGCGCCTAAAAATGCCGCTGGTTTCTCAGGTCCCCTGCCCTTCGAAAAGCTAGATCTGGGCTCTTCCCTTCTCGGCAAGAAGAAGATGCANAAGACACAAGAAGAGCTGGCAGGAGGTTTCGAGAGAGACGATACCGGTCCAGCTAAGAAGGACAAGTCAGAACCTCTACCTCCTTGGTTTGACGGAGACCTTGGTGCCAATATGTCTAAGCAGAAGGCCCTTGAGCGCGACGATTGGCAAAGAACTAAAGCATACAATGAAGAGTTTCAATTCGCCGAGGTTCCACCTCTAGGTCGTCGCTCGTCTCGTGAGATCATTGATCTCGATCTTGAGGAATCACAACCTAATGATCCAAGTCAACAAATAATCGACATTTCGGACGAGGAAGAGGAGAAGCCCATTTCACCAAAAATTGCAGAAACGAGTGCAGCGGAGCAGCCTGCTATGGGTGACCTAGCAGATCGCGTCAGAGCCGCACCTCCAACTCTAAGCAGCTTGGAAAAGGAAAAAGTTGAAACATCGAAGACACCAGTCATAAGTCGCAAGGATACAGAGACAACTTCGCAAATNGAGACTCCTGTTGTCGCAGAGCAGCTCAAGCAAAGCTCTGCTCCACCAAAGAACAACCCTTTCGCGGAAGACGATGAGGATGATGAGGAGATGGAATGGGAGCAAGTTGAAAATCAACAAACCAGTATCGAAAAGGAGCCATCTGTGACGATTCAACCTCAAGCAAAAGAGCCGTCGCCAAAGCTCGCAAAACAACCTACGCCAGAGCCTCTAAGAGAGCCTACAAAGTCGCCATCTCCAGACTTTGAGAATGTAGACATTCCGGCCCAACCTGAGGAAGCAGAACCGGCGAGCTTGGAGGATCAACCTGCAGTAGATGCCCCTGCTGATATCTCAGGATCCGTGACTGGGACAGCGGATCAGAACCTCCCAGCAGAGCCTGAAGCCGATGAGTTTGGGTATTATTCAGACTCTGAGGATGATGAACTGCTTCGCCAACTCGCCACTGAGACCGAAGAACATGCACGATTTGCTTCATCGCTAAATCACAAAACGCAGCAACAGAATGTTGAAGAGTACGAGCGCGAGTTGAAGCAGCTACGCTCTCAGCAGAAGAAAGACAGACGTGATGCTGATGAAGTTACACATGTCATGATTCAAGAATGTCAGCAATTGCTGAAGCTGTTTGGTTTGCCTTACATCACTGCACCCATGGAAGCAGAAGCTCAATGTGCAGAGCTTGTCACTCTCGGTCTGGTAGATGGTATTGTGACTGACGATTCGGATTGTTTCCTTTTCGGTGGCACTCGCATCTACAAGAATATGTTCAACCAAGCCAAATTCGTCGAATGCTACTTGACGTCCGATTTCGAGAAGGAATTCGATCTGACGCGGCAGAAGATGATTGGTATCGCCCAACTCCTCGGCTCGGATTACACAGAAGGCCTTCCAGGCGTAGGCCCCGTGACAGCTCTCGAGATCCTCTCCGAGTTCCCCAACCTCAACGACTTCCGTGACTGGTACAATGCCGTTCAGATGAACCAGATCCCGAAATCGGAGGATGCCGCAAACCCCTTCCGCAAGAAGTTCCGCCGTCAAGCAACAAAACTCTTCNNCCTTCCAACCAACTTCCCGGATCCCAGAGTGGAGATGGCATACTTACAGCCAGACGTCGATAGCGACCCCTCTGCCTTTCAATGGGGCGTGCCTGATCTGGGTGCCCTTCGCAGTTTCCTCATGGCGACGATTGGATGGAACTCTGAGCGCACAGATGAAGTCCTTGTTCCTGTCATCAAAGACATGAATCGCAGACAAGAGGAAGGTACTCAAGCCAATATCACTGCATTCTTTGATGGTGGGATTGGTGCTGGTGCTTATGCGCCTAGAAAGAGGATTGAGCAAGGTAGTAAGCGTATGGGAAGTGCGCTCGACCGCATGGCACGAGAGGCAAAGAAGAAAAGGAAAGGTGGTGTTATAGAGGATGAAGAGGAGCATACTGAGACTGCTGAGGCAGAAAAACCAGCGCCCAAGAAGAAGGCGAAGAGGAACTCGAAGAGGTCTGCTGCCGCCACTGCTTCGGTTGATGTCTAGATGATCATCTCTATCTTAATCTGGTAGCTATAAAATGATGAAGTCTTATCATCCCTGCTTATGTTCAAACATGATTTTGTCTTCAACACAGAAGTTACTGGAGTACGAGCGCGGATTCACTCATGTTCTCAGGCTTTATTCCTCGAAGCCTGATCAAGAACGAAGCTTCACGTGTCGTGGCTTCCCGCCAAGCCCACAGCAAAGAATTGTACACGTGATGTGCTCCAGTGCACCACAACACATGCATACCTCGATCTAGGTATCACTTAAGCAAAAATAAATCGGGATAACACACTCAGACAAACAAAATGATATTGAACGCGATGGGACTCGAACCCATGCAACTTACGTTACCAGGAAACTCATATTACTGAGAAGCTTTTGATCGCTTGAATCTGGCGCCATAACCACTCGGCCACGCGTCCGCATTTGATGAAGGGTTGATAGATCATATAGTTCATATACCTAATCATCAACGTTCGTCAGGCCTAGATCGAGGGACTCCAAGTGAAAGTCTGGTAATAACAACACTTTAGTAGCATGTACTCCCACACAAGGGTGAGATGGACCCTTATATACTCTTTACAAGAACAAAGAAACTGTGGTTGTGTTCTTGGTATGACGTGTTTCCTGGTCTCTATCGCCGGATGCAGTTTCATAACAAAGAAGCGACCCGATTGTCAACATATATAAAGGGCCCGGAATATGACCTTTCTCTGCTGTTCCTCTGCACCGGCCCAAAATGATGTCGAAAAATGTAATTGTAACAATTATAGTCAGTCGCTGCCATCACTATTCCTTTGCATGATTTTTGGTGGAGGCTTTACGAATGAAGTCTCGAGAAACGCACAACCATGATTTCTCAACCATTCCTTACTTTTAGCGCAGGCGACAATCACACACCGGGTAGTAGCAAGAAAACTATCCGTTGATAACGTGTAACGGCTTTAAAGATACAAAAGTGGTCCCAGCCGACGAGATACAGAGCTACGACGGATGTAAGTAGGATGACCCTGACTAAGTCCCATATTAAACTCCTTTCGGATGTGCAACGATTATGCTGACCATACTGTGCTTGAACCTTTTCATCTTTTTCTTTATCCCTTGTCTTGTTCTCGAGCATATTTGACCAAACTTCTTCGAGGTTGCTCATTCTGGTCTTTATGGGCCTGCTCAGTGATTGCCTCCTCCGTGGTTCAGCCAATATCACCAACAATGGTACAGCGAATGGACGCAGAGTAAATCGTCGAATGGAGTGCAGCGAAATGTCAGACGTGCAATCAGATCCGAAGATCTTTCTCCGACTGCTCAGCAATAACTCAGATATGGCTCGTGTGCTGCCCAAGTGGGTCTAGGAAGGAAGCGACAATCCTTCGGTGTGTCGGCCTCATACCAACGTGGCTACCAACACTCTTGATCAGCGATTTAGATGCCTAGACCGGAACAGAGTATAAAACCTTGGGTAGCCCAGCCTCAATCCAATCTATCAACTTACTTTTCACTTCGCTCTACCCTACCATCTCTTGTATCGTCCCTACTATGTTGGGCAAGAAAGTCGTTCAAGCAGCCACGTCCATTGCTGGAGTTGCTATTGGGATAGCTCTCTACCAGAAGACCTCTCAAGCCGCTGCTATGTCTACCAAGCAGACCTCTTCATCTGGTTAGGACTTTTCAAAGTCACCATCGAGCCAACAATCCCCAATGCATCGCCTACCGTTTTTGGCGCCCTTGCTACCGACTTCGACTACGATCGCTTCCAACTCTGCAATAGCAATCGAGACTGTCGACAGCTTTGGTTCGGCCTGTCGCATGTGTCGAAAGTTCAGGGTGAAATATTTTTTTCCTATGGATGGAAGGGGGACAGGAATGGTTGATTGGAGAGAGTGAGATGATCTGCTGGTTCCTGTGTCTCTGTAGAATCAATTCGAGCTCTCGTTTAGCTTTCAGATCAGCGAGTATGGCAATATTGTATAATGAAGAGGAAGTGTGTAAGAAGAGCATGTACATACATTGACAAGACAGTCACAGTGCAGCTACAGAAATACACAATATTGTCATAAAAATTGTGATCTCCGCAGAGAAACCCCCATCAAAGGCTATCTCGATGGCCAGGCTTATATTAGTCGCAACTATGCATTTCGACAGCTTACAATAACTCTGCTTGCCGCTATAAAGGCGTGCGGCTGAAAAATCGTGTCGCTTTCGTTTCTGGCTTGAACTGAGGCTTTGCGACCGCCTCAGCTGAAGCTTTCGAATGGACCGAGCGTGGTACTTGGTACACCCCTGGGTTACAGCGTTGTGGAATTGGAAAGGGTCTTGATGGGAACAATGGACACGATGAATCAACGTTGGAGACGTGATGGGAATTAGTAGGGCTGGGCATCGGTGTTGTCGTCTAGATGTCAACTGGCTAGCTGGCCCCAGCCTTTGGAAGGCAACTGCCCCGAGGCGTGCCAAGCCCCTGCCCACAACTTCTGAGCAACAACATCTAACAGTTTGGAAATCCACCTCTCTCCTAGCAGATTGCTAACTAGAGACTACTTAGTCAATCTTGCCTATGTGGCCCTTTCGACGCTCTCTGCAGCTCCTAGAACGGTTCCGATGTCGTGGTACGGACCGCGCCGCCCTCGCGACGTCCTCTCGACAAGCTTTTACAAAGCTTGAGTAGTGTAACGGATGGCTCAGCAACAAAGGCTTCGAGCGGATGATCTTCGAACTCCTGCATTGTGACGCATTTACAAGAGCGAGAAACATAGTCCCATATCGTGCATAAATTCGGAGATCGCTCAGAAACTTCAGCTCGTTCAGTAAAGAGCCTCAGACTTCACCCCTGGCAATACTGGAGTCCACAAACCTTATGGGGGCAACTCTAGTGCTTCATCGAGACCCAGTCAAGTCCAGAAACGTTAGGAACCTTGCTGTCGGCCATGCACGAGATGCAGCTGGAAGAGCTTGCTAGAGGCATCTCCGGGGCAAACACGGGGATTCAGCTGACAGTTGCAACAACATATGGACTATATGTGTGCATGTTAGGCTCCAGACCTGTTACATGTGAGCTGAACACGGAGAACAGCGAGAAGTTCACTCTCCGAAGACGGACAGGTCAAAGGTGAAGACGCGTACTGACTTGTATTGATGGCACGATTCAGCTGCGTGGGTCGACCTCCAAGTCTGCTGCGATTTTGGGTATAAATTCCTGGATGCCTGACCTCTTGTAGTAAAACCAGACTTCATTTGCTCCGACGACTCATCCCTCGCAAGAACAACCACTCCTGCTTTCAGTATTATCGGTCTTACACAATGAACCGCAAGACTGCCGCTGCCTTGGCCATACTCGGCCTTGCAAACGCCGCTCCGTTCGTTGATCCTGCAGTTAATTCTGCAGTGTGTCCTGCAGTCGATCTGGTTGTGGACATCCTCCATCTCTATCCCTCAGCGACTCCATTCTGCTCATCATTCTTGCACATTCCTACCATCACCACCACTAAGACTGTTTCCTCCACGGCATCGTTTACCTCGGCTGCAACTACAACCATCCTCACTACAGTATCGACCTTTACTAGCTCCGCCGATCCAGTCACTGCCTACTCTACCTTGTGAGTAGATTCTCATTCATTTCATGGTTCTCTGCGTCAACTGACAATCTCATAGCGGAACTACGATCACTACCTGTATTCCTTCTGCCGTCAACAAGCGCGATGTTCAGACACCTACGACTACCACTGCCAANNGTCAGGCTCCATTCCAGCTAGTATCAGTACTTCTGGGGTCTGCGCAGGATGTCCCGCTATTCTGAAGAACATCGCTTGTAGTGCAATCTCTACTGCCTGCGGCTGTCTCGGCATCCCAACTCCCACATCGACAGTAACCCTGACCCAAGTGTCCTCGACCACCGCCTACCCTACTTCGACCATCTATTCGAGCATCACAGCGACTGTTGTCACTACACCAACCACTACTCTTCCTACTACATCAACCTCGACTGTTAATTACTGTCCTACGCCTCCAAGCTGCAACAACGAGGGCATCCGATGGGTCAGTATCATAACCATAATTTCTTGCTACGTCTCGCGCGTCTACTAACATCTCTCCAGGGCNATATATCCCAATTCGGTGTACAACTCCAACTCCGACACCACGTACAGCGGCTATGACCCAACGGTGATCAAACCAAAGACTCCCGAGTATCAAGCAACGGCTTCCGTATGTGGTGGACTGTATGCGAACGATGTCGGGGAGATATCCATTTACGGAAGCACCCAGACCTTCGAGTCTGACTACTTCACCTTGAACCACGTTGGATATATCTTCGCCCAATCGAGTGGCACCTATACCTTTACCCTCACCCAGCCTGACGATATTGCCTTGTTATGGCTCGGTTCGAAGGCATACTCGGGATGGACTCGTGCTAATGCCGATGCGACCGCTGTTATCGTGGGCAGGCCTTCGGCTTCCGCTACCGTCGATCTCGTTCAAGGACAGTACCTGCCATTCCGTGTTGTCTTCGGTCAGGCCCAGGGAGCTGTTAGCTTCTACCTCACTCTCACGGCTCCAGACGGTACTGTGATTTTGAACAGTGATACTCCCGACTCGCCCTTCCTGGTCCAGTTCTCTTGCGATGGCACTTCAGCACCTGCATTCCCTGCCTTTGGATCGGAGACTTGAAGATGAACTTCTTCTGTCGGTGCTCTCTGTGCTTTCTGTGCATGCTAAGACTGGCGTGCTCATTCCTTGCCGAGTTCCTCTAGTCTTAGATTTCGCAGAAAGTCAGCAGATATGTAGTGATGTCATGGGGAGTAAGGGCCTGACGGGCATGGATCAAAGTGAAGTTGGTGGTGGCTGACTGGAAAGTCGTTTGAGTTAATATAGCTATCGAAATGTACGGTTGCTTTCTAGACACGAGTCTGGCCACGGAAATGCCCTGCAACGAGGTCTTCTCTTTCGAAACCACATTCTTTGCGAGAACAATCGTGCATTTATATAGCTACCTTACACTGTGACGGTCTTTCGCACTCGGAGAGTGTATACACAACCGACACATTCAGCGGAAGGTCGCTTCGATATCACATTCAAACTGTGTAGAGGCAAAAGCAAAAAAAGAAATCACTGGTCTGTTGGTCGGATGTTCCGCTTACCTCTCCATGTCATTGTTGTTGTGCTGATATTGTTACTCCACTCCACCCATCTCCCTATTCACTTCTCCTCCAGCCTCAGAAGTTTGACTCGACCCCTTACAATTCTCAGGGGCACCTGCATCTGAGACCAAGTGTGTGTTGCTGCGAAATGAAATTGGCGGCGAGTAGATTCGAACCCTGGAAGGAGTTCGTCGGTGATAAGTGATTGGTGGTATTGTTGTTGGAGTTTTTAGTGACTACCGAATTGGGTTAGCTGGTATTGTAGAAGGGTGGTGCTCTTGACCACCAGACCAAATGTGATTGTTGGAAGAACAGGAGACTTTTCGGACTTATATAGGCCGTAGTGGAAGTGAGATGAAGAGAATGGAATTGCTATGCATTCTACAGGCGCCAATAATCAGATTGCCTGCGAGATATTTGCACCTACATGCATATTCATTACAACGAGAGAGCGTCTTATTGATTAACAGATGTCTATCTTTGCTCTTTCTGATATGAGATGGGTTCGAAGGTAGAAGGGTTACAGGGACAACTATCGCTGAACGTGCTTGTATCATGTTCACTTCTGCTTAGAGGTCCTCTGTGTGGCCCTGAATTGCAAGGCTTCTGATGCTTCAGTGCCTCTGAACATACTCTTTGCTTCTCTTTCAGCATTCAGCCGTTGCTCGATTCTTGCACGCCCTTTTGTAGAGTCCTACTCTCGATCTTGGGGTGATGGGATTATACAGGAAGCAAAGGAGAAATGATTGAGACCAACCCGGCCATTACTTCGACTAACGCTCACCTCGTGTAACCATATTCTCCAAAGACATACCTCATCGACCATGCCGGTATTCTTGCCCTTCGCTTCGACTTGGGCGATCGGAACTGACCACGACACACAGTGTCTGTAGTATAGGCAAGACAAGCACATTTCTTGTTGGCGATACGCAAGTCGTAGCTGTCACATGCGAGAAGGCTGGTGCTACTTTGACTGACATGGGCGTTTTACGATGCGTCTTGTTTGGCAGTTAAACCGGATTCTAAGCCATACTTCAGGTCGTGGCGGCGGCGCCTAGGGCTCGAGGGGATAATGTTTGGTGTCTTCGATATTGCATCTTCTTTGGCATGATAAGTCGCAGCCCAGGAAACGTTAGAGAGGAGTTCACACGCGCCACAGAGGTGTTTTCCGTCAATGTGCTGGTTTTCGTGTTTCTTACGACCGCATGACCATATCTAGGGTCGTTACAGAACGCGGCTTCTTGTTTCGAACCAGGAAATCGAAACGTCGATGTGAAGTGCTCGAGAGTATCGATGAGCAAGTAGTGACAAAGCGAATAGAACCTCATGTGGAAGCATTTTCTCAGCAATGGGTTGAACCAGCCCGGAATATGTTTATTCACGTAGAGTAAACAGCGAGATCATACATCGATACAAAGTGTGTCAATTTGAGATATCGTGAGGCCGACAATTATTCAACAGAGATCATGAAGACAAAAGTGAGCATGCAACATAAATTCACTGCTCGGGCATGGTCCAGAGTGAAGTTGGACCCCTTGGGCGTGGCTGAGAAGTCGCTTCGAGATGCATGTCACGTGCAGCGACGCACCCACGGATTAGCCGGTGCGAAAATCCAGCGAGCAAAGTTCAGATCTCATTTTCTTCGAATAGCGCAGCGACCACCGACGACGACAATCCTCGACAATAGTAAGAAGCACCCCTCATGCTGTTGGTATGGACGACGGGCACTGTGGCTTGAGCGTATGGCTTGCAAATATCTTCTGGACACCGACGGCTACGACGACAATTGCGACCTCTGCAGACACGTCTCGCACACGACTTTTCGATCGCTACCACTGTGCGCACCACGCGCACAGCCACCAAAACACACGACCGCTGTCGAGCAAAACAGATGGCTTTGAAAGAGACGCCCTTGTTGGCTTGAAGACTTTTCTGCGCTGGACACACGACGCACTCGACAATAATGTTCGAACCACACGCGCACACTACACTCGCACCCACCAGCCGCCATCCAGAAGATCAGCGCAGCCATATAGCTCAACCCACAGCCTAGTCGACTGCCACACAGCCTTCGTCAGTCTGTGTTCTCTGTACTGACCAGTCTCTCAGAGCCACCATGAAGCTTAACATTTCGTACCCCGCCAACGGCTCCCAGAAGCTCATCGAGGTTGAGGATGAGCGCCGTCTCCGTGTCTTCATGGACCGCCGCATGGGTCAGGAGGTCCAGGCTGACTCCCTCGGTGACGAGTGGAAGGGCTACGTCCTCAAGATCACCGGTGGCAACGACAAGCAGGGTTTCCCCATGAAGCAGGGTGTCATGCACCCCACCCGTGTCCGTCTGCTTCTTGCTGAGGGCCACTCGTGCTACCGCCCCCGCCGTACCGGTGAGCGCAAGCGCAAGTCCGTCCGCGGCTGCATCGTTGCCATGGACCTGTCCGTCCTTGCCCTCGCTATTGTCAAGCAGGGTGAGAACGACATCCCCGGCCTGACCGACGTTGTTCACCCCAAGCGTCTCGGCCCCAAGCGTGCCACCAAGATCCGCCGCTTCTTCGGTCTCAGCAAGGATGATGATGTGGGTACCCCCTTTCCATCGTCGCCGGTCCCAAGATTCCAACATCTTGAGGACCGAGTCTGAGTTGTATCTGTATGCTGACTGTGTTGTGAAATANNGGTCCGCAAGTTCGTCATCCGTCGTGAGGTCCAGCCCAAGAAGGAGGGTGCCAAGCCCTACACCAAGGCTCCTCGCATCCAGCGCCTCGTTACTCCTCAGCGTCTCCAGCACAAGCGTCACCGCATGGCCCTCAAGCGCCGCAACGCCGAGGCCTCCAAGGACGCCGCCGTACGTCTACTCTGCTTCTCCTTCTCTACAACTTACAATCCCACTAACACTATCCCANNGGCCGAGTACGCCAACATCCTCCACAAGCGTGTTGCCGAGGCCAAGAGCCAGCAGCAGGAGATGAAGAAGCGCCGCGCTTCTTCCATGCGCAAGTAAACTTGCCATCTCGACGCAGAGTAGGATGGGTCAAGCTACGAGGCTGGTTGGCTGAGACACAAGACATGCAAGTCGTGTCTACAGGTCAAGAGTCAAGTCCATGCAAAAACGGCTTCGTCGGAGTCGGGGTATGGTCGTCACTGGAATGTCCAACGATATCAATTAGGGGCATACAAAAGCGTTTGGGAGTTCGTTTTTTGCAAAATGCTCTTCACATTCCATCAAAAGGTCTCTCAAGAAACTTCTCCAAAATTTTCATGTTTTCAACTTTCTCTTTGGGTCCTATGTTGCTTTCGATACCCACCAACTGGATTTCTTTTGTGCTACTATCCTGCTCTCGTGCTTTGCCACTACTTTACTCTTGTGCTTTGCGTGACGAGACCATGTTCTCAATGATGATGATGTTCTCAAGGTTTGCTATTAGTTTTGTCTACCCTCTCGTCTAAACATATTATCACCAACCCAACGCCAGAATCATATCTATCCATACATTTCAACTCCCCACAAACCATCTAGAAAGTCTCCTCATCCCCAGCAATAGGCACCAAATCGCCCTTGCCCTTAAACTTCTCCTTGATATCCGCCTGCTCACTCAACATAAACCTCTCCACCTGAGTCCCCTGCTCAGCCAACGCTTTGAACCTCTTAAAGGTCTCAGGATCCCTCTTGTCTCCTCTAGCTTGCTCAGGATTGTTCCAATGACCCTTGGAAAAGCCAATCAAGGTTGTGATTTTTTGGTTTGGGATGTCGTAGACTAGGGAACAGATTGTGCCTGTCTCTTCCAGCCAGTTGCATTGCCAGAGTTCGCCCGGGCGGATGCATTGGTAAGTGCAGGTTTGGTAGTTTATGCGGCCGGCCATGGGACCGCCGTGGATGGCATCTGTTGATAGAAAGGGTTAGCGGCTGCTTTTTGAGGGTTGTTGTGGATTTTGTATAAAGAGCAGGAACTTACACACAATGCGGTTGGATGAGAAGAACCACATCTCGTAGCGCCATTTCTCAGGGGTTCCATCAGGGGCTTGAGCGGCATAATCGTAGATCAAGTGTGTATCCTTGATGTCTTGGTCAAAGGAAGGGTGCAAATCGGTGTTTGTGAGGAAAGTAGGAAGCTTCTGTGATTCTGCCATGGTGTCTGAAGGGTATGGTACGAGTAGTGGTGTTTAGGTATAGATATGCCTCTGAAGATATTGTAGTAGGAATTGATTCGGAGACCTTCTAATCCTGAGGTCTTGTCTGAACTACTTATACCTCAGGCAAGATCTACACAACTGCCGAACAATCAAGCCATTTACTGAAGCTCTTTTCTAGAGTTTATCTCGCCCTTATGACGTGACGTCTCATTGTTGCTTCTACACATTTCGGATGCTTCGGCAAGCCAAACGGCGCCAGAATGAAGGGCATCCTTCTTACGATTCTGGCAGCTCGGGCCGAGGGACCTAACCTCATTGCCGACCGCCAATTCACCATTCTTGCCGGAGAGCCCTAATGTGATATACCAATGTGCTGGTAGGTGGACTTTGGCTGAGTCGATCCTGGGACGGCCCGAATGAATATCTACTGTTTCGTTGTTGTCTTTGTGTATTCTCAATCGGCAAGTATTCTCGGTTCGCAGGTCAGCGTAATGTCACATAGCATATCTTATGTAAATATATGGCACAGCGTGGCTTTGGTAGACAAACAGATGCAGATGTACGATGTATATCACAGTATTCTGGTCTCTCTGGTACTAAAGTCTATAGCTTCCCTTGTGATCTGACTATAGCTAAGAGCAAAATGTAGACTATAAAAAGACACAATTTCTTAGGAAGCAGAGGCATGTCCACAAAGAGTCGACAACTTGTTACCTCAGAGAACGTATATCACAATATTATAGGCACATAATTGCGATGGGATAGGATCAAGGTGTGACTAGGCAATTCGATTGTAGTATCAAAGCATAACCCAAGCATATCTCCCTCCACCTTGCTACCCGCTCGAACTGCTTGACGAAGAGCTGCTTGATGAGGAGCTACCGGATGAAGAACTGCTTGAAGAAGAACTGCTAGACGAGGAAGACGAGCTTGATGAAGAAGAACTTGACGAGGATGAGCTTGACGACGAACTGCTCGATGATGAGCTCGAGGACGAACTTGATGAAGAAGAGCTCGATGATGAAGAGCTTGACGACGAACTGCCCGACGAGACACTGCTCCACGAAGAACTGCTCGATGAAGAACTGTTGACGCTGCTGCTGCTACTGCTACCTCTGAGTGACGAGGCAGAGCCGCTTGCGTTGGCCAACCAAGCGTTGTTCGACGAGGACATGTTTTGCGTGGAAGATGTGCTTCCAAAAGAGGACATGTTACTCGAAGAAAACGTGTTGTATGAAGAGGACGCTTCCTCTCCCTTGTGCACTTGTACAGCCGCCATCATAACGCCACCCACGTTGAATGGCAGAAGGCTCAATAACAGCGTTGCCAGGACTCTTGGAGTATCAGCACCTGCCAGAGCGCTTGACGCAGCAGGAGCGAATGGTAAGAGCAACCAAGCTAATCGCAAATCCTGAGGAGATGGCATCGATCCATCGCTCTCAACAATTGGTGGCGTCGACCTACTCTTCGCTTTTGGACACAAGCTCCTGGCAATAGATGATGCTTTAGAAGAGGGTTTGCTCGATGATGGCTTTGCACTAGAGTCTCGCTGCAGTGGATTCTTGTCGAGGGTATTCTTGAGAGCTGATCTCCATGGCTGTGCCCGCGGAAAAGGGTTCGGAGACTCTGAGCTGTTTTCGGACGGCCTTTTACTATCTGGCCCCTGCTTCCAGATCAGGCGATGGCTTGTTCGCAGAAGGCGATCTCTAATCGGATGCTGGCGTATTGCCAGGTGATGGATTTCCACCCAACAGTGGCTTGTTGTCAGGACCTGACTTCTTGTTGAAGGGATTCTTGAGAGCTGATTTCCATGGTTGTCTCGTCGGAGAGGAGTCAGATGGGTGTGACTTGGTATCTGGCTTCTTGTCTGATGGAGACTTTTTATCTGATGCAGCCTTCTCTGGCGGCTTCTCGTCTGGCAATGGCTTCTTGCCTTTCGGCATTATTTTATTCGATGGTGGCGCCTTGTCTAGGAGTGGCTTCTTGCCGCCTGACGGTGGTTGCTTGCTCCCTGGTAGTGGCTTCTTGCTGTCTGGCTTCTTTTTGATGGTTTCTTGGTGTCCGTCGATGGCTTCTTGTTAGTTGGCAGTGGCATCTTCTCCGGTCTCGGCTTCTGGTCGGGTGTCTTCTTCTTGAACGGATTCTTGAGGATTGACTTCAAGAAGGGTTTCAAGGACCCTGGCTTCTTGTTTGGTGGTAGGCTCTTGTCAGATTTCTTGTTAGGTTTCTTGACAGACCGCGGCTTGCTATCGGGCGTCTTTCCAGGCTTATCAGGTTTACTGTCGGGCTTCTTGACCGGCGTCTTGACGGGCGCCGGCTTCTTGTCAGGCTTCTTGGTAGGTGGTGACTTCTTGCCAGGTTTCTTGTCAGGCTTCTTGTCAGGCTTCTTGGATGACGGCGGCTTCTTCGCAGAAGGATCCTTTCCAGAAGGTTTCTTGACTGGCGGCTTTTTCGTAGAAGGTTTCTGTGTAGACGGCTTTTTCCCCGATGGCTTCTTGCTTGGTTTCTTGACAGGAGTCTTTTGACAGGAGCCTTTTTGGCAGGAGGCTTTCTGGTGGGAGGTTTCTTGACAGGAGTCTTTTTGACAGGAGCCTTTTGGCAGGAGGCTTTCTGGTGGGAGGTTTCTTGATAGGAGCCTTCTTTGCAGGAGCTTTCTTTGCAGGAGCCTTCTTTGCAGGAGCCTTCTTAGCAGGCGGCTTGGACTTCTTGGGAGAAGGTTTCTTGACAGGCAACTTCTTGATAGGCTTCTTGCTGGGTAATCTGACGCCCTTCTTGCCAGGCTTCTTGACGGGTTTCTTGACGAGCGGCTTTGGCTTCTTGGGAGGCTTGGGTTTCTTGGGAGGTTTCTTGGGTGCCATTCTGATTGCTTTCTCGAGATAGCAATGATATGTCTAGGGTTGGATGAATGGCTGATGGAGCAATGTCCGAGCAGAGGAGTTTGACGAAGCTTTCTGAACTGTTCCGAGATGACGACGCTGAGATGGTGTGGTTGAGGAAGGTGCAATGGACTCACCACCTTCCGCATGTGCCAAACACAATCACAGTGTAGTTATAGAAATGCACACTGATTTCGTACAGGATGCGGTTTCCTCAGAGACAACCCTAATGAAGGCTATCTCAATGGTCAGACTTATATTCGGATCACAACTTTGAGGTTCCAGATCTCGATTTTCCATTCTGAGTGCAGGATGTCATAGGCAGTAGGCCCAAGGCTCATACAAGCTTGCTTGACCTCTTGTTCATTCTCGAGCGTTCGCTCCATAAGAGCCTTCTTGAGTTCGGCAAATCTCTCGGCCAGGTACGAGAATGTCTGTTGTGCACACTCGATCAAGGCGCGGCGTGTCCGCGAGTTGTCATTTGCGAGACGCCATACACGGCACCTCTTAATCTGATCGAGCCTCAATAGCTGGTTGTCACGCCCACTGTGCATCTTTATAGCTCATGTTGTAGCTCGGCACGGAGAAGGGGCTGGTTGCAAAGTTGTGACTGTCTTTAGCACACAAGGCCGAAGCCCACCCGGCTCGAACGCACCCACATCATCTGAAAGTACCAATGGTTACAGAATATTTGTTCAGCAGACTCAAGACGTGATTCTCAAAAAGCCAAAGGTGAGGTTAACCAGCAACCCACTCAGCACGGAAATCTGCATACGTCTCGTCCAGATGCCTTCCTCGCGCATCAGCCAACACGCAGCTGCGATGGGCCAAAAGAAGCCCATGAGATTACCCCAGAGCATATCTTCTAGTCCACCTTCTTCATCTGTGCCTGCTGCTCCTCCGTTCGCGGCATTTGCAGGGTCGTTCTCGAGCCATCTTTCTTCGAGCGATCGGAGCTCGTCTCCAGTTGGCATCGCGTCGGGAGTATGGGTGTGTGCTTGAATGGCCATGAACTGTGCGCGGAGGTTTGCTACATCGCCAGGAGAAAAGCCAGCGGATAGCAGACGATCAAAGCCGCGCGGGGCAGGTGTGGACGAGGTAGTAGTAGCAGCACTTTGACTCGGCGTGGGAGCGGTTTCGACTTTGGTTTCTGTCAGAAGTGCTTTGTCGGCCTTCTCGGCAGCCTCTGCTTCTGAAGCAATGTCTCCTGGAGTCAGGGCATCGCCAATCGAGCAGTGAATGTAGACTCTAGAGACGCTACTCTCTGCAGGAGCCTTGCCCTTGGTTTTATCTTTGCNTCCAGCTACATCATTTTTGGCGCGAGGTGGTGGTGAAGGAATATTGATACATTTCGCAAGTGCCGTCGCATCGGGGAGCACTTTTCCTGCAGAGATAAGGCGTAGGCGGTTCGCGGCGTACGAGGCAGGTAACTGCGATCTGATCTGTTGTCGCAGACCCAGTGGTGTAGTGAGTTTCGCAGAAGGTACCCTAATCACGACATCGGGTATGGCAGCGGTGAATCGAATGACCAGATCGACTGGCTGGTCGTGTGATGGACTACTCATCGTGTCGTCTGATATATACAGTGTCGATTTTCGGCAAATGTTGTGTCTATAGCATAGTGCGCGTACGGCGACGCGCTCGTCTATCTTTCTAGCATGGTTTGAAGTAAGGATGTAGTTGTGTTCACGAGAAGATGTTCCATATTCGGGATAATGAGGTGCATCTCGAGCATCTTAAGTCCGAGTACCAAACGTCATCAGCATCAAGACTGGACGCATCTGATTATGCAACTCAACTTCTGACTTGTCTACACAGTGACATACAGAAGACATCCAATTCATCATCTCAAGATGCCAATCGTACATATCGTTTTGTTCAAGTTCAAGGAGAGCACCGACCCAGCAGTTGTCAAAGATGTATGTGAAGCTTCATCAATATTCATATGATCAGCCAAGTACTCACGTCCATAAACTCAGATCTGCAATCGTATGCTTAGACTCAAAGACACATGCCTACACCCTGAAACCAAAGTACCTTACCTCAAGTCATACTATGGTGGAGGAAGTAACAACAGTCCCGAGGGAGCTGCAGTAAGAGCATCCAACATGAGCAGCAGGGTCACCCCACTGACAACAACANNGCATGGCCTTCAGTATGGGTTTGTCTCAGAGTTCCAGTCAGAGGCCGACAGGGACTACTATCTGAACAAGGATCCTTCTCATCTCAAGTTTGTGGAAGATGTGGGCAAGATCGTTGACTCGGCTACCGTGTTTGACTTTGAGCCGGGTGTTATGTCGTGAGAGGAGCAACTAGGGTGATTGAGGTCAGACAGAGTAAGAGGCCTTCTTACAAAGAGACAAGCCTTATGAGAAGCAAGTAAAGATACAAAAGATGATAGAACTATCCGAGGATACTTTGGTCAGTGAAGCCACTTCAGTATTGTTGACCACGATGGTTGGCAACAGAATTTGTTCCCTGCCAAGACCAAAGTCCAGAAATCGCTATGCACTTTTGGCAGACGAGCAGCAACGACGACCTGGTTTGTGTATTGTCCCTCGGCCGAGCAACCTCGAGGCCTTGATCAACAGGCTATTAGAAATAATTCGACTTATCGCAAATCACAATCACCACAATGTTCGCCGCTCTAAGGCCGCAGTGCCTGAACGCTGCGCCCGCCGCTCGCACCTTCACAACCAGCGCAATCCTCGCCTGGAAATCACACAAGAACGCACTCGCCGAAGTGCACGCCAACGTACCGCCATACCCATACGGACCCGCCCGATGGTTCAAGCAATCCGATAAAGGCCTCTACGGCGGTCAGCGCATCCAATTCGGCAACAACGTATCACGCAAGACCGAGATCAAGACACGAAGGAGCTGGTACCCCAACATCAAGCGCAAGGCTCTCTTCTCCAAGGCTTTGAACCGTCGCATTCGTGTTCGTGTCAGCACCAGAGTCATGCGCACAATCGATAAGGTCGGAGGACTGGACGAGTACCTGTTGGGCGACAAGTCGGCACGCATCAAGACGCTAGGCATGGAGGGCTGGAGATTGCGCTGTATGATCATGGCCACAAAGACGGTACAAGACCGCTTCAATCAGCAGAGACGCGCGCTGGGTCTGCCCGAGTTGGACTACGAACTTTTGGCTACCGAGCTCAATCAGCTGCCCGACGAGTTGCTTGATGCCGAGATGACAGGCGAGCCTCTTGAGTTTGGAGTCGAGGAGGAGCCATTCGAAACTGTCGATGTTCTCGGTGGTAGTGAAGCAGCAACCAGCCCTAGACCAGAGCAATTCCAACAAAGGGTGGACGAAGCGCTGTCCAAGAACTGGGAGCAGGCAAGATAGAAGGATTTATGGATATTGGTGTTTCTTTTCATGTACAATAGGGCTGGAGCAAAATCTGTACAATTTTATCATTTTGGGAACTGGTAGTTCCAAGAGAGAACAACGCAAAGCGTATGATCACAACTATTCTGTACTTGTAGGTGAAGTAGCTACGATGGTGAAACGGCCAGAGGATCATGCGTGGATAAATAGAGAGTATCGCATAGATATCAGGACAGGGTGACTGCGGAGAAGAGTTGGCACCTCCGAGCAAACAGCTCGGCCAAGCTCAGCCCATATGACGCGCGGTTGTTCGCAAGGAGTTGGTCAATTTCCTTCGAGACCACGAAGCGAACGACTGGACGGGGAGTCGCGAACAGCGGACGACGCATGACTTGACACGGATCGAACGAATTGTATTTGGTTGCTCACAATGGCACCGCGCACATACAACCCATGCTCATACCTGCCACGGCGGCTGCAGATAGTGACCAGCCTGGCCCTGTTCATTCTTTTCTGCATCGTGCTGTTCGGCCAATCCACCGTCGATGTTCCATACCGCGATGAAGTCAACGAGGGCGCGCGCAAAGTATCCGCATACTTGCCCAAAACACCGAGTCTTCCNCAAGGTCTCAACCCATTCAGAACACCGGCACATTCACCACCTCCCGAGCAGGCCAACAGTACCAGCGGGGAGACACGATGGTTCTCCGACTGGAAGTGGATGAACCCCTTCTCGTCATCTATCACCCTCGACGAGAACAGAGCTGTGCTTCCCCCACTGGCCAAAAGACCGCCAGTATACACCTATTTCGATGCCGATTGGTACAAGGATGAAACGTCACTCGAGTCTGTCCACCACCTTCTCNNCCTGATCTGGAGACGTGCTTGGTGGGCTCAAGGCTTCAAGCCTGTTGTTCTGGGACGTCCTGAAGCCATGCAAAACCCGCTGTATGCAAAGATGGGCAATCTGGAACTGGAGGAGGAACTCAAGACAGACGTGATGCGCTGGCTCGCATGGGGTAACATGGGTACTGGTGTCATGGCCAACTATGTCGCATTGCCTATGGCTCCACACGACGATCCGCTGCTTGCCTACTTGCGTCGCGGTGAATACGTTCAGCTCACGCGATACGAGGGTCTGGAAAGCGGCTTGTTCGATGGCCCCAAGGATCAGATCAACAAGGCCATCGAGGAGGTTCTCAATGCTAAGAAACCCATCAAGGCTAAGTCGGTCATCGAGATGCTCTCCAAAGACACCATCCACGTCGACAGTAACCAAAAAGCCATCGCCTTCTATTCGAGCAGCAACATNCAAAAATACTACAAGACCATTGCAGAGAAATTGGCCTCCGATGACAAAGATGTGAGCCGTGAAGGCCTGCGTCTGCTTCCTCAGCTCATCATTTCGCATCTGCACACGACCTGGCAGAATTCATTCACCAGCGGCATTGCTGTCTTGAAGCCACTACCAGACCATATGTTCACCTTGGTCAAACCAGCCATCGATCTTGCCCGCAACCTGTCACAATGTACAGAATCGCCACAACCCTCATCCTGCCCTCCAAACCGTCAGAACTGCGTGCCTTGTGTGAGCAGTCATCCGCTGCGTATCAGCCAACCCATGTTCTTCCGCAACACCTCTGATCTGTTTACCATTGGCACTGTACCTCATCCCTACACCATGGCATCTCTCCAACACCAAACCGAGTCATTGACCATCCGTTTCATCCGCCGCACAACAAAACGCGACGAATGGCTCTTAGCTGCAACAAAAGAATTCCTAGGCACAGGAATGAGCAGTTTCGCACGCATCCCCCACGTCAAAGATGCCGTTGCCTCTGACTACGGAAGCGCTCGCTCCCTCTGGTTGACCCCCGAAAACCTGTCTGAAGAAAACAACGCCCAGTTGCGTCGTGACCTCGCTTGGGCACTGGGATTCCCCGTTCCGACTATTGACACCACCCTCGACCCCGGGCACTCCGAAACACCAGTNCCCGGTCCTGAACGCCGCCCTCCAGCCCCAAAACCCGAAGGCAAGATCCCTGACCCTGTGGAACTGGTTCGCGAAGGTACACTGCTCTCCAAAGCGCGCTTAGTTCTCAAAGGCAAAGGCCCCCGCGACAGTATCCCCATCCGTGATGCAGTAGAGGCTTGGAACTTGGCAGACACAGAGGTGTGGAGGTTTGTGCGCGCGTGGAATGCGAGAAGAAGTGTAGAGAGGAGAAAGTGGGAGGATGAGGAAAAGGCGTATGCGGGTACGGAGGGAGGGAAAGGGACTTGGAGTCGTTGGTTTGATAGAGAGTGATCTGATCCCAAAAGGCAGGCATATATAGCGTTTTTGTTGTAGCGAGAATGTTTTTTCTGGGTATGTTTTTGTATAAACTTTCTTCAGCACATTCCTTTTCTCTTGAACATGGTGTTGCTAGGCGAACGAGAGAATTTCGAAAAGTCAACAGAAATGCGATTCTTCACCGGTAAAATGATGATTGTAAAATGCTTGATTCAACTTTTTTTTTGTCCAAGACTGAATTTCGTAGCCTCATATTTGCTTGGCTTCCTTGCCCTTCATCTCAGGGCGCTCTTTCTCCCACTCATCTCTGATAATGGCGTAGAGAATATCTGCCAGAATGACAGACAGAGCCAGACTCCAGACCAGAGTGATGGCATAAAAGAAGTTTGCGTTGCCACTACCGGCATACACCCATAGATAGTAGAAGGCGGGACCGAGCAGAGTCGTGTATACAAGTGCACTGATGGCAGGGAAAGCATATCGTGAGANCTGTATTCAAGTATTAGTAGGCTGTCAGACATAGACTGATGTCGAAGGCAATTAAGGGTACTCACGTTCATGAACATGGCCATACATGGAGAGCATGGAAAGCCAGAAACCAGCATCGCCGACATTGGCATATGGCTGGAAGATAGCAAAGATACCGCATAGAAGCACAATGGCAGCTAGTGGTTGCTCACGAAGACGGATGGTGAGAGCAGGCGAATACGAAGCCATGTGCAGCCAGAAGACGCCCAGGAAGAAGTTGCGGAACGAGTCGAAGATTTCAATGAAGAAGTACCACCATAGGCCGACATTGGGAGTCAAGTCAGGTAGTAGGAGACGCGAGGCGTAGACGGATGAGATGAAAGACCAGTCGCCAATCAGTGCGTATGACAAAGCGAATAGAATGGCAACGGCGGCTACAAGTACAAGGGCATATCGTACAGCAAAGGCGAGCAAAGTCGGAGCCGATGCACCCTGGTTGATATTTTTGCGACGCAGCACCCACGAGTCGTAGCACAAGATGGTGACGGGTGGTAGCAGTAGCAGCGGATGCAGTGACATGTATGAGGCAATGGCCAGAGCCAGAGAGGAGGTCAGGATGGCGCCACGGCAGGCCTTGAGGGTAGCGACGAGGACGAAGAGGTTTCCAAAAACATTGGTAGAGCGAGCCAGGCAGGTCAAGACAATAAAGGGGTTGAAGAGGTATGCAGCAGCGACAGCAGAAGGCGACCAACGCTTCAACTCGCGCGATGATGTGAAGAATCGGGTAGCATAAGATTGGCCTGAAGCAAATATTTGCATAAGAACGTATGCGCTGGCTAGATCGACCAGTGTGTATAGCAAGACGGTGACTAGAGGGTAGCGTGTGGGATCAGGGAGGAGCGAGAAGAGCGGCAGGAGTAGAGGAGCCTGGTGAAAGACACCGCCATCGTAAGGCGATAGACCGTAATTGTATAGGAAGAGACCCTCTTGCACTGTAAACACAAGGTCAATTCAGCTCTTGAATGTTTTATAGTTGGTTGGTGCATACANTCTCTTGAAGCCCGTCACAGGCGTCGACAGTTCGACACGTCCACTGAGAAGGTCGGGCAGACCAGGAAAAGCCCAGGTCAGCAGCAGCCGGACAGCAGCCGCCGAACTAAAGAGGGCATGGTCGTACGTCGACATGGACATGGCCGAGCAAGCAATTGACTGTGATGGTTTAGACGGTCGAGGCTCTCGGGGAAGCCGCTGCTCTCTCCGCAATCGATTCGAGAAGCAAAGGGGAAGGTGGGCCGAAGGCGGTGAACGCGGCTGCTTCGAAAGTTCCATCAAGGGAAATTTTGGTTCTCGCGCCTCAGAACGTCTTTGACCATCCATTCGTGTATTTCTCGTCGCATTCATCATGGCCAAAATCCAGAAGAGAGGTGCGCCAAGTCGCTGTCGCCATACTCTATTCTCAATGTACTGACTGCCCTGCAGGCCAGAAGGGCGCGGCCAAAAACTACATCACCCGTACTCAGGCTGTGCGCAAACTGCAGATTTCCCTACCTGACTTCCGTCGTCTGTGTATCTTCAAGGGAATCTACCCTCGCGAGCCCCGTAACAAGAAGAAGGCTGCCAAGAACTCGCACTCTACCCAGGCCACCACCTTCTACTACACCCGCGACATCCAATACCTCCTCCATGAGCCCCTCCTCAACAAGTTCCGCGACCACAAGGCTCTGGCCAAGAAGATTGGTCGTGCTCTGGGCCGCAATGAGATCTCCGACGCAAACCGCATGGAGAAGACCCTCACTCCCAAGATGACCCTCGACCATATCATCAAGGAGCGCTACCCTACCTTTGTCGATGCTCTTCGCGACTTGGACGACTGTCTCTCCATGCTCTTCCTCTTTGCCAACCTTCCCTCCACCGAGACCGTTCCTCCCAAGACCATCCAGCTCTGCCAACGTCTCACCCACGAGTTTGAGCACTACCTAATCCGCAGCAACAGCTTGCGCAAGAGTTTCNNCCTTTCCATCAAGGGTATCTACTACCAGGCCACCATCCAGGGTCAGGATATTTTGTGGCTCGTTCCCTACAAGTTTGTCCAGCGCGTTACTGGCGACGTTGATTTCCGTATCATGGGCACCTTTGTTCAGTTCTACACAACTCTCCTCGGTTTCGTCAACTACAGACTCTACACCAGCCTCGGTCTGGTATACCCTCCCAAGTTTGACGCCAAGGCCGACGAGCACGGTGCTGAGTTGGCTGCCTTCGCCATCGAGGGTCGCAACGTTGCTGGTGCTTTGGACAACAAGGTCGAGCAGCCCGCCGCTGCACCCAAGCAAGTTTCGGCCACTGCTCAAGCCGAGGCCGACAAGCTTTTGGAACTGCCCTCTGGCGAGGAACCCACCAGCTCCTATGTCACAGCCCAGGAGAACCCCTCATCAAACCCCAAGGACCAAGAAGAGGAGGACAGACAAGACGGAGAACTTGATGCTTTCCCTGCACCTATCGACCCCGAATCTGACGTCCTACACCAGCCTACCATTTCCGCTTCGACCGCCGCCAACCTTTTCGAGCCCTTCACAATCTACCTCTCACGCGAGACTCCCCGTCACCCTCTGGAATTCATTCTCCGTGCCTTTGGTTGCAAGCGCGTAGCATGGGACACTGTTCTAGGCGAGGGCGCATACACTTCCGACGAGGCCGACCGTCGCATTACTCACCAGATTGTTGACAGACCTAACCTGCCTCTTCCTGCTATGCCTGTCGAGGATGAGGAGACCGCTGCTGCAAACGCCTCGAAGCGTTTGAGACCTGGCGAGCGTGTTCCTGGACGTATTTACATCCAGCCCCAATGGGTTTGGGATTGTATCAATGCAGGCAAGCTGTTGAGAGCCGACCTTTACGCTCCTGGTGCTACTTTGCCCCCTCATCTTTCACCCTGGGTTAAGCCCAAGCAAGGCGAGTACGACCCCACTAAGTCATTGGCTGAGCAGGAGAACGATGGCGAGGCTTTGGCTGCCGAAGCAGAGTCAGACGAGGAGATGGCCGACGAGGATGCTGGCTCGGATGGCGAAGAGGTGGATGGTGTTCGTGGCGATGGCGAGACTCGCGACTTGGAGTCAAAACTTTTGCAACAAGGCGGCAAGGAGGTCGTCAGTGGCGAAGGCATGGACGTCGAGCTCGCCGAGTCAGACGATGACGAGGATGAAGAAGAGGAGGCCGCAAAGGATGAGGGAGTTCGGCGGTTTCACCGAGGATGAAGAGGAGGATGAGTCTGAGGATGAGGCCACTCGTCACCAGCGTGAGCTTGCCGCCGAGGCTGAGGGCCGCTCTTTGACTGCTGATGCTGGTGCTACACCCGCCAAGGCTCTACGCAAGAAGGAGGCCGAGAAGGCACAAAAGGCCATCTCACGCAAACGCAAGGAGGCACAAGAAGAGACAGACCGCCAAAAGATGATGATGAGTCGTCGCAAGCGCAANNGATCTTCGAGAAGATGCAGTACTCGAATGCGAAGAAGGACGCCGAGGCCGAGAAGCTGAGAGGCAAGAGAAGAAAGATCGAGAAGGAACAGGCCAAGAACTAGTTTTGTGCATGAGCAAGGTGTTTTGGTGTGGCTATATCGGTTGTCTTTTTTTCTTTCTTCTTGGGCGAAGGTCTTTGTGCTGTGATCAGTCATCTGGCGTTTGTATAGGCAAAAGTGGAACAAAAATGCTATCTATTGATCATAACAATCCTTGAGATCTCAATTTGGAAAATGTGACTTCTTCTGAAGAGACAAATGCTGCAACTGTTGGTCGTTCGTTCGTCCTGCCACTTGCTCGGACTTTGCGGCGTTTGTCCGTTGAGCATTGTTTGCCTGTAAAAACATTTTGCATCTCGTCCTTTTTAGCCCATCAACTTCATAACATTAGACCAATATCGATACTTTCGTTATTCAGCGCACGACTTAGATCAACGACTTTGATCTCACGCCAGATATCAAAACCTCGATAGCAAGAAGCAAACATATAGCTCGTCAAGAGTGCTGCAAAGCTTCCTCGACCATGGCCGACTTCCAAGCAAAATCCGATGTTTTCTTGAACTGGTTCAACGCTCAACCCGGAGCTACATTCGACTCTCGCCTCCAACTAACTGATCTGAGAGATCGAGGAGCAGGACGCGGTATCATTGCCACCTCCGACATACCTGCCGAAACAGACCTCTTCACAATCCCCAGNAAAAGCGTCATCAGTGTCGAGAACTCGAACCTATCAAAGAAGCTACCGAGAATTTTTACCGGCTTGAAAAATCTGGACGCTGATGGTGATGATGGTATGGCTGATGGAGATGACGATGAGGAGGAATTGAACATGCCTGATCCTTGGCTGGATCTTATCATGGTTATGGTGTATGAGTATTTGCAGGGTGAGAACTCTGCCTGGAAGACTTATTTCGAAGTTTTGCCTCATACTTTTGATACTTTGATGTTCTGGGGTCAGAGCGAGCTTAATGAGTTGCAAGCTAGTGCAGTCAAGGATAAGGTTGGCAAGGAGTCCGCTGATGAGATGTTCAAGACGAAGGTTTTGCCTGTTGTCAAGGCCCATGAGGATATCTTCTACGCTAGTGGTGCTCACAAGCTCTCTGACGAGCAGATTGTCGAGCTTGCACACCGCATGGGCAGTATCATCATGGCCTACGCTTTCGACTTGGAGAACAACGAGGAAGAGGAAGACGACGAGCAAGAAGGCTGGGTTCAGGATCTGGAGGGCACACAAGCAATGGGTATGGTACCCATGGCTGACATGCTCAACGCCGATGCAGAGTTCAACGCGCATCTCAACCACGGCGAGGATTCCTTGACAATGACCTCGTTGAGAGAGATCAAGGCTGGAGAAGAAGTTCTCAACTACTACGGTCCACTACCAAACTGTGATCTCCTACGCCGCTATGGCTACACTTCGGCCAAGCACTCGAGATACGATGTAGTGGAAGTGCCGTGGGACATCATCGCTAGCACCATCGACAAGAGATTCACTGGCAAGAAGGGCGAATTGGACGAGGAGGAGATGGAAGAGGGCTTTGTGCTCGAACGCGACTCTGGCGAGCCCGACGACACTGGCATCAATAGTCACCCAGCCAAATTCGTCGGTTTCCCCGAAGAGCTCGAGGAGCAGGTTTGTCAAGTCATCGGCCCAGCTATGAGCATCGATGTAAACCGCGGACCCAACAAGGCACAGCGCAAACAGCTCAAACTGGCATACTACGAGATCATGGATGCAGTGATTCCAGCAAGACTGGCACAATACGGCACTACCATTGAACAAGATGAACAACTGCTCAAGAACCCTGATCTCGAAGGACGTCACAGAATGGCTGTGTTCGTCCGCCTTGGAGAGAAGAAACTGTTGAAGGAGGCCAAGGAGTTCATCCCCGCCCAACTGGAGAAATACAAGCCTGCACAAGAGGAGGAAGAGGGACGCAGTGCTAAAAAGACAAAAAAGGTAGAATTGTTACATCAGTCTTTTGGCGTGTGATACTATGATACCGTAGAAGAGGGACCACATAACACAACTGTAAAAAATTACAGTCTTTTAAGAATGCAGGGTACTTCCAGAGAGATGGCCTTTTTTCACACGCTCTCAGTGGAAACTGCTCTGCAGAAAGTCGTTGTAAAAATACACAAAGTGATTGAAAACTAGGCTAACATCCAGAGAGAGCATTTGAATTTCCCTGCTCCCAACTATGCATCCGCAAAACTATAATACATTCCTCTTCGCTCATTTCGAGGTTCGTTGCTTTTTCTCAACTCAAGCCCTTGCTTGCATAAACCCTCCGAAGAAGTTTTCAAGTCCATCGTGATCTTTCAGAGGCAGGATGTTGGCGATGTATTGATCAGGTCTCACGACCACAACACAACCCTTCTCGCGGTTGATCTCTCTAGCAGTGAAGATGTCCATGTGTCCAACCACGGCCTCTGCGCAGAATGCTTTCTCATAATCTCGCAGTCCGTATCTGCCCTTCTGCGGCCACACGATGGCGGGCATGTCGTTGATGTTCAAAGAAGCATGTCCCTGCTGTAGAATACCACGAACATCGATGACAGAGTCGATATCAGCACCCACTGGCGTAAATCTGCTTACTAATTCTGCGATAGCCTTGCAAGCGACTTGGAACGATGAGGTCGCAGCTGCAGGATCCTCGGCAGAGGCAAAAACGAAGACTCTCCATCTGCCGTCTGCTTTGACTATGTGGCCTAGTTGGATTGGTTTTGCGTCTGCAAGACGAATCACTGGTGCTGAGTATAAACGTTCACCAATCGGGAAGCCTTNTGCCAGTCCTTGGTGTACTGGGTCAGCAGTGATGAGGGAAGGAGCATATGCTGTTCCCAAGCCTGCCATGAATAAACCCTGTTTCTCGANAAAGGCTTGGAACTCGGCAGGGTCTATTCCGTCTTCGTCGTCGTTGGTGCCAGCGCCGTTGGTCTTCTTGGGTCGAGCACTGAACATGGAAGCGATCTCGCGGTCAAAGTTTATCAGGTCTTGAGCTACTTTTTGACGTTCGGTCGAGTAGGTGTGCAGGATGGAGGGTGTTGCTGTGTTGTTGAGTACGGAAGCTAGTTTCCAGGCGAGATTGAAGCCGTCTTGCATGCTTACGTTCATGCCTTGACCGGCTTTGGGGCTGTGGGTGTGGCATGCGTCGCCTGCGATGAAGATGTTCGGAGATCTGGTTTCGGCTTCTTCTGCGATCAGGTTGTCGAATCTGCTGCAGAGACGCTGGCCAATTTCATAGACGGAGTGCCAGACCACTTCCTTGACATCCAAAGTGTAAGGATGGAAGATGCGCTTTGCAGTCTCGATCAACTTGTCTGCTGAGAACTTTTTGCTCGAGACACGCTCATTGGCAGACAGTTTGTCGAGCTCAATGTAGAGGCGCACGAGGTAACCCCCTTCTCTGGGTATGATCAAGATGCTGCCTTGGTCTGCTGAGTGGATAGCGGCCTTGGTTCTCCAGTCTGGAAAATCTGATACGGCGAGTACGTCCATGACACCCCATGCTTGGTTTGCAGAGTCGCCTTCGAGTTTGAGGCCCAGAGCTTGACGCACGGCGCTGCGGGCTCCGTCGCAGCCTACTACGTATCTAGCACGCACGTTTTCGACTTCTCCTTCGTGGCCGGGATCGGTTCTTTCCAGCTGCACTTGCACGGCAGATGTTTCTTTGGAAGAGTCGCCCTTGCCTGGCAACAGAGTGAGTTGTTTGAGCTTGCGTGAGTAAGTAGGTTGCAATCTCGTCGGCGATCTGATCATAACATCAAGAAAGAAATCATGCACCCTCGCTTGATTCAAAATAACATGCGGGAACTCTGAGAGGTCATCGCCAGTATCCTTGATCCTGCCACTTCTGATTATGTACTCTGGATTCTTCTCATCAGGCTTCCAGAATGTGGTTTCGTTGATGTAGTAGGCTTCTTTGAGGACTCTCTCGCTGAAACCATAGGCCTCGAACATTTCAATACTGCGGACTTGGAGGCCATCTGCTTGGCCTAGGATTAGTCGTGAGGCTTTTTGCTCGACCAGGCGGGTGGTGATGTTTGGGAATAGTGAGAGTTGGGCGGCGAGGGCGAGGCCTGCTGGTCCGGAACCGACGATCAAGACATCGACTTGTTCTGGGATGTCGTTTTGGACTTCGTTGCTTCCTTGTGGGTGTGCGAGGTAGAGATCGTGAGGGTCGCCGGGCCTGAAGCCATTGAGGTTGAACTGCAAGACCGACATTGTGTAGAAAGGACTTCTGTCCACCGAGACACGATCGATAGATGAGATGGATGTTGATCAATGTTGATGTTTGAGTTAGTGTTTGAAGGCCTGACCGTTGTGTTCACTTATGGCTGTATGTGATTGAAGGTGAAGGGCATCTTGACAGTCCACCACTCTATGCTCATTAGGTTTCCAGTCATGTATGGCAGTCACTCGCGGCACTTTTTGTTCACTTCCGGGTTCACTTCTTGTGTTGGGATCTCATCTTGCGATGATGCGTGCTGATGTTGTCTTTGTCCGACCTCGGGTCCATTTCGTCTCCTCTCTGGTCCCCGCTTCGGCTTGCAACTTCGGATGACATCCATACTTGCAACAAGTGTCTCTTTACGATTTTGCAAACAGGAGGCACTCACGGCGCCACTTGAGTGTCTGAACCTGATCGCGAGGTTGTTCAGGAGTGAATCTTCGGTTCGCAGTGCGAGAAAGGTGAAGCTGTCGCGATGTGGTCTACGTCACGCGTTCTTGCCAGCCTCCTCAACCTCATCAACGCGTTCTCTTGCGACGACCTTGACGAACAACAAGATTGAGCCCGACTTCTCGCAAAACTACGATCGATCCAATAAGGTGGCTGCGATGGTAAAATTCGGCACGGAATAATGATTTTGCTAACTCTCGCTCGACAGGAAGTTCGTGATATATACTGTAATTATGGTTTGCCAAATATCTACGAATGTCAAAATGCCAACACGCTCGAATCAAAAGGAATGAGAACAAGCTCTTCTGACAGGAGAACACCCAACCATCGAGTGTCTGTTGAGACCTCAACCGCCCAGCTCATGCTTTCCAGGAATGACATGCTGTCCACTGATGGGTTTGTGAGCCCACTTCGAGCTTTCTAATTCGACAGGATCGGCACNTGCAGACAACTCTGAGAATTCGTATTGCGACTGTAGCATGACTGGACCCGTACGCTCTGAAATACTTCTGGATGAGAGAGTCGTGGGCATTGCGAACCTGTTCTTCTTTAACTGGCGTCTTCGACGTAAAAACCATACCAGAGCCACCGGGAGTAAGACTCCGCCAGCAGAACCGATCACAATTCCTACTATATCGCCGGTAGTGACTGACACGCCTGTAGAGGTCGACTTCGCGTCTGCAGTGCGTGTGGTGTTTGTTTGTTGGCTCGATGTGGTCGCTGCCGAGGAAGTGGTAACGCTCGTGGTACTCGAAGTACTTGTACTGGTTGACGAATGGATCGATGCTGTCGATGAAGATGCAAGTTGTACCAGTGCACTGGACGTAATATTGCAGCGGACAGAGGTTTCTGTTGCATTGTACCCTGACGCGCACGTAGTGTACCATGGACAGCATGCCTCGGAGGTTCCAGGTCCTAGTTGCGTACAGCTCACTGCTCCAGGTTGTCCGCAAGCAGAATCCAAGTCTGCGTAACAGCCATCNNACTATGGGTCATGTCAGCTTCCATCCCTAAGCGCAGATTGGTGGACATATTCCTACTTTTGAGTACAATACCAGCCAATCCCTAGGTATTGAGAACATATTGGCAATGATGCATTGTCCTTGACNNACCTGCCAGATTGTCAGATGGGTGTTTGAGTTCCGAGATGTTGACCTGACGAACAGCAAAGTGTTTTCCCAGGAGTGCATGTGTTCGTCAACCACCCTGCTCCGAAGGCATCCGTACAAACATCGTCTCTTCGGAGTAGATTTGGCTGACCGGATGCGCTTGCAGCATCTGTTGCCTCCAGAGCATGTTGAACATCTTCATAGCTACTGTGGAATACCCTGTCAAGAAGAAACTTCGCTGAAATGAAGGTGCCGTTGAGGATGTTCATTTTCGGCTCTCGATCAAGTGTAAGAACGAAGTTATACAGGCAGTCTGAGTCAACGCACCAGTCCTGAGGATGAAGTTTCAGTTAAGTGGACGTCCTTTGATCTTTCAGCCGTGCCGCTCATTTTGCTAATGACGGGCGCACCATCTCCTCTTCTGTATCGTCAGTCTCGCTGTACGGTACAATGCCTTCAGCTCTATGCATCGTTGCTGCGGTTGGCTGCGTAGCAGATACGGCTCCTGATACCGCACAAAAGGGAAATTAGTACTGGGGTATTGCATCTGTTGTTGTCGCAGGGCTTGCAGATTGATTGTTTCTGATCTACTCATTGGATATGCAAACGCACGAATGCACGCGCTATCTCTGGGAAGTCGGACGTGGAAACGCCATGTGCAGTTCGCTACCGCTCCTTTAGCGAACCAGACAGTTCTTTGTTAAGAACCTGCTTACATCGCCACATGATCTACGACATGACAGCCTTGTTCGTGCATCTATTGCAGTCGATAGCAGGGGCCGAAAGCACCACCATGTCTTCAATGCCTGTTGATTCCAAATCTGGATGCATCAGGAGGATCTGGCATACCTTCACATATAAACCTGATTTGTTGATAAGAAGGGCTATATTTGCAAGGCTTAAATACATAGATCATGCAAGATGCAAGATGATCATCAATATGGAGACAAGATCTTTGTTAAAGTGACTTGGGATATGATTATCCCGATTTGAACACCAATTTAGCTGTGTAGAGCTCGCGATTTTGGTAAAAACTATGCTTCGAACTTCTGTTGCATATTCAGTCAAATAATGCGGGTATTTGCCAAATTAGACTGTATCACAAGTGATACTGCAGCCTGCAGGTCGGGACTGGGGTGCCCAGCGTTGGTTGGGCCGCGTTTACAGCCTTATGATAAGCAGTTCTAACCTGGAACATGGCACGGCTCAGGTTTCCATGTATAAGTCGCCGTGTTTGGCCAGTCGCATTAATTGCTCGAGTGACACGGCTGATACGTTCGTTGCCGCTGGGGCGCGATTGCCTCGTCTAGACCTAACAAGCTGTGCCTCGTTGTGGCTTGCTCACATTACTTTCCCGATCTTTGATTTGAGGCAAGTTCGATGCTGCCATCTCTCTCATTCATATCTTCGATACTCTCATACTCTGGTGTTTGCCATGAGGTCTCGCTATCGTTTGCTTGGAGGTAGCATTTTTCTTCTTGTATTGACTTACTACCTCTATCACATTCATCAGTCACAGTTATCAACAGAAATATTAATCGAACATAACGAAATACATGACCAGAAATCTCCGGAACTGCCGAAACCAAGAATCGGGACCGTGGTTGCCTCGCAGAGCCATGAAAATACAACATGGCTACCGACGTTCTTTTCTGAATGGAACCATAACATATATGCAGCCGATCAGCCTAGCGCTACACTTTCAGTACCCAAGAACAAAGGCAGAGAGGGCATGACTTACTTGACTTTCATTATCAACAACTATTCGTCTTTACCAGAAATCGTCCTTTTCTTGCATGCTGAGCGATACCAATGGCACAATGACGATCCTTTGTATGATGGTGTACGAACACTGTCGCGACTGCAACTACCTTACGTCCTCGAGCAAGGATACGTTAACCTTCGCTGCGTTTGGACTCTAGGATGTCCGAATGAAATACACCCACTGGAGAATCCTGTTGATGAGATAACGAGCGACACTTCTACCAGTCAAGTCTATGCCGCTGCATTTCGGGAGCTCTTTCCAGGCACACCCGTTCCTGAGAACATTGGTGTGAGCTGCTGCGCACAGTTTGCAGTAACAAGAGAGACCATATTGAAACGACCCATAGAGGACTATGAGAGATTTCGACGTTGGCTACTCGAAACGGAACTCGAAGATGGGTTGAGCGGACGAGCCTTGGAGTAGTAAGCAAGCTCTCTTTTCCATATGTGAAGCAAATCACTATACTGACGTGAGCGTGAAGTTCATGGCATAGTAAGCAAGCTCTCCTATNNCCACCTGCGAAGCCGTACACTGTATTGACATGAGCATCAAGTCATATTCGGGAAAGAGGCCATCTTTTGTCCAAGAGCAGATCACTGTTATTGCAAAGTCTATGGTCTATGCGACCTAAACTGCGACGAAGAAGGCAAGTGTCGTGAGCAATACACATTACCACCGTACTCGACTCTCCCTCAAGGTTGGCCTTGGTATGGCTGGGACGGCCAGTGGCAGAACGCCAGCGCAATGTGATGCGTATGCCAACAAGATGTCATTCGACCCTGCTATAAGATATTAGATGATGAAACCTTCAAGCTGCTCTTGTGTACGCTGGTCGACATTGTGATGTCTATTCTCTTCCCACTTCTGGCCACCCTCCCCGAACGCATTGCTCAGTTGACCAAGGAAGAAATCGAGGTTCTTGTCCGCTTCAGGGAAAGCCTCCTGGAACTTCTGATACAATTCATCAACTTTGTGCTTCTGGGAAGCATTCTGAATGAGGTCGTCGAAGAGCTGAAGATACTTGCGAGTATGTTCCAAGTCAGCTTGACCATCCATCTCCCAGCCCTNTTCCAAATGGCCTGGGATAATTTTGGTAGCTTCCAGAGATGCTATGAGGTCAAGTGACTTCTGCCAAGCGTGCAGGATTTGTGGTGTTTCTATCTCGGCAGCCCTCGTGGATCGTCAGAACAATATTCGACATCGATGCTGGAAAAGATATTGCTCGAGAACTTACCAGACGTGGGTACTTCGCGCATATATCACATCGCCGCAAACAACAGTTTTCTCGGTCGGCAACCAGAACAATGTTTGATCAATCGAGTCACCTTGGACAGGACCAAGCAAGCATATAGGCGACGGTTCGTCCCCATCAAGCACAAAGAAGCTGTGCTCAAACACATCAGGCTTCCTTGGCTTCTCGGGTACCATCTCCTTTCCCATCACCGAAGGCCAATACTTGACTTTTTCCTCGTACTCGCGATCAATGCCTGCACGGACATATGGTGCAGTCAAGAATCTTGCTTCCTCAAAAGCTTCTAAGATAGGATTGGCGGAGAAGAAGTGGTCGGGATGGTGGTGAGTAACAAATACTGCTTTCAGTGGCAGAGATGTGGTGCCTTTTATCCATTTAACAACAGAGTTGGCATCCGGAACCAAGAAGGGAGGATCGATAAGGGCGGCGCTCTTGCTTCCCACAATCAAAGTGGTGATGCTGGACAAGCCCTGCTCGCTGGAGATATGAATGTGCGTCTGCAATGGCATGATGGTCAGTCCTGAGAGTAGATGCTGGTTATTCAAAATACTAGAGATCTATGTAGCATGTGTGGTTGGATCATTATCAGCTGACTATATACAATGAGTTCATTGACCCCACATGGGATGATTAACAACACGAGGGCGGGGTTACGGCCGGTCGGCAAGTATATCAACACATTGTCGGTATATCCATCAGTCAAGTGGGGTAAACTTTGTATCGAGCGCTCATACCATGAGGTGTGCGAGAATATATTTCTTTCATAATTCGAAAATGCTATCCAGCAATGGACTGTCGTGAATCCAAACGATCGATTTTCATCTCCATACTCCAATACGCCAATCCCATTACCCCCATCCATGCCATCATGATGCACATGACCAGATCAAATTACACCTCGATATCCGCAGCGACCTCTGTGACAGCTACGTGTGAGTCCGCTCTTTTCTTGTCTGCTTGCACCTTGAGCGTGACAGGCTCGGGGAAGGGCTGCAATCTGCTCTCGATATTGCCCCACCAGGTCGAGCCAAACCTTTGATACCATTGCACGGTCTTTCGCAGGCCTTCATTGAAGCGAGTCTTCTGTTCCCAACCCAATTGACGCAGCTTGTCTCCATTGACGGCATAACGATGGTCATTGAAGGGACGGTCTTGAGTGTGAATAACATGTTTGTAAAGATCCTCGGTCGTGGAATGAGGCAGACCGAACAAGCGGAGCAGGTGGGCACAGAGATCGATGGTAGAGACTTCGTCGTGCGAGTCGACGTTGTAGATGTGACCGATCTCGCCCTTGTGCAAGATGGTGTCGAAGGCATCTGCTGCATCGCCTGCGTACAAGTAGCGGCGTGTATTGTCGCCGCTACCGTGTAAGGGAAGCTTCAGGCCGCGCTGCAGCATCAACGAGAACTTTGGGATGACCTTCTCAGGAAATTGGTGAGGACCATAGACGTTGTTGCTGCGGACGATGATGACGGGCAGCTTAAAACTCTTGTAGTAAGCATGTACCATCATCTCTGCGGCGGCCTTGGATGCGGCATATGGGTTTGTAGGGGCGAGGATGGCATCTTCGAGAAGATCATCGGCTCCATCTTTGACTTCACCATAGACCTCATCCGTAGATACATGGATGAACTTCTTGATTCCATACGTCTTCATGCACTCTAGCAATACATGAGTGCCGTAGACGTTGGCGTATGTAAAGTCATACGAGTTTCCGAAGGAGAGGTCGACGTGAGATTGTGCTGCAAAGTGCATAACGGTATCAATCTTGTGTTTTCGGAGACAACCCAAGACCTCATCCGCCTTCATGATATCTCCATGGTAAAAAGAGAAGTTCTCGAGGTGGTTCAGTTGATTTGTGTTGTTCAAAGATGCACAATAATCGAGCTTGTCGAAGGAGACGATGTTATAGTGGCCACCATAGGTAGTCGTGAGATGACGAACGACCCAAGAAGCGATGAAGCCAGCTCCGCCAGTGATCATGATGTTGCGGATCTCAGGGTTAGGCTCGTGGCGTGAAGAGCCTGTGAGGAGGGGCGCTTCCGACCATGTCCAAGGAGGGAAACTCTCGTTCTGCGGTGTCTTGACGTACGGCATTGTGGTAATATAAAGATGAAACTAGAAGAAGAAGATCGTTGTAGAGAGCGTCTGAGTGAAGGTGTGTGGAGAAGTGCTAAGTAATTCAACAGGAAATTATATAGAGGTGACGACTTATCTTTAGATCTAGAGACTTGCAAAGCCGCATTTCGCCAGGTGCTCCTTTTGGAGGGCAGGAGCGGGCTCCTGAGAACGATTCGAGACCGATCAACTCAGCTAATCTCAATGGTGAAGAGCGGACGGTAAACGCGGCATATCCGAGCGAGCTGGATCAGCACCTGAATGCGAAGCCTAAGCAGTGAAGAGATCCACGAGAAGGATTGCTGGTACCGATACCACCGTTGGCTTCAACAGACCGTGCAGGCTTACTACGTCCATGTTCCAGAGATGAACCTTAGCTGGGAACAGTCGTGCACACCGACAGTTGACGTTCACTGACCTGAGAACGTTGAAAGTAGGAAATTGTGAATAAGAGAAGATACCTATTGCTCCTTCTGCAGGAGATCTTACGACGACTCGTACTGTTTCTTCTGCAGGGGTTTCTGCGATATTTTTCACGACGACAGCTGTTTCTCTAAACACATAGCTGGATAAATAGCTTGTTGAGCTCAAGAGAAGAGACAGCTTCTGGAACGTAAAGTCTGTGATAGCATCAGCTCGAGAATTATCCGTCTGACGAATATCTCGCCTGCGTCGGACGTCCAGCGTTGTCACTGCACTGGGATCAAACCTCGGTGATGGTATGGAGGCGACCCAACACGGTGTGAAGGATGTTCAGAGGATCGTGGCTTGTGGCATGCATGAGCTGAAGTGAGTACTGCCGTTAGGGTGGGTCTACAAGTAGATAAGGTTAGGGGCTCGAATGGGGAAATTCTGTGAACGGCGCGTGTGAACGCCATGAGCGTGGGGGTACTCCAAAGTAACGCAGGGGCTCAGCAGTCACAATCCGCGAGCTTTTCAGCGTTACTCGACTAATATTGGACTTCCAAAAATGGACCCTTTTGATCGAGGTACAATGTGAGGGAATATATTCGAGCACGTGAAAGTAGGGATGGGAGCTGCGACATCTCCCTTCGACCTACCCTCCCATTCTTGCACCAAAACCATGAAGGATAGAGATTACAAGGTGGCCATCACAGACATGGGCAACTACGAACACACAGCGTCAAGCGAGCACTCTGACGATGAAGATTTGCTTGACAGTCACCAGGAAAAGTTGGACATCGATCTGGAAGAACAGAAAAATGAGAAACCNAAAAGACCGTCGAGCAGTCTCATGATGTGGATAGCCATCAATGTTTTCGCGACAATTGGCATTGTAGGCACATCGGACTGGAATATGAAAACATGGATGCTGACAGGAGGAGTGCAGGTCTTCACTAACAAACGGATTTTCTCTGATCCATCCCTCAGGGGAGCACAACTCTCGTTCGCATGCTTCCACTTCTTTGTCACCTTCGCAACTTTACACATCGTCTCCAGTTCTCGATTTGGATACTTCGAGCGCCGTAAAGCTACTGTGAAAGAAATTCTGCCTTTGGGTGCCGCTATGTGTTTCAACGTGGTTCTTCCGAATCTCTCCCTCGCATTCTCATCCGTTATGTTCTACCAGACTAGTCGAATTCTTCTTACACCGATCACGGCTATCCTCAACTACACCTTCTACGGAAAGACCATTGCAAGGCAGGCAGCGTATACTCTGATTCCAGTCTGTTTGGGCGTCGGCATCGTTTCTTACTACGACGTCAAGCCTGGAGCCAGTACTCAGAGCACAAGCTTCCTTGGTGTTGTGTTCGCAATGACCGGCGTAGTCGCCAGCTCAGTCTACACTGTTTGGATTGGGTATTTCCACAAGAAGCTTCAATTGACCAGTCATCAGCTCTTGCACAACCAGAGTCTCTGTGGTGCGGTGATGCTGCTTTACTTCATACCATTCATCGACGCATTTCCGGTTTGGTCTGAAGTACCCGTCAGCCGTTGGATCTTGATCCTCTTCGTAAGTTGATCACGGGCCACTTCTATCCATCAGATTACTGACTCATCGTGATAGAGCGGACTCTGTGCCTCTGCGATCAATTTGTCACAGTTTGTTATCATTGATGGAGCTGGACCCGTTGCTAGCACTGTAGTTGGCCACTCAAAGACGTTGTCAATTGTCGCATTAGGATGGATTACGAGTGGGCGTGGTGCAAACGACAGAAGTCTCTTTGGTGTTGTCATTGCGGTAGGAGGCATCGTGTTATATTCCGTCGCTACGACACTCTTCAAATAGAGGTCAAGTGGCACTTGATAGCATATTGCGAAAATCCTACGAACTGTGCTATCAAAACTTTGCATTTGGGAGAGCAGAAAGTAATTGTGATACTGCGTTGATAATCATCAACAGTCACATAGCTTTATTGTACGTCTCACTATGTTCGAGAACGGGTCACCAGTATATGGTTCTTTGACAACAACAAATATACAACCATGTTCGAAGGTTAGACATAGAACCGAACATACATCTAAACTGCTGTCGAAGAACTTCTCAGAACGGGATGAGTTCAAAGTCTTCTTCCTCCGTTCTCTTCCAGTTTCCTTTGCAATCACCAGGCAACCAGTGTTTGCCATCCATGCTCAAGATCATCTTGACTTCTGGACACCACTGATAGATACGGTCTCTCTTCTCTGGTGTACCCCAGCTGCCACCGTGCAAGACTTTGCCAGAACCTCCAAGATGATACCCCATAGGACTATACGAAGAGACCATCTCACCGGAGAACTTGTTTTCGGTGGTGCCATTGGCAACTTTAGCTCCCACTCGGTGATTCAGACGGCTGCTGAGCCAAACATCTTCCGGCTCACTCTTGGGCAAGCGTACCTGGTGCTTCAAGACTTCGATGATACTGCTGACTTTGCGGAGGGAAAGCCCACCATTACCACCGCCCTTGTCCTTCAAGCTCCAAGGGGCACCGACATAGTCGTAGTCGAGCCAATCATTCAGACTTTGTTCCGAGTTTGCACAGAGCATGCTGTCGGTTTGGAAAACAAGCAGCCATTCTGCTGGTGCCAGAAGAGTTTCGTAAACCCAGAGGTTCGTCAGAAACATACTGATCTGTTCTGTTCCTGCAACACTCATGTTGCTGGGAATATAGGTAAGATCCATTTNTCCGATGTTCACTTGGTCTCTGATGGCCATGGAGCGGTTGACTGAAGCCACTGATTCATCCGAGCCCATGAACCTGACCCGCCAATCATCTGGAATGACTGCGGTGAAGTGCAGCAGCAGCGGAATGAGTTGCGGCGACGGTCGATTTTCGATAAGGAGTGCCACTTTTCTTGGGTCGTATGGCGAAGCCTCTTTGTACTTGAGTCGGATGGCAGGTGGTGCTGGAAGCAACTGATGTCCTAACTTGACCACTACAAAAATGAACCTGACTTTGTTAGTACATATGATGTAAAATTTCTAGATAGTTACTGACATAAAGACAGCGAAGAACGCAGCATAAGCGTAGGTAAGCAACCTGTTTTTTCTGTCCATCCTAGCGAGGGGTGCAATTGAAACTCGCGAGAGCTTTTCGAGCGTTCCTCCTCTGATGGAAGACATGCTGTCAAACAATGTTCAGGAGGCGAGTTTTGCTGCGATCAAAGATGCAGGAGCGAAGCAGGAGAGAGTAAGAGTCTAGTCTCTCTTGCATTGGTCTGCACTGTAAGGGGTTCCAAGCCTGATAGTGGCTTCTAACATTAGAGGTGCAAATGCATTCCTCAATGTTGGCTAGAACGATTTGAGTGCGGTACATATTTGCGGATACATCAGAGCTGAGTTATTGGAACGTTTTAAGTTGCAGTCTTGCAACGGTGCCGAAGGTGTGCTCAAAGTAACGGTGATCCTTCAACGGTTGCTGACGCGAGCTGAGAAGCAAACTCACGGGGGTAATTGCCCGTGCTGCACCTCATACTGGTTTAGGAAAGCCACCAAAATTATCTACTCCCGGAGCTCTACGTTCACCATCGCTGTCCACTGTATTGATCGCCTACAAGTGAACATCAACATCGAGCAAGCACAGTATGGTCTGGCTGTCCAGCGCTCAAGATATACGGAGTGGAGGGTTTATCAGACTGGTGTCGTCTCTGATAATTGTGTAAGAGACGATTGGGAACTTTTGGATCAACCAAGCTGATCTTCTGTTCAGCTGGACCATCGCTTTCCTTGGACCATCCAAAAAATCGTTGTCAGATGCAGTATCAAACCAACTCGCGAAGTTGCCTTCGATGCAGCTTGACTGGGATGGTGCAGATGCACCATGGGCACATTACAACAAGACGAAACTCGCAGTCATTGTCGATTCACGACCGCTGACAACTCTCGCGCCTCTTGTCCTGCAGATGATGGTTACTGTCCCACACGACTGGCCCTTCTTGTTCCTTGGATCAACACAAAGTATCGCCGTGCTCAACAGCAGCCGAGCTGTTCAAGAGAAAGAAGCATCAGGCAGACTTCGGTTTCAGACGATCGAATCTGACTATCACTCTGTAGAGGGTAGCCATCGCTTGCTCGCAAACCCCAAATTTTATGATGAGATGCTTCCCAAGAGCGTGGAGCACCTTTTCGTCTTCAGTCGCGACTCAATTATTTGCGCAAATGCACTGCGGAGTCTTGACGACTGGCTGGGTTATGACTGGATCAGCGGACCNAAAGTATTCAGCTCTCTGAACACTGCTCATCATGAATAAGGCTAATAACTCACCAGAGCCGAGTCAGACTCCCAAGCTTACAAAGGCAGTGGCGGCTTTTCACTCCGTCGCGTTTCTACTGTTCGTCGCGTCCTCGCTTTCCAACAACGAGACAACGATACAATTGCAGAAGATGAGTTCCTGAGCTATCGCATGGCTACCATCCCGAATGCAGTCATGCCAAACGGAACACAAGCATCGGAGTTTGTCACCGACCATATCTACCATAAGAACTCCTTTGGCATCCATGTTGGGGACATGTCAAAGAGCATGGTGGAAGTCTGGGACAACCATGATAGACGCATGGAGATATACCGGTATTGTCCAGAGGTGAAGATGGCCATGACACCGATGAAGTTGACCAGAGAGAAGTGCGACGAACCTAAAGCAGAGGACTCGCACTAAAATTCATCATCTTCCTGTCGTGTAATAATCATCTGTTTGATCATCTCAAGAACTTCTCTTAATTCGTGTCGGCAAGATGTACTCTGCTAGATGGCTCTCAGCTCGCAATCGATGATCGTTCATGTCTCGACAGGATACAGGAGGCTGTACACGTCCACGAGTTCGTCGACATGGTATCTGGACCAAACGTCCTCGGCATCCCTATCCTCAGAATATAGTAGGAGAATACTTCGCATGGTGATCTCCGTGTAGTTCAGTATCGGTTCGAGCGGTGAGGTTTCTAGCTGTTCGAGCTTGCGCAACCTCTGCAGCGCTTCCCCTGTGGCCCTGTACCTGCGTGTACGCAGCTCCCGACCCTGAGACGTGCAGGATGTAGGTCCAGTAACGAAACTGATGGTACGTGGTACGTACTATGAGACGTCTGAAAAACGGTCCAGAGTGCCCCGCACTCAGCTGCAACAGCACTTCAGCTGCAACGTTTAGCAGCTCGGTACAATCCTTACACCATCTACCCCCACGCTTTCGTGTCTGAGGCTGATGCTAAATGCAGGGAGTCGTGCATCTGCTTTGGGTCAATGGTTGTCTACACTGATAGCTGAGGATCAACTGCTTCGCTGGTGTCAACGTCTTCCACATGAATCCTTTCCATGGACTCTTAGTCTCATGCAGCGCTCGATAGTCGAGCTTCTTGTGTCAAAGGTATTGCGACTGCTCAGGGAGCCTCGCCTCCCTTGCTCGTTGTGCATTCCATTTCTTGGTGCCCCTTGCCGTCTCTTTCCTTCTCCTACATCACTTGCTTCTTCCTTGCCTTGTCTCCAATTCTTTTCATTGCCTCCCATATTGTGTGATTGATTCTCTTCTTTCCACTCTACATTTCTCAGCAAAATTTACTTGGACTCCGTTTACACAACGCCATCAACATGATTTCTTCGACTAACCAGAACGTCTTCCTGATCTGGGGCGGCAAAGGATGGGTTGCTGGTCATCTCGAGTCACTGCTCAAAGATCAGGGCAAGACTGTCCATACCACCACTGTCCGCATGGAGGACAGAGAAGCAGTCATTGCCGAGCTGGAAAGAGTGAAACCTACACATGTTCTGAACTGTGCAGGCTGCACAGGTCGTCCCAATGTCGATTGGTGCGAAGACAACAAGGCTGCTACCATTCGTAGCAACGTCATCGGCACTTTGAACTTGGCGGATGCTTGTGAGCAGCGTGGCATCCATATTAGCGTTTTTGCTACGGGATGCATCTATACTTACGATGAGGCTCATCCCATTGATGGACCAGGCTTCAAGGAGACTGACCCAGCCAACTTTTCTGGATCTTTCTACTCCGCTACCAAGTCCAGGGTTGAGGAGGTGAGCATGTCATGGACAAGACTACTATGAGACGTCAGCTGACAGTTTCCATAGATCATGATGAACTACGAGAACGTCCTCTGTCTACGCCTTCGCATGCCAGTATCCGACGACCTGCACCCTCGCAACTTCGTCACCAAGATCACAAAGTACGAACGCGTCGTCGACGTACCAAACAGCAACACTATTCTGCACGATCTGCTTCCTGCCGCCATCGTCCTTGCCGAGAACAATGAGACCGGCGTCTACAACTTCACCAACCCTGGTGCCATCTCGCACAACGAGGTGCTCGGGCTATTCCAGAAGATTGTCCGTCCTAGCTTCACGTGGAAGAACTTTTCGTTGGAAGAGCAGAGCAAGGTTATCAAGGCAGGACGCTCGAACTGCAAGCTTGATACTGATAAGTTGGTCAACAAGCTTCGAGAGTATGGAGTGGAAATCCCTGAGGTTCATGATGCATACGAACAATGCTTCAAGCGCATGGTCAAGAACGGCGGCAATTAGACAAAACATCAACTTTTGTGTAGAATTTCAAGAATGCGATCGATCTCCAGGTATCATTACAGTTCGAGTGGCTTTGAAGACATACCGACGTGGGTCCTCATGGGATTGTCTCGCAGTTAGAAGAAGACCCAAATCGTACCTGGATATAGACTGAGCTGCTGGATTGTTTTTGTCGACACTCGTGTAATTGATAACAGCGTATCAAGAATCGCAAAGTAGTTCGAGACAACGCAGCTCAAAGCATTCGTCAGATCTACTTTCTCCAAAGACTTTGTTTCTTCCTACACGAGGTGATGTGCCGACGACGAGAATGCTTTGAAGAGATGATTGTTGTAGACCAGGGTTGCCCACTCTGCAACTTCAGGAGTAAACTCCGTGCCTCGGGCAGGGCACGGATATACAAAGAATGGTAGAGTAGGTCGTTGCTATCTCTGACATGCTTTTGCATACAGCCTCAAACGTTGGCCCCAATCTTGTCTGATAATGCTACGTCGCCATTCGTGATGTTGTCCACGAATTCTCTGTCGGGAGAGAATAGCATAACATGGAAATGCTCAACTGCATGAATAGACTTGAGGCTGGCCCAGTTCTTGAACCAAATGCAGTTCTCAGCGCCAACATGAGTTCGAAATGTCTGGTCGACGTACGAACCAATCTGTTCTCTGGCGGCATCGGTCAAGTCACCGCTGACGGCGTCTTCCTCAAATTGAAATTTGACCCATACAACAAGGTGCACAATTCTTGTGTCAATCCCGTATGGCCAATCATTCAAGAAAATTTTGACGTCGTNCTATAGCCAACGTCAACAGCCGAATGGGTAACAAGATTACATCGCAGAAATCTTACCTGAATTGCTGAAGGGCTCGCCTTGAGGTACGAGATCTTGCCATCTCAATCTCTCGGTCATGACGAAATTCATGACTGAACCATACTGGTCCTTGAGCTTTGCAGTATAGGCCTTGTAGCGGCGAAGGTCACTGGGCACTCACTGGAATAGATCAATGCGATTCGTGCGTATGAGTTCCTGGACCTCTGGCCAGGACAACCGACGAAACTCGGAATCTGGAGTGGCTAGGATCTTCTGGTCTTTCTCGTTGGCATCTTTCAAGAAATCAGGACACTCAGAAGATCTTTCTCCGGCCGGGACGTTGACCTGCCAGTATGGCAGCGTTTCTTGCTCAGACGGCATGTCTCAGATGCGAGCAGATTGGACAGCAGGATTGGTCGAGTGCACAAAGGTTCTCTGAGCCTCACCCCTATAGAGGATGAGATCCAGGCGGGAAAGGAGGGATCTTCCGGGCATAACACAGGGCGGCTGTCCACTACAGTTAGATAATAGATAGCAATTGGACAGCCGAGCCGTCGGCTATGTAAGTCGGCCGTGGCGTCGCTGCGAACAACCCCTGTGCGCGAAACGTCCATCGAAGACGCGTTTTTCTAGAAATGATCAATTTCACGCGACGAGTCATGACATGGTTCAGTATAGAAAGCACATGTCGCCTGGAGCACGACAGGCGTGGAGTCACAAGAAGGCATCTGGCAGTCGTATGGCGGTGTGTGTACGCGCGGCACGGAGCGTGCTCTGTCTTGTTCATTTGAGAGACGTCGGGTGGAAGATGGAACCCTTGGAAGTCCTCAAAGCTTCCACTCAGGAATCTGCCCAGGTTTGGCAAGGGTCACGCCGGAGCCACGCTTCGACCCTGGCGCCCGAGGCAGCGAATCAGACTCCAGAGCTCCAACGGCGTTAATTGTCTAACTTTACGGTATCAGGGGGAGGCTCGCTCGACTCGACTCGCGCGTGAGCATTTCCACTGTCCACACACTCTTTCATCTGCCGCCTTACCCTGTCTGTTTGCATTGTTGCCTGTTTCCACTTCTTCCTCTTTCCTTTCTGGTCAATTGGTAGCTTGCATCTCCAACAACACTCCTTTCAAACCCGTGCTCGAGTCAAGCGCATGATTGGAAAATAGAAACACAATCTACAATTATACGACGTCCATGCCATCCTAGAATCTCGTATCTACTCCACCAGCATCGATCGACTACAACAACATGATGCACGCGCCGAATCGCAGTCGCGACGAGACTCTGTCTGGTCGCGGCTACCAAGGNACCCCTCTAGCCACTGATCCATATGCTGCCGCCGCCAGCAGGACTGCCGTCCCCATTCAGAACTCACCACCATTGTCACAAGGCTCGACAGACAACAGTCTCTCGAGCCGCGCTCGCTCACAGCGCTCGCCCAGCGCAACCAACAGCCACCTTTCTTCGTCAAGCTCCATCAGCGGTGGACCTGGTGTATACTCGCCAGCCAACAGCGAATTCAGACAGTCCGTCAAATCGAATAACCAGGAAGCCGCATTGGCACATCATTATGCGGTCCTCAAAGTTTACCTCGCACCCTACCTAAGAGACGAGCAGGGCAACACTCGTCCTACAAGAGCCAGGGACAAGTTGCTCCGTCTGTCGCCTACACAATTCAATGAACTGAGTACCGACGTCTTCGACGAGCTGCAAAGACGCGAAGACGATCGCCGACGACCAGGAGGTATTGTGCCTCCTTCTCTCCCACCCAGGAACGTTTTCCACCCTAAGCGAAACCAAGCACGTCAGAAGTTGTCGACTCTTCCTCCCGAGCGATTCCGACAGCTCGCAACTGATGTCTTCTTCGAACTCGGAAGTCGAATGCCAGGCCTTGTGGGTGCCGATGGAGACAGACCTGCCAGTCCTACAGGCAGCGTAGCGAGTAGAGCCAGCAGCCGACAAGGACCTCCATACGCTATGCGCCGTCCTTCAGGCCAACAAAATGGTATGCGCGGACCTCCTCCATCTGGAATGAGGCCTGGACCACCCAGTAATGGTCCTTACTCGCCATACTCGCCCTCGGATGAAAGCATGCCCCCACCACGTACCGACTCTCGTGGTGGCCCGATCAGTCCAAACAGCAGTTTTGGAAGACCGCTTCCNCAAACGTTCCAAAGCAACACCATGGTCCCCAACAAAAGCACCATGGTGGAAGACGATGAGACCGACGAAGACGACGACGAGACATACGGCCTGGGACAAGTGTCGGGTACCAGCGAGAAAGATGCTGAAACAATGAAAGCGTTCGAACTCCANAGTATCAGAGCTCGAGGCCAAGATCGCAGACTTGGAATCAAAGTTACACGACAAGGACGCAGAGATCGAAACACACAAACAAGACCATAGCAAAGACAAAGACGAATGGTCGCAACAACGGCAAGAGTTGGATACGAAAATAGCGGATTCTCAGAAGACGCTGGACACATTGCACGCCGAACTGGAGCACTCCAGAGCAGATCGGGACCAGTCCGAATCNNTGACCTGCGTGCTCGTACGGAACAAGCGGTTTCTGATCTGCATCTCGAACTGGACGAAATCAAGAAGGAGAATGATATGCTGCGAGCCAATGAATCCTCGTCAAAATCACTTGAGCATGACAGCGATTGGCAGCAACGTTACGAAGAGTTAGAACAAGAGCTGGTGCAGCAACGCAAGGTTACAGACGAGGTGCGCCATAATGCCGAGCAACACTTGCAGGAGATGCGTCTTTTGTCAGAGCAGACTGAGACGGCCCTAGAGAGGGAAGAGCGATTGCAGGCTCGTATTGCAGCTCTGGAAGCAGAGAACGAGCAATGGAAGACCCGATATGCCAAGACCAGAACACAGCTGAGGACGCTCAAAGCATCCTCCACTGGCCTCTCGATAGAGCACATGGCTCCTGGGGCACTGTCATCTAAGCACGAGCACCTGAAGCCGAATGGACTGGTGAAAGATATGGATGTGACCAACTTCCAGATTTCCATCGATGAATTGCTTCAAGCAGCCCGCGATACGACATCTGCTTCGCACATGGCACTTGAGAAGGCCAAGGACGTTGTTCAGAGCGTGCGAAACATGACCTCTGGTGTTGACGGGTCCTTCTCGAATCTTGGCTCTCCTCACTCGTCGACGACCCATCTCTCGCAAATCACTGTTGGCCCAACACCCGAGACACTCAAGACTCGCGTTTCGCGGGATGCAAACAACCTTGTTACAGTGGCTCGCAATCACGCGGCGGCTAAGGGACTGGCACCGGTATCACTTGTTGATGCAGCAGCCAGTAACTTGACTACATCTGTGATTGAGTTCATCAAGATCGTTGGTGTTTGCGACACTCACAACGAAGGCGAGGACGACGATGACTCGTCTATCGACGGCGAAGACATTGAGGTTGAAGAGATCGCTCCGCTCTCGATGTCGAGCAACAAGCCACCACTTGTCAAAGCACCTGTCCCGCCTCAGAAGCAACAGGCCGGTACAGGGTGGTTCTCGATGCTGAAGGGAGCAAAGAGCGAGCATAGCGATGACGAAGACGAATACGACTACAGCTAGGGATGATGAGCGCACAGTCGAAGACATGTTTTGCAGGACTCGAGCATATCACAGGCGTTGGGAATCATGGACGACGAACAAGGGTATTGAGTAATGTTTTCTTTCTTTCATTCTGCCAGGTCAAGCGATGGCGGCTGGATTGGATGCCATTAACTAGGTCCAGCTTCTCATCAGGCGAAATAGGGCATTGGATTCGGGCACACACGCCTGTTGTTATACTCCATACACTCTTTGGAAAGAATCCACATCAGTTTTCATTTCAGGTCAATTGATATTGTTGCCATGTGAGTATCTGATAGTAGATCGAGCGTGTGAGATTATCTACCCTCAATCATCTTATCCATCTTATCTGATGAGAATCATGAGCGGGCCGAAGAGTGCCACAATGGTACGAGCGGCACGGCGAGTTTCAAAGGAGGCTGGCACCGCTGAAGCACCTGCCAAGGTGGTACGATTTACGCATGGTAGATCGACTGTCGAGTCGTCATCTTGCAGCCACTTCCAAGTGCCAGGGCAGCGCTGCGCGTCTGAAACACGAAAAAAAAGTCCGAGGCTCACAACGTGCTGTCAGAAGAAGAGACATGTGGATGTGCGACTCGAGATTTCTGGAAGGACAAAGAGAGAGACAAGGCAAATGGACAATGCAATTGGATCGGAACTAAGGGACGACAAGAGGCGTCTTTCGAATTTTGGTTGAGGGAAATGAGTGATTTGAGGGAGGGTCGAGAGGTGCTTGGGTCCTCGGCGGATTTGCGAGTTATGCTTTTTGTCACTCAGGGGTTTATGAATAGCTAATGGAAAATCTGGGGATGGTTGGAAGATGCGGCAGAGGAGTCGAAGCGAACTGAGGCGTCTGCAGGAGACGGCATCTTGCATCATGTCAGTGAACGAGTCGTTCAGGATGGCATGGCAGTTCCCAGATGCTTTGTCTGCGACAGACGGGAGGCGAGAGAGGCGCAAGCTCGTACGAGGAGCGGTAAGGTCTAAGTGACATTTTGAAAGTCTTGGTCGATGCAAGGCGTAATCTCTCAGAGCTTGTCGCGTGTGTTTCCAACCGGCAGCAGCGTCCCGCTGGTGAGAGCACCGTGCGCCTGACCGCCTTTGATTAAGCAGATCCTCAACTTTTGGATGAATGCGACTTGGATCTGCCCAGCCTCCATCCCTATTGTTCTTGTTCTTGTTCTTGTCGTCTTCCGCAGCACGTCAATTGCCTTGTAGCTTGCGAGGGGATGCGCTTGTGATCGATTGCTCAACCATCGACTCATTCCTTCTCGGACTTTCAACCAACAAAGACAACAGACAACAATGCTGGGTGCTTCGTTGATCCCGGCCCGCTGGAGAGGCTTCTACAGCCCTCAGGACCCAGCCAAACCAGGTCCCTACAGCAAGCATGTCACTCCTCTGTTGCAGAGCGTCACCCGCAGAACCTGCACTCACCCCATCCACTCCATCGTCTTTTGCGCCTTGATCGCCAGCACCACCTACATTGGCCTTCTCGAGACCGGCCTGTTCGAGCCTTCCACAAAGTTCAACAACAACCAGGTCGACTTCTCTGCTCTTTCCCAGGGCAGCCGTACTCTGAGTGTCGGTCCCGAGACCGCCTGGGAGTGGCAATCCGACCCTGTCTCCAACAATGCACAAGCAGAGGTTTGTCCAAGCACTCGCTCGCCCCTGAAGCCTACTGATTTTTGGACANNGCATCTCTCCTTGGTCACTCTGGCCTTTGCCGACTCGTACGCCGATGCCNNCCCCTCAGTTGTGATTCCCAACGACAGCAAAGCAGAGCTGCTCCCTTCGTCAGCCAGCCGCCTGTCTCTGTCCCAAGACTCGACTCTTGCTTTCTCGCTTCCTTCCGACGAGACTCCTGCCTTTTGGCCTCAATCAAGGAGNATCTCGGCTCAAGAGACCGCTGAAGATGACGACGAGCAAAAGAGATGGATCATGAGAGCAGCNAGAGGTTCGGCGCGTCGTTTCTCTCTGCGCGAATGGGTTCGCAACTCGTGGATCGCCTTCACCGACTTGATCCGCAATGCCGAAACTCTCGACATCATCATCATGGCTCTTGGATACCTCTCAATGCATCTGACTTTTGCCTCGCTGTTCGTCTCGATGCGTCGCATGGGCTCCAATGCTTGGTTGGCAACCAGTGTCCTCTTCTCGTCGGCCTTTGCTCTTCTCTTCGGTCTTGTCGTTACCATGAAGCTGGGCGTTCCTGTCAACGTTGTTCTGCTCTCGGAAGGTCTGCCTTTCTTGGTTGTAACTGTCGGCTTTGAGAAGCCTATCATTTTGACACAGGCAGTGCTCTCGGCTGCTCTCAACCCTCCCAGACGCGAAAACGGCGATCAAGCACCCTTGACCATTCAGAATGCCGTGCAAACCGCTGTTCACGAGCGCGGCTGGGGCATTGTACGCGACTACATGGTCGAGATCACTCTGCTTATCGCCGGTGCCATGTCGGGTATTCAGGGAGGTCTCCGCCAGTTCTGTTTCTTGGCTGCATGGGTTCTGTTCTTCGACTGCATTCTGCTGTTCACCTTCTACACGGCTGTTCTGACAATCAAGCTCGAGGTCAACCGCATCAAGCGCCATGTCGCTTTGCGCAAGGCTCTCGAAGAAGATGGCGTTAGCCGCACTGTCGCTGAGAGTGTCGCTTCCAGCAACGACGGCCTGAAGCCTGACGCTGTCAATGGCGAGACTTCGATCTTTGGCCGCAAAGTCCGCGATAGCAGCATCCCCAGATTCAAGGTTCTCATGGTCTCCGGATTCATCATCATCAACGTCCTCAACTTCTGCACGATTCCCTTCCGCACCGGCGCCGCCAACAACTCTCCCTCGCTGTCTAGCTCTCTGGATCCTTTCAAGGTCGCTGGAAACGCCCTCGACCACATTTTGGCCCAGGCAAAGGTTCGCAACCAATCGACCGCCGTCACCATTTTGTCTCCCATCAAGTACGAGCTTCAATATCCCTCCGTCCACTACTCGTCCGACAGGCCCGAGTGGTCTCTCTTCGATGGCCCTTACGCCGACGGCATTTTCTCCAGCATGGGTGGAAGAGTTGTAGAAGGCGTTCTCAAGAGCTTCGAGGACCCTGTGCTGAGCAAGTGGATCATCATTGCTCTCGCCATGAGCTTGGTTCTGAACGGTTACTTGTTTAATGCTGCACGCTGGAGTATCAAAGAGCCTGGACACAGCGAATCTGCTACTGGCGAGGCTGCAGCCAAGGCCGCCCCCTTGCCTNNCCCCCTTGCCGAGTATGACCCCAAGATGAACATCGATGCTGCGGGACTCGAGAATGGACACGCCGCCAATGGTGCAATTCAAAAGCGCTCCAAGGAAGAATGTGAGCTTCTGCTTGCTGAAAAGAGAACTTCTGAGTTGAACGACGAGGAGCTCACTGAGCTTTCTCTCCGTGGCAAGATCCCTGGTTACGCTCTAGAAAAGACTCTCGGCGACAAGACTCGTGCCGTGAAGATTCGTCGCTCTCTCATCTCTCGTACTCCCGCAACCAAGCACGTTACTGCCGCTCTCGAACGTTCCAAGCTTCCTTACCTCAGCTACGACTACGACCGTGTCTTTGGCGCTTGTTGCGAGAACGTCGTTGGTTACATGCCNCTCCCTCTTGGTGTCGCCGGTCCTATCGACATTGACGGCCGCAGCTTTTATCTTCCCATGGCTACAACCGAAGGTGTCCTTGTCGCAAGTACCAGTAGAGGTGCAAAGGCTATCAACGCTGGCGGTGGTGCCGTTACTGTCCTTACTGGTGATGGCATGACCCGTGGACCTTGTGTTGGCTTCGAGACTCTTGCGCGTGCTGCCGAAGCAAAGGTTTGGCTGGATTCGGAAGCTGGTGAGAAGATCATGAAGGACGCTTTCAACTCGACCTCCAGATTCGCCAGACTGCAACATCTCAAGGCCGCCCTTGCAGGCACTTACCTCTACATTCGATTCAAGACGACTACCGGTGATGCTATGGGTATGAACATGATTTCGAAGGGTGTTGAACAGGCACTCAGTGTCATGAAGGAGAGCGGTTTCGAAGACATGGCTGTTATTTCCGTGTCAGGCAACTACTGCACAGACAAGAAGCCTGCCGCAATCAACTGGATCGATGGACGTGGTAAGAGCGTTGTCGCCGAGGCTATCATTCCTGGTGATGTCGTTCGTTCCGTTCTCAAGAGCGATGTTGATGCTCTTGTTGAGCTCAACATCTCCAAGAACCTGATCGGTAGTGCAATGGCTGGCAGCATTGGTGGCTTCAACGCACACGCTGCCAACATCGTTACTGCAATCTTCCTCGCTACCGGACAAGATCCCGCTCAGAACGTTGAGAGCAGCAACTGTATCACTGTCATGAAGAAGTGAGTTTTGTCTTCAGCTATCTCGTTAACCACATGCTAACATCTCGACAGTCTCCATGGCAACCTCCAAATCTCGGTTTCTATGCCTTGTATCGAGGTCGGCACCATTGGTGGTGGCACAGTCCTCGAGCCGCAGGCGGCCATGCTTGATCTGCTCGGCGTCCGTGGCGCCCACCCTACAAGCCCCGGTGACAATGCCCGCCAGCTGGCACGTATTGTCGCTGCCGGTGTTCTTGCTGGTGAGCTGTCTCTCTGCGCAGCACTTGCTGCCGGTCACCTTGTCAGAGCTCACATGGCACACAACCGTTCTGCGGCACCTTCAGCCGCACCTAGCAGAGTTCAGAGCCCTAGCCCTGCACAAGGCAAGTCATTGCCTCAGGGTTTGACCATGACCGGTATGGCATCGAAGAGATGATGACCTGATGACCCTTCTTCCGCAGCATCTGATTGCACGTAATGGGGGCATTTATTTTCCATCACTTTCTGGCCCCCTTTCAAAATTTACTGTTTTGAGCCTTTTCTGTTCAACTGAGATACACCATACGTTTCCATCACGCCCAATCGACAGTTAGAGGAGTAGAAAGAGTTCTGGTTTTGCTTACGGGGTGTACTTTTTACGACCAGGACTCAGGAAAGAAAGCATGCGCATAGCAGAAGATGGCGTTTATACCTTGATTGATTGGTTTCATTATCCGCCTGTACTGTATTCCTAATCCAAACATTTGTCTAATTATCCACACCTGGTTGGACTTGTCCCCAGACATCGCAGCTCTGTTTCCGAGTTCAGACCTTCCTCTTGGGCATGAGTTTATGTAATGTAGCCCAAGTCCTTGAATGCATTCCTCAATATTTGACGGATCGTGTCCTCCTTTAGTAAGTTGTAGTCCTGCATAAGCCCACCATTCTCTTTGATTTGAGAAGCCGCAAGCTCCTTAGCTCTCAAATACATAGCCATATCCTCAGGACAATCCAGAAGTTGTTGTCTGAAGATCTGATGCCGCACCACCTCAGGAGACTCCGGACTCCAAACATGCAAATTCACCGCACAAGGCTCATACGTATAGAAAAAGCGATGTTGATGCCAATGCGGCTCCCTGAGCAAAAACTTGAACCCTGCAGCTTCGAGTCTGGAGACGTAGGCATCTTCATCGGTGCTATCCTTGACCACTAAATCTATATCGATGATGTTCTTTGCTGGGAGGTTTGGGATGCTTGTTGAGCCCGTGTGGTGCACTGCGAGGGCTGTTGAGCCCAGCGCAGTGAGGATGCGAGTTTTTATGGAGGTGAAAACAGATGGCCAGGTTGGATCATAAGGTACCACTTCTAGATTTGGTTGGGAGGTGCGGAAGGCGATGCGTTGCACCAGTTCTGGTTTGTATTCGGAATCTTTGAGGATTTCGGCGATTGGTGGGGTCATGGTTTTGGTGCTTTCTGCACAAAAGATGGTTTCTGACGAGTTTATCGACTGGAGATGCGATAGATAGATGAGTCGAGAGATTATGGAATGAATGGGAGAAGGAAAGGGAAATTGCGACTTTCTTTGATGGTGTTTGGTTGGTTGATGCGGTGGCTTTTTCTGGAGACCGCTTCTTTGGAAGGATGGAAGGATTGGCCCCACCTTGTGTTTGGCCAGATACAGCAGCTATCTTGCTGCAACGTGGACAAACATCTTTTACTGGCGACTCAGTTCATGCAACGACACCGCAGCTGATCTCCGGCCATGTTTCGGACCGGTCAAGCGTGTCACGATATTCGTGCAGACTGATACGAATGAGAAGATATAAAGCTCCAGGCACCCACGTCTTATATCCCAACTAGCTTCAGCATCTCTAGCCTCAGACATCTCGCTTTATCGACACAATTCAATTGGCAACAAGTTTTACCTTGGATAATCATGGCTCCGTCTATCCCTCTTCGCAAACTCGGTGCAGATGGCCCCGAAGTGCCTGCTTTGGGCTATGGCATGATGGGTCTCTCTCAACCCGTCTACGGCAGCCTCCCTAGCGAAGAAGACAAATTCGCCATGTTAGATAGAGCTTACGAGCTGGGAGCCAGACATTGGGATTCCTCCGAGTATGCTTCGTCCAACAGATGCCTACCAAGATAAACCCAACACTAATTCAACATTGCCAAAATGCACAGTCTCTACAACGACAATGAAGAGACGGTAGGAAAGTGGTTCAAGCGCACCGGAAAACGATCCGACATCTTCCTCGCCACGAAATTCGGCTTCGTCAAGGGCAAGTTTCCCCAACTGGACAGCACTGGCGAGTATGCGAAAAAGGCCTGCGAGGAGAGTTTGAAGCTGCTGGGTGTAGAGTATATCGATCTCTACTACCTCCATCACCCAAACCCGAAAACACCCATTGAAGACACAATGAGAGGACTCAAAGAACTACAAGATCAAGGCAAGATCAAGTACATCGGTCTCTCATCCGTGTCCTCAAAGACCCTACTCCGCGCCTCCAAAATTGCAAAGATCTCGGCTGTGCAAGTCGGCTACTCTGCCTTCGAACTCGACATTGAAAACGACAAAGGCACAAAGCTATTGGAGACTTGTCGCTCTCTGGGTGTTGCTGTTGTCGCTGCCATGCCCCTTGGTCGTGGTATTCTTACTTCTACATTTGCGGACAATACACCTCTGGATGCAAAGGACATGAGACCGTCTTTCATGCCTAGATTCCAGGAAGGCAATAGAGAGAAAAATGTCGAAATTGCAAAACAGTGGAGACAGTTGGCTGAGAGTAAGAAGTGTACGAGTGCTCAACTTGCCATCGCTTGGTTGCTCAAGCAAGGCCAAGATATCTTGGTCATTCCTGGAACCAAGAAGATCAAATACTTGGAAGACAACTGTGGCGCTGTGGGTGTTGACTTGACTCAGGAAGATGTAAAGGAGATCAGGGAGTTTGCAGAAACTTGTGGTATTGCTGGAGGATGCCTGCCCCCGAACTTCGAGAGTTTCACGTTCTCTGATACTGTTGAGGAGGAGCGAGAATTCATATCTCCTCATGCTTGATCTTTGCTTCAACCGAGGTCTGCTATCATTCTGAATGAGAGAATTTACGAAAATTAGTTCATCACAAGTTATAGTCAAATGCAAGAAGAGCGAGTTTCAGAAACAGTATGTTATTCGTACAGGACTAGCTATCAGAAACAGGTATAGTGCGAGTGCTTATATGTCACATTAGCCAGGGATCGGGAAAACGCAAGCCTTTGTAGTAGTCGCCGGGGTAGGAGAGGACTTTGTCTCAGAAGACGGCTTTGTACTCGAAGATGCAGGAGCAGCAGTGCTCGAAACAATCGCCGATGTCTTATCCGACGAAACAGCAGAAGTGCTGGAAGCAACGTCAGCTGTGGAGTGAGGACAATAAAACTCAGTCACAGTAATAAGAACAGGATAAGGTATCCCCTGAGTCTCCGTCACCGTAACAGTAGTCTTTGTAGCTTGCTCAGACGCAGCATCGCTGAAACTAGAAAGCGTAGGCAGAGAATTATTCTCCGTAGAGGGTGAAAAGCGAGCTGGAGTAGCAGCGTTAGAGGNGTTAGACCCAGCAGCGTCAGTCGTGGCAGGCACGACTGTGGTGCTGGTTATAGTGCTGTGGAGGGTTATTGTGGTAGCAGGCAGAGCTGCTACGTTGAGGACCTGGCCGGCCAGGATGATTGCGGATACGAGGGTACTGGTGTACATGTTTGATGTGAGAAAATGGTATAGATATGTGTGTGCTAGGTCGCGGAGGTGAGAGGTAGTAGGAAGATATACGCTGAGTATGCTTGAGAACAATGATGTATGATTGATGAAAGAAAAGGCAATCGCTGGGATAGTGTTCTTTGTGAGTTTGCTTTGTTCATATGGGAGTTGCTCGCGAGGCAGGCGCGTCGAGTTCTTTGTGGTTTCCTTTGTTCGATAGGTCGGATTACAAAGAAGTCCGAGGTAGCAGTGATCATGCGATTGGACTCGCGTAGCCAATTCAAGAAGGAGTACTTTCGGATTATCCTTGGTGGATAGTACACACCTCTCTACCGGTAAGGCTTGTAGATGTGATCATGTTGAGGAACTCGACGAAAGTGACGAGAGGACGTCTGCACCGATGATACCGCACAGACATGATGGAATATAGCCCTCGTGTTGCTAAAATGATCAATCGGTAGTGTATCAGCCAAGGAACCAGTGGCACCTGCGGACTCCAGTAATTTGACCATCCCCATCACATGTCAAATATGTATCTTCGTCTCGACTAGCCAGTAAATCACTTTGATACTCGGACATATTCTTCGACACAGCTCTTGGCTGTTTGAGTAGTGGTGATCGCTAGGGACGCCGAAGCCTTGGATCCTCCGGACCGAGATATATGCCCACGTGTGTGGTTCAATTATCTGAGACATTGGGATTTGGCGGCTCAAGAAAGCGAGTATATGCACCTAGTCGAGTCATTGGCGGTGGTATCTCCAGGTACCGCATCTTCTCAAGTGTGAACCGCGGAGAGTCGTACTGCGGGGTTCGAGGAGGATGAGGGCAAGAACGGAACATGACTCTGTATCAGCATGCCTCGACTCATGGGTACATCACTTGCTGGTAGAGCGTTATCATGCTGTATCTCAAAATGGCAAGGGACCTACAGCCCCCGCTGACAGTCATCGGCAGTCTCAGAGGAGGTGCTCTCTGGTATGGCAGGCACCGTGGAACAAAGACAGAGCCTCCTTCCTTGCACCATTCTCGCCCAAACCCACGAACCACTTTCGAAACACTCAAACAAAGCTTCAATCTTTCTTGTGTTGAGAACACGAAGCTGTCAAACAATCAACACACCATGATCTTCGTTCACGCATTCGAATTGGCATATATAGCCCTCTTTACGCACGTTAACTAGTGAAGCCGGGGCTTTATCTATTCCCGTTTACGCTGCGAAGGATGAATAAACTTTCGTCCACGAGGCATCACCGTTGCGTTTTGCAACGAGACAGAAAAAGCCATGTGCTACTCCGGCGCCGAAGTTCAGGATGCAGGAACCAATAATTGCATACCAGAAGGAAAGAGCGAACTTCTTGGCTGCCTGTTTTGAGACTCGTATTTTCTAGGCAAATCACTCAGAGTTTGTATACGAGACTTTCGGCCCTATAGCTGTTTGATGTGATGATACAGAGTAAGGAAGTAGATCGTTGAGGAACTGTGATGCTGGGTACGCTTTTGGCTTGTGGTATATACAGATATTGGGTAGTATGTACAAAGAAAACGGTGGTGTATATGTTAGGACATGATGGGCTGGCTCGATCGTAATCATAAGCCGCAAGACGCTAAATATCGACAAATGAGAACCAAGTCACATGAGAGAGATAAGGATGTCCTCAAACAGGCGAATCATGCTGACTCTGCCTCAGCAACGCCCTTGAGGGTTTCTTCGGCGGCGACGAGGGCACAATTTCCGTCGTCGAATCAGTCGCACTGCGTCCACAGTCGCTGCCACCCTCTCGACTACTACTACTGCCTGGCATTGGACTTGCCGGTGCCCTCATGGCCCAAGCCTCTGCCCATGTCCCTCTACCATCTGTCATTGAGTTGTTTTCTCGCTTCAAACTCATGGTATCCTCGGATACATGGATCTCTGTGTGTCGATGAATACCCTCAAACTCATCCGGATCGGGCATGAGTAAATCGAGATCGATCTCGTCGTGGCGTGGAGTCTTCTTGCGAACTAGTGTTTCCACACGTGTATGAGTTGTTGTATATGTAGGTGTGTAGCCGTTGTATGGCGTGTATGTGTTCTTGCCAGAAAAGGAGCCCAGCGAACGGAGCTTGAATATTCGGCGGAGCAAAGCCCAGACAAAGGCAGCATTTGCTGTCAGAACTGCTGTGCTTGATTCCCGGACGTACCAGTATGTCCCNNTGGGGTACAGGTCAGCTTGACTGTCATCAGAAGATCATAGTTATGTTGTAAGCTGGAGAGTTGGTCCATTATCCTGAAGGATACCGCAACATATATGGAGGAAACAAGGGTATCTTCTGTACTCACATTCTAAGCCGAATGGTTGATTGAAACTGTACACTTTGTTGAGAATGGCGCAGATGATGACAAAAGTTCCCAGCGAGAAGATTCCGACAATGGCAATTTTCTTGCGAAGAGGCAATCTTGTTTTGAGAAACATGGGTAGAGCAACCGCCAAAATCATGGTGTCCGAGCTGATATTGAAGACTGCGTTAGTGATGAGATGATGAGTTGCAGCTGTGCATTGCGTAGTTGAGGGTACGGCCCAATACATGTGGAAAGGCCTGCACCAGACTCCGAAGTAGAGGGTTTCCATAACGACCCAGGTTATGCCGATGTAGAAGAAGAGTGCCGTAATTGCAAGTCTTTCCCATCTGCCGACGGTAAGGCGACGGTATAAGAACAACAGGCATAGCTTTTCACACCAGACGGTCATGATTTGACATTGTTCAACGACAAGCACCAGTTTGGAGCCATATGAACGGTCGTGGATTTGTTCGGGGGTCAGGCTGTTGACATCGAAACCTGGCGGTAACAGGTTGGAATCTGATTTGGCGACAATGTTGATGGTGACAATCAATGTGGTATAGAAGCACATGGCAACCATCGTGATGTAGTCATCTGCCTGAAAGCGTCTGAGTGTGCCGAGGCTCAGGTACCTCGAGATCCTGGTTTGGGCAGTCAGAATCGTTTTTGGCATGGCAGAGGGTCGCAAGGGCTCAATTCACATTCGAGAAATGACACATAAAACCACGAAGGTCCACCATATCCACGTCTCTACTTTGAGAGGTACCATGATAGGATGTCGATTGATTGGAAGAGATGGCGTGAGGGGAGCAACTTCATGGATATTCCTGAGGCGAAAGTGTAGTCCCTGCCCGTTGCTCCTTGGTCATGCCGGGGCTACCACAATGCCAGAGTCCAAGAGAGGGTGGTCGAAAGCAACCGCTCGAACAAGGAAAACACGATGTCAGAAAAGAGTGAGACGTGAGATTATGCGACCGCAAGTGGTGGGAGCTGAAAGGATTATCAAGTGCCCGAGCCCTGCTGCAGAGCTTATTCCCTACCTCAGTCCTAATTCGAGAAGGACTCTAGCGTCACGCGTACCCGGAGCGCCCAGTAGAGATGTACATCCGCCGAACGGGGACCCTACAGAGAGCATCTCGCCACCAGACGTGCGATAAGGACATCGTTAGCTTTCGCCAAGCACGTCTGGCTTGGTTCGTGGATATGACGAGGTCGTCTCTTTTGTTCCGATCAAGCCGCAGTAGACGTGTTGCAATTGTCGTGAAAACCATCGGCATCAGTGAGAAAAATTCAGCACGCAGAGACCATGTCGTTGATCTACGATGCAGCCAACACGTTGATTCTCTTCTGATTGAGATCGTGGGCGTTGGGTTGGAGGATCAGGCTCCTGGATCCGACACTTGGAAAAGAAAGAGGGCAAGGACAAGCGGGGCACTTCAGGTCCGCGGCCGAGAGGATTCGCGGTCAAGGGTCCGAAGGATGCTATCTTCTCGATAGGCACGTGTAACAATAACACAAACTCTAAAGCAATAAAATAGTATCGAGAAAGAACAGCAACTTCCTTCACTCAGAAAACAGCATGAGATTCCCTTGAAGACAAAGAATACGTGTGTGGTCATGTCACGCAACGGTATGGCTTCTCCATCGTTGCCATCGCGGGTTGCGGCTCACGCAAACCGTTGTGACGGGATCGGCTTCGTCAGCACGGCAAGAGAGATATTCCATCGCGCCTGTCTTCACACGGAGTCACATGTGTGGATTGACTCGCCAACGTACCAGAGAGATAACATCGGTTTTCCAAGCAAGCCACTATCTATTGTACAGGCAGTGCAAGAGTCAGGGACAGGGTTACTTTTCCCCAATCGTTCTTGGTGCTCATTTCGAGAGGTCAAACGGCATCCGTGAGACATCGCTGCAAGGAAGCAACCTAGAAAACGATCGAAAGCCCTAATCGCATGCATGCAAGACGCCAGCTCTGGATCGAATCAAGAAAATAAGAAATGGAATTGATGTATAGCCCTAACGCCCAGTGCGATGATCTTCAGGTCCGACCAGACGCCGTTCAGTGTGTACCAAAGTGGTATTCCCAAAAGTCCCCCTTTCACGCCATCGCTTGAATGCAAATATACCCTTTTGTTTGTCCCCTTGCCTAAGTCTATTTGACACGGTCAATGTAGTCTTGAGTAGGTTGCTCGTACTCCTGAGACAAATAACTGCCTGCGTTCTTGCTGAGCCATTGGGTCATCTTGTGCAGCTCCTCGCGAAGACGGCTCACGGCCTGAGAGTCCATATTGGTATGGGCAATCAAATCCGGCATGGAGACNNTGATATCGTTAGTCAAGCATCATACGGGCGACAAAAAGCACATACCAAACAAACGGCATAGGTGCTCTACTCCGTAGATGTCAGTAGGGAGTTTGCCTGTCAAGTCTCCGGTTCCCTTGTTAAGCTGAGCATGGATGTCGGACCACTGAGGGCGCTCAAAGCGGTACAGCAGAATGCGCCCAATACTCTTGTTGAAGTACTCTTTGACGCCAGCAATTACCTCCTCAAGGATATCTGCTTCGGCGCTGCCCTCCCTGCGCTTGGCACCTTCAGATGCCGAGTAGTCTGCTAGGAATTGTGCTACTGGAGTTTTTGAAGGAAGCGGGACCAGTCTGTTCTCTCTGGTCACCTTCTCCCAATCATCGACGAGGATGGCCTTGAGACTGTCGGGCATGAAGATCTTGATCGAGGGTCGACGAAGAAATTCGTCCTNCCTGTTACCGTCGTCAGCGAACAATTCGAAGATGTGTTTTGACATGACATATATCAAGCCAGCTAGGATCGCATGATTGTCGGCGAATTCGTTACTGTCTTGAGGGGGTTGGGATGTGTTGCAGACAAATTCGGGATGATCTGGAGGGCAAGCCTCCACACCACGCGACCACACGAATCTCGATGGATACACGAATACGTCTAGAAGTAAACTGACCTTGTCGATTCCTTCATACTCTCTTCCGCGTTTGGTTCCACGGGTTTGTGCTGTAGGAGCTGACCTTTCCTCGCTGCCTCTAGCAGAGCCAGTGTTGAGATCACGCTTTCTGGTCACGGTCGCAGTCATCGGTTTTGCTGCAGCTCTGCGCTGTGCGTTCATCTCCTGTCTCAAGTTCTTGGAGAGTTCGAGGTTCTCGTCGTTGTACTTGCGCAAGCGGTCTTGAGGTACCCAGTCATCCCATCTGTCAAAAAGTTAGCACAATTCAGGCCAGCAGACGCCCCAGTCAAAACATGTTTTGATCGAAAAGAAAGCTTTGAAAGATAAAATCGTGACGAGTACGTAGGAAAACACTCAGACGATCCGCGCGATGGAATAAATATGGGTTACACCGAGACAGAGATGATCTTGTGGGTTCGGGATGCCGATAGAGCCACAACAAGGGACGTTTTGATGTGCAGACGCATAATGAATGTTTGCTAGAGGCATAAACTCACGTGTTCTTCCAGCCTTTGTAGTGGACCTTGTACTCGTAAGGAGATTTCTTGTCATTTTGATCAGTGTGTCGCGAGTCGAGCACCTTTGCTTCGTAGAGCAATTCGTGGTGGAAGCAAAGCGCCTTTTCGTCCTTGCCATACATGGGTCCTGGTGCAGCAGGTGCCATGTTGATGTGTGAGAGTGAGTTGATAGTTCCGGCGGCGAGAAAATTATTATTGACTCGGGATTAATTGTGATCGAATATCGAGGTTGGTCGTCAGATGTTTGATGGAAGTGGTCATGGAGATTCAATCAAGGAGGAATCTGTGAAAGCGTGTCAAAGCTCGGACCTCCGCGTTCAAGTCTGACTCTCCTCCCATCCAAACGTCCTCAGTGAAATGGTATGTCGACGTCTTGATATCTCAGTTTATGATCGTATCGGCCAGTAAGTACAGATGGAGTAAATGGGTAATGTGTTCATGAAGAAAAGGTTGTCTAAAATTATGGGCGGCTATACGCTTTCTAAATATTCTCATGAAACATCTGTATGGCCTGCGCCTTCCGATTGTATCTACATCCATCTTGCTGTAACTCTATTCGAGCTTTATCTTTATGCCGAAGATTCTTTCGAGAAGACCCAAGTAGATTGATAACACAAATGCTACTGGCGGTAGGGACAAGAAAAAGTGCACTAGACGAGCAAATCTCACAATCCAGGTGATTGCAGTCCGCACTGCATGGTCCACCAAGTTCAGTTGAGGTGCTTTGCCTCGCGAAAAGGTTGAGTCTTTAAACTCGAATGGCAGGGTCGCTCCGAGGTGGTCAATTGCAACCTTGAGGCCGCTGCTGAATCCATCTTCGTGGAATCCATACTTTGTCCACGCTCCACAGTAACTGATGCCTGACGTGTTCTGGATCTCATTCAGTCTATTCTGTGACTTCACGGCTGCAGGTGTGTACAGAGGGTGACGGTAGATGAATTTGCCCTGGGTACACTCTTGCGCAGGCTCATGAGGAGGGTTCATGGTGACGAGTACAGGACCAAATTTAGACTCTGGTATATGCTGCAACAAATTCATCCAGTATGTCAAGCTTACGCCAGCTGGGTGTTCAAGCTTGGATGGTGAAGATGTCGTCAGGTAGTTCCATGCTGTGAAGACCTGTCTCCTTAATGGCATCAACGAGAGGTCTGAATGAAGATATGCGACGTTCTCAGAAGTCTGGAATGCACCCAAGATTTCTTCTTCCTTTTCTGATGGTGGCACTCTCGACTTTGCAGCGAGAAGAGGCAGGATGTCGTCGCCGTGGCAAGCCATGATAACATGGTCAAAGGTCGACGATTCTTGTGTACCACTCAATGGACTCTTGTAGCTGACCTCGACTACAGACTTGCCATTCTGGTTCATCCTCGTCACACCAGTGATCGGAGTCGAAGTGTGGAAATGGAATCTCCTTTTATCAGAGCTGCGCACAATAGCATCAATGTANNGCTTCTGAGACCCTCCCTTGATGGTCAGCCAGTCGGGTCGGGTTGCAATGGTTGACAGCAAATGATGATTCCACATGAAGCGGACAAGGGTCAGTACAGGGAACTCTAGACTGGTCTTGTCTGGAGATGTGCTCCACACTGCGGCAGTCATGGGAATGAGGTAGTCATCCTTGAACGCTTGAGAATAGCCTTGTTCATCCAGATAATCGCCAATTGTTTGATCAGTGCGCGAAGAGTCATCATCGGTGAGCAAATCAAGAGCAAATTGGTTGAAGCGAATGATGTCGAAAATCATGCGCCACATTCTGGGCTTGAAGATGTTCTCTCTTTGAGCGAAAATGCCTTCAGCAGAACCAGACCACTCGAATTCACCATGGTTGCGAGAAACACTGAATGTCATTAAAGTAGGAACAATGTCTACTTTGACATGGTTCAAGAATCTGATCAAATTTGCTAGTCTTGGTCAGCAAGTTGAAAGGAAAAACAAAAATGACAGCAAGAACGAACGATATGTAGCAGAGTTCATGACGATGAAGCCAGTATCCACAGGAGTAGAATGTTCGCCATGTGTAAATGTCTGTGTATTCGTATGGCCTCCTAGACGATCCGACTTCTCGAAGACGTGGACCTCATGGTCGGTGTTTTGCAATGCCCACGCTGCACCGAGACCAGCACACCCACTGCCAACGATGGCTACACGCTTCTTCTCTGTTGGTAGCATTTGACCTGCGACGTCAAGATGATACAGGCGACTTAACTTGAAGGAACGAGAAATCAAGTCTACTGTCAAGTGGAAGGCAGCACAGGGTAGATACGATGGAAGGTTTGGCTTCGCCAGTCAAATTGAACACGGGGACTCGGGGACAACGCGTTTCGATCAAGGTCGAACGTGAGGCGTTAGAACTTAAGCGTCATCGAGGAAGCACTGGCCGCCGAGGATGCATCCTCCAGCCATTACACTGGAGTACTGCTCCATCCATAGTCTGGAGCACATGTTGGTGGTCGAAGATGCGATACATATGCGATCTTGATACTGCATGCTTCTAATGCTCGCAAACATCTGAGGAGATGACATTCAAGACAATGAAAGAACAAAGGCTGAAAGTGGTCAGCCTAAGCTGCCGAGGAAAGTGGCCCGAGCTTTGTACATGGCGGCCGCGGACAACATCATCGTCCCTTCCCCGACTCAATGTCTGGTTCACATGAAAGAGCAATCACAGCAGGCACGACAAGACTGAAACGAGCCAGGAACTTGTACCCTTCACCAGAAGTTCCACGATCTGAACACACATCCCGTTGAACACCGTCGCACGCGCACACCCAACGATCCTTGCCTACAACAGTCTACAACAGATAGACCGTATCCCACACACCATGGCCAACCCAATGGACAGCGACGCTGGATCAGAGCTCTTCAACAACTATGAAGCCGAACTCAAGCTTGTGCAGGCCGACTTGAACCAAAAGCTCGACCAGCTGCCCGAGCTTAGCGGCGAAGAGCGCAAGGCTGCCATCGGCCGCGCACAGCGTTCTTTGGAAGAGGCCACTGAGATTGTGAGTTGCTTTCTACATTGATTTGTTTTGTCTCTCTCTCTGACTGCGAATCACAAGCTGGACTCGATGCGATTGGAAAAGGAGAACCTGCCAGCGAACCAGAAGACCAAGACAAACCAGCGCTTCCGCAACTACACACACGACATCGATATGGCCAAGCAGAAGCTCAAGGGCTTGTCGAGCGATAAGTCGGCCCTCTTTGGAAGACGCTATACCGACAACCCCACCAGCGACGACCAGCTCGAGCAAAGACAACAACTTCTGTCAGGCACCGACAGACTCGATCGCTCCAGCGGCCGCCTACGCGAAAGTCAGCGCATCGCTCTCGAAACTGAAGACATTGGTCGCAATACGCTTGCCGACTTGGCCAGACAACGAGAGGTCATCGAGCACTCTAGAGACGTGCTCCTTGAGGGTGAGGGCTACACCGACAGAAGCAACAAGACATTGAAGCAGATGGCTCGTAGGTAATGCTGACTCTCCTTCTCCACTAAATCAACAACATCCGACTGACTCTTCTCAGAATGGCTACGAATAAAATAATCACTATCGCCATCATCACTGTTCTGGTTCTCCTGATTCTTGCTGTTATCATCAGCAAGTTCAGATAGGCGACTGTGCCAACACGATACCACTTTTACTTTCTTGTTCTTACTTTCCTAGGTCGCTTTCTTCCGGCGTTTGTGGGTTTCAAGCGGCAGGCATCGGTTTCTTCAATGGTTTGGTATGTCATTTTCTCAAGGTCGACCACAGTTCAGGTCCACATAATACAATGTTTTCTTTCTATCGGCCCACCACCTACAACTTGGCCTGTTTTATGTACTTGCTCAAGAAACTCACAACTGCAGCGTCCACTTCTTTAGCTTTGGTGTAGTTCAAGTAATGAGGTCCACCCTCGATGACCTGCAGCGTCGCATCAGGACTGTTGACGAAGAGTTTGATTTCCTCCTCAGCATTGGCCACACTGTACACCACATCCTGATCTCCATGCAGCCACAGCACCGGGACCCGCACGTCAAACAGTCTGCCATGCAGACCATCTCTGTCTCGAAGATTAAGCGCACACATTCTCGCGCGTTTGCGACCATCATCACCACCCCAGTTCTTCTGGATAGCCTTGACCCAAAACTCTCCATCTTCAGTTGGAATGTCCTTGCCAAATCCAGAAGCGTTCATGAAATGGCAAAATTCTTCCGGAGGTTCAAAGGATGGTGTAGCTTCGTTGGTTGTCCAACCTTCGATCGTAGGAGTGAGGTTTTGCTTTGCGTCCCAGCAGCCGAGCTTTACTATCCTCTCATTCTCGGTGTCCATTGATGTACCAAGAGGGATTATACCCGCGACCTAATGNNTAATTTTGCTCATCAATCGCTGGTATTCCGGTGTGTAAATACTTGCACTTACTCTGTCAGGTGCCAGCAATGCCATCCTCACAGTCTGCCAACCACCTTGACTGGTTCCCAACACAAATACCTTTCCCTTGATTTTCAATTCATCCAAAACCTGCAGATTCATGATTGCACTATCCCAATAAGTGAAGTTGTCGGTCTTTTTTGCTCTGGTCTGACCGTGACCTAGCAATTCGATCGCCAGCAAGTTGACCAGTTTGTTAAGTTCTGCATTTTGGTATTGGTGTCTGTAGAGGTCTGCGCCGGTACCGAAGGAATTGCAGAGGACCAGAGTGGGCTTCGAGGGATCGTATGGTGCTGGCATGTAGGTGCTTGCTTCTATGCCACCTAGGTGTGGTACTTGCACGATCTTGGTTGTGACTGGTGTAATGGTCATTTTGTGTAATGCGTTGGATGTATGTTGCTCTAAGAAGGTAGGTTGTGGGAGGAGACAGAAGTTTTATCCTGCCCCTGTGATCGACTCATGTTACTAGCACTAGACTCTTCTCACCACTCCGTCTATATTGACGTTCTCCGCTCTGAGCTCCCCACTGTTTGCGAGCAAAGAGCTCATGGTGACCTTGATGAGAATTAGCCGAGGTTGCTGAACATGGACCGAGCGTCTGTCTGCTTGGAACCACATCTTCAACGCGCCCACCCCTTGGCAACTGTAGCACAGCTCTTGACATGTTTGCTGCTTCGTCTCGTGATCAAGCTTGAACCACAGACATATGAAGGCGCCTTTGCGCCATCCTGAAGTTGAATCAATGTCAGCAGTCTATCTCGTGACAACTCGCAAGAGATAGGGATCAGCCACGAGTCAACCACAGGTCATCCTTCGATAGGACATAGAGGCTATTAGCAATGGCGTACAACGCAATCTTTGCTTGTGGCTTCAATGCCTTCGGCCAGCTCTCTTCCGAGTCGGACAAAGACATAGCGGAGCCCAAGGAGCTCGTTACCTTCGAGCATGCAGTCAACACCAGACTTCTTTTCGCTGGTTGGAGCGAGACAACCTTCTACCAGCATAGCAAGGGTAGGGAGAACGGTCGAATCATGAGACTTGGTAATACCAAGATCGTCCAAGAAGCGCCGTTGTTCGATTTGACCGCCGGATTCGGAGACCACAATGGTCTTCTCGGTGTGCTTAGTCGCAAAGGAGGTGTTGCATTTACGGAAGAGAATCAGGTTGAAGCGCACACAGCAACAGCAGACGCGCTTTCAGACGAAGAGGCACCTGGTATCGCATACTTGGCTGTAGCAGGCAACGGCCATGTCGCTGTGGTCCTCTCATCGGCCAGTTCGCCCAGGAACAGCATTCTGGAGTTCAAATCCTTCGACAAGTTTCGGCAATGGTTTGACGATGAAGTCAACGATCTTCACGGACCCAGCTTCAGTCATACCGTACGAGGACGTGTAGCTCAATTGGTCGCCAATGTCACTGGCTTCGTATGTCTGACGCAAGAGGGCAACGTGTATACCTGGGGAGATGCAAGACATAGCTCGCTAGGTCGCAGCGTCACCCAGACAGAAGCCAAAAGTCCAGGTCTCGTTGAATCTCTCGCTGGCATCCGGATCAAGAAGATTGCGTCCGATGGCTGGATGACAGCAGCATTGTCGGAAGATGGTGCAGCATATCTCTTCGGCACAGGAACACCTGGAACTCAGCACTTGTTATCATGTCTTCAAGAATTGGACTCGACGGGGGCAGCTCTGGTTGAGATTGAGCAGGGTGGAGATCCTCTGGACTTCCTGGATGTCGCTGTTGGTGATGGACATGTTGTGCTACTGGCCCATGATGGACGTGTCTATGCTGCCGGTGACAACCGCAATGGTCAACTGGGCCTTGGACAGAAGGCCTCGAGCTATATCAAAGACTGGCGAGAGGTCATCATTCCAGATGGACGTCGGTGCGGTGCAGTATATGCAGGCCCAAAGTCATCATTCTTCCAGATCGTTGAAACTTGAGCGACATGGATTCATCGACTATAAGTTTGGTATGGCTATCGGAACAGGTATACGCGTCTCGCACGCGGTTACACCTTCCTCGCTTAATTTTTCGCCCGAGCTCCTCGTCATCTCTATGTCGCTGGTATTGTGCCAAGGCGGGTCGCGTGGCATGGATTATCGCACTCGCGTTATTTACCACCAACACATCAGCATTGAGCATCTCGCAACATTCTTTTACTATCATCATGGATGTTGAGGAACACCAACACATGCTCTTTGCACATGCTGGAGCACGTGCTACCCCAATCGAGACAACCCAGCACCACCTTCCTCCTGAGAATACGACAGACGCTACTTCCAACCACGTGCGCATTTGTGCTGTTTGCTTCAAGGACCAGTCTTTGGAGTATTTCCCTGATGTCAGCAACGACAGCCGCCACCAGCATGGCGCAAACACCTGCCGTACCTGCTTCAACAGATATCTCATCCAGCAAATCAATGCAGGGCAGGCCCGCGTTGGATGCGCAGAATGTCAGGAGCCTCTACGATACGCTGAAGTCAAATCCATCGTCGCCAAGACCACACTCATGAAGCATGACAAGAACTTGCTCAAGGCATTCGTTGAAGAAGATGCAGACTTCTACTACTGCGTGAGAATCTCAATTCTGCCAGACTGACCTCTGAATAGTCTTGGGTTTCCAGGTCTTGAAAGGACATTGCTGATCAAACCATCTACAGATGTCGGCAAAATGCAAGTCAGGCCAAATCCATATAGGAGGGGGAGGATATGCCCATCTTCTGCTGCAAAGTCTGCAACCACAAGCATTGTATGGCTTGTGAGATTCCCTGGCACGAGGGTGAGACCTGCGACCAATACCAGGCTCGCCATGATGAAGAAATCATTCAGACCCAAGTCATGGTCCGCCAGACATCGAAGATTTGTCCTGGAGGTTGCGGCGCTAGAATCGAGAGAAATGGAGGATGTCCTCACATGCTTTGTAAGTTTGCTTGCTGCAACCATAGTTTTTCTATACCAAGGCTGACATATACCACCCTAGGCTCAAGATGCTCCCATGAATTCTGTTACCTCTGCCTCGGCGAATGGCAGCCTCATCTCGCGACCGGAGGATGTGTCATTCCCATTCCCGCCACCCCTGAGCCTGACCCTGTCCCCGCTGAGATTGAGTGGCGCCAGAACGAGCGTCAGGCTCGTCAAAACCTCCGCGATTTCCACAACGAGCAAGCAGAGGCCCTCATCGAAACCATCACAATGCCATGCCCCAAGTGCAAAGTCCGCATCGAGAAGGACGGCGGCTGTGACCACATGACCTGCGTCCAATGCCAGTACGAGTTCTGCTACCAATGCTCGGCGAACTACGCGACGATCCTCAGATACGACAACCGTCGTCACAAGCGTTCGTGTGTGTACTACTCGGGCAAGGCACACGGCCGTGTCATGCCTCTCAAGACCAACAACGTCGTCGACCAGCCCGACGAGCCCTCGACGACTGCCCCAACAAAGCGTCGTCGCGTCACTGTGCGCAAGCCCACAGTGAAGAACAAGAAGGGTGGCGTCACTAAGAAGAAGGCCGCCGTCGCGTCGACTGTCGTTCGTCGTGGCACCCGCACTGGTCTGCGTAGCTCGACAGCCGCAGTGAAGGGTCCTGTCACTCGCTCACAGACCAGAGCACGTAAATAGATTCCCTAGTTTCACTTCACTTTTTCCGTCTTTGATACCCCATTCACTTTTCTGTAGTCAATAAATGGATAATGATGTTTCTTCACTCTTTTGTCTTCACTTGTTTGTGTGCATTTAGACTTGTTCACTTTCTTTGTTCTTGCATCCCAGATGCGCAAACTGTTTGTTGATGCACTATAAAAATGCAGAATGTTTATCGAGATCAAGCGATATCCGGTGAGATGTCAGTTTGCTGTTGGCTTTCTCTGGACACATATCATTTTCCGAACACTACTGTGCATTTTTATAGTATACTCAAAGGAAGTGCTTTCCACTGAGATCTGTGTTGTTTGTCGCTTTCTCTGGACAGAGGCTGTATTCGAATACTCTTGTGCATTTTTACAAAATATATAAATGGGAGTATGGCCAGTGAGATATATTCATTCTTGGGCTCTCTTTGGACATGTATGTATTATAGAATGTTATTCTGCATTTTTATGGTATAGTGAGATGGAGCGCTTTGGTTTGGGAGTTGTGTTTCTTGAAAGATCTCCTTGGACAATTTATCTAACGCGGATATTATTGAGCATTTTTATGGTACTAGAAAATATGGTCATGTCCACTGAGACTTGCTATTTTGCTGAATCTCACTAGATATGGCCTGTTTTCAAACTTTATCATGCATTTTTTATAGTTGCAAAAGATGGACAGTTCGGCTTGGAAATACATCACTTTGTCGGCTTTCTTCAGACGAAAGTTGTATTTCCGATACTATTGTGCATTTCTACTGTATAGATTACAGCGACAACATCCAATGAGATCCATCACCTTGCCGACTCTCTCTGGACAACATCCCTCGTCAATCAATACTGTGCATTTTGATAGCACTCCCAAAACCATCCAGTCCGCCTGAAACTACAAGTTGTTGGCATGACCCTGGTTCACGCGTCTTCCTGTCGAGGCTGTCGTGTCGAACAAGTCATCCAGACCCCTCACAAGACAGTTGTCATCAGGCTGGAGTTGTAAAGCTTCACAGTCCTCCTTATAAGCCTCGTCATATCCTGTGAGATAAAAACAAAAATCGCGCGCGTGCGGTTTCTGCATTCTGCAAGCGGTCAGCGATCGGCGGGTTGGTGGGGAGAGCTGGTTCGGCGAGGAAAGAACTCTCGACTTCGGGCTTCATGCACTGCCTTGAATATTTTTCTTTTTATTCTTTTTGTTTCCAATCGTTGTTCTCTGTTTGCTGGCAGAGTCTGGATAAAAAGACAAATCCTTGCTGGTTGACAAAGAACAGGTTCTTGATGTTCAATATATCATGGTCTCTGTTATGCGATTCAGCGAAGCACTTTTCGAGCATACATACATGGAAGTTGATCTCCCACCGCTCCCAAACAGTGGTTCGGAGGGCGCTGCGAGATTTTTGGTCCTCTCCTTGCATAGCCACCACGGAGTTTCACCACCGGGTACGAACAAACAAAGGCCAACTTGCACATGCTGCGAAGCTCTCTGCAAACAATGCAGAAAAAACGGTGGATGGTAATTCGCGCAAGAGCGAAGCTCACAACAAAGGGTGCCCGCTTCCTGCAAACACAATAATTCGCGCACCACATGCTCTCGTACAGCTTTCCACGGGGGCGCGGTCGAATCTCCAAACATGGTAGGTGGTGGAAGAATGATGGATACTCGAGACACATACATTCGTTGATTGCAGCCAAAGATGGTTTAGACGAAGGATTGCCTTGTCTCTTCTGGTTCGCCTGTTGTGACCTTTTGATAACAGAGAAGAAGAGCCTCCCGAGTGGTTGGCACGGTGGAAGAGTTATATATCCTTTTCATTCCATTGTCTTGTTGACTCTCTTCCATTCACTCTCCTCTTTGCATCTCTAGGACTTTCGAGTCTACCACTTCGGTTCGCTTTTGGTTGTGATTTTTGCAGGCAGCTCTGAAGAGGATTTGCAGCCATGTCTTCTAATGATCGAGAGGTCGAGATGTCTGAGCAGAAGGTTCCTCGAATCACCTATGCCAACGATGTCGATGTCGAAGCTCGTCCTCGCACAGCAAGACCATCGCGTCGCATGTCCACAGACTCAATGTCAATTCGTTCGATGTCGCGTCAGAGATCCGTCGATCCCTCGCTGGTACTGCCACCGGCATTCAGGACTATGTAAGTATTATGCTCCACTCAGTAGTGACTAGAAGCTGACAATCGATCAAGGTCCTTCGACGTCGAGCAGAGTAAGGCGAGAAACGATACGCCAGTCAAGGGTGCACTAAAAGGAGCACAGAATNNGGTTAGCGCTATATCATACCTTTCTTGTTGACAAGAATATTGACGGGCTTCAACAGACTTTAGCACATACGACCTCCACACCATACCGATCGAAGAAGTATTTCAGCGCTTTTCGAGTTCGCCTACCAGCGGTCTAGGTGTTGACCAAGCAATGGTTTTGTTAAGAGATGTCGGCCTCAACAAGCTTACTGCACCACCATCAAATTGGCTGATGAAGACTGTGACCTACCTGTTCGGAGGCTTCGGCTCCATCTTGTTTGTTGCAGCTATCATGGTCTTTGTTGCTTGGAAGCCTCTCGGCAACCCTCCTGCACTTGCCAACCTGGCTCTCGCCATTGTCTTGGTACTTGTTTGGCTCATCCAAGCAGCTTTCAGCTTCTGGCAGGACTTCTCAAGTGGTCGTGTCATGGCATCGATCAATACCATGCTTCCTGACCAAGCAATGGTCCTCAGAGAAGGCAACTGGTCAAGTGTGGAGGGTACCAAACTTGTTCCTGGCGATGTCATCAAGATCACTATGGGCAACAAGGTTCCTGCAGATGTGAGATTCTTTGATGTCTCTTCAGACGCTCGCTTAGATCGCTCCATTTTGACTGGTGAGGTCAAGCCTCTGGTTGCGACTGTCAAGTCTACAGACACGAACTTCTTGGAAACTGCAAACATTGGTCTTGCTGGTACAAATTGTACCACAGGTACATTATATGGTGTCATCATTAGCACGGGTGACAATACTGTCTTCGGAAAGGTATGCATGCTTCGAATCTCGAAACTGACCATAATGCTGATTCAACCANNGACTGCAAGACTTACCAGTCACGCCAAACAAGGTCTCACTCCTCTCCAGAAGGAAATTTACATGTTTGTCGGTATCATCACTGCATTGATGGTATCCATGATCATCCTCGTCATCATAGTCTGGGCTGCCTGGCTTCGCAAGGATCATCCCGATTGGATCAATGTTCCCACTTTGATTGTTGATTGTGTATCGATCGCAGTCGCCTTCATCCCAGAAGGTCTGCCAATCGCCGTCACTGCCAGCTTGACGATCACAGCCGGCATCATGAAGAAGAACAAGATTCTCGCAAAGTCGCTCAAGACAGTCGAGACGCTTGGAGCTGTTAATGTTATCTGTTCAGACAAGACTGGAACAATCACCAAGAACGAGATGACCGTCACCGATTTCTGCATTGGTTACCATCCTCATCCAGTATCCAAGGCTGCTGGCATGGTTGATCAATCCCCAGCAGTGGCTCGATTGGCCATGCTGAGCGGTGTCTGCAATGCTGGCGAATTCGATGCCAGTACCAGAGACAAGCTAGTCGCCGAGCGCAAAGTTCATGGAGACGCCACTGACAGAGCAGTGCTTATATTTGCTGAAAACATCATGCCCACAGCAAGACTCCGCAGTCTGTGGCGTACAATCTACCGCATCGACTTCAATTCGAAGAACAAGTTCATGGTCAACGTCTGCCAGAACGAAAACGATCCTCAGCAAGGCACTCTTCTGACCATCAAGGGAGCTCCGGATGTCCTCATTGGTAAGTGTTCCACATACATGGACCAGAATGGCGATACCCAAGAGCTTGGCAATGAAGGTCGCTCCGTGATTGAGGCAATCAAGAACCGATGGTCGTCGCAGGGCAAGCGTGTACTCCTACTTGCTCAGAAGCCATTGAGTCAAGTCAAGCTCAACCCACAGGAGCAACCTCAGTTCTACGAGGAATACATCATGGCCAATGTTACCTCAGGTATGACTTTGGTGGGTCTTGTTGCCATTGTCGATCCTCCTAGACCAGAGATGACGGAGGTGGTCAGAACTCTGAAGGGTGCCGGTATTCGCATCTTCATGGTTACCGGAGACTTTAAGCTCACTGCCAAAGCAATCGCTTCCGAGTGTGGCATCATCAGCCAAGAGGCCGATGATATTCATGCTCTGGATTATGACAGCAGTTTACACGAATCTAGCACGTCCAAGGAAGGATATGCTACTTTCAGCAATTCGTCAAAATCAATCGTACTCAGTGGTTCCGAAATTCGAAACCTTGAGGAAGACCAATGGGATCGACTTTGCCAATATCAAGAAGCAGTCTTTGCGCGCTGTATCCCCGAGGACAAACTTGTCATCGTCAAAAACTTGCAGCAGAGAGGCTTGATTACGGCCATGACTGGTGACGGTGTCAACGATGCGCCATCGCTCAAGGCTGCTGACGTCGGTATAGCAATGGGTTCTGGTTCGACCATTGCAATCGAAGCAGCCGACCTTGTACTCTTGGACTCGTTTGCTGCCATCGTAGAGGCTGTCAAGTACGGTCGCGTAGCCTACGACAACCTCCGCAAGACTATTTCCTACCTGTTGCCTGCAGGTTCTTTCTCGGAGTTCTGGCCAGTTCTGACTAACGTCGTCTTTGGTCTGCCGCAGATTCTCTCGTCTTTCCTCATGATCATTATCTGCTGCTTCACAGACTGCGCCGCTGGTGTTGCTCTTGCATATGAGGCCCCTGAAGCTGATGTGCTCAACCGCCCTCCTCGCTCCAAGAAAGACCGACTGGTTGACTGGAGGCTGATCTTGCATTCATATGGCTTCATCGGTCTCTTTGAGACAATCCTCTCCTTCACAGTGAGTTATTGGTTTGCTCAGCGCAAAGGGCTGTTCTTCTCAGACCTGTGGTTCGGCTTCGGCAAAACACCCGATGGCATGGATGAGGATACCTACAACAACATCCTCAACATCGCATCGTCGATTTACTTTGTGAATTTGGTCGTAATGTAAGTTAGAATCGCATCCTTGAACGCAGCAAAAGCTAATCTTCTTCAAGGNCAATGGTTTAACTTGATGAGTGTGCGTACCCGTCGACTGTCACTGCTCAATCACGCCCCTTGGAGGAACCCATATCTCTTGCCTGCTATCATCTTCGCGATGATCATTGCCATTTTCTTCTTGTATGTGCCCAAGTTCCACAGCGTCCTTGGCACTGCAATAGTACCAGTCGAGTACTGGTTCCTGCCGTTTGCTTTCGGTATGGGCCTCCTGCTGTTCGACGAGGGACGGAAGCTTCTTGTGAGAAAGTTTCCCAAAAGTATCATTGCCAAAATGGCATGGTAGAAACATCATTGGTGGACCAAAGGGCAGCATTGGAGGACAGGGTTCCCTTGTAGATATCGTTGTAGAGCATCTGATGTTGATCTTTTCTCCCTTTGCGTATGTACAGGGTCACAATGTATGCATGAACGTCCTCTTGTCGATCGTTTTCGTCGGACTCCGAACACGGATGACAGCGCTTAGAGATGGAACCATGTCCCTATGTAGCACATTACCGTTGTGTTTCGGAAGCACGCCATGCTTGGGACATGTTTCGAGATCAGCCCAGGTATCTACATGTTCGACGGCGTCGCAGACGACATGCTGCAACAGACAGGGGGAGCCGTTGACAACTCGGGTACCGACACGCCTCGCTGGTTACAAGCACGTATGTCACCAAGAAGGTTGAAGGCTGGAAGACTGAAAGTTCTTCTTTTGGCGTGGCTGGGCAGCCTAGAGAACAACAACCGCAGAAGGCTGACGACTGTTGCTTTTGAGCCAAGATTTGTTCACGATGAATGTCGATAAGATCCCGTCTCTGCATCGGTGGTTGGTTGTTAACACAGCCTTCACAAGTGTTTCTTGGGCTGACTCGTCATTCAAGAGTCCTCGGCACGACTTTGAAGTCGCCTAGGTACTGAGAAAGGGTATGCTGCAGGAGTCCCAAAAGCCTGCAAGGGGCCTGGGACAGTTTGACAGCATCGCGTTGAGGCCTCCCTCGGGAAGTGCCTGCAAAGGTACCGATTGATCGTACTTGTCCCTGGACCAGATAATACCGACCCGAATTATTCCCTTCTACATGCCACGTTTTTTGCGTTCATACCTTTAAAAAATGTGAACTGGCGACTCGCAAGGTGCGCAGAGGTGTGAGTGGGGGTCACATTAGCCGAGGCTGGAAGCGCGCGGCGCAAGCAAACGGCGTATGTGGGCGGATGAATAAGAAGATGTTCGAACTGCCAGGTTGACTTTTGGTTGAAGAGGTTGTGAAGAGGCTGGAAGCCCCGCTCCGATAGAAACATGTCAGATTCGGTTGTGTGCAGCAGTGAATTCAGTGATTGCACCTTCCTGACTTGCATACAATCGTTGACCGGGTAAGGCAAGTCTCTGTTACACTGGAACGCTCTGGTCAATTGTGCCTGAGACATCGCACAAGACTGGTCCATCGTCTCTATTGCCTGTATACTTTCAGTTTTCAATGCATTGCCAGTCTCGAAGCCAGTCGATGGTTGAGGCATGAAGCCAATTGGAATTTGTAACAACCTCTCCACTTCACCACTCTTCTTTCACACCAATAGCCGACCGCACTCGTCCGTCGACTGCGCCTCGTGAGTCGTCCAGCGGTACTCGACATGCTTGACCAAGGCAGTCATATTCTCATGGCAGACGTCGTTCTGCACGTTTCCGTGATGACAAGCCTGCGATGCCACGAGTCACAAGAATACNCGAAAGAACGACAAGCCACTCCGAATACGATGCTGCGCATGCAAGTGTGACGAGTTCGTGCTGTTGAACCTGTAAAGATCTCAACCCAGTCTGTTTCTCTCTATGCTTCGCAAGCGGAGTAACATTCCCTCGCTTCTGCCGTGCCTGCAGGCAGTCCGCGGACGATGGAGCCACACACACATCGATCGCAANGCGCCAAGNATCAGTGTGGATGTGAGTGGACCCATGGCCGATGGCCCTTGAGCATGTTCGGTCTTTTCGGCGAGTGAGCCTCCACGTCGAAAATCAGTCAGTGCCTTCACCCACGAAAATCGCAAGCACTATTGAACGCCAGCGGGCCACATCCAACGCGCCGGGAGATGGACAGTGAACTCGGTGCGATGGCAGAAAAATCTAGAGCTGTAGAAAATTTCTTTGAGAGCTCCAGCCCAATCAGCATTCGCGAAGAAAAAGACTTTTCGTCTGATTTCTGCNTTCCGCGTTAGCGTCTGTGTTTTNGGTTTTTCTGTAAGTTTCCTTTTGCCCTAAGTGTCTTGCAGATGCTTGTGTTCTCTGCCGTGTGGATGTTGGGGTCTTTCTTCATGAGATGTTGCAGCGCTTAGGTTTCCTTCCAAGACTACGGAGAGCCACCAATTGATCCTGGGCGCATAACTTGATGCATGAACAACTCGTGCTGAGCTGACCAAGTCAGCCACCCATGCCAAAAAGTCCCACGTAACAATCGCACGTAAGGCTGTCGACTAAGATCGAGGCTTTGCAGCATGGCACCGTTCATCAGCCGCTGTACCAGCGAATGGTCAAGGAACAAGTCCCGGGTGTGCCTGAAACGGCGCACGAATGACAGCGCCAGGAAGACCGGGTACCTGGACCGAGTGGTCCGTAGCATCAACTTTCCGCACCCCCCACCAGAACAAGGTCTGTCTCGGTCACCTCGCTGGCTGCTGTGATTGATCAATCCTTCGGCCACTATTCCTCGATGGGGTTTCGCGCGTGAAAAAGCACATGGTGAGTCCAACCTCCATGCTCCACATGGGACGGCTCAGTATTTTTCAACCTTCTGTCGGGCGTGTAGCCTCTGGCGTGGACAAGCAGCATACATAAGGACCGCAGATTCCTACTCATATTTCCGCTCTTTTCTGTACCACCGCTGTCTATCACTTAACAATTGCTCTGGTTAGCAACACTGCTGTGCAGTTCACTCTTTCACTGCTCGCCACATCAGTCTCTACCAACAAAGTTTCAACTTTACCTCGACTTTTCGACAGTCCTTGAAAACTTCAAGAAAACACCCCAGTCATCAAAATGAAGAACTCTGTTTATGCTACTGCCGCCCTGGTGGCCGCTGCTGCTGCCGACTCTGTTGGAAGTGCCATTGTTGTCAACAAGTGCAGCTACGATGTCACCCTTGCCAACGTCCCTTCTGCCGATGGTGGTTACTCTGAGGTTGACAAGATCCTGTCTCCTTCTGACACCTACACCCAGCAGTGGACTGCCCTCACCAACGGCAATGGCTGGTCTATCAAGCTCTCCAACAGCTCTTCCCTCGAGAACATTCTCCAGTACGAGTACACTTACCAAAACGACGGAACTATCTGGTACGACCTGAGCGAGGTCAACGGCAACCCCTGGGACGGAAACTGGGAGATCACCGCCAACTCTGCTTCCTGCACTCCCAAGCAGCAGGCTTATCGCTACGCCACTGATGATGCCTACGGCATGCAGGCTTGCCCCGCTGACGCTGTTATCACTGTCACTCTCTGCTCTGGCGATGACGACAACGACAGCGCTGCTTCGTCTGCATCTTCTTCCGTCGCAGTCGCGTCCACCTCCAGCCACTCCACCTTCTCGACCACTGTTCCTGCTCCCAGCACTGTCGGCGCTTCCGCCACCACTCTCCAGACCTCTGTGATCACCCAGGCTGCCAGCACTTCTGACAACGACGCTGTTGTCACCGTTACCCAGACCGCTTACACCACCTACTGGGACGGCCACCACTGGGGCCGCCCTGGCAAGCGCGATGGCCACCAGCACCGTCGCCACCCTCACGGCAACTAGAGGAGCAATGCTCTGAACGAGTACCCTGGATGTTGACATTCGGGTGCTCGTATGCCACGATGTTTGATTTGGATCTGATTTTACGACAATCTTCTTCTTTCGATCGTGTGGGACGTTGAGCACAAGCCTCACGCCTCACGTGATCGCCCTCTTTCTTTGATCTTCTGAATGAACATTCNTTCGGTGGTTGTGAGATGCATCTCGATGCTCTCGCGGTTTGGCGATTCTTCTTCATNTTCACGCGCTGGGTTCTTTCGAGAGCCATCGGCTGGTTNGGGTTCTTTTTCGTTTCTGTGCTTCCCTTTGCGAAGGTGAACACCGGTTTTTGGCGCTGATGGTCGTTGGGATACAAAAGATTGGGGCTACCACATGGACAGAATGTTACGACGAGTCACGGCTGTCTGAGTGGCTGGTCGGCATGTACGAGTTGCCAATCCAGACAAGAACGAATTTCCTTTTCATGTAGCTTCTACGACGACCAAAAGATGCCATCTGGGATCTTTTAGGATTCACGACTTTTCTTCTTGATATATCAAATTCACATCGAGACATCAGATCTCACTCATCTGCACTCCTTGCCAGTTGTTCCATTCTCAAAACCTTTTCCATTGTTTACTTGCTTACGACTTTTTCCCAGACACAAACAGACGATCATCGTGTACCAAGCTGTCACTTCCATTGAGGATCAGCAGGCACCAGCCAAAATGGCCATAGCAGCTGTTTAGGGTGGATCTCGGCTTTCGCTACCACTTTCGCATTATTCGTCATCCATGACGCGAGGCTGGGTGGAGTTGCACCGTTCCACGTGAGAGCACGGAACCCTCTGCAGCTCTTACATCCCCGTCGCATCCTTCGAGTCTTGTCGCCGCGGGCACACGATCATCGTCGACCACCACCGCACACGCCGAACCATCTCGTCAGCGGCGGCAGAAAGCAATATATCAATAATACGAGGTCCTCAACAAAATTTGACGAGGCAGCAAGACCTGCTGCTGCTGTCAGATTCGCCTTAAGGTGACGCATTGCCGCCGGCAGTTGACGACTTGGTCAACTGCGCTCCTTGCGGCCCTACGCAGTTATCAATAAACAACAAATTGCTGCAACTTTCGGACCTTTCGTCATGCAGCAAGTGCTTTCCTTAGACAATGGTCACTCAAGCTGTCATGACAAGCAAAAATAGCACCAGCAGCTTTGATGCGCTGTGTCAAAGTCTTTCCATGCGATTAAGGCGCTACTCGGACGTGGCAGATGCACAGCAAGATGCCAGCTGTCGCTGAACAGGTGTCCATTTCTTGAGTTCAACGTTCAGAAGTCTTTTGGGCCCGTTCTGTGCTTCCTAGAGCTCGTATCTGACTCATGTTGGCAGAGTGTGCTTACGACGACTGCGTTTCTCACCGCATTGTCGCGTGTCGTTGCTATCATGTCCTATGGCAAGTCTGAAGAGTACCTAGGCTGGCTTGAATCTAGACCTCGTAAAATTCCTGCGGCGCTTCGAGTGCCAATGGGAAGTTGTCGAAAGACGGTGCAGGTAAGCCAAGACAGACATTTTCCGTGGTTTCAGACATGAAAATATCGCTTCGTTACTTGACTAGAGTCAGAAACTCTCGCTATTGACCTGCCACACACATGGAGAAGATCCAATTGCATGCAAATGCTGCACTGGATACACTGCTTGTTGAATTGTTGCTTCATACGGCCAAGATCATGAATCGAATGAATATTATATCGAGACACATAGGCATGATCAAGGCACAAGTTTGGGATATGCTAGGATTTCGGCTACAGGTTTCGATTGATGCGTAGTTTGTTATCAGCTCGCAAAACTCTTGAGACTTGTTTGCTATTGTCTAGAGCAAATGGATAGTCTGCATTCGTCTCAACAACGCATACGGCTATACTGCATCTCATGGCTGGTCATCGCTTCTTGAAAAACCATTTTACAGGTGTACAAAACCATCGCAGCTCTGCGGGATCACTAGACCGCTGGTCGAATCCCACTTTCTAAGTGGCGCTTAGGGCGTACTTGGCAGTCAGCAATGCCTCAGAAATATATTGCCTTGCATGGCTACCACATGCACTATCCTCTTTCCCATACCCTCAGGGAGCGACAAACCATGGTATACCGACCTAGCGAATACCGTGAGGTGCCACCTGTGGACCTGCTTTCCTGGATCTTCGAAGATAACGGCGTGGATCCTGACGAAGATGTATGCTGTCATCTTATTCGGTTCAAAAAGCATCAAGCTTATTTCGTACAGATTCTGATTGATGCTGCCAATCCCGGAAACCGGTTCAACTCTCGACAGGCAGTCTCACTGATACGTAGACTCATTGCTGGTCTCAGAGCGGCTGGCTTAGTACCTGGAGATACTGTCTGCGTGCATGCATTCAATTCTGTCAGTTTGTCAAAGGGCAACTTGGGGATCCCACTGAGCTGTTGCTAGACTCTTTATCCACTACTCTATTTTGGTACAATCGGTGCGGGTGGTGTGTTTCTTGGATCTAACCCTGCTTACAAATGTCTGGAGATGAGCCATTTGTTGTCACTCACAGAGCCCAGATTTCTCATCACGGAGGCTGGTTTGCTGACAAATGTGTTGCCTGCTGTTGAAACGTTTGTACCTGCCGCACGAATACTCGTCCTCGACATCGAATCTCAAGAATGCAGTCATGGTGGGTTCGAATCCTGGAGAAACTTGCTTCGACACGGCGAGCATGATTGGATTCGGATCAACGATGAAACGACAGCCAAAACGACAATCGCCGCACTGCAGCCAACAAGTGGTACATCAGGCTTGCCAAAGGTAGCAACCACCTCACATCATGCTTTGGTGGCCGCAGGAGTCGCCATGCGATGTTTAGACCAGAAGCCTTACAAAGTTTCAAGACTCATCTCCTTGCCTTTGTTTCATTCTTTTGGTGCATCGTTTGTGCAACTATCTGCTTTCCACTATGGCGAACCTACCTATATCATGCGCAGATTCAATGCTGAGGCCTACGTTCATGTGTTGGACAAACTCATAATCACCGAGACTGCTGTTGTACCTGCCATGATGGCAAGCATTATCGACCAGCGAATAACCCCGGACGTGCTGAAAGGTCTGAGACGGATATGGTGCGCTGGGTCATTGTTGTCTTCGAGGTTGAGCAAGGCCATGTATGAGCTTTTGCATGAAGACGCTATGATCTTCCAGGTTTGGGGCATGACGGAGTTTGGCCGCATCACATCATCTGAATGGCTTGAGAAAGATGACAATGGTAGCGTTGGTAAGCTGCTGCCGAACACAGAAGCAAGGTATGTTGTATCTTGTAGTGGAGTGAATTCAGCCACTAATGACTTCCTNAGAGTGGTGGACAAGCAAGGCTTCGAAGTTCTTGACGAGGGCTTCGAAGGCGAGGTCGAGGTCCGCGGACCCTCGATGATGAGTGGATATTCGAGGTACCCGTTCGGTACTATCGAGGCCTTCCATGATGGCTGGCTCAAGACTGGCGACTTCGGATATGTAAGGTCCAACAAGGTCTACATCAAAGGCCGAATCAAGGTAAATATTCGCTGGCCCTAGAAGTTTTCATGATAGCTGACAACTACCAGNGAACTCATCAAAGTGCGTGGGTGGCAAGTCTCGCCCAATGAGATCGAGGATGTCCTTTTAATGCATCCATCAATAGTTGATACTGCCGTGATTGGCGTCAGGCGGGTTGGCACAGACTCTGAAGACGAGCTTCCTCGTGCGTATGTCGTGACCAGCAAGAAAGACTCTATCAGAATAGACGAGCTGGAGGTAATGAAATTTGTCCAAAATCGGCTATCCAGCTTCAAGGCGCTGGAAGGCGGAGTGAAGTTTGTGGACTCGATCCCAAGAAGTCACAGCGGAAAGATCATGCGACACGAATTGAGGGAAAGAGCAATGTCGACAATTGCTACAAGCCAGCACGAGGCAGAGAAACAGATGCGATGATCCTCTTGGCAAGCGTCTGCCTCGAACAAGATACTGCATCGCCCGCACACCGGTGCGGAAGAATGCTGTCAGCATTGATCGAAGACAAGCCACAATAAGGCAGGCTCCGAAACTTCGTACCAGGAAGCCACCATCCGGGTACTCTTCACGTGAACTCTGCACGACAACTCATAATCTACTACAGATGCTGAGAAATCACGAGTGCCAGAGCATATAATCGATCAGATAGTCAAGTACAACAGCCTAGGTGATGGTCACAAGACAAAGTGCATGCCGCTCTCAGAGCGCGCTGTGCACAGGCCAACACCGAATTGGCACGCGACGGACCTTGCTGCTACTGCAGCCTTCATCCTTCGAGAGCAAAGGGAGGTTTTTTTTCTCAAATTGCATCTGCCATTCGACGGTCAGATTTGGGTGTGTCAGCACAGATAAGCGAGAGCTACGAAATTCGATTGCTGCGCACAAGGCCACGATGGTACCCAACATGTTGTCAGACACGAAGCCCGAATATATACTGCTTATCTTCCACAAAAGTTTGTGGATCGGATGAAGAACGGAACCGCCCCAGACAGGCTACCAGGGGGTAGCCATGAGCCTATTGCGATCATCGGAATGGGTAAGATTGCCGGACCCTGTGCTGAACCCAGCGAGTAACGTGGAGAAAAGGCTGTCGATTGCCTGGAGAATCATACTCGCCGCCCGAACTCTGGGACAACTTGCTGAGAGATGGAAAATCCGCATGGTCAGAATTGCCCAAAAACCGGTTCAATCTGGATGCTTGGTACCACCCCAGCAGCAGCAGACCAGGCAGTGTACATACTCGTGGAGGATACTTCCTAAGCCACGATGAACATCTGCGCCAATTCGATACTTCCTTCTTCGGGATCTCACCTCTCGAAGCCTCTGCAATGGATCCACAACAGCGCAAACTACTCGAAGTCGTATATGAGAGCTTTGAGAATGCTGGTGCTACCCTCAAAGAGCTTTCGGGTTCTAAGACATCATGCTTCGTCGGTTGTTTCACTAATGACATGCGTTCTATGGTTTACAGAGACCCCGAATATGGAGCACCTTACGAGATGACCGGCAGCGATATGACTATATTAAGTAACAGGATCAACTACGTTTTCGATCTTAAAGGACCGAGCATGACGGTCGACACTGCATGTTCATCTTCGTTATACGCTCTTCACCTTGCCTGCCAGAGTCTTATCTCAGGAGAATCAGATGGCGCAGTCGTCGGGGGCTCGAATATCATAAATGATATTGGGCAGCACATCGCTAGTGTACGGCTTGGAGTTCTGTCTCCAACATCGACTTGCCACACTTTTGACGAGCGTGCGGATGGGTTTGGCCGAGGCGAAGGCGTATGTGCCATCTACATTAAAACACTCTCAGCCGCCATAGCGAACAATGATCCAATACGCGCAGTAATCCGAGCCACGGCTGTGAACAGTAACGGAAAAGGTCAGGGTATTAATCACCCTAGCTCAGAGGATCAAGAAACCGTCATTCGCGATGCATATGCCAAAGCAAATCTGAGACCCGAGGACACGGGTTGCTTTGAGTGTCACGGTACCGGGACCCCAGTTGGCGATCCAATCGAAGTACTAGCGGCTGGAAATGTTTTCGCTTCTGGTCGCACACCTGATAATCACCTTCTCCTCAGTTCCATCAAGACCAACATAGGACATACCGAAGGCGCAAGCGGTCTTGCAAGCGTCATTAAAGCAGTATTGAGCATCGAAAACAGTCTCATACCGGCAACAGTTGGAGTGGAAAGGCTCAATCCAGCTATCGATTTCAGGGATGGACGTCTTAAGGTTGTCAGAGCCACAATACCATGGCCAGGAAAGTTGGTCAAACGTGTGAGCATCAACTCTTTTGGTTATGGAGGTTCGAACGCACACTGCATTGTTGAATGTCCTCGCGTACTTCTGGGTCTTAAGGACGGTCGCGCGATATCGCAGACCAGCTCAAATGTGGTTCTTGACACTGTGAATGCATGCGAGATGGCTGGTAACACTACCTTTCAAGTACAGCGAACTCCTCAAAAGTATCTGTTCGCATTTTCAGCTCATGATCAGCACTCCCTTGACAGAAATATCGACGCACTGTCAGTCGTAGCTGACAAGTACCTTGCAGTAGATGTCGCCTACACCCTGGCTCGGAAAAGGTCAAAACATCGTTGCACAGCGTTTACGACCGCAACTGAATCAGACATCAAATCACAGCTTATCCCACAGAGAGTACAACGTCCTTCTGTGATGGTTTCTGGACCTCTGGTCATAGCATTCGTCTTTACTGGACAAGGTGCCCAGTGGCCAGGTATGGGTTATGGATTGGTTCAACAGTATCCGATCGTACGCGAAACCATGTCGACTCTCCAGTCTGCATTGGACGCACTTCCCATGCCGCCTGACTGGGGACTAGTTGAAGAACTTTCCAAGCCAGCTGGACACAGTCGTATGCACGAGACAGCCCTTGTCCAGCCTCTGAGTACAGCGTTGCAAATTGCTATGACAGTGCTGCTTCAGTCTTGGGGCATACGTGCCAAAGCTGTCGTCGGGCACAGTTCCGGCGAAGTAGCAGCAGCATTCGCAGCAGGGTTGCTTACAGCTTCCGAAGCCATCTCAATTGCTTATTATCGTGGCATAGCGGTCAGCAAGCATGGTAAGCCAGGAGCAATGATGGCTGTTGGACTTGGTCCAGGAGAAGTCTTGCCTTATATTAACGATCAGCCTGGTATTGTCATTGCCTGTCGAAACTCTCCACAGAGCGTAACTCTTAGTGGTGAAGCAGCTGCGATTGATATAGTTCACGAACGTCTTTCTAAGGCCGGGGTCTTCTCACGTATCCTGAATACTTCACAGAACGCTTATCATTCGCACCTTGTCAAAGAAGCAGGCCAGTATTATGAAGACTCGTTCAAGTCTTTACTCGTGGCTTCTAAGTCGGTGGTGGAGACATCCAACATCCCGATGTACTCATGCATCAATGGCAAGGTGCTCGATCGCCCAGATGATGTTCGTATTGCTTACTGGAGGGAGAATCTGGAGAACCCAGTGAATTTTACGCAAGCTTTGTCAGCTTTGATCGAGGCCCAACCTACTGTCAACTGTCTGATAGAAGTAGGAATGCATTGTGCGCTCGCTGGCCCAATCAAACAGATTCGATCTTCCCTAGGCATAAAGCCGGAACAACTTTGTTATCTGCCTAGCATCGTACGTGGTGAAGACAACGTTGAAAACGTCCTCAAACTTGCTGGAGAGCTCTGGGCTGCTGATTATCCAGTCGATCTGACAGCTATCAATGGACCTGGGTGCTTTGTACCGGAGTTTCCCACATACAAATGGAACTACGAGGAGGGTATTTTGTGGACAGAGAATAGGTTGAGCCGACAAGTACGATTCCGAAGACATGCACGCCATGATTTGCTAGGCACCATTGTTGTGCCATCCTCCGCGCTCAATTTAACATGGCGCAACAGGCTGAGAATCAAGGATGTGCCATGGCTTTCTGATCACCGCATCGGAACAGACGTGATCTTCCCAGCAGCTGGGTACTGTGCCCTGGCAATCGAAGCGGTGATACAATTCGCAGAATCTCTGGAGACAGTGGTTGAAGGTTTTACAATTCAGCATTTAGCCATCAAAGCACCTCTTGTCCTTCCATCAGATGGAGAGGCTGAGACTTGTTTCGACCTTCATACTGTCCATAGCTCAACCTCGCAAGCCGATCGAAAAATTTTCGAGTTCAGTCTGAGCTCAGTCAGCGCGGATGATAGATGGACCGAGCACGCTTTTGGAAAGATCTCTCTGCATCGATCGAATGAAGTGCCAAGCACTCAGAATGGAAGTGTCAAAGATATCTCATGGGCCAAGAACGTGGGAAAGAACGATGACGAATGGTACAGAGCGCTTTCCGAAATTGGACTGCGATATGGCCCCACCTTTCGTCCACTGAAGAACATCCAACCTGATGGAAAGGAAGCTGCGACTGCCCACATTAGTCTGCAACCGAGTCAAGGGACTATGATTGAGGAGTCCCGCTACGCGATTCATCCTGCAACTCTTGACGGCTGCATACAACTCTCAGTCATCGCAGCTTGCAAAGGCGATGTCAAAGGTATTTCGAAGGCATATCTGCCAACGAGTATTGAGAATTTGACGATCTGGCGAAACTCGGACTTGCATTGCCTGCCGACTCAAGGCCTTCTCTTAAGCAACGGCTCTTGCTATGGCATGCGTTCAGTCCGAGGATCGTCAGAGCTTACAACTCTGGAAGGACGACCCCTCGTGCAGATGACAGTGGCCCTACTGTCTTTAGAAGGAGATTTTGCCAACAGAAAAGTCGAACAAATTCGCGAACCATTCACAAGACTTATTTGGCAACCTGTCGCGGACGACATTGGAGTTCAAATTTCCCTCGACCCTTCACAATATATCGCTGATAATCCCGATGCACAAAAACCAAAGCTCTGGCTGGTCTACAAGACTTGTCCTCATCCTCTTCTCAATGCGATCGAGGCCTGTGCGAAAGACTTCGATATAGATACTGAAAGTGTCTCNTTTTCCGGGGTTGAAGCAAGAATCTCCAAAGGCTCTCGAATCCTGATGTTGGCTGAACTAGAGGATCCGATACTCATCAATATGACCATCGAAGAGATGGACGTGATAAAAACCATGTTCAGTCGAGCATCAACTATACTGTGGATTACTCCCGGAGGACTACTCAGAGGCAAGAAACCTGCATACTCGTTGCTTCCAGGCATAATAAAGTCCATCACGAAAGCGCGACCTTCTCTTCGACTATCGAGTATCGACCTCGACCCTGATGATATTGACATTATGGCCTCGGCCAGACATATCATTCTGCATGAGATGCGTCTTCACAAAGATGAGGACCACACCCTTGACGATCAACTCATCATTTCCGGTGGTGTCGTATATGCAAGTCGTTACGTACTTGACGAACACGCAAACCATGGATTTATGCGTCAGCTCAAGCCTAACCCACAGCTGTACCAGATCAAGGACAATCTGGAATTGGCTTTCAAGCAAGTGGGTCGTATCGAGAGCTTTTACTTCAGAGAGAAGTCTGTGGTCCCGGTTCTCGGATCTAACAAGGTCAAGATCAGACCGATCGCTTACGCTCTTGGCCAACGTGAGGCTGCGATACTCAAAGGCGCTCAGGTTGCGGATGACTTCAGCAATGTATTTGTTGCCGTAGTAGAACATTCTGGATCACAAGCCGGAGCGTTCAAAGCAGGCGATCGTGTCATCTGTTGCTCTCCGAGCAGGTTTGACAGCTCTTTAGTTGTGAGCGAGACCGCATGCGAATTGCTGCATCTTGGAGAAGACACTGGAGACATGATGATCTCACTGCTGCCTTATTGCACAGGTCTTCACGCACTCGGACATCTAGCTCAAGGACAAACTGTATTGATTCACAATTTACCGGAAGTTCTAGCGCTGGCTGCAGCACACTTGTCACAAGCACATGGGTTGACAGTCATCTTGACGTACGATTCCGAAACTGACATGGCAATATTCCAGCAAAGGTTCCCAGACATCAGTGCATACGCACAATGCATCACTAGCTCAGAAATAGCAACAAAGTTGTCGGCCTTAACAACCAATCAAGGAGTAAGCGTAGCTTTGGTCGGTCCCAAAAGTTCGGACATCTCAGAGATATGGCGATCTCTTGCAAGAGATGGCCGTCTCACGTACATTCTGGGGAGCTCGGAGGTGCCCAATCTCAGCTCCTTAGATCCTTCGGTATTCGCAAAGGGTGTCTCGATCACCTCTGTCGACGTATACGACATGCTTGCAACTCAGTCGGAGCAAATGCATACGCTTGTCTGTGCAGTACTGACCCTCTTGCGAGATGGCACGCTCCCGAAATTCCGCCCTAGCGCAACTTTTGATGTCTCGGAACTTCCAGCTGTAGTCGCTGCGATATCCCAGAGCAAAGCGATGACTGATGTTGTCGTTACTTACGACCGTCAGAGTGTTGTTCCGATTCATATACTCTACCAACAAGTTTCATTCAGCTCAGAGTACACATACCTACTTGTTGGATGTCTTGGTGGGTTGGGTCGAAGTCTTGTTAGATGGATGTTTTCGCGAGGCGCGAGGCGCTTCGTCTTTCTTTCGAGGTCAGGAGCAGACAAATCCGAAGCCGCACAATTCATCGATGAGTTGGTAGAGCTTGGAGCCACTCCAACTGTTGTTAGAGGCGATGTGAGCATTCGCTCAGACGTGGAAACCGCGATCAAGCAAGCAAAGACGCCGATCAGGNNGGGAGTGATGCAACTAGCAATGGCACTGACAGCAAGTATTTCGTTATCTACTGTCCGTACAACTGCTGACAATCTACACAGNAGCAATCTATTCGAGAACATGACCATAGAAGATTGGCACAAAGTATTGGCTCCCAAATTTCAAGGCACGATAAACTTACACGAAGCATTGCTGCAAGAACCGCTAGACTTCTTCGTCATGACAAGCTCGACACTAGGAGTTGCGGGCGCCTCTACTCAGAGTAATTACGCTGCTGCAAATGCATTCTTGGACTCTATGGCACGACACCGCTGGAGTCTAGGTCTAGAAGCATGTTCCATTGCTCTCGGCATGATCGTCGGCATCGGACACGTAGAAGCCCATCCCGAAGTCAAAGAAGCCTTTGAGCAAAGAAACGTGTACGGGATCCCTGAAGACGACTTCCTGAGAATGATGGAGATGGCGTGTAGACCTCGGGGCAGCATCACACCTGCATCTGAACATGATCCTTTGAGTGTTGCGCATATGGTCGCGGGTATGGAACCAAGCAAGCTTGCAGCTTCTAGTGTTCTGCCATCATGGCTCACCGATCCTCGGTTTGAGAATATCGCTGCCGCTGTCACGAAATCTGGAAATCAAACTTCTACACATTCGACAATAAGCACAGCTTCGACGCTTCGCACGGCTCTAGCCACCAACGATGACGCCTCTGTCCGGCTAGCCCTCGAATCCCTGATCTTCACCCACTTCTCCAAACTCACCATGGTGAGCGTAGAGAAACTAACGTCTTCCTCAAACCGTCCCATGTCAGAATTTGGAATGGATAGTATGATAGTCGCAGAACTGAAAAGTTGGGCTTGGAGGGAGTTGAAGGTTGATGTGCCGTTCATGATGTTACTTGAAGGGGGCTTGACACTGAATGGGCTTGTGGATCTGCTGTGGAGTAGGATGGATTGGGGTGCTTGGAGGTAGGAGTAAGTGATGAGCGGATGGCTGAGAAAGTACGACGAGCAAAGAAACAGATGTGAGACTACACTGCGAGTATAAGAAAGTATACATTTGGACAATGAAGAGAAGCATCAACAAACAATTGGACAAGAAATGATCGATCTGTTTTGGCAAGAATTAAGGGAAAAAACGACTTTGAACGAGACTTCCTGAATAAGACCTCTCGGATTGCGAAAATAGTAGAAAATTGAACACGTAAGAATTTCTTTCATTGCCTACTAAGCTACACAACAGATCAAAAACACCGTCCCATGTAGTAAACAACTTTTGCGCATCGAATGCTTTTCTTTACACAACATCGAACAAGCCCTTGAGGTGCTTGGCGATAAGGTTCCACTCCTCCTTGGTGACCTCATCACGGTAGAACTCCTTGAGCGTATCGATGGAAGCTCTGCTGATGTGTGAGTAAAGCACCATCTTGTCTTCGAGTTGACGGCCATAGGTAGGTTGGTTGCTGCCTTCGATCTTGACAGCGACGGCAGGTTGTCCCTNTTTGCACAGGGGGATTTGCTTGTGCTCGCGCTCGATGGAGGTGACGCGACCCATGGGGATGACTTCCTTTGCGCCGGTGACTGGGTTGATCTTGACGGCGGCGATGGGGGTGTTTACGCGCAGAGCACCGTCTGCGACGTCGACACCAACAACGATGGGGTTGGTCTTGTTGAAGACTTGGATGGGGTTGAGCACGCAAGGGAAGACGGCCAACATCTTGGATTCTTCCTTCTTTTGTGCGGCAATCTCGGCCATGTGCTTTGTGAACTGGTCGAACAGGTGGTAAATGATGTCTGCGGTGAAGATCTTGACGCCAACCTCGTCGGCGTAGGCTTGGGCTTCCTTGTCGACCTTGACGTCGAAACAGAGCATGACGGCGTATTGCTTGTGCTTCTCCAACATGGTTGATGCTGTGATGACATCTCTTCTGTGAACGTTACCGATCGAAATCGAACCAACGGGAATCTTCATCTGCTTCAAGAACTCGAGCAGAGCCTCGAGCGAACCAAGAGTTGATGCTTGGACAGTGACACCACGTCCAGATGTGGAGATCTTGCTGAGCAGGTTCTCGAGATCGGACATGACATCGTCCATGAGCTCCTCCTCATCGTCATCCTCCTTGACCAAGAGCAGACGAGAACCAGCGATGGCGTTCTCGAGACCGTTGGCAGTAATCTTGACACCCAATGCAGCCTTGACTTCCTTGTTGTGAACGTATGCAGACTTGACACGCAACTCCTTCATCTCAGCAGGTGTGAGCAAAGCTCTGATGTTGGTGGCTATAGGTCCTTCTGTACCGCACAACACGATGCGATCACCCTCCTTCAGACGACCGTTGGTGAGGACAACATCAATGGTGGTACCGAGACCCTCGATGACCTTGACTTCCAGAACGGTACACTCGACCTCAGTGATGTACATGAGCTGGCCAGCCATTCTCTCCTGAGTGAGCTGGGTAATGAGCTTAAGCATGTCAGGGATACCCTCACCAGTGTGAGCGGAAGTGGGGACGAGAGAGACGTTACGGGCCATCGACTTGTTCTCGTAGAAGACCTCGGAGTTGAAACCTTGCTCGGCGAAGGCGATCTTGGTCTTCTCGAGTCTGTCGGCGAACTCGTTCTGGACACCCTTGTTCTGCATGGCAAGCGACTCACGGAAACCGTTGTTGGCGATTTGCTTCCAGCCGTAGAGACGATCGATCTTGTTGAGGGCGACAATGAAAGGAGTCTTGCGGTCTCTGAGCAGTCTCATGGACTCGAGAGTTTGAGGCTCGAGACCGTGCATAATATCGACGACCAAAATGGCGATGTTACAGAGCGAAGAACCACGGGAACGGAGGTTAGTGAAAGACTCGTGACCAGGGGTATCGATGATCAAAAGACCAGGAATCTTGAACTTGAAAGCGCCATCGCTGTTCACGACAGCAGTCTTCTTCTCCAGCGCCTCAACGGGGAAGTAAGTGGCACCGATTTGCTGGGTGATACCACCGGCTTCACCCTCCTGAACGTTAGTTTGACGAATCTTGTCCAGAAGCTTGGTCTTTCCGGTATCGACGTGACCAAGAATACAGCAAATGGGCGAACGCAGGTTGTCCTTGGAAGCAGCAGCTCTAGCATCTGCAATAGTCTTTTGACGTCTCTCAGCAGCCTCACGCTTGCGTTGGGCAAGGGCACGGGCGGTTGCGCTCTCTTCGTCGGAAGACGAGTCTGAGTCGGAATCAGAGTCGGAGTCAGAATCAGAGTCTGAGTCGGATTCCTCCTTGATGTTGGCCTTCTTGCCAGCTGCACCGTCCTGAACGGGCTTGCCGTTGACAACAGGCTTGACAGTCTTAGGAGCATCCTCATCTTCGCTTGACTCGGCGTCCCAGCTATCCTTGACACCTTCGTTCTCCATCTTCTCAGCCTCAGCCTCCCAGTCCTCGAGCTCGTCAGATTCTTCGGCCTTCTTCTCCAAAGCATCAGCCTTGGCCTTCTCGGCTGCCTCTTCGGCTGCCTTCTTTTGCTCCTCGGCGATGCGCAATTCCTCGAGCTTCTTGCGAGCGGCCTCCTCCTCAGCCTTTGCGGCCTCGGCAGCAGCACGCTCTTCAGCGGCCTTGCGAGGGTTCTTCTTTCTGCGGTCCTTCTCCTTCTGTGCCTTCTTAGCGTCGTCCGCATCGCCGGAAATACCAGCAACAATGGCACCACTCTCAAGCATCTGCTGGAGACGAGCTTGTTGGCGAGCCTCGGCCTCCTTCTGAGCCTTTGTCTTGTACTTGCCCTCCTTCTTGAGCTGCTCGATCTTTTCCTTCTCCTTTTGCTTCTTGAGAGCCTTGGCCTCTTCTCTAGCCTTTGCTTCCTCAGCAGCCATCTTCTCCTCTTCCTCAGCTCGGGCGCGCTCCTCGGCCTCGAGGCGAGCGGCCTCTTCCTCTCTGGCCTTCAACTCGGCCTGTTGTCTTTGTAGAGCGGCAAGGGCGGGATTGAGCTTCTTCTTCTGCCACCAGTGGCAGGCTCTGGAGCTGGCGCTACGGGTTCGGCAGCGCTCGGCGAAGGAGTATCTCTGATGGGTTGGGGCTTGGGTGCAGCAGGTGCAGCACCGCCTGCCTTCTTCTTGGCTGCAGCCTATTTGGTGAAATAGCANGTTAGCTTCTGTGTGTCCATAGGATAGCATAACGCAGCTCACCTGTTCCTTCTTTCTCTGCTTCTCGCGCTCCTTCTTCAGCTTCTCCTTCTCCTTCTTGGTCAGAACGCGACCGCTGCCGTCGTTCTCGTCATCGTCGTCGTCCTCCTGTGCGGGCTCAGGTTGCTGCTTGCCGCCCTTTCCACCTTTTCCTTTCTTAGCGGGTTCGGGGTAGAGGTCCTCGTCGTCCATGGTGCCCTCCTCGGGAGCCTTGGCGGAGAGGTCGACGGGAGGAGTAGATGTGCCATCTTCGGCAGCGGTAGGATCTTCACCAAGCTCGGCTTCCCAGTCGTTGTCCTGTTGCTTGCCCTTCTTGCCCTTCTTGTTCTGTCTGCGCTTGAGAGCGGCCATCAAACCACCAGCGGGAGCAGCGTCTTCCTCAGCATCCTTGGCAGCTTCCTGGGCCTTTGCCTCTTGCTCGGCCTGAGCTATGGGGTCGACGGTCTCGCCGAGTTCGGCCTCCCAGTCGTCCTGCTGGGCCTTCTTGTTTCCCTTCTTCTTGGGCGCCATTTTGTCGTGTCGGTGGGGTGTGACTCGAGAGGTTGTGTGGCGGCAGAGTGTTAAGATATGGGCAGTCGCACGGTCAGTAAAGTCGTGTGACTGGTGGTAGCATGTGACGGCGAAGGGTCAGATCAGTTGGCGCACGTCGAGGTGGGTGTGCGAGACTGAAGAGAGCGATGCGAACAAGAGGCAAAGCCTAAATCCGACTGACGCATCTTTCATTTTTCTGCCCACAATCGAGCTTGTCCCGCTCGCCCATGCCACCACACTCGCGAGAACAAAGCCGACCACTGCGTTTCAAGTAGATTGATCAACATGTTATTGTCTCATCGTCTAGACGTCGGAATATACACTATTTTACGTGCTTTTGTGGGAGAGATATACACAACTAGTGCTCATCGTCCGAATCCAAACCAGCCCTTCTTCTTTTCTTCCTTGGGCTTCTCTTCGGCTATCACGTTGCTTACCGCTGCCTTTGCTTCCACCACTTGCTTGCCCATCGTCGGGTAATCGATGTAATTCCAAGCCACATCGAAGAACAATGGTTTTACAGGAATTGGTTCAATCTTAGGAGGATATGTGACCAGGTTCTTGAGGTTGACATTGACGCCCGGTGTGGGGAAGTCGCTGAGACGCTGGACAAGAGGGGCAGCAGTCGACATGTGCTTGGCCGCCGCGATGGATGCATTGTCATGGAACTTGTGCAGATCAACCAGTGCCTGATGTCTGTACACTAGTTGCTGAAGTTGGCTTTGGAGCGCATCAGCTTGAGACTTGTGGATGTCAAGAGTAGGTGCAGAGTTTGCGTCGGATGAAGTAGACGGTAATGAGCTCGAGCATTGCTGTGAGAGCTCGAGTGCGCGGGCGAGCAGAGCGAGAGCCTTCACATGCTCAGACAAAAGAGCATGTGAGATTGCAATGTTGAGGCACCTCAGAGCCTGGAAGTAGGCACGTTTGCCGTCCACTTCGCGCACAAAGCTCTCGTCTCTCATGGCACCTCTCAACTCCTTGATCGAGTCAATGCTTTGGATGGTCGAATCATAAAGCACCACTCTTTCGCGCAGACGAGCAAGCTGGCTTCCCCTGGGCTCTGATTTGTGTTGGTCACGAGCGCGTTTGCTGGACTTGGCCTTCTTTTCCTCAAACAGTCTACCATCTTCAGATCCGATGAGAACACGGTTCCTGCCAACACGCCAGCTCACAAGGGCGTAGTTGACAGCAAGACTGGTGACGCGCAAATCTTGCATTCTGTTGTCGCCCTCGTCTACCTTCTCTTNTTCCAGCTCCTCGATGGCTCTTCTAGTGGCATCTGCGGCATCCTGGCTAGCAATAAGAACATTGTCGTAGGCACCGGCGCGGTCTCTACTTGGAGCAGAGGGATTCGATTTGAGGTATGAGCTTAGTTCGGGTTCGGCGGATGCAACAGCAGCAAGAGCTTGGCCAATCGAGGCATCTACAATGTTGGCAGTCATGGATCGCCAGTTGACTGTGTTGGGAATGTTGGTTGTGCCCAAGTTCTGGGNGAGCTAGAGCGGTTCGTTAGTAACTTCAGTGTGCAAGACTACAGATTTCCTTGACGTACTGGTTTCGGTAGTGGTCTCGCTGAGAGCATTAGAATCGAGTTGCTGCAACAGGTCGACCAGAGTAGAGTTATCCTTGGGGAAGTAGCGCAGAGCGACGGTGGAGACAGGGATCGAACGAGGAAGGCGAGCTTGATAGGCGGCATAACGGATGGCAGGGTCGACAGCGCTGGCGAGGATCTCGCGGAATAGGTCCTTGTTCCCTTGGGCGAACATGGTGGCATAGATAACACGGGCAGTAGAATATTCGCGCAAGCACAGGTCCCATCTTGAAGGGTTCTCGGTGTTGACGCGACCCTCTGACTGCTTCTCAAAGTGTTCGGCTCCGGAGAGAGAGGCTCGGTAGGCTTCAGCTTCGAGCAGATCCTGGGTGGTTGTTTNTGAAGCTTCTGGGTCTTTCAAGATGTCGGTTAGGTTCTGGGCGAGACGAGCGGCCTTGTGAAAGCGAGAGATGATGTGGGAACGAGTGGTTCCGGTGATGCCGTTTCCCTGGTTGTCTTCGGAGTGGATAGACTTGATGTGCATAGCATGGGCCCATGCGCGTTCGCAGCTGAGCAGCAAGAGTCGGGCAGNTTCTTTGTAGGGGTTAGCTGGAGGGTACATGGCGTGTAGAGGTAGGTAGGAGTACTGAGGGTTCTGGGCGACATCTTCGGCGGTCACAGTGGACTTGTTCGAGTACTTGTGGCCTTTGTTGGTAGAGCGGCCTAGACGCTTGCGCAGAGCGAGCAATTGTCGCGAGAGCTGCTTGCGGTATGCGTTGTAGTCGGCGATGAGCAGGGCAGCATCGCGGTTGCCCACGGTAAAGGCGGTGATGTCCATGCTGGCGTGTCGTGTGCCCGTCTGGTAGAGTACCTAGAAACAAATCGTGTCCAATTGGTGGGGTCTACCGATGGAAGGCTGGCTGCGGAGGTCAATCAGGGCGGGCTTGGCGATCTTTGTGTAGAGCTGTTGGCGGGAGACTTTTCGTCGACATCACCGAGACTGAACTACTGAGAAGTCGCCTTCGTTCGCCGCCTTCCCTCCACCGCGTGCTCTCCTCTTCTCTCGTCCTCGCTCGCCCTCGATCCTCCCTCTTCGCTCTGAGTCGCCGTCCTACCGTCTCAAATCTCTCCATATACAGTCGACTCGCATCGTCACGCCACAGCCACAGCAACAGCAACCCTCGTGCATCCTCCGGGTCCTGGCATGAACCATATTTCCTTCGGCTGCTTGTCGTAGCCCCGTCGCTTGTGCCTGTGCTTGTGCCACATATACAATTGTCGTGGCATGCTAGAGCGCACGTCGGCATGTCTCGACACTGGAGTTCGCTTCTCTTTGCGCCAGAAGAGTCTGTTCCCCAAAAGTCGCCGACTGCTCCACTCGTCCTTTTGGTCACCCAATGCTCCTGATGTCGATCACCTCTGCCTCTACTCCAGGCCTGCNGCCCCCGTCCCTGCCTCGTCCGACTCTTACGATGCTTCTCCGACCTTCCTCGACTTCCTCTATCCCGCTCCTACACAGGCTTTCATGACTCGCCTGTCTCAATCAGAAAAATGGTCTCGTAAAAACACCCGCCCCAACGTCTTACGAGGTTACTCTTCTTTGACTGCTCCGCACGACTCTTCGTCCTCCTCGACTCCTCCTTCCCGTGCTCACCAAGAACTTTTGGCCCTGCTGGAAGCACCTAGCCCTGAACAGTCTTTCCTCCTTTTGGACATCGAACGAGCTTGGAACCTTTTGTCACACATCCCTGATCTCTCTCCCGACCTGCTCTGTCGTGCCATCCATTGGTTTTCCAACTTAGACGAAAAGGCCGCCGCCCAACACGCTGTCGACCTCTTTGCCGACTTGCCTACCAGACACAAATCACCCGCCGTCTATGGGCATGTTATTCGCTCACACCTCAGACTCGGTCGGCAGTCCATCGCTGTTGCCTTGCACGAAGAAGCTTCTGCACTTCCAAGAGCAGGCTCCATTGCTTCTGACCATCTTATGGCCGTCGCAGTCTCCCAGTCCGACTGGCCTCTGGCTGTAAAGATTCTTAAAGAGTGGGAAGCATACAGTGCCGCGGTCTGTACAGGAGGTAATGGTTCTCTCTTCAACCAATTCCAACAGAATCTGCAGAGGACTTTGACTCAGATACACTACCTTCGTAAGCGGTGCTCTCGAACGGCACAGGACGAGACGAGGGACGAGTTCACGCAAGACTTACAACGTCTTTATGGTGCGCTAGTGCACCGCTATATTTCAGCCTCATCAAGATCACATGTCTTCCTGAGGCATGATTTTGCTGCTAAGCTTCTTCGTGGGTCTGTACGGAATCTTATCGAGAAGACTCGCGAAAACGGCCTGGCCACGGCTGAACTATACGAAAACATCCTTCTGGTATTAGTGAACGTGGAAGGCTGTGCTTTGAACAACGATTGCAGTGCGATTGTTGCCTCTACTTACTTGTTCTACCGCCAGTCCAAGTTCTTCAAGCCCTCAAAGAAGCTACTTCTGGAAATCACGAAATATTGGAGGGACCACAAGGTTGCTTTTGGTGGCCAAGGCCCTCATGTGAACTTCATCGGCAAAGAGAACATCCTGAGTGATTGGAAGGAATACCATCAGAAACCTAGTGATGAAGCCCTTTCAGTCATCATGGAAAGCTTTGCTCAACGCGGTTTTGTCAAAGCCGTCAAAGAACATGCAAATATCTACAAGTCTCTTCATGCAGAGGGCGACCTGAACGCCACTTTTCTTCGGCATCTTCTCACTGTGCATGCAGTCAACCTCAAGCCTAAACTTGCCGCTCAACAACTTCACAACATGCAAAGTGAGTATGGCGTTTCGCCAAATCTCCGCTGTTGGAACATCGTTCTAGATGCTTTCGCACGGGTCGACGATTTGCCACAAGCCACGAAGATCTTCCACGAGATAGTGGACGCTGGATTACAGCCTAATGAATACACATATGGTCCTCTGCTTACTGCATACGGCAAACAAGGAGACATCGATGGTGTAGTTGATCTCCTCAACTTTGCAAAATCGAATGGTGTGATGAGACCCACTACCAGCATGATGAATAGCATGATTCTTGCGCTGGCTCGTAGTTCCGAGATGGACAGTGCTCTCAAGGCTCTGGATCAAACTATTCAAGCTGTCCAGCAAGGCAAGGTGGATGGCTCCCTCACTCCCTGTTTCAACACTATGCTCACTGCTTTTGCGTGGAAACGCAATCTGAAGGCCACTATGGCAACCTATCGTCGCATGCAAGAGCTAAATGTTCCTCTCGACGAAAGATCATATGGAGCTCTCATGCTAGTCCTGTGTCTGTTTCGTCAATCACCTTCAGCACACAAGATTTTGAAGTCGGTCATGCCTGCACAAGGCGTACGACCTATGGCCTTTCACTATGCTGTTCTCACAAATGGCTACCTGGGCCAGGAGCTGTATTCGGAAGCAATCAAAGTCGAGACAGAAATGAAGGAGGCACGTGTGCGAGAGACGGCTAGCAGTCGAGCTGTTGCGACTAAGGCAAAGGCAGCCTACCAACATATCATCACACAAGATCAGACAAACGAGGACGGTCACTTGTCACCCTTAGAGGACGTGATCGAAGACTTCCAGAAGGTGCTGAATGATCCACGAACCCTCCGCCAAGGCATGCAGCCTCAATCAAGCGAACACAAAACCATGGACATAAGCTTCTTGATTTTCATTCATGGCAAGCGCAGGTCATTCGAAGCTGTTCAGCATCTGTTCCAGATGTTCCAATCGAAGCTTGCAGAAATCGACACTGATCATAGTCAAGCACCAATCGTGCTTTTGCTTACAAACCTCATGTTCGTACACACACAAGCTCAGGAATGGAGCGAGGTTGATAAATACTGGGATCTCATCAAGTCCAGGGTGGAGGAGATGCGTCTTTCGCATATTCCAGCATCTAAGTTGGTTCAGTCCGTTAAACATGGTCAGACTATTCGAACTTCAAGAGAAGCAGAGACCGGTCGGGTACCCGCATCATATCGCTTGGTGTTATCGGTACCCCTGCAGTACTACATCCGCTCTCAATTTGCACAGTCATCCATCAGGAAGCTGGTTCCCATGATTACGAAACTGCTTTCCCAAGGCTTCCGGTTCGCCAATAAGACATGGAACGAGCTCATCGTACAACTCTGCCAGACGAGTCCTCCGCGCGCATTACTTGCCTATACACTGGTCGAAAAGTACATGATGAAGGATTGGCCAGGTTGGATCTCGCATCGACATGGGTCTATACGCAAACCCGACACGGTCTATATCAAGAAGCAAGATTTCAAAGAAGGTCTTGAATACATCAATGCCCGATATATCAACAAGGATACACTCATTCCACAGTATCGCACAATGGTGCATCTGGCCAACGCATTGTTGGAAGTACGCGGTCTAACTAGCCGCGGTCTAGGTGAAGATCACCATGAGTCGGTCTCGGGCTTGCGCGAATTGAGGAAACAGGTTGGAACCATTCCTGAAATCCGAGAGAAGGCGCCCAGAACACTACACGCCATACAGAGCATGCCTAGGATTGTGGACGAGCTGCAAGGAAGCTTGCTCCGTGTACAATAAGGAGAGCGGCAAGGTCAGGTCAAGTCCTGGGAATGATGACATATGAACGATAGAGCTGCTTTTTTCAGGAGTTTGTTTGTGTTTTTGAATCGCATGGATAGCGCAGCGGTCTTGTATATTTTCCTGTAAGAACAATCTGTGTACATATAGGCATCTTTTGAGTCATAGAGTGCGAAGACGAGCAGCGTGCAAGCGCTCACGGCATGTAAAAACAATTGTATTGTAAATTCGAGTCAGGCAGTTGTTTTCTCCGCTCCCGGATTGTCTCATCGCGTGCAAATGCCTTGTTTTCTGTATGTACGCGCCGGTCATATCCGTGAACAAATCGTGATGCGATCAGCGCCACCAAGAGCTGACGTTGGCTCGATCTGGAGAACAAACACGAGAAATCCGGTTCAGCCCACCAAGCTTCTGTCGATCATTGCTGCATAGCGCAACGACACATCTTGAGGCTCAACTGTTTCATACAGCTTCCAGTCACGAGCAAATATCGAAACTGCCAGCTCTGAGTAGTGCCTCTGGAATGCAGCACTTCAGCACGATACATCGTAGAAGACTGCAGAAGCCCTGAAAATGTCACTCAGCAGCCGCACTGGCCCGTTTTCCACGACCCGCGTGGGTGCTGGTAAGCTATGAAACTTAATCCGGAGCTGGGCTCTTTCTTGAGGAGTCGAGCGACCGTCGACTGAGCAGACAACCAAACCACCGGGTTTTCGTCTCTCGACATCTCTCTGACAGTTGCGACTCTCACTGTGGTCTGGGAACGGCTTCGCGGTGGTATTATTGGCAGTCGCGCATTGCGAAGGCTGTGACGCTTGCACTTTCTGCCCTCAACCTCGCACCTTTGGGACAACACGCCATTGCCACAGGACACTCGAATCTCCCAAACCTGCATCTCAACTGCAGGAAGCGTGGAATATGCTCGTGGTTGCTAATAAAATCTAACACGCCCTGTATCACTTGACACACAGGTTCTCATGGACACGCGGACAATTCAAGGGGGCGAGGTGTATCGCCAATTGCAGCCGCAATGGAATCCCATCTTGATCGTGGCATCAATTGCCATTTCGTTTCTGGGAGCTTTTACTTCGACACAACTCATGTGCCATGCAAGGATGTCATTGCGATTTCACAGCGTATTGCTGTGGGTGCTNTTTGGCAGTTTTGTGTTTGGAGGCTGTTCCGTCTGGTGCCTTCACATGGTTGCAATGTTGGCGTGCGAATTTGATGTCAAGATGGGAGTCAATACCCCGCTTACGGTTTTGAGTGCCTTTCTTCCAGTCTTCTTCACATTTCTTGCTCTGGGCTGTGAGTTGCTCTGGGAGCGATGGCATTATGTCCGAGGAAGAAAAAAACGTAGGGGTAGAAAGACAAGACAGAAAACGACAACCTTGAGTCCTATGGGCAAGAACAGGAACATCAATAATCAGCAATTCTCGCTTCGTCCAGTGGCTGAAGAGGAGGAAGAAGGAGAGGAGGACGTTGAAGACTACCAGGATGAAGAAATTGCTCCTGACCAGCCATTACTATCAAGGCCTCGCCCATCACCAATTCGAAATCCGGAAAGTCAGAGCTGGAGCGGACCGAGGACAGACTTCTTCAGATCATCGCAAGATGGACCCGGAGCTTCATTCGATTCGAGTTTACTGCCGCCATCTCCAGGTATCGTCATGTCTCCCAAGATAATGCCACGCGACACCATTCGACCTATTATGGGAAGAAGTGCTTCAGGAAGAAGCATTCCGAGCTTGAGGATGGTAACAACGCAGAGTCTTCGTGACGACACTTCTACTGGCTTTCGTGATGATGCTTCTACGGTCAGTTCTGGATCCCCAGGCCCATCTTCTAGTGATGGATCTACTCTTCGCCGCGAATCGTCATCTGGTGGATCAAGTACAAGCCATGGTCTAAGCAGTGCGATGGGCCTTGCATACCGACGAGCTCCTGCAAGCACAATGAACGCCTTCGTGGCTACTGCGAAGATATTGTATTTCGGCATGACACCAAGGAACATTATCAAGGGATTTCTATGGTCGCTCGCAATTACGAGGTAGTAACTCCAGTGCCTCCGAACCTTGACGACATAGAAGTTGGCTAACTAGTACCTCATTAGTATGCACTATAGTGGAATCTACGGAATGAAGATCCCTCATGGAAAAGTCGTTCTGGATCCATGGATTGTTCTTGCGTCTGCCCTTATATCCTGGATTGTCTGCACAGTTGGTTGCATTTGTATGGCTGAGATGGAAGCCATGCTGTCTCAGCAACTACTCTTCTCAGTCGTTGCGACGACAGGCGTGGCGGCAATGCATTTTTGTGGAATGAGAGCTGCTACCTTCTGGTCTACATCTCCGCCATCAGAGCTTAGAGGATATCCACCAGTGATTGCAGCTGCAGTGGTCTTGATTGCCTTCACAACATGCATTGCTGCGAATGGTCTGCTAGCACACTCTGCAACCGTGTCTCGCAATAAGCTTGCTGAGATTATCTGGACGCGCCGAGAGCTGTGGAGAACAATTGCTCAGAAGGAGAATGCAGAAGCAGCTGCTCTGGCAAGAAGCGAGTTTATCGCAGCAGCCAGTCACGAGATCAGAACACCCTTGCATCATCTGCAAGGTTATAGCGATTTACTCTCACAAACACCGTTGACTGAGGAAGGCCGAGCTCATTTGGCTGCCATCCAGAGAGCGACTAAAACGTTATCTTTGATCACAAATAATGTGTTGGATTGGTCGAAGCTGGAGAAGGACGCCAAAGCAGTTTGCAAACCTGTCTCGCTGGATATTCGAACAGTCTGCGAGTCAATCATCATCTTGCTTCCTAACAAAGATGACGAGGCAGATGTTGAGCTTTGTGTCGTGGTCGCTCCAGATGTCCCAACTTCGGTTTTCCTGGACGAAACATACATCCATCGCATTTTGATGAACTTGCTCTCTAATGCATGCAAGTTCACGAGATCAGGCTACATCATACTTTCAATCGAAGTCAGTGGCGACAAGCTGATAGCATCAGTACGAGATACAGGTATTGGTCTTGATCCCACCTTTATACCTCAAATGTTCGAGCCGTACAAGCAAGGCGAGCAGAAGGGGAACCAACGAGGCACCGGTCTCGGTCTCAGCATCATTAAGCAACTTTTGCAAGCCATGAACGGCACCATTACTGTGGAATCCAAATTTGCCTATTCACATGATGTCGGACCGAACCAGAGCGGAAGCACATTCACTGTCACTATACCTTTGCAACCATCCTCTTTGCCACCACAACCATCAGATCAACCAGAGGAAAGACATGTCGCAATCCTTTCCGAGACGGACACCCGATCCTTGCAAGGAGTAAGGACAGCATGGGAAATGTTTGGTCATCAAGTCACAGTCGCAACCAGCATTTCCGAACTTCCCGANAAAGAGTGGAAATATATCTGGGCAGACATGCCTTTCCTTCTCAACAATAAAGATCAATTCCGTCGTCTCATGAAACGACAAGATTTGCTGGTCTTGGTACCTTATGACACGCAAAAGTCACTGTCAGACTTGCCTGGCATTGTATCTGCACCACATGTTGTACTCCTGCCACGTCCACTAGTCTGGCACTCCTTTGCCACAAGGGTCGACGCCGCAAACCGTCGCAGCCGCAGTGCAGCAGTCTCACGTACCTTGCGGTTTGCCCCAATAGTGGAGGTCATGCAAGACGTTGATCCCTCTACACTGCAACAACCCACTCAGCCCTCCGAAACAGCTGAGCAGGAAACCCGCCAACAACAACAAAACCAACAGAGAGCTCCCTCTTTCAGTGCCGGAGAAGAAGATCCGCGAAAATCAGGATCACCTGTTCAAGGACAACAACAATCACAGACGGTATTGCTGGTAGAAGACAATGTCATCAATGCCAAGCTCTTCCAGAAGATGCTGGTGTCGCTCAAACACAAAGTGATCCTCGCTCCTGATGGTGAAGCAGCTGTAGCACAGACACTCACCCACGACACCGCTATTGACATAATCTTCATGGTAAGCCGTCCCTTGTTCTTAATCTTCTTTCCCTCTGCCTTCTTACCTGTGTCCTTACCCCTTATTTCATGTCGCTGACTCTTCTTTTTANNGGACCAATCCATGCCCAAAAAAGACGGCATAACCGCCACACGAGAGATTCGCTCTCTCGAACAAGAAGGAAAGCTGCAACGAAAGCACCTCATCGTCGCATTAACAGCAGTTGTAAACACAGAGTCTAGAGCAAAGTTCAAAGAGGCAGGAGCAGATGATTTCCTGGCCAAGCCGTTAAGTTTGACGGGATTGAAAGACGCGCTTGCGGTTCACCTTGGGTGTTAAACATGAGTAGGATTATGTATGGTATCTTGATGGGTTTGGTGTGTGGGGAGGAGCAACAGGCCTCATCTGGGTTTGTGTATGAGTACAAAAATCTCTTACCGATTTCTCGTCACCAAAATTTAAAACAACGAATTGCCTCTTGTCTTCGCATCCAGTAAATATAACGTAGATCACGTATGAATAGTTGAGTAGATCTGTTATACCCACCCCTGGTTAATATATATCCCAAGCAAAGTGGTGTGAAATATACTTTACTATAATGATTTTAGAATGTGTGTCGTGAATGCGCTCAAAACGACTGAAGGTGCAATCACTGGTGTATATTCTCTAAGCTCTAATAGCGGTAATATAGATTACAAGTTTGCCGCCTTTGTACCCGTCCGATGTATTTAGATTTTTATATACAGACAGGGTCATACCACTTACAAATGAACTTGCCAAAAATCACAAAGAGCAAAAATCAAAAATATACCCTCTAGATTACAAAAGTCCCAAATGATTGAGTTTCGTCTCTCTTAGTAAAAATATATATTCCCTCGGTTATCTACTAAGACATATCATTCACAAGCCAACCACGAACCCGCCCTCCTCACATAACCCAACCTTCACATATGCCAAAGACAGTCACAATTTACAACTACCCCTTCTCCATACCAAGCTATAAAGATTATTATAAACCATCAAAATGCACAATCTTGACTCGAAAACAAGTCTAGCCAAGGAGATACCCTTCATCAAGGTCTCTCAGAAGAAACCGTAGTTTTCACGAAAATATTGTGCATGGAGACAGCTACGACTGTGACTGTTTTTTTTAGCATGTAGGGAGCAGAGATTGATACTCGAAGAAACGAATTCCGCTCTTCTATACAGCGTTGCAATTGCAAATCGTGGGCGATGAGTCTGCGAGGTTTATCTTCTCGAAGAAACCAATTATGCACTTCGATACGGCGTTAGAGATCGTGGAACTGCTAGTGGTCCTCTAGCACGTTGGGAGGATTTTCACAATACCGCAAAAGAAGGTCTAGCTAATTGGCCCTCTGCCGAGAGATTTCATCGACGTTGATGAGCAAAGCAGCGAAACCAATGGAAAGAACTCGGTGAGCAACTGTAGCATACTGTGACATTCTGTACAAACCTTCTAAACTCTGCCGGTTGAAGATGAAGTAAGAGTGAGCGTTCCAGATTTTCAGCTGTCGGTGACCCGTGACCTCGTTAAAGTATCTATTGCAGAGTCGAAGAGTGGCCAGTGTGGATGGTTATGATCGAACGACTCTCCCCCATCCTCGAGGTACAGCAGTATTATGAGCCGTCGAAATGCACAGTTACTTCCTAAACACGAGTCTGGCCATGGAGATAGCCTGTGATGATGTTCTTTTTTCCTCCTTTTTTTTTCTTCTCTTTGATTTTTTTTTCTTTTGGAAAACCACGAAAGTATTGTGTATTTCCATAGTTACAAAGTGACAGTTTTTAGCACACGTGAAGGCGTTACCAAGGCCAGTACACAACATTGGTTTGGAAAGAAAGTTTTATTTTCAATCTGTGTTACAAGACTGTCTCGACTAAGAATCTCAAAACGAAAAGAATGTGTGAGGAAAATGCAAAGGAAAGGCTGTAGCTGGTAGAGCTGTGTTTCAGCAAGCAAAGTCTGCGTTATCAAGTCGAAAGTGCTCAAGGATCCGCGTTGTTGTCGAACCTGCGAATGAGATTGACAAGTCCCTGCTGAACCTCAATCGCTGTATTCCATTCGTACTTGTCCTTCTTCAATTGGAGCCGTGTCCTTCGCCATACAAAGCTAAGATCATCGTCTTCGTAGTCGTACGAGATGGTGACGTTCTTGAACTTTATATGTGCAAGCATTGGTAACCCTCTCAAAGAATGTAGGAACCTGACCAACTCTCTGTAGTTATCCCGTCCCTCGACGATGAGCTCCACACCAGAAAATGTCAGCGATGTCAATTCTTGCACAAAAGACCGGAAGTCGTCGCGAGCCGTCCATGTGGCGACTTTGCAATCCTCTATCAGCAACGATGAGACGTTACCGAATGGGAATGTGTGCTGTATCTGGCGGCACCAATGGTCGAAATCATTTTCGGGGTGGGTAGCCTGCGTGTACGTTCCAGAGACGACCGAGCGCATCTCGAGTTGCAACCGGCTGTTGTTGAGGATAGGTACGACAGAGAGCTCGCTACAAGTCCTTCTCGAGGGCCTAGAGACGCGAAACTTGACAGGTGATCGGTAATATATGGGAAGAATTGGGTCCCAGAGGGGACAGTCGATGAGTCGCTGCGGTGTAGGCATAAACTGTCCCGGATGAGCATTGACGTAGGGATCCAGGGGATACGACATCTGGTCGAAAGCGATGATCTCCAGGGAGGCCATTCGGAAGTGGATTCTGTCGCGTGTTGCGTCGACGGCGCCGAGGAGGAGGTTTACGACACTGGGGGCAATGGAATACTACGGTGTGCCCGGATCGGTGCCCCAAGGACCATAGTGAGCATCGAAATGCAGACCCTTTTCGAAATGCCGGCCAGCTTCATCAGTATCATCGTAAACGAGCAAACGAATGAGATTTTCGTGCTGGGCAAGATTGTGGAAGGCTCGAACGATGAGCTCGAAAGGACGATTTGAACCGAGGAACAGTTGTTGCTCGTGTACGCGTCCTCGAAGATTGAGATAGCTCTGGCGGAATCCAGTCTTGGGCCGAAGGAGATCTTCGACGTTGACGAGCAAAGCAGCAAGACCAATGGAGCGAATTCGGCGAGCAGTTGTGGCATCTTCTGATATTCTGACCAGTTCTTCCAAACTCTGCTGCGTGAGGATGAAGCGAGGATGCAAATCCGAAGTATCGAAGCCCACAGCACGTCGGAGTTTAGCGAGAGTGCTGGGCGATAAGCGCCCTTGGAAAGGGTTAGAGGGTCCACCTGCCATAGCAGCAGATCTTGTCAAGATACAAAAGATATGAAGAATGGTTCTCTGATGTTGATGATTGTTAATCGATGAAGAATGGTTGTTGATGTATTGAAGATGGGTTCGTGTTCTTCAAGGCGTGAAGTAAACACAGGGATTGCGTTTGGGAAGTGACGATGCGGATTGCGACTGTCGAAATGCACAATTGCAATTCAAACGCGAGGCTGGCCATGGAGATAGCTATAAGTCTTGGCTCTCAGTGGACACTGTCCTGTTCCCTAATAACATGGTGCATTTCTACAACTACATTGTGAGAGACTCCAGCATACTGGGAGGTTGTGAACTGCTTCCAAGACTCTTTCATAGTATGCGATGGTGTTGGTGGTGAGTGTTCGGGAAGGGAGGTGGTTAAGAGGGTTGCCAGGCCGAGCACCGAGGCTTCTCCACAAAAGTGAATTGCCGAGGTGATGGGCGGCCAACTATTTACATGTGCCTGTCTGCCACCAACTTGTTCCAGAGCCATCATTCAAACTCAGTATACCAACTGAACTTCACATACACAGACATGGCAACCGAAAGACTAAGCTCAGTGCTCCGCCACATCACTCCCGGCAAGAGCCCTCTTGACACCATGTGAGTACCCATTGCCCCACCGTGAACTACCCCATGGAGACGACTGACAGTCGACGACAGCACACAAAAGAACCCCGATGATATTGTCATTACTCTCGCCATCCGCACTCCTCTGACCAAGGCAAACAAGGGAGGCTTCAAGGACACTCATCTCGATGGCCTCGTCTTCAAGCTGCTCGAGCAGGTCGTCCAAGTAAGCCAGCCCCCAGCTGCTATTACACGCCACAGTTGCTGACAGCAATCNCAGAAATCAAGACTCGACCCTCAGATGGTAGAGGATATCTGCCTGGGTAACGTCTCCGATGCCAAAGCCGCCTACTACGTCCGCGCCGCCTGTCTAGCTGCCGGCTTCCCCAACACCACCTCCGCATACTCGACCAACCGCTTCTGCAGCTCTGGTCTCAAGGCTACACAAGACATCGCCAATCAGATCATGGCTGGTTCCATCGAGATTGGTGTCGCCATCGGCGCTGAGTCCATGACAGACGGTGGTGACCGCCTCACCCGCCCCTTCGTCGACGAGATTGTCAACGCCAACCAAGATGCCGCCGACTGCTTGCAACCTATGGGTCAGACCTCCGAGAACGTTGGCAAGGACTTTGACATTTCCCGTCAAGAGCAGGACAAGTACGCAGCAGAGTCATACCGCCGTGCCGAGGTTGCCCAAAAGGCTGGCTGGTTCGACGACGAAATCGTCCCTATCACCGTCAAGGTCAAGGACCCCAAGACCGGCGAGGTCAAGGACGTCACATTGACCAAGGATGAGGGTCCTCGCTACGGCACCACCGCTGAAGCACTCGGCAAGATTCGTCCTGCCTTCCCTGACTACGGTAACCGCAGCACTGGCGGCAACAGCTCCCAAGTCACTGACGGTGCCGCCGCCGTCCTCCTCATGAAGCGTTCCAAGGCCCTTGAACTCGGCCAACCCATTGTTGCCAAGTTCGTCGGTGCCACCGTCGCTGGTCTTGCCCCTAGAATCATGGGTATCGGCCCATCAATCGCCATCCCCAAGTTGCTCACCAAGTACCAGCTTTCGCTCGACGACATTGATGTTATTGAGCTCAACGAGGCCTTTGCTTCCATGGCTGTATACTGCCGCGATACTCTCAAGGTTGACTGGAGCAAGATGAACATCCGTGGTGGTGCTATTGCTTTGGGACACCCTCTCGGTTGCACCGGTGCAAGACAGATTGTTACCGGTCTCAGCGAGTGCAGGAGGCAAAAGAAGAAGATTCTACTGACCAGTATGTGTATTGGTACTGGTATGGGCATGGCTGGTCTTTTCGTCAACGAGCAGTCGTAAATTTGCATCAAGTGTTCTGGCCGATTATTTAGTTATTATCATGAAAGCGTACGAAACCTTTTCCAAACACATAATCTCAGAGTGCAAGAGCATATCTCCAAGCACATATGATACTAAAGATTATTTATTGCTTGGGTACATGAACGTTGCAAAGTACCGTAGCATCTCCAGCTAGCATCGTGTGTTACAAGATCGCTGTAGAAATGCACAATGTTCTACGAAAAGTGGTGCTATCCACAGAGATCATGCTACTCCGGAGGCTCTCTCTGGCCACATTTGTTCTCAGTAAGACATTGTGTATTTTTATAGTACACTGAAACGTTAAATGCAATCATGGAGAAGGAATTGATCAAGTTCAAGTTCTGATTGCGCTTACATCCCTTTACCAAAAACATTTGCGGCTGGAGACTGCCTGCTTGACTTTCGAAGGAAAGAGGCTTGGACAACAGTGAAGGCGGGTCTCATAGGACGAGTGGAAATCATTCAAATACTTGCTATGCCCTTGCCAAACCAACCATAATCCCAATTCCATGAAACTGCAACTCCTCAAGCCTTGTACAAACAATCCAAGAACCCTGCTGCCAAGTCCTCTACCACACTCTTATCGGGCAGAGCACCGGCAACACCGTACAACGCAGCTGCATCTCCNNCCTTCTTGAGGGGTTTACTTTTGCCATCTATGGCAGCTTGTCGTTGCTTTTCTCTTTCCTCTTGCACGCAAGTTTCCAAGTCGTTGAGTAATTCGTCAATAACAGGTACAATAGGCAGAGTAACAGCAACATGAATGGCAGCAGGGCTTTGCAGAGCATTCAAATGCCAGCCTTTGCCACTCATGCCATCAGCAATGTTGTAGATATCCAAAGTATCAGAAGAGAAAGCTACAACACTGACAAGTGGTTTGCCTAGGATGTAAAGGTCGGAGCGAAGAGTATCGCGGCTGCGAAGACCTTCGGCGAGTTTCTTTGCTGCACCTACGATGCTGTGGCAAGAAGAGATATAGCCTTGCTCGCCTACACTCATCATACTCGCCCAACAACCTGCAATCAATGCGCCAGGACGAGACCCAGCCATGGAGGGAGAAGCATACACACCTCCACTCCAATCCGGACTGATAAAGTATTGGTACTTGCGCAGTGAAGAGTTGCGGTAGAGTAAAGTGCTGTTTCCCTTGGGGGCAAAGCCGTATTTGTGGGTATCGCAGGAGATGGAGGTCACGCCTTTGACGCGGAAGTCGAAGGGCTCGGTGGTGTAGCCTGCGCGTTCGAGGAAAGGAACAAGGAAGGAGCCGAGACAGCAATCGACATGGAGAGGGATGTTTCTGCGGAGAGCGAGGCGCGAGAGACCTGGGATGTCGTCGATGATGCCGTGAGGGAAGTTGGNGGCGCTGCCGACGAGGAGGACAGTGTTGCTGTTCAGAAGGCGAGAGACGTGTGATAGAGAAGCCTTGTAGGCAGGTGCTGGGCAAGGTACGTAGTGAACAGTGATGTTGANGTAGGCGGCTGCCTTGCGGAAGGCAGTGTGTGCTGTTTCGGGCAGGATGATTTCGGGCTTGGTGACACCACGCTCTATGCGAGCCTTTTCTCTGGCACTGAGGACAGCCATGATGATGGACTCTGTGCCTCCGCTGGTTGTGACTCCTGCAGCATCGGCAGGTGCATTGAACATGCCCAAGACCATTGCCACGACCTCTGCCTCCATCTTTCTGACTCCAGGAAAGACGTCTGGATGAATAGGGTTCGCAACACCAAACTTGCCAAAAGCCTCCATTTGTAGGTCCTGAAGCTCTTTACCACCGTGGTACACAGCGCCAGAAACTCTTCCGTCCTCCCAGCGTGTATGTTTCATCTCGTGCAGCTTCTCTAGCTCGGCGCGCACTTGATCAGGACCCCATCCTGATGCAGGAAGTGCTGTGTATCTTGTAATTCCAGGACCAGAAGGCACGAGTTTCTTCTCCAGTTCGTCCAAGGACTGCTTGATTTCGGCTTGCACTTTGCCTCGTACGCCGGGCAGCTTCAGGAATATGCGGTACAGGGACTTGCGGATGGCGGCGTAGCCCATCTTTGCACTAGCGACGGGTCCATAGCCGTAGAGGTGGATAAAGGCGACTCGAGAGTATCGAACGATGAACAACANAAAGAGCAGGTTGCGGAAGCTGAGGGATAGCGATGGTCAGTGTTCGTTCAGCTTCAGGCTTCAGTTGACATACAGATCGACCGTCGTCTTTGCTAGCTGCCGCCTAGCAGCCGGCGTCCGGACATTGATAACTTGTGTGATACTGGGCGCCATGACTTTCACCACTTTTGAGTCGGATAGTCAAAGAGCCATTGTCGGAGGGTAGCGGTAGAGATAAATAATAGGTTGCTGGTTTACGAACCTGGACCCCGCTTGTCGAACCATCCGTCATCGCCTCGTGCCTCCAGGGTCCGCCTCAAACCGCAAACCATACCCAATATAGTCATGCTTGCGAAACTCTGATATATCCATTCGAAACATGCAACCTACAACAACCAATCCTGCGCAGTCATCTAATCGCTTAACATGTCAATTCATAACCGTGTCATTATCGTACATCCCATCTCAGAACCAAGCCTCATCCCCCTTCTGCCTTTCGCTCCTCTTGCCTTGAGAGTCTTCTCAGGGCGTCGACTACAGATCCATTGCGCCGTCCATTGTCAAACGGATTTGCTGCTGTAGTAGCGAATTGTCGAGCTGGAATCTTGCGCTCGAATAGATCATCTAGCTCTGCACACGTACGGCCCTTGGGTTCAGGCAGCCGGTAGTATGCCCAAACGATTGTCAAAANACATATCCCTGCCCAAAACAATCCTGTTTTTGGTCCCCAATTCCATGCTGTGGGATTGAGCATGTGAGGAGTAAGGACATTGTTGACAATGTTTGCGATCAAGTATGCGTTTCGTGCTAGCACCATCGTCTTCTGACGCAACCTGGTTGAAGGAATTTCTGACACGAAGGCGTAGGTCAGTGGTCCAACTGTAATGTCGTAAACAAAGACGTAAACCAGAAGCAGCGCTCCCGTTGCCCACGACGATGACTGGTTCTTCGGTCCTACACCAATGAACCCGATAATGAGCAACAGGACCATCATCAAGATCTGTCCCAAAAGGAATAATGTTCGTCGTCCGACCCAGGGTATCAGAGCCCATGCGATGAAAACTCCGACAGCGCCTAGTCCGAACTGTGCCATTGAAAGATCGAACGAGTAAGATGTGTTCAGTCCAGCGCGCTCGAAAAAGTAAGACGAGAATGCCATGATGCCTCCACCACAGAGAATCTGAATCATCCAGACCATGCAACAGATCTCAGTGCGACGGAGCTCGATGCCTTTGAAGCAGTCAACGTATGACGTTCCCAGTGTGACTTGTTTCTCCATCTCATTGGTGTGTAATATGGCTGCCACTGCTTTCTGGCTGTCGAATGCCTTTCGGCCTTGCCTGGTCATCAAGCGGTTCACCGATCTCTCCGCATCATCGACACGACCTTGTCGTACCAGCCACCAAGGACTTTCTGGCGCCAGGAACATGGCAACAGCGAGGGGAATGGGCCATACCCACTGCAAGGCATATGGGATTCTGTAGCCCCATTGATCGGTTCGGTCGACGAGCGCTCGAAGTACTCCAGAGCCTATTATTTGGCCCATGACNNCTAGCTTGTGTCAGTCTGACCACATTGTCACAAGCATGAGCGTACATACCCAGCATAGGTTTACATAACAGGTAAGATATGGTCGCAGCTCCATGGGTACCACCTCAGCAGCATAAGAAGGAGTGATGGTTTGGAATACACCCCTGGGAAGAGGATCAGTAAGGTACGAGCACATCTTCCAGCTTCCAACCACTTACCAGGGTACACCGCAAAGTATTTGACCAACAAGAAGAACATGAATATTAGGAGAAAAGAAAGTAATGAATATAAAACATGTNNCTGAATCATGGTTAGCGGGCTGACAATCGGCCAGAGGACGATGGATACTCACGATAAGGGCCAAGGCGCCGATGATTGTCCATCGCTGGCCGTACTTGTCTGCAAAGATACCGGTCAAGGCGAGACCGATCATCTCGCCAATACAGGTGCCGTTAGTGAGACCTGTTTGCCAGGCTGCTGTGAGTTGATAAGTTCCATCCGCGGTGAGGTGACCATATTTCTTGGAGAAGGCTGGAAATGCAAAGAAACTGAAGATGACCTGGACTCTGTGAGCTTGGTACCTGTGCACAGCAGAACCAGACTTACCACCAANGTCATAGCCTTCCATGACAATACACGTTGAAGCCAAAATAGACCAACCTATGGCTTTCGGATACATCTTGACGGCAGACCATAGGGTCATGGAATGTTCTTGGTCAAGTGCATCTCGGGCTCTATCCAGAACGAGGTTTGCATCTACTTCCGAACCTGTTGAACTCGACCCTCGTCGTTCGCGCAGGGAAGCCGACATTCGACTGTGTAGAACTCAGCAATTGCGTCGAAGATGTCATAGTGACCGAATCCATACCCATCCATCTTGCCTGTAGGCTTTTCTCCTACTTGGATAACATCGTTGAAGTCCTGCATGGCGATGTATTCTGTTCTTTGACGAGTTTTAGCTGCAGCCCGCGACAGAGTATTGGCCGCGGGAATCATACATGGACGGCTCAGCCATGACTGATGCGTCAACAACGAGTGTCGCGCGACGAGCACATGGATCTCGAGGCGAAGAAGAGAACGGCAGTATGAAAAGAGTGATAGAAAGCGGTAGGTATGAAGATCAAGACCGAAACACGGGAACGCGATTGAGACAAGACAGTAAGAGGATGGGAGTCAGCAGCATACAAATATTCCGCGCAACGAACGGCGTGGCGTGGAACAACCCCCAAACTTAGGCCCATCTAGCGTATTGCGCATGTGCCCCGAGAGTCTAAAGAAACGGACATGCTACTGCAAGCCCTGGCAAATTGGCTGGCGCAGTTACCTGGTTGATGGTGTCCTGCAAGCAGTTTTCAGGATACACGAGTGTGGTGCTTGTTCTCTAGTCGGAACGAGTTCGTGACATCAGACGATTGCACCCTTTCTCGCGCTTTGGAAGGCCGTTCTAGCCTGGCCCCGGATGACCTGGTCTAGTTCCAACGAGATGGGCATGAGAGCGGGGGCACCATCGGGGAAAGTGGGAAAGAGCAATCTTGGCTTTTAATCTGGACGCACGGACGGTTTCCTGCCTCCGCACACTGTTTCTGAGAGCCGGAGTCAGAAAAGCATCTCGCAAGCTCCATGTCCAACGTGACAAATGCTATGAGCAAATGTGAAAATGGTACCATGTTGTCGATCAAATGCCAGGTCCCGCCTAGAAGAGATGAAAGGGTGATACTGCACTTTGACNNTGTATGTACATGACCTGCATAGAACGAATAGAACATGCGGCTTGCTGACACCATCCAAGATGACTGCTTTTATGCTTCGGTGTTTGAAGCTGAGAATCCGGCCCTAAAGGACAAGCCTCTGGCTGTACAGCAAAAACAAATCATTGTACATCTGCCAACACACAGCTATGTGTCGTGATCTTGAGGAGAGTAAAACAGGCAACTGATTAAAAGATGAACANNGGTGACCTGCAACTATGAAGCCCGCCGAAGAGGGTTGCGCAAATTACAACTCATCAAGGAGGCCAGAGAAGTCTGTCCAGATGTGATCGTTGTACTCGGTGAGGACATCGGCCGTTTTCGAGATGCAAGTAAGACGCTATACCAGTTCCTTCGAAGCTTCTCCTGGAACGACAGAGCAGAGAGACTAGGTTTTGACGAGGTAAAAGTCTTGCACATCATGTTTATCTCAGCGAGTTGTGGCTGACAGACTTGTTGTCCACAGGTGTGGCTTGATGTCACTGACATGATTGAGTACAACATCTCTTTGTTGAACCAGCATGATTTGTCGCAATCCTTCTTTGTCCTGCAGAAAGACGATCCCACCCAGGGGTTTGCATTTGACGCTACTTGCTACGCGGGTCCAACACACCCGAATAGTGTAACTGCAGATGATGAAGTGCTCTCTCTGAGGCTGAAAATTGGATCCCACCTAGCACTTCACCTCCGCAATGAGCTTGAGAGAAAGACGGGATACACATCAACTGTTGGCATATCGACCTCCAAGCTGTTATCCAAACTGGTTGGCAACATGCACAAACCCAGAGACCAAACAACACTCATACCGCCATACGTTTGTCGAGATGGGCAGGTAGGCAACGTTGTATCTTTCCTTGACGACTATGAAATCGGCAAGATCCCCGGTATTGGATCTAAGCTTGCACAAAAGATACGCCGACATATCCTGCAGCATGAACCAGACTTTGAAAAGGGCCTTGTGTACGGAGAGACCAAGGAGAGAGTGACCGTAAAGGATGTTCGTCTTGCTGAAGGTATGGGCCCTGAGACACTGGAGAAGGTACTGGCTGGTCCAGGCTCTCCACATGGCATTGGAAACAAGATATGGGCGCTTCTGCATGGCATCGACGACACAGAAGTCAGCCTCGCGAAAGCCGTACCTAGTCAGATAAGCATCGAAGACAGCTACATTCGTCTCGATACTTTGCCTGAGGTATTGAAGCAACTCAAGAAGCTAAGTTGCAGCCTCATAGAACGGATGCGCATAGATCTTGTTTCTGCGGTTGATGACGAATCTGACCACTCTCCACGAGACGGAGAATTTGAGCCAGAGCAGGACCTTGAGAAAAACGTCGTTGACCATGATATCAAGCATGAATCAAAGCAACCGACAAAAGCGAGAGTCAGGTCACCAACATGGCTTGCTCATCCCAAAACTATCCGCTTGTCTACCAGACCCCGTCTGCCTCTCAACCCAGACGGTACTCGCACTCGAAGTTTCAAGCGCATCTCTCACTCTGCGCCCTTGCCCAACTACGTCCTGTCTTTGGCGAATCCTATTGACGTTATCGCTGAGAAACTTGTTCATGACACACTCATAGGCATGTTCCGAAAACTTCATCCAGAAAAAGCTGGCTGGAACTTGAGTCTGGTCAATCTTGCCGTAACGAACATGGCTGAAGCTGGCGGTGAGAGCAGAACCGCTAATGGTCGAGATATTGGCAGCATGTTCAAACGCCAGGAGACTGTCCACAAGGAGTTCACGGCCTATGCTGATGAGCCAACGACGCCAGAAGCTGAACCAGCCCAAAAGTCGAAGCCAGAAGAGTCCAGCATCTCGCTAAACTCCAGTCTCGAAGTGGACGATAATAGCTGGATAGAAGAAGAGAACGAGGACGACGAAAGATGTGGCATTTGTGGCATGCCAGTGCCTCTGTTCGCCATGCCTGCTCATCTACGATTCCATGAGGTCAAGGATGAATAGGTAATCGTGTCGAGAAAGCTGTCGATGATGCTTGCACTTGGTGCCATCAAAATCCTATGCTTGGTTCGAGTTCAAGTTCCTCTCAAGCGGCATAGGTCAGTACGGATCTCGACGAACCAAGGTAGGCAGTAGTGCTGGTGGTGATCATACCTCAGTCATAAGGCCTCCTGCACAGAAGCGTACAACGAACCTACAGCTGTATCGTTCAAAGGTGCTTTGATATCGAGGCTTCCTTGATCTAGACTCGATCACTTCGTTCCACAGCCTGTGCAGGATTCAATTCGCAGTAGAGTCTTCCGAGGGATTCCGGAACAGCCTGGTCGACGTTGTGGAAATTCACCTGCGTGCAGACGCATCTCTCACATACGAATTCGCTGTGAACTTTCCCACCTTCAAATTCAACAATCACCTTTACTTGTTTCCGAAAATCAACTCTGTCCACAACGACCTGTCTACAAGATGCCTTGTAGAGACGAGACTCACGAACACAACTGGCCTTCCGAAGGCATGCTTCACATCTCCAGATGCGAGATCTTCTGTGGTTGCTGTGAGGGAGAGGATGCCGAAGTGGTCTACCAGTACCCTTGGAACCTGAGAGATCATGTCAGGAAGGTGCACCGCGCCCAAGGTTTGTTTATCACAGTGAGCCCTCAAGCTCCCAAGGTGTGAGTATTTTGTTCTAATGCGCTTCGGTCCATCGACAACTGACATGCTCTAGCCACACATCTGTCAAGCGCAAGCACGGAGAAATGGAGGACGGCGACAGTGACGAAGGTGAAGACGAAGACGATGAAGATGAAGAGTCTGAAGACAACGAGTCTTCTGGAAGCGAATACCATGAAGACGACAACAAGAAGGGAAAGGGCAAGGCGAAGGTTGGAATTCGCAACNAGAGCTCCTTCCGACCCCTTTGTTGCAAACGGTACAGAGGATGCCACTTCATCAGCAAAGTCTCTTCGCGCTAAGCCTCCTGCTGGCCAACCTAAGAAGAGTCCCATGGAGGGCCATGCCGCTTCGTACAAGCCCATTGGACCATCATCGCCCAAGCGTCTTGGACAGGCCGCCATGGGACCTCCATCTGCAGTCCCTACAACCAACTCTACTGGACCTGCTCTACTGTGAGTTTTCTACTCGACCACGTATATGATGGATCATGATCTAACATCCTTCAGGCCACACCAACAGCAGTATCAACAAATGTTGCAAGATCTCGCCAGGACTAACAGAGCACACCTGAACAACAATGGCTCGGGACCTGTAACCCGTCCTCAGNNCAGGCTGCCAGCAATGGACAGACTACTGCGGGTAATGCCAGAGCCCCTGCTGGCAGCATGGCTCCTCCCAACGGCAGCATGGGTCCTCCTAACAGCAACATGGGTCGTCCTAACGGCAACATGGCTCCTCCTAACAACAACATGGGCCCTCCTAACAACAACGTGGGCCCTCCTAACAGCAACATGGGTCCTCCCATGAACCCTCAAGGCATGCCTATGCCAGGTCAGACCTACGGCCGTGTCCATCCACCCACCGGCCAACCCATGCCTNCCCAACCAGCAACCAGGCCAAATCCCCCAGCCCCAGCCAAACTTCTACACCACGCACCCTCGCGTCATCACTCCGGCCACTGGTCCNCCTAACCACCAGCGCCTCCGTCTCCTGACCACCCACATGCTCACCCAAGGCATGACCGAACAAAGCGTCATCAACCACTACCAGCAAGAAATCGAGTTCATCCGCAACTTACAGCACATCCGCCTGGTGACCACCATTGATGAACAGATGTATCCTGCTGTTATGCAGCAGGTGCGTCAGCAGTTCGTGCAGCCTCCTCTGGAGCTGGAGATGTTCTTGTTCCGTGTTGTGGAGCATGCCCTGATGCGCCATGGCCTGATTGCTGCTCGTCCCCCTCCTCAGGGCCCTCAGGGTCCTCCTCAGGGACAGCAGCAGGGTGTTCAGGGTCGTGACTCGCGTCAGGGTCAGCAGCAGCAGCAGCAGTCTGCACAGGGTCAGGGCCCTCCTCAGCCCCGCCCTGAGGCCTGATTGCCGACCCTATATGGGCCCGGCACCCACTAACCTGCACCAGCTCCAAGAGAGCGTGCTTTTTCTTGGTAGCCTTGTAAAAATGCACGAAAGGAACGAGAAAGCATGAAAGACCAGTGAGACGGACAAAAATAGGTAGTTGTCATACAAGAATACAAACATGTCAGCTCCAAGATCTCAAACCTTGCACCCATGGGTATAGAACCCCTGCATAGCAGACGAGCTCAGAGTACAAGGCAAGCGGACAAAGAAAGCTACATCCATGTCGTCCGTCGGAAGTGCCAACAGACGACCGGGTTTTTCTCGGGCAGAGAATTGATACGCATTTTAGTTATAGTGAATTAACTTGTGCGCCGTCCTGATAGCTGCCCTTGGTGTATGTGTATTGAAGTGGGGAGGGAATAAGAAATAATAGGTATAAGGAAACTGATACAAACCCGAAGCTCGTGATTTTGTACTACAGTCAGCATGAAACTCCGACGAGAAAGCCTTGTGTAACGTTTGCAAGTATGGACATCAAAGCGTCATGTCATACGCACAGAGCTATCAGAAGCTCCAAAGGTCAGCAAGAGAGTTGGGCAATGAGATTATGTCCTCAATAATGGATGCTATCGACAGTAGAAAAGAGGATCTGCTGCCCAAAATGCCAAAGCTGAATTGATTCGTTACGCATGAGGTAGCGTTTACTCTTCCAGGTTGGCGGGGAAGGTGCCGTTCTNCTATGCGACGCGATCAGGTTGTGTTCTTGATGTGAGATTAGCTAGAGACTCACCACGCTGGTCATCCCATCTTGCGGCCCACGAGCTGGGGCAGAGAGATCTGTAGGCGAGGAAGAACTGGGTATGCGTCAGAACGAGTGTTGCGACATGGTTGTTGATTGAGGAAGTCATGTACCTGACGGCAGGCTTGAAGTCCTCACCCTTGGCGAGGATGCACTTGTGGTAGTCGACGTAGTTCTGCCAGCAGTGCTTGGTCTGGTTCTGGTTGGGGAAGCGCGCATCGAAGCCTGGGTGGCGTGTCAATTGGTTGCATGTAGCGGGAGTTGTGCATGCGCGGCGAAGGGATAGATGGAAGATAGTAGCATCATGTGCAAAGGGTAGCGAGGGCGGCGGCGGGGCATGGTATAGGGAAAGACGTACCCGCTACAATCAATCACGTCAGTCAGCATTCAACTCGATATTATGGCGTCGGGGTGGATGCGTACCAGTCACGAACTTGAAGGGCATGGTAACTCTGTCCTCATCGTCGGCCATTTTTGCGGTGTTGTGATTAGTTGGAAGGGGAATTGAGGGCAGATGGTCTGTTGGAGAGCTGTAGCAGTCGCGAGCAGCAGAAGTCGTTGTCGTCTTCAGTCGTACCTGACAGTCTTGGCGTGGTTTCCTCAAGTCCAGTGGCCTGCCGCCTTCTGATTGGCTGCTCGGCCCCAGCTCCAGTTTGCATCCGCCAGATCGAAGCTCTGCTGACCTCACGCGATGCTACAATCTGGTCCTCTCACTCCTTGTCCATAACCCAGTTCAACATGATCTCGAGTCGTGTCTTTGCCTCCGCCTTGCGCGCTCAGGCTCCTGCTCTGCAGGCAGTCAAGGCCCGCCCCGCCGCCCGCATCTTCCAGCAGACCCGTGGCTTCAAGAACACCCCCAAGTTCAGAGAGCCCATTCCCGTATGTTGACATGCGCAATCCCATGCCAAGCGCCAATTGATTGCTAATATCCAACTATAGAAGGAGGAGCACTCTGGTATGCAACAATGAACTCAACACTACGACCACGAGCACACGATTCTAACGACAAGTTACTTTGTAGCCCACACCATCTCTCAGCGTATCCGTACCCTGAAGAAGATTCCCCCGGAGTTGATCCCCATTGGTAAGTCCATGTTATCCAATTTACCCAGGTCAAAGCTAATCAATTCTCAGGTATCGTCCTTGCGTAAGTTCCCTAGTGATCCACCAAATCTCTTCATCAGTCGCCTAACACCTTGANNCAGCGTTGCCATCAGCTTCGCCGCCTACTCGCTCTTCCGCAAGCTCTTCACCGACGGCACCCTCCGTCTCTACAGATCCAGAGGCCACAACCAGGCTTCGTCTCCTTCCGACACCAAGCCCTCCCACTAGATTGTCGACAGAAGCAATGCATATTTGAAAACTTCATATCACAGTGTATCAGTGCGCCGGCTCGTGTATCCAGTTTCTTGTAGTACTTGTCAAACATCCCCTGGCCGGAGATCACCATCTTTCGAAATTATTGAGCATTAGTGCTTGACTAGCGACATACTCTTTTCATAAGAACCCTGGCAATCCGAATGCGACCTTTCACCATTGGACCAACCCCCTAATATGCTGTTCGAGGATAGTGCATCATGCAAAGAGCATATGATAGGGTGTCAAGCCGAGAATCGCATTTCGGAAGACTCGATGCGCTTGTGCTCGCTTCTCGTGGGCCGAATGGGCAGTATGGTCTCCCAGGCTTTATGCAGATAACTAGTCCTTGAAGGATGCGTTCAACAATGGAACATAAGATAATGATGGAGAAACATAGCACAAGATCACATTGGCTCCCAGTATCGCCGAATAGTCCTTGGCTTATACAAATATCTACTATCAGCATCAGCATTAATGATCGAAGTGTAATACACAGTGGCTTGAAAAACTTGATAGAATTGCCTTTGTACACATGCCATTTTCTTTCTCCCATTCGTGCAAGGATGCAGAAAATATCGCCAAATCTCTGTCGCATGACCCAAACGCCTCGCTATGAAATAAACAAGAATGGAACGAATGACTTTTAGGCTTGCTGAGGGCCTGCAACATCGAGACCCTCCAGGCCTTGCATAGGATCCACTGGGCCGTCATGACCATCTTCGTCTCCCCGTGCAGCCATGCGATCCTCGTCGCTGACCGCGTGCTTTGCGAGATAGCCTTNCCTAAACAATCGTTAGCACATCTTACCAAAACAACATGATACCGTAACACTTACTTGTTCCCAGATAGCAGTCTTGCTACCCAAGCCTTCTCCTTCTGCTTTCTGCTCTTTGGCTAGATTGACCTTGATGACACGGCCGAAGAGTTCGCTTTGGTCCATGTTGTCGATTGATTCCTGAGCGTCTTGGGGACTCTCGAACTCGACATATCCAAAGCCACGGTGAGGTTCGGGATTTGATGGTAGTTCTGGCTTCGGCAGTGATATATTGACAATGGGACCGAATGGAATGAAAGCGTTGTGCAGAGTATGGCTGTCGACGGCAGAGGTCAAACCTCCGACATAGACAGTGGCTTTCGGTCTCGGTGCGTCAGACATGGTTTTTGTTTGTGTTGATGAGTTCAGGTGTATAGTTGGGGATGATGTTTGAATTAATTGCATGTAACAAAGAAGGCTAGAACGAATCTTTGATGCCAAGGCGAGGCTGCGATGTTGCCCCAGGTTTTTGGCTCATGGCGGAAGGCGGAAGGCCAGCTGGAGGTGTGACGAAGGGCAAGTCGAAGCTCGCGCCCTTGTAACGCTGGTCAATAATTATCCCATACCCACCCCTTTTCCGCCATATCAATCCCAACTTCTCCTTGTTTGCTGTATGCTTGGACTGAACTAAGTGTACTGCCAACAAAGACTCGAACATGGTTCGATTGCGCGAGATTCCTCGCACTGCGGCCTTCGCATGGTCGCCCGGCTCAGCTCCGCCATTGCTCGCAACTGGAACACGCGCTGGTGCTGTCGACGATGACTTTTCCAACGACACTAATCTAGAGTTGTGGGACTTGCAACTAGATCAGCTCGATGTTTCTCCTGAATTGTCCCCTGTTGGCACCATCTCCACAGACTCAAGGTGTGTACCCCACAGTTGGACACGGTATAGCTCTGACACAGATGTNAGATTCTACGACATTGCATGGAGCCAACCGACTGCCGATCGCTCTCGTGGTATCATTGCCGGCGCCCTCGAGAATGGCTCTCTCGATCTATGGGACGCCGAGAAGCTCCGCTCCAGCCCTTCCGACTCATTCATGTCTAGAACAACAAAGCACTCTGGAGCCATCAAGACGGTTCAATTCAATCACTCGAAGCACGACCTGCTCGCGACTGCTGGTGCCAAAGGAGAGCTGTTCATTTACGATCTGAACAACATTGCCAACCCCTTCAAGCTGGGTGGAAGTGCCGTAAGAGCCGACGATTATGAGTGTTTGGACTGGAACAAGGGTGCCAAAGTCCCTCACATTCTCGCTACTGGTTCAAGTGGAGGCTTCGTCAATATCTGGGACGTCAGACAGAAGAAGGAGACTTTGACATTGAACAACTATTCTCGCAAGCCAGTGAGCGCCGTTGCCTGGGATCCAGATGTCGCAACCAAGCTCATGACGGCTGTTCCCAACGACCAAGAGCCAGTGATTCTCATGTGGGACTTGCGTAACTCCAGTGCTCCCGAGTGCGTTCTTCGTGGTCACGAGCTCGGTGTTCTTTCCCTGTCGTGGTGTCTGCAGGACTCCAGCCTGTTGCTTTCTAGCGGCAAAGACAACCGTTCGATCGCCTGGAATCCTCACACAGGCGAATCGTACGGTGAATTCCCTGTTGTCACTAGCTGGACCTTCCAGACTCGCTGGAACCCTCACAACCCCGGCCTTCTCGCTACTGCCTCGTTCGATGGCAAGATTGCTGTTCAGACTATCCAGAATACGAACTCGAAGAATGACGAGCAGACCACCGCTCAGCAGGCTCTTGACAGCGAGGATTTCTTCAACCAGGTCAAGACTCAGCCTCAGCAAGTCTCTTTCTCTTTGCCTAAGACTCCCAAGTGGATGGAACGCCCTGCTGGTGTGTCTTTCGGTTTTGGTGGAAAGCTTGTCAGACTCGCTACCGACTCTGCTTCGAGGAAATCGACTGTCAGCATCGAGACATTTGCTGTCGATTCGGCCGTTACCGAAGCATCGCAGAGATTCGAGGAATCTCTCAAGAGCGGCGACCTGGCCAACATTTGTGAATCGAAAATTGCCGCTGCAGCCAACGAGGAAGAGAAGGCCGACTGGCAAGTGATCGAGACATTGAATGCTGGAAAATCAAGGAAGAAGCTGAGAGAATACTTGGGCTTTGCCGACGAGACTGAGGTTGCACAGAAGACAGCTGATCTCAACATCAATGGTGATGTTGAAAAGCCAAAGCAGGAGGACGACAGCAACTTCTTCGGTAACGATAACGCTGATGGAGAAGATGGCGATAACTTCCTGGCCGATCTTGCAGCGACCAAGGGCGCCAAAACCAACCAGCCTTTCCACATCTTCAGTGGTGAAGAGTCGGATGCAGACAAGAACATCACACGTGCTCTCATGCTGGGCAACTTTGAGTCTGCTCTTGACGTTTGTCTGAAGGATGGTCGCATGTCAGATGCCTTCATGATCGCCATTTGTGGTGGACAAAAGTGCATGGACAAAGTACAGACCGCCTACCTGAAGCAAAAGGCCAAGGGGCCCAAGTACCTTCGTCTTCTTGCCTCGATTGTCGGCAAGAACCTGTGGGACGTTGTTCACAACGCCGATCTGTCGAACTGGAAGGAGGTTATGGCAACTCTATGCACCTTTGCTGATGAAACCGAGTTCTCGGACTTATGCGAGGCTCTGGGCGACCGTCTTGAAGAGTCGCTGTCGACTGCTACCGACAAGGGCACTTTGAGAAGAGATGCATCATTCTGCTTCCTTGCTGGATCCAAGCTCGAGAAGGTCGTTACTATCTGGGCCCAGGAGTTGCAAGAGAAGGAAAGCGCTGGACTAGAAGCCGCCGACGGTGAGACCAGCTTCTCTGTCCACGCCAGATCTTTGCAAGACTTCATCGAGAAGGTCACCGTCTTCCGCCAGGTTGTTGGTTTCCAAGACCCTAATCGTCAAGCCAGCGAGAACTGGAAGCTTGCTCCTCTGTACGCCAAGTACACTGAGTACGCTGATATCTTGGCCAGTCATGGTCAGTTGCAGGTCGCTGAGAAGTACCTGGACTTGCTGCCTTCCAAGTACCCTGCAGCAGAAGTTGCTCAGCAGAGAGTCAAGCTTGCCAACAGGTCAAAGCCTGTAGTCCCTCAAATACAGAGACAGCCTGCTGCCGCCGCTCGTGTCGCCGCACCATTGGCACCCTACTCTGCTGCTCCTACTCCGACACCTCTTGCTGCCGCGAACCCATACGCACCTAGCGGAGGTATCATGTCGACGCCTGCACCCGTGGGTGGTGCGAACACTTACGCTCCCCCAGGCGCTGCTCAGCCTGCTCCTCTCTCAAACCCATACGCACCTCAGGGATACCAGCCTCAGCAGACTTCCGCTTATGGCCAGCCCGGACCTTATGGAGTACCAGCTGCACCTGTTGCACCTCCTCGTGGTATGACTCCCAGTGCCGTACCTCCGCCACCCAAGAAGGGAGAAACACAACAGTGGAATGACCTTCCAGAAGGCTTCTCCAAGCCTGTTCAGCCTGCAAGAAGAAACACTCCTGGTATGGCTGCCATGTCCTCTCCCTTCCCTAATGCTCCTGTAATGTCACCGCCACCTGCTCCTGGCAGCGCATATGGCCAACAGCCTCCTGCTGCTTTGCCTCCACCACCAAAGGCAGGACAGATGCCACCTCGTGTGATGTCTCCACTGTCGGGTCCTGCGCAGATCCAGCGTCCCATCTCAGCTGCATCCAATGCCTACACGCCAGCTTCAGTACAACAGCCTGCCGCTTCAACGTTGCCTCCTCCACCCCAGGCACCTCCTCTTGGCCGTGGCCCTTCGCCATACAACCCNCCCTCCTACCGCAACTGCAACTGGCCCACCTAGCAACCGTTACGCACCAGCTCCAGGCTCACAGCCTACGCCTGTAGCCGGTGGCTTGCCGCCACCACGTAACATTGCTCCACCACCTAACCCCTATGGCTCTGCAGCACCCTCGCCATACGCGCCAGCGGGAGCTTCGGCATATGCTCCAAGGGCACCAGCAACACCCTACGGTCAACCACCTGTGCAATCGCAGCCTCCAGCTCCTCAGGCCATTCCACCTCCACCACAAGGACCACCTCGTGGACCTCCCCAAGGCCCTCCTAGAGCCGCCGCTCCACCTCAAGCCGCACCATCCCAAGCGGCCCCTCCTCAAGCTACACCCCCTCAGGCTACTCCTCCCCATCAGCCGCTCCTCAACAATTGCCTTCTCGACCCACTACCGCACAATCTCAGCGATCTGCACCTGCAGCGGCCAAGTACCGTGAGTCTCGTTCTACCTCTACGTCTACGTTACATGCTAACCATTATCCTCCAGCACCTGGAGACCGCACCCACATCCCTAGCAATGCCATGCCAGTCTACGAAATCATGTCCGCAGATATGGCACGTGTGAAGTCACGCGCTCCAGCTTCGTTCTCTAAAGAAGTCAACGACGCCGAGAAGCGTCTCAACATCCTCTTTGATCACCTCAACAACGAGACTCTGGTCAAGCCAGACACTGTTGCCATGTTGGTAGAGATTGCACAAGCGCTGCAGTCTAGAGACTTTGACCGCGCTGGATCCGTCTTGACTGATATGCTGAAGGCAAAGTTGGAGTCCGAGGGTGCGCACTGGATGGTTGGAGTCAAGAGACTTGTTGCCATGAGCAAGGCTACTCCTGTATAAGAAAGCTTTTTCTAGAAAGGATGGCGTACAAGAGCATGGAGAAAGCGGGTGTGGCAGACTAGACGCTAGCAACTTTTGTTTTCGAGTGTTTTTATAAGGTATTTGTTTTCATGAAGAACGGTTTCTCTTTTCATTATATTCTCTGTGCTTTGTGTTTTGCGTCTTGACTTGCGTCTTCCTATCCGCCGTCTCTTGCCATGATTTGTGTTGGTCTACTTGCAAGCAGCAAATGTCAAATAGATCAACGATAGCGTGGATGAACGGAATGTCGGCGTCTTCGAGCACTGTGTTACCTTTCACCCACCATATTCAACCCCACACAAGGGTCTTCGGAGATTGACATATGACACGGCCCTAGATACAAGATAGCAACAAAACGGTAAAAGACGGTGAGCAAGACTGGAGAAGTCTGATGCTCAAGTCAAGATAGCTAACCCCTGACGGCAAGCAAGCTGAGGTAGAGCCCGAGTTTGCCGGCAATAAAGCCACAAGGTAAATGCTTAAAGCCGAAGACAAAAACGAGCCCCTGAAAAAGGCGTGGCTGGGAGGGATTCATGAATCAAGAAGAATCGGTGTCGCATGATGATTTGCGCCACCAAATGTCTTTCGATATCTTGCAAGATTGTGTCGCTAATTAATGAAGTTTAGGTACATGTTTGGGATATAAAGGGATGTAGGAGAATTTGGTATAAGCTTATAGTGATGTAGGTCATGGAGTTGGGTGGATGTCCCGCAGGGTAGGGGGAAGCACGGGAGGCTNGCATGGGANAGCGGTGAACGGGTAACGCTGCTCGAGCCTCGAGGGTTTGCGNNATCCGAAAACNNGCGCGTGTGGGACATGCTCGTGGTCCGTGCTACGTATCTCAGTTAAGAGGATGAAGTGGTCAAAGGAGACNNGACGGTCAAGAAGGGGCAAGTCATGATGGAGATAGGTTCTAGGAGAAACAGANNTGTACACTTGGAGACCAAAGATCTGGAGATGGATCCAGATTAGGATGACAAGTGGTCAGCGAGAAGGTGTCAAGAAGATGANAAGTGTCGTCAGCAGCATCCCGTTACGCAGTTTCAAAGCAGTAGCATGGCTTGAGGAACGCGTGCACACGATCTTGTAGCCAGAGTTCATTGTATAGGTTGAGCATCGTTTAAGAGCTTCAATGAGTTTATAGAAGTGAGAGTGAGAGGCAGAAGCGTAAACTTTGTAGCAGAAGACGAATTGGGTTTGATAGTGGTGTTTAAACGAAGGAGCGAAATAAAGTTGTATCGTCGTCGTAACTGACGAGCGGCTTGGCTGGTTTGAGGTCCGCCGTGTCTCCTGCAAAGTCCAAACACGCTTGACTGCTGTACTTGGACTGCTCTGCCCTGACTGCTTTATCAGCACCCATCGCATGCGTGCGCACATAACGACAAGCAATCGACACCGGACGAGGTCTTGCTCCAGGCCCCTCCGTTGCCTCTAACTTCTGACATAGCGATCCCGCACGCTGAAACCTCCGCCCTACTGCTGCGAAACACCTCCGCTGCCCGTTCGCTGCACCCGTTCGCTTGCCAACTGCATCGTCACCCACAATCCTACAGGCCTGTGGGCCCACCGCATCTCTATCTAGCCGGCGATTGACGGCCACACCTCTGTCAACACCAGGCTCTCAGCTGCAGCGTCATCGCCGCTCACGCTCCCGTCCAACATGGAGACTGACACCAACTCAAACTACCCCGAGTCTCCCACAGAGGAGGATGAGGTCTTCTTGTGCAAAGGCTGCGGCGAGGTATCGGAATACAATCATTGCCATGCATCTACAGCTTGACTGACTCTCATGCTACGCAGNATTTTAGAACAGGGGCGAGCCTTTGAGCTTGGTAAGTCACACACAGCGTCGAGGGGTAGTGCACTTGCTGACAGAACCTCTATAGCTGGCCACCGATGGCACCTTGGCTGCTTCCGATGCCACTCGTGCGCCACCCTCCTCGACTCGGATGCCAATCTGCTGCTGCTGGGCGATGGCTCTCTCATCTGCAACAACTGCACATACAGCTGCAGCTCCTGTGGTAACAAGATCGAAGATCTCGCCATCCTGACCGGCGACCAAGCCTTCTGCGCTACCTGCTTTAAGTGCCGCAACTGCAAGAGGAAGATTGAAAACCTACGATATGCGCGTACCAGCCAGGGCATTTTCTGCATGAGCTGTCACGAGAGCTTGATGGCAAGACGGCGGAAAAAGGCAAAGGCTTCGAAACAACTGGCTGCTGCAGGGAGCAACCCGATAGTGCTGGACAAGAGTCTGCCTGCGCTGCCACCAAACGCCGTCTCCCAGAGCGCTCTGCGAGAGTCTTCACCTTCGGGTTCCTACACCAGCGACCATCTCAAAGCCAGTCACGAGAATAAGCGAGACACATCGCCCATGTCAACGTCAGACGATAGCAAGAGAGGTAGCAGCCGTCACTTGTCTCACATAGGCGGCTCTTCAGACCCAACTCAAGACACTCTTACATTGCCCGCCAGCACATACAAGCAAGAGCGTGCTTCGACCATGTCATCTAACACCATGACTTCAATGCCTGATGCCGACGATGGCTTCCTCCCTATGGCTTACGACCCCAACCCTGCCCCTCCCCCTCTACCACGCCGTTCACATCCTGAAACTACGCCCAGGATGTCTGATAACCTCTCTCCTCAAGGCGGTTTCTCCAGGAACAACAGAGATCGACCGTCGTCCTCAAGATCCGTGTCAACTGAGCGCGATAGCGTCCGAAGTCCTGGTGTTGGCCACACCGACAAAGGCCGTCAGCAGGGTCTTCGCAATGTTTCGGGTAGCAGCACACCGGTGACCACATCGGCTGTTGCCTCGCCCTCATCTCTCACCAGTCAGCAACGTCCTCGTCTGCCACACGCAAACAGTGCTTCGTCCAACTTGGTACCCGAGCCTTTCAAACTCCAAGACGTGCCACGAGATCGCAGGGTATCGCGCAACAGCCCTCGTGTCGGAAAGAACTCTCCCACGTCGTTGGACACTCAGCAACACTCGAGACACACTCCGACCGACTCGAATTTATCTCTGTCGCCAGCCTCTGTGGACACGCCCAGCTCGAGCATCAATCCTTTCGACGATCCCAAACTCCGCGAAGCTTCGTCAAGCGCTGGCGCATCAGCTGCAAAGCATCCTGCTAGAGGTGATTCCCTAGCACAATCTTCGCGCATCACCTCTCCCGAAGCCACGCCAGCTCTTAGACAGTCCGATGCTGCTCATGAACGTAAAACTTCCGCAACCTCACCCCAATTCGTCGATGCGCCGACCCACCTTCGCTCCGAGACCGAGTCTCAGAACACAGGAGAAATGGGCATACCAGCCGCACCTCCTAGAGCTGCTAACCGTCCTTCTGCTCCAAGCAGGTCTGTCGCCAACGACGACTTCACCGCCCCCAGAATTCCGCCTGCCCCTCCTGCCACCGAACGCCCTCGTGCCGAATCTGTCGGTACCCTTCAACATGATCATACTTCTGCAGCTTCACCAAAACCCTGGCGTACACATCTGCCAAAGCACAGTGCTGGGGAAGCCTTCTCTATGGAGGAAGAGATGTCCCGCATTTTGCGAGGCGAAGAGCAGAAGAGAAAGGAGAATGAGCACACCGGTGTTCTTCGTCGTGTTTCCAACGCAGTGAAGCACGGTAGAAGCTTCAGCGACAAATCGATACCCCTCCAAAAGACACCTACCATCAGTTCGGCAGATATCAGTAGCCCTATTCTCATCACCAGTCCAATTTCTTCACCTGGCCAGATGGACGTCGCTACCCTGAGGTCTCAATTGCGTCGCGCTCAACAGAAGATTGCAGAGCTTGAGGCTGATAAGCTCGGCCTGGAGGAAAAGATGGACACATCTGCCGACATCAAGCAGGTCAACACTGAACTGCGTGAGAAGCGCTCAACCATGGCATTCCTTGACACTCAGCGCGAGATGGTGGTTCGCGAGCTCGAAATCATGACTGAGCACTTGACCAGAGCCAAAGAGAGCAACAAGCCTTTGGATATTAGTCAACTCAAGTCCGAGATCTTGCAGGACTTTGCACACTCTTTGCANAAGTTGAAAGATAATCTCGGCACCCAGATCGAAGATCTAGTGCACAAGAGAAACGAACTTACCGACGACATTTCGAACCTCATTCAAGTCAAGGACAAGGGCTTGCAGGAGTTTGAATCTCTTTCTTCGAAGAACCTCCAGCTGGCTGAGTTGAACAACCAACTCGTCAGCGGTATCCAAGATTTGTACAAGTCACAAAACTCGAAGGGCGCCAGTATTGAGCGATCACCCCTTACTAATGGTCTGGGTATCTATAACGGCTCGAACAGGGGTGACATGGCCTCGCTTCATTCCGCATCGTTGCAAGAATCCACCAGTCTCCATGACCTTTTGCCGCATGCAGCGGACGCGGAACCAGCTACTGTCCTCACAGCACCACAGGTAGTCAATATCCGCAAAGGACAACCCAAGAAGTTCAACTGGAAGAAGGGTTCATCTGGTCTTGCCAAGAACGTTACCAAAGGCATCAAGGGTGCATTTGCTGGCAACAACGATCGTGGAGTTCCTATCAAACCTGACGGTTCCTATGACATTACCGGTATGCCATATTCGCAGATGCAGGCAGGCCCTGGTGCAATCATGGGTGATCAGCCTTTGAATAAGGTTGGTGATGCTAAAGGCTTCGGCTTCTTTTCGTCTACTCAGAAGAACGGCCTCAAGCCGGGCGTTCAGGGTGTTCATGGTAAGAACGGTAGCAGCTCCAACCTGCTTGCAGAGAATCCTTCCGGTAAGTATATGTCAAATGTCTTTTCGTCTCAACAATGCGCTAATATGACCCTAGTACTGTTCGGATCTGATTTGCGTGAGCGTTGCGACTATGAGAAACGTGTTCTGCCCTCGATCGTCACGCACTGCGTTGAAGAGGTTGAGAAGCGTGGTATGGACATGGAAGGCATCTACAGAAAGTCTGGCGGAAGCGGTCAGGTCAAACTCATTCAACAAGGCTTCGAGAAAGACGGCGCCTACGACATCACTGATCCAGATCTCGATATCCATGCTGTCACTAGCGCGCTGAAGCAATACTTCCGCAAGCTACCCAATCCTCTCATCACTTATGAGGCCTATGACCCTCTGCTCGAAGCAGCTCAAATCACGGAGAAGGAGAAACAAGTTGCCGCCATTAAGGCTGCGCTGGAGGCTATGCCGCAAGCTCACCACGATGTGCTGGAGTACTTGGTGCAGCATCTGTGCCGTGTAGTCAAGCAGGAGTCGGAAAATCTGGTAAGAGTTTTTGTCTCAACAAGTTGTGATGACACAGAGCTGACATATTGTAGNATGACACCACTCAATCTCTCAGTCGTTTTTGCGCCTACGATTCTGCGACCCTTGAGCATTGAACGCGAAATGTCGGACATGCAAGCCCAGCGTATGGCAGTGCAGGCGCTGCTCGAACACGCGGATTCCATTTTCGAAACTTAATGATACACCAGTTTTTCTTGGGGAGCGCCTGTTGCCCTATTCGCGGGTCACAAAATTTCAAGATCCAAATGGGGTCTTTCTTGCCTTGGCTTTTTGCAGAATTACTCTTCTTTCCAACAACACTTATTCGCTTTTCTCTTTTACCTTTATCCTAGCAGATGCTGTTATGAGCGCCTCTTCTTTAATGGCGCGGTTTAATGGGATGCGGAGTTGAGGCATATACTTTGACGAAATGCGCATACTCAGATTTTGAGAGAGAAAACACTGCTGGTAATTTTTGCTTTCTCATATACAACTTGCTCAAGTGAATAACCTTTAGAACTATGTCAAGCTTACACAGACTGGTCTTATCCGATGTAACAATAGGGCTTTTGCAAAGCAGCAACATAGTTGGAAAGAGCGATAGATCCTCACCTCGAAACTAGCTTTGTTGACTTCGGAAACACCCCAGAAGTAGCGATGTTTTGGACCCTGAGTTCACCACCGCAAGTGTCAACCTCACACGACCACCTACCTTTTCAGAATTGGCTTGTTCAAACTCCCTGGTATGAGCGGGCGCATCATCATGCACCATCGCAGTTCGGTCAACAATATGCTCTGGAGAAGCTCAGTCGTTGGGTCATGNCCCCTCAGACGTGTCCATCACCAAGCGACTCAGCCTGGTCAAGATCATTTGGCTTCTCCCTGATATTATCGTTCCACTTACTACCTTTTGGCAATCCGGAACGAGACAGAATGAGGGAAGTTTCTCTGGACAGCGTGAGGTGCAGGATCGTTCAAAACTGAGGACATCTCCCACAACTCTGCTCCAATTCTGGTCACACAAGCAAAAACAAGAAGCACATCACCTCAGATGTTGCTCTCGGGAGTCATTGCCCTTACTGGCATTGCTATTCTACCAGTGTTTGCATTGGACAACGATCTGGGTACAACTCTCTCAACAAAATACATCGAACACTCTCCCGACTCTGAAACAACGTTCTCAACCAGCTGGCGTACCAATAATGCTCCTTCTACAACCATAAATGGTGATGACGACGATAGCTGGACTGTCGTCTCTGAAACAGAGACGCCAGCAACAGACACTCCTGAGACGCCCACAGATAACAGCACCAGCCCACAAGCCACCGATCTTCGTCCGAACAATGCTATGGTTGCACATAGAATGGCAATGGTTGCCGGTGCGACCTGGGGCAGATTCCCTACTAAGCCTGATGATGAAACCGAGGTAAGATGAACTCCTGTATCTTGCATTGTGTTTTGTTCTTGGTCCCCCAATGTATCTCAAACACTGTTGCAGAGTTATGCTAACCATACTACGATTCAGGCCTGTGCCGACAATTCTACTGTCGATGATAGCACACACAATACCAGATACAACAGCTCAACTGTCAATTGCACTGCCTTGATGTTTGGCGACAGATGGCATCGTTGGGAGTGCGATGAAGCCTGCAGAGCCAATCTTACCGATGCACTACCAGCAGCAATCCTAGCTGTCGTCGGTCCAGATCTAGCCGACTCGGACGCAGTCCAGCGGACCATCCAAGCTTTCCAGCAGCTGCTCGGACAACGCGTCAGTTTCCTGCGCCTTGGGCGTCTCTCTTTATTCCTTCGCCAGGCAGAAACCTATCTCGGTGGACTCTTCCGCGAGGGAAGAGGCGATATGGAGTGATTGGCCACCGCCATATGGGAGCCTATACGATTCGAGCTCGAATTGTTTGCTGGCACGTTCCGCTTACATCCTGCTGCAACGAATCGTGTCGTGCAGACTGTTTGGGAGATGCACACGTATCGTATCGACATCATATTGGACCCAATAGTCTTCGAACCTCCTCGCCTTCCTGACATCCTTACACCAGAATACTTCGATACGACTGAAGAATATGAAAACTACATACGCCGGCGCTTGGAGACGCGAGAACTTTTGAGACAAACCTTGGACGTGATCGAGGATCCAGAACCGCTACTCGAAGAGATGTACTCAACATTCCCTAACCTGCCCGAGCCATTAGCGAGTCGCTTATACGAGGAAATTGCACTCCCGCAATACAGACCTACAGATGATCCTCCGGTGTACGAAGACCCGCCTGCTTATGAGTCCAGAGGTTACAGCCCCGAACAGAATCTTTATGATTTGATGAGCTGGCTTGCAGAGTCAGCTCCCATCGCAGAGGAGTTTCAAAGGTTTGGAAGGTATAACTCGTGGCCAACTTCTGTTCCTGTCACCAATATCCCGGAGCCGACAATCCCTGCTACACCATCAGTAGTACCCACCATTGCACCAACTGATGTTCCTATTTCCCCACCGAACACACCCGAGACAAGCAGAATCGACTTGGCTCAAGACGGCACTCTCACCATTGCCGACAGTGGTGCCTGGGCTCTCGCCGCCGAGATTTCAGTTACCCTCTTCAACCTTCTCACTGCCTGCACACCCCTAGACCTGGCAACCTGGACCTTTATCCCTCGCAGTGCATCTTTCCTGGCCCACGCCAAAGTTGCTGCCTGGAATGGACTCGGTGTGGAACAGTGTTTCGCAAGAGAGATTTCTGGACTTCCAGGTGCCCCTTCAGCTGAAAGCATCGTCACGCAAGGGTTCAAGGAATATGACATGAAGATCGAGTTGGAGATCAACCCCACGAAACCGGGGACAGGACCACCCAACGAGGGGTCACCCAGCGAGGGACCGCCCAACGAAGAAGGACCAGGCAGAGGACCACCTGAGGAGGAAGGAGCACCCGGCGAAAAACCAGGTAAAGGAAAGAAGTTACCTAAATGTACTTGGTGGATGATAGTGCTTGGTTATCCACTATGGGGTGGGTGTTGTATGTGTTGAGTTTTCTCTTAGAGGCACTTTCTGTTCCTTTCCTCTTTCAGCCCTTTCTTCTCCTTTGGAGTGATGGGCCTCATGGGAAAACGACAACGCGTTGGCTTTTGTTCTTACTTGTTTCTCAAGTAGCTATGTAGCAACATTGATCATAAATACTTGTTTTGTCTCTGGTCTCTTAATGGTGTTTGACGAGAAAGCCCATGCTGTGTTATACAAGGTTTCGTGATTGAGAGACGTGGAAAACGATATCTTTTCTTTCCCTCTTCCTCATCTCCCAAATGCATCCACTACCGGCTCTGAGTAGTCCAGTTATGCATGGCTCTTCTTCCGCGGCCAACTGCCCCGTTTGGCAATCATCCGTTCGAACAAGATATGACATGGTTGTACGTCAAACTTCTATTCTAGGAAGAGGGCTCGGTCGTACGGTTTGTCGCAATCTCGAATCAAACAGGGTACTGGTAGATTGCAGTATCAAACGGTGGAAGGAGTTAAGATGAGATAAACAACGGCGAGTAAGGTGTGAAAACAAAGTTAGGCAAAAGTAGAGCAAAAAGTAGAGCAAAAAGTGAGGATGTGAGTTGCAGGGGATTGCGAGGATATGAGTTATGGCTTGTTTGTGAGAGAGAGCTTTTTTGAAAAGAAGAAAATTCTTTTTTGATTATCGAGTATTGTATTTGTCTTTCTGGAGACAATCATGGTTCTTGTCTCTCTATGATGAGTACTGGAGAAGAAGAGGGTGAAACGTAAGAAAATGCAATGAGGGCATCAAAAGAAACAGCAACAGGAAGTGGCAACAGGGGTATGGCCTTTCTTTTCCTTGACATCATGAACAACAAACACACCAACGCCGCCGTAAGCATTAAGTTCACAATAAGTATGTGAAGACAAGTCATCTAAGCAGCTGCAGCAGCAGTAGTCGAGTCAGCAGATGCAGCAGGTTTTGAGTCGGTGGACGAGCTGTCGTCGCGGACAACGTCACTCAGACGGAGACGCTTAGGTGGTGGGGCTGCTTGTGACTTGTAGGACTCGACTTCGGCCTCGAGGAGCTCGAGTCTCTTCTTGAGAGCGGCCTCGCGGACCAAGGCAGCGTCGAGGTCGGCTTTGTACTGGTCTGCAGCGTCACGGGCTGATGCTTCCTTTGCACGAGCGTCTTGCTCGCTCTGTTCGAGCTCGGCGACTCTACCGCGGAACAGGTCGTTGATGACTTCCAACTCGCTCACACGTGTCTTGAGAGAGCTGTTGTTCTCAGGGTACTGGTGTCCGTGTTCGGGGTGCATTCCATTGACCGAAGGTGCAGGGGATGGTTGGCGAAGGGCAAAGGTAGGCAGGCCAGCAGGTTGGAAGGAGGACTCAGAGAGGGAAACATTATCGAAGACGTGTTGGGGAGCAATGTTGGGATTGTGATGCGAGACCATGCCGGGGGTGTTTGTGCGAGATGAAGGTGAGGGAGAGCGCTGGTGTTCGCCAGACGAAACGCGATCGGAGTGACGACGGTGAGGAGGGTAGGCACCCATAGGTGTGTTGACATCGTGGTGGAAGCCGGGCGATTCAAGGGAGGGCTGAGACCATGTCAGTATGCGACAGAGATGGCAAGATGTTTTGAATTGACTGACCTTCTTCTTGGGACCAGTGGCCGTCTTGACACGGTTACGGCTCTTGATCACGTCTGTCTTGAGACTGATGGGACGAGGGCGACCATGCAACTTGAGGAAGAGACCGCAAGCATTGCACAGGACAGAGCCCATCTCGTCGCGACGCCATAGCGGAGTGGTGCTTGTACCGCAGTTCTGGCATACAGGNNCTATGAGAATGTGGTCAGTCCGTCCTGATTCTTATCGATTGAGTTGGAAGATAAGGATAAGAGAAGGGTTCGCGACGCGCAAAACGCTTGTCGCGACCGACGCTCGAGAATAACGTACAGGTCCATTTTGCTGACCACCGGCAGTGGCAGCAGGGGCCGAAGTTGCGTAGTTCATCGTGTGCATAACATTAGAAGTCCTGCGAAAGGAAAGAATTAGTTCTGTATCAATTGCGACGTGCTTGCCAATGCCGATGCGCTGATAGGGTAGGGCAGGAGCTTAGACCGCCTTATCTCGGTCCCTCTTTCCGCTTGATAACGCTATCGGCGCGCCAAGCCAACCTCCTTCCTACTTTACCCCACTGCTGCCGACCAACAACAACAACAATCCCATGTGCGGAACTTTGTCAAGATGTCACTGTAAAAATGCACAATTGCTTTGCGAACATGGGTCTGGCCAGAGAGATGCCTACATGAGCTTCCCTCTGTGGCAACCACCTTGTTCACGAAAGTATTGTGTATTTTTACAGTGACAATGTGACCAGTTTTTGGAGCACGGAGAAGGAGAGAAAAAAGTTGCTTACCTGGGCATCATTGACATCGAGTTTCCAAAGGGTCCCAAACTTGAGACTCCTGGAAGTTGCATTGGACCACTGAACGATCGTTGAGGAACAGAGTAGTGAGGTGCCGTGTATAAAGGAGCTGCTGAAGATGGTCGAGGAATCTCGTGTCCCATGTGTGCAAAGAATGGTCTGTCGTCGGCATAGATTGGAGGCGTTAAGGTGACTGGGTAGTGAAGACCCATCGAAGACTTGGGTCTGTACGGATCAATTACAGAAGGTCTGTACGAAGTATCGATTGAAGCAGGTCTGTATGCGTCCATAGAAGATCGGTGAAGCATCGTTGCGGCAGTTAGGTCGTCAAGTCTTTAGGAATATCGTGAGTCGATTCAGTCCTGTGGATGATCGAATATGTATAGACCGGATAAAGGAGCGTGGATCAGAAGGTATTAAAGGAATGAATGACTGAATTAAAAGACGATTAGTATAGTGGCGAACAAAAAGAGTGTCGTTGTAGAAGTCGTAGATAAATCAGTTCATGGTCAAGCGTCTGCCTAAGTATACATACGTCTTGAAGCCTTGCCCAGGGGTGGCGACCATGTAATGACAACGGTAGAGGCTTGAAGTTCGGCGTCGAGGTAAATTGCCAAAACAACAGCAAAAACGCAAAGCGGTTCTAGCAAGCGTTGTGCTTACCGTCCTGCGTTTCTATCTTGCCCAGATAGCTATGACAGCATTCTGGTCCATGGTAAACATCGAATTGTCCGTTGACAGATGTTCATGACCATAAAAATGTGGTCTGGTAAGATTCAGTATGTTCAACATTCCGCACTTTCCGGCTTCTAATCGGTCGTGCTATTGTCAATTCATTCCTCGAGATGGACAGCCACATGCAACTTTCTTTCGGCGTCATTTGTGGAGTCGAGAGCAGATCAACAGTAAACAACGCTCCTGACAAGAGCCGCAGTTGCAATCAAAGTACAGCTCGTCTTCGGCGGCTGCGCAACGGTCGAGGCAGGAGATTGGCGGTGCACCAGTATACGAAGTTTATCCCTGACCCGTCACGCATGAACAGAGATGAGGTCAATCCTTCGCGGAAGAGATCGACGATCGATTATAGGTATAGATCGCCATGGCAGTCTTGACAGTTGACACTTGATTGTGATTGACATGTTGTATAGCAGAGACAGAGAGGGCTCTGGTTGGAGGCGTCAATCAAGCTTGGGCCCTTGGCTGTGGGGAAGACCATTAGGGGGGATCTTGAGGGGTTCTTTCATTTGCCAAAGACTCTCAATGATCGCGGGCGTATACAAGCGAGCATGGTTCGACCACTCGGGGCGGTGCAATCATATGCGAGAGTTGAAATCTGCTATCGAGCAACGACGACTGTTCTATCGCAGCCATCGTTGCTGACAAGTCAAGTTGTGATAAGAATAGGTACCATAGCTGAATGTGCAACAGTTTTGAAGCAATCCCCATTCCTCATACCTTGCCGCAAATCCCATGGCAGACTTGCAAAAAAAAGGAGCAGTATGGTTGAGTGATAGTGCATCAGGGTTTTGCAACAGTCCAATGTTCCACGGTTTTTCTGATGTTGACACCTACCAGGTGGACCATGGTGGGCCAACCCCTGTAATTAATATGTGGTTCCTGGGGACAAAGCTTGGCATCTCTCGTCGTCATTCCATCGACATTCGTGTTCAACCTGGACACAAGTGACTGTATTCTCAACCGGCCACTTGTCTATCTTGACAACACTCAACAAAGCTCACGATGGGCAAATCCAGACCAGCCACGTCTGGGTATGCCAGAATCGCCCAAGCAGAAGAGGAGGATGACGAGTCATTCATCTCGGATGAGGACATCTACCAAGGCCAGCCCCGTCTTTCGGTCGATGAGGATGGTACCACCTATGCACCTATACAACCAAAGCGCCGCGAGCGTATGGATTTACCCGAAGGCCAGCCTTCAAATCACCGCCGACGACGACGCACAAACTCTGGTGTCGACATCAAGGCCATCAATGCCAGGCTGGAGAAGTGGGCCGACGAGATTGCTCAGAAGTTCAAGATTCGCAAGGTCAAAGGCAAATCGCAAGAGGAGGAGCACTTAGAGATACACCATTCGGTCTTCCAAGCTCCCGACTGGATCAGACCGGCCACAGCCGAGACATTAGCCTCGGATCTTGACGAGCCCTCTGGTGACAGAATATCTAAGATCGAGTTCGATGACATCGTTGAGAGCGTTAGGGTCGCCATAGAGATGGGCATGCAGCCCAAGCTCATCTCTCAGGGCAGTTCTGGAAGTTACTTTGCAAGGAATACCTCTGGCAAGATTGTTGGTGTCTTCAAGCCAAAGGACGAAGAGCCCTACGCATCCNNAAAAAATCCGAAATGGACAAAATGGATCCACCGAAACCTTTTCCCATTCTTCTTCGGACGAGCATGTCTCATTCCCAACCTCAGCTATATCTCCGAGGCAGCCGCTTATGTCCTAGACAGCCGCCTACGGACCCATCTGGTGCCTTACACGGATGTCGTTACGCTTTCTTCCAAAGCCTTCTTCTACGATTTCTGGGACAGACGTGCACATTACCGCAAGGGCAAGCCGTTCCCTGAGAAGCAAGGCAGTTTCCAGGTATTCCTCAAAGGCTTCAAAGATGCAAACATTTTCTTGAAAGAGCACCCATGGCCAGATCAACACAACTCAGGATTCCGGACAGATGCTGCGCCCAGCCGCAAGAAGAGGAGATGGGGCGAGGATTGTCGACCTAGAGGCGCTCCTTCTGACGATGAGGACGAGGACGTGGAAGGTTCACAAGCACCATACAGTGATCGCCAACGCTCGCGCAACGTGTTCTGGACGCCAGCTCTACAACAATCGTTCCGTGAACAACTGGAGAAGCTTGTTATTCTGGACTACATCATGCGCAACACCGATCGCGGACTCGACAACTGGATGATCAGAATTGATCAGCAGAGCCAGGAAGCTGAGATTGTCGTCGAACCACCTAACAAGCCGACAAATGGTCAAGCCGACCCATACAGAAGACAAGAGACGATGACTGCGGGCGGTCAAACCAACTCACGATCTTCTGCCACGGTGACACTTGGAGCTATCGACAATAGTCTGTCGTGGCCTTGGAAGCATCCTGATGCCTGGAGAAGTTTCCCATTTGGCTGGCTGTTCCTACCCGTATCCTTGATCGGCCGACCATTCTCGGAGAAGACAAAGCAACATTTCCTCCCATTGTTGACTTCGAAGCAGTGGTGGAGTGAGACTCAGGTTGCTTTGCGCAAGTGTTTCGAACAAGATGCCGACTTCCAGGAGAAAATGTTTGCTCGTCAGATTGCCGTCATGAAGGGACAGGCATGGAACGTTGTAGAAACTCTAAAAACGCCGGACCATGGTCCTCTGGAATTAACGAGACGTGCACGCGTTTGTGTGTGGGACGACTTGGTTGAGATTCCTGTTGCCGTTCCCCTGCGTCCTTCGAATGACATTCGACTGAAGCACAACGACATCGTCAAGGGTCCTGGCATCAGAGAGGAAGAAGAGATGGATATTGGTGCTGCCTACGCTTCAGCGCCTCCGTTGAAATTGCAAACCGATCTACTTGGACCCGACCTTCCCAACAACAACCGTTTCAACATTTCACGGCAGAACAGCAGTGGTGACGTTCGAAGAAGCGATGACAGCGTCGCTCCTCTATCACCTTCTAGTGTACAAAACTTCACCTTTGACACTGCGAAAGAGTCAAGATTCAAACGACCTGTGGCACCTCGCACCAAATCAAGACTCAGTCTCGATGAGACAAGAAGACTGTTTGACAATCTTGGAGAACGTAGGAGGTTCTCATTCGCTATTGGCAAGAGAAATGACGAAATTGATGTCGATGATGCAGAACTGGATGGCGATCTTGGTTTCGCAGCGGCAGAAGATCAAGAAGGGTACAGAAGAAAGGTCATCGTTGAAAGGATTGAGATGGTTAAGGGTAGGGCACCTGTATTTACTTGGTGTTAGTGTGGCATCGGCATGTAGACTCGGCGTTCTGGATGTGGGCTCGGCATGGGAAGATTCGAAACATGGGTGGGCAGCATTGCAAGGCGCTGTTAAAATACCATGTGTATACTTAGGATACATGACACGAATGAATGATGATAGTCCCTTACGAGCTTCTCGTGGGAACGAATCGACACTCGAGAAACGCCATAAGAGGTTTCGGACTTCTGGTAGCCGAGTCTTTCTCGAACGAGCCACAACCCTGTCTCGATATTTTCTGGTGCTCCCAAGACCAAGTGTTTCGATGGCTACCGTTATGATGGTTCATAAGCGCAAACTCCAGGCGGTTGGTACCAGGACAAAAACTCAGACCATCAACAAAGTCGTCGGCTTGAGTATGGGTGATTCGAGCCTCGGAAAAGGTTAACGAGGGAGCAGTCTGTCGAGTCCACAGTTTGGGGCGCGCATTGCTCTCAAAGAGATGTCGAGTCCTAAAAGAAAAAAGTCGAAGATGATATGAATTCCAATCTCGTTCGAGTCTTTCGCCGAAAGTTGACCGTGTAGAGTAGGTAGTCTTATGTCGGGTGTCTTGTGTTTTGTGGCAGGCTTGCGACAAGACGATGATGACGGATTGCCCCAGACCTTTCGCCGACTCGACGAACAATCATTCACTCGCCTCTCCATGGCTTCCCATCCATCCTAATCTATTGTCGTCGTTGTCGCATGTTCGAATCCGGTTGAACAGTTGGTCGTTGAGTATTTTCAAATGAATGCCGCACAGAGAGCGGCTCTGCTCAATCCTAAGGCAGCTCGTAAAGCAGCAGCAGCAGCAGCCAGTAAGTGACGGAAGCCGAACTCACTTGGCTCCATACATACCTATTGTCTATCGATTTCCGTCTCTATTCACATTTGTCTGCGGTGCTCTGCGAACATCACTCGCACTCGAGTCTTCACCTGCTTTTGGTTGCTTCCTTCTCTTCTCTCTTCTACCGCTCTTATCCTCCACCACTTCCACACCACACCACACCACTTCATCATCCTCTCTCACCTCGACTACTCCATCCACCTCTCATAACAATTCCTGCATCAACCTTCCTCGCCAGCAACTCAACCAACAACCATCCACCCCTTCTGACAACATCACACTTATCACATTTACATCTCCATGTCCCTACCACCCACTGTGGACCAGCAGTCCATTCCCTCCACCATGGATCCACAACCCCTCCCCCTCTACTACGGACCAACAGTCTCCACCTTCCACTGTGAATCAACAAGATCTGACATCTAATGAAGGCAAAAAGAGAGACCAGGACGATCTCACCAAGGAAGCACACGATGAGCCGGCTACTGGCGTCGCCTCCTTCATGGAACGGCAATACAATCTCGCAGATCGTGAGGCTCCAGCTGCGAAGAAACAGAAGATTGACGATAACAACGATGCCACGAAGCACAAGGCAACTTTCAAAGGTGGCAAAGGCGGTGTGATTGGTGATTATCTCAAGGACCAGCGTGATCAAGGTGCTCGCGAGGCCGGACCCGCGGCTATCGATCTCACTGCAGAGGACGACGAAATCGAAGTGGTGTCAGTGAAGTCGACTGGTCAAGATCCCAAGCGTGAGGTCTGTCTTGGTTCCATCACCGCAAAGGTCATGGCACACAAGGTACCCGCCGCCAACAGAAATCTGAGCAAGCACTCCGCGAACTGGCCGCCAGCCAAGATGCAACTACAACCTAGAGTGGGCCAGGAAAAGGTATACATCGCGAATGATGGCAAGGGTATGGAGTTCGGCAAGCTGGACCTCATCACTGCCCAAGCCCTTGCTCCTCTTTTCAAGAATTCTCTCGCCAAGTTGCGCCTCGCATCTCTTCTCAAAGAGCGCCCCAAGGAGCCGGACGAACAACCTGGACAGCCCATCTCAAAATCTCTGGACATTTCCATCACCCTGTACAGCACTGCCGAATCTGCCAAAGGTATTGGAAGACACCTTAGTCAGCGCCAGATCTTCTTGTACAAGCCTACAGTCATTTCACATGGCACTGAAGTCCTCAACCCGCATGTTCCCAACTACAACGTCGTTCCAAAGAGCAGTACCTCCGCAATCGTAACAGCACAATCAACCACTGGCTACCGAGTTCGCACCACTGAGGAGATCAAGAGCGATGTGCTTTCCATGTTCGACAGACTCGGAAAGACAGAGGAGCTCCCCGAGGCTGAGGCCGATCCAACACTTGTCAAGACAGAGCTTATGCAGCATCAGAAGCAAGCCCTCTGGTTCTTGACCAAGCATGAAACACTCACACCACCTGAAGAGGACCCACTCTGGAAGTTCTCAATCCGTAAGGATGGCAGCAGAGCTTGGTACAACGTGATTACCGGCGATGAGATGAAGAAAATCAGCCCTATCTTGGGTGGTCTTCTAGCTGACCAAATGGGTTTGGGCAAGACGCTCAGCATTCTCTCCTTGATCTGTGCAACGCTCGAAGAGGCAAGAGCTTTTGGTGCTGGCAAGATGGAAGATAGCGACCGAGTCAACGAGGACGTTGTGCGTCGTTCTGGTGGCACTCTGCTTCTCTGCCCTAAACCAGTCATCTCGAACTGGCAAGAGCAGATCGGCCAGCATCTGGACAAGCGAAAGGTCAAATACTACATGTACCACGGCAACAAGAGAGAGCAAGATCTGGATATCCTGGCACAGTACGACATCGTTGTCACATCTTACAGCATTGCTTCTAGCGAGTTCAGCTCTTCCTCAAAGAACTACAGCGCGCTCGGAGAGATTGCATGGTTCCGTATCGTCCTAGATGAAGCTCATCAAATCCGAACTCAAACCACCACTACCTTCAAGGCTGCTTGTGCTCTGGTCAGCAAGCGCCGCTGNGCAGTCACCGGCACTCCCGTGCAGAACAAACTCGATGACTTCGGTGCTCTCGTCAAATTCTTGAAGATCTACCCTTTCTCCGATAAAGGTGTCTTCGAAAAGCATTTCATGGCTCCTTTCAAATCAGGCGATCCTCAAGTGCTCGATAACCTTCGCCTTCTCGTGTCCAGCATTACACTCAGACGTTCGAAGGACAGAATCGACTTGCCTGATCGCCTGGAGGAGATCGTTCGTCTTCCATTCTCATCTGAAGAACAGGCTCTTTATGATGCATTCGCCAAGGACGCCAACAGAAAGGTGCGCGCCATGACACGCGGCAGCGACCGTCTGAGAGGCAGGAGTTACGCTCATGTGTTGGTCAACATCACCAGACTCAGACTGCTTTGTGCCCATGGAAGAGAGCTGCTTAGCGAGNNGGATGACATGAAGGTGCTTCAAGGCACCTCTTATGAGACCGCGATTGATCTCGGCGAAGAAGAGGACGCTGAGAAAGCCACCATGACAAAAGACCAGGTTTACGACACCTTCCATCTCTTGCGCGAGAGCACTATGGATGTGTGCTCGTGCTGCATGAATGGCATTGGCCAGCTTGAACCTCCCGCTGGTGATGACAGCGACACCTCGGACAGCGAAGATGAAAACGAAGAAGACATCATCGGATACCTTACCCCTTGTCTGCACTTGGTCTGCCCAGCTTGCGCCGACAGATACTGGAACGATCTCACGACCACTCAGACTCGTGACAACTACGCCACTTGTCCACAATGCGAGCAGTACGTCAGGGCCGTCATGCACCCTATCAGCCAGAAGGATGTCGACGACGACCTCGCAGCCCGTCAAAAGAAGAAGGGACAAATCAAGAGCAAGAAGGGCGTTGAGTACGGTGGCCCTCACACCAAAGTCAAGGCCCTCATCGAGGACCTCCAGCGCCACACCGCACAGTCGAAGGAACTGATCGAGATTGGCGAACCACCCATCCGCAGCGTCGTCTTCTCTGGCTGGACGGCCTATCTCGACTTGATCGAGATCGCTCTCAAGAACAACAACATCGGTTTCCTACGTCTCGACGGCAAACTCTCTGTCAGCGCTCGCACCGCCGTCCTCGACCGCTTCAAGACCGATCCATCGATCTCCGTCTGCCTCGTCTCCATCAAAGCCGGCGGCCAAGGTCTCAACTTCACAGCCGCCAACAACGTCTTCATGATGGAGCCTCAGTTCAACCCTGGCGTTGAGATGCAAGCCATCGACCGCGTACACCGCTTGGGCCAAAAGCGCAACGTGGTCATCAGACGCTTCATCATGGCCAACAGCTTCGAAGAAAAGATTGTCGAGTTGCAGAAGAAGAAGATTGAGCTTGCTAACTTGGCTACTGGACAAGGCAAAGTGGTCAAGCAGGACGCAAAGGAGATTTTCCAGAACTTGATGAGTTTGTTCTGAGTGTGGTTGATTGCAAGGGAGAAAAGGAGTTTCGAAGGATACAAAAGGCGTATAGGCGCAGGAATATTAGATTATCAAAGAAAGGAAGAGCGATGCTGAAAGAGCCAGAGGAGAATGCTTGAGCATGGAGGAAGAGCATACGAGAGAGGACGTATCAAGGAAGAAAGAGCGCACAAGAGAAAGCAATAGGAAGAGCGACGAGCATGGCTCTTTCAGATCAGAGCTGCAAGCTACATCAAGTATCACTTACCATCGATGTTCATTCGCAAAACACACATGTCATAATTGTACGCTTGCTCCTGCTGAAGTGCGACCTTCTACGCCCCCAATAAGGTTTGCAGCAATCGAACGATTGCTGGTCGAGGACCAAAGTCAGTAACAAAGACTCAAAACGGTGAGACAGTCAAGTGTCCTTGGAACACCAAGATTGCTTTCATGTTTCGCTATGCATGATCATCCAGATTGACGGAGAAAAAGAAATCCATTCCAGTATTGCGCCTCGCCTATGGTATTTATACATATAGTTCTCCAAAGTCAATCTTGTTTGCTGTCTTGATCTATTGCTTGAGCTTCTCGGTGAGCTCGGGAACCTTCTCGAAGAGATCGCCAACAAGACCGACGTCGGCGACTTGGAAGATGGGTGCATCGGCGTCCTTGTTGATGGCGGCGATGACCTTGCTGTCCTTCATACCAGCAAGATGCTGGATGGCGCCACTGATACCGGCACAGAGGTAGAGCTGAGGGGCGACGTTCTTGCCAGTCTGGCCGACTTGCAAACTGTTGTCTGCGAAACCACTGTCGACAGCAGCACGAGAGGCACCAATGGCGGCACCGAGGGCATCAGCGAGTGGGGGCATGATGCGGTCGAACTCGTCCTTGGACTTGAGACCACGGCCTCCAGACACGACCTTCTCGGCGGTGGCGAGGTCAGGACGGTCTGATTTAGCGAGGTCTTCGCTGATCCACTCGGTAGGGCACTCGGCCTTGGGGTCGACACCTTCCTCGACGGAAGCGCTACCGCCCTCTGCGGCACCTGAAGGGAAAGCAGTTCCACGGACGGTAACAATCTTGGGGCTATCGGCGGTCTGGACGGTGAGGATGGCGTTACCAGCGTAGATGGGACGGACGAAGGTGTCTTCCGACTCGATGTCTGTAATGTCTGAGACTTGCTGGACGTCGAGCATGGCGGCGACGCGAGGCATCAAGTTCTTGCCGAATGCAGAGTGGCCAGCGAGGACATGGGAGAAGCCACCCTTCTTGATGTTCTCGACGAGGAGAGGAGCGTAGTTCTCGGGCAGACCNNCTAGACAAAATTATGAGTGACTTGGTCCTGGAGGCGAAGCATGGTTACATACCTTGTCGTACGAGGCGTTGTCGACGTAGATGACCTTCTCAAGACCCTCGACCTTTGCAGCCTCTTCAGCGACAGCCTTGACATTGGATCCAGCGACGAAACCAGTAACGGAACCACCGAGCTTCATGGCAGCGCTCACAGCGGCAAGCGATGACATGTTCAGCTTTCCCTCTCTTTGTTCCAGGACAGCCAGAGTCGAGAGCAGGCGAGCGAGGGCGGCATCGCGCGACAGAGGAGCGGTAACTCTAGGGCGGATGCATGATGAGCGGGCTTGCCGCAAGGCAGTCTGTCGTGCTGCTGAGAACATGGTTGTGTGGTATGTGCAAATAGTAGAATGGAATCTCGACTTTAGAAACTCCCCGCTCTTTGCATACAAAGATGGTTCCGCGAAGCCGAGGTCGGCCGAAAAGCTTCCCCAGCATAGGGAACTCACCACCGAGGAACTTCGGACACAGACTGCGACTTTCAAGTCCAGCAAGGATTTCATGTCATGTCAGGCGTATTTGTGATATGGATTGTGTTGTCTATACAGATAGACTTCGAGGTTGTTTCTACCAACTACTGTTTCCTGGGACTCTGGCCAAGGCATACTAGAAACTTATAAGCAGATCGAGAAATCAAATCATACATTGTGTAGAGACCAAGAAGCCTGTTATACGTCTACTTCTCGCCGTATAAAAGCTGTTCGTGAATGTTCGTGAATGTTCATGAATGTTCATTATGCTCGAACACTTCCTGCCTCTGGTGCGGCTAAAGTCCGGCTATCAGTGGTTTGCGGAGAGTTCGGTGGTCGCAAGCGCGGAGGATCAGACGCGTCGGGGCCCTTTGGATACCAAGTCAGAACTCCATCTATTAATTCATCCACTCACGCGTTTCTACCTCCCCACATTGTCGCATCATGGATCCTCTTGCAAGCGAAGACACCACCAATGCGCCTGGAGCTGTGTCTGATGAATTGATCCAAGCCGAGAATGAGCAGGTCGAGGAGCAGCAGCAGGAGCACCAACAAGAAGCTCAAGGTGAACCGACTCGTCAGCCAACACCTTTGCGCGCATCGTTAACCAACCCGCGCAGATGCAGAAGACACCTCCATGATGGACGACACAAACGTCAAGTCACCCTCGGACAACCCGCTGGATGCGCCTGACGGCCCTCCCGCCGAAAATGACGGCCAACCCGCCGACGACGAGGACATGGCAGATGCCAACGAGGATGCTAAGGACGCCCCAGAAGCTGCCGAAGATACCATGGACGCAACACAACCCCAAGACACACAGCAACAGACAAAGTCACAAGTCGAGGCATCTGCTCGCTCACATCTGATTGAGCAAACCCACGCCATCATCCTGCCCTCATACAGTGCCTGGTTCGACATGCACCAAATACACAACCTTGAGCGCAAGGCTCTGCCCGAGTTCTTCAACTCGCGCAACCGCTCAAAAACACCCGCTGTCTACAAGGACTACCGCGACTTCATGATCAACACATACCGCCTGAACCCCCAAGAATACTTGACTGTCACTGCTTGCCGTCGTAACTTGGCTGGTGATGTCTGCGCCATCATGCGCGTTCACGCCTTCCTCGAGCAGTGGGGCTTGATCAACTACCAAGTACGGTCGCGCAAAAATACTCGCCTGATAGTTCACAGACTAACAACCTCTAGNATTGACCCTGATACTCGACCATCCAACATCGCGCCACCATTCACTGGCCATTTCCGCATCACCGCCGACACTCCTCGTGGTCTGCAACCCCATCAACCTGCTCCGAACTCGACAGTCACTGCTGGACGCCTAAACCCTGCTACCGACCGTCTAGCAAGCGCTACCCCTGCTATTAAGTCCGACTTGCACCTGGAAGTCAGACGAAACATCTACGAATCTACCGGAAAGGACGTCACCTCTAAGCAGGAGAACGGCACTGATCTTGAAGAATCACTCAAACAGCCTGGCAAGCAATACTTCTGTTACTCATGCGGCAAAGACTGCACACGCGTACGCTACCACAACGCAAAGGCCCCTCCGGCATCTGTCGCTGGNAAAAACGGCGCCATGCTCAAATTCGACCTGTGCCCTTCGTGTTTCATGGAGGGTAGATACCCCAACTCAACCGGTCCGGCCGACTACACCAAGCTGGAGAATGAGAAATACACAACTATCGCTGATCGCGAGGCGCCCTGGGCTGACTCGGAGTTGTTGCTGTTGTTGGAAGGCTTGGAGCTGTTTGACGAGAACTGGGAACAGATCGCTAACCATGTTGGAAGCCGCACAAGGGAAGAGTGTGTTCTCAAGTTCTTGCAGCTTGAGATCGAGGACAAGTACCTCGAGGGTGAAGACACAGTCGACGGTGCCTCAAACAACCTCGGCTTCCTAAGCAATGGCCGTGTTCCTTTCTCACAAGCAGACAACCCAGTCATGTCTGTCATGAGCTTCCTCGCTGGTCTGGCTGACCCTTCAGTTGCCGCAGTCGCAGCAGGCAAGACAGTGGAACAGATGAGAAAGCAGCTTCGCAGCAACTTGGAGAAAGAGTCAGCACCGGTCGAATCAGAGAAGGAGAAGGAGACTTCGGCTGAACAAGCAGAGCCCTCAAAAGACGACAACTCGATGGAGGTTGATGACAAGCCCACAGCCGAGAAATCCTCAAGCCCTAAGCCTCTTAAGGAGGAGCCCAAGGACGCTGCATCCTCACCCGCCACATTGGCTCTCAGCCTGACAGCCGCTCGTTCCTCAGCTCTGGCCTCACACACCGAACGTCACATCAGCTCGCTAGTTTCCTCAGCCGTCAACCTGCACATGCAAAAGCTCGAGCTCAAGCTGCAACAATTCGACGAAATGGAGACTTTGCTCCAGACCGAGCGCAGAGACCTAGAACGCCAACGTCAACGCCTCTTCTTCGACCGCCTGCAATTCAAGCGCAGAGTCGCAGACGTCGAGACCAAATTCGCAAGCATGGGTGTTTCCGTCGGGCGCGATGTCAGAGCAGCCGCTCAGGGCGAAGCACAGGACAAAGGAGACAAGCTTGGAGTCGTGGGAACCCAGGAAGGCGCAGCTGTTGCTCAGCAAAGCGATGACATCAAACCTGCCAGTGCGGATGAGGCTGGCTACAAGACTGCCGACATGTAGTGCAATTTGGACAGTTTTGCATGGTGAGATTGATATCAATAGGTAGCTAGCTTAGCGGCGGGCGACGGCGTTCGTTCTTCAAAACGAAGCACAAGGCACTAGGGGCTTTTCTTGCGGCTTTAGGATAAGGGGGTGTTAAAGATCAAGTTTTCCTTTCTTCTTTGGAGTGTTTTTCTTTCCTGACTATTTTGCTGCCACAAAATCACAAATCAACTCTTTTGACATTGTTCGACTAAATTTGGTATGTAAGAGTAAGAACCTCTTGTCACGTATGTTCATTTGGCACTCCATAAAAGTGCGACAAAACTCTTGATGGTGCAAGAGATTGGCTGTGAAGTTTTAAAAAATGTTCATCAAATTATCATAAAATCCTAGAACCAACCACCACTACTGATATTCCCATTGCCCCAATTGCCAGACCAATTGACAGGTTGGCCAGCAGTTGGATCCAGCACTGCTGCATTATCTTCAAGTCCAAATTGACGCACCAGTTGATCCCAGTTTTGCCAGTCTATATCTGCTGCAGGGTCAAAAGGTGAGAAGCCAGGTGGTGTAGGGTTATTGCTGTTCATATTCATGTTCATGTTGATATTGCCATTGGGAGATTGCTGGTGGTTTGTGGTGTGGAAATTGTTTGGTGTTGTTGCTTGGGGTGAGGGGCCTTGGTATGGTGCTCCGCCGTTGAAGGAAGTAAAGCCTTGTGGCGAACAGTTGTTGGCAGATGTGTCCATAGGAATAGTCGTTTGATCTATGCTCCTTGATGTTTCTGGTGCTAGGAGTGATACGTCCATTGGATCATCGCTGAGCACCACAGCTTCTATGCTCTTTGGTGAATTCATCAGCTCGGTCGAGTCGATTGGCTGTGTACCATACGCAGCAGGTCGCATGAATCGGGACAATTGTGCTGCACTCAGCGGCGCTCTGACCATTCGGGGTTGAGGAAGGATTGAAGACATTCCTGGCGGTGTTGCTTGCTTGATCGCTTCATTTTTTCGAATCGCTTGCAATCTTGCCATTCGAGCTTTGGCAAGAAGCTTCATTAATGGTTTCCATAGATGACCGCTGCGCGATTCTTCCTTGGTGGCTGTTTCGGTCCAACTGGCTTGGACACACCTCTCGACCGAAGACCACGCTCGATCAACCAGATCACCACTAGTGCGTTGGCAGAGCTCACCAAGCAGGAACGCTAATGCGTGCCACTGCATATACGTTTTGAAGAGCCAGCTCCATTTTTCTGTGCGAGACTCGGTTTCCATGAGCAGTGAATACTCAATGTTTTCGAGACTTGTGATGAACAGTTTCTCCCGGGTCTCTTCGGAGAGACTTTTACCGCCATCCTTTCTCTGGTAAGGGTGATANNACTTCGACAATGTTAGTTGTATCGCTGACCACCTTCTCAAGGTTACTCACATCATCAGCCACATCTTGCTCATCATCAGCCGAGCAACTGTAGCGGTGATCCAATATAGCGGAACCGACATGTCCACGTGTCGAAGATAACGTTCTTCGAGTCTCTTGTGACACTCATTGATCCATCGCTCTTTGTCCTCGAGTGTGACTGAAGCAAAGAATTCACCGCATTNTTTAGGTTCACCAGGCGGAATATAGTTGAGTCGACGGAAAGTGTTGGCGACCTCGAACCGGATAAGGCAAAACGACATGTCTGTGCAGCCTTGACGTTCTTCGGGCAGCTTGGTCATGCCAGGGGATATATCTTCATCGTTGATATTGAGCGGCATCTTTGTGTCAAAGGCTTGCTCNNGGCTAACATACTTACTTAGCACTCTAAACTTAATGACGAGTCGGGATGCGAACTTACTAATGGTAGGATCGCTTCCATGATCTTCGGAAGCGCGTACATCCAGGATACATATCTGCCACCATAGACGCCTTCGCATCTCGATTTCGAATGGTGGAAGTTTGAAATGCAGACCGTCTCGATGCACACCAAGAGTCTGCGCAATTCGGACAACAAGACCAGTCAATGTCCAGATGACGCGAGCATCGTTGTTTCTGCGTAAGCATATCAAGAAAATTACGATTGCTTGTACAACCATCATTTCTTCTGTGGTAAGGAAGTTTGCCCTTGCAAGAGCTTGCTCGACACCGAATCGATAGCGCGACAAGAGAAGGCCTTTCTCCTCGCCCAATTTAGTAAGACAATCATTTTCGGAAAGACTGGTAGTAGCACCATAGTATATAGCAAATAGCAAGGCCTCAAAGCTCTTGGATAGATTAGCAAGGTGAGAGGCAGATGCCAAAATGGTGGGCTCGATGGTAGGTATGTGGAGAACTTTGACCAGAGGGTCTACACGCTCCTTGTAGACATTCCAGTACGATTCAATCTGGCCAGCGATGGGATGTAGAGACAAGAGGTCGACATTTTGGGAACTGAAACTAAAGATCCAGCCATGGTGCTGATCAGGCTGTGACTGTACTGGCGACGAATCGTCGCCCTCATCGTCGGTGGCTTGATTCATTATACCTTTCAAATCCTCGACCTCATTGCTGAGATTGGCCCAGAAAGAATTGTTCACGTATCGAGAGCGGCCCTCGTTGATGACCAGACGACCAAATCTGGTTTCGAAATTGGCACTACGGGATCCATCTACGTATCTGTTTTNTGCCGCCCACTGCTCATCTTCTTCGCCATGTTTGTTGGAGCGTGTAGAATCGGGAGGTTCGGGGCATTTGCCAGTCGTTGGACCAGCCACTTCAGGGCGCTCTGAAGGGCGGGCTTCTACGTGAGACTCAGGCTGAGGAGGATCGGGAAACGACTCGGGATTTGCAATGTCTACACCGAGGCCTTTGACAACGCCCTCGAGACGGCGCAGTCTATCGAGCAGTTCGGCATCTCGTGAGTCGCTGACTTTGCGAGGTTTACGGGGCGCTCTTCCAGGAGTGGGAAAGACACACTCGATGTGTGCACGAGCGCAATTGGAACAGGGATGCAACTTGTCGCATTTGACCTTGCGCTTTCGGCAGGTCACGCACGAGCGCGGGTTTAGGACGCGACCGTGGGCATCCCGTAGCGGTGTTGGAGCCGGAGCCGAAGGTATGGATGACGATGACTTGGCTGAAGGCAGCGCAGGCGGCAACGACGATAGCGGGACCGAAGAAGTTGGCAGACGCGACTGACCGGGCAGAGATATGGTGTGCGACAGCGTTGGAGAGGGGCCCGGGTTATCCGACATGCTGCAAAAGTTGATGGTCTTCGCATTCACATCAAGCGTCAACAGATGGACCACCAAAGGCCGAAGACCCCGATCCAACAGAATCATGCACTGACCGCGAAGAAGAAGCTTCGACCAGTGCGGGGTGGACGCGCTCCAAGCGTTTCCTGTCTGTTTGAGAATCCAGATCCTCAAGTCTGTCCAAGAGGCAGCGATGCCTCTGTCGCGGTCCAGTAATATGTGAATTGGATATTGTAATGTTCCTCGGACGAAGTTGGAAGAATGTGTCAAGTATATCTTAATAGGAGAGGTACTGACCATTCAATCTCGTCTCTTTCCAAAATGTTTTGTGATGCCAAACGCACGCGTTGCAAACGATAGCATGCGGGGAGAATGGACTAGGACGCGGCTCTAAGTTAAGCATACACTTCTCGTGAAGACTACTTCAGCTCTTGTCAGCAGCCTTGTTCAATGACCATTCTGCCTCTGCTGGTCAGAGACCCAATGCTCGAGCGTCTCTGCAGATTCGAGCTGTGGAGGTTGCGCGTCAAGAGGGCGCAAGACTGAAACTGCGCGTGGATCCCTGGCGATCTTAGAATGACTCGCGCAACTGAAATATGTCATGGATCCAGTCAGCCCTCGTCCGGCATCCGCTCCTAACGGGAAGTCACTCGTACCGTTCCGCGCCTGCCGCCGTTCTTTCTTCTCCATGGCGCCTATGGACAAGTAAATTCGAGTCTTCCTGAGGTGTAGACGAGTGCTGCGACTGGTTCGAGGTTTGTAACGAAGCTGGGGAATACCACAGGAATGGTCGTTAGGTGCGTCGCGCTAGAGGTCAAGGCGGTGAGCACTCCGCTGTATGGAAGCTCTAGAAAGACGGTGACGAGCTGGCGTTTCATGAGCAGCGAAAGCTCGCGCTACCGCCGAGCATACAGTAATAGAATGCCATTTGAATTAAAGCGTCTTCCATTTGCGCGTCATAGGCCAGGACAGCCCCTTTAGCATACGAGTTGTAGAACAGGTGGACTTTGTCTGGTGTTCGAGATTCGACAGTTGGTCAGCTCGCGCTCGATTGATTAAGGTGAACATTTACTTGCTTGTTTCAACGCTGCTCCACCACGGGCATTCGCAACACGCAACAGCAATTGTTGCTCCTACACCGCCATCACCCCCGCCGATTGTGCCCGTGCGCTTTCGAGCTCTCCCGATTTCTTCCAAGCACTCACGAATCAAAGTACTGTGCATCGTGTACGACCTTGAGCACGCGTGCTCGTCTCCTGCTTCCCTCTTCCCCTCCTCGCCGAGTGCAAGTGCCTGGCTTGAACAATGCGTCGGCACCAACCTCCATCTGCTCTGCCCCCGAATGATCCTCTTTCTCTGCTCCGCGCATACGACCACGAATCTAATCCCAGTCGCCCCATTCGTTCTTCGCCGCTTACAGCCTCGACCATCCATGGCTTACCACTCGAGCTGATCGACCGCCTGCGCTCCTTTCCACTCTTCGCATCCGCTCCCGATACCTTCCTTGCCGCCATTGGAAAGTTCCTGCGACCACAACTCTTTCAGCCACATGAATACATCCTCACAGAAGGCGATGATGCCAAAGCCATGTACTGGTTGGTGCGTGGTTCGCTCAGAGTCACGTCAAGAGATGGAGAAAGCACATATACCGAACTCAAACCTGGCGCCTTCTTTGGCGAAATTGGCATTTTGATGGATATTCCGCGTACCGCTACTATCATTGCTCAGCTGCGCTCGCTGGTCCTGAAACTCAACAAGGAAGACCTGCANAAAGTCCTCCCAGCCTTTCCTGCCGTCGAGCGAGCCATACGCGAAGAGGCCACCGAACGCCTGTCAATCCTCGAACGTCTAAAGAAGGAACGCGTCACATTACCTGCTACTTCGGGTTTGCGCAAGCGATCGCGTGACTTCATCGAGCGCGATATTGATATGCAAGACGTAGGCTCTCAGGACGATAGCAACAAGCGTCGCAAGTCTCCTAGCCCTAGTCTTGCAGAGGCAGCCGCCAACAGTGTTTTGGGAAGTGCAAATCTGACCGTCCGTCAGATCTTGCAAGAGTTGCCCTTGTTTGCAGGACTACCTGCTGAGATCCTACATTTCCTGGGCATCAATGCCCAGCCATGTTCCTTTGGTCCGTTCACAGACATCATCACTCAAGGATCACAAGGCCGGGATGTCTTTTTTCTGGTGCGCGGCGAAGTCGAGGTCGTGACCGAAACGCCTGGCAACAAGACCCACGAGGTGACAGGAAAGCTATTACCCGTGCAGCGTGTACGAGCTCGTCTTAAGCCTGGCCAGTATTTTGGTGAAGTTACTAGTCTCTCTCTGGCCCCGAAGAGAACGGCGACGGTTCGATCCATCAACAGCGTTGAATGTCTACGTATCACAGGTCAGGTTCTGGATGAGCTCTGGAAGAACTGGTCATCAAGTCTACGTCAACAGGTTGAACAAGAAGCTAAGCGGAGACTAAAAGAGGTCGAAGACACAGACATCGTCTTGCCAGACGCTCCTTCTGCTATCGACGCACTCTCAGCCCTACCACCAGAAGATCAATGGAAGAAGAGCGTACCCACTGTCACATTCAGTAATACTGAAGTTGGAAGTGCAATCACGAGAGACATGTCTCCTATCGCAGCTGAACCCCTGGATCCCGATCCTTTCTTCAGCATTGATATAGATAACGTGCGCGCAAAATCAAGGAGAAGCTCTCTTGCCCCTCCGTCTCCCGAGCCGGTCATGCACGAAGCCACCCATCGCCAACCTTCGCCTCCTTCTGTAGGACGCGCACTTCCACCATCTCCTTTGAAGCCAAGGTCATCGGTATCCTCGTTATCTCCTGCATCCGAAACTCGGCGTCCAATCAGCCGACGTCCTAGTGTCTTCGGTAGACCGTCCAGCCGGTCAGGAAGAGGCCCTCTACCGGACTCAGTGCTTGCCATGGTCTTTCAATATCTTGACCTCCCCGATCTCATGCGCCTGAGACTGGTGTCGCCGCACTGGACCCGTCTTCTGACTACAAACCCGGACATCATTCAAGACCTCGACCTGTCACGATACAACCGACGTGTCACAGACTACGCCTTAAAAGAGGCCATCTGTCCCTTTGTGGGATCTCGTGCGCGTCATGTCAACATCAACAATTGTTTCCATGTAACCGACGATGGCTTCGCCGCGCTGGTCGAGTGTTGCGGAGAAAGTGTGCGTAGCTGGAGAATGCGAAGTGTGTGGGATGTAACAGGACAAAGTATTTTGGATCTTGTGAACCGTGCGAAGCGTCTAGAGGATATTGATCTAAGCAACTGCCGGAAGGTTGGCGACAATCTCCTAGCACGAATCATAGGCTGGATCGTACCACAACCACCACCTGGACAAGCAGCACCTCTGCTACCACCGGTCGCTTCTTCATCTCGTCGACCAGCGATGAAACGTAACGCAAGCAGTACTGTGGTTCCACAAGCGGATCAACCCGCCCCGGGCACTGTAGTAGGAGCTGCAGGATTGAAGCGGTTGACATTGAGCTACTGTAAACACGTTCAAGACAGAAGTATGGCGCACATAGCTGCACATGCAGCAAATCGACTTGAGAGCATTGATCTGACACGTTGTACCTCGGTCACGGATCAAGGCTTTCAACATTGGGGACTATATAATTTCCCACGATTGCGTAAACTCGTCCTGGCTGATTGTACATATCTCACCGACCAGGCGATTGTGGGTATTGCAAACGCTGCGCGAGGANNCTCAAGGAGCTGGATTTGGTATGTCTTCCGTCATGTTGTCGAACTTATCAGTGGCTAACACATTTCTCGATAGTCTTTCTGCTGTGCACTCTCAGACACAGCAACGGAAGTCCTTTCGCTGGGCTTGACGCATCTCACACATCTCGATCTGGCCTTCTGTGGTTCGGCTGTCTCGGATTCAAGCCTTCGTTGCATCGGTCTGCATCTCCTGGAGCTGGAATATCTATCTGTACGCGGCTGCGTACGAGTCACTGGTCAAGGCGTAGAGAGCGTCGTTGACGGATGCCCTCATCTCTCACTTTTCGACGTCAGTCAGTGCAAGAACCTCCTTCCATGGCTGCGGTCTGGCGGCGTACAAGCTGTCAGGCAAAAGGGCTGTAAAGCGAGGTTCGAAGTCGTGGCTGATGGGTCATGGCGTGGTAGTGGAGCAGCATATAAGGGATTGCATTGCTCTATTTAAGGCGCTAACATATCGAAGCATTTCTCGGGCAAGGATGTTTGGAATCTCTTGGGTGTGTTGTCATATACTGTAATGCATTTTAGCGAATCATGGCAATGGGAAATTTTGTTCGATTTCTTTATCGTTACTGACCTTTTGAGTTGAAACACAGAACCAGTATGACTTGTCGAAGTCACTAGCACTGACAGATACTGGCTTACGAGAACTGAAGCTAGCTATGAACCATATCATATTCAAAAGATGAACAGATGAGTCTCTTTACCATGTACGAATCGGAGGGGCTCCGAACAAAGTTCGATGTGCCTGAAAATCAGATGCCCTAAAACTCCGGTAAAGAACGCCCCGAGGGGGATGCGGGAGAGCTCCAGCTTCATGCAGCCTCCACGCAACCGGGTAGCTAGGCATGACGTTTCGTGCGATCACGAATGTCCACGAAAGCAGTCGCGCATGAGAACGAACGTCATGACTTCAACAGCAGGACGCAGATAAACAAAGCATTTGACAATCTCGAGCTTCACGGCAGCTTCATCATCATCATTCTTCGAACATCGTATAACACAATTACTTCAAACAAACAAGATGGCTCTTACAGCGGATAAAGTGGTACGCAACCCCAGAGCTCCCACATCTGGATCCACCATCCGGAGCTATCCAGACAGCTGTAATGAATGAGCTGCTGACGAGAGCTTCCAATAGCTCCTCCACGGATACTGCTGGGGTAATGCACTCTGGTATGGCTCAAGAGGACTCTGTCGCGTCTGGGACCCATTGATGGTTATTGGCTGTATGTCCTTCTTATCTCCAAGCTTTGATCCCAATTGATGATCTGACGCGTTTCCAGGGTTCCGTCCTCCAGTCGAATCACACCTGAAGCCCACCGGTAAGTGGTGTCCCAACTCCAACAGCTGCAAGAGCAATCAAGACTGAGACCACACAGACCTCGAACTGTATAACGTACGCACCGATGGCTGGGGCCTTATCTCCCTCGCTGGTTCCCTGATAGTTCTCTCTCGTGCCTACGCCCACGGCGGCATCAACAGGACCTACTCGAAAGCCTTCATTGCCGTCTCCATCTTCCACCACGTCACAACCATGTTTGGCGCATGGCAACATTACAAGCTGGACTCTCACTACACCAAAGCCATGTGGATTGGCGTCTGGGTCAATGCATTCTTGACCGCAGTGGGTGGTGTCGTGCTAGGAGGTCTGAGCAACGACTCCGTCGCCAGAGCCAAGATCGCATAGAACGTTTTGTGCCAGTTTTAGAAGGACTTGAGGTATAATTTGTGGTTGAATCTTTGGGCACGACGAGGCATTTCCAAAGGCAAACGCAAACAACGAAATCGGAAGGCAAAGAAGAGCTTGTTACTTACGGATACATGAACATCGTTCAGAGGGGGATGGAACCGCGCTAGGGATATCGCTCGCTCGATCGGTATATCGATAATAGAACTAACCGTGTTGACTTAACAAGCCCTCCGGACCATCCTTATATGGCGCTTGATGGCCCTACATTGCTGGTAGTTCTGGTCGAATCTCGTGCTAAGACTTGGTGAAGACCAGCAGGAGAAAAACGCTTGGCGTTCCGAAAATGTGGCTTCTCCTCCGACAAAACGCTACGCACAATTCTTCAGGCATGATAAAAAATGCTTTGAGGTAGACTGACGTATGTGGTGAGCAGCCAAAACCACGTCTAAATTGTACCTGGACAGAGCAGTCGGTGAGTTGCTGGTAGATTGCCGGCAGTAAATACGGATCTCAACGGCCACAATGGCCGCATCTGGAGCCAACAACGTCTATATTCACACCGTTTCGCTCCAGACGAAGGCATTTCTGAACCCACACTATCGACAAGGCGTATTGACCAAACTTCAAAGTCGTCTTTGGCAGAGGAATGTGCAGCAATGAGGTTGTGAGACATATGAACACACCGAGCGTGGCTTAACGGCATTCTTCTTTGGCAGAGTTTCTAGTGCCTTTTCTGATCCGCCCTATGGTCGATAATGGTAAGTCATCTGTATATATGAGTGTGGTCTCCCAGTCCCTAGATTTGGTATCTCTTCTTCCAGTCACGATCTTCTTGTAATACTATCTTGCAATTTCATTTCTCTTCTCAATCTTTCATCGCATCAGTCCGGTTCTATAACATGCATTTCATCAACACACTCCTTCTCGGCGCTGGTGCCATCTCAATGGCCAGCGCAGCAACCACACCACAATACCTCACCCTCGGCACTTTAAACTCCAACACGCCCAGCGGCATCCACACACCCGCCCTATCCACCATCAGCTTCCCCATCACCGACTCCAAGACCAAAGCGACCACCACCTGCACCATCCAATGGGACTGGACCAANAAGCCCTCTTCCTCATGGACACCCTGCAAAGACTCCTCCTTCAGCATCAAGGTCTCCAACTACAAGACCATGACGGATTTCAAATTGGATCTGCAACATCAGTATAACACCAAGACGGGCAAGAAGTGTGTTAATCCTAATGGCACTGGGTGTACTACTACCTTGGCTTCGACGACGGTTTCGAAGACTGTGGCGGGATTCCAGAGTTATTGTGGTGCTTCGGGGGCTTGTGGGGCTGTTGGGAAGAAGGGTGTTAAGGTTGCTGTTTCTTCGTCAAAGACTGGTACGCAGAAGTAGTTGCGATGGATATTGACTTGGATCAATGTAATTAGATGGGGAGGGCTAAAGAATCGACTAATCCACCAAAGTTGGACACCGAGGCCCTCGTCAATAGTCGAATATCATGGACTTCTCAGACATCATCACCAGCATAATTTCTAGATTTCTCTTCTCATGTATAAACTGCTCTTTCTCTCACATCGGGTTATACAAATGTACACAAGACTCTTCTGTCGGACTGATAGACTTTCGAGATACTCAGATGAGATGCTCAATCCTTCCTGTTAGAGCGATGAGCAATAATACAAAGTAGGTCATGATATGAACAGGGTCACCACAACGACAAAATGACGTCGACGCGACCCCGACACGGTGACCCGGGCTGTGACCATCATGCATATGCGACTGCACGAGCAAACAAGCAGCACATGAAACCTCTCCAACCACGGTACAGGTACCTGGACCAGACACAGCTCACAAGCAGGAGACCAGTAGCAAACCGCATAACCCAGCGCGTAGCAAACAACCCACAAACAATCGTCGCAGCAGCAAAAAGGGCTGAGCAAGCCACCAACATCCATCCCATTCCTCCTCTCGAAAGAACCCATCGTACAAACACCAGAAAGACCTGAAGCCATGTCAAATACCACCGACCGCCCTTTCGCAACCGCAAAACCACGACTCGCCTCTAGCGCAAAGTCTCCTCCTCCCTCCACCACCACACCCACACCAAAAGACCAAGACCTCCCCTACGAAGAGCGAGAAATCCGCAACCGCGCCGCGCGCATGCTAGAAAACGAAGAAATGCTCTTGTTGCTGAGCAGACAAAGACACGAGGTAAAAACCCACATAACCCCCACCCAAGCTGCCTTTTGGGTAAGAAAAAAAAAGCAAATTGCTGAAGCAGCGAAATTGGTGTCGACTGTANNGTCTGTTCTCCAGACCCGGATATATTGCGAAGCCAGAGCTGCTGGATTGAAAGACGAGACGTTGAAGTTTGACTGTACTATGGATGTGAGCGAAGAGAGGGATTCTAATAAGGCGGGTACGAAGAGTCCGGCGACAAAGGGTACGGCGCGAGTGGTTTCTGGATCGAGAAAGAATAATGGGTCACCGTTGAACAGCAAGAGAGATAAAGATCGTGGTCGGGAAGGGGGAAGAAGGAGTATTGGATCTGCCAGGTGAAGGGGGAGACCACAGACACATGTACGTTTTTCTTTGGATTTTCATGATACCCCTGTTTTGCTGTTTGGTTTCGTTGCTATGCTGCTACAAAGGATATATGTTTTCACAAATACATTGCCGCTTCCGAGTTGCTGTCAATGAAGACGTCTAGATATATGTTCCCCCAGTTATGACTGCGAGTCCTTTCATCCCACCAGGGCAGCCTTGTCACCGCCATACTTGCCTTGCGGCCCGTCAAGATGAGCATCTAGTACAGCGCAGACACCGCTCTTGACTGCTTCGATTGCTTCGGGAAGCTTCTTCGCCAGTTCCTCCACAGTACCAGCATGGCCGGCCCAGCATTTTCCACCCGAAGCTGCCTTTGCAATACCTGCGTAGTCGGGCGTGGGTGCGAATGAGATGTTGAGTTCTTCGTTCGAGACCTTGCTGCCCTCGCCTTCTGGATGGACCAAAAGAAGCGACTTACGTGGTGCATTCCAGCCTGTTCGATGTCAGTAGATGTCCATGAAAACTACAGCATCGTTAGTCCTTACCTTNNTGTTGTTGAGCACGACAGTGAGGATGGGGATGTTGTAGCGTTGTGCGATCCAGTACACCGATCCTGGCACACTGAAGAGATATGTGCCATCGCCAACAATCTGGACCACGAACTTTCCTTTTCCACCATTCTCGAAGTCGGTTGCAAGCTTGATTCCTAAAGCGCCGCCTCCTGACCATCCGAGTCCACCACCGCCGCAGTTGATCCAAGAGCCTGGGAAGGTGGCCTGAATCTGGTCTGCAACGAATGCTGTATTCGTCACTGCTTCGATGGCCCAGATAGTGTCTTGAGGACACGTCTTGCGTAACTGGTGGATTAAGTATGAACACCCGAACGTGCCATCTTCACTAGGCTTTGCTTGGTCTGAGATCGCCTGCAAACGTTGCTTATGCGAGTCCTGGAGTTTGGTCCACTTCTCTTCGAATCTGCTGCTCGTAATCTCGCTTTCGAACTTGGCCTTGAGATGTTCAGTGATTTGCGTCACAGCAGTTTCTGAGTCTGCACGATATCTGGCCAAGGCATTGATGTAGAACACTGGCATCTGTTGTTTCAGAGGATCAACGTCAATGTGAATGATCTTGGTGTCGTCTTTGGGCTTGCATTGAGTTGGGATCCACGGGACATCGCAATCCAGCACGATAATCAGATCTGCAGTCTTGATGTTATCCTCTACACCATATCTGAGGCCTAGCCAGGCTGGGTGGTCGGCTGGGAAACACATGTCGCTACCACCAGTGTCTAGTACTTTGAGACCTTTGACGGTGTTGGCGAGCTCGACTAGCGCTCCAACAGTACTGTGGTTACGTCCGCTGTAGCCAGTAATGACAAGGGGAGATTCGGCTTCGACCAAGAGTTGAGCAACATTTTCGATCTGTTTCGAGGTCAGAGCGCTCGGCTCCACTGCTGTCCAGTAGCGTTGGTCGAGCTTGTACGGTTCGATGTCTTCTTCCATGGCCTCTCGAGCTCCCGCGAGATACACTGGACCCCTGGGCTCGCTTGTAGCAAAAGCCAAAGCTCTGTTGACCAGCTGCTTGACATTTGCTCCACGCTTGATCTCTCCAGTATAGCGACAGTACTGTGCAACGATCTGCTTCTGATCGGGAACATCCTGGATCCAATGGATATACTCGGTTCTCGAACCGCGGTACTCGCCTTCGATTGTGTATGGCGAAAGTCCAGCGAAGATGAGAACAGGTGCTCTTCCGCAAGAAGCATTGTGAACTGCAGCACCAAGACCTTGGGTTCCTACGTCGACATGAACGATGACACATTGAGGCTTGTTGGTAAGTCTGGCATATCCATCAGCCAGACTCAGAGCAACCATCTGCAAAACATCAGCAGGAAGATCAGCTTGGGCAACATACTCTATTCATACCTCATTAGGACACGTGATGATACGTGGGAAATTTCCATTCTTCTCGTTTTGTCCTTTGACAATTGCTTCGATGATGCTGGGATGATCTGAGCCGAGATTGACGAAACAATGCGTGACGCCAGNCCTAAGTTCAGAGAGTCAATATCAAGCAGTGTTGCAGGAGTCAATGGACCCCACCTCATATATAGCCTCGAAGAAGGCGAAGGACGCAGTATATACCCTACTGCTGTCAGCCGAGATGCATGTATAGAGGCTTGGCTGCATACATGGTGTCGTATTTCAGGAACCAGTAACACAACGATCTCAATCACGCGGACTGGTAACCACACAACTCTCAATACCAAACAAAGTTGCAGTTCCAGAGAGACGGAGGGAAGCAATGAAGTAGACGGCCGTCTGGTGTGTAACATCAATGACCCCGCTGTTCGGCAAAGCAATACGGCGAGCTTCAGACAGACCCCACTTTCTACATTCGTCTATCGGCCTCAGGCAGGAGCGAATAATAGCGATCTTTTCGAAACGAGTGTCTTGATTCTTTTGATTATTCTACAGTTCTTTCCTTTTTCTTAGCAATTATCTTGCATCGCGCCTACTCTACCTCCTCGCTATTCTTATGTACACAGGTCAAACGTGTCTATGCCAAATTTATCCTCTAGCATGACTCTCTTTCTTCTGTTCGATACTGCTTGTATGACTTTATCACCAATGTCAAACAAGTGCATCGAGTTGTCCTTGTTCTGGAATCCTTAGATGGACGGACCCGAGACACTAGAGCTGCGTCCAGTCCTGGTTGCATTCAGCTCTTCCTCGAGCGCATGGACTTTACCAAGACGAGCTGCAGGCAGCCACTTGTCCTTGGGCATGAACCAATATGAAAGAAGAGCAAAGATGGTAATTGCACCAAAGATGACAGGAGAGTAGTTGAAGTTTTCACCAGTAACGGGGAACTCGAGAGGGGAGAACAAGACTGCAGCCAGGTAGAGATTCCAGATGAGAGCGACGAAGTTCATGGGACGGGACCAGCGACCAAGAGACCAGGGGGCATTCTTGAACTCTCCTGGTGTCAAGAAAGTGCGGCCGAAGCAAATCAAAGCATAGGCTGTGATGGTGGGAACACCTGCAGCAGAGACCAGCGACGCGAACGCGGTAGCAGAGGGCAGAATAGAGCAAAGAAGCAGTGCAGCAACGCCCAACATGACAGTGACTGCGTTTCTTGGCTCCTTGTTTGCAGAGACTGCAGAGATCCAGCTCGAAAATGGTAAGACACCATCACGTGCAACAGCCCAGATCAGACGAGATGATGCGACACCACTGACAGTGGTGTTGAAGAAGAGACCAAGGATGCAAACAATGTTCATCACAAGCTGACCACCTCTGCCCATGGCCTGGGCGTAAATACCGACGAACGGTTGAGGATAGTCGAAGTTAAACTTGCTGAGGTCTGGGCAACAGAACAAGAACAAGATAACCATAGGGAAACCCATGAGTGCAGAAACCAGGGCAGATGTGAAAATACCCTTGGCGGCAACAACGTTCGCATTTTGAGTCTCCTCAGAGATGTGTCCTGAGGCTTCGAATCCGACCAGGATACCTGCAGTAACATAGTAAGACAGCATCCAGTTCCAAACCGGTGGAGCACCCGTAAGGTTTTCTGTAGCTGTAAAAGCAAACTTGGCTGACTGAAATCCGTAGGTCTGAGATACTGCGATAGGGAACCAGATGATGTTCAAGACAAAGTCAAGAACAATAATGGCAGTAGCAATTCTGAAGATCCACTTGTAGGTCTTGGGGTTGAGGTAGTTCATGCCAATGGCCAGGAACAGGATAGCTTCGGAGACGGCCCACTGCACAGCGCGGAACTTGACATCGCTAACGTCGGTAATGACGGAGGTTACACCGAAAACTGGGAGCTCCGACAGGATGAAGTTGGCGGTACTCTGACCAAGAGAAGCCACGAAAGTTGTCCATGCCGTGCACGACCACCATGCGACAATAAAGCCAAACAGACGAGCATATTTAGGACCGCCAGCTTCTGCGGCCCAGAAATAGATCGAGCCAGCGGNCGGAAGGGCAGAGCAGATCTCTGCCAGACAGGCGGCAGTGATCATGGTGAAGACCATGGTGACGAGGTACGACGANNCCTAGATGAATTAGTACTTGAGCTACTAACAAGTCACAACGGCGGTTTGGGATCAAGCTTACCAGTAGGCTGCAGGACCTCCAGCCTCAACACCGATATAGAATGTTGCACGGATACCACCGATAACGTACATTGCAGCTGCATAGTTGTTAGACGAGGTCGTCATCAAAGCGTCTGAGGTGCGTTACCAAAGCTGGCGGAAAAGCTCTCTGCGAACTTCCATTGGCGGTGCAATGTCTGTATAGATGTTAGGAGTCTGGTTCTTGATATTGTCTGGCAGATACACTCACTTGTTTATAACCGAGCGCATTCTGCCCTGTATTAGGTCAAATGTTCTCCGGAACACGGAAAGGGGAATCAAGAAAGGGCGATTCGATAGTCTCTGCATCTCCTTACGCGTCTATGAAGACGATCAAGTTCGTGCGGTTCTTCTCAACCTGAGGCCATCCCAATGCCTACAAGAGGCAAAGGGTGGGTCAGATGCCCGCGTGCAGTGACTTTGTTGTTGTATTGTCGTCGTAGAATCGATTGATCTCTTGGCCTTGAACTCACCTATGGCCATGATGCGCGTTTGGAGGATGCTTTGGTTTGACTCATCTGTTTCGTCCATTCGAGATTCCAATCATCTCATACCAAATAGCGTTCATCTGAGTCCATGCTCGAGGTTTCGGCAAAGTCGGATTGCAGAGCGTTCTTAGGCTCCACACCGCTGCCGCGATGCTTCATCTGGGTCGACATGCTGATTTCTGGATGTAGGTCGTAGCAGGTCAATACACTGAGGAGGCGATGTTGAGAGGAAGCAGCAAGTGGTGGGAACGGCCCAGTCACATCATATTATATTTTTTCCTTCTGCGCCTGATTGGACCCTTATGATCACACCCGACACTTTCCACCACCATCGGCCCGCCGCTGATTGAGGCCGAGGTCGGACGATCCTTCGCTCAACATCAAGCCACAACAAGCATCTTCGTCGTCAAACACCAAGAATGCTTGTCTGAAATACTGCTGTATCACGGTTCTGCTTGCCTATCTTCTCTGCTCTCATCAGCCATGCCTTGATGTTCAGCGGCTGCAAGTCAGGGATGAAAATGCGACACGCTAACGACGCTTGCCGTTAGACTTTCAAGTTCCATGAGTTCCAGCCGCGAACCGCGACTCCCGGATGTGGTACCGTACTGTACCTCAGCCGTCGTCGAGTACTCTCAAGATTTCCTTCTTTTACTGCTCATTCGTCGTGAGTTCATGATAATCCGACATCAACACCGCTTCCACGTATCATCACTTGTCGGTACTGCAACCACTATTCTGTCACCGTCATGAAGCCACAATCATAACAACGCCGACATACGAACTCTTTCAATGGCTTGCCTCAATCTCTCATCACATATACTGTCTTCTCGAAGATGTTCATAGTCAGGAAGTTATAGAAGTCCATCAGTAATTCTGCACCACCATGAGCGAGCAACGCGGCTCTAGTGCTTTTGAAGAGTCCTCGGCTTGCACTGGTGTTTACAAAGACCAACATACTACTTCTGAAAGAAGACAATCATGGCGAGGACGAGGCCTGGAAAGTCCGGACCTACGACGCAAATCCTCAGAAAGACGGAGGTCCTTCGAAAGAGCTCCAAACCGCAAACATTGGTGGAAGTTTACCCTAAGATCATGGGACGACGATCAAGAACAGGATTGGTGGTTCGCTGGCACTGCGATTCCGCTCCTCGCCGCGACTATGGGTACGTGTGTGTAGAACAACCACGCATCATTTTGCATTTTGACTTGTCTCGATCGCTTCCTGGACAGTCTTTGATGAAGAAATCGAACCTTCGTCATGATTCTATGCTGCAGATCGTATGAGGTCGGAGTACGAAAACCTGCTAACACCACTTCTCTTCGANNAGGTCCTCTAGCGAATGTCTTGTCAATCGCAGCCTTGGTCACACCATGGCGGATGTGTCTGCTGAATGGGGTTGATCCCGAGACTTGTCCTTGGGACGGCAAGAGCGAGCTGCTCTCAGATCTTGATGGTCACACCTTTGCAGACCCTCACTGGTGTTACGCGCTCAACATATTCTCGCTCGCACTAGGATTTGCAGGCAACATCTTCCTACTGTTCAACTTCACAAACCGTATCAGATATATTATCGCGCTCCCGTTCACGATCATTCTGTGGTATGCAGCGACTGGTGTTGTGAGTTCTTACAAGTTCGGCCCTCCATATCCGTCCATGCTAACTTTTGCANNGTTGATTGGCATTGAGGCATCGATGAATCAATATGTACCGCCTCATCGACCCCAACAAATCTACACACAAGGCTTCTGGTATGCCGTCATAGCTGCAATCTTCTATTTGATATGCTCCATGCTACTCATGGTGAACATGCTTGGATACTTTCTCGGACACTATCCGCAACGATTCAATCTTACAGACTCCCAGCGTACGCTTATCTTGCAGACCATGCTGTTCTTCGTATGGCTCGCTGGCGGTGCCGGCGTATTCTCGCTAGTCGAGACCAAATATGGACTGGGCCTGTTCAACTGGTCCTACGTCAATGCACTGTACTTTTGTCAGGTGACTGTGTTAACAATCGGCTTTGGAGACTTGTACGCGTCGAGCAATATTGGACGAGGGCTGGTCATGCCCTATGCGGTTGGAGGTATCATCATGCTCGGTCTGATCGTGACCAGTCTCACGACTTTTGCGGCAGAACTGGGAGAAGATAACATAGTTCAAAAGCACATCGAGAGGACTCGCACCCGAACCATAGGAAGATCATTCACAAGCTCACTCGAACTCAAGGAGCGTGAAGAGCTAGCGATGGGGTTGAGACCAACAATCTCGAGACCTTTTGACCCGGTCAACCGCAGTATTGTGTTTGCTGAGAATGCTACACCGCCAAAAGACAACGAGTCGAATCAGGACCAAGGAACTTTCAGCGCTCTGAGACGCACCGCAACAATCCCGCTGACTGTGCTTCGACCAACTCGCAAGCCTCGTCTGTTACTCCTTCGCGAGGAGAAAGACCGTTTCAATGCGATGCGTCGCATACAAAAGAACACCGAGAAATGGAAGAAATGGTCTAGTCTGTTCATATCATTGGCGGCCTTCTCCATCCTGTGGTGCGTTGGTGCTGTGATCTTCTGGGTTGCTGAACGCCGTGTGCAAGGTATAACCTACTTCCAATCGCTGTATCTTTGCTGGGTCTCTCTTCTCACAGTCGGATATGGCGATCTCGCTCCAAAGTCTAACGCTGGACGTCCCTTCTTTGTGGTCTGGAGTCTTGTCGCTGTACCAACGATGACACTTCTAGTCTCCGACATGTCAACTACCATTGTCAACAGCTTCAATCAAGGCACTTTCCGTCTAGCCGACTTCACTATCCTCCCCAAGGCCGGCATCTGGCGCACACTAATACCGCAACTAGCACCATGGATACAACGATACAAAGAGCGCAAAGCCGTCCAACGTCGATTACAACGAGGCTTCGAGACCGGCGTCGCAGAGGACAAACCCACGATCGATAACCTAGCAAAGGAACAGGGCAGCAAAGCGCCCAGTGATGCCGAGCTGGCCAGACGACTAGCGCACGCCATCAGAAACGTAGCCAAAGACTTGAAAGAAGATCCACCACGCTCCTACACCTACGAAGAGTGGGTGAAGTTCACACAGCTGATTCGCTTCACGGCTACAGGAGACAGAGAAGATGGNGGTAACAGGTATGAAGCCGATCAAGACGGTCTGATAGAGTGGGACTGGATCGGCGAGCATAGTCCGCTCATGGCGCAGCAGAGTGAGGCTGCATTCGTGCTGGACAGATTATGCGAGAGCATGACAAGATATGTCAGGAAGATGCAGGCCATCTACCATCCTGAGAGCAACGACAAGAAAGAAGATGAATCCACAAGGAGGCAATCACTCGACATTGAAGAGATAGACGAAGAGATTGCGGAAGCCTGATGTTCACGCTACAAGGCCTGGTGCTATATCTTGCGATGCTCTAGCTTGTGGATGGCAATTTTTCAGTGTGCAGGTATATACGCCACTGCAAGGACGTAAATGAGAGAATGTCACAGATATAGAGGTTCGTTTTCTTTGACATCAGAAAGTTGCCATACATTGTAGAAGAACAAATTATCATGCCTTGACCCATTACATAGGAAATGGACCTTCGAACGAAACTCCAACATGTATCAAGACCAACACCACAACTCCTTCCAAATAAAAACATCAGATGACAGATAGGCAAGAGACAATCGAAACAACAGACTCGACAAAGTGTTATCTCAAGAAGGAATTCTCCAGAACAACAACACAAACAGACCAGCCAGGAACCAGAAAGTAGTTGTGAAGACCCCGTCCTTTGGTGCCATGGCTCCCTGAGGTCTTGTGGTCAAGCAGGTGGTAAGGAACCAATTATCCAGAGCACTTGAGTCGTGATGGAGAGTGGTAAGATCCTGCGCAGTAGACTGTATGTTACTTAGCAATCTCCTTCTCCAAAAAAGCATATAGTACACCATCAGAGCATTTGGCTTGCGAAAGAAGTGATTGCAATATCGGTGATGCCAATCACTTCTTCTTGTTCTTTTGTTTTGAGGGCTGATAGGGTTGTTTTTACTGACCTGACTGTTTCTGAGTGCTCTCTCAACAGCCAATCTTGCACCATCACAGCTGAGGCAAGACTGGTATGTCTGGTGAGGCAAGTTGTGGATTGGACACACAAAAGTGTGGGTATAGCAGCGGTGGACGGGTGAATTGATCCATCTGCATCCACCACGTCTGCTTTGGGGGCAGTGGTGGTTGTCGCGCTTCATACCGCCTTTGCCCATTTTTTCGATTTCTGATTGAGGTGGTATGGTAGTAGAGGGAAGGTAGAGATTGTGGATGGTGCTTGTGCTTTGGATGTGGGTGTGGATGTGTTCCTTTGGAGTGTTCTGAGGAGAATGAGAACGAAAACTGACAGACGAAAAGGTTGACTTTATAGACGTTGTACGGCATATCCGTATCAGCACTGAACAGTGCTATCAAACCAGGAGTAGGAAGAAACAACAAAGAAAGAGCCCTCTGGGATCAAAACCAACACCTTCATGCATGATACATATCAAAGACCTATACCTTCCGCACAAAGCTCACATACCTGTTCTGCAAAGAACAAGAGGCCATAGATAAAGACCCTTTGTTCCAACAAGTTTCAGGTGTGAGAGTGAAGACAGAGTCGAGGAGCTGAGTCTGAGAGTCGCGTCCTCCAGCCCAGAGTGTCTGAAGAGCCATTGATGGAAAGAGACATCCGAAAGACAAGGAGTAACCTTTGCCCAGACTGTTGACAAAATTAGCATCGTTGATTCTAAGCGTGAGTTTGGTCTAGATGATCGATCGAACCAAAAGTAAATGCCTCTGAGACAGGTGTTGAGGGGCTTCGAGACATGTCCAAGATTTTCGGAGGCAGAGTCGATTCTTTTCTCCTCGAAAAAGAGCCCTGGTCAGATGCATGGAACATACTGGTATCAGGGCGCATGAGACGGACGTCTTCTCGGTTCCTTGAGCAGTTTTGTTTTGATGAGATCATGGTAGTTGCTTGCACCAAGCAGAGTCATACACATGGACATGTTTGTTTGGTTGATGATACATTTACCTCGGATCCACATGCTATTGAATGCTAAAAGATCGACGTTTGTCATAGTGAGAGTGCTTATGTATAGATGTATTGCATGATATTACAAACAAGAGATCATATTGTAACCGTGCCTAGAAATCTCTAGACGTTGACTGACATACTGTGCAAAGAAAAGCGCATACAGAAGAAACGAACGAGGAGATTACGGAAACTTGACATAGCTGTCACTTTACTCTAGGGGCATTCTAGCCATATACAGAGAGCTTACCATCCAAATCACCAATATCATGTTTTGTTGCCAAGCGTAGTACCCAGGTTTTCATCAACTAAGTAGGGCAAGAGCTATCAATGATCTGCGTCACCCAAAGGAGAGCTACTAGAGAAGAGGCAGCTTCGATTCCTCGCTTCTCTCACCTCTTTCTGTCACATCCCCAAAACGCTATCTATATACTCCTGAAAGACAGACTCTTATGCAAAAGTCAACTTAGTGAATATGGAAAAGAACCGAATAAACCAACACATAAGATATAAATTGCAAACAAAATACGGTACGAGAAAGACCCTCTGTCAAAGCTCCAAACAACCACACCAACTCCTTGACTCCTTCCACAACAAATGTAAGAGAAAATCGATTGGACGATAGACTCATGAGCAATTTGACGGACTTAAACGAGAGATGATTGGCCAAGATGATAGTATGTGAAGCAGAGCCAGCAACCAAGAGCTCGGTATGAATGCTTCGTCAGTCGATTGCATGCTTCTGAGAGCTGTGGAGTCTGGAGCTCCTGCTATGGGGGCTTCGTCTGCTCCTGAAGTTGCTAAGCCAGAGATGATTGTTCTCTGTTCGTCGGACTGTGGTAAGCTTCTTAGCATCTTTGCCGTTTGGAAGGTACAGTAGACTTAGGCCAGGAGAAGAGATAACGGTTTGCAGATCCGTCCGAAATGGTAATAGACACCAGCTAGGACTAATTTCTGCTTCTCCCACCACCTGAACGTCTCCTATTTTGGCGGCCGTTCTGAGAATTTCTACTCACATTGTTGTTGTTGTTGTTGTTGTTGCTCTGATTGTTGCCATTGCCGCTAGTCGCGGACTCAGAGGCAGCAGCCTTTGCTCTTCTCTCAGCAGCTTTTCGTTCACCTCGACAGCTCAGACATTCCTGGTAGTTCTGATAGGCCGAGTTGTGTATTGGGCACATGATAGTGTGCGTTCTACAGCGACGAACAGGGTCACGAACCCATCTGCATCCACCTCTGTCGTCTTGTGGGCAGTGATGATTATTGCGAGCCGCATGTCTGTTCATGTTGGGCTGTTGGAAGACGTTAGCCTAGGGTGTGGATTTTTGGACAAGGAAGAAGCCGTAGTTGCCGGGAGAGCGTTGTGGAATCGTGTGTTGATTGTGGACGTGGTAGGTATTGGTCTTTCTCCAGAGTTGTGTGCTGGAATCGAGACGAAGATGTAGACTCAATGGTCATTTTGTATACTTTCTGACAGAACTCGGGCTCAGCAAATTGAACAATGTGCCTGAAAGAAACGTAAGGACACGAGGAGGTATCCAGACATTCGACAAAGAGAGCCAGATTGGTATCAAGGAGAACCAACACATGCTGGCTCGTGGTCAAAGACTCGAAACGCATACACAATGCTTCTCATTATGCTCGTTGTTCATGGGGAAGACAAGGCCAAGGGGCAGTGTCTGGTCGAAGAAGTTGGAGGTGTAAAAGTGCTGGCTGGAGTTGGGAAGTGATACAAGTCTTGCCAAGAGTGTTCAGGGGTTGCGAAACAGAGACATCCATGCTAATCTTCAAGGCGCTTGAGCAATACCAAAGGGACTGTACGAGTCGATGAGCATGCTCCAGCATATTGACGTATTTCGGAACTGAGAGGCGAGTTGACTTGAGAGAATATGGAAGAGGCCTGAACACCCCCAGACATGCCGAAGATTTCCTTCTATAGATTTAGGTCTTGGTTGATACGGTTTGGATCGTCGACAAATCTGTTGGAAAGTATACGGTTGAAACACAGACGAGTTCTAGAAGCCATCATGTATCGAGAGGGTTAGCGCGAGTGTTGAGTGAGTAGAGTGACCAGCGACGCTCCTGACGATTCTCGTTCACCTGCTCGTGGTAGCATTGAATGAACATACCATCTTTACTCTAGTCAGTATATTGAAGGATTAGAACTTGATCTCTGAGGGCAGGTGCTGTCTTCAGTTTGTTTCGCTGAGCAACATCATCTAGTGTGTGCTCCTTCCACCTCTTGCAAAGGAACAACAAAAAGGATTTGCAAGGAAAATTTCATTCTTTTGGGGGGTCGTACGCTAAATCGCAACGAGTTTCATGGGCAGTCCCTCGGTCATGTATAGATCTGGGCGTTCAGCAAAGATGCCTCCTTCCGCCTCGGCGCGTGTCCTCTTCTTCGCTTCTCTTCCCCTTTGCGACGCTTCTCAAACTCTATCGTCATGTCTAACCCAAACCTGAAGACTCGATATGCATGCAGCGCTGTGCTCCTTTCTTTTTGCGTGACAATCGAAACTCCAGACGCCGGAAGCAGAAGGGTGGTGGCTGCGTCGCTTGCGAAAAAAGGATCAATAGGTGGTTGGCGGAAGGGTTTACTCGTCGACGGCAACAATGCCATCCTCTTCGCTCTCGTCCTCGTCGCCGCTGACTTCCTGGTTCTCGCGCTCGCGCTTGTCCATGAGGGCCTGGAGCTCGGCATCGTCGTTCTCGGTGACGGCCTTGGGGGCCATCTTGACGGAGCAGGTACCGCCAGCTGCGATGATGGTCTTGGTGACTTCCTGGATGGCCTCTTCGAGGACGGTGATACCAATGGTCTTGTCGAGAGTTTGCGAGGTGAGAACGTAAAGAGGGGGAGAAACGAGCTTAACCTTGACCTGGGTGTCCTCGGTGTTGCGGGCTTCGGCCTGGCGCAGGGCGGTCTTGACGGCGTCGATTCCCTCGTAACCGAAGCAAGTGACTTCGATATCTGCACGGACCTTTGTGGGCTGGGGTGTCAAGCGCTTGCCGATGTATGAAATGAGCTCCTCCTTGATGACGTTGTTGGCGAACTCGACCTCGTCCCAAACTGACTTGCNTGTGTTGTGTAAGTTCTCTGTTCATGCATAGAAGGCGGTAGCGGCGTACTTTGAGATGGAGATTCTGAAGGCGTCAAGACTCGAGCCGTACTTCTTGTCCAGCGGCCAGCCAATGCTCTTGTACAGGTCCTCCATGGGTGTCGAAGTCTTCTCGGCGACGTGGCGCATGATAGAGTGAACCATCTTGGCCTTGTTGTAGCGGTCCTCGCACTTGAGCACATCCTCGGGCGAGACTCTGCGCTTGGACAAATCAATGTAACCCTTCTCCTTGTCGACTCTCAGCACAACGACGACCTCGTTTCTTCCGACGCGGATGAGTTTCTGGATGGATCTGATACGTCTTCTGGACAACTCGCTGAGCAAGATCATGCCGTCAATGTTGTCGTACTCGAGCAGCTTGACACTGGAAGCGCAGGCGTCAGTTGTTTGGCCGGAGCACGCTGGCTGGCAGGCTGGACTCACTANTGCGCCCATCTCAGCGACCTGTCGGACGTTGACCATGACGAGCGAGTCGACATCGGGGTACTTTTCCTCGTAGAAACGGCAATTTGTGAGCGACATGATTGCGGTGTTTCGTGTGAATAATGCGGCGGCGGCGTGGTCGCTTTTCCTTGTGACTCTCAACTTTCCCAAAAACGTCAGGGCCCCGCGCGTCACGTGCTTCAGTGCAATTCATTTTATCACCATACAAGTACCTCCTAGGAGTCCATCCATCGACCTCTTCTTATTGTCATGATTCATTATGTGTACTTTTGTCTCTATCCAAGTCTAATCGTAAGTTCCAAGGTAATCTGGACTGGTCTCGTTCAACTGCAAGTAGACATCCTCGTCCCGTTTGGCCCTCTAGGCGTCTCGATGGCTTGTACGACCGCTTCACCTTCTTCAGGGCTCAAAATTCCATCCAAGATTTCATGCGCAGCGTCGAGAGCCTCATTGTCAAGCCCAGCTTCGTACACCAACTGTTCCGAAAAGGCGAGCCTTGTCAAAGATACCAAAAACTTGTGATGTCCCCCAGGTATTACCATGAGCTTCTCACGGAGATTGATCATGTCGCTGTAATTCATCAACAAATGATACAGCAGGCGGACTGTCAGATTGATCAAACTAGTGGTGTATTCGTGGATCGTGCTGAAGCTAGATGACTCGCTTGTTTCAGCGAGAATATTATGAGTCGTGAGAGGGAGATCGTAGAGCTTGGTGACCGAAACATGCAATAGTCGGACGAGTCGACCAATCGCTGTGCGGTGTCGAGCGAGTACTTCGCTTCCATGCTTGGTGACAGCAAGTGAACTCAAGACCCGTATTGTCTCGATCTGTAAGACCGCGACTTCGTTGTCCTCGTATGGTGTCTCTCCTAGAGGAGCCTCGGGTCTCTCGAAAAGCAATGTTGTAAGGCGGTCGATAGTATGGCCCTCCAAGGTAGACTGCTTCTCTGGATCATCCGCAATGATACTGAACGACTCTGGCATAGCAGAGCTCCCTAGCATCTGGAGAACCAGCATGATCTGCGGAAGCGGTTGACTCTTATTTAGCATCATCAAAGTGAAGTCAAACTCCATCTTCTTCCAGAACACTTGACAAGATTCCGCATTGAGGCTGACGTCGAATGCCATACTATGCATCAGGGTCAGAATCTGATCTACGTCAATGCAATCGAGAAGATGTTGGTCTACATGAGCGCCCGTGTGGAGGCGCACTCGCGGCAGCGCAACCAGGTCGATTGTTTTGGTTGCGAGTGGAAGGAAGCGTTCAATTAGTGAGAGTTTAGGAGGCTCAGCAGACATGGCTAGGATGAACTCGTACAGATCCAGAATCAGGTAGATCGGCGTGTACATCTTGTCATGTAAACATCTCTCCCATAGGTCTGAAAGTAGATTGCAGGCATAGACCCAGAAACCGTCGTCTTCGTTCACAGCAATGAATTGGGACAAGCCTTCGGTAATGAGACCAGATATGGATTGTCCCGGCAAAGATGGAAAAGCGAGCCGACTTAATGTCTCTAAGACTCGTTCTCGAGAATTTGATGGCCGATGGTTCATGAGACGACGAATCATCTGTTCAAAGTCAGCTTCGAGAGCTGAAGCTAGGACTTGCACAAGATCTACCTGAAATCGCGAATCATCTTGTGGTCGAACCAACTCCTCGAAGATTGGTGTTGATTCGGCGACATTCAGAGCTGGCGAGGAGGATATAGAGGGTTGGGCATTTAATTGAAGATGAGGAGCAGGGCTGACAGCAGCGTTCCTCTTGCGCTTCTCGCCTACCTTGGGAGTGGAAGATTTGGATCTATCCTTCGGTTTCGAAGGAGATAAGGTCACGATCTCGTTGTCATCAAAGCCATCGCGGTAAGGCAAAGACTGCGAGGGCTGACGCGTGAGTCTACCCGTGTTGGTTCTAGTGGGCTTGAGCCTTTTTGCCCTTTCGTCTCGAGCCTGAGCTAGATCATGCTCTAGGAAACGATTGTTTGTTTCATAGGCTTCAATCTCTTNTTTCTTTGCATCCAGATCGGCCTTTTGCTTTGCGGCATCATCAGCGTGCGACTGGTTCAAAGCCTGCAATTGAAGTTCGTAATCTTCGGCAAGTTTCTTTTGTCTTGCGCGGAGTATAGATAGCTCTCCATTTTGTCTTTGCTTTTCATCGTTTGCGTTCTGCAGGGCCAAGCGAAAAGAGTCGAGTTCGGCCTCGAGNNCTGCGAAAGGCGTGTCAGCGATATAGAATGCATGACACAAGGCAATGCGCACCTTTTTGATGTGGGCGTCAATAGCTGTCGTGTCGCCGGGCTGAAGCGTAGGGGCGGCGTGACTGAGCTGATCGTAGTGCGGTGGAGCATCGTGTGTTAAATTGACCTCAGTAGGGAGGTAGTTTGTATTATCGTTTGCAGGCTGAGCATAGTTGTGGTGTAGTTGAGGCTGATAGACTGTCGTGTCGGCGTTCAAGTCGAGGACTTCTTCGTCATCGTTATCGTCGAGCCCATAGTCAGATTCCGGAGACGCTGGGCCATTGAACGAGACAGTGGTTACGGCAGGAGCAGTCACGGGTGGCAGACTCGGACGAGTCAATCGAAGAGGTTTGGTCGTCTGCTGGTATTGCCATTGCCTGCGGGCGGCGACCTCTCGCTGGGTGGATGAGATGGCGTTCAGCTCCAAGTTCTGCAGAGTGGATTGCGGTAGTTGATCAAGATTGCTGTCATCAAAGTCCAGGTCTTGGTCGGGAGCATCCATGGAAGCGACAGTCATGGGCGGCCATGTTATGTTTGGTCGAGAGCGATTGTTTCATTGTGGATCTCTGTCTGGGGCTTTCACATGCGCCAAGAGACGTGGCTGCCCTTTGGATTTGGCTGACTGACTTCATCGTGCCTGCCATCTCTGCCAACCTTTTGTTCTTCGACAAGGGACTCCTTCCTTTTCTCGCCCATGCTTGTCTGATCATCCTTTGCTGTCTCTTTGCCGTGTGAATTACACGCGACAAGACAACTCCATCCATCAATCCATTTCACTTCATCTGACCCTTCCACCTCCTTGGAAATCTCGTTCCGACTGCCGCAAGCTTCCGTCCAACAAGTTGCGACCACCCGCCCACCATGACCAAACCGAAGAAGGACGTCAAGTTCCAACATGAGAAGACAAGAAGACCCAGCAGGTCCTCCAACGACAGCCAAGATGTAAACGACACGTCGAGTCCCCACCGGAGCCTACATCTCACCAAGCCTGAAGTAAGCCGCAACATGTCCTACGACGGTGCCTGGACCGACGACGACAAGGCGAGCCAATGCCGTTCTGCTATTACTCCGTAGAATGCTAACATGTCTCCTTGNAAGCCTCAGGACCCTGCGCCGCAAAGCGATTATGAAAAGAAGAAGCAGACCTTCATCACCAGAACTATCTGGACCCTCGTTATGATCATCTTCTTCTTCGTCGCAATGTTCTCCGGTCACATCTACATCATCATCATCGTCACTGCCATCCAGATCATCTCCTTCAAGGAGGTTATTGCCATCTCCAACGTCCCCAGCAGAGCCCGTAAGCTGCGTTTCACAAAGACTCTCAACTGGTATTTCCTGGGAACAACCATGTATTTCCTCTACGGCGAGAGTGTCATCTACTACTTCAAGCACATCATCCTGGTCGACAAGGTCCTTCTGCCCTTCGCTACCCACCACCGCTTCATCAGCTTCATGCTCTACGTCATGGGCTTTGTCTTCTTCGTCGTCTCTCTTGAAAAGGGCCACTACAAGTTCCAGTTCCAGCAGTTCGCCTGGACCCACATGGCTCTCTACCTGATTGTCGTTCAAGCTCACTTCATCATGAACAACATTTTCGAAGGCATGATCTGGTTCTTCCTCCCCGCTGCTCTGGTCATTACCAACGACATTTTCGCTTACATCTGCGGTATCACCTTTGGCCGTACTCAGCTCATCAAAATTAGTCCCAAAAAGACCGTCGAAGGCTTTGTTGGCGCCTGGATCTTTACCATCATCTTTGCATTCGGTCTTTCCAATATCTTGATGCGCTACGATTACTTCATCTGCCCTGTCAACAACCTCGGAGCTAACATCTTTACTGGTCTTGAATGCGAGATTAACCCTGTGTTCATCGCTCGCACTTATCAGCTTCCCTTCATCCCTCCCAACTGGAGTCATCTGCCTACCACCATCACCGTAGCCCCTGTCCAGTTCCACATCATGATCTTCGCTACCTTTGCTTCGCTCATCGCTCCTTTCGGTGGCTTCTTCGCATCTGGTCTGAAGCGTACTTTCAACATTAAGGACTTTGGTGACTCCATTCCTGGCCACGGTGGTATGACTGACCGTATGGACTGCCAATTCATCATGGGTTTCTTTGCCTACATGTACTACCAAAGGTGAGAAGATTGGCTGCATTCGTGCCTTTTACATAAAACTGACTGTATTNNTAGTTTCATCGCTGTCTACAAGGCTTCCGTTGGCAGTGTCATCGAGACTGCCATCACTGGCCTTACCCCTGAACAACAGATGGAGGTTGTCAAGGGACTGAGCAAGCATCTCGTCAACCAAGGCATCATCAACCCCAAGGTTCTTGAGTACCTTGGCGAGCAGCTCAGGAGATAGACTATCCTCGAGCAGTGCTTCATTAAGAGTACTTCCTCGTCCACAAAAGTCACGACAAACTGGCCCTTTTCTTTCCAGTTTAATGTATAAATACCCCTTTTGGTTTTTCGAAGCGTATTACCCGATCTTCTCTTGAGCCTCGACGTGAGTTGGGCTCGATTATCGTTGTTCTAGAACAGCTCACGTAGAGCTTATCTCTGCGTGATAAATTTCACAACTCTCTGATCATGTTCTTTCGAATTGGTCCCCTCAAGATTTAGCGCTGTAATAGCTGGCGCTGCCTCATAGCCCTCGGATGATTCAGATCTCCAGGAGAATAGAAGATAGCAAAAATGCATTTGGTGGCGTTCGTCACATAGAAGGCGCTAGGTTCACCTGAAAAACATCAAATCGTCAATTACTAATTTTGCTTGCTATACAGACTCCACTCCATTACCCCTGCATTACCCTTCCTCCCATCGCATCGCGCTCGTTCACCAGATACCGCTCTTCTTGACAAACTCCTTCCAAGTAACAGGCTTCTCCTCGAGCAGACTCAGACTGTCATCCAAGCTAGCACCAGCATAATAGCCAGTAGTATCTAGCAAGATATGGTTCTGAAGCATTTCCTCTGCCATAAACTCTGGCAAATAAGACTTGAACTGATCACCCGAGATCTGAATATATCTAATCTCGTGTCCAGAAGCCTCTTCAAAGTCTGCAACGATCTGCTTTGGGGTGTAGTAAGCGGTGGCAGCAAGAACCTGTTTGCCATTCAACTTATCAGCATTTTTGAGAATCGCCTTGACGAATTTGCCGGTGTCTTCGGAGGCGTCGAAGAGAGGGAATTGGGCGGTTTCGCTGATTGGAAGGGCCCAGTTGTAGATGCCATCTTCGGCTTTGTTGAATTGGCTGCTGAAGTTGGACATGAAGTAGCCTGCCAGCATAAACGTACAGGGGATACCAGTGTTGCGAATGTGCTTCTCAATGTCGTTCTTTGAATCGAAGTGAGGCACGTGTTGGAGCTTTCCTCCAGTGGCTTCGGTGACGTTGATCAGAGAGGAGAAGATGAGGTGCTGGATTTCTTCTTCCTTTGCTGCGTCGGCGACATTGATGCCTTGGCTGCGCTCAACATCAGGGCTTGCACTCTCCCAATAGTTGGTCACGAGGAAGACTGTGTGGGAGCCTTTGATAGCTTTTGCAACCGAGGCTTTGTCGTTCATGTCGGNCCTTGTGGTCAAGTCAGCTTTGGTATTTCCTGAGGAGAGACAAGAATGGCTTACAGTAACCACTTCGACTCCTTTGTCTGTAAGTGCTTTGGCAGCAGGCTTGCTGACATCGCGAGTAATGCCACGGATCTTGAACTCAGAAGAGAGCTGGCTATCAGCGAGGATATGTTTGATGACAGAGCCACCTTGGTTGCCAGTAGCCCCAAACACAGTAATCAACTTTGACATTGTTGCTAATTTTGTAGAAGTGTTCTTTGATGTGTGTAAAGTAAAGACTTTGGGAGCTTGATAGTGCAGGAGAATGTGTTTGATGATGTGTTGAGAAGAGTTTCGCCATCCGACAGAGATGGTGGGTTATATACACCTGCCTTCATCTTACATGCATAGTGTACAGTATACCCCCGCTTTGGTGTGCTGAGCAACCTTTGCAGAAGGAGCTTCGGAGGAACATCGTACCATCGCTGTTGCTGACCTGAGGTCCGAGAAAGAACGGTGGTATCTCGCTCTCTCCTAATCGCGAGGCTCGCAAGGACAAATCCTCAAGCTTACAAAACATCTAAAGTTAATTGACCTCAAGGCAGGGAACGGTGCAACTTAACACCTTTGGAAAGAAGCGGATTACCAAGGAAGAAGGGAGACGTTGAGAAAATACATGTATGGATTAATTAAATGCTGACAAAGCTTTAGCGAACATTTTTGGAAGTGCTTAAAGAACACACGTCCCCGATGACATATGCCAAATATCAAGCACCTTAGCACCTTACATTTTACTAAGTAACAATAGGTAGGTGTATACCTTAGGATCCAAAACACATTGTGCCGTGCCAAATCAAGCATGTTTTCACCCTAGAAGGTGAGACGTGGAGCCTCGGTTGACGATTCGAGATCAACAAAGGTTCCTGGCTCTGTCGTCAACGTGCCTCGGAGATCAGCACTCGAGTCCTGGTCATTCGTCCTTGAAGAACACTGTTCAAGAAGAGCATCCTCTTTACCTTGAACGACTTCACATCCTCGTACGAGCTAAAATTACAAATAAAACACACGACAATCGCCATCATCAGTCATGTCTGTAATCAAGACCGTTGGCATTGTCGGAACTNNGGGAGTCATTGGAGCTTCCTGGACTGGTCTTTTTCTAGCAAGAGGTCTTCGCGTTGTTGTCTCTGACCCTGCTTCAGACTCCAAGCAGAAGCTCGACAAGTACCTGAAGAAGATTTGGCCTGATCTCAANAAAATTGGTCTTGCGCAAGGTGCTTCGCTGGACAATTGTCAATTTGTTGGTGCTAGTCTAGAGGATCATTACTCAAAGGTCGATTTTATCCAAGAGGTACGTCTGAATAACTCGACCTTCTGACAGTACAGCTCATATCTAGTGCTANNGAATGCACCAGAGAAACTGGAAATCAAAACTAAGCTGTTGGCCGAGATTGACGCTGCTACTCGTCCTGACATCGTGATCGCTTCTTCATCTTCTGGACTACCGAGCTCGAAGTTTATTGGAAAGTGCACGAACAATCCAGGCAGAATCCTGATTGGACACCCTTTCAATCCGCCACACTTGATGCCTCTGGTTGAAGTAGTCCCGCATCCCAAAACCGACAAAGCAAGTGTGGATACTGCTGTCGAGTTTTACAAGTCTCTAAATAAGAGACCTGTTGTAATCAAGAAGGAAATCCCGGGATTCGCTAGCAATCGTCTTCAAGCGGCTATCTGCAGTGAAGCATATTCTTTGGTCAGTCGAGGTATTCTCTCTGCTGAGGATCTAGGTCAGTATTTGCTCGAGTGTATCGAATTTGGACGAACGCGATGTTCTGACAACGATACAGATGCTTGCGTGACCAACAGCTTAGGTCCCCGATATGCACTGACAGGTCCTCTGATGTCAAACGCTATGGGTGGTGGCGGTGGCACTGATGGTTTCAGACATCTGCTTGAACATTTGGGTCCTGCTACTAAGACCTGGCTTGACGATATGCGAGAACATGCCTTCCAGTTTAACAATGAGAGTCTGGATTCGCTGAGTGCTAGTGTTGGTCAAGAGCTAGAAGGCAAGGATGTCCAGGCTCTCGAGGCGGAACGTGACAGATTTCTGGTCGAGATCCTGCGACTCAAGGGTGAAAGTAAATGAGCTCGCGTTATTCTTAAATCGCCTTCAGGAAACTCGAGCGATGCTCTCATGAATCAATCTCGCCTATCCTGGAGATATGTGGCATTTTACAGGTACCTGAAGGAAATAACACTATAACATTCAAATCTAGAAAACAATTTACAGCTAAAAGCGCGTAGAAGCTCTCGTCGACGATGAACGTCAGTTCGGGTACCATGGAGACTTTGTTTTACCTTCTGACCTTGGACACGAAACCACGATTATCCTTGGAATCAGCGCCATCACCACCACCGTCGCTGTTACTGACGCCATCACCAGCATGCTGATCACGAAGTGCTTCGCGTTTTGTTGAGTCCGCAACAGGACCATCAATCTCTCTTCTCGTAACTTGCTTTACAGGACCAGGTGCCATGTTCTCAAGCTTTTGCCGGTTTCGCAAGAAAGATGCCTTCTGAGGAATCACCGGTGCTGGACGCTCGGTGTCTTGATCCCTGGAATTTTGCTTGGGTTCCTGGGAACGTTTGACTTCTCCGTTGTGAGGAAATCTGAGCTCTCCGTTCTGAAGGAATCTGACTTCTCCGTTCGACTGCAGTCTGTTGAGCTGGTTGTCCTGTTCCCTTCTCTGCTTCTTGTCGAGGTCTGCGGACACTTCACGGTGAGAAATCTCCCCATCCCGGATCTGGAGACTCTTTCTGGATGTCCTGGAGCGTATCCTAGGATCGGCATTCTCTGCCATCTGGACAATGGGCATCTCAACAGCAGGCGCGTAGCAGCTTCACACTCGTCAAAGCGTTCATCGTTGAACAAGTCTATTGCCTTTCCAAGACGATCCTGGATCTCTGCCATCGGAAGGATATGCAGGCGGTCGTCGTCCATGCTTGTCTGTTCCATGGATGTTGTTAGACAGCAGTAGTGTCAGATCAAGCCGATTTCTAGTTTTGCGGTTTGGGTGTTTGAAAAATCCTGAGTGAAACTGGACAGCGACGGAAAGTTGATAGATGCTTGCGGAAACCAACACCTGCCCCTAGTACCGTGTTGTACGCGTCTTGGTTCTTTGTTGGAGTCGCGTATTTGTTTGCTGAAGTGGTGTCTCACATCTTGTCGACAACAGAAATTCCGTCGCCTCCCAATCGTCCACACAGCTACTCTTCGTCAAACACATTGCTGTCTGGAATCTGATCGCTGATACACTCACTCTGGTAATCAATACCCAACCCTTCGCCCAAGCGAGCGTACTTTAACACCCATCAAGCCTGCGGAAAATGAAGCTGTGGTGAGTCCATCAGATAAATCGTCGTTCTCCGATTTTGATGATGAAGGTTCTGAAATCCTTTTCATGGGAGATTCGGGCCATCTGCCTCCTGGTCCGAAATCCTCACCCCATACTACCTCCGGATTGGGCCTGGAACTTCACATCGAGAAATTCGATCTTGATTCAGAATGTGAATATTTTACGCAAGCGTACAATCGTAGTGAGCGTAAGCAGTTCACTAGTGCCATGCTCGAGCTCTTCAAGGTATTCGAAGAGAAGGGACGCAAAGAGAATCTACCGTACCCTTTGAAAGCCAAGATTAAAAACAGAGAGCTTGAGACAATCATACCTGTCGCAAAGCCATCAATGCTCGGCCAAGTCGCATACATTTCAGACACAGCTCTCGATGCGGCTCTGAGCAGGGTACTCGAGCATGATCCGCCTACTGATACGAGCATTGTGCTCCTGGATTGCGCTACGGCTCGCACAGCTTTTGATGTACTCGACAATGACATGGAGATGAGCGAGGAACTTGTCGCAGACCTCCTTGGCAACCCGCTCAGCGAGATTCCGGCAAAATCTGTGCGTAAAGTGGTATTCGTTATGGGCTCGATGGCTCACTTTTTCACTGTTGCTTTCACCTTCAACGAGCATACTGGCAAAGGCTCTATACAGATGTGGAATTCTAGCGCAGCTGAAAAGGGCCCCGATCTGAAGCGCATCAGAACGTATGGACCTACTTGGGCAAGATTCTTAGCTTCACGGCCACAAATCGACATGCCTAACTTGGATTGGTCGAGCGCCGTGCAGAGAATGCCACAGACCGTCCAGCCAGATGGATCAGCTGACTGTGGACCACTGTCTGTTTACGCTGCTGTATGCCAGATGAACAACACTCCTGTGGACGTCCAGAGCGCTCCTGCGGCTATCAGATGGGGTGAACAGCTTCGATACATCATTTTCTCTCATCTGTATGCTGAGGTGACAGGAGAGGAACTTCCTCCGTACGAGGATGATCCGACAACCATTCTTGTCGCACCTGTACCACCAGATCAAGAAGAATCTTCCACCAACCTTACCACTCTGCCAGCTGCGACTGCTCCTGTCGCACTCACGACTCCCTCTGGCAACATCGACCCTTCTCCTGAGCAGGTTATCATTGCAAGGCCGGAACAGCAGAACCGTGATTTGATTGCTGCCAACAACCTGATAACTCAGACATTGAAAACGCGCCGTCGAAGAAAGATGTCATAGTCTTGAGCAGGAGAACGAGAAGTTGAGGAATGAACAAGCTGAGATCAGGGACTTCTTGGCTATGAAAGCGGCGACACAACAACTGCAGACTGCTAGAGGTAGGCAGGTCCATGCTGTTCGCGAGCTGGAAGCTGCTAACAATGAGGTTGCCGCTGCTGAGACAAGATCGGAAGCTATCAAAGATGGCCTGATGGCAGCTCTTGCTCGCCAAATGTTGTGAGTCTGCCCTTTCGCACGTTACTGGACCGATACCGTATGATCAAGACGTGCAAGAAGTGACAGGACTTTATCGTTGGTGGAATAGCTATAGCTAGAACAGGAATACAAATTAAAGGATTAATTGCTCATGATAGAAATTTTACATATTCTCTCGTACTTTCTTTCAGCGTTCAGCGTACCCGCGCTCCTTCTTGCCTACAAAGTCTCCCGCCGCAGCAGCATCATCCTAGGGACATCATAATGCAGATGGTAGCTAGCCCTTCTCAAGAGTGTATGAGATAGTCCACTAGAGAGAGACGGCTTGGAGTCAAGTCATATAGATAAGATGCGGATGAACACTCCGATCATCACGGTATCAACCTGTATCGAGGAGATCCGATGTGCCTGGAGAAGAAATTCATGCCATGTTGTAGCTTCCATACACAAGCCAGGCGCAGCCCACCTGTGAGATTATCCGCAGCACAGAAGTCGCAATCGTTCTATTCATACCATGCACGAGGCGATATTCCAGTTTAGTTTGACTTGGAAGGGCCAGAGAGAGAGGAAGAGGAAGAGGAAGAGAGGACCAAGAGACGCTCCACGTGTGTTCCCAGTGACGTAATGAGCACATGTTTTGCATGTGATCGTCGACATTCGTGTTTCCTCAACAAATCGTCCATTGCACCTTCTTCCATTCTACCTAGGAACACTCATTCTTGCTGCTTTAGTCGAGCGACGCCATCAATCATGGCGGGTCCAATCGATACGGCAGCAGGTGCCATCAACAAGTTCGTTATGCTATGGTTCCAGATCTATCAAATGGTCCTGGCCAAGATACTCTCACCAGACCCGCCTCCGCCCGGAAAGAAACTACACAGACCTCGCGTCGCTATCGTAGGAGCCGGACTCACGGGTGTCTCTGCCGCAGCACACTGTGTAGGCAATGGTTTTGATGTTCACATCTTTGAGGCAGGTCCTCGGGAGCATCTAGGAGGCATCTGGGCTAAGGTACTTGCTTAAGCTCTGTGTTAATCAAAATGAGATGCTGACTTCACANNGGTGAACAACACTTCTGGGCTCCAGATCCACTCGGTCATGTACCGCTTCTTCCCTACCGTCTTCTGGAGTAAAGGTTATCCCAATCGTAAAGAGATTGTTGAGCAAATTGAGAAGGTCTGGAAGACGTACAATCTCGAAGAGAAGACTACATTCAATCACAAAGTCGAATCAGTCAAGGAAGATGACAAAGGTCGATGGACTATCAACGACAATTCTGACGAGAAGTTTGACGGTATCATCGCTGCGATTGGTAGTTGTGGTGATCCAAAAATGCCTCATATTCCAGGCCAAGAGAAGTTCAAAGGACAAATCTACCACTCTAGCGAACTTGACGGTAAAGACGTCAAAGACAAGACCGTCCTGATCATTGGTGGAGGTGCCAGCGCCATTGAGGCTATGGAATTCACCACGAAAGAAAAGGCCAAGAAGGCAAAGATCCTCTCAAGATCCGAGAAGTGGATCATCCCTCGCAATCCTATTATTGACATGCTGCTCTCCTTCAACATTTTCGGACAAGAGACCATCTTCTCATGGATCCCAGAGAGACTACTCAGGAAATTCTTCTACCGTGACTTGGCAGACATCGCGCCTCCACCTGGCTCGGCCGGTCTCTTTGAGGAGACACCCATGGTCAACAATGACGTTTTGGAGCAGATTCGATCCGGCAATGCTGAGTGGCTTCGAGGTGATATCCTAGAGGTGGAAGAGAATGGCATCAGATTCAATCGCCGCCAACAAGGCGTACCCAAGAACGGTCCTGGACACGAGAAGATAGAAGAAGGCGAAGTCATCATCATGGCAACAGGATACAAGCGCCCTAGCTTGAGCTTNTTGCCCGAAGAGTGTTTTGCTGAACCTTATGCTGCTCCTAATTGGTACGTTTTCCTGCTCCGCCTTCCCGTTTGAATCATGCATCCAACTAATATTGACCACATAGGNTATCTTCAAACATTCCCTCCACAACACAAATCCATCTGTGCCAACAACTGCACTTACGTCGGTGGAATTGGCACGGTGGGGAACTTCCATATCGGCATCTACACCCGTATCCTGCTCATGTTCCTCCTCGATCCACTTACTCGCCCATCAACCTACTGGATGCAATTCTGGGTCGACATGACCAGATGGCTGAAAGCCCGTGCTCCCACCGGCGCTTTTGATTTCTTCACTTATAGCGAACTGTTATGGTGGTTCTTNTTCGTAAGTTACATCTCTACATCTCTTGGTTGTTCTCTAAAAACAAGAAACTGATGTCGTGAATAGTGCGTCATCATCAACCCATTCAGATGGAAGTGGGCTATATTCGTGTTTACTGGCGTAGGCATTGGGTTGCCATTGAATATCGTCGACAAGGAAGACAAGATCAGAAATGGTATTGGTAAACCGGCGGATCACAAGACACATACCTACTAGTTCCAAGACTGTCGCAGAACACACAAATGAACGAATAACATCTCATCTAAACTTCCATTGTCTTTCGTGCTTTGACACATGACCAAGTCGAATGGGGTAACCCTGCTTGATATCTTAGTATCGAGAAAAGAAGTGTTGGTAGGAAATGTATTAGTATCTTTGCAGTAAGCCAATAAACACTTGCTATAGATAGCAGTGAGTGTCTCATGTGCCTGAATAGAACGTACAACAAGCATCTTGACATTCCGTCTGAAATCGAAACGTTGTGCTGATCCACAGTAAGACTTCTCCATGTGCTTCAAGCTTAAAATATATCTTCAGTGTTTTGCAACGATATCCGAGTTTACTGCACGATAAGGCGATGGTTCTTATTACGCAAGCATATGAGCTACTCAGAGAATAGCTGTTCACTTCGGCGTGACCTCCAGCTGTATTGATACTGCCAATATCATATCTTCTGAAAGAGGTCAGGGTCTTACACCCAACAAGCAACCATGTCCCGGCCTGCTCGACAACGACAAGTTCTGCTACAATATGGCATACTCCACTTATCGTCCATGAGCAATCATACAAGAGCACACTCGAAGACCAGCATGGAGTTTAATCAAAATAGACGAGTTTGACATTTCCCGAGAAACAATTCGCCCGAGTCGCTAGTTCTACACTACAAATTGTTTCGCCAGAGAGAGAAAGAAAAGAAAAACCAAAGATTAAAGAAACACAAAGCAACAAACTCAGAAAACACCCATATCCTCCTTCTTTTCAATCGTTAAGAAAATGCCCTCATTCCCATCCCTTCACTTTCATCGGAGACACCGTCAATAGAGAAAAAAAAAAAGGAAATAGAGCAAAGGCACGGCAAGACACTCTCGTGGGTGTGTGTTGTCCAGCACAAGCAAAGCGACGCTCTACGTAGTGCGAGTTTGGTATCGATGATAAAGCAAAAGACAGAACGACAGCAAAGGAGCGTTGCACGGTAGCAAAACCCGGAGCAAGAAAGAGACTAATTATTAACACAAGCTCAGACACGAGGCTTCTTCCAATAGTATTGNNCTAAGAACGACGGTCAGCATGTGTGCAATTCAGAGCATGTAGCGCTTGCACTTACCTTGTGTTGTTTGCGAGTGGACCTAAGAGGAGGTTTAGCGATGCTCACAGCAGCGCGTCGATGCTCGTCAGTGTCCATCTCAGGGACGTAGTAGAATTCGTCCTCCAAAGCCTTGCCTGCGGCGTCCTTACCTGAACGAGCAATCTCGCCGACGCATGGGATCCTATCCATGAGATCCTTGAGTTCTTCCGAGGACAGAGCCTTCTCGCCAAAGCTGCGGCCACCCTTCATTTCTGCTGGTAGGTTGTTGTAGATGGCCGAGATGGGCAGAGAGTGGATGCGTGTGAAAGCCAACTGGTTGATGATGTGATTCTTGACAGGCGACAGGTTGCGAGTGGGCTGGGCAGGTTGGGTGTCAGCACGGAGTTGGTTGACAGATTTGAGGCTGATCTTGAGGGGAACGCGTGGACGTTCTTCTTCTTTGCATGTCGACTTGAAGGACTCGAAGCGTGTAAGAAGGTTGTCGCCATATGGACCAAACGAGTGGACAATAGGATCGTTCTCTTCATCATTCTCGAGCACTTCCTCAGGCGCATCGGAGGGGTTGGTTGACATGGACTGGTGTACACTAGCCTTGGTAGGAGTGGGCGTTGAGCGATCGGCGGGTTCAGGCGAGAGTCTAGTGGCGGGCACGGGAGTCGACGAGGCAGGCAGATCATCGTCCTCAGCTGGCTCATCGTCTTCGTAAACGTGGACAGGTGCTGGGCTGCTGGGAAGGTCGAAGGGATCCGCGATGAAGGTCTCGGAGAAGGTATCGTTGACAGTGTCGTGTTGGTTGGGCGAGGGGGACTCTGGCGAGCGCAGTCTAGGCAGGACGGGAGGGGGACTCGACGCGATCCTTTCCGGCACAACACTGTTTTCTCTGCTGACGGATGACTCGAGATCCCAAGGACACTGCTTCTCTTCCTGAGGCCATACAAGCAAAACACGAGTCTCTTGAACATCAATCATGACCTGCGAGCCGGGCTTCTGCGAAACAAAGCTCTCTCCCTTTGCCAACTCGACGACAGAACCCTGGTAGTGGACCTTTGCTCCGTTCCATCCCAGACACTGGACGACCATCTCGCCAGAGAGACGCGGACGCTCGGGTGCATTGTACGTGGCTTTGACATGAACGCGTGAAATCAGACGGTTGGCTGACAGTTGGTAGTCGGAAGAGTTACTCGAACGTCCCATGAGCAGAGGATCGCCATTGGAAGGTAGCTTGACGCTGGGTACGGTGCCCAAGGGAGCCCTCTCGGAAAGCGACGAATAAGACGCGGTACGTTGCAGACCAGGGACGCGTCGATTTGGCGATGACGAGAGAATACCAGTAGCAGAGGTCGGGACAGGAGTGGGATAGAACTTGCGCGTGTCGTCTTCGTCTTCTTGGAATTTGCGTTTGAGTACCCTTGGAAGACCACCGGGGGANNGGGACGACAATGGCTCAAATGCCGGTAGCAACGAGGGCCTTCTGACGGGATCAGGCTTCTCGGTCGAAGGAAGAACCTTCTTCTCATGAGAGATCGAGTCCATGGTGGAAACTATGCTCTCTGTTCTGGTTGGTCTGCACACGCGTGAGATGCCCGTTCTCTGCTCACGCGTGTCAGAGGTGTCGTATATCGAGTACAAGCCGGTGGGCGGTGGGTCGATTGCTCGATCTGATGGTGGATTAATAATACTCGGTATCAAGAGAAGGCGATGGTCAATTGATTGAAAAGAGAGTGGTCGTGGTCAGAAGTGCAGAGGAGGAGGAAGGCCTTGCTGCGTGGGAATGGGAACGCGAAGAGACGCGACCGCGATTGCCAAAGCTTGCCAAAGACTCCACCAATACTCGGCAGCTACGTACTTTATGACTTTCTTTCCTGCCCTGATATTTGCTTTGTTTCATTCATGAGCATTTGCAAATTAATCTGTCTTGATTCAAAGCAAAACTCGAGTCCATGTTCCACTTCCTAAGAACCAGAATGGTACATGAATAGCTTGCAGATGAAGCCTGCACTAACCGTTGTGCATGGTTAAACATTTAACCACAGATGTACCTGGATTCATAAACCCTAACAGCCCAGCCACTTCTGCACCCGTCTATCGAATGACGACAAAATCATTTACACATCGTGCCATGTTTCTTGTCCCTTCATGGCGCATCTGGTCAGCGTATGGTCAGCAATAGACTAGCCTCTGATCCCTATGCATTCTTGTGCGAAGCAAACTGCATATCTAAATCGAGCATTCCAGTCACCACGACAGCAAGACGTTGATCGATCGATAACCTGTTTCGATCGATATTACCACGCACGCCAGCTCACACGAATCGCTTGTCTTGACACAATTTATGCATAACCTACGTGATGCATTTGGTGATGGAGGAACGATACCTTTCATCTATTTTCGATATACAGTATTTGGATTGAAGTAGTCAAAACTGCATAGATCAACACACACAGTGCAAGACATGAATATTCATGTCTCAGAGCACTACTCTTCTCTTTGTGCTTGTTGCCATGGTGCAATGACTGTTGTTAGAAAAGCACATAGAAGCTGAAAAATGAGATCAGGGAAAATTATTGAGCACATCGATCAAATCCAGGGTGAGTAACACCATATCTCCTGATTCTGTTCTCTGCCCTGCTTGCTGTGTACTGGTTTGATACAACAGTGTTAGTGGTTCTTATGCTGGAACTGAGTAGATGGTGCTGCGTACCGGCCATCCAACCAATTTGATTTATAGATGAGTACCGTGTCTTAGGCTAGTCAAATGATGCAGTCATGCGGACTCGCAACAGGATGTAGTAGTTACTGTGGCAGATCCAGACTTCGAAAGAGTAATTCAAATGGTAGACATGAGGTGGAGAAATCACCAAGACAGTGGTCGAGTTCGAAGAATGGGGGCATGACTTTTTTCTTTCTTGCATTCGGACATCAACGCGGGAGAGTGATGACATTTCTGAGCTACCACTACTCGCGATTCGGGCATCTGGTTGAGACGCCGTGATAGATCCCTCCTCCCCAAACGCCTAGTCCCTTGAGGTAACGAAGCACAACAGCCAAGACAGCAGTGGTGGGGCGAGTAGTTTACTTCAGCTTCTTCTTAGGGCGGAGCTGGTTGGTGTGACCGCACTTCTTCTTGCGGCAGTTGGTGGCACGAGGGGGAAGACGAGCNNCTGTAAAGAGGAGCGCCATGTCAGAAATATTCTTTATCATCATCTTGTTGGACCGGTGCAGCCTGCTTCTTGATATCTCCTCCTCTTGCCAGGTGTGTCGCGTGTGTCCAGATGCAAAGGTGGGAGCGTGGCGACTTACGTAGCACTTGCGGCAGATCATCTTCTCGCAGTTGTACTTGGAGGCGAGAGCCTTGAGCGAGGGCTCAATGATACCACCACGGAGACGGAGGACAAGGTGAAGAGTCGACTCCTTCTGGATGTTGTAGTCGGAAAGAGTGCGGCCATCCTCGAGCTGCTTTCCGGCGAAGATCAGGCGCTGCTGGTCCGGGGGAATGCCCTCCTTGTCCTGGATCTTGGACTTGACGTTGTCGATGGTGTCGGAGGACTCGACCTCAAGGGTGATGGTCTTGCCCGTAAGGGTCTTGACGAAGCTGCGTGGCGATTGTTGTCAGTAGGAGTCCTTTATTCGTTGCGGTGCGCGGCGCGGCGGCCTGGGTTTCGGGAGGCTTACATCTGCACTGTGACACAAATTCATGTTAGCGATATTCAACATGCGACAGACGTACGCTCTGTATAGCACTTACTGGTGACGGTCTTCGTGTGCTGAATACAATACCTACTTTCGCGACGAGAAGCAGACGGGAATTTGAGATTCGCAAAGTGTGTGGCGGCTTGCGAGCGCTGGCACTTCCCGAGGTTAATCCGGCATCCGGTGCGGCAAACGAGCATCATGCCAAGCAACCGACCTTCTCACTTCTTGATCACCTCTTCACTACTTATCTAGTAATCATTTGAGCCCGAAGAGCTAGACGCTTGGATTTGATGTCTGTGAGCTATTTGTAAGCTTACTATTTCTATAGCTCTGTGATTTCGTGAGTGCAGTGTCTGTTTTGTGTGCTGCAGTCTGTGATTTCCTTCTCTGTCTTGCGAACCCGAACAAAGCATTAAGGCTCACATATCAAGCTTAGCAATTTCTGCAATAAATCCACTAGTATGGTATAAGTGTGTCTGATTAAGTCGTGTAGTAGCATTTATCTATTTCTTCCTCTCACTACTCTCCCATTTCTCCAATCTCCTTTCCAAGATGAAGACACACTTGACCAGTGAGTTCAGAGGCAGCGCAACCAGATTGGCAGCCTCGTCGTAAAATTCTCTCGCGTAGCCGTCGAGTTCTCCCACGTTGCGGTACCGCTTGTAACTATTGCCCGGACGGCTCACTGCAGGCTCAGTTGATCTGGCGTTTGGCTTGACGCGAGTGGGTCTCAGACTACTCTGAACCTTCCTCAATCGCTCATCCTCAGGCATTGGCTCTTGTTCCTCATCTACATCCATAGCATCAAGTGTACTTTGAACAGTGCGATCGACAGGGAACAGGCGAAGCAAAGCTCTTCGAAACTCGGCTTCCTTGCCTATTCTCCCCTTCTCGCGTACAGTCTCTTCTGCAAAGACTGAGCCGTACCAATCCATGTACTCGTCAAGTTTGTCATCAGACATATCCAGTATGTCTTNTTCCTGGACTTGCATGGCTTCTTGGTAGCCTAATGGTGTTCCTGACTTGATAGTGTCATTGTATTCTGCTCGTGCTTTGCTCCAGTTTGACCAGTCCATGGTTAGTGCTGATAACTCGGTTGGATTCTTTGGATAGCGTTTGACATTGTCTGGAGGAAATAACAACTTCGTTGCGATTATAAGTGCGCCCATCAGTCGAGGTTCAGCATACTGTAGAATGCGATATCTTGAGGATCGCTTTGCCTGGACGTCATAGACAAATGTGATCTCGAGAAGTTTGGCCAGACGCAGGGTCGCCGAATACACCTCTAATGGAAGCGCAAGGCTCCTGATCCATCGATAGAGAACAAGAATGTGATTAATAGGTGGTGTAGCCATGCCGAAGGCACGATCAAAGGCTGTGATGTTATCGAGGACTGCCTGTTGCACTGCGCCTGGACTCAAAACGTCTTGAGGATCCAGAATTTTGTTGTAATTAAAAGGTAAACGCAACTTCATCGACCCAGATAGAGCTTTGACGGCCCTGTAGTAGATGAGGTCACCACGAGCTGCCCATGAGTACAAGTCACCAACAGTGACTGGCAGTCTGAGCAGCAAGCAGCCAATATAGCACATGCTCAAGGCATCGACAAGCTTGGGAATAGCGTCGTTTTTGCTCTTNNCCCTTGCCCGACGTGTGTGTGCTGTATCATCAGTTTTTTCGGCCTCAGACTGGGAACTGTAGAATTGTGAACTGTGTTCGGCCTCGCTCTCTGACTCGTAGCTGACCCGTGATTGGAGACTCTGCAGGCGTAGAGCCCAGATATCACGTATCACCGTCTGAATCAAAATCAGTATGGATGGTACTCGACGGAAACGCAAGTCGTGGCTTACTTCGAGCTCGTTTGGGAGGTGTTTAGTATGGACCAGCCAGTGCACCTGTTTCCACAAGACTAGCTGAAAACACAACAAGTAGTGTTCGAAGGCTCTTTTGCCAGTCAGGGNCTACAGTATTCAGTAAACATTTTGAGAACAAGATGACACGAAAAGAAGCTCACCAGTCTCGACGTTTTCTTCGACTTCTCTTGCCCTTCGTGCCTTTTTNNTACCGAATGATGGCGCTCCATCTGTGTCCTCAACTACTTGTGTACCTCGCTATGTGAACAGTCAGACATGACTTGATCAAAGTTTTAAGAAAGAAAAAATTCGAAGACTTACCGTCCATTGACGATGTCCTTCAGAGCAGTACGTGAATCCATCGTCTCCAATCTGGAATGTCGACGAACCACAGCCCGCNNCCTCACACTCAAATTCCATTTATCAAGGTGGATAGTAATTGCGCGTTCTTTCAGTAATCATTCTATCATGGTCCAAGATGATAGGAGTATGCGCCGTCGCAGTTGAGGTCAATGAGTGAGAGCTGCAAAGACAAAGCTTGTTTGTGTTTGGATAGCTGGATTTTCATGTCTAGCAACCACACGACCACGACATGGTGTTTATCACAACCATTTCACCTCTTCAAGTACATTTCTTTTTGGATTCGAGAGGCTCATCTCAACAGCCAAAGACAAGCTTTTGTGAGATATGCAAGGCAAGTTCGTGGATGGCATTTTGGTATCATATATGTTCGGCTCCGGGTACCACCCTGTCTGATAACTTTACTCCGACCGATTTTCAATTATTCGCATCAAAGAGCTCCGAAAGAACTATTAATCACCTTGATGGAGACTGCTCGCTAGTTCAGATGTAGATTTACAGCTACAGATTTATGAAAGGCAAATATGGAGCTACCAAGTATCACATGTACAGTCATTCGAATTGTTCGGGAATTGATTTGCATTGAGTAGATTTTTTGAAAACCATCGCTTCGTGACATTTTATTGTCTAGACGCGCACGTCAACTCGCCCGTGGGAAAGAAGGGGGTCGTAAAGAAAAACATGCGGCTAGATGCCGTCGAGATCGAACAAGAGGCTTGCAGCAGCAGCGGAAGGCAAGCACGACTAAGCCTCCACTACGCTGAGCGGAAGTGTTGCAATGCTCATCTGGCTCCGAAGCAGCGCGTGGAAAGCGCTGTCTCGATGTGTTGGATGTGCAAATCGTTTAACCGGACTTGGGAGCCTCCTTGGCCTCAATGGCGCACTCCTCACCCATGGCAGTAAGGATGATGACGTCNNTGGAAAGAGTGGTTAGCTACCGAGGTAGGTAACTGTAGTAGCGGCATAACTTACTGGTGTCCTTCTGCTCGTCGTTGAAGAGCTTGTTGATGCGCTCACCAACCTCGTTGTCGGGGACCTTGACGTCGTCCTTGGTGGAACCGTCGTCAAGCATGAGGGAGAGGAAACCGTCGTCAGTGATGTCGANGCTAGCAGAAGAGTCAGTGTGAGCTTTAGAAGAAGCTTGTATTGAGGTAGAACTCACGAGCTGGTACTCGCGACGGGAGACGTTGGGGACGTCCATGTTGTGGGTGGAGGGAGACAGATCCTCGAGCTTCTTGCCGGTGAAGATGTCAATGGCGACCAAGTGGACCTTGGCGTGACCGTGCTTGCCGGTCTTGGAGGTCGACATGTCGACGATCTTGCAGGGACGGCCCTTGATAACGACGTGGCCGTTCTTTCTCAGGGCAGAACACTGCATGGGGTAGGTGGTGGAGGCACCGGCATCGGTGGACTCGAAGGTGTGCTGCTCGTGCTGTAGGACGGGGTGGTCAGCATGTTGAGCAAACGGCAGACGGGATTGGGCTTTGGAGGCTTTGTTGTCGCGCGCGGGGTCGGGAGGGAGCATTCGCGCCTGAGGGCAGAGCTCTCGGGCAGAGCTGACGTACCTGGGCGTCGTTGTCGGCCATTTTGACGGTGTTGTGGTGGTGGTGGTAAGGTGGTGTGATGGGGTGGGAGATGTGGATGTGGTGATAGAGATGGCGAAAGGATGAAGAAAAGGATGAAGTCGAAAATTAGTGAAGTGGGGAAAGGAAGGCGCGGCGCACGGACGCGCTTGCCCGTAAGGTTGCGTTGCGATACAATCTCCATACTGCAACTCGACCCAACACCTTGATCCATCCACCAGCACCTCAGCTACTGTACCAGTCTCAGACGTCGGCTAGCCACCTCCTTTCACTCGTTTGCCCGTCAAACTGCACATGGCATGTGGCTAAATCGCTACTCCCAACACCCTTCGCCGTCGTCTTCGCCCGCGCCGCAACGAAGACCCAGTCACCTTGCCCCGAGCCCCCTTCCCCACAGACCAGGCATCGCCAACCGCTCCTCCTCTCTGTCTCTCCTCACCAATGGATCTACCGATAGCCTGCCTGCTGCTGCAAGATACCCGCCCGCCCATTCCAATCTAAGAAATCAGCTCGATGCTTCTCCTGTAGACAATGTCTCACATCCACTTGACGTACTGCGCGACATTCTAGCTCCTTTTCCATCTGACTCTCTATCCTCGGATGTACCTGCTCACCATGGCGCAAACATCGATTTTGGCGGGCTGAGTCTGCAAGACTTTGCTGATGCTCCTCCACCTTCGGACCAACCCTCCGAACAACCGTCTGTCGAAGAATGTATGTTGGCACGCCCTTGTTCACCCTGGTCTCCCACCTGAAGCTTAGGTTCGTCTNNAGTCGAGAAGGATAAAGGCAAGTTTGAAGATTTGCACAAGTCTATCGTCGCCTGTGACGAAGTTCTCAAGTCTGTAGAGAACTACCTCACCAGCTTCCAGGCCGATCTGGCCGCTGTCTCCGCCGAGATCGAAACCCTGCAAAATCGTTCATCTGCCCTTAACACCAAGCTTGAAACCCGTAAGCAAGTTGAGAAGCTACTTGCTCCAGAAGTTGATGCCTTGACCATCTCTCCATCCATTGTGCGAAAGATATCTGATGGGCCTATTGACGATGCGTGGATCAAAGCTCTGGAGGATTTGGAAAGACGCTCCAAGATCATTGACTTGAAAGCCCCTAGATCCAAAAGTGCTGCAGAGATAAAACCACTAATAGACAGCCTCAAAAACAAGGCCGTCGAGCGTACTCGTGATTATGTCGTGTCGCAGATCAAAGCATTACGCGCTCCTGGCGTTAATGCTCAACTCCTGCAACAGAACAACTTCATGAGATACAAGGATGCCTTTCAATTCTTGGACCGCCATCAACCCCAACTGGGTCAAGAGATTGGCCGTGCTTATATCAACACTATGCGTTGGTTTTACTTGCACAACTTCTCACGGTACAAAGCGTCGCTGGATAAGATGAATATTCACGTTGTCGACAAGAACGAAGTCCTGGCACAAGACGATACTACAAAACGCACGACTGCAGTCTCCGGCTCACGAACACAAGCTGCACCACATGATGCGTTCTCATTGGGTCGGCGCATGGACATGCTCAAAGGCAGCTTCAAATCAGCTCTCTCATCGCACATCGCAGAAGAAGACAAGTCTGCACACTACTTAGAAGCGCCATTCAGAGCTTTCAACCTCGCGCTGATGGACAACGCTTCAGGCGAGTACTCTTTCTTGACCAGTTTCTTCTCAAAGCAATCATATCACGAGGTGAATCGCAAGTTCACCGAGATATTCCAACCAACCTTTGCTCTCGGTCAGGCTTTGACCAAGCAGTTGATTGATCCTACTGTTGACGCACTTGGTCTTTTGATCGCTGTTCGATTGAACCAGCACTTTGCTTTCGAGCTGCAGCGAAGAAAAGTGCCTGCTATGGAAGGCTACGTAAACGGAACCAACATGCTTCTGTGGCCGCGCTTCCAAATGGTCATGGATGCTCATTGCGAATCTCTACGTAAAGCTACATCTTCGCTATCGGGACGTCCAGCAGGTTCAGCTCTCAGTTTGACATCTTCGGCATCCGCACCACAGTCGATTGCACCTCATCAGATTACCCAGCGATTCGCGAATTTCACTCAAGGAATCCTGGCATTGAGTAGCGAGGCTGGTGACGACGAGCCAGTTCAGAACAGTCTGGGAAGGTTGCGCAACGATTTCGAAGCTTTCTTGACGAAGCTCAGTAAAAGCTTTGCTGAACAAAAGAAGAGAGATCGCTTCCTTGCGAATAATTACTCACTAGTTGGCACCATCATTGCAGAAACGGAAGGCAAGATGGCAGAGGAGCTCAAGGCTCATTTTGCAGAAAAAGCAGAAGAGTTTGGCGGTCGCTAAAAGTATGCAGTAAACTGTATCACAATGTTGTCTGCTCATGTGATGGCCGAAGCTAGAAACGACTGGAGCGAAAAGCTTCAAGTGCGATCACTACGCATGCCACAGCTATTTATTTGCATACAACAAGCAGCGTGTACACGATTGATAGATTCAGCCTGTAGCCATCTAGACAGAAAACCTGAGACATATATAGCGGCAGGAAACACAAGCACACCCCGTACCGAAACAGTTTTGCGGTCATGAATTAAGAGTAGGCGATTGCGAGTAGTGGAGCGCGGGTTTGCGCGCGGTCACCCACGCCAAGATTTCTCTACGCCATTTGGGACAGTTTAGTATGCGAATATCGACTTCTCTCTACCATCGTTCACGCAACCGACGATTCACAGCGCAACATCTCTCGCATTCGCACGCTCGATTCTTAGCACGCCACCTGCACCTCTTCCAAGTCTGCAGACGTCAAGTCGCCACCTCTATCGCTACCATCAACCCACGAGCTTCACCTTCGAGCTTGCCCTCTTCAAAAACATGGCGCCTCCAAGCACATTCGCATCCGCCGCCGCGGGCGGCAACACACCCACGACTCCGCGCACTGATTCGGCCGGAGAATGGTACGTCGACCGTGGCTTCTCTGAGCTTTGCTGGACACGAAGCTTGGGAGGCGCAAACACAGCCATGTGCAAGTGACTGACTTGGCGTCTTCTTTAGNNGGCTCGCCGAACGAACGGCGCAACCCAGACCTTCCGTCGTCCCTCTGTCGCTACTTCGATGATGAACTCCAATGCTAGGGAGTCGACTTCTGGCGCACAACCTGCAGTCTATGTACCCCCGCATCGCAATGGCCCTGCCCACTCGGACACACGCTATTCCAAGAACCAACTTCTCGATCTTTACCACAAGCAGAATGTAGAGGGCTCGCTAGATGACTCTCTTTCTCCTTTGTTTGTCGCAGGTTGGGAGCCAAACCAGACCAACGGTGTCTCTTTGGGCGGCTGGGGCAGGAGGGACGAACAAGCCAAAGACCACGTTCCTGGTCCGGAGGTCTGCTGGGANAAAGATGGCTCTACAGGGCCATTGGGTCTGGTTGACATGAATGATGAAGAGAAGGAGGTACGTCAAATCTTGGTGCCACCTGTTGATCTGTTGCTAAATCGTCTGGCCAGNCACTTTTCATCCGTCAACTCGCCCCTGAAACCACCCACTACCGTGACCAAGGACGCTGTCAATCCACCCATGCGCAAGATTTCTGTGTCGCAGAATGTCAACAGTCCTGGTGCGTTTGGCGTTAGCTCGCCTGGTGGTGCTAGACCAGGTCCTCGACGCCGCGAGACGCAGGAGGCCTATCCGTTCCCCTCGAGCTCGCAACTCAACTCGCCTTCTGTTGTCAAGACTTCGCGTGTCGATTCCCGTCCCAATTCTCCCCCTCCCTCTCTGACTAGGAGAAGGACTGACTTCAAGGATACGGGCGACTCGTCGGATGAAAAGCCTTCCGTCGATGCCACTGATGCGGCTCGTCTGCCGTTCTCTGGCCTCAAACGTACTGTCACCGGTCCTCTGAACACGGCAGTCGGCGGCGGATCATCACCATGGTCTGCTACTCCACAGAGCGCTGGTTTCTCGCCAATGGGAGCCTTTGGCAATTTTGCTATCAACTCAAACGCTAGTGTGGGCACTCCAACTACAGACAAACGTCCTGGACTGGCTGGTGGCAGGGCCGAAAGCCGTTTCAAGGGACTCATGGCTAAGGACAATGATGATGCCAAGTCGTCACAAGCAAATCCTGGAGGCTTGGAATCAATCTCACACGATGAGCAATCCGAACAGCAGGCCACTGGTAGTGCTGCTCTCGGTGGTGGTCAGGATATTTCTCCTCCNCGCAGCCGTGGTTTCGGTACGCCCAGCCGTCAGGACTCGCGTGATGATTTCGGCCATGGTGCTTTTGGCATGACGTCGGATCCTTTCCGTACTCTGATGGGCCATCAGCAAGATCAACCTCATGGTCGTGCTCAGCAGCAGCATCAGCCAACTGGTAACGATGCGATGAGCCCTTCGGACACCAACCCTTACCATAGTCCCGAGCACGTGCCTGCTGATCTCGACGATGCTGATGACGACGCATCTGATCTTCACAATGCCCATCTACCCAACTTGGGTGGCATTATGAATGACTCCATGCCTTCTGGTGCTGGAGCTTTCCATGGGCTCGGTAACCTAGGACGTGTCCCAGCAGCTCCACCAAGCGATCGTAGCCAGACATCTAGCGTTGGCCCGAATAGAGGCTTTGGTGGCTTCTCTGGTCTGGGTGCCCTTCCTGGTCTCGGAGGCGCTTCCGCTTGGGGTGGCACTCAAGCGTCAATTGGTACTCCTATTAGGGACAGGGCCGCTATGGCTGGCAACTTTGGTGATAACCCCTTCGGCTCATCCGCCGACTTGGGATCTCCCAGCCTTGCTGCTTTGAGCGGTCTGGGAGCATTTGGCGCTCAGCCTGGTCAAAGCCGTGGTGGAAGTCGACTAGGCTCTCTTTTCCCGACCAGCGTACAGGACCAGCGTGCCGACCATGGTCGACAAGACGAAGATGACGCCGGCTCGGGAGACTTCGCAAACCCGCCTCGCGACACGTCTAGTCCTTTCAGACGTACTGCCGATGTTTCTGGTGCTTTCGCTGATCAAGACCGCAACACCGAGACGTCTAATCAGGAGCCCATTGGCCAACGCCCCGCTCAACCCTCTGCCTCCATGCAGGCTCAGGCTGTCAGCAGCTCTGCATCTAACCAACCACCTCCAGCTCAGCAGAAGACCATGGTCATGCCCGACCGCATGAGGTGGATTTACCGTGATCCTCAGGGAGTCACTCAAGGTCCGTGGTCGGGCTTGGAGATGCACGACTGGTATAAGGCCGGTTTCTTCTCCCCTGAGTTGCTTGTCAAGAAGTATGAGGATCCCGAGTATGAACCATTGGCCCAGTTGATCCGCAGAATTGGAAATTCACGCGAGCCATTCCTGGTTCCTCAGATCGGCATCCCTCATGGCAACCCTACTGTTCCACAACCTCCGGCTAACTGGACCAACCCTCTATCTTCAGGAGGAGCCCAGCCACCTTTCGCTAACAGCTTCCCCAGCTTTGGAACCACTCTGACTGCTGACCAGCAAAATGCCCTCGAACGTCGCAAACAAGAAGAACAATACTTGATGGCTCGCCAGAAGGAGCATCTTGCCCAGCAGCAGTTCGCCCAGCGCTTCCAGGCACAAACTGGTCAGCTGCTGTTCCCTCAGCTGCACCATCAGTCCAGTGTCCAGAGCTTGCACAGCCAGCAAAGCTTTGGCAGTCTCAGTTCGCCTGCACCTCCATTCCCGCCTGCTCCTCTCCAGAGCACCTTCGGTAGTACTGGCGCTAGTGGCAGCGGTCATGTTCCTGGCTTCTTTGACAATTCATTCAGGACTGCTGGTCCACTCGGCGGTCTTGGTGCTATTGGTGCTGGAGTCGATGCGCTCGGCAACATCAGAGAAGAAGACATGTCAGGCATGGTCAACAGACTGAACCTCGGACGATCGACTCAGGGAAACTTTGGCGGTATTGGCCAGCCATTCCCTCAATCCGAAGAGCAACGTCGCATTTCTACCATGCTTGATGACCGCTCTCGTCTCGAGCAGCAGCAGGCACAACATGATGCTGCACACCGATTCCAGCACGACCAGCCTGCAAGAAATGAGCAGTTTGAGCAGTTCCAAACCCTGCAAGAGCATGCCAGATCCGACCCATTCGGCGTCGGTTCGGAAGGTGTCATTGGCAAGCCTATCGCTCCTCCATCCGAACAGCAGCAGAACCAACAAGAGCAGGGNCCAAGCTCAATCCCCTGAACAGACCCAGTCGGAGTACGAAGCTCAGTATGAGGAAGAGGCCCAAGCGCTTGCACAGCACGAGGAGGCTGCTGCCGCCGTTGCTGCTGCCCAAACCAAGCAGGAACCTTCTTTGACAGAACAAGTACAGAAGGCTGCATCTGTTAAGCAATCTCCTGCCCCTGCTTCGTCCCCGTGGGCCAAGGTCGATACTTCTCTGCCTCAACCCTTCCCTCCTGCACCATCTCAGTCTCCTCTGCCTGCTCCTGCTGCCCAGCGTAACAGATCTCATGTCGCCGATGCACTCCACGCCGAGTCCAGATCCCGCTCGCAAACTCCATCAGCAGAGACCCCNNCAGTGCTTCAGTTGCTCCTTGGGCCAAGGAGCCTGCTGAGTCTTCTAGAGGACCTTCTCTCAAGGAGATCCAGGAAGCCGAGGCTAAGGTGGCTGCTGAGGCCGAAGCACTTGCCGCTGAAGCTCGCCGCGTTGCTTTTGAGAAAGAGCTCGCTCAAGTTCAGCTGTCCACTGCACCTGCACCTGGTCTCCCATTGACTTCCAACTGGGCAAGCAGCGCCACTGCATCACCTGCTACTGGAACTGCTCCTTCGCCCTGGGCTAAGGCCGCAAAGACAGTGGCTGCTCCCACTACCGCCAAGAGCATGGCACAGATCCAGAAGGAGGAGGAAGCTCGCAAGAAGCGTCTCGCAGCCGCCGCCGCAGCCACACAGGCCGCAGCAGCTGTTGGCGTTACTCCTGTCCAGCAGTCTGCTGGTGGCAAGAGATATGCCGATCTCGCCAGCAAGGTGGCATCGTCGCCTGCTCCTGCTAGCCCTGTTCCTGGCATTGGAGGTGCTTGGACTACTGTCGGTGCAAGTGGCAAGGTCAAGACTCCTCTGCCTGCCCCCACCCCTGTCAGCACCAGAGCTGTTAGCTCCACTGTACTCCCTACTGTGGCAGCTGTCAAGAAGACCGTTCCTGCTAGAGCCACCGTTGGACCTTCTGCCGTCAACGCCATTGATGAGTTTAAGAAGTGGGCTGTAAACGAACTCAAGCACGATCTTAACAAGAGCGTGACTGGTAAGTTGGCCTTAGCCACACATAACATACACACAAGCAAAAAGAATCCCCAGCTAACGTGAAATTCACTCTANGCCGACGAATTCGTCACCAACCTCCTCTCCTTCCCCTCTGAACTCGAAATCGTCACCGAAGCCGTGCACAGTGTCTCGCACACCATCGACTCACGCCACTTTGCAGAAGAATTCATCCGTCGTCGCAAACTCGCCGACAAAGGTCTTGTGGACACGACCAAACCCGCCAGTCCTGCTGCTGCTGCATCGCAGGCGGGAGGTTGGAGCGAGGTTGCCAAGAAGAATGCGGCATCGCTGCCGAAACAGGAACCAAAGGATGAGTTGAACAATGGCAGTTTCAAGGTTGTGCCGAACAAGAAGAAGGGAGGTAAGAAGTAGAGCTTTGGCCACCTGTATCTGGACTTGTAGAGCGCGGAGAGCAAGGGAGACAAGGGAGGTGGTTTTTGGTTGTCTAGGGTCAGTAGTTCGCACGAGATTGAACAGAGAAGAATCACACATCGACTGTCATTTGAGTCAGAGAAATGCTTGTGTCTGTGTCTCTGTATTGCATGTATTGAGCGTCATTTGTGGTCTTCAAGAAGGAAAAGACGAAGAAAAGTTCATAAAGCCATGACCAGAGAGGACGGCTATGGGTATATACCAAGATCCGATTGAAACCAAAAACCAACTCCCTAACCACCAAAAGACGCCCCTGCCACCAGCAACGAAAACTTGGACAAAAAACGCACGTGTCGAATCCTCCTTTTACATGCTGTTCCAGAAGTGGTTTGCATAGAAGAAGCGATCGAACTTTGGATCCAGGTTGACCACATTGACGCTTCCTTNTGCGGTATTCCTAATAACGGCACGGGAAAAGTCGCCAGTGTTTGGGTCTTGCTCTGCATCGATGCCCAAGCTGCGATAGACGCCGAGTTTTAANNGCTGTAGTTGTTTTCTGTCAGTTCTTTCGGATTCAGGTCTGTTTGGCGAAGAGAAGGAAACTTACACGACCTCATCTTCAGCCTTGTTCTCAGCACTTTCAACCTCATCACCCTGCTCCTCCAACGTCTGCAACTGTTTCTTGAGCACATGAACCTCGGACCCCAATCTCTCGCCTTCAATCTCCAACTCGTTCGCAGCCTTGGCGACTCTAAACTTTTCGGTGTCCAGGGCTAGGATATCAGAGGCATGGGCGGCAGGGTCGTGTCGTGAAACCTCCGAGTCGTGGGTTGCACGCAGGTGCTGGGCTTTTCGAGAGAGTTGGGCTAGTTGGGTTTGTTGGGCGTTCAGACGCAAGGAACGGGCGCTGCGGAGGGTGGAGAGCGAGGAGTGGATGCGTGAGATGGATTGCAGGTCGCTGTCTGTGTGGAAGTTGCGGGTTGTTTGGCGGATGAGNNCTGGTGTGGGTGTTGTTAGTTTGAGTGTCACAAAGTTGTCGGAGGCGATCGAGAGGCATACAGTGACGGGGTCTTCGTCGAAGAGAACCATTTTGACGTATGATGTGACGATGGGCGAAAAGTGTGGGTTGACTTGTTCCAAGATGTGCGGCGATGATGTTGCGAATTCTGGTGTTTACAAACTCTCGAATGGCGGAGCAACGCGCTTTCCTCCACGTGCGGGCAGGACGGAGACCCTGGCCCATGACTTCACATGCGACTTTCACTTCCGTCAGCCACCAGCAATTCCATCTTCCACTCTTGCTCGACATAAACCACAAACATGGGTGACCATCTTCCATGTGAGTCTGCACTTTCCTCTGGTTGCAACACTTCACACTGACGCTCCACCACAGATGCCGCAGATGCGGAATCGTACGCCTGCCAACCATCTCCCACAGCCCTTCCAGTTGCACTAACCTACACCTCCCCAGCCCTCTAAAACCCGCCGAACTCCAAGTGCTGCGCTCGCAATACGANAAAGAAGGCGAATACGTCTCTCTGCAAACAAAATTCAACTTTGCCTGGGGTCTCATAAAGTCCACCAACAGGCCCGAACAACAAGAAGGCGTGCGTCTGCTGACCGAAATCTTCCGCTCGTCGCCTGATCGCCGTCGCGAATGTCTGTATTATCTGGCGCTTGGAAACTACAAACTGGGCTCGTATGCAGAGGCGAGACGTTACAATGAGTTGTTGGTGGATTTGGAGCCTAACAATCTGCAAGCTCAGAGTTTGAGGCAGTTGATTGATGATAAGGTCGCTAAGGAGGGACTGATGGGTGTTGCTATTGTCGGTGGCTTGGCTGTGGCTGCTGGTGTTGTTGGCGGCCTGCTGTTCAAGGGCGCGAGGGCTTCAAGGAGATAGAAGGGGTTTGTGGACGCTGGTCGTTGCAGTATGCCTTCTTGTCTTGAGCTTCTTTCGTTCTGCTCTTGTGTCTCTCTCTCTATCTTTGCTCAAGGTCAACTAGGAGCGGTTTCAATGTATATGATTTCTCAACTTCACTCTCTCTTTGCTCGATACACTAATCTTTGTTTCATCTCTATTTATACAATGCCGACTGTTCTGGCTTTCTCCTTTCGAATCATGATGCTATATATTCCTTCGAGCTGTATTCATGCTACGTGATGGCCACGTACACACCCGATATCGCTTAGACCAGACCAGGGAGCATGGAGAATCTCTTCTTCTGGTATCTGTCACCGAACTCCTTGCGGTATCTGCGTTCCTTCTTCTTTGCCCAAAGAGCCATCTGACCCACAGCAACGACGACGAAAAGACCAGTGCTCAAACTCCAGGATGCCAGCCAGATACCGATCCATGCCACTGCCTCAAACATGTAGTTAGGGCAGGTCACAAGACCGAAGCCAAGACCTTGAGGGATGCCACGCTCAGTGCCGCCAGTGCTACGCAAGTTACGCAGCACGTAGTGAGTGTTGAGGTTGCCCAGCTCGCCGATAATGAAGAGAGCAATGGCGAGGTAGGTGATCAAGGGGTTCGAAGTGCCAGCAGTGGGAGCAGTGGGAGAGTAGATCCAGTAGGCAATGTTGGCACCACCGAGCGCCCAGTAATGAGCAGAGTTTTTGAAGATGTTGCGGGCAGGCATGGTGGCACTTGAGAAGCGGTGCACGAAGATGGTCTCGAACTCGCGCTTCGCAAAGTGCAGAGCCAGCATGATGCAGGAGAGGGACTGCAGGTATGACGGCTCGGCGGGAGCATTCTTGTAGAGGTATGGGCGCAGGTAGTAGAAGAGAGGGTGGATGAGCAGCGGGCCCAGGTACTCGATGATGAAGACGGTGCGCCAGGCAATCTGCGGGCCAAGGTCTTTCACGTAGACGACGCTGTCGCTGCGCAGACCAGTGCGCTCGACGGTAAAGTCCTTTGCATTGGGGACGAGGGAGCCGTCACTGCCCTTGGTGAGGCGCAGACGGTGGATTGAGATGCCAGACTCGGCGGCAATGCGCTGGTACAGGTCTGCGGTACTGCCCTGCAGATACGTGGTGGCCTCGGTGGGAAGCTTCTTGATGGTGCGTCCTAAGCCCCTGGTCGTCAGCTTGGGCCGTGTCGTCGTGGTTGCCGACAGGGCATAGGATCAATCGTCACCTCTTGGTTTGATAACCAGGTTCACCGGTTTTGAGGCCATGTTGTGTATGGTGTGGTGTGATTGATGCGAAGTTAATTGCTTGTCAGAAGAGGACAGCTAAACGAGCAAAGCGGATCGACCGACGATTATTTCGACACCCGTTGAGATGTTCGCGCTAGTGACATGAACTCGAGAAGCTTTGGCAACATTCCTTCGACCTTCCACGTGCCGAGGCTCCCCGGCTCCTTATTTTTGCTGCCAACTCAAGGGTGCAAGCCCCTAAGGCTGCCCCTTGACTCGGTACCACCGAATAAGCACTCTCGAAAGCTCTCCAATCCCTGTCAATTGGTATAGCGTGCATACTGCTACACTGCCTGCTTCGCTCTGTCCGTAGACCAAGGTGGAAAAGGCCCCAGGCATCCAGGCTGAGTCGATGCTGTATGCAGGCCCATCTTGTCGTGCATATGTACTCGACCAATATTGTACAGTTTGTATTGCTGCGCTTTCATTGATCATGATTGTACAGCCTCAGCCTTTCTTGCCTGATTACTCAGAATACGAAATCGTCTACCTCTCAGCGCCCAGCATGCCCGTGCTGAGGCATCCAACACCAACAGTGCCCCCACAACCACCTCTGTGCCGCACCAAAGGACCCGCTTGCAATACTGTTTTTGACGAGAGAAGTATACTCTCAGGTTAGCTTGTAGGTGTCTCATTGCTGGCTGTGAAGGGACCTTGTCGCTCCGGCCCGCGCGTCTTCAGCTGTCATCCTCAGCCGTGCCCGACCTCGTTCCTAAAACGGTAACACCCCAGTCTGGTAAAAGATGGCTCCTTCTACAAAAAGCCAGCCTGAGGATCAAGTATTTCATTCTGAACTTTTCAACAGTTCAAACGTCTCTCAATAGTCTCGCATATTCTTCATCCTTTTCATTCCTCGGCATCAAACTTTCTTCGCACTCTAGAAGTCGTGTCTACCTAACGGTCGTTCAGCTGAAGCTGAGTTATACTTTCAGCCTTCTGGGGTATAGCTTCAACTCCTAGATTTAGCCTCTTCTACCGTCGTCTTAATTTGCTAGCACGGAATATTCTTAAGCCACCCTATATGATCGAGGTGAGCAGTCCCTTTTCTTGCTCTTCATCTGCTTGCTTGCCTTTCTTTTCTCTCATTCAAAAATCCCAACATGAAGGGTCTTCGTCGAGTCTTCAGCAGTGCATCATGTTTCCGACCTGATGTTGACCAAGACCATGGCGTTGTGTATATCGAGAGCCCGTCAAAGACCAATGTCACTAACAAGAAGCAGCCGATGGTGAATCAGGTCGAGATGAACCATTTTGGAGAGACCTCCAATCCACTGCCTCCCTCAGCCCTGGATGGCATGGCTGACAGGATCCGTGAATCTCTTGGTGCAATGGGCACTCTCTTGTCTGCAATGAAAGCCCCACTCCCAACTGGCACGGGTGATGGTTCAGCGTTACCGGTAGAGAAGGACGAGACGATGGCTTCCACTCTTAAGACCGTTGTCCAGGATGTTTCTCATCTTGGATTCAACACCGTCGAAAAGGTCGCAAAAATGACCATCAAGACCAAGAATGGAGAGTACATCGACGACAAGGAATACCTCATGGAGTATCTCATCGGCGTATGGCTACCTCGTCAGAAAATCTGAATACTTGCTGACAAGTCCTCTTAGGCCGCCCAGGCCCTTCCAAACGATGTGGTCGGCCAAAAACTCACAAATGGCTTTGTTACAACTCTCTGGAACGACCTCGACCATCCTCCAAAGGCTTTTATGAGTGACAAATACCAGTACCGCAGTGCAGATGGTTCTGACAACAGCTATCTTCATCCTCGTCTGGGAGCCGCTCATGAATCTTATGCTCGTACCGTCAAGCCGGCGACCATTCAACCAGGCAATCTACCCGATCCAGCTGTCTTGTTTGATGTACTCATGGCTAGAGATAAGCCTACCGAGCACCCCAACCAAATTTCCAGCATGTTGTTCTATCTGGCATCGATCATCATCCATGATCTGTTCAAAACGAACCACAAAGATTTCCGAATTTCTGACACTTCATCCTACCTTGATTTGTCCCCACTTTATGGCAGCGATCAGAGCGAACAAGACACAATCAGAACGTTCAAAGACGGCAAAATTAAGCCCGACTCGTTTGCTGAGACTCGTCTTCTGTCCTTCCCTCCTGGAGTTGGCGTGATCATGATCATGTTCAATCGTTTCCACAACTACATCGTGGAGCAGCTTGCTCTCATAAACGAGAACAGCAGGTTTACCCGACCCGCTGAGGATGCAGCGAAGGAGAAATGGACCAAGTACGACAACGATCTATTCCAGACTGGCAGACTGATCACTTGTGGTCTGTACATCAACATTATTCTGATCGACTACGTGAGAACGATCTTGAACCTCAACAAGACAGATTCTGATTGGTCTCTCAACCCACGCGCCGAGTTCCCCGGCCAGCCTGACCTTGGTTGTGGCAATCAAGTCAGTGCCGAATTCAATTTGGTTTACCGCTGGCACTCAGCAGTGTCAGACAAAGACGACAAGTGGACGCAAGAGCTGTTCGCCAAACTCTTCCCTGGAAGGAAGCCAGACGAGGTTCCTCAGTTGGAGTTTTTGAAAACACTGGGCCATATGGAGGTTGATCTCAGGGCCCAAGATCCTGCAGAGCGCAACTTCCACGACATCAAGAGAAATGCTGATGGCACCCTGCCAGACGACACACTTGCTCAGATTCTAGTTGAGGGTATCGAGGACTGTGCCAATGCTTTCGGACCCCGCCAAGTACCTCTGGTCATGAAGCAGATCGAAGTGCTGGGCATTAGACAAGCAAGAGCTTGGAATCTCGCGACTCTCAACGAGTTCAGAAAGCACTTCTCCCTGAAGCCTTACTCCACGTTTGAAGAGATTACTGCTGACAAGGAGATTTCTGAGTCTCTAAAGCACTTGTATGATCACCCTGACAACGTTGAGCTGTATCCTGGACTAGTCGTTGAAGACGCAAAGTACGCAATGCGTCCTGGATCGGGACTCTGCCCCTCATACACAACTTCTCGCGCCATTCTTTCCGATGCGACTGTCTTGGTTCGTGGTGATAGATTCTACACGACCTCCCACCATCCCGCAGCACTTACCAACTGGGGATTCGCTGAGCAAGGCTCCGATCTCAAGATCAACCATGGTTGTGTCATGTACAAGCTCTTCATGAAGGCTTTCCCTAACCACTTCCGCCCCGATTCGGTCTACGTTCACTTTCCCTTCACTGTACCTTCGGAGATGAAGTTGATCTTGACCGGTCTAGGCAAGGCTCACAAGTACAACTTCGACAGACCGACTCGTCTTCCACCGACCAAGATGTTGTTCTCTTACGATGCTGCAAAGAAGGTCCTTTATGATCAAGATGCGTTCAAAGTGTACTGGGGACCAAAGATAGAATTCCTCATGGGTCCTTCGGCGAAGAGCTTCATGCTTGCGGGCGACACACAAGTCAACACAGCTTCTCGCGATATGATGGAGCAGGCTCTGTATCTCGGCAAGTTCTCCCGCAAAGAGCCCACAGGACACGAGAAATGGCTCCTTGAGGTCCGCAAGTTTTATGAAGAGCACACCACTATGCTGCTGCAGAGAAACTCGTACACGCTTGCTGGCACTAACTACGTGGATCTCATCCGTGATGTGTCCAACATTGTACATGTGCACTTCTGCTCGGAGGTTTTCAATCTACCACTCAAGACGGAAGACAACCCAGATGGCGCTTTCACAGAGAAACAAATGTATCTTGTGATGGCAGCTGTCTTTGCATGTGTTTTCTTCGATGTCGATCCGGAACACTCATTTGCTCTGCGACAAGGCGCCCACGATGCGATCCAAGCTGTCGGAAAGCTTATGGAGATGCAGGTTCAAGCCCTGGCAAAGCTCCCACATCTGAATGAGGCCGTTGACCGCATTAGTGAGTGGTGGTCTGGCAAGGATCGTTCAGTCCTCACCCAGTATGGCAAGCACATGATCGAGCGCCTGTTGAAGACTTCGGGTATGGATGTGCACGAGCTCGTGTGGGCACAGATTATTCCTACCGCAGGTAGCATGTGCGCCAACCAAGGTCAATTCTTCGGACAAGTGATCGCCTGGCTCTTCAGCGACGGTCGCGAATACCTTCCCGTGCTTCACGAACTCGCTGTCCAAGACACTCCAGAGGCTGAAGAGAAGATGATTCGCTACTTCCTCGAGTTCTCGCGTCTGCACAGCGAGACTGGCGTTTACCGTACCGTCGCCAAGGAGATGATCGTCGAAGACATGGATCGCAGAGTCAAGCTCAACGTCGGCGACACAGTCGCCCTCAACTTCCGCTCTGCATCTCGCGACCCTACCATCTTCCCCGATCCAGAGGCCATCAAGTTGGATCGCCCTATCGACTCATACATCCACCTAGGCCAAGGACCCCACCAATGCCTCGGGCAACCCATGACGCTGGTCGCCATGGGCGCCATCCTCAAAACGCTCTGCAAACTGCCCAACCTCCGTCCGGCACCCGTCTGGCCGGGCCCCGTCGACAGCGTCAANAAAGTCGTCAAGGACTTTTCGGCGCTCGCTCCTGACGTCGACTTCAAACCCGAATGGCAGTACCACTGTTACCTGCTCGAGGACTGGGACCAATACTTCCCTTTCCCTGCGAGCTTGAAGATCTGCTATGATGGCCAGGCTGCTTAGATAGCTCAGCGCTTGCAGGCGGGTAAAGGGCTTCATCGACGCCTTGGTGTGTTTGGAGTGGCTGGCCGTGGGGTTTGGAAGTTGTTGGATTGGTCTGGGAGGTAGGTGAAGATCGTGAGGCGATTTGGGATGAATGACTGTAATGATTTGTTTCTGCATGATGTTTTTCTTTGGTCTGGCGTTTGGGCTGTTTCTTTGGAGGTCTCTCGTTTTTTCTCATTTATTCCCCCCCTTTGGTTTTTATAGTCCTGCGAAAATATGATCCATTCTTCTTCCATGCATTGATCCTCCCTACTGCTTCTCTAATGTACTGTAAGTTGTCTTCGATTGTTTGTGCAAGTTGCTGTCTGATATGGATAAAGATTGGGGAAATAATGATGAATAAGAATAACAAATGAGAGAGAAGGAAAAAGAAAAAACATGGTATCTACAAGTACATTACACGAAGCAAATTCTATCAATCAAACTCATCTAAAAAGTCCATGATGGCCGAATAAGTAACCGTACCCCTCTGTTGCACCTTCAACGACGGAGGCGGCGACAACAACCCATTTGCTTGCACAGCAGTCGTCTTCAACGAACTCTCTCGAGGACCCCAAGGAGAAGCCGATCTGCTAGCCGGAGTATTGGTCACGCTGTCCGCAGCCTCTGCCTCTCTAGCAGCCACTCTCTCCTTCAATTCTTCCGCTTTATCCATTTCTTGAACTTCTGGAAGTCCATCTACGAGTTTGGTTTTGCGACGTTGTCGTTCCATGATGTTGTGCATGCAAGCGTCGATTTTGGTATCCAGGTCGACTAGATCTTGCTGTTGTTGTCTGATGATGGCCAAATGTCCAGCATTGAAGTTTTTGTTGTTTACTACTGATAACATCTCAGTGTGTAGGATCTTTCGGTCTTGTTGGAGTGCTTCGCATTCATCGAAAAGACGCAGGCAGCCCTTGTCGATTTCTCGCAGGGCACGGACGACTCGAAAGGGCCCGTCTGTACGAAACCCAACTGGGTCCAGGGAGTCTTTGCGTGGATGGTTGGGCTCCCAGGGTGATGGTTGAAGGGAAGGACGAGCAGATGCTGAGGATGATTGGTGGAGGATTGGACGCGCAGTGTTAGGTGCTGATAATGTTGATTGTATTGAAGGAAGTCGGGGAACAGATGGTGTTGATGCAGATGTATGAAGAGATGGGCGCGTAAGCGTAGACTTTTGGAAGGNCGACGGCTGAACAGAAGAGAATGAAGGCGCGTAACAAGTTTGGGGTAGTGTGTAAGTAGGTGCTGCGGATTGTGATCGTGGGCTCATATTGCCAGAGAAGGGGTCGGTATTATCCCTTCTCTTGCTGTCTCGTCGTGATATTGGGCGACCTCGATGCATGATAGATTCGTCGCGGGCCTCTGGTACAGTAGTAAGTTGGAGCCGCGGTGTACTCCTTGTGGAATCCGATGAGTCTTCTGCTTTGTTGTTGCCCCGTGAGGTGATAGTCTCGTCCCGCGAGCCTTTTCTTAATAGTGCTGTGCTCTCTTCTCGCGAGCCCTTCCGCATTGAGACATAGCCATCGTCTCGCGAAGTCTTTCTGATAGCGGCAGGAGTCTCATCTCGTGAATTTTTTCTCGCCATGATTCTTGCTCCTAGTTTTTCCAGTGGGTCACCTACTGAAGTCTTTCGTGGTGCTTCGTAAGATAATGGTTGTAACACGGCATGCTGTAGAGTCTCTGCTGATCTGGCATCCCGTGGCCGGCTGTAAATCTCCTGGGCAACCATCGATCGCTGTCTACCTGGGTTGGAAGACAACGACCTTTGCTTCTCATGGGTGACGTGTGTTGAACGGAGATCCTCAACACTCCGTAGCGGTAACACATCGGAACGCTCCTGACGATGTCCTCTAACAATTCCACGACCTCGCGAAACCTCTTTGTAGAGAGGCTTCGGCTCGAGACTCGCAGCCTCATTCACTAGAACAAGCTTGGCCCTCTCTCCAGGAGTTTGTGTGAGTTTGTATCTGATTGGCGGGATCTGGCTATCTGATCTCGGAAACAGTGCATATTGACCATTGCCAGACATGATGGTGATGCGACTACTGACTGCTGGTCAACATATGTAGATGGAAATGTATGGTTGGAAACACACATGAGTCAACAGATGTATAGGGCTTTTCCTCTATGGATAGAACTTGCAGAGTGCTCACTCAGGGCTTCTGGTCGTCGAGTGCTGAAAGTGTTTCAAGCATAAAGCTAGAGGCGTGCCTAGAGTTGAAATCGCTCCAGATGTCTTCAATTGGATAGAGCTTGCAGAACAGGCAGTGGTTGCCGACAAAGGTCTGACAGGCACAAGTCAGTTTGGCGTCGATGGAAAAAGAGACTTTGGAAGAGTGACGAACCGTAGAATAGAAACAAGACCAGCTGGACGACACGAGGAAAGTCTTACTTTGAGCCGTCGCCATAGTATAAGACAGTTGCGTCTGAGACGTCTAGAAACCAGAAACAGTGACGCTAATTTGTTTTAGGGTCCTTTAAGGCCAAACCTGAGACGTGACAATGGTTGGCCTTGCTGTCTGACATCAGTAACCCGCTATCACAGAGATTTTCTCATATAAGGCTGTACCTCCGGGAGCCTGAGCTTCCGTGGACATGGCATGATGAAATCGGTCATTGCATTGCATCTATGTCTTGCTTGCATGACGGCTATTTCTGGCTGTAAAGAGAGCAGTTTGATAGGGATGACATGCTGACGATGATAGCTTCAGCTGCTCGAAGATATGCCTTCTACCACACAGAAGACAAGACAAGGATGGAATAGGTAGCCAAGATATGGATGAGCATGGTCCATCGGATGAGGATTGGAGAGCCAACTTGGTGAGGGGAGCTGCAACTGTGAGCGGGCAAGATCGATGATCGCCAAAGATCTACACCAGAAACGGAGGCCTTTCCGGGGAAGCTCGAGCTTGCACTTTCCTTCTGAGAGCCGGTCCGTTTCAGCTTTCCGACCTGCAACGCCTTGATTCGACCAAGGCACAGTTTCAGTTTTCGTATCGGACGGCCTGTATGCCAGAAACAGCAACGAGCACGCAACTGAACATGTCACCATATCTCATAGAGTTCAAGACATTGTGTGTCTGATTGATAGATGTCCAAGAGGCAAAAAGGCAGGAAGAGACGGGCATGACTTTCAAACAAGCTAATTAACAGCCGGTCCCCACGCATGTGCCTGAAGATCTCTCTCCGACAAAAGGCTTCTTCTTCATACAACACAAGAGGTGTGAGATCTTCTTAGGCACTTACACTTCTCTTGTAACCTGCTTTCGAAGAATGATTGTCCGGGATGGCGTCGGTGGGACTTGAAACCTGTAAAAATTCAGAGTCAGAGATGTTTTGGTTGGGCTGATCGTCACTGCAGCATGTCTCTGTTTGAGATTCTGGTCCATGACATGTACGGAGTATTCCAATGACGATTTGAATATCAATGCTCAGGATCCCCTTACAAATTCCTTTTTCTTGTCTTCTGTTTTTTATGGTTGAACTCGCTAACAGCAAAGAAGAAATACCCAAACAATGGGGGTCTAGAATGGTATTTCGCTTGATTACTTGACTTGTGGTCAAATATAGACACGGTAAATTGCACTCCATGATTTTCAGGGCTCTCTGTCCACCCGCGTCTTCCTTGGATATTCTCGACGTGACGACCCGAGCCTCGGTTTGTTACTATATACAGAGGAAACTTTGCTTCGACAGGACTTCTGTGCTGCGGATAGATGCGAAGACGAATATAGCTCATGGCAATCGATTCTCCAGTCGCTTCACAGGTCCGCAGCCATAAAGGAGATACATCAGAGGCACAACATGTGAATTTGTTGGTGAATGCTCCAACGAGTCAAAGCCAGATGGACAACACGATGACGATAGTAGGACTTTGTTTCGATGAATTTTGGAAATAGTTAATAAGAGGTGTAAATGATCATTCCGCAGCATCGATCGGCCGCTCGTACAAGGTCCGTAGACATGATGTGAGAAAAAAAGGGAAAAAGTGGTATCCAAAAGAAAATGGTCGCAAAGCTGCGTAACAAGCTCATCACAATACAATTACTTCTTGCTGGCATGCACAACCTCGATGATCTTATCAACGACTGAAGGATCCGAGANGCTAGATGACAGATTAGTATTCAATCTCATTGCGGTATTCATGTTTTGAAGACTTACGGTGGTGATGTCGCCCAGTTGGTCCTCCTCGCCAGCCAAAATCTTGCGCAAGATACGGCGCATGATCTTACCAGAGCGGGTCTTGGGAAGATCGGGAACCACGTGAATGGCCTTGGGTGCAGCGAAAGGTCCGATGCTCTTTCTTACTTGCATGATCAGGTCCTTGCGAAGAGCGTCGTTGGCATCGTTACCGTCCTTGATGGAAACAAAGGCCGCGACTGCCTGGCCAGTGAGCTCATCGGCCACACCGACAACAGCAGCTTCTGCAACAGCATTGTGCTCGATCAAAGCAGCCTCAATTTCGGCAGTAGAAAGACGGTGACCGGAAACGTTGACAACGTCGTCGACACGGCCACGGATCCAGTAGTAGCCCTCGTGGTCACGGGCAGCGCCGTCACCAGTGAAGTAGTATCCCTTGTAAACATTCAAATATGTGTCCATGTATCTCTTGTGTGCACCCCAGACAGTGCGGGCCATGCTGGGCCATGCCTGCTTGAAGGCCAAAACACCCTCGACGTCGTTGCCGTGAAGCTCTTCACCGGAGACGGGGTCAATGATTGCGGGCTCGATACCGAAGAAGGGAAGGGAAGCGCTGCCGGGCTTGGTAGGGGTGACACCGCCGAGGGGAGTGATGACGTGCGAGCCAGTCTCTGTTTGCCAGTATGTCTGCGAACTGTTAGCACCATTCTTTCAAAGACTCGGTGTCTGTAAACTTACGTCGACAATGTGGGCTTCCTCCTTTCCGACGATCTCGAAGTACCACTTCCACACCTCTGCGGCGATGGGCTCGCCAACACTGCCGAGAACTCTCAAGTGCTCCATTTCGTGCTTGACGAAGTGATCGCCGGCGCGCTTCAGAAGACGCAGAGCGGTGGGAGCAACATAGAACTGTGTGACCTTGTGCTGAGCAACCACGTCCCAGTATCTGCTGAAATCAGGGTATGCAGGAGTACCCTCGAAAACAACTGTTGCAACACCAAGCAACAGAGGTGCGTAAACAACGTATGTGTGGCCAGTGATCCAGCCGACGTCACCACCACAGAAGAAGATGTCGTTGTCGTGAATATCGAAGACGTACTTGCCAGTGGCAGCAGCACCCAAAAGGTAACCACCAGTGGTGTGCATGACACCCTTGGGCTTGCCGGTCGAGCCAGATGTGTAGAGAAGGAAAAGAGGGTCTTCGGAGTTCATGGGCTCGGGAGCGATGTAGTTGGGGTACTTCTCGACCTCCTCGTGCCACCACAAATCACGACCTTCAGTCATGGGCACATCAGCACCAGTGCGCTTGTACACCAAACAGTGCTTGATGCCAGGACACTTGCTGAGTGCATCGTCGACGATCTTCTTGGTGCCGATGAGCTTGCCACCACGTCTGCCCTCATCAGTGGTGATGACGACCTTGGAGTCTGCGTCGATGATACGGTCCTTCAGCGAGTCGGAGGAGAATCCAGCGAAAACGACAGAGTGAACAGCACCGATACGAGAGCAAGCAAGGAAGGCAATGACAGCCTCGGGAATCATGGGCATGTACAGAGCAACAGTGTCGCCCTTCTTGACACCCATCTGCTTGAGAGTGTAGGCCAGCTTGCAGACCTCGCGCAGAAGCTCGCCGTACGAGATCTTGCGGCCCTCATTGACCTCGTCAGCCTCGTAGATGATGGCTGTCTTGTCAGGGTTCTTGAAGGCATGGCGATCCACACAATTGTAGGATGCGTTCAAGCGACCCTCGACGAACCATGCGTTGTCGCCATTGGCGAGGGAACCACTGTGCACAGTTTGGAAATCTCTCTCCCATGTGAGNNGCAGCTCGCGGGCCATGCGGCCCCAGAACTTGTCCGGCTGCTCAATTGACTCCTTCCAGAGCTCTCTGTAGTGGTCAAGGCCATCCAAATGAGGCTTCTCGTCGGGGTGCTNTGCTGCAAGAATTTGTTAGAGGCGCGAAACGCCAAGGACACTTGGACTCGCAACTCACTCGAAGAAGGCCTTCGGCACGTGGTAGGTGTCTACCTCGTGTGCCTCAGGAACGACAGAAGACGTTGGCGGTTTGACACTTCCGTCAGACATTGTGTAGAGAGATGTGAGTAAGAATGAAAGAGAAGGAGAGGACCGAAAAGTGTGGTCACAAATGCTCGAGCACAGAGCGATTATAATGCCACTCGAGTTGAAACGGTTTTCCCGAAACTTGAGCCGGCAATGGGCAGCTCTAGGATTGGCGTCTTGCTTGAAACCGTGGTAAGCTGTTGTTGACCTTCGTTGTAGCGCGCAAAAGTTGTCTGAAGCTGCTACAGATGTAGAAGATGTCCTAATCAAAAGAATAAAGTCGTACGAGACCAGGGACAGGGGGAATTCGGAGGTTTTGTGCGAGCTCATTTCATTCTACACCCCCACCTATATATTCTTTGGCTCTGGCTAATGCTCATGGGCCAAGCAGCAGCGGTGCGGGGAGCAGGCACGGACGAGGGGAGCTTTCTTCCTTTCCCTTCGCTCTCCGAGTCTCCTTGCAGACCGGCTATGATCTCGCTTGACTTTGGCTAGATCCAAGAGGCTCAACTATTTGGCATACGTCAACAGGTCACGCTGCACCACATAACGGTATCAATTGGAAATCTTCGAACGCTGTTTGGCTTGCAAACAGCTAGGACTTCGACCATGAGAGCATCATCTATGGTACAAGTTGTGCATATTTTATGTAGAGCACGTACGTTCGAGCGACCCTTGCCGAACGAATTCCGTTCTTCCAGAGTTCTGGGCGGCTATCTCGAGCTCGGTCCAGTATCCGTGGGCCCGGCCTCGGATTTCAAGAGTCGGCTTCTTCGTCCAGAGTCGGCTTCTTTGTCAAGAGACAACAATTCTACTTGTATATCGACCGGCTCCCCTCAGCTCTGTGTCATCGATCGAATACATTTATCCAGGAGCAATGGTAATTGTTCGGCTACGCGATGTGGCAGAGTGGAATGCCTGCTGGTGTGAGGGAATGCACTTGACTGAAACCGTGTGGCGCGTAGCGTTAATTATCTATACAGTAGCGGATTCCTTCGCGCTCTCAACCCTGCAGATCGCGGCTGCGTCTCTACGACAGGATATCCCAGATATCATAAACGTTTCTGAAGCACTGATAGACTCTAGGACAGTAGACTGGATCCTGACCGAAGATAATATGCCATGTGTACTCCATGATCCTACCAGACGTCGCGTCGTCCAGCGAGGTTTCCATCAGCCAGCTGTGGAACCAGACATAGTGCGCAAGCGGTCTTTGCAGGATCTGGTTTCGAGACACGGCGAATTGGGCACAGCAAGCCACTCCAATCTGTTCTGGCACGACAGTCGAGTTGAACAACTCAGTCCATGCCTTAGCATATGCTCTCTCAGTCGCTGCTTCATGTTTGTCTATTCGAGTCTGCTCTTTCTTGTTGCGAAATGGCTGAATCTCTGCTGGGTTACAACCTGGAGTTGTATGGCACCTGAAGTTTGCGTAGCCGTTCTTCTGTACAAAATCTATGTTAAGCAATTGTAATGCTTTCGCGGCGTTCTGGTCATTGTGCCAGGAGCTGAGATGGCTGTGTATGAAGGCGACGGTCTCAGGAAGATGGTCGTAGTGTTCAATAATATACGTCAAATAGGCGTTTGCTTCTCTTCCTTTGTTTCGTGCTGTATGTAACGGTGCGTTTCGATCGTCGGTCACATAAATCGCATGGTTCCAACTGGAGCGAAAGGTCAGTTTTGCGCAGGCCTATAGTTTGTGCTTGGACTTACTTGGNNGTAGCATGCTTGAAACCCATTGCGTCTTTTCTTTTGCAGTTTTGGCAACGACTACAACCTTGCTCCTCGTGTCTCGAAGGCCAGACTTTGGTGTCGCAAGTTTCTCGATGGTGCCGTTGATGAAGGAGTTGGAGATGGCATTCATGACCGCTCTGAGAGGATCCTCTCCTGCTGAAGTCGATGCATTGGTACTGTCCGGGTGCGTGTGACTCCACAGACCGCCATCTTGCGACAACCTGTCGATTTCAAGAATGGATTGATGAAGTTTGACGAATTGGCCTCTGAGCCATACCAGCGTCGCCAATATCAGCCCGCCAATGAGAATTCGGGACAGGGCTCGCATAGCGAACGCGCCAGAGGATTGGAGTGCTGCATCAAGCGGATGGTGAAGTCCTGAGTGTCAAGTACGAATCTACATCCTTTGCTGCCTCCTGGAAACATGTGAAACAGGCGCCCAGATCTGCGGAGAACCCATGACATGTGCCAGGAACACGCGTTCGAGGGGTCTGCATTTCAGCCGCTTGAACCTTCTTGCGTTGGATTTGCACTTGCCTCGACGATCACGACGATTTTTCGACTTAGGCGTCACCACCGATGGCTAGCCTCATGCCGAGGGCCAGCATGCCAGATAGCAAGAACACCCACCCCCTGCTGAGCAGCAAGCATGCCTGTGATCCATGATTCGATGGCTTATTTTTCAACAAAATGTCAGTGCAAGCACATACGGCCACAGTCAGCTGAAAACTGGGCATCCCGTCCGCTCTGCCATACATAAGCAGTTGAACGGCAGATTAGTACTACGGTGGGTGACCACGTGGGAATCCCTGCTGCTGTATGTTTTGTTCTTTTGTTTTTGTCCTGCCTGCAAAATCCGGCTCGTCTTCATGCTGAATCATCGTAGTGTCGACATCCATGTGCACGAACAATTGTCGAGATGACTTTTGAGCTCTACTGTGTTAACACTTTCAGATGTGTTGACAAGATGTGTTGACAACTTCAAACAGCCCTGACAAACCGCTGCGAGTCAGTTCTGTACATGAAACAATTGTCCAGCTTGGCTGGCCTCCTGAATGCTCTACTATATAACCAAGAGATAGGGTATCGCATCGCACCCTTCTTTGAATCGTTACAACCAAATGTCGCCAACCAAGGATCTGTTTCGACCATATCTTGCAAGACATGCAAACCTGAGGGGTATTGGCGACGAGAGGCCTACCGCTCTTGAGATCGTGCATGATCTGAAGGCTGAGGGAACACTCAAAGATGCCGTCATTCTCATCACCGGATGCTCTGCTGGCCTTGGAATTGAGACTGCAAGAGCATTGTACCTGACTGGCGCAAAACTTTACTTGACATTCCGTAATGTGAAGAAAGGTCAGGCTGCTATCAAGGCTATCACAGCAGACGCAACAGCTGGTCAGGAGATAGAGTTCTTGAACATGGATCTAGGTGATCTTGAGAGTGTGCGATCAGCCGCTGCCGAATTCAAGTCTAAAAGCAACAAGCTCAACATCTTGATCAATAACGCTGGTAAGTTGATCCCAACTCCTTCCTACGCGTGCTCGTTGCAGACGCATTATGTGTTATTACAGCTCGATGTCTCTGATGGGACATGGATCAAGGTGACAGGCCTTAGCACATGTGACTCTTAAAAGATCATACAGATCAGTGCTAATGTTTATGAACTAGGTGTCATGGCAGCGCCTCAGGGAAAGACTGTCAGTGGCTTCGAGACACACATGGGAAGCAACCATTTCGGCCACTTCTTGCTCTTCGAACTGCTCAAGCCTGTGCTACTGTCATCAGCTTCGCCCGACCACAAATCTCGTGTCATCAACTTATCTAGCAGTGGCCACCTTATCAGCCCTATTCGTTTTGATGACATGGAATTTGCAAAGGAAGGAAGCTACAACCCTTATGCCGCCTATGGACAAAGTAAGACAGCAAACATTTACATGGCCAACTACATCGACAGAGTCTACGGCCAACATGGTATTCGTGCTGTCTCGGTTCATCCTGGTGTTATTCTGTCGACTGAGCTCATGCGTCATCAAAAGGTCGAAGACCTTCAAAGTATCGGCGACCCAGAATACTTCAAGAAGATCGAGTGCAATGCAGGGCAGGGAGCTGCTACTACAGTGTGGGCTGCATTGAGTCCGTACTTCGAGAATCATGGAGGGGTCTACCTCGCTGAGGTTGGTGTGGCTCCTGCACTAGCGGAGGATGAGGGCATCGGAAGATGTGGTTATGCTACGTATGCATATGATGAGGAAGTGGAGGATCGTCTATGGCAAGTCAGCTTGAGAGCTGTTGGGCTATAAATGTGTTTATGAGTTCCTGCTGAGGGGGAAACCCTGCTTCTATCATATATTGACACTACACAGACAGCATACCGATCAACTTCAAGTTATTGCCTTATAGCTTTCATCAACATGAATTCCTAACGTTGGCTTGTCAGATCCATGTTGTTTCATTAGATCAATTTGATCTTCGAACGCAATGTGTCTATCCCTATTTTTCCTTTGTCTTTCATTGGAATCGCCTGTTGGTTGATGACCGACTTATACTATCACTCACACGTCTTGTGTACCCGAATCCCTAGGTTGTCTTGATCGACAGCCGAGAGAATCGTTTGCGTGCGTTGTTTGCTCGGCATCGTGCATCAACGTGGAAGGACCATCACTACTGAGCATACACGCAGTCACAGTTTAAACCCTCACCTGCACCTTCCCGCACTCCCAACTCAATTCATATCATCAAGCATCTGCCAGCATGCCCCCCCGACGCAAAGCACTACCTCCCGTCTGCTTCGCGCCAGAAGGAGAGCTTCACAGTGACTGCCAAAATGAGCCGTTCTCAAACGATGCCACACTCCACACCGACGGCAGGAGCAAGATCTGGATTGGCTACCGCAACGATCTGGATACTAGCTACAATGGCAATGCCACATTTCGTCAAGTTCTTGCTCAGGCAGAGCTCAACCTTCTGCAAGCTATGAACGCAAAGCCGAACAGTAATCAGCGAGCTCACTGGCTAGAGGCATTCCCAGGCATCACAACCAGAGCCAGCGAACACACTGTCCAGCAACTAGAACGCGGCGAGCGTGCGTTCAAGCAAGCGATCTGTCAGAACGCCTTGTGCAGAAAGCGCAACGAACTGCTGCAGATGGAGTGGATCGCGATCAGACCCACTGCGTCCAGCTCAAAGAAGAGCGTCGAAGGATTCGTAAGTTGTCTAATGAACAGCGCTTGTACGGCTTTTGACTCCAGTGTATAGCTTGTCGGATATATCTTCCGTCTGCAAGGCCGAGAGATGATCTCCATCTGCCGCAACTACTACTTCAATTCGTACCGGNNTTTCCAAAGAGAAGATGGTTCTGTGTCCCCTGATATGTTTCTTCGCACGGTGTAAGTATATTGTTGCATAGTTGGGGCTTGGATGTACACAAGGATTGACATATTACCTACAGGCACTCTGATGACAGTCCTCAAGCCGCAGCCGAGTCTGGTTTTGGCGCATCTTCAAAGGAGCGCATAGTATGTAACAGCTCATCCTGGTCAAGTAGTGATAATCCTAGCTGACTCTTTCTAGAAACGTCGGCGTTCAGGCAGACTTGTGTCATCAGGAGCTCAAGATGTTCAAGACATAGAAGAAGACTCCTCTGATGACGAAGTCTCGGCAACTCCATACGCTACCAATGATTCTACTGCTCGAACCTCTCCCGTTCTGTCGACCACCGAGCCTGCGCAAATCCTGGAAGATAGGGTCGATGACAAGACAGAAGAAGTAGCATCAACCCGCACGATTGTCGGTCCACTGTCAACCACGGACGAGTACACATGGATGATCTGCCAAATCTGTCACACTTACGGCGTACGCGCGCTCAATATGTCAGACATCGCCAGCCACATCAGAACTCTGGAGCAAGCGGTCAGACAAGACGACAGACTTGTCCTGTGCCGATCGTTCGCAAAGATCATGACAGTCTTAATTACCAACACTTCAGAAACTGCTATTTCTGACTTCTTGGACGAGGAATATGAAACTATGGTCAACAGCGTTGTTGCTGAGTTTGGCATGTACCTTCTCAGCAGAAACGAAGGAGCCATATTCATGGAGAGCATGGGCAGAGCCATGGTAGCTGGTCAAAGTGAAGACTTGAGTATGGCATATGCTGCTCTAAGGGCATCGATGATAGCCTATGCAGGTCGTACGCAAGGGGTCGAATAATCATGAGTCACGTGCTGAGAAGGCTCCAATGTGTTGAGAGAGCACCAACGCATTCTTGGCTATAGCGCGGTAGCGTAGGTTGTCCAATACCATGTGGCAACGTAGTTGAGAACCATGCTCAGACGACATGCAACTAGTTAGCATTCAAAACAATAGTTTTGGCCGATCCTACAAGACGTCTCCATACACTACAAGCGTTATAGCAAGACCTGACCACTATAGGCTATGACACTAAGACATGCAGTATGTAGGGCCGGTCATATGTCCATCGAACGTTGACCGTAGAGCCAAACTCTGACAAGACGCGAAACATAGACAGCGGGGTGATGGCGCCAGGGAGGTGGGTCGTTACCGTTGTGTTTCTGATCCCATCGTCAGATAGTCAAGCCGTTACGCTCTCTCCGCACTTCCTCATGCTGAGACGACACTATCAAAAAGCGTTGCAGGATCTGGATGCGAAGCTTGTTTGATCGTCGGATCTGCTACGTGCAGAGATGGTAAGCGCTTAGGACACAGGGCCTGACAGTTCTCGTGATTGGTACATATCAGCAGTGGATTCAGCACTCTTTGGTGAGACATTAGAGAGATCCGTCGAGATCAGTGGTTGACTGTTGCAGTCAGATCCCCATATATACAACTGTAGTGTATTGCTTGCATGTGTCAAGGAACGGTCCGACGCAGCTCCACCACGACGTTTAGTGAACACGGAAGAGGGTGGTCATCAGGATCCTGGAAGCTGCTGCATATCCTTGTTTGGATCATGATATGGTATAAGAGAATGTTTGTGGACGTTTGAATCTCCAGATACTGTTGGATTACGCGAACAAGTTGCAGCAGGGGGCTCTTTGGCACCAAGAGCTATGTCTGTATGACAACAGATATTGAACAAGACGCGTCCGTATGTGAACGCTGGCGAAGGCAAGGCAGGGGCGATTCTTGCGCGCGTTTTGGGGTCCTGAGACAGACGTCAGGCCATGGTGGAGTACAACCAGTATAACCGTTGGAAAAGCGTTGGAAGATGGTCATATTTTGCGTGCTAAGAACCCATCAGTGACCTGGAAGTGATTTAGAGGTCTGATCCTTCAATATGCTGATATTTGTTGCACCGTGAGTATAGAGCTACACGATCAGTTCGAAACAGAAGCGCATTTCCACAGAAAGAGATTGTCCTGGTGGGTCTTCGTGGACATTGCTGTGTGGTTAAACGGACCATACGTCTTGATAGCTTACAACGGCAATATGTGTCACCGTAAGAAGATTGACAGGCCTTGGCACATGGCGAAGAGAACATCTGGATAAGAGCCCAGGGCGGGAAGGTGCGAGGTAGATTCCTTTTTAGAGCTGCCTGGAGGCGCCAAGGACGACCAGAACCCAGCCAAGATGGCGAGAGAAACTGGTACTTGCCGACAAGGCAGTCATCCCAAACTCGCATCTTCTAGAGCGGATGTGCTGAATCGAGGGCAGCATCATCCGGGCACGAGAACGTTGAGGAGAAACGCGAATACGGTAGAAGGTGCAATAATGTATGGGCTTCTGTCATGTCAAGCCAGCTCTTGCAGCACGAGACGTCCATGATACACGGCCACTGCAAATTGCGCCGCAGTCAAAGGTCGTGCTAGAACTTAGAAGTGCACCAGGTGTTTCAAGGGTCCATAGTTCTTGCGTGAGGCTCAACCCAGGGTCCAAGGCCTCCTGACCGACATTTAACCAACCTTCTTCTAGACGTAGGCCAGGTCTTCCAGAAGATACTCCGCGGTAGCGAGTCGAGTTTCAGCAAACATAGCGAAGATTGTCAGAGCTGAAACGATAGAAGACGACGTGGTTGCATCGAGTATGGCCACGCAACAAGTGTCGTGGCGAATACAGGTCATGCAGATGCTTTGTGCATTCGCATACACGCATGCTGGCATAATTTGGTGGTATTGTACCATTGATTTGTGGTGCCTGCACGGGGCAGAGATCTGCATGTAATGTCAAATCAATTGAGTCAAGGATGGACCCATTCGAGTTGTAAGCATCGATCAGAATCACTTAATGTCTCGCCTCGTGTCAGAAGAAGCAATCTACAGACTCGAAGCCAGCAACCAGGTACCTGGTGCGGCTGCATGTTCGTCTGAATCTGGAGCTGAGTCTGGGGAGTACAATGGGTACAACCGTGCTGTGCATGAACCGGAATAACATGGATAGGCATCCCAATTCGTAAGAAGATTTGAGAAGTGCCTGTCAATTCCGTACTTTCGTGTTATAGTCCCTGAGCCAAGTCGGAAATAACTTGCTGACAAAATGGCCAGACATCCCGTCTGAAATAACATCAAAGGGTCTGTGAAGTTACACGAGCCGTGCGCAAGATTAACAGGACTGGTATGAAAGGCCTTGGGTATCCAGATGTCAAGCGGTACGGGCCATCTCAGGGTCTCTCTGGGGAAATGACCGACAGTCTGAGCACACCTGAAACGCGAGGTTTTACTTGCACCGCGTGGAAGACTAGAAAATATTTTCTTCTCGAACCCGAGTCAAGGCGGACAGAAGTGCTGTCTTCAGGGCCTGTGATTTTTAGTGTGATGGTCCGGTTCGAAGGCAAAAGAACACTGCAAGATGCCCAGCGAGTTATTGGAGGCTCGACAGCTGGCAGCCGTTGGCGGTGAGGGTTTAGGAGGGATGCGCGGCATCATCCTGGATCGCGGTCTCGCGCGCCGGTGTACAACAAGCCGAGGCTGTGCTCGAAGCTCCTTTTCTTCAATCAAAGAGTGCATTTCTGCATCATGGTGCATACGATAGCGTCAACGAAGATGCAGAAATGCATCGGTCCACCATGTCGCGGCTCTAGAAATCTGATCTATTTTTTCATTGCGTACTGTTATAGCAACGGTATGCATGACACAATGATTGTCCAGCAAGGCTGTGCGAGCTGCGTGTCTACCATTGTACAACTACGGGTGGACGACCCCAGTCTCGGGGCTGCCGGGGCGTGAAAAGATCGCATGAGCTGAACGGACACGACGACCGGATATTAGCGATGTGAACACAAGGTCAGCCATGATATAATGTGTAGCTCTGCAGAAACTGAGAGAATCAGGATAGAAAGATCATGGAACGCGGTCTAATAATGAAAACGGAGCCAAATCGCAGAAAAAGCAGAAAAATGGTGCGGCTTGCACACGCACCCCTGTTGATCCGGGGAAACCTGTGTCTTGGAAAAGGAACCGGGAACTTGGAATCTTGCTGATATCTTGCATCGTCCAGTCATATTTCGGACTTGCTAGAGTACCCCATGCGATTCTGTGATAACTATGACGATGACACGGGATAGATTTGGTTGCCCCTGTGGAAATCGACGATTTTTTGACAGGTGTGAGTGTGAAGCCACGTGTAAGAGTGCGGGAACTCCAGCACAACCATCGAAAGGGGCCGATCAATGGAGATGTTCCGGCAGTGAGCATCGAGCTTACGATTCATCCACCTCATGCTGTTTCCGGCGCCTTAGGTTTGAAAGAACAGCGTGCAACACAGTGCCTTTCGTCCGATCAGGACAGATGAGGCGGTCCGAGGTCAACGAAGAAAAATTGCTTCCATGAAAATTCTACAGCCTTCGGTCGGACAATCAATCGCTTTGACCTCTGATTAGATTGAAAATGCTTTAGCTGAAGAGATTGGGCTCGGTGCATCAGGTCAGCGACGTGAACGGACGAGTCATGGCTTGAAATCGTTTGATGAGCGTTTGTATCGTGGACAGCGCAATTTGCCACGACTTCCGGCACCCGCATCCTCACCTTGAGACACATGTCTGTCGGTCGACGGTTGGCCGTTGGAGATCGGTTCGGTGCTTTTTAGCTTTTGTCTCAAACCGACCAAACCTTGACCTGGATCGCTTGCATGCTTAGGGTAACCGCCGTGCTGCTTAGCTGAGCAGGTACCTTGTCAAGCCATCGTTGCTGACACGGGCAGTAGGCTTTGCATCGAAGCAGGTGCCTCGGGCGTGGCAGCACAATGACAAGTCAGCCATTTCACCGCTGCTCTTGTGCGGCACAGTCAGCAGGGAACATGGAATTCGAAGGCTGCAGGACAAGACATGAAACAAGGATGATGTAGATGAATTGATTGCTGGCTCTTGATCATCCGCATAGAAACGTCACAATCCAGGTGATTCCAAGATTAGAGTAGTCTTGTCAGCCTTGCTGCCGAACGGATACGAAAGCTAGGGTGCTAGGTAGCCCGGTGTCTCCTTTTCGCGCGCGCAGTCCTTGTAAGACCCACGGGCCATCCGGTCCTTGGGCTTGGCCGTTAGTCACCCACCCTACGCTTCAAGTTGCATCATGGGCAATTACTCGAGCTGTCTATCACTGTAAGCAGATATATAGACGTCTGCCTACTCCCACTTGATCCGCTCTCTTCATTTCACACACATATCCAAACACCACTTCAAGCCCCATCTACATCAAAAGCTTTCAGCACTCGGCTCTTCAACTCACTCTACTATACAACAACGATCTGCCAACCAACAACCAACTTCACAATGCCTGCCATGGTTGAATTCCCTCCTTGCCCTGGCCCTCCTCCAAACAGGCCTCTGCCTCCTCTTCCCAAGTGAACCATCAAACACTTTGGATGAACTTGAACAATCACATCAACTCGCCAACGTTTCAAGAGCGGATATTGCCTGCACGCCAGACGTGCATACCACTCTATCCACCTATCAGCTGCCCACTCTCAGCATTGCACCTGCATTGACTTTGATTGCATCTTGCAAATGGGCACATTCGAGCATCATTTCTCATTGAATCCCCACCTCTTCAATCCGAAGCATGAGCCGCAGCATGCATGGCTCCACCCCACCGCCAGCGCAAATCAGCGGTCCGCCAGGCATATGCTTGTGCTTGCCCTCTTTGGCACCCCCACTTGCTCATGAGCATGCAACTAAAAGACGACACATCTTGGTCTATCATGCTATCACCAAATGAGCATTGCACGCCGGCCGGCCGGCCACCACTTCTCACGCCTTTGAATCAACGACTTGATATCTTCCACACGCTTTTACGGATTTTGCTATTACTTTTGGGGGTCATTAGTCTTGACAGCACTCTATAGGAGTTTATTGCTTGGGGTGTTTCGGTTATTTCTATTAGCATCATTATACCCCTCGGCAGCAGACAGAATCGCGCCATCTAGTTTTATTTTCACAATCAAGAAATTGTATTCGCTCAAAATCACCTATTGCATTCCAAATCCATTTCAAGCTTGTCGCAATATGAACCTCTTCCCAATCGCAGTAGACTTTTTCTCCACGCAGTCAGCTTGTAATTTCGATTTACCTTTGCACGCCCCATTGTTTAAGCACAGTACAAAGGCGATTGTCTTTGATCTCCAATAGTTGTTCTCGCTTCGCTGCGGGCCAATGACTCAATCGTATAGTCGTTCGGAGTGCGCGATGTTGGGTTCCTACACAATTGAGATCGTCGGGCACGGCATGAGTTGTAACCACAAATACTGTTACAGTAACCCGCTTGACTGACATGGAACTGCTTCAAGTCATCTCATAGTTTGGCACAGCTACATCATTCCTTCCCCTCTCTTTCCAAGATTTATCGTCGCTACGAAGGATGATGTATGTAGTACCAGAAGACAAGAGTTGTGCATGACAGAGTCGCAAGAGGCTCAATGTTTCAGCATGAAAGCGTAAAATCGGCATGCCGTCTACCATCGAGATTTTGCGCCATGATCGACTGTACCTCCACGGCACTCAGAACTCTATACTACGCGTACCGTTGCCATATTGTGGTTCGCTTCGCTACGTGGCAGATACAGAAAGCGGATGATTTGTCTTTTCCTTATTCTCATCATGAAATGAATCGCCAGCACTACTGGTAGGTATGACTGATCGCGAGTGATCGCGAATTCTTCCTATCGGCCAAGAATCCTTCGGGGCTCAGCTCCAAAACACGTGCATGGGATTTCAAATGTTTGGCGACAGTCGACCATGCCAATTCGCAGAAGGATTCAGACACGAGGCAGCAACTTCCACTTGCGGCGATGACAATATTGGCTACGCTATGAATAACCTCTCGGAGGGCAGCGTTTACGGGTGAAACCCCGCTCCTGCGTGGCTTGAGTTTTCGTGGAGACTCTTTTGAGCCTCCTTTGATCTGCGTACAAACCTGACTGGGCAACAACAGAGCAACATGGTCGTCCTCTCCTGCACTCAACACGACACGAAACAGATTGGCTTTGGAGGTGCGTCTCGGCAACGCGGCCTGTGTGGATTACTGATAAACAGTCGCGCTCGAGTTCATGCAGGAGTGCAGAGACAACGAGCATCCTCATGGCGACAAGCGGCAGGTGCAGTGTGGTGTGATTCACGATTAGAGTTCGCAGTCATTGCCTTTTCCATCCTGGTCCTTTCTCAGACAAACAGGTCAGCGCCGCACCACTTATCCTCGGACTTGCAGGCCGCATATGCACTGAAGATCAGGACCACGTGCCTGACGTCTTCATCAAACACTTCATCTATCGAGCGATATGTGCTATATTAAACGTACGATAAGCATTGATTTGCCCAATGGATGACGGACATCAACCTGCCTTGCTGTATGTAGGGGAATTACTCCGCAATAATGCTTTGTGTTAAAACGGAGCACAGCACAGCAGGTTGCATGAGCATGGCATGCGAGAAGGAAGTCACATGCGTTTCTGGATTACGAGTACATTGGTCGAATACAATCTCTGCACTTGTCTGATCAAGTGAAGTCGCAGGCAACCAAACAGCGCATCTCGTTCAGGCACTGCTCGTACCACTCCTCGTCGACCCACTTATCCTCCAGCTCCAGGTTTCCTGCGCAACTGGGGTGTGCTGGCATGAGCTGTAAGTACATGCTCGGCAAGTGACTGCAGCAGAGTATCTTTCAAGGTTATCGGCGTCGACCGGGCAGCCCTCACCTCACAGCCATCTGCCGACACGGTAAACGACGTGCAACTTTATGCGCATCACCATGCGCTTGCATCCCGTCGGCTGGCTGACGGGACGGCCAATGGCATCTGTAGCCAAGCAAGGTACCTGCCTGAGGCGTCGGGTTCCAGCTCGAGTCTGACGTCCTGGAAAAATCCCTCGAGCTGAATGTATCTGAGGAGTCTGGGCCACGACGTACTGCACAATATCAATGGAAAATTCACAAGGAAGTACTCTACAAATCATAGAGCATGAAGCATGTGCATCGCTCAGTCACCAGTTCAACCAAACGACATGTTGGACCACCAGTTCGACTTATTCATCAACTGCCATGCAGACGTTCTGCGAGCTCCACACCGTCAACGAGAGCCTCGAAGGTCTTCTTCCTGTCGAGTTCACACATCAGGCTGATCTCAGCAGACGACCAAGGGATCAGCTCAGAACGTTGCCGAGATGGTCTACCTTCGATGTTGCATATGCGCAGGTAGCTGCACATCGGAACTTAACGCCGTGTATCTTTTGCTGGTGGATGCCATGTTTTCAGGGTCAGAGCTGAGGACATACTTGGAAGCATGTACCTTGACTTTAGTGAGGCACCACCAGAACTCCGCTGTGGGGAAGGTTCTGTTCGCTCAGAGTCACTTGGTATACGAGTGATGTATCGACCTCTTGTACCATGCGTCGAATCTCGAACTCGACGATCCTGGAGGCTGGGATCAGTCTCCCCTAAAAGGTAACCCTGTCTCTTGGATCACCTGCGTCTACAAAACCCAACCTCTGTATGATGCGCACACGCGGTCTCGACACAAACATCTCGATGACGTGTATCATGCAGTGAAAGGTAAGTTTGTCACCTCCTAGCGACAGCCCGACTTGCGTGCACTGTCACCGTACACGGTTGTAGTTGAAGAAGAGAAACTGCCATGAGCTGGTCACTCCCTTGCAGGCAGAAAGCCCAAACATACGATCATAGCTACCCTACTCTTCATCTTTCTGTCATATCTCCTGGGCTAGTTATGGTTCTAGAAGGATGTTGTGATGCATTCTCTTAGTATCATGCTCACAGGTCTGGTGAACCAACGAGTGCTAACCTGCCATCTACAATAAATGTGCATCATATATAAATCCATAAGAAGCAAGAATTGAAGACATCATTAGATTTATGGTGATTGAGAAGGGCCGCAGTTGTTGGAACCAGATTTATAGGTCATATAAGACGCCAGTGTATATTGAAGATTAAATGAAACAACGCTTTAGAAAAACACGCTGTCGCCAGCCCAATCAAGGGTTTTGAAAGAAAGGTATCTGTGGAGGGCGAGGTTGAAACACTATACGAACATCAAGGCCCATCAAGGGATTTTCTACGCCTTGGGTTCTTTGGGCTCCTTAGGCTCCTTGTCCTTCTTCTTTTTCTCCTTCTTTTGGGCAGCCTCGGCCATGAGCTGCTCGAATGCGAGATGGTCACCCTCTTCGTCAGCACTGCGTGCGGCCTTGGAGAAGACCTCTCCGATGACGAGCAAAGCGTGGGCACGCTCAACACGCTTGTCGACCTTGACGGTTTTGTCGTAGAGGACCTTGTCGCAGACGTCGCGGAGCACGCTCTGGATCTCGAACTTTGAGCCTCGCCATGCGGCGGCTAGAATCTTGCCTGTCACGCGACGCTCAAAGTCGGCCTTCTTCTCGTCGGTCCAGTCGTCACCTCCGCGTTCCTCTGCGCGAGCCATCTCTTCTATTTCCATCTGCGCGCTGATAGCGGTGCTGACTGTACCCCAAGTCTCCTTGACGAGCGTGCCCTTGTCCTTCAGGCGCGAGAAGAAGCCGGTAACACCACCAATAATGGGTTTCTGGCTCTTGATGAAAGTGGCGGCTTTTTGTGTGTAGGTCTGGCCGATGGCGTGTAGGATCTCCAGGCCGAATGACTCCATCTTAAGGTTCTCGACTTCTTGCTCCATCTTCTTGCGGAATGATGATGTGACGTCCTTGCCCTTGTCGGTCTCCGTCCATACACTGACGCGGTTGATGAGCTTCTTGGACAAGTCCTCGATACGCTCCTCACGTGCGCGCTCTCGCTCGGCCTCGAAGGCAGCTAGTTCCTCCTTTTGCTCCTTGGTCAAGCCACCCTTCTTCTTCTCTTTTGCGCGTAGGCTCTTCTCTGCTTCGGTGACACCCGCGGCTTCCATACGAGCTTCTTCTTCGGCACGGTCTGTGAGGGCAAGACGAGTAGGTACTCCCTTCGGTCTTTCTTGCGAGTAGGCTGGCGGTGCGGGTTCCTCTTCGGAAAGGTTCATCTTCTCCATACCGTCCTTCAGGTCGGCGGCAGCACCGGCGTGGGACTGGGCAGCGGATTCGTGAACGGTCTTGTCCATACTTGCTTTCTTCTCATCGACGGCGGCGGCAGCAGCTTCAGCTTCTGCTTCGGCAGCAGCGTTTTCTTCCTCGTGACGCATGGTGATTTCCATCGACTTCTCCATGTCGCGGACCATGGAGATTTCGCCGATCCTGTTCATGCTCTCAGCTCAAGTCGGCGGGTATGTGATGGGTGTTGAGCCTGCTTACCAGTCTGCGAAGGCATGGCCACCGAAGATCTCGTTGAACATCTCGGAGGGGTCCTCTGTAAAATGGTCAACTCTTGTCGTAGTTTGTAGCACATGTCGAGTCTCGTACCGAANACCTGTGTTGGGCATGGCACCCTCCTTGCCATAGTCGTCATATTGCTTGCGAAGTTTCTCGTCGCTGAGGACCTGATAAGCCTCGCCGATCTAAACAGACAAGCGGTCAGAAGACATGATTCTGGGAGTAGATTTGGGCGGGCGACGCACTTCCTGGAACTTGGCACTTGCTGTCTCGTCGCCGGGGTTCTTGTCGGGATGCAGGCGGATGGCGAGTTTGCGGTATGCCTTCTTGATCTCGACGTCGGTGGCAGTGGNGGGCACTTCTAGCGCGTCATAGTATGCGGTATCCTTGACCATCTTGGCCGGCGTTCGAGTCTTTGGTTTATTTCAGTAGGTGGTCGAGTCTCGAGGTCTTTCGTCTATTAGTCCGGGTCTGAAAAGGTACAAGTTATGGTAGGTGAGGATCATAAAAACAATATGTTGGGCGCTGGCCACAAAGTTGTTGTGAATATCAAGTTTACCTGCTCACCTAAATTGTGGCCGCGCATTTTGGCTTGGCACCCTGACGTATCCAATCTCGAGACATGTGAAAGACATCCTCAGATACAAACAACCATGTCCTCTGATCGAGTCTCTATCAAATCCCTTCTGGTGATTGGGTGTGCTGTATACTCCTACAAATGCATTCACGATATACCACAAGTTACAGAACGCACCATCACCCTGTCTCAACGACCGTCAACCCTGTCAAACCACGCCCATGCTTTATCTCCAGGAACAGCTGCTTCCATGATCACTCCGAGTCTCTGCACGAGACCGTCTGCTCCAACTTCAAATCTGGCCTTCATGTAGTCATCCGCCATCTTCGAATCATAAATTACCGTCCTCGTCTCCAGAAGCCAATGCTCTGCGCTCACATGCCGGAAGGTGAATAACACATTACCGCCTTTGGATCTTGCATAGAGCAGTAGGTCCTGAGAATCCACTTGTCCGACACTAGATTCGCCCAGCAGATCCAAAGGCGCCTCGAGGCTGATGCTGAAATTTCCGTAAGCGGCGTTCGCATAGGTTCCCGTATAGTTCTGCAAAGGAAGTTGTGGCTGCACAGGTTCTGATGGTACATCAGGGTACAGCTTAGAAGGAAGCGCCTTGAGCTGTTCTTCGCGCTTCTTTATCAAATGGGTTTGCCTGATATACTGTCAGCTGGAGCACGTGTATGCTGCGTACACTCACGTCTTGTTCATGTCGTAGAATTCATCCTCCGGACCACCCAAGAACTCGTCGATCAAGCGCCATCCCATAGCCTCGAAGGCAGTGCTCATTGAGTTTTGGATCATCACAAATCCAAACTTACGATCAGGCANAAACTTGAAGCTTGATGCGTAACCACTGATGCCACCAGTGTGTCCAAAGACCCTCTCGTTTCGATAGACACCTGCATCAAGTCCCAATCCATACCAGAAAGGGCCTGAATAGGGCGCCTTATCATCGCTTTGAATCGACGAGGGATATTTGAGCTTGGCATGACTCTCTTTGGAGACCGGACCAGTCTCGTACATGAGCGTGTGAACCCACTTGCTGTAATCGACAACGTTAGAGATGATGCCTCCAGCTCCGTTTGCTGGATTAGATTGGTTCAGTGCCCATTTTACATAAGAGGACGTCTCTTTGTTCCAGGCATAGCTATCAGCCAATACGCAGTGAGGATTCGATGCTTGGCAACTCGCTGCATCTTCCCGAGAGTAGTACGATTCGTTCATTCCCAGAGGCTCAAAGATCCACTCGCGCAGTAGATCTGCTTGCGGCTTTCCGGTCACAGATTCGATGACATGCGAGACTGCAGTGAAGAACAGATTGCAGTATTGGAAAACTGTCCTGAAGCTTGCGCTTGTTTCGATATGACGCATAAGATATGTCTGGGTCTTGACATCCAACCCTTGGTCATACCACACAGCATCGTGTCCAGGCATGCCTGTTCGGTGGGACAATGCATCGAGAAAAGAGACATGGTTTGTCAAGTAATCGTCCTTGAGGATGAAGTCGTTACCAACGAGAGAGTGGAGTGGTGTATCCCATTCAACGTGGCTGAAATCATCCTGATTTTGAACCAACAAAGCTGCCAGGGATGCCGTAAAGGATTTAGTAGTGCTAGCTACCTGATAGAGAGTGCGAGGTGTGAACGGCACGTCTGGCAGAGTTGCATAGCCATAACCCTNTGCATGTCAGTTCAGAATGATGACGCATTCAGACTGGATACAAGATTGTACAGAGAAAACGTCGGAATGAAGTGGAAACAAAGTGAGCAATAGATGCTACCGAACTTGCACAATGATCTTGCTTTTTCTAATACGAGAATATATTACCTTGGACCATGTCTTATTTTCGTAGACTACAGCAATGGCAAGACCAGGAATATGCCAGTCCTGCATAAGACTCTCAACAAACGAGTCGAAAGAAGGATGGAGTGGAGTTTTGTCGGTGGATTGGGCATCGTCACTACCGAGAAACAATTGCGATGTGTGCAAGGACGAGGCAAAGGTCAAGGACAGGAAGTGAGCAGCCACGTGAAAAGCAGACGGTAAAGTCAGAAAATGGCGCATGCTGACGAAGATGGACGTCGAAACCAAAAGTCAAAGCAAGGGGCAAGCTTGCAAGGTAGGTGGTGGGAAGAGAGAGATAAGGACAAGTGAATGGGGTTGTGGGGTGCGAAGGATGGCGAAGGATGCAAGGCCTTGGGCCAAGGCAGTGGGATTCATGATAGCAGTGTAGCTTTCAACAGCTAGAAGACGTCGAAGAGACGCGACACGCAGCGCCCCATCCAACTCCCATGCAAAACAGGGCAGTGGAGACAAAGGTGACAACGGATGCGTGATTTTGAAAGTCTCTCAGACGTTGAGTTCTGGTGTGCAGCGCAGCGAAGTGGAAACAGCTTGGGGCCTGGAAGGCTCCCGGTTCTCGTCAGCTCGTCCGTGTCTTGGCTTGGCGGGAAGGTATGAATCAGTATGTCATTGGCAAGAAGCACCAGAAACCACCCACCTCCCTACCTGTCCAACTTACAGAACCACCAATCCCATTTTTCGCATCGCCATCCAAAGCCCCATCCCTCCGACCAGATCAGTGTTGTTGATTCCAAGCTGGTGTAACCACTCGCCAGATCCCGCTACCCTGTGCGACACTTCAGCGTACTCCACATGTCCTCGTGGTCGTGACAGCATCGTGTAGAGGCCCGTTCCATTACCACTTCGTTCGTTACACACCCGCATTCCCCGTTCCGACTCTCGCTCCGCAGTCATGGGTAATCAACCGTCCAAGGGCGAGAAAGGCTCGTCAGACGGCCCTGATCTCAGCTCCTATCCCTCCTTCTCCAAGTCCGACACCCAGGGCTCGACACGTTCTTTCCGCGGTTCCATTCGCTCAAAGATCCCCTCCAAGATATCCACCGACAACCTGCGNCCCCCATCATCCGCCCTGGCCTCACCTAAGAGACAGTCAGAGCCAGGTTTGGATGCTGCCGCTATACAGTCCATCCCCGGTGCCAAACATAGACGCTCCCCTTCCGCTCCCTCTCTTTCCGAAACGTCGCGCAGGAGCAGTGGAGCAAGCAACGATGCCCAAGATCAAGACGATGTCCAAGCTCCTCCTTCTCCCACTCTGTCATCCTCTATCGGCCACGGCCATTCCGACATCACAAAAGCCCAGCGGTCCGGTGAGGTCGAGCACGTCTCTGACGCTCCTCCTACTGGCACTCTACAACACAACAACCTAACCGAACCTACTGAGTCTATCTTGATGAGGAAGGCTGATCACAAGCCCAGTTCCGCTGCAGCAGCACTCGCCTTATCGGAAGGCTCGGCTTCCAATAACATGGACATCGGTGCCCTCAAGACGTCGGATCTGGATGACATGATCAAACGATTGATCGACGCAGGATACGCCGGAAAGGTCACAAAAACAGTTTGTCTGAAGAATGCCGAGATTTTTGCCATCTGCCAGGCTGCTCGTGAGGTCTTCCTTTCGCAACCTGCTCTGCTCGAGCTTGCGCCCGCAGTCAAGATCGTTGGCGACGTTCATGGTCAATACACCGATCTCTTGCGCATGTTTGAAATGTGCGGATTTCCTCCCAACTCCAACTACCTCTTCCTGGGTGACTACGTGGACCGTGGCAAACAAAGCCTGGAGACCATCCTCTTGCTGCTCTGCTACAAGCTACGTTACCCCGAGAACTTCTTCCTCCTTCGTGGCAACCACGAGTGCGCCAATGTGACCCGTGTTTATGGATTCTATGACGAATGCAAGCGTCGTTGTAATATCAAGGTGTGGAAATCGTTTGTTGACACTTTCAACTGCTTGCCTATCGCATCCGTTGTTGCCAACAAAATTTTCTGTGTGCACGGAGGCCTATCACCCAGTCTTTCGCATATGGATGACATTCGCAACATTGCTAGACCGACTGACGTTCCAGACTATGGGCTGCTGAACGATCTGCTTTGGAGTGACCCAGCCGATATGGAAAATGACTGGGAAGCCAATGAACGAGGAGTGAGCTACTGTTTCGGCAAGAAGGTCATCATGGAGTTCCTTGCGAAGCACGACTTTGACCTCGTGTGCAGAGCGCACATGGTTGTTGAGGATGGTTACGAGTTTTTCACTGATCGCGTTTTGGTCACCGTATTCTCAGCACCAAACGTAAGTATTTTGTCGGTTGATTTGCATATTGCCATTGGCTAACAGCTAGATGCANNGTACTGCGGAGAGTTCGATAACTGGGGAGCTGTCATGTCTGTTTCTGGTGAGCTTTTATGCAGTTTCGAGCTGCTGAAGCCTTTGGACTCGAGTGCTCTCAAGCGACACATCAAGAAGGGTCGCAATGAACGTCAAAACATGCTGAACAGTCCGGTAAGTAGACGCATGTCTTGTGCATCAGACAATGTACTAATCTTGGCGCAGCCCGCAAGTCAATATCCTCAGAGTTATTAAGCTGGACGAAAGACAACGGCTAGTTTATATGCGCATCGACTAAAGCACAGTCGAACGTCCTGCCACAATTGACCGGCATGGTATCGGCGCAAGAGTGATACAACCCAGGTGGAAAACAGTTTCCTGACGGAGCGCTGCATAAAAGCAGCCAATGCATTTTGCGAGCAGTACTCGGACAGACTTGGAAGAGAGTAGTCAGGTCTGCTGTCAACAAGGTAAATAACACTCGATTGCAGCACAGGCAAGAGTTGGGAGCACACATGCGTGCGGACGCTGTGTCGAACAACTTCTCCAGACGCCTGAAATTTATGACCGGAGTTGACTCGAGGATGGAGTGTTCGAAAAGAAAGGTCACGAAAATGGCCGGGACATCCGTCACGGTGATTGGAAGGAGTTATAGGATAGCGATTGCTGTTCCAGAGTGGTTTCACAGCAATAGAGGTTGGCACGTCCAAGCTCGGATGGGTGAGGATGGAGGCGTTGAGGTGGTGGTTACTCGTCAAGTCACGAATGCAATGAATTAAGTGCGATGAGAACATCAAGTGAAGGCTGCAAGTGAATGCATTGTGTATGCGGAGATGAGATGGATTAGATGGCAGGTGCAGATGAGACAAGATGCGGGGTTTAGCCGAAGCGCACTAGCCAAGGCTGGCGCTGGCGCCCACGGACGAAAAAGCTGAAAGCGAATTCGACGCTTCGCGAGCGGCCTCTTTACGAACCACGACCAACGACCTTCTCTCCGTCGACAACACACATATCAACACAATGGCTGATCGTGGAGCAACCCGTGGCGGATTCGCATCTCGTGGAGGAGACCGTGGTGGTGACCGTGGCCGCGGTGGCCGTGGTCGCGGCCGTGGTCGCCGTGGTCCCAAGAACGAGGAGAAGGAGTGGCAGCCCGTCACCAAGCTCGGTCGTCTCGTCAAGGCCGGCAAGATCAAGTCCATGGAGGAGATCTACCTTCACTCCCTGCCCATCAAGGAGTACCAGATTGTCGACTTCTTCCTCCCCACCCTCAAGGACGAGGTCATGAAGGTGCGCACACACGACATGCGCAGAGAGGAGCACCTGCTTTCGCAGCCGAAGCACCTACAGCGACAACTGCACCGACACCAGCAGCAGCAACACCTCCTCTCTGCGCATTGAAAGAAAGAGCAAGAAAAACGGACCTCTAACATACTTTTCTCTACANNGATCAAGCCCGTCCAGAAGCAGACCCGTGCCGGTCAGCGTACCCGCTTCAAGGCCGTCGTTGTCATCGGTGACTCTGCTGGCCACGTCGGTCTCGGTATCAAGACCTCCAAGGAAGTCGCTACCGCCATCCGCGCCGCCATCATCATTGCCAAGCTCGCTGTTGTCCCCATCCGCCGTGGTTACTGGGGCTCCAACCTTGGTGAGCCTCACTCCATCCCCGTCAAGGAGAGTGGCAAGTGCGGTTCCGTCACTGTCAGAGTAAGTCACATCTTTTCGACCTGGTGTCTAACCATCCCTCTGACATTCTTCCCTCTANNGCTTATTCCCGCTCCCCGCGGTACCGGTCTCGTTGCCTCGCCCGCCGTCAAGCGTCTGTTGCAGCTTGCCGGTGTCTCGGACGCCTACTCCGCCTCGTCCGGTTCCACCAAGACCCTCGAGAACACCCTCAAGGCCACTTTCGTTGCCATCACCAACACCTACGGTTTCCTCACCCCCAACCTCTGGAAGGAGACCAAGCTCATCCGCTCTCCTCTCGACGAGTACGCCGATGTCCTCCGCCAGGGCAAGCGCTACTAAGCGTCTCGCCACTCTTGCTAGTCAAGTGGTGTTGATGATGGGCAACAAGATGTCGGGTGCGGTTATGGTGAAATGAAACAAAAGTCATTGGGCCGCTTTCGAGATTAAAACTTAGGTCGTCCGAACAAAATGAGAGCAAGCACAAAAGCACTTTCTTCGCAAACTTCGAGAGACCTTTTCAAATGATATCCATGTTTTAAATGTTTGCATATCGTGTCTTGCCCTTTCAAAATGTCTGTTTTATATGACACATTGTCAGTTGGATCACGTTGTTCGTTGTCCCTATCCATCATACACATGAAACTCTAGACTGTCTCTCGGCAAGTATTGTTTTTGTTCATGTTCACAAGCATCTTCATGTCATGTTGCTTACGCAATTCAATCGGAGTGATATTGTGATCGATTACTGAGTCTCTTGGTAGCCATGCAGTGTTGGCTGTTCTATGTACCGGAGAGTTATTGACTTCGACCTCTGTTGGCCCTCAGGCAAGCATGTCTTGCTCAATGCGCAACGTTAACGCCTTGCTCGCTGGTCTTTGTTACGCCAAAAGAAGAAGAAGAAGGGGTATCTGTTAAGCAAGAAAAAAAAAAGCAAAAAGGAACACAAAGCAAAGAGCAAAAGAGATGTTGCTGTTGCTGTCCACCTCATTCCTAGTTGGAAGGTGCATCGATCTCGTGTTGAGCAGGCAGAGCAGCATCGTGCAAAACGGCAGGCTGGCCAGCTGGAACGGATATGGGTCTGCTTCTGCGACCACGGGACACGCTTCTGGCAGTGGTGGGAGGAGCGCTGACAGTCGAGTTTGGTAACTGTCCGTCAGGATTTCCATCGGCGGCAGTATGAAGGTCAACGGGAGCTTCAAAGGCAGCGGCGAAGTCATTGCCCAAGTCTGTGTTGCCGTCAACTTCTGTGCCTTCGTCGACCATCGAACCATCGAAATCTTCCATCTCGACGTCGTCCTCCTCCTCATCATCAACCTGACTCATGATAAAGTCCCACTGAGACTTGGTGACTTTAGTAACAGACAGGCGTGACTGTTTGAAAATTTCCATTCCAGCAAGAGCACCTCCAGGCTGAGAGAATTTCTGAAGGTCCTTCAGCGTGAACTTCTCGCCAAACTTGCGACGAAACTCGACATGGACGAGCATCCACTTGGGCTTTGCAGGATCAGACTTGGGGTCATAGTAGGCGCTGCTCTTATCAAAGGCGTTGGTATCAGGGCTGGCTTCATTGACAATCTCCATAATACCGACAATGCCAGGCTTTTTGCAGTTCGACTCGTAGAAGAAAGCAAGATCGCCGACTTTCATGGCCTTCATGTTGTTTTGGGCTTGCGCGTTACGGATGCCCTCCCATGGTTCAGGCTCTGTGCGAGAGCGAAGATCGTCAATAGTAAACTTGACATCGACGTCGTCGCCGTTGGCGTTCTTTTCGATGCGAGACTCTGGCTCGGCCTTCATAAGCCAATAGCTGCGATCGGCTTGGATGATGGTTGTGGCCTCGGTAATGTTGGCGTCGTGAGTTGGGTCGTCGTAGTCATCGTCCGCTTGGTCATCGGCGTTAGGGGCAGATTCAGCTTCGTGCTGGGTCTTCTTTGGTGGTCTGCCTCTACCACGCTTGGGAGGAATTGTTGATTTGGTAACACGACTTGAGCGTAATGGAGGCAACTCTGTCTCACTGGCAGGAGTAGAAGCCAGTCTAGCGCTTTGTCTTTCGCCAACCCTAAAGCTAGAAGGGGCCTTAGGTCTAGCGGCAGACCCAGGTGTGACAGTCGAGGCCTTAGGTGGACGACTACGTCTCTTGGGTGTGACTTCAGAGGTTGATGCGACGCTGGAGTGCTTGGGTCTCTTCGCACTAGGTGGATCAGGTGGGGGCATCGCAATGGCGCGCTTCGGTCTCGCGGCTGCGGCTGTCGTATCGAAGGTCTTACCCCGAGGAGTAGTGACTGTCGAGGGCACCTCAGGTTCAGGCGGTGGTGCGTGTACTGCCTTCTTGCTTTTCTTGGGAGGCATTGTGGTGGGCTTGTGCGGTTGTAATGCTGGAAAATTAAAGAGATCGTCGAGCTTTCTGTTTAGATGTAAATATTGGAAGACGCGTTTAGCGCTTTCCTAATGCCGCGTGACCTCACTGTACAGTGAAGCAGCAACAAGACGTCCCCGACTGGACTAACAGAAGTGAAGAGAGTCGAAAACATCTCTTCGAGACCTACAGAGGTCATACTCGACTATCATCCATCGATCAACGCCTCGAACATGGAAACATTGCTAGGATCGGATCGCTGAGGGGATGACCCTGTTCTTCTGTATACTCTAGCATATCTGCGCTTCTAGGCGCGCCTAGGTCGCCGTCTGGGCTTAGCTCAAAAAGGCATCAGAGGAGATACTTTAGGCTATCTGTTGGTACGTGCAAGAAAGGCAATGAAGAACATTACAGTCTTGCGTCTCTGACCGACTGAAGTATCCTTTGACGCAGTTGGTGACAGACCCAAGGCTTGTCAGCATAGACCGAGACTGTCAGCAAATTAAGTGAAACACAAAGGAAATGCAGTATTGCAAACCGCTTGGACTTCGCAAATGCTCGAGAACGAGTTCGATACATGCGAAGACAAGGTCTAGGAACATTTGCAGCACATTCATATACCGTAAGCGCAAAATATTCATGCATTAGAAAGATTTATAATACAGCTTGATTATCTTGTGAGATTATGTGTATGCACCCCTGCCCAAAGCCGACCACAGTGAAATGAAACACTGAGGTGATATGAACAGTCTCCTTTCGGACTCGCCAGCGCAGGCATCAATATCAGCACATCTTCGGCACAGTCTGTCGCCACTGAAAAGGCATAGGCTGCAATTTGACATGAGTGCTTGGTTGAATGGAAGAGAATCGGAGGGAGGAGGAGAAGGATGGAGAATAGCAAGGAGGAAAAGAAGAAGAAGAAACTATTTTGAGGTATCCATAAGTAAAGAAGAAAGCTGGCTCGAAATGAGAAAAAGGGTAGTCAGTATGTCTACAGAACCAGAGCTTTGAGCGTGCAGACCCAAATGTACACTCAGTGGTCCAAAGGTAATTACGGAATTTTGATCGTTTGCATGGTTAGTTCTTGGCTCATTTGTGTTCGCTGTCGTACGGTAAAATCGCAGGCAAAAAGCAGACTATAGTCTGCGGGTCATTACAGCTCGCCATGCGAGACAATGCTTGACGTGACAGCCTTGACAGTTGCTGTAACAGTCGACTTGGCGGCATCGTAAGCCTCACGAGCAAGCACAGCCTCATCTGTGCTTTTGGGTGCCCAGAGGTTGCCGCTGCGAAGCTGTTGCCAGGCAATGTCAAAGCGTGCGCCCATCATCCAAGCGGTGAAGAANNCTACAGATGTAATTAGCCAATGAAGAACAGCTGGCGGTGAGAGTGGTGTACATACCATGATAGCAGTAATGACAAACAGCGTGCCTCCAACAGCCAGCATGATGTAGAAGAACTCTTCCTTATCTTGAGCCTGCTGCTTCTTTTGAGCCTCCTGCTCCTCGGGAGTGAGGGTTGTACCCTTCGAATCGACGGGAGCAGGAGCGCCCTGACGATAGGAGGCAGCAGTCTGTGTAGGGAAGATGGATTCGATGAATTGCTCAATCTGCAGAGTTTGTTGCGTCAGCGCTGTGTACTCAAAATGGCCCGTGCTTACGATCATCGTGTCGGTCAAAATACATGGCAATGCCCGACTTGTGACAAGGCTCAAGAGAAATACAAACATACCTTNTCCACATGCAAGGCTGATCTCAAGGAAGTTAGGGTCCTGAGGGTTGTTACGCTTGTGAATGGTACGAGCAAAACGTTTGAAAACGCCGTATGCGACCTGGAGATTTTGTGTGCTGTCGACCATAAGTCTGCAAGCAGAACCTTTTGTGATCTTGACATTCTTCTCGAAGATATCGGGGTTCTGGAAACACAGCTCCAGCGTTGCGATGGCCATAGTTTGGGGGATCGCGCAGAAGTTGAAGACACTTTGCTCCTTGAGTCCAGCAAGGTAGAAGAGGCAGTCGTCGGCACGTCGCAGAGCCAGCAGAACCATCTCGGAACTGCAGGCCAACGCCTTGTCCTTGTTCTCGGGCAGGAAGAGGTCCTCGAAGCGGTCCACGTGCTTAGACCACACCTCGCGGGGCCAGAAGTAACGCTTATCCTCGTGGTCCTCGCGAATGTCACGAATAATGTTTGTTTGCTGCAAGAATTGACCCATGGATTCGTGGAGGTCCTCGCGCTCCAGAAGGGCAGGGTTGGCTAACTTGGCCTCGACAAACAGGCGTGTCAGACCCTCACCGACCAGACCGGCGACATAGTGGCAGTACTTGTAGTAGTCCTTAATGGTCTCCACCTTTTGAGCACCACCCTCATCAGCCATCTTTGCATAGTCGGCCATGCCGTTGCCCATGCGATCGGTGATGTCCTTGATGATAACCTTGTACTCGGGCTTGATCTTCTTGTACTCAGCGACAACGACGTCGAAGTGGACGCAGAGCTCGCGATCCTTCTCATTGGGGCCGTTGCCTGTGAAGTTCCAGCCGTCTTGCTCGAGAATGTTGTGGAAGTCGCGGAGGAGGGGCTCTTTAGTCTCGAAGGGAATGGTCATATCGTCCTCAATTGTGTCGAGACCGCGTAGAATCAGGTAGAAGAGGCAGACGGGAACAAGGAGCTCGGGGTGAAGTTCCTGAATAACGGCAGCGAAACTGCGGCTGGTCATCTTGAGGTACTTGAAGCACTCCTTCAGCTCAGGGCTCTCCTTTGACTCGTCGCGCTCGTGGACGGCATCGTGCCAGAGCTTCCATTGAATGATGTTTCTAAGCTCCCCAAGGTGGGTGCCGTAGTAGACAATGCTGCCGATGCTGGGCATGGTGGTCGAAGTGAAATTGCGGCCTTGTCTTGTTCAGGAGAGGGACAGAGAGCGTATGAATCGAGGTCTCTGCGGTTGCGCCGATTGCTTGTCTGGCAACGAGTCTCGGGATGGCGCTACACGAGGACTTTCTGGAAAAGTCGCACGATTTGTCGAACGATTGAGGCGTTGCAGAAGGAAGGCAGGATGGCTGCAGAATGCACATGCCGTCCGCGCGACTTCCCAAATCTCCGCAACTTCCCCGTTCCAATCTCAACTCAAATCTTCCACGACCAAACCTCACCATGAAACACAGCTAATTTTTCATACTATTGCCACCAACCATTCGTTATCCTCATTAGATATCCACAAGGGCAAATTCTTCTCATCGCTGTCGTCAATCTAGTCTCCGTTTTACGAAAAGTAAACAATGTCTCGGAGATCGATCTACCGGCCATGAGTGGACCCTGCAAATCCAGGAACGATTGCATGGCCGCTGCATGCACTCTCCATACAGCATTTCTTACTAAACATGACCCACGAAGAAACACACGCGAAATCATAGACCCGATACCGTGTCAATCAGACATCAAACACCTTGAACCTTTCCTGCCACAGCATTTTTCAGACCTTCTCGTCACCCACCACTTCGACGTGCTCATGATGTCCAAGTTTGTGCTTTTCGGCAATCGTGAAATGATTGTCTCTGGCTTGGTTGATCATTTCGTCCAGCTTGGAATGACCAGGCTTCGTCTTCCATGGCTTGATCTCGCCTGAGAAGAGAAGCTCAATCTCTTCAAGCGTTTTCCCAGATGTCTCTGGAAACGTAAGGAAGAACTGTGCTGCTCCTAGGAAGCACATGACACCAAAGATGATGAATATTCTCCATGTAATGTTCTGAAAACCAAGAGGAATGTACATGCCCAATGCAAAGTTGAAAAGCTGTGGCTCAGTAAGTATGACTTCTCACTAATCATGACCCTTGCACTTACCCAGTTTCCAATGGCTGCAACACCCATGCCGGTTGCTCTGGTCTCCAACGACCACACCTCAGCCGCGTAAATCCAGCACACTGGTGCTAACGTCATGGAACAAAGGAGAATAAGCAAACAGCAAAAGGCAATGACTGTGTTTCCAGCAGATCCCCCTACCCGGATCTTGATGTTTGGATTGCCATCCACGCCATCGGGAATATAGGTACCAGTACTGAGCACACCGCCGACGACGAAATGGCATATGCCCATGGCGATGGCGCCGTAGATCAACAATGGTCTCCTGCCAACTTTATCGACGTAGAAGAACATGATAGCGGTACCCACGATGAAAATAGCGTATTGTACGCCGCTGGAGATCAGGTTGACATTGTTCGATAGGCCGGCCATGCTGAAAATATACACGACATAACAGGTCATCACCTGGATCACATGGTCAGTATACTTCTTTGCCATGCTGAAGTTCAACTTACGTTTGCACCTGAGTTTTGCTGCCATATCTGTTTGCGGCTACCGTCAGCATGTCTCTTGCTATCCAATTGTACTATTCGAAGCTTTCTGACGAACCTGAACGGAGAAGCCTGTGAGCGTTCGCTTCCACATGTTGTTGTATACGAATTTGCGCCAACCAGGAAGAGCAGAGCGTCCGGCAGCCAGCGTTGTCGTGATCTCTTCCCATTCAGCGACGACAGTAGGGTCATCCACGTTGCCTCCAGCCTGGATATCTGCCAATGTCTGAATAGCTTCCTCCGATCGATCTACCTTTGCGAGCCATCTTGGAGACTCAGGCAGGAAGGGTAGGCCAATCATCAAAAAGAAGCAGGGGACAAACTGCATACTCCAAGCGGTACGGAAAGAAGCAGGACCGTCGATAAAGGTGCAGCCATAGCCTGCTCATGTCAGAACCTTGGCTGTCTGATGATTCAATATATGCATTGATCTTACCCAAGAAGTACATCACCAAGATTCCAACCTCGATGGCCAATTGTTGGATGATGATGAGCGAGCCACGCTTTTCTTTACGAGAAATCTCGGCCAGATATGCGGGAACCTGACTGCTAGTGATACCAACAGTTATGCCTTAGTAGGGTTCAATCAGCAATACTCCTAACAGCACGACAACGAACCCGTATTCGAGAAACAGTCACTCACCATTAAGCACCCTCCCGCAACCAGCATCCCGAACCCATTAGTAGCCGTCTGCAACACCGTACCCGCAATCCAAATAAAGCAGCTATCAAAAATCGAATTCCTCCTTCCGATCCAATCGAAAAGGTCCAGCGATCGCTGATCCAAACACAGAGCCAGCAGCAAGCGAAGACCCAATGGCTCCTTGCCTCACTCCACTGGGATTGTTGAAGAAGTCTCTGTATTGGCCTGTGAGGATAATGGCAGACATGGAGGAAATGTCGAAGCCGAAGAGCATGCCATCTAGTGTAGCTACCACAGCAATAAACTGCAGGTTATGGATTTTGGGGAATTTCATGGTTGGAGTGAAGACTGGGATGTTTTAGAGGAAGGCGCAAAGAGATGCAGGGACGATTTGTGGTCGATCGTCCTGGGTTATATTTGTTGATCCTACGCATCTATTGAGGCTTATAGCATAGGAGCCAAGCTACCGGGCTAAACACGAAATGGCTCTACAATCATTGCAATGACAAGTGATCTCATGAGTCGACATGAAGCACTAGATCAACACTGAGTCTTGGAACCAGAGTATGCGAGCCCCATGGGACAATGTGCGGGGTGTTTGAGACTGCTGAGATTATCCACAGGTGCGTCGAAGAATTTGCCCAGGCTCGGTATACTTAGAAGCTTATCACACGCTCAATCGAGATAATACCACGATTCTTGTGTCCGGAAAGCAACAGCAAAGCAACTGTGCACTTCAGAACCTGATATTCGTCTTAAGTTGGAAGCGAGTGTCTGATGAAAATCCACCACTCTGGACTAAAGGCTTCATGAAGTGTCATGATGCAGTATCAAGTGCCAACCATAACCCAAGACCACAAGAAACTCGGGAAGTTCTTGGAATCAGTTGTTTTGAACCGACTACGCTGGACGTTTCTGAATTTTTGCCGATACTTTTAGCCATGTCACGGGAGCTCAATGGCTTGTATGATAATGTTAGATCAAGCAGCGTTCTTACCTAGCTTCAGAGTGATGTTGCTGAAACGCACTCCGTGACGATTCAAGCCACAACACATTGACTTCTCGTCCCAGTTCGGCAACCACTGTTCACATGTAGATTTCTGAAAGCTTTTTGTACGTAACAAATGAGATTCTTATTGACAATGCCATCTCAGGCAAGAACATATCAATCCCGACACCACAGAATGCTTCACCAACTTGTAAACGCCAACCTCTCCCGATCCTATCCCAATGACCAACAAGAAAGATGACAATACGAAAAATGTGTACAGTAGAAAGGGTACATCGACATCAAGAGGAGCTTCGAGCATGGACTCAGTCACTACCACGAGGCCTCAATCTTCTACTTCCTGCACCTCCAGCGGCACCAAGGTTCTCTCTGCCTTCAGCAACCAAGCCAGCCGTCATACGAGTTGGTCGCTTCATAGGCAACTTGCTGTCGACTCTAGCATTGGCATCCAGTTGAGGCATGGTGTTGCCTCTCTTGAGCACACCAATTTTGGACTCTGAGTGCTCAGCAGACAGGGGCAGCGACGCTGCATTAACATTGACATCGATTTCTCGTAGTCCGCCCTGCCCGGGCAAGCTCTGAGGGCGGTTGCGTGCGGCATCGCTGTTGACTGCCGCATCAGACGAGGCATCAGCATTGTTGTCTGTAGGGCTGTCTGTGTAAACAATGCCCTTCGAAGGCGAGTGAACATCTCGCTTTCTGGGACTGCTACGAATCTGTGACTCTTTGACCGGGCTTTCTTCGATCGAGGTATTGCCATTACGCAGCCTTTCAAGCAAAGATTCGTGGTTGGCGGTCCGTGGCAAGGTAGTAGGGTAGCTGTAGGCGACCTTTGCTGGAGTCTGACCAGTGGGAACGTATTCGGTGAGCTCAGAGGCGTTCATCTCGTCACGCAGAGTGTGCAAGGTCTGGACAATTTCACCAGATGAGCTGAGCTCGGGAAGAGTGGATGCGAGATCTGCAGTGCGATTCTGCATATCCGTGTCGAGTCCTTGTGTGCGTGTGTAGGATGTCTCCATGTGTGTTCCGATATTCGAATATGATTGCTGTACATCGCTCGATAGTTGAGCGAGGGATGCCGTGTGGGCGGTGTGATGGGTGTCGTTCTGGGCACGAATACGAGACACAATTTCGTCGAGTGAAATAAGTTGAGTGTCCATGTTGGACATTTGTGTGTCGACAATACGAACAGTTTCGCCATGGACAACTTCAGTAGTGGCTTTGATCTTCTCAGTCTGGTCATTGGCTGCGTTCCAATCTCCCTTGATCTTTGCCTTGACGTTTTCGCGCGAGCGTACACAAGAATCAATCAGAGACTGAGACTTTGCAGCCAAGGCATCGGAGTTTTCGTTGTAAGTCTCACGAGCGACACTGTAGTCATCCTCTGAAGTCTTAATGCGCTTGGATGCGTGCGCAATATGTTCTGTGATCCTGCGCTCCTGAGCTTCAGCGGAAGTTGTGATCAGAGAGCTGATTTGTGACAGCATCTTCTCACGGTCTGCAGCAGCACGACGACGCTCTTCTTCCATAGCTTCTTCGAACGTTTGACGAGACTCTTGCCCGGCTTCCATAAATGTTGAGTTGGCGGTCAGAATCTGCTGTCGCAAGCGTTCGGATTCAGCTTGTTGTTCACTAAGCTGCTTGACGACATCATCGAAGATCGATTTGAACTCTCGACCTAGCGAAACGTATGATGCATGAAGCTGAGTGTGGAAGTTCTCGAGCTCAGTAGAGATACCAGCGGTGATACGTTGAGCAGCTGCGGATAGATCGTTCAAGCCATTTCCGACATTCTGCTTTACGTCCTCGCGGAGTGTCTTAATCTCTTCGAGTACCTCATTGACGTCGTCTCTGGCTTTCGCGGTCTGAATGTTGACTTCCTTCTCGGATCTCTGGAATGCTTCGGCCTTCTCTTGCAAGAACCTCTGGGACTGTTGGAGCTCCTGCAGCTCATCTGCCACAAAGCCCTGCATTCTGGTGGACATGGATGTAAGTAGCTGTTCCTGGTGCTGTCTGAGAGTTTCCACTCTTTCCTCGACCGTGCTGGTTGTATTTGTGACTCTGCTTTTCGACGAGGTCCAGTTCTCACGATTGAGCGACTGCAAGTCTGCCTTTCTTTGGATCTTCGAGTGAAGACCGGAAATATCTGCCGTAGTGGAAGATAGCGTTGCAAGTAGATCTTCTCCAAGACCAGCGAGTTTTGATTCTGTCTTCTGGTGAGCCTTTCTAATGAATGTCTCCTCAGTCAAGCTACGCTTCGTGTGAGTGAGCACGACTTCAGTCTTCTCAAGCAGGCTCTTTGTTCCGTCGAGCATCAATTTTGCTTGCTCGTTCTCTTNTTTCAGTCCGTTGAAGTTAGTGGTCAGACTGAACAATTCCTGAACCTTGTTGCGCAAGTTGGATTCCATGGTCTCAATCTTGTCTTTCTGTTCATCGCAGAGAATACGTCTTGACTCGCTTTCAACGGTAATCTCTTCGAAGGCTTCCTGGGTGAGATAGACACCATTGCGCTGACGGGTCGCAATAAGTTCGCTCTTCAGTTTCTCAATCTCCATGGTGAACTCTTTTAGCAGAGTCTTCTTGGTGACCATTTGATTAATCTGAGGTTTGTTGCGGATGTTCTTTGCGCGGAAAGCATAATCCAGAGTAGATATCGTTTCTTCCAAATTGCTCTTGGCTGGGGAAAGTGTGGCGATGATGCAAGTTTTGGTACGTCCTCCAAGAGAGTCTTGCAGAAGACGAGTGAGCTTGGACTCTCTGTATGGGATATGAGAGCTCTTCTCAACCAGCGCGTTAATAACACGACCGAGAGTGAGCAAACTCTTGTTGATGAGACCAGCCTCTGCAGCGCGCTTGTTCTCAGCACCACTGCGTTGAATGTTCTCACTACCAGCCAGATCGACCAAGTTCAGTTTTCCAGCGCTGACGAAATCCTCTCCAGTTTCAGTGGCGCGTTTCATGTAGACGGTGATTGTGAAGACAGTATGACTGCGAGAACTGAGGTCGTTGCACTTGGTGGCAGCAACTTGTCGCTTGTGACTGCCACTTCTAAGCAACTCAAGACCTTTTGATGCCGATTTGATGTGTGACTCCTCCATGCCTTGTACCAGAGTTGTTGTTTGGCCCTTCTTGCTATTGTCATCGTAAATCTTCAACTTTGCGTGGTCCTCGGTGGACAGCAGGTCGCGCAACTCCTCGTTGTAGAGCTCGATGAACGAACATTTGACGGAGCTTTCGGTGTCCTCGCCAAGCTTGTTGAATAACGAGTATAAGACTCTAGGAATGATACCGGCGGCGTCGGGTAGAGGTTGCATATCGGTAATGTCGCCGGACATGGTGTATGTCTTTCCAGTGCCTGTTTGACCGTATGCGAAAATGGTGCAGTTGAAACCGCCGAGAACNNCTGAAAAGTCAGAAAGTTGCAAGTCTGGTGGATTGTTGACAGATTCTCTCACCTCGTCCAGAATGGGCTCGACGACATCGTCAAAAAGCATGGCCTGATCTGCAGCGGGTGAGAAGACCTTGTCGAACTGATATGTCTTGTTGCTGAGAGCACTGGGACCCATGGAGAGTTCGACATTCTTGCCCTTGACGCCATCGGTCTTGACAACGACGCCGCTGTTCTCGCGCAATTCACGGTCATTGCGCCCTCTGCAGCGCACAACTACGTTGATGTTTGTTTCGTGGTCTTGGTCCTGATCGAAATCGCGTTCCTTTCTCTTTCCGCCCTGGACTGAATGTGCTGGTGATGGTGGGACTTCTGAGGGTCTTCCACTGAGACTAGGAGTAGCGGTTTGGGCGCGCGAGGGCGGCGGACGCATCGAAGTCGGTGGACGCATTGTTGGTCTCTTGACGGTCAGTCCCGGTCTGGTGGGAGCCGACATGACAGAGGATTAAAATATATCGGACAGAGTCGTTGATGGTGTAACGAGTTCGCGCTGTCTGTCTGTGTTTACCAACAAAAACCATAAACAGTGGAATGCTTAAGTTAGCGTGACGTGTGGGTCGAGCTATCGCCGTTAACTCCGACCTGCCGTCAATCACATGCTCCCCCGCGAGCCCCTCTCCATCAGGGTTGTTCCTGCCTTGTAACAACCATCAACCTGATCAATCGCCTAGGAAGGAGCTTGTTCGACTTTCTCGACATCGTGCGCCTGCCGCATGGAAACGACTTCGCAAAGTGTTGAACGCTGCGTCTCTGTCCACGAACCAGTGTTGCATCGAATGACCAACACGACTGGCACATGACACGCCGATAAGACGTCAACACACGACGCCTGCCCAGCAATAGTCCCTACCTTTGACTCCTCATACACTCTAAACATCTGCATCAGCTACATTTACTAGTCATGGCAGAGCCTGCATCGCTCNNCCCCTTTCGAGCTGGCCACTCACTCGGCTTCATGGGTATGTTACCGCTGCCTGCGCTATAACTCTCCCCCAATCTGACCCTCTTGCGCNNAGTCTTAGGTGCTTCGCTGTTTGATGTCTTGACCAAGCTCAAGACTGACACGCGTACCTTTCCCAAGGTCGACCTCACCTTCTCCTCCGATACACCTCTCAAGACGACTATCATCGTCAGCCTTCCCAAGAATGGCTTCAGACTTCGCTTCGATGCTCCAGACCAACGCTTACGTCTAATCGAAATCACCGACTTCACTCGTATGCTGTTCACCTTCAAAGGTGGAGAGCTTGTTCCTCTACAGTCCATAGCAAATGGCCAAAGCTATCTGACCTATAAGAAGGTCTACCAGCTATTTGGTCCTACATATCCTGGCGAGTACATTCGTCTGAAAGACGCTTCCAATATGGGCCTTTACATTCTCTCCTGGCCAGGCTTATCCATCACCTTTCCTGTTCCAGTCGCCTCCTTCAGCCCGGACAAGGACTACGCAGCTATGCTTACCGCTTCAGCATCGCCAGCAACAGCTATGGCAATCTACGAGGGCAGGTTCTGGCCCGAGGTCCGCAAAGATCTCTTCACCTATGTCCCAACAAACCCCCGGAGTTCCTCGCTACTAGGACGCCCTAAAGAAGGTCCCGCTGACGAGGTCGAGCATGTGAATGTATATGGGGCTGGAAGAATCGAGCTGTTGCGACGCTCTGGATCAAAAACGCATATAGTCTTGAGCCAAACTACGCCACAAGACCTGATCACCGAATTGGGTCCACCCGATGCTGTGATGCCACGATCCTCAATGAACGATGACCTGTCAGGGAAAGAACAGCAGACATGGCCTAAACCCAGAGGGGCAATCAACAACTCGTACGGCTCATATCCATCTAGCTACTCATCCACCAATACCGACACATACGAGACAGACTTCGACGAAGACGAAGAGACAAATGGCGCCGAAGCTAGTCAGGCTAGCGAGCAGCAGTACTACTGCTACTTTGAGCACGGATTTGATATTTTGCTGGGTCCGCCAACTGACGTCTCTTTATTACCCAAGGGTGGAGATGAGGGCAACGAGGCTCCCCGATCGATCCTCACAGCAGTCGACGGACACCTCACAGTCACGCAGATAATTTTCCATGGCAACGTCCCAGGCTCTTACCCTTTCAATCGCCACCGCAGGAGTAGATGGTCTCTCAATTACATACCCTCCTGCGAGAAACCCATCACGTCCGAGTCATTGTTTCCATCTTTCCACCAGACATTAGTCAAAAGCTTCTCCCATGTATGGCTTGCATCGGACATGTCTGAGGGTATGGTCATTGTACGCAGCTGGGGTGGCGATTCAGACAGCATGACTGGCTCTGCCATTCTCATCAATGGTGAGATGGACCTGGAAGATGACATGGATTTCATAAATGGCTCAGATGGCTGGGAGCGAGAGAAGAAGGACGAGAACGGAGACGAGCAATGGCTACGAAACACGAAACTATACAAGTTTCCTGGTCTCATGTTCGAGGTGATGCATAACGGTGCCATCAGCGCATTGACGGTCTGCTAAGGATGGAGTTTTCATAAAGATACCCAACGATATACATTCATGATCATTATCGAGATTTCAAAGTTGAAGCGGACGTTCCCACCGGTCTCTTATATAGTATGGTTAGTGTTGAATGAGTGTAGCTAGGTCGAGCAGAGGTATAAGCCGGGGGTAAAGACAAGCTGGCAGCTGAACGTAAGTCATCGAAACCACGGCGACAAGGAAGAAGTTCCGCTCAAAGAATCAGGATATTCGATCGCTCGTATCACGTGGGCAAGTGTCGTTCACTTAAGATCTCGTTACGACATTGCACGGCTTATGAATGAAGGTATAGTTGAGAAAGCCCAGAAGAATCCATTTGAAACGCCACCACCAGGTATGCAGAAAAGGGTATGCCAGTTATTGTACAGTAAAGTCTTCTCCTCGTCCGATCAACCTTGTCTGCAAAGCTGTCAGTCTGATCATACGGCTGTGAATCATGCAAAATGCCGTACCTCTGCTTGTGCTTTGGGTTCTTGCTGCAAATGATGTAGACGTATTTACCGCCCTTTCTGCGCACACTCTGCAAACACCGTATCAGTATATCGTTCTCCTTCTGTGCATCTTGTATCGTTTTCTCTCAGCACGACCTGCTGCGACTGTTCCGTACCTTGCAACCGTCACACAGCTTCTTGACTGAACTTCGGACCTTCATTCCTCTTGTTTGTTGGAAGGCAACCAGGCTCTTTGTGGGCGATGCGACGGGTCTGGCGAGCGACATTTGCGACATTCTCGAGATGAGCGACTTGGATGANNGGGAAGTGCTGAAGGCGGTGCGCGCGCACACGGACAGAGGGCTGCGGGCCACGGGGGCTGCGCGGAGCAGCGAGCGAGTTACTTGTGCGAACATGATCGGATTGGGTTGCTGTACAGGTATAGTTGTGCTCTGCGACGAGTCGCTTTTCGATAATTGTATGGCCGTCGCTCGCGATGTCGTTATGTCGAAGATTTGGCGGGCTTGTTCGGCTAAAGTTGCCACAGTTTCGAACAAAGTGTCCCCGCTCTCGGCCCTCAATATGTCGTTGTCCTTAAGCAAGTCAGTACGCCCTAAGATTGACAATCGCTTCTCTTGTAACAAAGTCAGAGTCTTAAAGGATCTCTTACGGATACGTCTCATTGTACATTGGTCAAAATTTCTTGTTATTGATCCTGCCAACTTTGCCCTATAACCCATCTCTGGTTGCCCATCATGGTCCATATCAAGCCTTTTGCAGTTGAGCAGGTTAGTATGTGCCATACCCTTGTATTCTGAGTATACCAGAGAAAGAGAATTAGCTTCATCGGTTCAAAGAATGTCATTAGCTAACTTAGTTAGTGGATGGATGCATATGAAACGACTGCAAAGTACAACATCGCTGAGACATGTGCTGCTTCCGTATCAGTCAACGAACTACGCGAATTATCCGAAAACAAGAGTGCCGAAATAGTAGATCTATCCACAGTCCTGAACTATGGAGAGATTCGAGGCAATGAGAAGTTGCGTTCGAACCTTGCCAGGCTTTACTCTTCTAGATCAAGCAACCCATTGCCTCAGGAGAACATCTTGATCCAACCTGGTGCTATAGCCTCGAATGCCCTTGTACTATATACCCTGGTTGGCCCTGGCGACCACGTCATCTGCCACTATCCTACATACCAGCAATTGTATGATTATCCGGCATCTTTGGGCGCCGAGGTGGAGCTTTGGAAAGCCACGCCAGAGAAGCAGTGGGAACCTGACTTCGAGGAGCTGAAGACTATGGTCAAATCTAACACTAAGTTGATCATTTTAAAGTGAGTGAAATGAGTGACCATAATTTTCTTCTTTCCGACTAACCTCTATAGCAACCCAAACAACCCTAGCGGTGCCGTGCTCAAGAAGTCTCTGCTGCAGAATATTGTTGACTTGGCCATGGAAAAGAACATCACTATTCTCTCAGACGAGGTATACCGACCTCTATTCCACGGCATCACCCCTGCGGAGAACGAGTTCCCTCCTTCAATCCTATCAATGGGCTACGAGAACACCATCTGCACAGGTTCTCTTTCAAAAGCCTACTCTCTTGCTGGAATCAGGACTGGCTGGATCGCCTCGCGAAACCGGGACATCATCGAGAAATGTGCCGAAGCTCGCGATTACACAACCATCAGTGTTGGTGTCTTGGATCAGCAGATCGCCGCTTTTGCTCTCGACCAAAACTGTATACACAGCTTACTAGGCAGAAACATTGCTCTTGCACGCACCAACCTAGAACTGCTAGAAAGATTCGTCATCAAGCATGACGAATACTGTTCTTGGGTCAAACCAGTGGCAGGCACGACTGCATTCATCAAGTTCAGTCGAGATGGACAGCCGATTGACGCTAGAGAATTCTGCAAACAGTTGCAAGAGAAGACTGGTGTCATGTTCCTTCCTGGAGACTGTTTCGGCGAAGAGTTCAAGAGCTATGTCAGAATTGGATACGTGAATAGGACTGAAGTCGTGAAAGAGGGCTTGGAGCAGGCACGCATTTTTATGCGCAAGGAGTTTGACGATATTCCCCTTGCAAGCTGAGCGACCAAGATGGATGAGCACCGCTTTGACCGACTATAACCTTATCTGCGACGACAATGTATATACCTACAGACCTACACGATATAATGTACATCCACTTCTTGGATGGATTTATACAACATTCTGATTGTTGAGCATCAAAATCATAAGCGGCCAGCGGGCATGGCCGAAGAGATACCAAAAGGAAGTTGATAGGCGGAAGCGATAGCCGAAAGGTCCACTTTGTGGCCGAGGGATCCTATGGTGCAATACACAAGTACGGTGAGAAGCCCTTGGACAATCTTTCCTTCGAAAGTGTATCTTCCCTTTTCCTTGTCTCTCATTTGAATCTCAAGGAAAGGACTGACATATCCTTCACATTTCCGTGTTGTACGGACGCACGCGACAGCAATCGTCATACACTTTTCTCCATTTCTAGCCTTATCTCCATTAAGGCCGACGTCTCGAGTCCGCGAACAACCTGTCTATTCATACACACGACATGACGACCGAAGATGAAACTCGTACAGAGCAACCGAGCGAGACATCGCCTCTACTAGGGAAACGGGCACCGAAACCCATCGACCCTAGCGACGGTATTGCTCCCGATAGTGCCATCACCAATGGAGCCATCGCAGAAGAGGAGGATGGTGGAGACCTAGAACGACAAACCAGTCTAGAAGGAAGACAAAAACAATATGAGGGCCAACCCGAGATGAGAAAGAAGATGAAAGTCATATTCCCAGCCCTGACAATCGGAGTCCTTCTATCTGCAGCCGACCAAACCATCATCGTCTCCAGCTACGGCAAAATCGGCAGCGAGTTGAAAGCACTCAACAATGTTTCTTGGATTGCGACTGCCTATTTCTTGACTTTGACGAGTTTCCAACCGCTGTATGGAAAAATGTCGGATATTTTTGGGAGGAAGAGTTGTTTGTTGTTTGCGTATGCTGTTTTTGGGCTGGGATGTCTGTTTTGTGGGTTGGCTCAGGATATGAATCAGCTTATTGCTGCGAGAGCTTTTGCTGGTATTGGTGGTGGTGGTATGACGACTGTTGTGTCTATCCTCATGTCTGATGCCGTGCCGCTTCGCGAGCGCGGCAAGTGGCAGGGCTATGTCAACATCATCTACGCAACAGGTGCTGGAACAGGCGCTCCTTTAGGCGGCATTCTTGCAGATTCAATCGGCTGGCGTTGGGCCTTCCTTGGTCAAGTGCCGCTATGCATTCTCGCCTTTGTTGTGGTGAGTCTGGTTTTGAAACTTCCCAAGAGAGAGCAGACCGACTGGAAACAGAAGCTCCGCCGTATCGACTTCTTAGGCGCTGCTATCCTGATTGGCGCTGTATTCACTCTCCTCCTTGCCCTCGATAGAGGTAGCAACGTCTCGTGGAAAGCCAAAATCACCATCATCTCCATCAGTCTCAGTATTCCTCTTTTCATCCTCTTCGTCCTGGTTGAGATGAAGGTTGCCAAAGAGCCTTTCGCACCTGGCCACATCATTTTCAACCGCTCGCTATTTGCATGTTATCTCTGCAACTTTTTCTCCTTTTCTGGATGGCTTGCCGCTTTGTTCTACATTCCGCTCTACTTCCAAGCTGTTGACGGTCTTACTGCAACTCAGGCTGGTATTCGCTTGATCCCGGGTATTATTGCAGGTGTTAGTGGAAGTCTTTTCGGCGGCTTCTATATGCAGCGTACAGGCAAGTTTTACTACCTGACTGTTATCGCGTATACTTGCTTGGTCGTTGGTATGACCTTTGTTTTCCTGTTCTCGGGCATGGTGGTCAACAGTACTCTCGGGATAATTGCCGGCATGTGCATCTGTGGATTTTCGAATGGTATGACAACTTCTCCCCCTCTCTCCTCTTCTTCTACTAACTTGATGCTAGGTATTGGTGTGACAAGGTAAAGCAACACAAGACAGAGAGCAGAAGGACGAGAGAAGGCTTCATGATGGCTTCACGAAGGCTTCATTCAAAGATCCTCTCTTTTCTCTTCTCCCTTTGTCTCTCCCTCCCTGCTCGCTCTTTGCTAACTCCTCGACAGTACACTGATAGGCTTGATAGCCAACGCTTCGCGGGACGATCAAGCAGTAGCCACAGCCTGTTCCTACCTCTTCCGCAGCTTAGGCTCCGTATTCGGCGTTTCCATGTCCGCCACTCTCGCCAACCAAGCCCTGCGCGATCGTCTTGCAGCCGTACTCAGCAGCGGCGACGCAGCTACTGAAATTGCCGAGCGCGTCAGAGAAAGTCTGGCATACATCAATACTCTGGAGCCTAACGTGAAGGCTTTGGTCAGAGAGTGCTATGCGCAGAGTACGCGTGCTGCGTTTAGTCTGGAGATTGGGCTTGTTGCTGGTGCTGCGGCTAGTGCGTGGTTGATCAAGGAGAAGGCGTTGAGTAAGTAGATTGGATTAGGTGGAGTTTGGATAGTTTAAGAGCTAGAGAGGATGGTTGGCTTTTGAGCCTAAAAGAAGTTTTGGTATGCAATTTTTGTGTTGACGATTTGGCTGTCCGTGTGCTATTGTCTGTCATAAACGTAGTGTTTAACTGCACAGTACTATCAAGTGCCCAAGCAACATCCACTGAGAGCCGATGAGACATCGACTTTGTCCAGAACTAATTTTAGTATAAACACTATTGAGCATATGTGTCTCGTGAGAGGAGATTGAAATTTATGTGTCTAGGTTTCAATATGCAGTCATATAAGTCTTTGTTTTCTGTCTTCCAGCATCACATTCATACATTCGTCAACTCGACCCTCTCTTCTAGGTGAAGATCCTTCCAATTCTTTCGGTGATGTCGCCCAAGCTTGCAATGCTCTTGACCGAGAACCTGGAAGCGTGCGATGCACGGTTCCATCTCCAGATGGCCCAGCTGGCATATCCCATTGCAGGGATCAGCAAAGCGACAATACCCGCCATACCACCGAGCAGAATGTTTCCTTGCTTCTGTGCCAACCTCTCTACCTCCGAGTAGCGTATATTGCCGAAACTCACACGAGAGTACTGGGTTGCGAAACCGGCTGTTGGAAGGTAGACAGTCATTTTCTCCTCGATCCACTTGCGCAGTCGATAGATTGGAGAAACCACATCTGCACGCATTTCCTGATAGTTGCGGAGAGCGAGGTCGTTGATTGCTGCTGCGTCCGGTGCGCGATTGTCAGAGTAGTCGTCGAGTGCCTTTGCGCGACCCAAGGCATCTTGGCTGTTTGCGTCTAGATGTTCGAAGAGCACGCGCACGTCTTCGAGTCCTGCGTTCATGCCTTGACCGTAGAAAGGAACCATGGCGTGTGCCGAATCGCCTAGAATGACGGCGGAAGAGCCAAAGTGGTATGGTGAGCACTTGATGCTGATGAGTGGTAGATGCGGGTTTTCCTTGTACTGCTTCTGCAATTCGGCCTCTGGGATGAGTTTTCCTGCTACACCAGGGAAGTTCTTGTTGAAGAAGTCTACCAAGGATGAAGGATTCTTGTCTAGCTCGGCGAAGATTTTAGCAGGTAGGAATAATGTCGAGGTGAAAGATTTATCCAGAGATGGAATGGCGATGAACATGAATTCACCGCCGGGCCAGATGTGTAAATGATTAGGCGAGATCTGGAAATCGTTTGTTGCTGATGGGTCCATATGGAACTCACACCAGAGTGTATCGATATACTCCTGCTGGTATGACATGCGTATAAACTTCATCAAGTGGTAACGAACGGCAGAATGAGCACCATCTGCACCGATCATGAAATCAAAAGACACCTCGATTTCACTGGAGGCGTGAGGAGCTTCTTTTCCTTGAGTTGGGTTTTGAGCGTGGTCTTGTCGCACACCTTCGTCACGCCTTTCGAACCAAGCCTTGTTCTTCTTGAAGTCTGCACCTACTAGCTTGTGATTGAACAGCAGCTTGACGTTCGGCATTTTGTCTAGCTCATCGAGAAGACGCTTGTTGAGTCCTGCTCTATCCACTGCACGAATAGCNNCTGCGAATATGGTTAGTCACTCTTGACGCCTACAGAAGGATTCAGAGTCAAGTACCCTTCCATAGATGTCGTAGTTTTGCGATTCTTCGTAGACCTCTCCTTGCTTCGCACCGTGGATCATGCGGCCATGCATGGGAATAGTCTCCTCCAGCACAGACTCGATCAAACCGGGGACATTGGCCTTTCTGAGCCCGTTGATTCCACGCTCTGATAGAGCCAGGTTGATGGACTTGGTGAAATTGAGTGGAACAGTGGCTGGGTCTCTGAGATNCTAGTCTGTATGTCAGAACAGCATTCTCATGTATGATTGCCCCAACTTGATTGTCCAGCCGTACATAAGCAGAGCTTTGAAACATGAGGATGAGAAACAGTATAAAGGTCGAGACATACCTCCTCGTAGTTCGTAAACCTCTACTTCATGACCACGGCCAGCAGCGTAAAGTGCTGCAAGAGCACCGACAGGACCAGCACCGACAATGACAGTCTTTTGCTTTGACATTTTTGTTTATGATTTGGGAACCAAAAAGCAGAAAATCAGTAGCAGATATAAAGTAATTATTGCTTGGAAATGCATAGCATCATCGAAAGGGCGCGAAGGCGCGCGCACGGCCCGGCAGCCGGGGGCGGAAGGGCGGCGCCGGCGGAGTGCAGCCTGACTGAGTCTCGTGTTTGTCAAGCAGCAAAAAGTGGAGGGACCTTTCAGAGATCTGCATACCATTCACTGCCTTTTGACTCGACTCGACGCGACTCGAGCGCAATCGCAAACCTCACATATACCGAGCCACTCGCTAGATCTTCACTCCAAGGACTCATCTGGACGACAAGGCACCAGACAGAATGGCGAACGAAGACAAGCGCGTGTGCGAGGGCGCAGACTGCAGCAACGAGGCAGGCTCGCTGCAATGCCCTACCTGCCAGAAGCAGGCCATGGCCAGCTTCTTCTGCAGCAACGACTGCTTCAAGCGCAACTGGGTATGTAAGTCAGCAGCAACCACCGCGCCGCCGACATGGCCGCTAACAGTCACCAGNAGCGAGCACAAGAAGAAGCACAAGTCAACGAGTAACCCTCTCCGCTCCATGTTTGCTCCCAAAGTCATTTCTGAACCTGACCCAGCAACCGGCACACACAACCCCTTCCCCACCTTCCCATACACCGGCGACCTCAGACCCGTCTACCCTCTGTCGCCCAAGCGCAAGGTCCCCGAGCACATCCCACGCCCCGACTACGCCAAAGATGGTATCCCGCGCTCAGAGCAGGTCTTTGTCGGTCGCAACAAGATCACCATCCTCGACAAGGCTCAGCAAGAAGGCATGCGCAAGGTCTGCAGACTCGCACGTGAGGTCCTCGATATCGCCGCTCGCGCCGCTAAGCCCGGTGTCACTACCGACTACATTGACGAGGTCGTCCACAATGCCTGTATCGAAAGAGACGTGAGACACATTCCAGACATTCACTACATTGCGCCGAACTAACTGGCTCTANNGTCATACCCCTCGCCTCTGAACTACTGCCACTTCCCAAAGTCTGTCTGCACTTCAGTCAACGAGTCCATCTGTCACGGTATCCCCGATCAGCGCGTCCTCAAGGATGGAGACATTATCAACATCGACGTCACTCTGTACCACGGCGGCTTCCACGGCGACATTAACGAGACCTACTATGTTGGCGACAAGGCTTTGGCCGACCCTGATTCAGTTCGCGTCGTCGAGACTGCCCGCGAGTGTCTGGATGAAGCCATCAAAATCGCAAAGCCCAACACACTATTCAGAGAGTACGGTCCTGTCATTGCAAAGCACGCCGAGGACAGAGGCTGCAGTACCGTCAAGACCTACTGCGGTCACGGTATCAACACTTTGTTCCACTGCGCACCTAACGTTCCTCACTACGCAAAGAACAAGGCCATCGGTATGGCCAAGCCCGGCATGTGCTTCACTATCGAGCCTATGATCTGTCTCGGAACCCACAAGGATCGCACATGGCCCGACAACTGGACCAGTGTTACTGTTGACGGCAAGCGCTCTGCTCAGTTCGAACACACTCTGCTCGTGACAGAGACTGGTGTTGAGGTCCTGACTGCACGTCTGCCCGACTCACCCGGTGGTCCTGTTGCCTGGCCTGGAACAGCAAATGGTCTCCCTGCTGCTGCATAAGAGTCGGGTTATGGCTTGTTAGAATATGTCTTGGATGAGAGGAGCATTAGCATGGTGTATATTGGGGAAAATCATGCATCTCTTTACAGCAGTTTTGGTCAAAATGGGAATACGTTACTTAGGCAATATATCTTCGACATTAGCCTATATTCATACGTTATCCTTGCGCACTTTATGACTTTGTCGGTATGCTCTGCGCTAAACGAGGAATGCACATGATCCTGGACTTGGAGTCTGACTGTGATGTACGTATCGCGACTGAAACGTCGCTTCGCCAGCACTTGATCCTTCACGTCGATCTACGGCGGGAGTTTCGAAATCTTGAGAACCAGTGGTCGAATACACGGACACTTTCCCAGAGGCAGTGCCACGAAGGATCTAGGTATCATTCGACAATCCAAAGCCCGACATTTGACGCAGGAGGAATGATCAGCATGGTAGTCGCCGACCACGAGAACAGCGTGGTCGAGACGGGCGCGGTAAGCATACCGCAAAAAGCTTAGTTTGTGTGGAGTCAAAGACCCTTTATTCCTTTGATAAGCCTGTCAGCATGCAATACCAGAGACACGCATAGTGGTGAAGGATCAAAGCAACCAGATAGCATGGGCGGGGTAGAGTATGTCGCTGACTGAGATGTGCATATCTCATGCTACCGACGTACCGTTTGCAACTTCAGGACACGCAAGTGTATAGTGTAGAGAAGATATAAAAGGATGGGTAGCATCCTCATTATACACACATATCTTCATAGATACTAGACTTTGCAATCATGTCTCCTACAGCAATGCCCGTCCGTGAGGAAGCGAGGTCAACCGGCAAGATCGAAACACGCCTGTTCATCAACAATGAATTCGTCGAATCCATTGCTGGCAAGACATTCGATGTCTTCAATCCATACAATGAAGAAAAGGTAGCAAGTGTCTATGAGGCACTGCCAGAAGATGTCGACAGAGCCGTGGATGCTGCAGAAGCTGCATTACCTGCCTGGGACGAAATGGGCGCGACGGCCCGTTCTGCATACTACTACAGGTTGGCAGATCTGTTGGAAGCTGCTGGGCCTGAGCTTGCAGAACTGGAGGCCAAAGAGACTGGAAAGATTGCTTCGCAATACTGTGAGTCTTACCGATGAAGCTGGGCCGAGCAAAGCTGACAATGTCGACCAGCGGAGCATATGTTTGGAGCCAAGGGTTTGAGACTATTCGCTGGCCTTGCACAGGATCTCAATGGCGCCACTTCTTTGGCTACCCCTGGTCATGTCAACATGGTCATTCGTCAACCATATGGTGTCTGTGGTGCAATCGTGCCCTGGAATGTTCCTATCATGGCGGTCATCTTTAAGATGGGCCCAGCATTGATCTCGGGAAACACGCTCGTTGTCAAGTCATCCGAGAAATCACCTCTTACTGCTCTTGTGCTTGCTAGACTGGTCAAGGAAGCTGGTTTCCCACCTGGTGTTTTCAACGTCTTGAGTGGCTTTGGCAACCCTGCAGGCGCAGCAATGGCATCTCACATGAAGATCCGAAAGATCGGCTTCACCGGATCTGCTAGGACGGGTCGTCTCATCAAGGAAGCTGCAGCCAAGTCGAACCTCAAGAGAGTATCACTCGAGCTTGGTGGCAAGTCTCCACTCGTCATCTTCGAGGATGCTGACTTGGAAGCGGCTATTCCTGCGGCAGCTCTGAGTATCCTTTCNATGGCTGGACAGGTTTGCATTGCATCTTCAAGACTCTACGTCCATTCGTCAATTGCAGGCGTCTTTCAAGAGAAGCTCATCGAGACTCTCAAGGCAATGTCCGCAAATCCGCCAGAAGGCACTGATCCTCTCTCACCAGAGGCCAGACACGGTCCTCAGGCCGACAAGGCACAATTCGAAAACGTCCTGAAATATATCGAGTTGGCCAAGGAGAGCGGTGGTGAGATTATCCTCGGTGGCAAGAAACAAACCGAGAAGGGCTACTTTATTGAACCCACAGTCATTCGCAATCCTGATCACAACAGTCGTATCTCGAAGGAAGAGATTTTCGGCCCTGTGCTCTGCTTCAACACGTTTGAAGACGAGGATGAAGTCATGAAGAGAGCCAATGATACCGAGTACGGCCTGCTTGCGAGTGTATACACAAAGGACATCTCGAGGGCGTTGCGAATCGCCAAGCGATTCGAGAGCGGTATTGTTGGTGTCAACACGACTTCACCAATGACGGGTGCTGTCGACATGCCTTTCTCGGGATGGAAGGCTTCAGGTGATGGAGTTGATCTCAGCAAGGCGAGCCTTGACATCTGGACTCAGATGAAGACCATCTACATCAAGATCTGATGCCTTGATGGTACTTGATGTAGCCGTATGTAAATTGAACGCATAATGAACAAGTCTTGCCTGAATTTTCTCGTGGATCGTGTTGGTAAGGATGAGGAGACACTGAGCAATCAATTAGTCAATCACATGAAAACATAAGGTCTAGGCTTTGGCCTATCGCGGGGCGGCTTGGCACTGATTGGCGATGGAGTTGGAGATGAATTCAGATACGGGCAGCTCCTCCATATTGTTCCTTGTCTAGTCCAACCTTCTGTCAATTGCATATTTCCGTCTCATACACGCACATCGCGCGCAATTAGTCAAGATGCCTGCAATGTCGTCGCCTTTTGCGACTTTCCTCATCGTCGGACGTAAGCTCATCTCATTCTCTGGATAGGGCTATCTCGAAACGATCGCAACTGACACTACGATACANGCGACATGCTTCTTCTTGGGAGTCCTTTTCGCATCGTTCCCTTACGACTACAACATCCTTTGGACCACACCTCCGTCGGTCGTCCCCGGTGTGGACCCGCGTGGGCCCTACTACCAAATGCTCGAGGACCACCTCAAGTTCATCCACGCGTCCCCACCTCTGATCTCGCGCATCCTCCACATTGTCATTGGAACCGGTCTCTTGGGCTTCATCACCAAGCTCTACAGACCTTCTGAAGCCAACCTCCTCTTCGATGGTGCCAGTCTTGTGCTTTACATGTGTGGTGTCACTGTCTACATTGCCAACATTGTCAAGGGCATGCGCGTCGTCACTTCGGGTGTCTATGGCAACCCTGCTCTTGCTGCGGGTCAGGTCGACGATTCTGGCGAGTACCTTGGAAGAGAAGATTCGCTCAAGGTCCTGGCTGCCAGTGACACCATCTTGGCTCTNTTGCTCGTTGGAGTCTTGATCTTGCAGGCTGGCCAATGGTACGCCAACAAGAAGGAGGCTGACGAAATTGAAGAGATGGACAAGAAGCATGATGAGAAGAAGGCTCTGCAAAAGGAGCACAAGGAAAAGAAAAAGCAATAGATGTTGCGCACAGAGGGATAACAGGAACTGGGGCATGTAAATCGAAAGAGTCCATGTATATTAGGTAGTCTGCGCTGCTTGTCGTATGGTAAAAGCATACGACTGTCATGCTTGCATTCAGCCTTAGTTATAAGTCAGCGATTTACCTGTCTGCACGCCACTCTGTGAATAGCAGATCTCTGAGACCAGATGTGGACTGAGCAATTCGCTCTAATTCACTATCGTGATCAGCTTCTCTGCCTAGCCCGTTCTGATCATGCCTTCTGATCAAACAATATCGAGATAGGCATCAGATTTTGCTATTCAATCTTTGATGAGATGGCACTATCGGTTGATGGCATGTAATATTTGTTGTCATAAGAATCATTACTCAGGCATGCCGCCAGGAATGAGCTAGGTGAGATGGTTAGCATATGCATTGAGACACAATTTCAAACGGCAAGCTCACCATGCAAATGTTGTTTCCGTTTAGCAGGATCTTGGACATCTTGGTTGAAGTGCCGGTGTAGTCACTAGGAAGGAATCAGATTTTGATAAGACGAAGGAGTTGAGTTGGTGAGTGGGCATACTATTCGGTAACATCTTCAAGGACCATGTCNNTGGAAAAACATCAGCATTGCAGCATTTGAATAGGCAAGAGATAACACGTACTGACGAAGTCGTCGAAGCCGAGTAATGTGCCACTGAACTCNNTGCGCGAGTAGAATCAATAAGTGATGCAAACACGGTCAAGCGCAATATCCAACGCACCCTTGTCGCCCTTCATGATGACCCAGATACGGGAACCGACACACTTGTCGATGAGTTCTAGTGGGAGCAATTGGGAAGCCATTTTGGTGATGTGGTTGTTCTGCAGGCTGGATGTTTTGTAGAAGCAGGTCAGTGAGAGTTCACATGCATGGCACACTGGCGCGGCGGGAGAGTGACGCTTTCGACAAACGCTCGGACAATCGTGGCCGACATTTTGAGCTTCGATCATGACAAAAGCATGAGCGGCGAATGCACATAGTCAAGACGACTTGTACGACTACTTGATCATTTCAGCATTCGGCTGTTTGGACATGGAGGTGAAATGCAATCCGCAGGACGGGCCGTAACATCTTCTCACCAGTCCACGCTCTACACGTCGTCTCGCCATGCTCTTCCGCGCCCCGCCCGCCATGTCACTGAAGGCACCATTTCCGTCTCACTCTCGCCTTCGACCCTCGACCGTACCCGTCATACTGTCTCGCCGATATTATCTGCTGCCTCTAGTGTGCGCTGTCACATCACCCGGCCTAGTGCCTCAATCTCCTCCTTCTCTCAGCCTGCTTCTCAGAAGCGCTGTGCCTCGTCCAAACCCAGACCTCCTGTCGCTCCCTTTCAATCCAAGCCGAGTGACCCGAAGTCCAATGTTGCGAAGCCGCTGGTGTACAGAGGCCGGGAAGCTGTCTCTGCGGCTAAAAATGACTATACCAAAAACTTGAGCTCCAATCCTTATCTGCGTGGAAGGACTATATCCCCCTCGAGTTCGCCCAATGCAATTTTCGAACCACAGATACGCAGGCCCTCCGTTGTCATCAGGCCACCACCCAGTTCATCTGTGCCTCCAGAAAATACTGCTGCTCCAGACTCTGCTCTTCCAACTTCTTCCCCAGTCCAGGCCCACTCTACCTTGGATCGATATTCTGCTGCGCCTACCTTGCCTCCACAGCAACCGTCGCAAGCCAGCACTCCTCAAGTGACACCATACACTCCATCACAAGACCCAGTCCGCGCAGCCTCAGACTATGGTCCTGCTCATGCAGTAGATGACGTGGCTGTGGCGGAAGGCATAACAAGCGCTGAGAGACCTGCTGTATCCCAGCCCAACGAGTCATACTCAAAAATCAAGGATCAGAGGATTGGATCTATAGAAAGCCGTGCCTCGATATTTGACGAAGTCCTACGCCTCGAACAGAGAAACTCTAAATTGGAATCGACTCTGGCTCAGCACAGGAATGACTACCAAGAACTGCGTCAGGCCCATGATAAGCTCCAGGAGTCATCCGCCCATCTCATCCAAGATGTGCAGCGTTTGGAGCTACAAGCACGGGAGAGGCTGCAGGCAAAGTCAAAACAATTTGAAAAGGACAAATTCGATCTTCAGGCGGCTATGAATCGGCAGGATGTTGTACGGAACGAGCTCTCCCGCCAGCTGCGTGAAGTGAGGAAAGAGCTGGAAAAGAGAGAGAAAACCGCAAACAGCAACAACGCAGAGCTGCTGACCGCCATTTCGAAGCCGCAATGCGCCTACGCGACCAAGAGGAGAAGGCAAAGACCGCTCGAGAACTGGTCCGCAAGGATTACAAAAATTTCCGAAATTGGATTCACATTGGCGTCACGAAGACCGGCACGATCTTGGAAGAGTCAGAACATTTCCCGCGTCGAGGTGCATGGTACAATCGCGAAATCGCCTATTGGACCAGAGCTCTGCAATCCACGCAGTCTTTCGAGGTGACGAGCAAGTCCGGAGACCAATTCCGATTCTGGGAAGCTGGTGAGCAGGTTCAGAAAACGATTCAGGATCCTCAGGAGCGAAACACATTGCAACGTAGAATCATCCATCAACTCGAGCAGCGTTTGCAGCACCGAGACAGTATCTTCGATCAAGTCAAGGGATACCTGCGAAACTCCAGTCTCGAGGCTAGCGAAGCACATTCAGAATACACCGCTCGACTCGCAGAATTGCGAGAGAAGTTGGTCGTGATTAAGTCGCGTCAACACGACTATCGACGAGTTCTACGTGCAACCCGTTTTGGCATGGATCCAAAACGATTGTCTCCAGAGCTTACCGCGGCATCAAGAGCTTCAACAATTGATTTGTACGAGATGGACCGTCCCATTGCGGAAACCAACGGGGCACTGAGTGAGCGAATGAAGTTCTGGAGCCGTAAGCTCAAAGCGATGAGGGCGCAAACAAGCAATACATCCGACATGGGACCAATGATAAGCTTCTACAAAACACAGTTGAGGGTTTCTCAGGCATGCAAAAGTCTTCTAGCAACAATCCGCATGTTCTCTTCGCTACAACTAGAATCTCTCGAAGCTGATTGGATCTCGGAACAGCCAGTGTATCAACAGTTCTTCTGGCAGACCTCGACACGCCTCGCAAGACGTAACATCCATCTCAGAACCAAAGTCGGTTCGGTTGCAAAGGAGTTGAGATCTCAGGGCCTTACGCCACGTCACAAAATCCTGTCATTGAAAGATGTTGACAAGGTTGTCGAGGTATCATACCTCCACGAACGGGCTGCATTTGCATATGCGTACGTCAAATACAAGAAAAACGCCTTCACTTGGGACGACAGATCAGAGATCAACGAGGTCTTGGCCAAATATCGTGAAGAGAACACGCAAGAGGCTAAACGTTATCTGAAACAAATCGAGCAAGTCTGGCATATATCTGACGATATCAGTGACGCTCGTCACGCCAAAGCTCTTGGTAAACGTCTCTTAGTACCCGTCAGAACCAGACGCAGAGAAAATTTGAGGAAGGCTGCTCTTGCAAAGACAAGACATGATGAGGGTGTGGTTGAGGACCAAACAACACCTGTAGTCGAAGCAGCAGCTGGTACGACAACGGGCATTCCAGGATCAGCACCCGATGCAGAAATGACGTCAAAAGACACTAGTGCACGAAGCACAGCAGACCTCGAACAGAGCGAAAGATCCCAACAAGAAACCACTCAGAATCCCGAGCCGAACACAACGACCGAACCAAACCCTGCAACGAGCGAGGATTCAAGCAGCGGCTTTGCAGAAAGCTCGCCAGAATCACAAACCAAGCCGCGTGGTCCTGAGTTTAAGGTGGCCAAGCTCCCAAGGCTTACATTCAAACCTACGGCAGTCTATCCTAGAGCTCGTAGTAGAAGTTTGTTCAGACCTCCGAAGCCCATGTTCAAAGAAACGAGACGCAGGAGTCAGATGATGGGTAACAGCGCTGTTGACTACCTGGATCAAGAAGAACTCGGTCGTTCAATCATGCTACCACCGCTGCTGTACCAAATTCCGCCTCAAGATCTGCGTAGTGCATTGATAGCATCGAAAACCAGCCAAGCTGCGTTTTGGAGGCACTCTTTGTATAGGTCGCCCGAGGGCAAGAAGCCTCTCGTGAACTACTGTTTCAAGTTTGAACAGGCAGAAGAAACTGCAAAGTTGTTCCTCGGAGAGCCAGTAATTGGCTTCGATATTGAATGGGAGATGGGCAGCACTGTTGCCGATGGCAACATCAAAAACAACGTTTCGCTGATTCAGATTGCGCGCGAGGACAGGATTGCTCTCTTCCATGTTGCTTTGTTCGCTGGAGAGCGCAAAGAAGATCTTATGCCTCCAACGCTCAAGGCTATTCTCGAGTCTCCAGAGATCCTTAAATCTGGTGTCAACATTGCAAACGACTTTACTCGACTACGCAAATGTCTAGGAGTCGAGGGACAGGGAATCTTTGAAGTGAGCCACCTATACAAGCTTGTAAAGTTTTCTGAGAACGAACCAGCGAAAGTGAACAAGCAACCGTTCAATTTGGCTGGTCAGGTACAGAATGTTCTCTTCCTTNNCCCTCTTCACAAAGGCATTGTTCGAACGAGTGCCTGGTCGAAGAAATTGTCGTGGGAGCAAGCCGAGTACGCTGCATCAGATGCCTATGCAGGTCTCAGGCTCTTCCACGAGCTTGAGAAAGCAAGGTGCATGATGGACCCTGTGCCACCTAGGCCAGCGGCATGGGAACTCGATCAGCCTATCATCCTTGGTAACGGCGAGCGAGCAGGGCGCAAAATTTCTACGAAAAAGCTTGCAGAGGCTGAAAGCCAATCGTCCATGCTTGGTGTAGAAGATGAGCAAACCCTCTACGGCGAGGAAGAGGAAGCTCAGGCCGAAGCTGGTGCAGCTGATATGGAAGACAACAATGCTCAGGACGAGCTGGAAAGTCCAGAGGTCGAACCAGCAGCGGCTGTCAAACATGAAGCTGCCGAACTATGGCTTGCACAGTGGGCAAGCAATTCATCGCCCGAAGGGAAGAACAGGCCTCCGCCATCTCGAATACGTGCATACGCCCTATGGCAAGTCCAAGGCCTGGAGCTAGACCAAGTGGCTGAAGCCATGAGGGAACCACCTCTCGCACTCTCAACGGTAGCTAGCTACATTGTCCAGGTCGTGAAATTGCAGAAACTGCCCCATGAGCCTGCGAGATTGAGAGTTGCACTCGAGATAGGAGAGAGGAGATACAAAAGCTCGATGATGCAGAGAACTAGGTCTGTTGTCCGAACCTCATGAGATGAACCTATCAGAAACCATGCATTGTACATGATCAAAACATTTTACCACACTCTTCCAAACAGCAATAATGATTTTTTTCGAGCACCATGATATTTGGCAGTTGTGCATTAAGCATGTGCACGAGATATGCATGGTACGAAAAGGCGGTGGTGCCATGACACAAGACGAAGCTAAGCTAAGCTCCAACGCCGTGAGACGGATACGATGATCTTCGCTCTCGGGCGTATCACGACATGCCTATCACCCCCTGCTGATTGGAGATCAAAAGGTTTGGGACCAAAAAGTACACAAGAAGGCATGTGACACGACACCTAGATAAGCATGGTTTACAAGACTGCATAGAGATAGGGTATCCGGAGTGCTAGCCGCTAGGAATTCCTAACGCAACCGCCGCGTGAGGTGCGGTGATGTGGTGACTGTGGACGTCGTTCTTCGAGAGACGGAGACGAATCGGACCGAAGCGTTTCGAGTTATGTCGTTTGAGTTTGACCACGGACATGGGTGATGCATCTGGACGAGACGGTTGCGAGTAAAGCATTAGATCGTCATTGGCAAAAGTAGCCGTGATTGGGCGACGTGGTCGGGCGTGTGGCTTGGTTACCCCGCATATCTTAATTGGCGGGGATCAGTCTGGGGACTTTCTAGGGTCCTTGCAAGGGCCGCACCACGAATTGTGCGAGGCTATATGTTTACCTCTTCCTTCTCCCCCTGACCCTCCTCGTTGACTTCTTCCTTCCTGCTTTCCGCTTTCAATTTCCACTCACCTTCAATTCCCTAAGACACCACCACACAGCAGTCGATCCAACAAGCGGTCGAACCTTCTTTGACCGAGAGAGCTCCGAAGCCGGAGAAGGCTGACATCATCACGCCATTCTAGACATCGAAGAAGTCACGTCTAGAGCACGTGGTTCCTCAACCTACACCCTACCATCTCTTTCTAGCATTACCTAACGTTCCACTTCGCCCGCCCCCTAACTACTCTCTTTCCACACCACAACAATGGCAGACCAGAACGATCAATCTCCCACCAACTCCACCTACAACCAACGACGTCGCTCATCCTTTGTCGGTCAAGCATTCAGCGACATGTTCAACCGCAGCAGCCGCCCGTCCGAGTCTTCCGGCACCAGCCCTCCTGCTCAGGGCCCCATTGCAACAGCTGCTGCTGAAGCCAGCCGCCGTCGTCTTTCAGTCAGTACCCTCGGTATGGGTACTTCCCCCAACCAGGGCTCGCCTATGTCGGCTAGAATGCGAGGTGAGAGTGTTTCCAGCTCTACGGTCGACGAGTCGGCAATCGACGACGAACCTTCTTCTGCCGCCCCTGCCAACAGCGGCCCCTTTGCTCGTAGAGTCAGCTTTGGAGCACGAGCTCTCAAGGACATGAAGGGTGGTTCAGGATCGGTGCCAGCAGGTAGGCCCACCGCCACCGTTACTATACCAGAAGAAGAAGTCGTAGACGGGGAGAAGAAGACTTTGGCCCCGACCTCCTCCTCACTGGGTCGTCGAGGTTTGTGTCTTCTTCTGGTGCCGCCGGCGTGCTTCCACCTGCCTAATCTTGAATATTTTGCTGACTTGTCTCTTTTTTTCCACNNAGAGGGTTTCAATTGGGCCGACAATATGCGTTCCCGTGCTGAGAGAGGCTCCATCTCAGGCATGTCTGCCTCTCCTCCTACTGGTGGCTGGACTCATGCTCGCTCCAAGAGCATTGCCGTCATGGACACTCCTGTCAGAGACAACCCCAGGCCAGTCAACGTCCCCGACCAATTTCAAGAGAGAATCCTCAAGGGTGCGTAAACCGAAGGTACAAACACCATGACTAGTACTGGCGTTCGTCTCAGCCTGCACGAGCAGTCTCTGCAATGTGTGTTTCGATGAAACGCCGTCCAGGAGGCGTCTCGCAGAGCTGAGTGCATTAGTTCAGCTAAGTCGTGGTGTTCTCACAACCAACGTCTGATATTTTGCTAATTGTACCTTTGCGCAGGTGATTTTTACATGGACTAATAGCTCTGACATTGTTCCATTCAACGCAAATTATGATATCGACATTCGAAACGACGTTTACGACACCGCTTTACGAACGAATACATCCATGAGCACTACACATCCGCATTCTGACATTCAGGGTATCCATGGCAGCATAATTCCCATCTGAATTGCCGTTGGTCCTTGACAATCTCCGACAAGACACAGTTGTCATCATAGGACGCTGTTTATGTCTTCACGTCATGGCCTGCTTGTCATGGCTGCATCGTCATCTGATTCATGAAACCTCTTTGTTCCATCCAGAGTTCTTTGTTATCCTTTCCCCACAAACCCCCGACAGCAAAGATCAAAAACATTACGTCTTTGCTAATGGCGTTGGATGCAAAATCAGGCTGGGGGCGTTTGGGTTCGAAACTCACATGGGCAGGACCTGGAAACAAAGAGTCCCCATGGCGAGGCACTGTCAGGCAGGACAAAGGATGTAATGGAGTATAGCAGGCATAGCTTTGAGTAGATGTGTGTCAACCACAAAGTCAGCAGACCAAGAGCCACAGGATCAGGAGATTACAGATGCTCATTGGGAAAGTGGTCTGCTACTATTGGCATCGCAGAAGAGCTTAGATAACAAATCGATACACTCGTTGCTTCTGCCGATATTTTGATCTTCCTTATTCCTTCCATATTTGCATCGTCTTGGGGTCGTGAACCGCTCTTGCCCTTGTTCTTGACTTCTCTGCTCCTTCCTCTTTTATCGATCGTTCCTTCTTCTCTTGTAACTGGCTTCCTTCCTTATATAGCCGCCAACCGCTCCTGCGTCTATACATCAAGCAGGCCCGTGAGGCGTCGACATCTCGCCTCCTCTCCCTTGTTTCTAGTCTCGCCCGAAAACAAAAAAAAGGAGATTCACAAACAAGCGAAACCGGATCTAGCGAGACAGGGTGATACCCCTCTCCTGAATTTCTTGAGCAGCCAACAGGTTTCTCGTTTCTCTTCTTATCTAATCTGAACTTCCTACCTTTTAAACCCTATACCTCACAGTGTAATAGACGAAGATACTCACTTTCGTTCTGGTTCGGTAATGCTGTGATGCCAGAATGATGACAACAAAACATTCCGCTATAATGGACCAAAGCCACCCTAAGGTTAGAAACTCCGAGCAAGAGATAAGAACAGGATAAAGACGAAGATTGCAGATATCTCACGCCATGTGCTTTACCAGAGCAGAGAAAGAGAGACGAAGCGAGACTCAAAGCTATAAGTCAAGGGACCTTAGGAAAGAAGAGAATGATAAACCATACAAGAGGAAGATATAATCATATAAGAGAAAGGAAGGAACGATTAACAAGGAAGGAACGATTAACAAGGAAGGAACGATTAACAAGGAAGGAACGATTGTCAGTAGAAAGTAATGCTCTTAATCAGGCAAGAGCCAAAAGACAACCCGTATTATCACAAGGTATCACAGCAATGACTTTGGCAGATTCAACAGCGAGGAAGGGATGTAATATGGAACAAAACAACACCAGATTTTTGTATTCCCCGCTCCACACAGTGTGCTTTTTTACACAATGCTTGACAAAAAGAGGACAGAAATAAAGAAGCATTTTCTCGTCAGACCGTCTAAATGACTTAGTCGATGATCTCCTCGGTCTCCTCCAAGATCTCCTCGAGAATCTCCTCGACATACTTGCCCTCGCCCTCCTCGGATGAGGGTTCGTCTTGGGCAACAGCCTCTTCGGGGCTGATGGCAGGAAGACCTTCCTCCTCGCGCTCCTGGCGAAGGTCGGCGGCGGTGCGTTCGCGCCAGGCGAGCCACTCGTCGAGAAGACGACGGCGTTGCTCGACGACTGCGCGGTTGGCAGTGTTCTTGCGGGCAACGTCCTCCTCCTCGAACTGCTTGCTCCACTCGCGGAGGTTCTTGCGAACAGTCTNTTGCTCCTCCTTGGACAGGAGACGCTCGGGACGCGGGCGCCATGCAAACTGCTTGAATTGGTCGATGGGGTCCTCACGAAGAAGTTGACCACGGAAGTCGTAAAGGTGGTAACCGTTTTCCANTCTGTGTTTGTTAGTCAAGTAGCTCTGATGAAACATGGCTGAAAAACTTACGCGGTGCTTCCAGACACTTGCGCTGGTGGCGACGAAGCGGCCTGAGGGATCCCAGTCAATGTCAGTAACACCGTAGTGCTCGGCCGTGTTCATCAAAGCGAGGTTGGCGGTCAGATCCTTGTCCTTCTCATCCTTCTCGCCCTCGTAGTCGAAGTCGTAGAAGTCGAGGTCGAAGCTCTGTTGTGACAGGACAGTAGCGACGACAACGAAGCGACCGTTGGGAGACCAGTGAATGGCGTTGTTGTTCTTCTTGTCGACAGTACGAATCAGCTTGAAGTTACCAACCTGGTTGCCCTTTGCCTNTTCCGGGCAGAAGAAGGAGACGGAAGTCTTGGGGGGAACAGCAGCGCCAACGGGCACCTCACCAGCGGTGATGAGGACGAAACGGTCACCCTTGGGTTCCCAAGCAAAGTTGATGACGGTGTCCTTGATGGCGTCAACGACCTCGACGGGCACACCCTTCTCCTTGACACGGAAGATTTCGAGGTTGGTGGCCATTGACTTCTTGCTCTTGCTGTGACGGTCGACCTTGACACAGAGGAAGGAGCTGTCGCTTTGCCAATGCAGCTTTGCGTCGGAAACGTTGAACAGGTTACGGGTACGGACAACCTCCTTGGAGGGAACGCTCATGAGACCGACCTTCGCGGGGTTGCTACCCACCTCGGGGGTCCAGTAACAGAAGAGCTGCTCGTAAGTCTTGATGCCTTCACGGTTGGGAGTAGCGGGGCACCATTCGAAGTCCTGGATCTTCTCGATCTTGATTGAGACCTTGTCGAGAAGGTTCATGCGGGGCAGCTCGTAGACGGAAATGCCTTGTTCGGGGTTCATACGGGCAACGTACTTTGAGTCGGCGGACCACTTGAAGGCGGGCCATTGCAGCTTCTTCTTGATGGGGTTTCCAGCCTCGTCGACGTTGGGGCCGGTCGAGTCGAGGGTGACGAAAGAGCGCAGAGGAAGACCAGTCTCGAGATCCCAGATGATGTAGTTCTTGCCGTCCTCGTCAAGCGAGAGAACGGGGTGGCCTTCTTCGACCTGCATGGGGCGGTGAGACCAGGTGGTAAGGTATCTCTCATCAGGCGAGAAGTCGACAAGGTTGACACCGGGGTGAGCGAAACGCTTTTGTCTGCTCCATGACTTGCCTCCCCACAGCTGGACACCCTGAGCGTGCATCGAGGTAAGGTAAGTTCCCTTGGGCGACCACTGCACAAACGATTCGGTCCAGTGGGCACGGTCGACGATTGAGTCGGGCTGCTCGTCTCTCTCGTTCCAGAAAACGCCGACGCTGTCACCACGGTACATGACAAACTGGTCACGACCATCGTTGTCGCCCAACCACCAGCGCAAGTGCTCCTTCTCCTGGAAAGGCTCAACCTCGGNGGGCGAGTAGTCCTCGTCGATGCGGCCTTCGCGGCCGAAGCGCTCAATGTCGGTCAGCTTGTTAACAGCCATGGTGTGCTTCTTATCCAGAGGGGTGCCGTTCAAGGCCTTGACGGCAGCCTGAGCCTGTGCGGGTGATTCGTACTCGACAAAGGCGTAGCCCTCGGTCATTTTGGTCTCGTCGCTGATAGGCATAAGGACGAGGTCCTCACTAGTCTTGCCGGCGGTGGTGAGCTTGCGGAGGATGAACTTGATCAGCTTTCCCTTGCTCTCCTCGGGAACCTTGGNGAGGCCATCGACGACTACGAAAGAGTCGAGACCTTCCTCCATGCGCACGTCGAACTGCTCGCGCAGATNCTGTAGAAGACCAGTCAGCATCGCCGTGTTCAATTTCTCTCGTCATGCATTCCCAAGGCGCGCGCGGCCGTCCTTTTCTCTTTCGGTCGGAGGAGTCGTACCGGAGTAGTCGATTTCGACATCGTCGAAGTTCTCGTCATTGTCGAGATTATCAAAGCTGGGAGCCATGTTGGCGGTTGTGTATTAAGTGGTGGTCGTGGCTGCCGCTATTCGATTTCGATGTGCAAAAAGTGCAGGCGCGGGCGGAGTCACGTGCGCCGTCTACCACGCCCGACGACTTCGTCCTTCTTGCTTGGACAGCCGCAACCAAGAGTCGCCCTTTCTTCCACTCTGCCTCTAGACATCTAAACAAACAACATGTCAAAGACTCTTATCCACGAACTAGTGTTTCTCTGACCTGCCATCGTCTTCCTACCGAGCCAGTCCATTGTGTGAGCTGTACAATTCTCGTTGACGCCAAGCCGACTTAGCGGTTTAGTGGTCGCTTCTTCTCCATATATACCGAAAGTGCTCCATCGCGTCTATGCGCGTCGTCTACAAAGAAATCAATCCACCCTCACAAACATCTCGCAATTGTCCTCTTCGCTGTTTCGCCTACCTCTACATAAGCCCCCAAGCGATTCACCTTCTGCAATCCTGGTTCAACTCAATTCCAATTCGACCTCTTTCACCAAACTCCCTCCGACACGACCGACGTCATCTGTCGCAACCATGTCCTACGACGAGAAACGCTTCTCTGACCTGATTTATGACATCTTGCGCCAAAGCGACCTCGAGACTGTCTCTGCAAAGAAGATCCGCACTGCTCTTTCCGAGAAAGTCGGCTTCGATGTTAGCGAACACAAGGTTAGTTGACCTTGTCTTGCTAGCTACCCATCCCTTGGCCGCTCAATCTAACACGTCTGTACANNGAAAGAGATCCAACGCCTGATCGAGAATTGCTTCGACAGAGTGACTTCAGAGGACGTGAATGGTACCAATGGCGCATCCCCCTCCCCCTCAGACTCCTCCCCTCAAAAGCGCAAAGAACCCTCTGATGAATCAGACTTGTCCGATGTAGTAGACGACAGACCAAAGAAGAAACCTCGCAAGCAGGATGCCGAGGAAGACGACGCTGCCTACGCCGCCCGTCTACAACGCGAGGAAAACAGCAGAGCCCGACCCACCAGAGCCGGCGCAACCAGAAAGGCAGCTCCTGTAAAGAGGAAGAAGAAGTCGGCCGCCAGGGTGAAGGACGGTAGTGACGCCGAAACCAATGGAGAGTCCAAGCCGCGCACTGGTGGTTTCCACGTGAGTCCTGTGTCTCTCTGCTTGCCAACTTGACGAAAGCTTACGCAACACAGNAAACCCATGAACCTGTCAGAACCTCTTTCGGCCTTGCTCGGTGAGACGCAGTTATCACGACCTCAGACAGTCAAGAAGATCTGGGAATACGTCAAGTCAAGAGACCTTCAAGATCCAGCCGACAAACGCCAGATTGTCTGTGACGATGCCATGCGTGCAGTCTTCAAGACAGATCGCGTCCACATGTTCACCATGAACAAAATTCTCAACCAGAACCTGTACGCAGCAGAAGATGTCGTGGCCACCAATCCCGCTCCAGCAACAGCAGCTCCAGCATCCGCCCTTTCCTCTTCTCCAGCACCAGACATGGGTTCATCGCCGTAGAAAGGGTCTACACATTGGAAACGACTTGACGATACTTTTGTGCTTTTTGTGCATAAAACTTCCACTTCAACAGCGCTTTGGGCTTTTCATTGGTGGGCACAGGGTGGCGCAAACAAAGCGTGTTTTCCTCTTCTCAAGCTGCTTTGTCATGTAATCAATTCTCGCAGACAACTCTCAGCAAACGTTATTGTGTAACGAGAAATCAAAGAACAAGAGAACAATCTTACTGAACAAGATGAGCAAGCTGAAGTTGTGTAATGCCCGTCCGATGCATCTAGTTGAATCCAAACAAGAAAACGCCGCACTGCTCAGGGTGTATATCTAAAGCAAGAAAAGAAACGCCGTCACCGTCCAAAAGGTGTGAGTGATATGCAAGTGAACGCCATAATGCATCCAAAAGAAAAAAAAGCGCTCAGAGAAGAACCCCAACAAGGTATACAGAAAGAAGAAGTAGAAAAGGAAAGTCCCCAACAAGACAAACACACAAAACACCTCTGCCACCCAGATCACGAGGGTACTTGCTCCTCAGCCTTCTTCTCAGGTTTCTTACTCACAAGCAACGGCCTCAACGCCTGGAACTTCACCGGCTTAGCCATATAAATATCCACACCAGAGGACTCAGCATCAGCCTGTGCCTCCGCACTCGCCAACCCCGTAAGTGCAATAATGGTAGCTTTCTTGCCAACACCCTGCTCAACTTCGAATTCACGAATGCGGCGAGTGGCTTCTAGACCATTCATCACCGGCATCGAAATATCCATCAACACAAAGTCGAAGGGTGGTTTGGAAGGGTCGTCGTGGCCACTGCCGTATTCGATGTATTTGTCCAGGGCTTCTTGGCCGTTTACGGCTTCTTGGTAGGGGAGTTTGTGTTNTTTCATAAACATGACTAGGAGTTGGAGGTTGATTGGGTTGTCGTCAACGAGCAGGACATGAGGTACGGAGCCTGATTGCGATTGGGCTTGAGATTCTCTGGCATTGCCTTCGTCTCGATTGATGCTGGGGAACGAAACAGCCGTGCTGGGCGGAATTTCTGAAACTGTGTTGCGGATGAAGTCTCGGGCGCGAACAGATTCGGCCCTCTCCTCTGAAGTGTTAAGGCGTGGGAGAGTTATGCTTGGCAATCCGAGGATGGATGCCGCACCTACGTCCTCTAATCTTGATCGGTGTGGTACGCCTTCAGGTCTTGGTTGTCGATCGGGTAACATAGGCTTGTTGAAGGTTTCTTCCATGCGTCTAACACATTGACCCAATACCTTTGCCAGCTTGCGAGGTCCGCAGGGTTGTGAGATAACTTCCACGATACGGCCGAGATCTGACAATGCNNCTATGATAAACGTTAGCCTCAGGTCTTTAGCAGCATTCTGTTGACGTACCTTGATATGGTTGGCAGTAATCCCCACAGCTTCTGATGCGTTCAGACAGACAATGATTAGCGGAACCTCCTTTCCTCTGCCCCCACCAGTACGACTCTGGTTCACGCTGTGGTGTTCCAGTAAATATTCGACTGAAGGTGGCTCAGTGTACATATACATGTCTGCATCGGCGTCCTTCAAACTGCTTGCTCTCGTCACTTCCATCTCGAACCAACCCCAGCAAACTTCCGATAGTGTCGTATCGAGGCGGCTGATATTGTCATTTCCGTCTTTCTCCTTTTCCCCGTTAGGGTCCAGGAGACACAGTCTCAACCCCTTGGTCTTTGCAGCCACGGAAGCTACTTCATCATCCAGTCTAATGTTAGTGGTTGGGTCTGCTAGTGCAAGACTCAGATGAACGTCGACTTCAGTGCCAACGTTTTGCACACTCTTGATATCGATAGTACCTCCGAGTGAATCTACAATCTGTCTCACGATGCTGAGGCCCAATCCAGTTCCGGGTTGGAAAGTGTCTTCTTGGCTGAAAGGAACAAACAGACGGTTCTTCTGGAAGTCCTCAGACATTCCCTTGCCAGAATCGATGACTCGGAAAGTCACGTCCATTTTGTTTGGGTGCGTGCTTTCCTGAGCTCGGAGAGACACTGCTACCCAGCCCTTGGGAGTGTATTTCAGAGCATTTCCTAAAAGGTTCATAATAATCCTTCTCAAGGCGCCTGGTTGCGTACGCACAACCCAGCTCGCCCGAGGACTGACGTCAAGCAGAACGGCAACTTCACCTTCGTGAATGTTTCCACCATCAGCGGTTGAAAGTTTGCTAGCCGAGGCGTGGCGAGACATGGTGATAACAGGTCCCTCACGCGACTTGAGCTCTCCGGTATGCATCTTCTTGAACGCATGGCCAGCACATACAGCTTCAACAACCTCTTCTACAACCAGTCCGAGGTCGATCTCAGCCGAAATGCTAAGACTCTCTGAGGGTGAATCAGTAGCGGAAGCGAGTCGATTCGACCTAGCATCCTTCTTCATTCGGTTCCGACCAAGCTTATTGATCTTGGCATAATCGAGGACGTGATCAAGTGTATCCAGCAGAGTTTTACCACAAGTAGAGATCGAATTGATCAGGCCAGACTGATAGGCGTCGGCGGCGGTTTCTTGTAAGAATTCGACCGACCCAAGAATACCATGCAACGGAGAGCGTAACTCGTGACTCATAGATGCAATGAATGTTGTCTTTGCTCGGTCGTCCTTCATCGCGTTCATGCGGGCAACCTCGGACATGATAGTGTTACCGAAAGCTCGCAGATACGACAGATCATCATCCAGATTCATCATCCTTCCGGTACTCGAAGTCCACAAAAAGCACCCTGCAACCATCTTTTCTTCGACATAGTCCCAAAGTGGCANAAAGATGACATTCTTGACACCTGGTAAATTTTTGAGGAGTTGTTGGTGGCTCATTCGAATCTTTTTCTTTTTGCCAATGACTTTTGTGAGGCAGATTTAGGAACTGCCTTCGANTCTATCGCTGGCAGACCTCTGACTCTCACTAGCACTGTCATCCTCAGATGACAGGCCTGAACCAGCCTCGGAGAAGTGCAAACTCTTTCCATTGGGATAAAGCTTGAAATAATTTTCAAGAGTCAGAACATCCAGCGCTGTGTCGTGAAACAAAGAGCTGTCTTGCTTGTTAGCCAAGGAGAGGCCGAGGGTCTTAGAAGTGTGAACGTGGTAGGTTGCAGCATCAGAGTCTGTCGAGTTTTCGACATCAACCGAGTCGACTGAGAGGTGCTTTGTAGACTCGTCGTCAGTGCCAGACATTCTGTCACGGGCTGCCATCGCAGACCTCAAAGTAGGCTTAGATGGAATGTTTCCAGATGGCCCAAAGAATACAACGCCTTCGGCAAGCGTGGATTCTCGCAGTATTCGAGAAGCGCGATCAAGCAATTTGGACAAGTTGTCTGTCTTGGCTTCGCGGCGCCTAATGAAGGATTGAGACCTAGATTCGAGTGTCGGTCGATTCACAGATCTACTGCTATCTGCTGTCCTGGGTGATGACCGCTTGCTGGGATCATCGGTAGGGGTATTACTCAATTCTGACGCTAGATCAGTATTGTTGGTAACCACGGCAGACTGCTCCTCTTTCTCCGACTCTTTCTTCATGGCACGCATGGATGGAGCACCTTCAATAAAGTCGGCCATACCACGAACTATGCGTTCGCCTTTGTAACGATCTACACGATCCCTTGCCCATTCCAGATGATCCATGACAGCGACAGCGATATCTTGCATGAAACGGAGTTCGTCGTAGGTGAGGGGGTCCCTCGGGGAGTCGTGACTAACAGCATAAACGCCGATATTGTGACCAGATCTTGATCTGATGGGTACGCCAGCATAGAAGCGGACACCGGGTTCTGAAAGAACATAGGGTTTGTCCTTGTAGTCGTTGTCCAAGCGACAGTCGGGCATGACAGCAGCAGTTGCGGTAATGGTGTGACCATCGTCATCGGTGACAGTATACTGTCTTGTAAAGGAACATTGGCACACGGCATCTTCTCTTGCTAACGAGGTGGTTCCGAGCCATAGGGCGTCGCCTTCTGCATGTCGTGTGTCATCGACCAAAGAAAGAGTTTTGGTAGCTTCTGCTAGAATGTATTGATGTTTTGAGTCAATCAGACTGACCATAGCGCGACGGACATTGAGACGGAGGGCGGCGAGTTGGGCAAAGGCGGTCAAGGTGGTGTCGCGCGAGGCCAGTGGGCGGAAGCCTTTGTCGGAAAGAGTGTTGATGGCGAAGTCGTCGACATCGGCGAGGTCCTGAACATGCGAGGCGACATTGGCTGAGGTGCCCTGGGCATCCAACCAAGGTTGGTAGAATCTGTGGTGGACGCATGAGTGTGATGTCTTGGTGGTCGTAGGCTGCATGTCTCGTACCTGTGCATTTCACGCTCTTGCAGCGTCAGCGCCCTCTCCTTGGCCTTATGCTGCCTCACTTGTTTGGTCGCCATATTTTGATTAGTACGAGAGACCTGTCTCTAGTCGCAGGCCTGTCTTCGCATCGATCAATATGGAACAGTACGAGGAAACGAAAAGGGAAATGTTTACTGCCATCTCTTCCAACTTCCAACAATTACGAAGCCCTCGGCTGTCAATCCATCCGGGGCAAACTCAAACTCGAGTCACGACTGAACTCATTCCCGGACTCACCTTCCGAGTCCCTATTCACCGGCTCGTCTATCTGCACCCTTATTTGTGTTTGTTCTCACATAATAAAAGTTCAAGTCAAGCCTTTGGCTTGACAACAGTCGTCGTGCCACTCTGCTATCTGTTCTGACTTGTTGGACATCTCGAGTCGCTCCAGCATCTTCGCATCTCTGCCATCGTCGATCATCAGAGCCGCAAGCACGGCATTGCGATCATCACGATCCGCTGAATCATGGGCACGTTCCTTCCGAACATGATGCTTGATCATGATTGCCGATCGATAACCTTGTTCACGACATGATGCTACCTACACGCTCATAACATCTTTAACTTGTTGTGATCAATACTTGTAGCTGCCTGAAAGTTGCTACATCAACATCCCTCAACCCGAAGCAAGGGGCCCCTCGGACAATGCTACTCAAACATGTGCTGCCTGGCTGACGCGCTATCGCCGTCTACACACTTGCCATTATTACACTTTCACCATCACGTTCATCTCGACTAGATATGTCTGAAAAATTCACATATCAGCCAAGGCACAACAACAGACGACTCTGGGACAGACGATTCTGGAACAGCCAGCCGTCCTGTCTATGTGAGACTTGTGCCGCAAAAGTCGCATGGGAGGTACAATTGCGTTGTCCAAGTCGTCCTTGGCCGGAGAGACACCAATGTCCTATGTGTCCGGTGAGCTCTATAATATTGTGCGCTAATACCTCGATTGACTAGTGATTTGATCTAACTTTGTCGTCACCATAGAGACAATATAAGAGCACATTTTGATAGACACAAGTGTTTGGAGGAACTCAAGGATGATCAGACGAATCAAACGCCATCACAGTCCTCTTCAAAAACTGAAGCACAATCGAAGAATTGTGTTACTGAGAAGTCTGGAGTCCATGTTGGCGATACCCTTGACATACACTCAGCACCAGACCCCACGCCTCTCGAGCAACCTGTCTCAATGAGAACGAGATCGAGAACAAAGTTGAACATCATTTCATGCTCTAGCAAACTGGGTAGTTAATGATGTATTAGATCGGGCACAATCTTGTCTATAAACGCTGAGACTTTTTGGGTTTGTGAAGGTGTAGCGGGAATGAACTGTAGTTGAGGACTACTTGATTAGGTGACTGTGCAGAATACGGGACATATTTTTGATTGGACATAATTCAACAATGTTGAGAATCTAGCACATACGGCCACAGTCAGCTGAAAACTGGGCATCCCGTCCGCTCTGCCATACATAAGCAGTTGAACGGCAGATTAGTACTACGGTGGGTGACCACGTGGGAATCCCTGCTGCTGTATGTTTTGCGTCCATTTTGGTCTCTTTGACATGATTGTTTCTTCGATTGGCAATTTCCCGTGTTTCTATGTGCGAGGAGGAGCTGGCGGGCTTGGATCCTGACCACTCGTCCACAACGTCAAGCTCATCTTCGCGCTTGCTTCGTCCGTGACAACCATTGCCGACAGCAGACAAGCGGTCTTGGGAACACTCCTGGAAACGTAATTCAAATCATATCGGCCTCGCGATGGCCACTGGACAAAGCCGCACTATGATTCACAGCAGGAAGTTTCATCCGGACAGCCGTCGGCCTTTGATTGTGTGCTCCTTCTCCGCTTTACTCTCATGCGAGGAGATCCACCAAAATCATATTGCGACAATATCGTGAATGGATTCAGCACACCGATACGGGTTATGGTAAAGGTTCGGATGGTGTTTTGACTCTTTCCACAAAGGTGATGTTTAGGATATAAAAGACGTGGACGGTAAGTTCTTATCCTCGGATTCATTCTATACAAATCCATTCTCCTCCACGCAAGAACCGAAAGATATCTCAACGCAACAAATCACGATGAGCTCGATCAACACAGTTGCCAAGATCATTGGTCTGACGTCTGCTGCCTGGTTATCCGGTACGAAACAATGACATATCAATGCATTTCCCTGCAGCTCTACTGATGCAGATCCGGAACANGGCAATATCTCTGCACTATCTCTCATCTCAATCCCTGCTGTCGTCAACGTCAAACAAGACTCAACACTCTCCAATGCTCATGCAGTCAGACTCTGGGAACAGAATTACCAACGAGGTGCATCTCAAAATCCTCCCATTGCACTTGGTGCAGCAGCTTCTCTTGGATTTCTGGCATGGTCACTTCGAAGCATTCGCACGGCTGCGTTGGTGGGTTTGAGACCTGGTCCTCTGTTTGCTATTGCGGCGGTGTCGACGATGGCAATTGTACCNTTTACGATTGTCTTCATGAGGCCCACGAATAACAAGTTATTGGCCCATGCTGCAAAGGCCAAGAAGGATGAACTGTCTGTTACCGAGACAGAGGATGTAGAAGCATTGTTACAACAGTGGACAGCTCTGAATCGTCTCAGGGGAGTTCTTCCCATGGCTGGAGCGGTTGCTGCTTGTATCGCAGTCATTGCCTAAAGTAGATGGACTTGCCTCAACTGCCAGGTTTGGCCAGTCAGGTCACCAAGCAAATTACACGTTGCACCCGGTAGCCTGGACAAGTACAGAAGTCCATACGATAGTAGAGATCATGACGTTTTCCAAAAGAAAGAAAAACCCCCCTCCCCGGGTTTTGTTTGTGAGCAGTACGTATCCGGGCAGACAGATTATAATCATAGAGAATCTACTTCTACGTCCTATCTCCTTGTTTTCCAATTGACTCCTTTTACCTGAATCATCCGGTGCTCTTTTGTGGTAGCAATCTATATCTCTTGATCAATTATGCCTCGTCGTATTGCACTGCTAGGGGCTACTGGACACACCGGCCAAGCAGTACTCAAAGATCTCCTCAACCAAGACATCGACATCAACATCTACGTCCGCTCAAAGTCCAAGCTCATCGAGCAATTCCCAATTCTGTCCTCTACCTCAAAAGCCCACATCTTCTCCGGCGACATCTCAGACACCACACTGATCCAAAAACTCCTAACCAATGTGGACACCATAATCTTCACCTTGGGCTGGAACGAAAACAGACGAGGCCCCACCATCATCGAAGACGGCGCCAGAGCAGTCATAAAAGCTCTACATGAGCTTGCCAAATCCTCCAATGAGCCAAAGAAGCAACCTCCCAGACTCATCCTCTTATCCTCCGTAACCTGGAACGAGAACTTGCACGGCTCAAACCCAACCTTTCAAATCCGCATGGTGCGACTCGCCTTCTACTGGCCGTATCAAGACCTGCTCGCCGGCCAAAGAATCCTTCTCTCCGAACCCGAGCTCGTAAAAGTGACATTGATCCAGCCGCCAGCGTTGATAGAAGAGGAACCCAGTGGTTACGACATCAGTGTTGATAATGCAGGTGCTGGATGCAGTTATCTAGATTTAGGGGTTTCGATTGTGGAAGTTGCGATGGATGAGAGGTATGAAAGTGTTCCTGCTGTTATGGTGACGAGCAAGGCTGGACATGATTTCGGAAGGTATGCTGGTGTTATTCTGCCGAAATTCTTCAAGGGGCTTGCGGCTTCGTTTTTGCCAGGGTTTTGGATGATGCATGATTTGGCAGCAAGGTTTTGGTCGTGAAAGCAGTGGTTGGTGTTGTGGCTAGAGAGACAAAGTCTTAGTAAGATAGGGAAGATGAATCCAAATCATACAGCGCTGCCACGACCCCAAGGATAATACAGCGAAATTGGTCTGCCACATGTTAGCCTAACAAGAAGGGTACCACATGATGATATTGCATGATAGGAGAAGAAAGAGCGGCCTTGAAGTTTGAAAAGGTGTATTCCCTCGGATATCTATTTTCGTCCCCATCTGCAACTTCCGCCGGATATGACAATCGTTAAAAACCGAACCAACAAAAAAAGAAACATGGATATTTGGTCAACAGAAAAAACGCGCCTTAGCAATGAATTCAGCCATCAGCTTTCTAAGCCTCAAGGTCAAGGCCAAGGTCTTCGGGCTCGGCGGGAACGATGCGAAGGGTGTTGGTGTGGCCCATGCCCCCTCTCCAGCCCTGGACAGTGACAACGGGGTCGCCCTTGGTGAGGATGCCAAGGTCGATGGCGTGCTTGATACCCCATCTGAGACGCTTGTCACAATCCTCTTGCCATGAGACCTGCTTGAAGTCGGGCTTCTGCTCAGGGTAGTGGAACGGCCAGACACCACGGTAAAGGTGCGAGTAGCGGGAAGCGCGCGAGTTACGCGAGACCATGATGATGGGGCAGACGGGTCTGTACTTGGAGATGAGGCGGGCGGTGTTACCACTGGTGGAGAGGACGAGGATGGCACCAGCGTTCTGCTCGAGCGAGGCAGAGACGGCGGCCATGGCGCAGGACTCGGTGGTGGGGACGGGGATGGGAGCAAGTCTGCGGAGCTCGTCGAAGGCGTTGACGTAGGGAATGGCGACCTCGGCGAGAAGGCAGGTCTCGTGCATGATGGTGACGGACTCCTTGGGGTAGTTACCCTTGGCAGTCTCTCCTGAAAGCATGACACAGTCGGCACCGTCAAGGATGGCGTTACCAACGTCAGAAACCTCAGCACGAGTGGGGCGGGGGTTGTAAGTCATGGACTCGAGCATCTGGGTGGCGCAAATGACGGGCTTGCCGGCAATGTTGCACTTGGTGATCATCATCTTCTGGGCGATGAAGACCTGGGCAGGAGGAATCTCGATACCCAAGTCACCACGGGCGACCATGACACCGTCGGTCTCGCGGAGAATGTCGTCGAAGTTGTTAACACCCTGCTGGTTCTCGACCTTGGAGATGATCTGAATGTCCTTGCCGTCCTCACCGAGAACCTCACGGATGGCCTTGACATCGTCACCGGAGCGGATGAAGGAAGCGAAGACCATGTCGACGCCGTTCTTGACACCGAAACGGAGATCAGCCTTGTCCTTCTCGGAGAGAGCGGGAAGGTCGACATCGGTCTTGGGAAGGTTGACACCCTTCTTGGAAGAAATCTTGCCGTTGTTGACAGCCTTGGCGCGGATGTTCTTCTCGTCAACAACCTCGAGAACCTCGAAAGCGAGGACACCGTCATCGACGTAGATGATACGGCCCTTCTCGATCACCTTGGTGATGTTCTTGTAGTCGAGGTNACCTTGGGTAGGGTTAGTAGGTAATTGGTAGAGCAGCCGAAGAATTGATTCTTACATGTTCTTGTCGTCGCAAGCAGTGGCGTACTTCTCGTCGGTGGTGATGTTGATCTCGGTACCGGCGCTGATGGGGTAGTCCTTGTCGTCAATGGTGTTGCCGGTTCTGATCTCAGGTCCTTTNNCTGGGCGCTTGTTAGCGCAATTCAATCGTCATGGGTGTCTGGTTTGGCTTACGGTGTCAAGGGCAATGGCAACGGGACGGCCAGCCTGGGTTCTCTCGGCCTCACGGGCGTTGTCAATGACAGACTGGTGGTACTCGTATGAGCCGTGGGAGAAGTTCATGCGAACAACGTTGAGACCAGCTTTGCTGCTGTTAGCTTGGTGCATGGCGGCGGTTACAAGTTAGAGCTGCATACCAGTTCTGAGCATGTTGATGGCCTGGGGAGAGTTGGTCTTGGGACCTGCATCTTGTCAGCGCGCACTCTTTACGCATCTTCTCGACCGACACAACTAACCAATGGTGCAGATGATGGAACTGCGGCGGAACTGGCGCTTGGGCACATACTCAGTGTTGAGCTGCGAGAGCCACTCGGTTCTGGTGCGGCCAGCCTGGAGGTGTGCAATTGCGTCGGCCATCTTGTCTGTATGTGGAAGATTTGAGAGGTGGTGAGAGGGAGAGAAGGAGAGAAAGGCAAGGGAGATGACAAGGAAGACGACGCGGTGGTTGAGCAGCCCAAGCTGTTTTTTTAGTTAGCGGGGTACTGTAAAACCAGCCCGCAGCACATACCCCCGTGTATCAGCCCTTTCTTTTGTTTTTGCGCTGCAATTATCTGCTCACTTGTATAGCTCCCAGTTTTTAATCTATCAAAAGCACAAAACTGTATGATTTGAGATCACTCTTCCAAAACATGAGACTATACAAATGCCACTCGGCCAGCATCAAGAGAGAACAGCTCATGTCAGTCGAATGTCCTCCAGCATGCTGTCGCAGCAACACCGGCCCCTCACTCAACCATTCGGTCCGTGAAGCCCGTGATAAGCATCCATCGCCAATTACTAAAATTGTGCCCATCTCCGTCCCTGATACATCATGCAAGCCCTTTTTTTGCGCTTACCGAATCAGACCATTACTGAGCTCACCAGATTGCACGTCGGACCTACATCTACCTCTCGTGTCCCGTCACGTTGACGATTTTTCAACTTCACCTCAAGCGAAGCTGGAACGCCGAAATCTTGATATCGGCCGGTTAATCTCACCGGTTCCGTCTTTCTCATCCAAATGGTGCTTCCTCAACCACATCTGCTTGGCTGGCCTGTGTCGAATTCTTTGGCGTCGTCGAGGAACTCCAGCCATAAATACACGTGGAGGAAGCGTTGGAGCGACGTGTTTGTTCTCCATCACCTCTTCGGACATTGATGTGATGCTGTACCACTTTCAAACCAATTCGGCGGTCGAGACTGACAAGTAGTCAATTGCTTGAAGAGGTGCAGCAGGTGTGCTTCCCTGCAGAGCTCTATTCGTAGTCAAATCAACCAGGTACTCAAGAGGTCTTGCCAGCGAGCAACTTTTTTTCCCGGTCTTGTAAAGCGTCCTGCTACAGAAACATGTCATGTTTTCGGTGAGCGCAAGGGCGGAACCTCTCCGTTGCCGAAACAGCTACACGGCCCGAAGACCAAACAGTGAAATGGCTCAGAAATGTGGGATGTCAACCGAAGTAATCGAATGACCATCGAAGGTAATCAGCCGATGAAGAAGAAGGCAACAGCACGTAAGCCGGCAATGCCAAGCCGCTAAAATAGTTGCTCTCCAACAGGCAGGACCCTGGTGATGGGAGCGTGGCAGTTCGCGGCTGTCGTCCGAGCTTCCATCTCGTAGACACTGAGGCCGCCGCATACCAACCGTCCACAGTATCTGCCCTTGACACAACAACAACCATAGACCACAAACTCTACAGTTCACCTAAGACTCGCGTCTACCCGTAGCCTCCGATAGTATCTCGCAAATAGACTCGCATCTTCCCTTTCTTCAGACGCAGCACGCGACTTTCACCATGGTGGTACGTGAAGCAAGCACATGTCATGACATGAAACACACACGATACTCACACCACTTCTCTCTCCAGCTCGGCCGCCTCACCCACTACGCCTTCGACGCCGTCCTCTTCTCTGCCTTCCTCGCCGGCGTGAAGCGATCCACAGGCCTGACGTGAGCTACGCCTTTCCTTCCGCTTCCTCTTCTTGCCCCACCTACCTCTCCCTTCAAGACACCCCATTCTCTGCCCATACGAGCGACATAAGAGAATCAAAAGACTGATCACAACCCAGCNCCCAGTATCAACGAAGACAAAATCACCGACAACGAAACCGCAAAGTCTTGGATCACGAGGTACCTGGCTATTGGCGAGATTGTCATGGATCAGAGTGTTGCCGTCATGAGCTCGAGTGGTTGGTTTGAGCGCAAGCGGTAGAGATGAGTGTGCTTTCTTCTTTGCTGGCCTTCTCGACTCTTGCATACCGAGGATACCTACGTCCAGCATGTCACACGCCGAGGGGAAAGTATAGGACGAGATTGAGCCGAAGATGCGCATTCGTGAGAGAGCAAAACTGCGGAAAAGAGCTGGTTGAGAGATCAAGGGTAGCGAGATTGGACTACATCTACCTACAGGCGTGATGCACTAGGAGATGACATTCGGAGGTCATGTCACGCCACAGTCAGAGAGACCACTACGGACACAAGGAGTTACAGGCAAGTATCAGCGCTGGCGCAAATGGGATTTCAAGTAAATCAGGTCGTACCATTCCACGTTTATCTCTCGCCTCTCTATGTAGTGCCATCGAACATCCATCATGGGGACATAGCGTGGAACATGGTCGTGGTCAGGGTCTTACCCTCGGCAACCATTTCACAACTATCGACAGCAATATCTCGACCACTCTTTGGCTTTACCTTCCAATGATACATCTGTAGTGTCACTGAATGCGTTATCTGTGGATCTCAGGGATCTCGAGTGTTCGACCCGTCGTGATCAAGTGGCAGATCAGGATTCAGGCTTTGAGGAAATAGAGCCCAGAACATGGCCGCTGCTTAACCTGTATTGCTTGCATCTTCGCAATCTCGAGGCTTTGAGACGCTTGGACATGCAAGTGCTGGACAGTCAGGACCATCACGAGAGTCAGACGGTGGTTAAGTATCTTCAGAGGAATAGTATCGGAGCCATTGCTGATGGATCATGGAGCACAGCATATATCCCTGCAAGCGTTGAAAGGAGTGTATGCTTTCCAGATAAATATGGACATGAAGTTTTTCTTTTACACATATAAAGTACAAAAGAGTGCCGGATCTACTCATCCTCATCCACCCACTCCCACTCCTCATCTTCGTCAGGATACCCTAGCATACCCTTGACACTTCTGGCAACACCATCCCAAAGCCCCTNTTTGTGTGCCATAGCCAACACAAGAACCAACGGCAAATGCCACACAGACGCCCAAAACAGACCTCTGGCCGTCAAGACCGCAGTCTTGGATTCTCCACCTCCACTGCGCCAGAAGCGGAATGCTTCATAGGCCATCCAGCCATTGATCGCTGAAGAGGTGAGCACGAAATAACGGTCTGTGACGTTGACATAGCTAAGGCCAATGCAGATGGGGAACATAAGCAGAGAATAGCGCAACGCAACTCGAGTATTCATGCGCGGATTCAAAGATACCAGCATACGGTAACCAGCAGCAAAGTATTCATGGCGGATCGGGTGGGAAAGAGCGTTGAAATGAGGGAACTGCCAGGCAAAGAGTAAAGCAGCTAGTAGCCAGCCACCTGCAGATGCTGGACTAAAGAGAAGAGCCGAAGCTTCGTCGGCGAGCGATTGTGGTGATGAAGAGGTTATGTAGTGTCCNNCGCCGGCGGCGCACCATCCCATTAATGGCGGGATGCCACCGACTATAGCACCAATCCAAGTGTTGACGGGATGTATGCGCTTGAGAGGAGTGTAGATGCAGGCGTATAGCACGGCATTGGCGGCACCCAGCATAGCGGTGGTCGGATTGACACCATACCACAAGATGGCAGTACCCGTAGCACCAGCAGCCAGAGCGAACAGTACAGCAGCTCGAGGGCTCACTAGTCTCCTCACCAGGGGTCTGTTGCGGGTGCGAGTCATCTTGGCATCGTGGTTAGTTTCGAACAGCATGTTCAGCGTATTCGCACATGCGATTGTGCTGAATGTGCCGGTGGTGAGAAACAGCAGGGTCAAGCTGCTCAGAGAGGGAGTGTGGGTAGCTGCAGTGGAGAGGAGAGAGGGTACAGGGTATAGCGAATATGAGGCGGTGGTGGTGAGGACGACGAGGAAAGCCAGGCGTGGCTTGGTGAGGGCGAGGTAGGTGGCCATGCGACGGCGCAAAGAGGTAGGGGCGGCCTGAGCAGCAATGCTGGACAGAGCACTCGAGGCATCAGGTGGTAGCTCTGGTACAAGACCATCGGGAGCTGTCTGTCGTCGCCGCCGTGGCCGCGTGGAGGGTGTGTCGAGAGGCTGTTGCTGTGTCGTCGTTGTGGTTGTAATGCTCTCAGCCTGTGATATGGCCGAAGCAGCAGTCTTATGTTTCTCTGCCTTGGTGGCCTCTGTCCAGTTGGAGCGTATACCGGCCATCCTCGACTCGGCGCCATTGGCCCAAAAATATCGTCCATCCAACTCTTGCGCCGTCTGCCTGACGGACCGTGAGCCCGATATGTGTCGCCTTGGTGTGAGGGTTGCCGATGTGGCTAGTCGTTGTGCGATTGTCTGCTTCTGTCCCAGCGTCCTGGCGCATCGAGTGCATATCGATGCCTGCTCGCTCAATCCTGGTGTGAGCAGCGGCCAACCGACCAGCCGTAGCCGTGTCATTGTCGCTGTGAATGTCGCCCTATCTGCTCGAGGTCAAGTCTGCGATTTCTGCTAAACGCCTCTTCACGACATGTCAATTGCTGCGCTGGTCGTCGGCTCTACTGGCTCGTCGTTATGTGTTGTAAGGTGATGGATAAGATAACTCAATAACTTCTGCCCGCATCGGAATTCACGACCCGTCTTCCGACCACTTTGTTCAGTCCATCAACCAACCAAACAGCTACCTATAGTCAACCATGTCCGATCAAGCATTACACCAAATACATGCTGTGCATATGATATTATTAGGTGGGCAGGAATATCGATACATATAAAGAAGACTGCTCCAAACGCTGCCCTTCTGTTTTCAACATTAGCCGTCTCCTCATCGTGACCTAAATGCTCTCATCATATCATCTCGTCTCGGCCTTGCTGTGCTCGGCCATGTGTCTTAGCTTCATTGCACGCTCATCAGCGTGAATATGTTGTTTACCAATCCTTGAACCATATCTCCAAACCCACTTGGTTGTCCTGACGCTTCCAGCTCTGCCTGCTGACGGAGCTTCTTGGCGTCCACCTCGATTTCAAGCTCATGAATCTTGCGTCCATCTGCACTCTTGACTTGGGTCAGATCCACGCTGTACACAGATTGCGTATAGCTGAGTCTGTCTTTCTTGCGCTCTCCAATCTTGCTATCTCCTCCTTCCACAATCGCTGTAGGATCGATGTCAGATCTGTGCATGTTCACTTCAATGTTGATACTGATACGGCAATCGAACGGCGACCCAGGGCAGAATATGTCGAGATCGGCAAGTCGAATCTTGACTATGCGCGCAATCACAGGATCAGTACCGGCTTGAGCTCGTTCATTAACCGAAGTACGGAGTCGTGGTTGCCTGGCTTGGTCGAGGTAGTTCAAGGCCGACGGGGGCAGCGCATCAAATCCAGCCGCACTGAGCTGTGCAAACGAATCGATCTCGTAGCGGTGTTTATACTGCATCTCGTGCCTGTGCGGTAAAACCTTAGACTCTTGCACCGCTTGATTCAGGAATTCGTTCAGACGCTTGTGTTGCATTTCAGTCATATGACTTTCGAATCGCAGTCGTGAAGACATCTGACGATCAAGCACGACCGGATTTTGCACTGGAAAGTGCACTCGCTGGTCAGTGTTTCTGTCAATCAAGGTACCCAGCTTCGCCTCGATCTCTAGTGCACCATTGCGCGCATCGTCAACACCGACATCAGGTCTCCTAAGAATCTCTTCAAACAAGTACTTTCCCACTTGTAACGAGAACCGGTCAGATTGTACCATACTGCCTTTGATACAAGGCTCCCAAGGCCCAAGGAAGGGATGTATTTGCGCACTGGGCGGGCCGTTTCCATTCATCATGGGATGTGGAGGATGACCATTAGACTGAACCATGTCTGGAAGTTGTTGCTGAGGTTGAGGTGTGGTTTGCGCCTGTTGTTGTGGTGTGACTACCTGCAAATTTGGACGAGGAGATGGGCGTCTTGCTTGAGTGGGATCTGGCGGCGGTCCAAGCAAGTGATCGACTTTTGGGTCGTAATTGGGGTTGGACGGCACATATCTAGCCCAAATTGGCGGCTGCGCATATCTCTTCTTGGTCTTCTTGAGAGGAGCAGACAACTCAGGTTCGCTTTCAGCGGGTCGTTTGAGAGTAGGTTGCGATGCGCTCTGAGGCTGCGAGGAAGGAAGAGAAGATTGCGACATGGCTTGGGGCGGAGCAATGGGCTGTTGCAGTAGCGACTCGGAAGTGAGAGATGTTTGTGACTCGTGCTTGATGGGACCTCGCGGTTCGAAGGTTTGGACAGGACTGTCGTTGGAAAGTGAGGATCGCGAGTGATGCAACTGAGGATGTTGCGGGTGATGAGGAGGTATCGACTGGCCTCTAGCAGCGGCAGGTGAAGAAACCACGAGGGGAGAGTGATTTGTGGGGTCGTCGTTCAGGAGATTTCGGAAACCTCCAGGCGTCTGGCTGCCGATGCGAGGCTGGTTCGGACTGATCTTGGCAGACTGTTTGGTTGTAGTGAGAGGTGAGATGGCTTGGTCGATCGAACTGCGGTGGGGAGCACGGGGTTCGTGTGATGGATACCTCTCTCTCGCGGTCCATGACGAATCAGTGCTGTTTTGGCGCGTCGGGAGCACGACCTTTGTCTTGGGACTGACACTGAGGCTTCTGTCGCGCTCCGAGACATTTGTGGGATAGTCGATGGATGGTCTTTTTGCATAGGCCTGCGGCGACTCGGAGGGATATGCAGATTGCGGCGGGAGAGAATGGGCAGGTGACTGCGAGGACATGTTGACCTGGTGCTGCAGGGCATAGGAAGCACCGGATGTCGCGCGTTGATGATGAGCTTGGGCGAGTGAAGGTTGGCGGGCGTATGGCTGCATAGGCGGACCAAGAGGAGTACTGGGCTGCGAATGCTGGGGCGGATAGGGGTGTGAACTGCGATGGACGCCTGGGGGAGTGGGCGACATGGAGTGCGGGTAGTGTGGGTGACTTTGCTGGCGGGGAGTGAGCTGAGGGTAGGTCTGCGATGGACTGTACTGCTGCTGCTGCTGCTGTTGTTGTTGTTGTTGATGGTGTTGTGGCTGGGGAGGGAAAGGATACTGGCTGCTGGGATATTGTTGTTGTTGCGGCGTGTGCAGTCCCATTGGAGTCGAGGGCAGCGATGGATTCGAAGAGCGCGCATCGTGCTGGTGGGAAGGTGCATGTCTCTGCTGATAGTAGCCCTGCGGCGGAGGTGGTTGCTGCTGTTGTTGTTGTTGTTGTTGTTGTTGCGGCAGTAGCGGTGCAGGATACGTGCCCGACGAGGATCTCTGCTGAGGCAGCGGAGGAGGAAAGCTGCCCCGTTGGCTGCCTTCTTGCTGGCTTGGAGGACGACCCGGTGCAGCATCGTTATTAAGCATACCACGGAGATCCATGATTGCGGCGCGAGTCGATGAAAGATTTATGCGCCGTGTCGTGTGTTGCGCTGGGCGGTCTTGATGGTTCGGCCTCTACGGCCACGGCGCTGCTACTCGTACACGTTTGTCCAAGGATCTAAATACACATCCAGGAGATAGAGATGCCACAAGCGCATGCGGCGGCAAAGGTGCTGACGATTCGTCGATAGTATACTGCATGCGCATAGGCAGAAAGCTGTCCTGACGGTTGCGAAGCTTCTGTCAACCGACTTTGGTTTCAGGAAGCACAGCACAGCCCAGCCCAATCATGACATGCCACTCAAGACTCATCACCGAGTCCACCTCCAAGATCTCTTTCGACCTTCTGGAGACCACACTGAATATCAGGACCACCTCTCAAATTCACTGGGTACCATTTCCTTCTTCGAGGATGCTCGTTGGCCAACTGATCGTGATCACACAGTCCCTCCGCCAAGTCGTGACCAGGCGAGTTAGGCCCGTGCACCGTGACCAAAGAAACCGAGAGCATCAAGAGCTCATGAACAAGACTCTCTTGGACGGTGGACCGAATGCTGCATTCACTTCAAATCTGTCTGCTCGATCACTCACATCATCCTACATTGCACTGCGGTTATGACAGCTGGACTGCAAAGGTCAATCGCACCTCTTGTCTCTCATTCTGGAAGTAATTGGCTTGGTTCTCCTTGCTCCAATTATGTCTCGTACCTACCTATCTATACTACCACGAGTGATGATATCTGTGGCTCCCACTCCCACACAAAGCCAAGCGCGCCGAACGAGCTTCGAAGTTACGAAACCGATCCGACCTCAGTGAACTTGGCTCTGCCTCTCAACATTCTTGTAACAGAGTTTGGGCACGTGTGAGGTGCATAACACTTGCGCTAAGTCTTTGTCCATTTTCACACAACCATATTCTTCACGAAACCCTTCTGCAGCCAATATGTCGAATAGATGGTTTGGGATCACGTCATGCTACGACGGTCCTCCCCCTCCTCCACCACCCCCTGAACGCGTCGACGCTTTTCATTCAACACCAACAGCGAAACTTTCGAGGCGTTCAAGGCCTTTCTTTGCTATGCATGCTCACCCCCTCTAGGAGAGCCCGAGCGTCGGTGGTCTGCTCTTCTTCGTTTACGACGGGAGATCACCGCAGTAGCGCAGCTGAATGGCATTCTAATCTAGGCTGCTCGAGTCAAACCCAACACAGTCCAGAAAGAAAGATCAACGCTTGCTCTTCAGCTGCCTGCTTAAATTCGCGTCTTTCAGCTGGCCAGTATTGATTGCTTTCTGAATCCCATGCTAAGCCTAGACGTTTAGTCTTCTCTAGACTGTTGTAATTTCCAATGCATGCCCTCTCCGTGCCACATCGAAGCCCCCTCGTCCGATCCCTTGGCCCTATTGCCAGTGTGCATTGGCGACGCGATCCGTGCTGCTATCAAGGATCGTCTTCCTCAGGTCGCTTGCAAGTTGCGTCTTGCGGCATCGCCGAGGTTAGTGCCCACATCGACAACTCTACCTCACAATAATCTTCAAGGCGCACGCCCGTGAGCTCAGAAAACGCATCATACCTTTTCCATGTCTTCGATCCAATGCTTCCATGTCTTCGATTGCCTCATCAGGTCTCACTTTTTGGTGACGGACCGACCGTTTTCGGTAACCGTCTCACGTTGCTGGCATCTGCCGAGTTGAAGCATTTCTCAACGATTTTTCAACGGCATGAATCATACCACCGGTGCGGACAGCCCAGAAGCTGCTCATGATAAATCATCAACCGAAAGCCTGCAGTCAGGCAGCTGGACGGAGAATTCTACCTTGTACCCAAGTTTCTATGCAGGAACAGAAAATTAGAGTGCTTCGATGCTCGCATGCGGAAGCCCGGCCAGCCGAGGGCTTGAGCTAACGCAGGTTGCCGCAATTCACTAGCTCGACCAACTGCATGGCTAGCTGAGGTGCAGACCGAGTTCGCGTGCACGGTTCGACGCTTCCTCTTTAGGTCGCTTTACACTTTTGCTCCATTTCAAGCACTCAATTTTAGCACGCTTAAACACGCTTTTAGCTTCTTTCTACTAGCTGCCCCTAATGTTCAGCCGCTTGTGGTTTGTTTGGGACCGCTACACTGACGGCCACCCCGCCGGGACGTGTCAATAATATGCAAGAGCTGAAGAATCAGAACACATAAGAGCCTGCTGTCTTCCCACCGTTACCGTTGCTGTCTAAATCGTCGCTCGATTCATCGCCCTTCTTTGTACCTAGGGTCTTGTGCCCATTTCTTTCGTTCATCATGCTGGCCTCCTTCTGGAAGACGCTCGTCTTCCTGGCAGCTCTACCACTACAGAATGTCTCTGCTCAACAGTACATGGGAGATGTCATTCCCAATGCCACATACCCTGGTGTTCCTGGCTCAGAGATCGTCTACTTCAGAGTCAAGGATCCCGCTGGAGTAAACAACAACCTCACTCTCGTTAACTATCAATCTTTCGGATCAAATGGCAAGCGTATCAATCCAGCTAAGGTCAAACGTGCTGTTATCATCATCCATGGTCTTAACCGCGATGCGGGCACTTACATGGCTAACGTGAGTTGTTTACAATGCCGTTTCTGATCCAACACTGACGTGAACCACAGNATGTTGAGTGCACTTTCTCAAGTCACAGGCGACCCCAACATCAACTTCGATTCCGTGGTAATTAACGCACCCAGCTTCCCCAACGGAGATGACAAGAATGTCTCATACCCCTACTGGGATTACCCTCCTGGTGCTAAGAGAAAGGCTGCCGGCGGCAATCAATCCTGGACCAACTTGCTTGTATGGAAGGCATCGCAATGGGCTGGCGGCGGTACCAACCAATACCCCAACAAGGCCCAATCCGTGTCTTCTTACGAAGTCCTCGATCAGCTGATTGCATGGTATGCCAACAACTTCCCTAATCTTAACCAAATCGTCATCGCTGGCCACTCTCTTGGTGCACAGACTGTCCAACGCTATGCTACTGTTGGCAAGCCTCTGAGCTCTATCGGAGTCAACGTCCCTGTTACCTACTGGATTGCCAACCCAAACAGTCTTGTCTGGCTGAACTCATCTCGTCCTCTTTCCACTGCTGGCTGCGCAGATTACGATGACTGGCGCGATGGCCTCTCTAACTACACCGATTACCCTAGCGTTTACAATACCGGTCTGGTCGCTTCTGGTGACGCACAAGTACAAGCCAACTACCAGGCTAAGAACAAGGCCTACGCTCGTGGTACCCTTGACATGGGAGATGACTCGTCTACCTGTGCTCCTCGCACTTCTGGCGCCAATCGCCACGAGCGTTTCTACTACTTCATCAACTGGTGGGCTCCTACTTGTGAGGCCCCTACTACACCCTCAGGCCACTGTGACACCGTCGACTTGATTCCTATGGGCCATGATGGTGGTGGTATGATGGCTTCTCCTGCCGGTCGCGCTCGTCTCTTTAGTGACAACTTCTATGGTGATGGCGCGAGATCTTATGATTTCGGTTACCCTCGCATTCAGTCAAACGTGGATGATCCATACCCCGACCCTGCTCAAAACTCGTCGACTGATGCTTCACCCAATGCGGGTACATACGCTGGCAACATGACCTATGCAGGCTGCTACACCGATTCTGGCACTCGTACTCTGGCCTACATGGCCTACGACTCCACCTCGAACACTATCGAGATGTGCACTAACGCTTGTCTCAATGCTGGCTACTCGATTGCAGGCTTGGAATACGGTAGCCAGTGTTGGTGTGGCAACACGATCGGTCCCAACGCACGGAAAGTCCTGAGTCTTGGTTGTTCTCAACCCTGCGCCGGAAACACTACCGAAAACTGTGGTTCGGCCAACCGTCTGCAACTTTACTCGAACATCCCTATTGTTCAGACTGTTGCTCCTTCCAATCCCGAAGTCGTCGGCAACTACTACTTCGCTGGGTGCCACAGTGAAGCGTCCAGTGGCCGTGCTCTTTCCGGTCCTTCATATTCTGATGGCAAGAACATGACTCTTGAGAACTGTGCAGCCTTCTGCAATGGCTACAAGTACTTCGGTATCGAGTACGCTGGTGAGTGTTACTGTGGTTCATACTTTGGTGCCAGCAGTGCAGTCGTGTCGGACGACACTTGCTCTATGGTGTGTACCGGTAACTCCCTCGAACTTTGCGGTGCAGGTGGTGCTCTTTCTGTCTACGAACTTAGCTCTGATGCGAACGTCACGACTATCACTCAGGGCTCAACAACCGCTGCATCCGCTCCGACAAACACCGGTGCATCCTCTACCCTTCCTTCCAGCAGTCTCTGCCCTGCCACCAATGGTCAGTCCATTGCAGACTCGAACAACGTTACCTACACTATCGCCTGTAGCTCAGACACAAACGTTGGCTCATACTCCAGCGCTCAAGCAAGTGGCTCATACTTCGACTGTATGGTTGCTTGCGACAATGCTGCATCTTCTGGTTGTGTTGCATTCACTTATGTCGGAGGGCACTAGGCTCCGGCAGCGGTACCTGCTACCTCAAGAACAGCGTTGGCAGCTTCACAGCAGGCGGTAACAACCTTGTGTCTGGATCGAGAAATTCAGCTGGTCCTATTGGAGCCGCGACATCGACCACCTCTGCCGCTTCGACAGGGACATCAGCCACCNGGTCTCCCTTCTAGCAGTCTCTGCCCTGCCACTGACGGCCAGACTGTTGCTGATTCGAACAACGCCACCTACACCGTAGCATGTTCTTCAGACACAAGCATTGGCTCGTACTCTAGCGCTCAAGCAAGTGGCTCATACTTCGACTGTATGGTTGCTTGTGACAATGCCGCATCATCTGGATGTGTTGCATTCACCTATGTCGGTGGAGCGCTGGGATCTGGTAGCGGCACCTGCTACCTTAAGAACAGTGTCGGTAGCTTCACAGGAGCAGCCAACAACCTTGTGTCTGGATCAAGGGTCTCGTCTGGTTCTACTGGAGGAGCCGTCGCCACAACAACTTCTTCTGCCGCTGCTGCAGCGACTACATATGCAGATGGCGCAACACCTTCTGTCAATGGTGTTACTTACGCTATCGAGGTCAACGTAACCTACTCTGGCCAGACTCTGACTCTCACAAAGAAGCGCGCCGCTGCCGTCATTGGTGACTGCTTGAACACTTGCTCTCAGAGCACCTCATGTGTCGGAACCGCATTCGACGGTTCTGTTTGCACGTACTATGGCTCGATCGACACAAGCAGCAAAGTGTCCGCTCCTGGCACGACTTTTGCTACTGTCGAGGCCCGCAGTACCGCTACATCTACCTCTTCGAGCTCTACAGGACTTCCTTCCGCCTCGCTATGCCCCAGCGCCAATGGTCAAACGGTTAATGGATACGTTGTCAGCTGTTCGTCCGACACAAACATCGGATCGTACTCGAGCGCAAATGCCGTGAACTCTTACCTCGAGTGTATGTCCGCCTGCAACGCTGCAGCTTCCACTGGCTGTGTTGCATTCACTTACGTTGGAGGCAACAATGGTGTCGGATCGGGTTCATGCTATTTAAAGAACAGCAAGGGTAGCTTCACCACCGCTGGTGGTCCCAACTACGTCGCCGCTATGATTGCCTCTCAGCCTTCATCATCGTCTTCATCTTCGTCGATCAGCTCAACTCAGAGTGGAACTACCAGCTCCTCTGCAGCTGTGTCTTCGAGCTCGACTGCAACCTCTTCTTCTGCTACTGCCTCGGCCTCAAGCGGCCTCTGTCCTTCTGTGGACTCTCAGGACATCACCGATTCGAACGGAAAGGTCTATACCATTCGTTGCCAGTCTGATACCGACGTCGGCTCCTTTGCAAATGCTCAAGCTGCTAACACCTATGCTGACTGCATGACTGCCTGCGATTCTACAACCGGATGTGTCGCATTCACTTACGTCGGTGGAGCTCAAGGTCAAGGTTCAGGAACCTGTTGGATGAAGAACAGCAGAGGAAGCGCCACCTCAGCCGGTGGCAACAACTACGTCGCCGGATTCTTGAAGCAGTCCGCTTCGAGCTCTGTTTCGTCTGCTTCTTCAAGCTCAACTTCATCCACCACGGTTTCGTCTACCACAGTCTCGTCGTCGGGAGCAGCATCGAGCAGTTCTTCCGCTAACCTTTGCCCGCAAGCAAATGGACAGATCATCACTGATGCAAACGGCAAGACTTACAACGTGACTTGTTCTTCGGACAACAGTGTCGGCTCTTACACAAACGCTCAGGCTTCTTCGTCCTACCTCGACTGCATGACAGCCTGTGATGCCGCCTCTTCTTCAGGCTGCCAGGGCTTCACCTATGTCGGTGGTGCAAACGGCGCNAGGCTCAGGTTGGTCATTCTTAGTTCGTACTTTAGCTCTTGAATACTGACATGGATTTCAGGCACATGTTGGTTGAAGCAGAGCATGGGTGCTTACACTGCTAACGGCAACAACTACATTTCGGCTGTTCTGGTCGTCAACTCCAACTCTAACGTTGTTTCTCTTAGCAGCTCGGTCTCTTCATCGACCGCCTCTTCATTGACCGCCTCTTCATCGACCGCCTCTTCGTCGAACCCCTCTTCCTCCATTACCTCTTCCTCGACAGTCTCGTCGAGCAGCACTAGCAGTGTCGCTTCAACTTCGTCGAGCAGCACTGTTTCTTCTTCATCGACTGTCTCCTCATCAAGCAGCAGCACAGCCTCATCCTCATCAAGCAGCAGCAGCACTGTTTCATCCTCGAGCTCTTCTATTTCTTCCACCGCTACCTCTTCAAGCAGCAGCGTGATTCCATTATCAAGCAGCAGCACTGTCTCTTCCTCGTCGAGCACTGTTTCTTCATCTTCAAGCAGCACTGTTTCGTCTTCTTCTTCGAGCAGCTCGGCCTCCTCCTCATCCAGCAGCGTGGCAACTACACTCTCCACATCCACAGCATCTGCCTCAGCTTCTTCGTCCACTGCCCTCTCGCTTCCTACTGGCTTTGCTTCCTACGGCTGCTTCGTTGACGGAAGCACTCGCGCCTTGTCCTACTCCGCTTACTCCAGAAGCGACAACACTCCCTACAAGTGCGCATCTACTTGCCAGAGCTTGGGATACAAGTACGCAGGTACCGAGTACGGAAGCGAGTGCTGGTGCTCCAACACCGCACCCACTTCCAGCACCAAGTCCACCGACTGCAACATGGCTTGCAGTGGTGACAACACNCAGACTTGCGGTGCCGGAAACCGCCTCTCTGTCTACGTTGACAACACGTGGACTCAGAAGTTCAATGCTCGTGCTAGCTATGGCACTTGGAACTTGATGGCTTGCTACACCGACAACACCAACGGTCGCGTGTTGCCCAAGACCATGAGCATGACCGGTGGTTCCAACAATGCCACCATCGCCAACTGCCTTGACGCTTGTGCAAGAAGCGGCCTCAGTGTCTGCGGTGCTGAGTACTACCAAGAGTGTTACGGCGGCTCAGTTGCCCCCAACAACAACCTGATCGCTGGTTCGGACCCTCTCGCCGCTGGTTGCAACTACCCTTGCAGCGGCAACAAGACTGAAGCATGTGGTGGATCCAACAAGATCCTGGTCTACATCAACAACGGCACTGCATCCGCTCGTCACTGATGAAAATGCGTTTTGATCTTTCTCTTCTTCTTTCTTTCACGTTAGCGAGCGTCTGATGGATTTTTTTCTTTCTATACCATCTCTTCACGATGTTTTAAGACTTTCTATTCCTGATGTTCTTACTGGAGCCTATTGATCATAATTTTATACCTACATACTGCCTATAGACCTTGTCTTTCTACATGAAGACACATATACCAGGTTTTCTTGAAGTTGTATCCACCTCCGCTTAGTATTGATTTGACAATGTCTTTCCTATATTTTGTGCTCCTGTAACTCCATTTGATACTGCAATTCTTTATTGACAGGGACTGGACAGCTCCATGTAGGAGAACATCCACTATACCGTCTCTTTTGACACCACATCCCTATATAGTTGGCCGTTCCTACCGGAAGGGCCTATGATTCTGGTTGTTCTGTTGCAATCTGTAGCATACGTAGTGCATCCTCCCCGTGTGCTAAAGACAGTCACAATTTGCAACTAACCTCTTCTCGATCCCGAGCTACAAGGGTTGTTATAAGCTATCGAAATGCACAGTTTTGATTCCAACATAAGCCTGGCCATTGAGATGACCTTCATTAAGGTTCTCTCAGTGGAAACCATAGTTTTCGCGAAGGCGTTGTGCATTTCGATAGCTACACTGTGACTGTCTTCAGCACATGGAGAGTCTGGATCTGGAGTCGCTCAGATCGCCGTGCGACAATGTATAGAAGTGTATGAGCGATATCAGACCACCTCCTTTCTTCTCTGTCGGGTGGTCAGCCAATATTTCTATACAGTAGAGATAGCAACGCCAGTTTCGTGTCAGTTAGTTGTCTCGGACCATTCCCTCATCGAAAATGACAAACTTAGAGGTGATCAAGGAAGCAGCAACCTAGTCTATAAGAAGGTCCAAGAAGACAAGGACAATCTCACGCCGAATGGCCGACAAAAGATATGGATGAGCGAAGGCGTGGTTGTCGTGATGAGGCGATAACTGGGCTTTTCCTAGCTCAATACATTCGAAGTCAAATAACATGTTCCGACAATGTTGCTTGACATCAAGTGTCCGCGGATATCTCGAACTCCAAGAACTGTCTCGTCTTGTGCCAACATACTGTCTTGCCTACTCTTGACGGCACCTGCCAACAATGACGAGGAGACTGTCAACATACTTGCTGTTGCCGCCACTCACAGCCAAGATTGCAGCCTTGTCGGTGGTTTCTCCGCTCATGCTGACGGCAACGATGGAACCGAGGCACCGCAATGAGATATTTGAAGCATTGTATTCTTTCATAGCGACCAGATTGGGTATGCGGATGAAGGTGGAATCCGATTTGAAGGCTTCTGGCTTGGAAGTCGTAGAGAGATGAAGGCGATGAGGGGCGAGCAGAGGACGTGTGTCTGGGTCTAGAAGCATAGAGAGGTGTGTCAGTTGTGATGTGTTGGAAAGGCACTGGTGACAAGGCTCACAGAGCGACTGTTGAGTCTATTCGTGATATAGACAGTCGAGTCGATATATACAGACTTGGATAATCGACGAACGGCTCAGGGGATGGTCGAAATGCACTCTCCTGATGCGCCGAAATCTGTCACATGGCAGCTGCAAAACCGCACAGCTTTGACACCATAAAGCAGCAGCGTCCATAGAGAGTCATGAGTTGATTATGGCTTTTTGAACCTGTCTCTCTTTTGGAGCTGACTGTGTGCCAGAGGTCACTAGGCGGGATTCTATCATTACGAGAGAGATGGAAGGAACGCGAGGACACAATGGACCTCAGATCGAAAAGAGGGGTAGAAGGAGGAGAAGGAGCAGCCGCACTGGTTCTGTAGACAGAGTGAGTAGATAAAGCTCGAATGGATGTCGATCAGATTGTGGGCGCGACGGCCCGCGAGACTTCCAAATCCTTACTCATGTTGCGGGAAGGTTGATGGCCTTGACTCGTTCTCGGATCCCTCAAGTAGCGTTCATGGCAAGAGCGATACGTGGTTGGGGACGTCAACGAGGGTACACCAGAGTATGGATCACCTAACGTTCATGCACATTATATGTCTTCTTCTCGCATCCATTGGATACCGCGCACATGCGTCTGCATGTTACCGCAGCGAATAGCGTTACCAGGGTCGAGATAGGTAGTCTGCAAGCCACGGACTTCCCTTGGATACTTCAATATCCTGTGCCTTCCCGCCCGAAGCGTCTATTGAGTAGACCAATACCCGTCGAGGGAAAGAGCTCCCGCCGGACCTGCGGGTTGTTTTGAACACTTTTCGTACGTATCATAGACGCACGAGTCTCGGAAATGCATGACTTGCAGCGAGTGAAAAGCATTAAAACCGCTTGGGTCAAGGCCGAAACTCCGCAGCAAGTAGCCACATGGCTGTGAAAACAATCATTGGCCATACTCTGTTGGGATCATTCACCCGCCTATTGCTTGCATGGGTTCCGGCAGCTTGGGCAGCATTGAAAGGCAACAAGGTCCGCGAAAAGATGCCTCCTAGGGATGATTTTCGACAACGTACAATCTGCCACTCGAGTAGAAACCTGCCTCATGGTCTAGATGCCTGTACTTCTCATGTACTTGCACGAGTTCTGCATGATAGTCCCAGCCAGTTGATGACGATGATGATTCAACACCTTTACTGTTAGCCAAGTGAAGACACTTTACGTTGTTAGAATTGGTTAATCAAGGCTTGGACGTAAGCGAGGTATTCGCATGTGATGTGCTGTGTTTGATACATGGCTGTTAGGCCACGATCCACCAGACTTCAGGCGAGGCTGGCCAAGCCAATTCTTTCAAATATCTTGCGAACAAGGATTCCAGGGTAGTTGACACGTGGAAGTGACTACGGAATCGGAAACAAAAGCCGTACTGATCATGGGATCTGAATAGCGTTGGGTGGAGCCAGTCGGGACTGCTGAGCGAGGGAAAAGAGTGAAGTTGGAACCATTCCGCTCTTCTTCTTTCGATGCGCGAGCGATCCGGATCGCGAATTCTTTTCGCCGGGTCGACCTTGCATTTTCTCTGGCACAGCTCTTTCGGCAGTGACTCGTCCATTGTCTACCACGCGATCAGGTTTCATCAGACGGGTGACGAAACGTGCAGTGCCTTATCCTGGTTGAATAGACGATGTTGCAGTTCCCGGCACATGATTGATGGGTCGAGCACGACCTTTCGTGTCGGCGGTGTCGCTAGCGGTACCAGTCGTTGGGGTCCGTATGCACAGCGGTTCTCTGCAGTTCAATTGTGCTGTTGGTGTTCCTTTCACGCGCGGACGGTCGCTATTGACTGCTTGCAGAAAGTCAATCCGATTTGTATAAACACGAGGATCCGTCAAAATTATCGATGCTGATGTGTGGGCAGACGCGCACCAAGAGTTGAAGTTGTTCAACAAAACTACCTAGGTATGCCAAGGGACTCATGACCACCTTCTCATATAAGCAAGCAATCTATTGGAACAGATCGATACGACATTCGGCAATCGGAACGATCTCTCAATTTATATATGACTTGCCGTTCTAGGGCTTGTCGGCTGTCTACTACCAGCCTAACGCATAAACAGCACAGTCGAACAATTGGTGGATAAATTGCGTCTCGCAGCCAGATCATTATATTATTTTTGTCATGGTAATAGACTTCTCGAAAATATATATGGGTGAAATGAAACAAGCGAACGTGTTGGTGAAATGCAGGCCCGGGAGGGGGGGGGGGGGGGTAAAGTTGATGCAAGCATCATGACTAGGTACGCATCAGCCGTCCGATCCTTGCCGACGGAGGAATTGTCGGCTCGAAGCAAACAATCGCTCGTGCCCAGTAGTTCTAGCCAAGTCGAGATCGATGGCTACTAACATCCTTTCGAGGAACCCATCTAGTCCTAATGCCGAGAGTCCACCGCGCATCTCAACAAACTGCCGTAGACCACTCATGTGCGTCGAGAATGCATCTGCATCCCTCCAGAAGGCCTCATACTGGGCCATGGTTGCCATGGTTGCAATCATGGAATCCTTGGTCGAAAGGTTCCCGTTCATGGCTTGAATAGCCATGTCTTTAAGTTGAAACAGATCTACAACCTGAGCGTGCGCAGACATAGAGGATCGAAATAGCGACGCTGCAAATAAGAGCACAGCATGAAGCAGTGCCACATCACTCATGACGAATGGCATCCAGATAGATCTCAGGAGAGCCATTGTAGACACGTCGTCTGATTGCAGTACTTTTTTGGCTGTAAAGGCAAGGTCTGTTTGTGTTTACGTGTTAGAATATAAAATTAAAACAGCGGATTTGGTGTTACACCTACAGTTCTCCAGAATCTGATTGAGATAGGGAAGCCACTGAGCTGGGTAGACCTGTGATACGTCTATCATGGGGTACTGAGGTGTCGATGAAAACGAAGATACGTCAGAGCTGCTGGTCGGAGATATTGGGCTGTGCTGGTCCGAGGAAGTAGGTCTTGACACAGGGTAAGACGCCGAATGCGCCCGACCTTGTGGAATTTGTGCTGATGATGTACCAAGCAACTGCGGATCACTATTTGATCTTCGAGCTGCTGCAAGTTGTTCTGCTCTCTGATGTTGTTGCTTCGTGACATGGCTTCGAATAGCTCGTCGAACCTTTTGATCCTTGGTATCACTAGGATCTGTGAGGTTGACAAACTGAAAGGACATCGGTGGCTCGGAAGATCCTAAAGAGACAGGGGACGAAGTGCCTGGCATTACGCCTTGGACCCAATTTATAGCAGGTAGATCAATATAATGGAGGCAAAGGCAAGCCAGAACCACAAGCTTAACGAAAGAGACGAATCAAGGGTTATACCCAGTAGCTGGTAGATCAGGAACGAGTGCAGTTGGTGAGATCTGGTATTGTGAACGATCTGGCGTGCCCGTCAAGATATATAGAACCTGGTTAGCAGATTCAAAATGCATAAACGCAAGCAGTGGCCACCATCTTTCCGACGGCTATTCATGGTACTGCAACAATGCAGATTTGGCTGCAGGTGTTCGTTGGCAAGATGTCTGGGCGTATGTCCAAAAAAGGCAATCATGTGCACATAACGGAGGCAGCTTGCTGGTCGCGCTGAGAAGGACTCGATAGTCATTGAGTAGTGGCTAAGACCACTGACAAAGATTTAAAAACAAATACGGAACTCTATGCCTTTGGATGCATGTACGTTGTTGCATGCAAAGCCGAGAATCATGTATGGGTTCTGGATAATGGGGCGGGAGCAAGATCGAGCGGCCGCCTTGTCTGTCATAATCGATCACACAGCTGAACGCCTCTCTTGGGGCCGCATGGGTTGTGCTCATTGATGGCGCCATTTACAGCCACTTGAGCGGACGTGGGAGCGAATTCGCACAGGCCGCTCTGGTTCGCGTCTTCCCAATTCGATGGGCCACCATCATCATGAGCGGCTTGTCTGCAGCATGTAGTTGTCAAGACCCTATATTCCAGGCTCATGATCCAAAGGGGGTGAGCTAAGGCTCTGAGAGGTTACCGGTACCTGGGTAGGTTGTGTTTGACAGACCACTGGAGAAAGCCACACCCGGTTGTTATCTATTCTTGTAGCCTAGCGAGACACAGTCTCGGTCTAGAAGGGCAGCTGCATGAAGCCGAATTGATCGACCAAGAGAGCCTGTGGGAGCGGCGCGACAGAAAGGAGTAGTTGGTCACTGGCATTTGAGTATTTCGAATTGTCTGTCGACGTTTGCCGGATATAATCCATGGACGGCATGCAGCCTCTGTTAGAGATTGAGATGCAGCGGAAGCAATGGACGCGCCTTGTACCAAGATCCTCGCCAGGCACAGCCGCAGAGAGGGAAACGACTACCGAGCAAGTGGGGTCGTCTTTCCGAACGATGACATACTCCTGCTCTGTGACCATCTGTATTGTCAGCGTTACCATCGAATCTACCAGGGTGCTCGAAGTCACGAACATACAAATATGCTTAGGTGAGCTTCTTGGCCGAGATCACTTCGGACTACGTTTGTGTATCTTACCAGCGAGTCGAGTCTGATACAACTACACCACGTAAGAGCGATAGGTTCTATAATGAAAAACATGGCGTTCTTTATCACTTCCTACAACCGCACAGACAAATCCAGGGCTCGGGTCCTGACAGACCAAAGAAAGCTCTTTAGGAGTCGTCAGAACCCAGTGCTCGGGCTAAATGGCCAGAAAGGTAAGCATCAATGGATGCAGAGGTGGTGAGTAATCATGCACGTGTGTGGTTGTTGTCTCACAGATCCACGCAGAAAATCAGGGGTGAATGACTTGCCGAACCCGAGCGGCCGGAATACAGAAGATCCCGTCGTGTGCTTGGGAACTGCAAGCATACCGGGCGGATGGTCGTGGGGACTACGTCACAAGCTCGAAATACATACACACGAGCAACGATTGTCAGAAAAGATCAAGCTGCATCTTCTGTCACCTCCATCTGACAGACACTATTGAAAATCGACATCTAACCCCGACAAAACAAGCATGCATTAGCAGCGCCACGCGAATCTGCATACGCCCTCCCCAGAACTCGGTCAGCCTCACGCACTCCTAACACAAGTATGGAGACATCGCGAAATCCAAGGAGGCACAGGAAGAGAGGTTCAGACCCGCTGGCAGAAGTGCCCGACGATGCTGTTCAGCTTGATGCGGAGCAGCTATCTTCAGCAGGCCCTGACACCTTACTTTCAAGGGTATGCTGACTTGGCGTGTTGCACCATCTCATCAGCACGCGACTTACACGCTTATCTAGNATCGTCCTAGGGCCTCTAACAATGATCTCCTTCTTACTTTCTCTTTGTGTCGTTGACAGCCAGCAACGTGCATGGCGCCTTGCGCAACAAGCCGACAGCGAGCCATGGCCGTGGTGGAAGAAATTATCACCCTGGACGTGGTGGAACGCAGAACCTTATCAAAGCCCTCACGACTCTACCTGGCAACATGCTGTACCAGCTACCAGCTCGTCGGACGGTGCAGATGGTAGCGTTCCGGCTCCTGCGGTGAATACAGATCACTGGTACACGCATAAGAAGCACAGGAAGATGGCCAAGCTCACCGTCTCGGACGCAATCGACATGAGGGAAGGAGTAGCGATCATGCTTGTTACAGCAGGCCTGATAGGTCTAGTTGTCATTGTCTGGCTTGCAAAGCGTGTGTTCCCGTCAATTGCGTGAGGCGGTGAAACCTCATCTCACCAGGTACATGCGTATTTTGACAGCATGTTCTTCCATCGATTTCTTACAGGCAACTTTGCTAGAAAACAATTCCAAATCCCAAGATCCTTGGAACGGGTGGTTGCGATCACGAGCGACGGCATAGTGAATGGTCTCTGCAATAAACATTTCATGCAGGGTCTTGGATAACCTTCGAGCGGCTTGTGCTTATTGAGTCTCCGCATGTTTCGTCACGGATACAGTTGGCAGCGGCACATATCAAGGCATATCATGCGGTCTCGCAGAGTAAGAGATCAAGGTGATGGATGGTTGTGTCGCGTCTCACTTTAGCTTGAGCTATACAGACAAGCTCGAGAAATCTTGGTCACAGATATCAACTTAGCTATAATGTACACAGCCGGCCATGCTCTCAACCGTGACCATGTATCATTACGTCCAACTATCATCCATAAGGATACTATTTTCGATATCAGTCAAGCATTGCTCTAGGCCAAAAGGTTCCAGTCGTTGTCCAGACTGCTCGAAATTTGGCCGTCTTTGTGATGACCCTGGCAAGCCTGGTCAGGTACACGAATGTGGAAGCTTCCACCGTGCTTTGATCGTTCACCCCACCCCCACCTCTGACGTTCAGCGACCACTTTGTACAGTCCTTACACTTTTGGCACCACAACAATAAGCACACAACTAATAGTACAACATGTCTGGAATCAAGGGAATCGGCGAGAGCAAGCAGTACGACGGTAGGCAAGCCTTCCAGACCAAGACACACGACCAGGTCGCTGACTAGTAGCANGGCTCGAAGCTGCGCATCGGCATCGTTCACGCTCGATGGAACACCCAGATCATTGACGCTCTGCTTGAGGGCGCAAAGAAGAAGCTCGCCGAAGCAGGCGTCCCTGGTACTCTTGCACAATTGAAGCTCGGCCAACCGAGATGCTAACGATAAACAGACAGCAACATCGAGATCCAGACAGTACCCGGCAGCTACGAACTTCCCTACGCAGTGCAACAGATGTACGCATGTTCGCAAGCTCAAGCATCATCGGCCAACTCGACATTGCTGAGCTCTGCCACCGATCTCCTTTCGTCGTCGACGACCGATCTCTCGCTCAAGGACAAGGAGGGCAGCAGCAGTGCAGCAGCGACCAAGCCCTTCGATGCCATCATCGCAATCGGTGTTCTGATCAAGGGCTCGACAATGCACTTCGAGTACATTTCGGATGCTGTCAGCCATGCCCTTATGAAGCTCCAGCTGGACATTGGCATTCCCGTCGTCTTCGGTCTGCTCACCTTGTTGACTGAAGAGCAAGGCCTCGAACGCGCTGGCCTAGTTTCGGGCTCGAAATACCACAACCATGGCGAAGACTGGGGTGCAGCCGCCGTCGAGCTGGGAGTCAAGAGAAGAGGTTGGCAGGAAGAGAAGACATTCATCCAGTAATGGATGGTCATGAAAGAGTCTGTTCGGGAGATAGAAGATACGATAAAGCTCACTCAAAGTCACACAAGAATGGCACGAGTCGAGAAGAATACAAGCTGTCTTGGATGGCCGTTGTCTAGCCTGGTACCCTCGTTTGTTGCTTGATCAAACGGCGTGTCTCTGTGCCCACGTGCGATTGAGCAACACACACAACTCTTAAGAGCCAGACCACAACCGATACATGATGATGCTTTCTAGGAGATGATATGGACAAGACAATGTGACACTCTGTATGGCAGGCGCGGAGGACTAGGCATTCTCGTGTTCTAGGGCGCGTCATCGGGGTGTGCACGGTCCTCCGGCCGTGGAACTTCTTGCGACAGTTGCGACACTGAGCGTCTTCTTGACTGAGGAATGGAAGCCCTGTTCATCATCCCTTCAACCATTCCTTTATCTTCCTTGTTCACCTGGCGCCTTCTTGTTGCTTTGCTTGATCTCAGCACATGAGATATTGCCCCTTCGCCTACAGCGCACGCCTCCGGTCTGCGCCTTGACACGGCCCTTGTCTCCGCCCTCGAGGCCCCTGTCCTCGCCAAAGGCCACTGCTCTGCCTCGTCTTTTCACCATCACCGTCCATACCCCTTATCTTTCCATCCGCCAGCCGCTGCCTTGGTCTCGCTGCATCTGCGCCGATATCCTTCTGACGATCTGGGGTGAAGAAGCTCGGCCCACCATCAACAAAACAAACTCGCACTGCTGACCTCGCCTCGGCTTTGTATCTCCGATGCCTAGCTGTTGATTCAGGTGCCATTTTCGCCTGTTGCTGTTAGCCTCGTATGGCCCCTCTACCAGGTCGGCATGCCGATGCTTCGGTCAACATGTCTTCATCCGACTCGGAAGCACGCGACTCAGGAGACTTGTTAAATGCCATCGGCTCCACCAGTTCTCTTGCAAGCACAGTCTCTTCGGTCTTCAGTGCTAACACTCAAGTTCCAAAGACCAATGGTCACTCTTCGACCACCATCGCCGCCCTTACTCCTCTGACATATCCTGCTTCATCTCCAGTCAAATCACATTCTCCACTAGCTTCTTCGAAGCCACTGCTCAACACGACCCAACCAGAGCCATCCCCTCTTGGTCTTCCTGTCGCAAATACCACTCGAGGTTCTTACGAAAATGCCACTCCCCGACCTTCTCCCCCAGCAGAAAACCTGCAGATCATGCCACCAGCTGGCAAAGCCAAAGGGTACAGAACGGTTTATGACCCCGAAATCGACAATGAGCTCAGCGAGAAAGAGAAGAAACGCAGAAGCGGAAAAGTCAAGATAAGGTCTTTCGGGACCGAGGTACGTTTGGACATTTTTACATGATTGCTGAGCTTGTTGATACCCTGCCACAAAATAAACCGTTCTGTACCCTGAAGCTGATGGGTTGGAAAAACANNGTCACAACCTGCGCCCCCAGACCCCAGACTGGCCATCGCAAACTACACGTCTGGTGGAGCTGTAACCGATAAACTGGCAAAATCGAAAACGAAGCTGCGAATCGCACCATACATGCTGAAATCGTATGCATACGACAAAAACTCGACCATTGGGCCCGGCCCGCCAAAGCAAATTGTCGTCCACAGTTTTGATCCATTTACGCCCGAATCTCAACTCAAATTCTTNTTCGCGAGTTTTGGAGATATTGCTGAGTTTCGCAATCAGACCGATCCGAATACTGGAAGTTTCTTGGGAATTTGCTTGATCCGGTACAAAGACAGCAAGCCAATCAAGGGCGTCTCCGTTTTGGCTGCCAATGCTGCAAAACGTGCCGAGAAGGAAGGGCACAACGAGCGCATTGGGTTGACCAAGGTCAAGGTCGAGCTTGATCGTGAGGGGCGCAAATGCAGGAAGTATGTCGAGTACACGCTCAAGAAGGCGCGACACGAAATGGAGAAAGAAGCTGCTCGACATACCCCTCACACTGTTGCGCTAGCAGCAGAGTCGCACGGTTCCTCGACACCTGTACCACCACCTCCTCCGCCGCCACCCGGTGCACCCGAAGAATTGCCTGCGATCCCGGTGGATGTTCCAAAGGCACCAAAGGGACCGGCATCCAAGCGCGACCGCGAACGAGAGCGAGCAGGCGTATCAGAACAACCTTCGGCGACAAAAGAACGAGACACAGGTCGCTCGGTCGTTGAGTCAGAGCCGATATTGGCCAAGATCAAACGAAAGCCGTACATTTTTATTTCTCGTGATAGCGTGCCTGTTTTGGGGTCCACTGTGCCACATCTTAAGAAGAGGTTCAAGGCTTTCGACTGGCGAGAGATTCGCGTTGACAAGACAGGATACTATGTCATCTTTGACGACTCAAAGCGGGGTGAAGACGAGACGGTCAGATGTTTCAAGGAGTGCAATAATGGACCTATGTTCACGTACAACATGACTATGGAATGCCAGCAGTATGGCAATCCAGATTACGTGCGCAGTCCGAGCCCTGAAACCCAGGCTGTCCAAAGCCGGCAGAAGGAGGAAGCAGATCGCTTGGAGAGATGGGCTGCGGAAGATTTAGAGGAAGAGAAGAAAGAACGAGCTGCCGATTTGGACCCTGTGAAAGGCGCGCTCGAACAGTTGCAACTCGAGTTGCGCAACAAGATCATGGACGACATCAAGAAACGAGTTGTCATTCCTGAGCTTTACGACCGTCTTGACCCTGCCAGACACGTCGCGAAACGACGCAAGCTCGATATTCCAGACCCGGTTGACAATGAAAATCAGCCCCCAAGTTTGTTACTGAACAAAGCCGCCAGCACCGCATCCACAACTGCTCGAGCCCGAAACGGACGTCCTTTGTCTCACAGCAAGCCGCTGCGCCCACACGATCCCAATCGCGGACGACAAATTCCTATGAGCGCCTATGTCGACGAGCGCCGATTCAAGAAGCGTCCAGCTGCACGTCCTGTCCACGCGCGCCCCTTGCATTACCGTCTGCAGCACATGGACGATGATGAGGACGAAGACGAGTCCGACGACGATCGTAAAACACCAATGACGCGCGACACAGACGATTTGGAGAGCAGACCCCTAAGTCGGGCCAGCCGTAACTCAACACCCTTCAGCGTGTCAGAGTCCATTGACTTGCCGACACCTGCTCCGAAAAAGAGAAAGCTGGTCCACAAAGAGAGGNNGGAGACGATCCCAGAGGAAGAGCAGGAGATCTTTGCACCCCATCACAAGGAGCTCCTTGGAGATCTTATCCAGAAAATTCCGGAGCGTATGGCCACACGCGAACTCGAGTTGGTTGTTAGCACCCTCCCTCGAGACTCAAAGTTCCAAGAACGCGCACGAAACGAACTTCACCTCAGACAGCGCGCCAAATACGACAGCGAAGAGACACCTGTACCAACTATTGATGCCATCAAAGCAGAACATGCGACCGTTGGCGACAAGGCTGTGTCCCAATCTGGAGATTTGTCCGTCAAGTCCACTAAGAAAGACACCAAACGCAAGCGACCAAAGTCAAAGAAGCAAATATTTGAGGAGCGCGAAGCAGAACGGGCCGCCGCAAGGGCTGCTGAAGACGCTCAGGCCATGGAAGACGGCAGCCAGGTTGAAGACAGAGATGTTGACGTCGATGTTGATGTTGATGTGGACGTTGATATGGCTGAAGCAGTCATTGAAGAGGAGGCAGAGGAAGAGAGACCTCAGGTCGAGTGGGCCGTGTCCACTGGCGAGCCACGCAAAACCGTTGAAGACGATGAAGATACCTTCTTGGATATCGACGGTTGGAAGCACATAGTCAAGGATGAAGAAGACATGCGCCACCTTCTTCAAGCTATGGAAGACATGTCCGCTGCAGACGTTGGAGATGTTACTCTATGGGCTTGGAAACACAAGGAGATCAAGGCGCTCAACTCGCGTGGACCAACTGCCGAAGCCAAGATCCAAGGCTATTATGTCCCGAACCCCTCAGGTTGCGCTCGCACTGAGGGTGTCAAGAAGATCTTGGAGTCCGAAAAGTCAAAGTACCTGCCTCACCGCATTCGTGTCCAGAAGCAACGCGAGGCTCGCGAGGCACAGGCACGAGAGAACCCCAATGCTGTCGCCGCTGCCGAAGCAGCAGCTGAAGCTGCAAAGGCAGCCGCAGCCGCCAAGATCGCTTCTGTCGCTACATCTCGCAGCAATCGTGCTAACAACCGACGCCTGGTCAATGACATCAACTTGCAGAAGCAGAATCTCACTATTACTGGTGGTGAGGCCGATGCTATTAAGTTCAATGCATTGAAGAAGAGAAAGAAGCACGTCAAGTTTGACAGATCGGCTATTCACGGTTGGGGTCTGTATGCCATGGAAAACATTGCCTCCAACGACCTCATCATCGAGTATGTCGGAGAGAAAGTTCGTCANAAGGTGGCAGACCTCCGCGAGATCAAGTACGACAAGCAGGGCATTGGAAGCAGTTACCTTTTCCGTATGGCTGACGACGAGATTATCGACGCCACGAAGAAGGGTGGTATTGCACGCTTCATCAACCACAGCTGTACACCCAACTGCACAGCCAAGATCATCAAGGTCGATGGCACCAGGAGAATCGTCATCTATGCGCTCAAGGACATTGCCAAGAGTAAGTTCAAGAAGAACATTGACCGAAACACATTGCTAACATAGATACANGACGACGAGCTCACATACGACTACAAGTTTGAGCGCGAGTACGGCAGCGACGATCGCATTCCCTGTCTTTGCGGTTCCGTGGGATGTAAAGGTTTCCTGAACTAAGAGTTTCGCGCAGGAAAAACCCTGTTGTATATTAGGTGAAAGAGAGAAAGAGCATGCATGATTTGGCGTACCAGGAAGGAACAAAAACGGAGGAGGGGTTCTTTCTTCGGGTTTGCATGGAATGTGGTTTTCAAACGTCTTTGAATTGTACGATACCTTAACAAAGAGATGCTTTCAGACTATCCCAGCTGGTTGGCGCAGGACAGAAAGGCAAGCTGCACTGCAAAGTTAAAACCTCTCCGTGTGATACATACTGTTATAGTGTGGCTACAAAATGCACAATACATTCGTGAAGAATGTGGTTTCCACTGAGGAAATCTCATCAAAGGCTATCTCCATGGCCAGACTCATGTTTCGACAGCTTACAGTACTTTTGTGCTTTAGGTTGGAGAGGGATCAACTGCGAGATTGCGACAGTCTTTAGCACATGAGGAGGAACCAAATGAGTTCCAACACCTTGATGGTGCTTCCGATAATCGACACGTTCCGATAATGCGGGACCTTGACACGTTCCGATAATGACAAAACTCTTTCCTGCCGTTCTCGTTTCTGTTGATTACTCGTAGGAGACGAGTCAGGTCTGACAGTAGATTGCTCAGTAAGCAGCAGCGACAAGCCTATTGTACGCGCAATGCGATAGTGGGTCTGTAGGACTAAGGACTGACTAGAAGAGATATTGCCCGTATCTTGCAAGTTGTTGTGCCTGGTTCCAAGGTTAGAAGCCGGAGCATGGGCCAAGTGAGACTTCTGGGGTCTCTTGGCGGTCGGCATGTACGATTGACACGTATTCGATATCAAGGAAACTTCTGGAGTCTTGGATCAAGGTACAATAAGACTAGGAAGGGACACGGAAGTATCATCTTCCTCTTCTCGACCAAGGTTGCATTGCTCTAGAGTCGCCAACATGGACAACGCCTACGTGCAATCGACATCTGCCGTGCTGAAGCACTTTGATGTGCAGGAAGCCTCAGGTCTCGACAAGTCCTCAGTAAACGCGTCAAGACAGAAGCATGGTCGCAACGGTATGCCTTAACTGTGAATTTATGCGATCTCTCTGAGCATTTACTGACCCTGCCACCANGCTCTCCCTGAAGACCCACCAACACCGCTATGGGAACTGATCCTAGAACAATTCAAGGACCAGCTGGTCATCATCCTTCTTGCCTCTGCTGCCGTGTCCTTTGTTCTCGCTCTGTTCGAAGATAGCGACGACTGGACTGTCTTCGTGGATCCTGTCGTAGTATGTTCTATCTCGATCCCTTATTCTTAGAGAAGCCTCTAACCACCAACCCTCCAGATTCTCACCATCCTTATCCTTAACGCCGTCGTTGGTGTTTCGCAAGAGTCGTCGGCCGAAAAGGCAATCGCTGCACTTCAAGAGTACTCGGCCAACGAGGCCAAGGTCGTTCGCAATGGCAAGGTTCAGCGCATCAAGGCAGACGAGTTGGTTCCAGGAGATATTGTCAAGGTCGCTGTAGGCGACCGCGTGCCTGCTGATTGCAGAGTCCTGTCTATCCACAGCAACAGCTTCCGCATTGACCAAAGTATTCTGACCGGAGAGAGCGAGAGTGTCGGCAAGGATACCGATGCCATCAAGGATGCGAGCGCTGTCAAGCAGGACCAGGTCAACATGCTCTTCTCGGGCACCACGGTTGTCACTGGAAATGCCACCGCTGTCGTTGTCCTTACTGGTTCAAACACTGCCATTGGCGACATTCACGAGAACATCACCTCCCAGATTTCGCAGCCCACCCCTCTCAAGGAAAAGCTCAACGATTTCGGTGACACTCTGGCCAAGGTTATTACTGTCATCTGTATCCTTGTCTGGCTCATCAACGTTCCCCACTTCAACGACCCCGCCCATGGCTCTCTTACCAAGGGCGCAATTTACTACTTGAAGGTAAGCTGCCATTGTCTGTGGCTTCTCGAAGAACTTGACTAATGGTTGACTCAGATTGCTGTATCGCTTGGTGTCGCCGCCATCCCCGAAGGCCTCGCTGTTGTTATTACTACCTGTCTCGCACTCGGAACCCGCAAGATGGCCGCTAAGAATGCCGTAGTTCGCAGTCTCCCCTCGGTCGAAACTCTAGGTAGCTGCAGCGTCATCTGCTCAGACAAGACCGGAACCCTCACCACCAACCAAATGAGCGTCAACAAGGTCGTCTTCATCAACCAGCAAGGATCTGGACTCGAGGAACTTACTGTTGAAGGAACCAGCTTCGCTCCTGACGGCGCAATCACCACTTCAACCGGCGAGACTCTCGAGAACGCAGCCGCTTCATCCTCGACCATTGCACAACTTGCCGAAGTCGCCGCTCTTTGTAACGATGCACGTCTCTCTTATGACAACGAGAAGGGTGTCTACAACAATGTCGGCGAAGCCACCGAAGGTGCCCTGAGAGTCCTTGCCGAGAAGATTGGCACCAAAGACGCATCCGTCAACTCCGCAAGATCTACCCTCGCACCTGAAGAAAAAGTCCACCACGCTAGCAAGCACTGGGAAACCAGCACTCCTCGTCTGGCTACCTACGAATTTGCACGCGACAGAAAGAGCATGTCTGTTTTGGTCCAGGATGGTTCGTCCCAGCGTCTTCTTGTCAAGGGTGCCCCTGAGTCCATCATCGCCAGATGTAGATACGTCTTGGTTGGTACCAAGGGCACCAGAATGGCTCTCACCGACAACATCTCTGCCTTGCTTTCCAAGGAGGTCGTCGATTATGGTAATCGCGGACTTCGCATCATGGCTCTTGCAAGCGTCGACAACATCACCTCCCCTCTGTTGAAGCAGGCCAAGACCAGCTCCGAATATGCCCAACTCGAACAAAACATGACTTTGATTGGTCTTGTTGGTATGCTCGACCCTNNCCCTCGCCCTGAGGTAGCCGACAGCATCCGCAAGTGCCGTGAGGCTGGTATTCGTGTCGTTGTTATCACTGGTGACAACCAGAACACTGCCGAGACTATCTGTCGCCAGATTGGCGTCTTTGGCACCAACGAAGACCTGACCGGCAAGAGCTTCACTGGCCGTCAATTCGATGATCTCAGCGAGGCCGACAAGCTCAAGGCTGCCAAGAATGCTTCTCTCTTCTCCCGTACTGAACCTACTCACAAGTCCAAGTTGGTTGACCTTCTTCAGTCTGCCGGCGAGGTTGTCGCTATGACTGGTGATGGTGTCAATGATGCNCCTGCCCTGAAGAAGGCCGACATTGGTGTGGCCATGGGTAGTGGTACCGATGTTGCCAAGCTCGCTGCAGACATGGTTCTGGCAGACGACAACTTTGCAACCATCGAGGCTGCTGTCGAGGAAGGCAGAAGCATCTACAACAACACTCAGCAATTCATCCGTTACTTGATTTCGTCCAACATTGGCGAGGTCGTGTCCATCTTCTTGACTGCCGCTATGGGTATGCCCGAGGCTTTGATTCCTGTTCAGCTTCTCTGGGTCAACTTGGTTACCGACGGTCTTCCGGCTACTGCGCTCTCGTTCAACCCTGCTGATCACGACATCATGAAGCGTCTCCCTCGCAAGCGTGATGAAGCTCTTATTGGGGGCTGGCTCTTCTTCAGATACATGGTAATTGGCACATACGTTGGTATCGCAACTGTTGGCGGTTACGCATGGTACTTCATGTTCAGTGAGGCTGGACCTAAAATCAGCTTCCACGCATTGGTAAGATTCGCCGTTGAGTTCGTCTGATTCTTCGACTGTATGCTAACGTTAGACAGNACTCACTTCCATTCTTGCAGCATTTTCGAGCACCCGATTGACTGCTTGATGTTCACTGATTCTACGGCCAAGACAGCATCGACCATCTCACTGTCGATTCTGGTAGTCATTGAAATGCTCAACGCCATGAACGCTTTGTCTTCGTCAGAGAGTTTGTTGACCCTTCCCCTGTGGAAGAACATGATGCTCGTGTATGCCATCTGTTTGAGTATGGCATTGCACTTTGCACTGCTTTACATTCCTTTCTTGCAAGGCATCTTTGGCATCGTGCCCCTTGGTATGGAGGAGTGGAAGTTGGTGCTCGCTTGGAGTGCACCCATCATCTTGATTGACGAGGGATTGAAATTCCTCGAGCGCGCATTTGTCATGGAGAAGCCGGGCAAGCATATCAAGCCCAAAGCAGAGTAAATGGCGCAGGCCTCGTCACTAGCATTAGAAGCATCTGGAAACTAGAGCGTGTAAATAGATAGAAAAATCAAACGCGCTTGACTTGGAAATGATCTTACCGGAGATGGGGTGCACAAAATGCCGGATAATGCACAAAATGAGTTATGCACGGACAAAGACAATCGATAAGAGAACATAATTGTGCCAAGCGACGAATTTCAACGCGTGCAATTGACGACGAGCATTTGCGCTCGGGTAGACGTAACCACAGACACAACCATGGCCAACACACTCTTGATCGAAGGCTCATTCGAGGAGCTGAGCGAGGAGCTCGCCGTCTACATCGATGGACTCAGCCAGTCGTCTGTGCAGTCAGAGATTGCGCCGCTGTTGAAGGAGGGCAACAAGGTGGATGCGCTCAAGAAGATTGTCACTGCCAGCACCGCCTTGAACAGCGCCCCCGAGAGAGGTGAGCCGCTCTTGCTACATTTGAATCGGTCAAGTTCTAACCTTCCCACCNNAGAGTTCGTCGCCGCATACAACCTCCTCGTGCACCTCGTACACCAGTCCGGAAGCCCCGACACTTTCCTGCCCAAACTCTGCCAGAACGTCTCTGCTCCCATCACCTCTTCGCCATACAACGGCACCGGCCTCGCCCTCAACGTCCTCTCCACAGTCTTCAACACCCTCTCGCCCGACCAAGAGAGCCGGTACCACGTGCTCCTGGCCATCCTCAAGATTGTGCGCAACAACAGCACTTTCGACCAGTTGACNCCCCAACTCGCCCAGCTGGAATCATGGCTGCAGGCCTGGGACATGGATGCCGCAGACCAGCGCAAGCTGTACCTGGCCGTCAGCGACGTGGCCACCGAAGCCAGCGAGGACGAACAAGCATACCAATACCTGCTCAAGGCTCTGCGCACCATCCAGTCGCAAGAAGACGCTTCCTCTGACGATGCCAAAGCTTTGTCCGTTCGCGCACTCAAGCAAGCCCTCGTCTCCNNCCCCTCGCACTTTGACTTCCACGACTTGACCCAACTCGACTCCATCCAGGCCCTGCGCAACTCTGAACCCGTCTGGTTCGAGCTCCTCGAAATCTTCAACGCCCAGCAACTCGACGACTTCCGCGACTTCAACGAGGCCAACCCTGAGTTTTTGGCCAAGGCTGAAATCGACATGCCTGCTTTGGAGCGCAAGATCCGTCTGCTCACTCTGGCCAGCATTGCAGCTTCCGCCTCGCAATCCCGCACCCTGCCCTACGACGCCATCACAAAGGCCCTTCAAATCCCCGCCGAAGACGTCGAGATGTGGGCCATTGATGCCGTGCGCGTCGGTCTCGTCGAAGGCAAGCTCTCCCAGCAGGAAAAGACTTTCCTCATCCACCGCACCACCTACCGCGTCTTCGGCGAGAACCAGTGGCGTGAAGTCGCTTCCCGTCTCGATATGTGGCGTACCTCTCTGCAAGGTGTCCTCCGTGTCGTCCGCCAGGAAAAGGAAAACTACATCCGCGACCGTGAGGCCGAGCTCCGCGACGCAGAGAACCGTGATAAGGGCAATGGTTACAGGCCCAACAAGCAGTACAGAAACGCTGTCGAGGTCGAGTAAATGCTTCCAATTCAGCGATGTCTTTGTTTAGTTCTATATCATGAGGTTCACAAAAATGGGATTCCTGCTGGTCATTTTTTTGATATTGATGTTCTTGTAACGTTGTGCTGAAATTGATGATAGACTCAAAAATGACTATGATTTTTCTTCCATTTCAGCTGTTCATGGCTTGACTTCTCACAGTATGGTTTTAGAGCGAACCAAGAAAGCCTCAGTAGACTGGTAGTTGTTTGTATAAAAGGGCAAGTCTGCTCAGCAATGTTCATTATTGGTTCATCATTAATCTAGCAAGCACACGACTCCAAGCCATACTCCATGGGACCCTAGCAAGAAATTATAAACAAGCAATGCCCATCGTCGACTCCTGCCTCACGTTTACAATGCAGCAATGGTTCTTCTCAGCACCTCAAGACCACGCTCGCCCACACCTTCTTCACCTTCAGGAACAGCTTCATCGGCAGTTTTGAGCATCCATGCAATATCGCTGAGCAACCCGAGGGGCAGCTCTCCATCCTTGCGCTCTTCTGCGCGCACTTGGAGGCGTCCCGTGTACTCCCACTCCTTGGCCGCATCCTCTGCACGCTGGATGACGGCATCGGGGATACCGCACATAGCTGCACAGTGCATACCGAAACTGCCTTCTGCCACACCAGGCTCGAGCTTGTACAGGAAGGTGATGCGGCGTTCAGTGTCATCTACCATAATAGCCATGCGTTTGGGCGAGATCTCTGGATGCGAGCTAAATTCTGCTGCAAGAGAGTGGTAGTGGGTAGCAAAGAAACCAATGCAGCCAGTGTGTGTAGCGACGTGGTGAAGTACTGCTTGTGCAACGGCGACACCGTCGTGACTGCTAGTGCCACGGCCAAGTTCATCGAGAATCACCAGCGAGCGAGGTGTAGCTTCGGACAAGATCTTCTTCGTTTCGCTCAATTCCACCATGAACGTACTCTGGCCAGCCAGAATGTTGTCGTGGGCGCCCAAACGAGACATGATGCGGTCAACTGGAGTCATACGCGCTGCAACGCAGGGCACAAAACAGCCGACTTGAGCCAGGATGACAGCAATGCAGGTCATGCGCAGCACAGTACTCTTACCAGCCGCGTTGGCACCGGTCAAGAGATCGATGCTCGGGTTGTCGCCGCCAAGGGCAATGTCATTGGGAATAAAGTCTGAGACCGTGTTGAGCATGCAAGGATGACGAAGGTCGGAGAACTCGAGCACACTACGCTCGGAGTCAACAAACTCAGGTCTGCAGCTTGGTTCTCCGAGCGAGGCAGATGCTTTGGACAGAGAGATTAGACAGTCAAGATGAGCAACAATCTTTACTGCAGCGAGCCAGATAGCGTAGTCTTGATCGAAGCGAGCGTAGAATCTACCAGCAACTTGCTTGACGATCTGTCCGTGTGTTTCTTGTGCTTCTTTCAAGTCTTGAATTAGACTCTCCAGCTCAGGGAAGTAGTAACGTTTTGCTTTGGCGGTTGACGACATCTGCTTCCAATTCTTTGGAATGTTTTTGGTCTTGACTGGGACTTCGATCTGGTAGATTTCTTTACCATTGTCGACATACTTGGCAGCTGAAGTGCCTAGTTCGTCCCGACAACGCTTGAGTAAAGACTGTAACTGGCTTTCGATATTCTCGATAGTGTTTTGGCTTTCGTCAAAGTCTTCTTCAACGCCTGGCTTGGGCACAAGCAAATTCGAGTCTTNTGCCTGTTCGCGGTCGAAGGCATCAGTCCAGTGAGCAAGTGCTCCAGCAAGATCGGGCATCGATGAGATGAGCTGTCCGAGAACACCTTCGCCCTCACCAAAGCTTGAGAGCAGGCTCATGGTGTACTCTATCTGCTCAAAGCCTTCCAAGACCTTGACAAAGTCTGTAGCCTTACATCTACCTGCGTGGATGCGGGAGATGAGACGTTCAAGATCGGGAATCTTTGACAGAGACGCAGTGAAGCGGTCAGTGATGGTGAGATCGGCGTTGAGTGCCTCTACAGCATCGAGTCTTGCATTGATCTTGGTGGTATCTGCCAAAGGATGACAGACCCATTGGCGCAGCATACGCTTACCGAAAGGCGTGATGCAGCGATTGAGCATGGCAAAAAGTGTACCCTCAACACCACCATCATAACTGTTTGCAAAGATNNCTATCTTAATGTCAGCTGAATTGTAGACGAACAGCCATCAAATTTGACTTACCTCAAGGTTGATCAAACTCTGTCCGTCGAGTACAAGGCTGGATGCCTTTCTAATCGGGTCGTACCAGGTGAAGTTGCCAAGCGATATCAAATCACGCTCAATCTTGAGCGTCTGAAGATACCAGATCAATGCACCAAGGGCGGAGAAGCACAATTCCTTCTCCCTAGCTTCTTTGAGTATGGCAGGCCAGGCATCATCACCCTCGTTGTCGTCAGATTTGAAGTAGTGCTCTCCAGTGATCTTGAGCGCAGTCTTGTCGGCAGTTAAGAATTCCTTTTCCGGCTTGAGGTAATTCCAGAGACACGTGGGGCTGGTGTTGTTCTTCAGAATACGTACGGCCTTTGACGAGATGCACGACTTCTCGAGAAGAAGCTCGCCAGGTCTCGTTTGGGCGACAAAAGTCTCAAACTTGGTCATGTCAACATCATCAACAAAGTCGCAAAGCTGGAACTGGGCTGTTGCAGTATCGACGAAAGCAATACCAAAGGCCGGCAATCCATCCACCTCACGTTCTGTGATGGCAGCACAGTAAGTTGACATGTCGTCCTGCAACATGCCACCATCGACGAGAGTACCAGAAGTCAAGACGGAGGCCAGCTCACGACGAATGACTTTCTCTTCCTNTTTCGGCTTACCACCCTTGCCGGTCTTTTCATCTCTTTCACGCATGTCTTTGCCAAGGGCAGTCTCCATCTGGTCGACTCTGGCAATCTTGAAACCTTTGGCGACGAACTGATTGGCCCAGTGGTCGAGCGAAGCCTCGGGGACACCGACCATACGCATGTTGACACGATCAGTCATCTTCAAGTCAAACAGTTGGTGACCAATGGTAGCATCGTTCTCGTACAGCTCGTAGAACTTTCCTTTCTTGAAAANAACGATGGTATCCCAAAACTTGCATTTGATTTCCCAGTACTGCTTCTCGAAAGGAGAGAATTTGGACCACGCCAAAGGAGGAATGAATAAAGTGCGTGGATCGTACTCTGGAGTGCCGGGCCTGTTGCGTTCTGCATCCATGATGTCGGCTAACCAGGGATAACGAGCATCGGGCTCTGACATGTGAGCCTTTTGTTTTTTGGCCGGACCCGTTTGTGGTTTGCGTTGAGGCGTCTTCCTGGAAGCGTATGGCTGGACGGTATCTGGATCGAAGTTCCATTGCTGAGCCGTCGAGGTCGATGGCATCTCCGGACTTTGACTTGGTTCATCTTCTGCGATGGGAGATGGCTGTTTGGAAGGCTTCCGCGGCTGTGTGGACTTCTTACGTTTGACAGGAGCGTCGTCTTCCGAGGCGTCATCATCGACAACAAAATCTTGCATATCAGCCTCATCAGCAGCAGCCATGAGGGCTTCAGTAGCATCATCCATGGCAAAATCATCATCAGAGTCGTCGTCCAGTTTCCTCCTCTTGGTAGAGCGTGCGGCGGTATTGCTGGAGCGTTGTCGAAGGACAGGCTCATCATCTTCATCGTCAGACTCGGCATAGTTGACCTTTTTCTTTCCATTGCGAACAGGGCTCGAGGAGGGAATCGATGGCTTCTCTAGTGGCACTGCTTGTAGGCGTGGATGTCAGCAAGTGAATAGATCAATGAAGTTGTGACGCAGCACACCATTCTCTTTACCATTGTAACTGGCAGGAGCGGGCGAAGACTGTGGTGGAGGGCTTGAAGCAGCTGCGGTACTGTTTGGAGCAGCAGGTGATGAAGCAGGCGCCGTCTTTCGCTGGAAGAAGCCTAGGATGCTCTTCTGTTGCTTTCCTGATTGTGATGCCGACGAGGCGGATTTCTGAAGTTTGGGGACTCGTGGGGTGGAGATCTCGTTGCCTTCGATGCCTCGAGCCATTCTGCAGTGGTTATAGCTGGTATTGTACAGACAATGATGGATGACCAAAAGTGATCCAGCCTCGCCTTCGATCTGGGAACGAACGCGTGCGTGGGACGCGTTGCACTTTGGCACGTTCCTGAAATGGCAGGTGTTATCGATAAGCTTTTGACTTTGCCGACCTCGCTCCTTCCCACCGTGGTGGCTATCACGACTCACGAGCTGGCCCACCCGCATCTCGTGCACCTCTCAGCCATCCTACTCGTACCAAATACTATGAGTTGTGCTTTCAGTCTGAGAAGGTGTGCAGCAGTTCGCAAGGCTGCTTGGATTTCAATGGCATGTATTGCATGAACCTGTGTTGATGGTAACCCGAGCGCATGAGCTTGGTTTTCGAGAATGCCTCTTGCGTCTTATCATCCTCACGCGACCACCTGCCGTATTCAGGACTTGCTTGTGTCCCATTGACTCGTGTCGCATAGGTACCTCATGCTTGATGGCCTGGTTATGAAGAGGATTCGAAGTGATACACCTTTGCTTATCGACACTAGCGATAGCGCTAGTCAGGGTCCCACCTGGGAGCCACCACCAGCTCTCCGGCGATCGCCTGCACTCCAGCCGAGCAAATGCATATAAACATCTGCTTCTGCCAGGTTAATGCTTTTTTAACCACAACTATCATGCCTTCCCTCTCTTACTTGGCCCAATTGGCCCTCGCCCCTGCTGCTGCACACGCGTTCAATCTCTATGAACATCTGGGAAACCTCTCCCCATACTTCACGCCAGCCAATACTCCACCATCTCTACTGTCTGGCATTCCAGAGTCTTGCTCTGTCGACCGTGCTTTTTTGGTTCATAGACATGGTTCTCGACAGCCCATCTCGTCGGAATTGCCCACCATCCAAAGCCTCTCATACTACATAAATAACAACACTGCTTTATTCNNAAAAAATCCTCGGGGGCAATTACCTTCAGAATTCTCCTTCCTTACCAACGGATGGTCTAGCAGTTTCACGCTCAACAATCTATCTGCTCCAGGTCGACAACAGTTGTTCGACCATGGCGTGGCTCTCCGTCTGGATTACCCCTCTCTGTACACCGACACAGTGCTAGCTGGCGATCAGGACCGCGTAGTGGAAAGTGCCCAATGGTTCATGGACGGCTACTACGGTCGCTATGTCGAAGATGTAGCTATTCTGAACAAGATTGCCGAGGACAATCTAACAGTCTCCTGGATCACCGCAATGGACACTTGCAAGTCTTGGGAATATAGCTCAGGAAATGACTTGGTCACTGAATGGGGTAATGTTTATCTGCCTGGAATTGCCGCCCGCATGAACAAAGCTCTGGCAAGTGCATACCCTGGCGTCAACTTTACAGCCCAGCATGCCCACGGAGCTCTCTGGGCATGTGCCTATGGCACTGCTGTGTATGGCGTAGGTCGCAGCCCATGGTGTGGCGTCTTCAAGCCTCAAGAAATTCTCGAGTTCGAGTACGAGCTTGACCTACTCATGAGAGGTGCTTTCGGCTACGGACTCCCAAACAACCAAGGCCCGGTTCTTGGGAGCCTGCTCGTCAGTAACTTGACCACCTTCCTCCAGAGCTCAAGCGGCCAAAACCTATCCTTGAACTTCGCTCATGATACGACCATCGATCTCGGTCTCACTGCACTTGGCCTCGCCTACGACGAACAATATCCTGCCACTGGTCCTCCCAATCCTTCTCGCAACTGGCGAACCAGTACCCAAGTTCCCTTCGCAGCTCAAATGCTGTTTAAACGCTTGAGCTGCTCTGGCAATGAAACTAGAATTCAGCTCGAGCTCAATGGGGCAAACTTCGATCTTAGTCCAGTGGGCTGTACCTCTGATTACTATGGTAGCTGCAAGCTATCCGATTTCGTGGCAACAAAGCATGTGCAGATGGCAATGAACATCACGGATGGTGACGCCGCTTGGACTGCCGCATGTACGTAGGTGCAGACAGTGTAGCGGCTAGGACTCTGATGTGTGGAAAAGATAGATCCATAAACAGTGATGCACATTTTTAAGCGTCGGTATCTAACTCACTGAACTGACCGAAATACACAACATATGCGAGAGACGGGTAGTATCCATTGAGAGCTCCGACATCGGCCAACTCTCCCTGGACACAAGTCGATAGTCAACACAACTGTTCATATTGACAGTTTGATACATCGTCACATGCTATGCGGAGAATGATCGAAACCATCCACCTCTTCTCTAGTTCGCTAGACCTCCATGACCTCTAATCCTGCAATCTAGCATGAGACGCCTGGATATCATGCCAATTCTGAACCACATGTACAGCCTCACACGCAGACAGCGAATACACAATAGGCTGCAGTTTGTACAAGGTTCTTTTATCAAGTCAAGTGGCTTGGGTTGCTTGGCTCAACGAGAGGAAGTCGTGACTCGCACGCACCTGCATGATGACAACATGGGCTTGGCAGGAAGTCTTGCAGTGCTTGCCAGGCAACAACATCCCATCACCAAAACACAAGTAACATAGATTCAATAAACATGATTGTTGAGCCAAGCTCCGTTCCAGTCAATGTTCGAGGTCGTTACTTCTGGAGGGGAAAGGAAAGAGTGAGTTCAATCTCCTTGAAGAAGCCTGTATGGACTTTCTGACTATGATCAAGTTCTTTGTCCGAGGAGTCGTCTATCAACCCTGTGGAGATGAGCAACAAGGCTTGACCAATGATCCCATAGCGGACGACCGTCTACCCGAGCTGGANAAAAGTGTTGAACTGTTCAAGGAACTTGGGATCAACACTTTATATATNCTGTTTGTTATGCACAAGCAACACAACGAGCGTGACTAACTGATGTAATCAGACTTTGTCGACAATGCTAAGCAGCATGACAAAGCCATGAAACTGCTCGAGGATGCAGGAATTTATGTTGTCACGGTCAGCAAGCTGCTAGTCTTTGCAAACAGAGATCTGGACTGACATATAACCAACAGNGGGGTCTCGACCCCAACTTGCTGAATCAACCGCTCTACGCCTTACGACTCATACAATACTGCTAATGTCTCTTCCTTTCTCAAGACTGCGGGTATGATGGCTGGTTATGTGAATACTCTAGGCATTATCGCGGCCGATTCAGTGGTGAATAGTCGTGATTCGCTTCATGCAACTCCTGTTGTGAAAGCTGTCGTCCGGGACCTCAAAAGGTTTCTGCTCTTCAGCAACAAGAGTAAGGGAACACGAGTACTACCTGTAGGCTACTCGCCGTCAATTGCTGTGCACATCAACCACACAAAGTTTCTGGAATACCTATACTTCGGTGGCGAAGAGAATGCGATTGACTTCCTAGCGGCAAGTTATGGTCCAGGACTTATTTCACGTTCTAAGACTCTAACTACACATAGNATTCCGGATTATTCATGGGTCGGAGCAAAATCGAACATGCAAATATCGGGCTGGAACGCCTTCGTGAGTTTGCTCGTTGACCAAAAGCAGGCATAATGTGCGCTAACCATGCGGCAGATCAACCGATATGAAGACTTCGCCATACCTGCATTTCTCTCAGAGTACGGTGCGAATACACACCAACCTCGGCAACTTACTGAAAGCAAGGCTCTCTATGCAAGTCCAATGACCAGAGTCTTTTCAGGAGGGTGCATCTACGAGTTTACTGATTCTGCCAATAACTATGGCCTTGTAGCAATGCCTGGTGCAGACAAGACAAGCTGGTTCCAGGAACACAGAGACATCGAGAANAAAGTAATTGAGACACGAAAAACGGACCAGGGTAATCTATACATTTACCATGACTTCGTCAACTACAAGGCAGCCCTTGCTGAACCCACGGACAACGATTCGAGCTGGGATATNCAATGGGATTCCCAATACCAAGTGCCTGCTACATGCACAGATTGGGATAACATCGAAGAGCTTGTTGGGCGTCCGTAGGGAGGTTTGTCCGTAACATTCCTCCAAACACTCAGAAGTTCATGGACCACTTGACCTCGAACCTCGGGAAGATCAAGGCGGCTCGATTTGTATATTGAATTGCAGCATTAAAGTATCTTGGAAAAGTAATCTCAAGTCCGTTCGACACATTCCGTGCCGCATTACTCTCGGACGTAACAACACTGGTGCAAGGCGAATCATAGACAAGAGATGCTAACACACAGAGGGAGCCATAGTTAACTACAACGGTCACGCTGACAATTTTACGTACTTACGCACGGAGTGTAGTGAGCCTCGGTCGATTCTGATAGGCACTTTACTTCGAAAGCCAAGAAGAGGGTCGGGCGCCCTGTACATCACCGCACATCAATTTCTATAATAGACCTTGACCGGTTTGAAAGCAGCAAATCAGAAAATGCGAATTAGTCCGAGGCAAGAGTCAGGAAAGGTATAAAAGCGCCACATTGCGGAGGAGGCGTGGATAACGTCCATGAAGCTTAACGGTTAAGCTTTACCATTGGAGTTGTCGTGTCGATCCCCTTTCTCCTTCTCCACAGACCGAGGCATGGCGCTGCATGGCCGACGAACAGTTCAGCCTGGCGATGGCTCATTGGTCAGTGGTAAAGGTGTGTAGACCACATTGCTGTATGCTCACTCTGAGCGCTGCAGATCAACGAAGCAAACCTCCTCTTTCTCTAATGATCAGCAATCCACCTTCCTTGCGCCATCGATGCAACCCCAGAGACTCAGACCATCCCCGCAAGGCGTACTGTGGTCAGGCTGGAAACTGTAAGACTTGGCTGGAGTGCCGAACGGATATATAAACAGCATCAAAGTCGCAGGATGGATCCTTCTCCTAATCAAGTCAATCTTCAAACATCACAATCATCATGAAGAACATCGCCATTGCCTCTCTCTTCGTTGCTTCTGCATCAGCCTTCCCTTGGGTTGTCAACCAGCCTGGCGTTGACAGCTCTCTGCTTGGACGCAAGGTCAGACGCCAGCAGGCGGGAGGTTTCCAGAATGGCGGTGCTGCTACCTGCCCATTCAATGCAGACCACAAGGGTGCCGCACCTTACGACTCCAAGTACCCATACAACGGTGCTCAGAACGGTGCACCAGGAAAGGGTATTGGTGGCTACCAAGTGCCTGCTCCTGGTGATACTGCACACCAGTATGTTGCTCCTGGACCCAACGACATTCGTGGACCTTGCCCTGGTCTCAATGCAGCTGCCAACCACAACGTGAGTCCATCCAATTCCCTACACAAGGCCTTTTCTGACCTTTGCAGNTTCCTCTCTCACGATGGTATCACTACATTCAACGAGCTTGTAGATGCTCAGCAGAACCTCTACAATGTTGGATATGACCTGGCCACACTTCTTGCTGCACTTGGTCTTACCCTCACTGATGGTGACCTTGTTACCGANGAACTTTCCATCGGTTGTGATGCCACAACCAGAACCTCGTTCAGCCCTGTGCTCACAGGATCTGAGCCTGGTCTTGACGGCCACAACAAGTTCGAGGCCGACTCTTCGTTGACCAGAGATGACTACTTCCTTGCCGACGGAGACAACTACTCTTTCAACGGCACACTCTTCGGCATGATGCAAGACACTTGCCAGGGCAACTTCAACCGCGAGAACTTGTCCAAGTACCGCCTGCAGCGTTACACTCAGTCGCTTGAGGAGAACCCCAACTTCTTCTTCGGTCCTCTGACTCTTCTTCTCTACGGAGCTGCTTCCTTCTTGTACGAGCTCATGCCCAACGGCAACCACGACTACGCTCCTGACCTCGAGACCATCTCTTCCTTCTTCGGTGCCGTGGACAACGGTGACGGTACTTGGGGCTTCACCGGCGGCGAGCGCATCCCTGACAACTGGGTCAACCGCGTTTCNCCCTACTCCAACCTCGACGTCACCACCGAGATTGTTACCATGTACCTCGAGAACCCTGTTCTGTTTGGTGGCAACACCGCCGAAGGCAGCTTCGACGCCATCAACTTTGGCGCCATCAAGAACGGCACTCTTGAGGCTTCTGTCAACGGCCCAGACACTGCTTGTCTGTTGTACCAGCTCACCACTGGTCAGGTGCCTAGCTACCTCAATGGCTTGATCACTCCTACTGTTGACGCACTCAACTTTGTTGCTGACAAGGTCGCTCCTTCCTTCAAGAACTTGGGATGTCCCATTGCTCTTACCTAAGCTGGGAAGGAACAGAATCTTTGCAGGAAATGATGAGGATTATGGAAACATGAGACGTTTGAAGGTTGATCCTCCGTTGCTCAAACTGAATAGGGATTTTTATGTATGAATGATAATGAAAGAACGCTTACTTCAATTCGTTATGATGTCTTTCGTTTATTACAGTGTTTGTGACACTTGCGTTGGTTGTCTGATAAGCAATCGTGTCGCAAGTGCGGCTTCCTTAGATCAAAACAAACATCATCTGTGTCATGCCGCAAATGCGTCCGCGCATCAGGTTCGCGCACACACTGTTAACTTGTCAAGGGACTTGAGTGTTGGTGACCTGCCATGAGATACATATAGCTTTCGTGTATACTAAGTATGTAAAGCGTATGGCTATACAAATGCATAATAGTAAGACAAAACAACATAATATGCACTGAGAGACGACAAGTTGTCGAGTCTCTGTGGACACGCCTCTACTTCTTAGAACAATTGTGCCTTTCTAGAGTCTACATTTTGCTCTTGACCATAGAGTACAGTGGAAGTTACAGACTCTAGTATACGAGGAGGATGGTATACAGATGCTTTCAAGTTGCAGGAGAGTCGATGATGGATGTAGGTGCCACTTATAACATGGTGAGTGCGGAGCTTCTAGCCGTCAAGAATGTTGAGCATCTCTTGGACTGAGTGGCACTTTTCCCTTTCCTTGCCCTTGGCTTGTCCTCTTCTCTTTTCTTCTTTGTCTATCTTTAGCCAGTCATCCCAAGTAATGCTTCTTATGCCGCGTTTCTCTGCTTCTTTCTTGACTTCACTCCAGCCTGCTTTTGGCTCGTCGTTGGAGCCGATGAATGTCACGCCGTCTGCCCAGTCTTTTGCGACAATGTCGGCGCTGGTGAATGCATCTTGCATGGTACTGGCGATTACGCCGGTGGGACCCCTCTTGACCCAGCCTGCTGCGTACATGCCAGGCACATGGCCGGCACCCAGTGCACCCGGCCCACTATCAGGGCTCAGCACTCTGCCATACAAATCGTTGGGAATGATGCCCATCTTGCGGTCGAAGGGTATGCCGAGCTCTTCAAAGCCTTCCAGAGGCTCTGACTGGTAGCCAACGGAGCGGAAGGCAAGGTTTGTGTTCAGCACTTCCTCTTTGCCGTTTTCCTTCTTTTTGACACGCATACTCCGTAAAGCGTCTAGATCGCTCAACGGAACGGAAGATGGGTCCTGGGTGAATTCCATCTCGTCGACGCGAACGCCACCTAGAGTGCCGGCATTGGAAGAGTTCTCCTCGAAAGCGACCGGACTGCGCATATAGAGCAGTTCCCACTGCCGCGTGGCTTCGGCTACGACGGTGGGAGAGCCTTTCTCGATGACTTGGGCAATGCGCATGAGAGGACGAGGTAGTTTCTTAGACTCTTTGGGGAAGAGGGAACGATCTGGAGTGCTGAAGGCGACGCCGGGAAGTTGCATCAGCTCGCGGACTTCCTTGATGGTGTATGGGGCTTGCAGAGGGCCTCTTCTGCCGACTACTCTGACTCTGCGTACTCTGCTCTTGGAGAGGGTTTCCAAAGCATTCTCAGTCATGTCTGTGTGTCTGAGCCTGTCTAGTGGGGAAAGAAGGACTCTCGCTACGTCCAGTGCGACATTTCCCTGGCCAATGACAACAGCTTCTTCGCTGCCATCGAGAGCAGGATTCAGATTTGCATACTCTGGCAGACCATTGTACCAGCCAACAAAAGCACGAGCAGACACGACGCCACTCAAATCTTCTCCAGCGATTCCCAGCTTACGATCTTGCGAGGCACCATAAGAGAAGAGAAGGGCGTTATAGTGAGGGGCGATCGACGAGAGAGGCAGAGAGGAGGGAGCGGAGCCAATGGTAGTATTACCAATGAAGGTAAAGGAAGGATGGGAGGCGACTTCGACAAACTTATCTATACAATTNNCTAAGGCAGATGGTCAGATTGAGTCATGCTGAACGAGCAAGGGACAGGGCGATACCTTTACTTCCGGGTGGTCTGGAGCGACACCGAAGCGGACCAGACCGTAGGGAGAGGGCAGGGCCTCATACATGTCGACGCGCGCATTTGGCATCTTCTGCAGCATGCGATAGGCAGCGTAGAAGCCTGCCGGGCCTGATCCTATCACGGCGCATCTGAATGGCCGCTCGCTGTCCGCTGTCGAATACGGTCGAACGCCACTGTACCTGCCTCCAGGGGTGGCACTCGGTCGCAACTGCCTGGTACAGCTCAGTCGTCGTAGCAAAGTTGGCATGATTGTGGCAGGAGCGGCTGTCTCCCAGCCACTCTGTGTCTGTCCTTGAGGCTGGTGCTGCTTTTCCGGCGGCTCCCCACACGTCATGCTGCGGCAAGGGCGATCCGGATCCTGTTCCGATCTTCGTTATCGTCTTATCGCACCGTCCCCGCAGCAACCATGTGTTTGGCAGGCCGGGTACACAGACGAATATATGGCCTATCGTAGCCGTTTCATTCCTCGTTCCTCTTCCTTGTGCAGATTCTTTCCGGTGGACGCTCGGGTTTCGAATTTGTTACAGCCATCAGGCCTACCACTCATTCCATCATGGTTGGCATTACTCCGCCGTATCTGTTCTCGCCAGTCAACCAGCAGGACAGGGATCCAAGCTACGACTTTGACCCAAAGGCCGTTACGCGTGCAAGCTACTACTCGATCGCCTCTTCAACGTCGACTCTTAGACCCAAGCAGGAGGGTCCACTGATCGACTTCAACAGACACCCTGATAGCTACATCATCGTCCCTTCATCCCGTCCCAATGTCCCGCCTATGCACCCAAACACAAAGCAGAGGATCAATACGGCTAGATGGATCCAGTTTGCTCTTCGTCTGCTTCAGCTCGCTGCCGCTCTGGGATCCCTGATCTGTGTCATCATCATCAGAGGCGTCAATGATGTTCAGGGTTGGGTACTCAGGGTTCCTGTGAGCATAATCCCACTTTCAATTCTACTCCTTGCCCTTGCTGACTCAATCAACAACAGNCCTGCCGTGGATGCTGTAGTCTGTGCTTATGCCCTCTACAATCTCCAGCGCTCGCCAAGAAGACGTCCTGCAACCTCTTCGGCTAGTTACAATGCCTTCTCTTTCTTTGTCGACATTGCCATGTTGCCTTTCTATGTCTTCATTGCCTTCTTCACGGCTACTAACTGGACAATGTCACCGGGTGCCGAGGGTCGATGGTCCACTTTCTTCCACTCAGCCTCTCAAGATGGCAAGGTGCTTGAGTCGGCCTTCCTTATCGGCACTGTGGCAGGCGCTTTGCATTTGTTCAGCATCCCCACTGACGTTTTCCTGTTCTCAACCTTCAAGAAGATTGCTGAGTATCCTCCTGATATGAACCCGCTGGAGGCCAACCTCACTAGTAGGATCAATCGCAAGCACACGTACAAGAGCAGCGATGCATCGGCATCCGTGTCCGAGCAAAGACTGGCCATGTTGAGCGGCAGCTCCTTGAGTCTCAGCAATCCTACGCGTGTCTCCAACCAAGACAAACTCATCCCCGAGGCCAATGTCAGACCCATGTCCTTCTACCAATCACGCACCAACCTGGATCCCAGCTACTCTGGCCATACTCAGGACTCGGCTCGTCAATCCAGGTTTGAATATCAGCAACCTCCCTCAGCATATGTGTCGCAAACCAGCATGCATCGCACCTCGCAGTCTCATGAGCGTGAGCGCTCCCGTTCGCGCTCCTCTCGACCTCAGTCGTTCCAGCGATACGCCAACCAAAGACCCACTACTCGCGACTCTGTCCACGATCCAATGCCAACTCGTCCTCTTTCCTTCATCACTGCTTCAGAGAATTTGAGCCGCACTGGAACTCCTCAATCTGGTCGTGCCAGTCAACAGAACCAACCTGCAAAAGCTTTGCTTAACGACAACTGGTTTGTCATTGCTGATGACGATGCCGACTTGTCTTCTCCTCGTCGCACCCCTGTCCCTGAACTCGTGTCCGACCGCGACTCTAGTCCTGAAGCGCACGAGCCTAATGCTAGTCAGCTTCGTTTTGCCAGCGAGGAGTACAACGAGCTTCTGCCCAAGCCCCTTCGCATGCACCCTCCCACTCCTCCGGAGCGTCCCTTTGATGCGGCCGATTTCTACTTTGACGACATGCCCAATGGTACTCTCGAACTCGACGATTACTCCCTGCGTCAGACTCCATCCAACACAAGCATTGGACGTGCTTTGAGTCCTCCAGCCCCTGAAGCTGCTGCCGTATCTGCCAAGTCATCGTTCTACTCTCAAAACCCCGACGAGACCAGCCGCTCCAGTACTCCCAAAGCCAAGCGCTATGGCAACCTGACTCCTGCTATCAAAGAGCTCCAGGAACAGACCGTGCCTAGAGGCCAAGGTCGTGTCGTCAGCAGGACTGGCGTCGATATTGCTGATGCAAGCGTGCTCTACCTCTCATCTGACGATTCCTTCGGCACCCGCGCTCGCAACGTGAGCGGCAAGGTTGCTGAGGAAGGTCTCGGCGGTGCATGGGCTAGGAAGAGACATGTCAGTGGAAAGGCATGATGTCCTGCTCTGGAAGCAAGAAACTCAGCACACTGACTACGCCAAGCAAGCGTAGAGCAAACATAGATAGAGATGCGCGCACCAAGAGCATGATTACAACGAGTTTTGTTATACGATGGAATGGTTTGGATATGACGAGGTACGATTTCGGAGATGTCCATAATACAGATATGACCGACGGACAGCAGGGATGGAATGGTTTGGATATGACGAGGTACGATTTCGGAGATGTCCATAATACAGATATGACCGACGGACAGCAGGCTATGTAGTCGAACGAACAGATCAATGAGTATCTTCATTACTCCTGTATTCCAAAGTATGTGACGTCCATTGTTCTCCGACTACAGCAAAAGCAAAGTATACACTATCAAAAGGCACAACTGCTTCGAGATCAGAGACGTGTCCACAGAAAGCTGACAAGCTGTCGCTTCTCAGCCAGCACCTGTTCTGTTTCCTGGTAGTATTATGCATTTTGATGGCTACACTGTTACATCCTTTGGCACATAGGGAGGAACGACCGCTATCTCGCACTCTCCACGACACATCAAATATATTTGTATATTACGGCAATGTACTCCATATTGACTTGGCACCATATTCATCGGTACAACAGCCGATGAACCTCCTCAGCAATCGCCAAACTACTCGTCAACCCCGGACTCTCAATACCCAACAGATTCACAAACCCATTATAACCCTCCTCTTTCTTGATATAAAAGTCTTGAAAGCCCTTTCCCGCACCCACAGCACCCAGTTTTCCTAGCTTGGGCCTTATGCCTGCGTAATCCAGCGCTACAGCAGATTCGTCGATGCCAGGGAGGTACTTTTTAATATCTGCAATTGCGGCACGGAAGCGCGCGGGGTCAGATGTGGGCGTGTAGTCGCTGGGACTGTCTACCCACTCGACGTCTGGACCGAAGCGGACGCGACCTGCCATGTCTAGCGTTAGATGGGTGCCTAGACCGCCTTGTCCGGGCACGGGAGCTGGATAGACCAACACGCCAGGGTTGGGATGTCCAGCTGCATAGGAAAAGTAGTTTCCCTTCGCGTAAAACGGTTGCATGTGTCTGTCCTTTGGCAAGATCATGTTATTGATGTGGCAGGCATATAGACCTGCAGAGTTGACGAGAATCTCTGCAGTGATGGGCTCGGTTTCTGCATTGCCGTCTTGTGGGTCTACAGTGTAGATTTTCCAGTCTGGCGATTTTGGAGTGGGTGCCTCTATACGCGTAACTTTTGCGCCGAGAGCTGTATCGCCACCGGCATCTTCAAAGCTGCCGTGGAGAAATGTCATGTAAGCGTGACTGTCCAGAATACCAGTCGTCGGTGATTCTAGTACTGCAGATTCGGCCCTAACCTCAGGTTCTCTGCGCTGAGCCTCTTCTTTACTCAAAAATCTCGTAGGCACACCGATACTACTCGCAAACTCGTGCACTTTTTTGATCGCTTCGGCTTGCGTGTCATCCTGCGCAACAACCCACTTGCCACAATTCCTATACGGGATCTCGTGTTTGGCACAGAGTTCGTAAAGCATTTCCTTGCCTTGCACGCATAGTTTTGTCTTTAGCGAGTCGTGGCCGTAGTAGATTCCTGCGTGGATGACTTCGCTGTTGCGGCTGCTGGTTTCCGTGCCTACGGCTTTGTGCTGCTCGATTAATACTGTAGAGGCAGAGGGAGAGTGTTGTTGCAAGCGGCGGGCAATTGCTAGACCCACTGCTCCACCGCCGATGACTGCGTGGGTAAAGTCTGCCTGTGCTCGGGAAGTGTTGCTGAAGTATCTGGATACATGCTGTAAAGACACTTTTGCAATGTTTTGGATTGCTTTTTGTTGACGGAGTAGCAATGCCATATTTTTGTTGGCTCCTTCCCTCAGAAGCTTCTTTTGCAGAGAATTGGATGGCAGGTAGCTCTTTCCCAGATATCAAAGCCTTTGGGTGTTTACAATGCTGCTTCCAAGTGGCTCTTTTGCCTTGGCCTCAAGCGCTTCAACAAATCGTCGGCAACAGCAAAGATGAATGCTCTGGCCTCATTCAGCATTGATACCGACCAAGACTGAAGTATCTCGACGAATGACTTACCCGACTATCTCTCGTGTATTACTTGGCAAAGTTTTGGTATTGCCGTTGTTCAGTAGTGGGATGGAGGTGGTTGGTGTGCTGATGGCGTGCTCTCCAGCCACACCTGCAACTCCGAGGCTTCGCCGTACAGCTTCCGAAAATGATATCGCCATCATGATCGTCTTGCTCATAACATTTATGACTATGATATAGGTCGGCAGTTTCTCGACGGCTCCATAATTACAACAGATCTACTATCAATTAAATTAGACAGGCATCTTCGGTAAATGTTCATGCTATCTACAGCTTCGGATTCCTCATGCATCCAAACGGAGAGGGTGTCGTCTGCAATATCGTGACAAAAGTCAAGTATCAATAAAAACGTCTGACCATACACAGACTATTCAACCATGCAAAACCGTGAGCCTCTACAAAGACAAGAGGAAAGACCGCGCAAACGCCAGAAGTCATGTTCTCAGACACTCCGATAACAACCTCAACCTAATCTCATGATGGTACACCTTCATAATCCCAACCTCCTTCACCGCGTTTGAGTCGTCGTCTGGTGTTCCGTCTGTTCGCAGCACACTTGACAAGGATCGTCAATATCGCCAACAAAAAGACGATGACACCAGCAACCGTAGGTATGACTACAGTGGGCTTGCCCTGGTCTCGATCGTCGTTCCTGTAAGGGCAGGTCGCGTCCACACCGCTGACCCAACAATCCGTCCTATCTACATCGTTGATACTAAGCCAGAAGACTGGCGCGCCATCCAAGTCGGTTTGTCGAGACAACCAATCCCTTACAGCTGCGATCATGTAGCGGTTCTCGAGTGCGGTGCGAGGGACGGCGAAGCTGGAATCGTCGTCGCACGCTTCGTCTCCTTGGTAGTAGAGAGCCTTGTCATCACTGACTGTAAACTCATAGGGAGAGTCGTTGCGACGGCAGATGAAGTAGTTCTCATCAGTGCAGTCCGCGACTTCCCAGAGACCGTCGTTGTTCATGTTTACCACCGCGCAATGTCGGCTGGTAGTCGCCGTCGTCGAACTGTCGCTTGGCTCACCTACACCCCAGCCCCAAAGTGACTCACGTACATAATTGAGATATGCTGTGCTATTACCTAATGCCAAACTTCCCAGAAGTGGTTTGTCCAGTATCGGTGAGATGCCACACGATGAGAGATTGAGAGCAGCATAGGCCGTCGTGTTCAGAGATGTCATGTTGGGTAGATTGCTAGAGATGGCCCACGAAGAGTTCACAGCAGAAAATGAGGTGTTGCCAGGCTGGTAAAAGCAGCCGTTTGTGACTGCACCATCGAAAGATAGTGTCGTACCAATGTCACTAGAGACTGATCCGGCAAGAAAGATGGTTTCGGCATCTGCGTCAAAATTATACTGTTGCATCTGTGGATCGACTGTTCCAATGCCAGCCAAAATGCGCAGCGCACGGAGAAACATGATGATACTTTCGCTGGGCCATCCATCTAGCGTATACAGCCCAGAGCCATCATCTAGTGGCATCGTCGTCATGTACTCCACCGCTGGTGGGTTGTCAATGTCGTGTGCGAACCATGATTGATTTAAATTGGCTCTCTCGGACCGAAGAGCAGCTGGTGTGTATAGATATGGAGAGAGAGTCGAATTGATAAGATCGCTGATGAAATTACCAAATGTGGGTAACCTTTCAGGATCGGCTGGACTTGTAGTATCCGTGGGATTATCGAATGGGGCAGCTAATCGCACATTGAATTCGAGATATTTGAAAGTCGCATTGAGGTCGTTTTCAGTCGCTTGAAAATAGTCCGCTAATACGTTGGTCAAGGTGGAGATACCGATGCTTTCCGTACATGAGTAACTGCCAATCTGATGCCCGGTTTGCGATGGCTGTGCGGCTGAGGAAGTCTGCGACACTGCTGTAGAGCCGTCCCCGCTGCTCGAGCTGCTTGCATCATCTGAAAGTGTAGCGACTGTCAAGGCTGCGGTGGTAACAGATGCAGCCGCAGACTCGGAGGAAAATTCGGAAGTTTGTCGGGCATGGATTTCTCCCCACTGGTGCACATCATCATTCGCACTGATCAAGGAGCTGCGGAGAATATGCCGCTTCAAGGGTTCGGCCGTATCTCTGGTAACTCTGGCTCTGGTCAGAGTAGCTGACGGACTTGTGGAAGAAGAAGATGTAGAGAGACTGCTAGGATAGCCTCCAGTATTGATGGGCGAGGTCGAGTTTCCTTGGGTGCTGAGTTCGACGGGGCACAGACTCCACGTTTGCCGGCTTTGGTCCCAGTACAAGTCGACAATTAGCCTATGGAATCCAAGAGCAAGGAGGTTGGAAAGACACTGCTGTGCAGCAGCATCTTCGTATCGACGGTCCGAGAAACACACGGGGGTCAGATCAACTCCTGGTGCTGTGACATAGTTGATTGGAATCCTGCTGGCTACATCTCTTAGTGNACTATAGAAAATGCCTAGTAAGCCACATATACGCTATGTCGTGTCGCTCGAACCTCTTCTTACCAGTAGCGCGGTATAGAGGGTGACGGAAACCTCGGTCGAAGGGTCCGGGACGTAGCTCGAATCCATGGCGCGCAGCACTCAGACTGGCTGGTGGAATGTCACAATCGCCATGCGATACGCAGCAAGTTTCCCAAAAGTCTCGCTCTCTATTCAACAAGGCTCGATCTTCGCTGTTGACAGGTTGACAGGACACGCGTGTGGCTGTCTGTGGAGCCGACGACGTCTGCACAGTGTAAACGAGGACGAGCTTGGCGCGGATCACCAGCCGAAACAAGATAGCGTGCTTTGCGTTAGGACCACAAAAGGCTCAAAAGCAGACCGTCATGTCTCTTTCGGACAGCAGGACGTGCATTGGTTGGAGAGCTGAGGTATAGAGGATCAAGTAAGGGCGAGAGCTGCATATCACGCGTTCTCGTCGCTTCGCTTTCCTTGCTGTAGATGACTGACTCTACGCAGTACCGATAGCGCACTACCGGATGCTTCTTCCTTGGCCCCTAGAAGCCATGGCTAGCATCCAGCCATGGGATCAGGAGATACTTGCTCCCGCGCGCGACTTGAAGTCCCGTAAGTCAACGAAGGCGCTGCATGGCCTCCTCGGGAAGAAGAAGCATACAGTGAGTTGCCTAAACTGGGAAGGCAGCGTGGAGCAGTCCGAGCAGAAAGCCACACTTTGATGATACGAGCAGAGGATGAACTCTCCGAGAGCACGGATTACAAGTTGTCTCCTATTGTGCGCAACCAGACAAGCGCCTGTGGAACCTTTGTGTAGAGTTGTGCTGGGGTGCATCAACCGTCAAGGGCAGCAGTGCTGACACTGCTGGGCTTTGCTACTACTGTAGAAGACGGGTGAAGACGGGAGCAGTCCCTTGCAAGGTCACCAACATACGCGACAATCACTACGGCTCCACAGCCTCTCCCCCTATCAGCATGTCAGTACCTATGCGAGTTCCCTCGCTAACCACTACTCGGATCTGGACATGCCTAAGATCTCTGACTGCATCCGCGTCCATGCAAGAACTTCCAGATTTGTCAATTATTAAGCCAACAGCGTCCACAACCAAGGGACCCTTTGAGATGGTATACCCCAATGTCTCTCATCTAACCCACATGTAAGCCACGTGTAGAATGCTTCGGATGCCGCCAGCCAAGATGACTGCAGTGGCTTTGCGCGTCTGCCACTTGATGCTAGTTGCGAGACCGAGGATAAAAACTCAGCCTCCTGTGGCACTCTCATCGCTACCAACGGCGAAGGATGGAAGCATATCGCAAACTCTGGCGGCTATACCATTCCAGACGCTCCCAATGTTTCAGAATTGAAAATTTATGTTTATGGACAGCATTGCACAGTGCATACCCTTTGGCGGTTGGGCGCTTGTTTGCAATAAGCTCTCTGACGCTGATCAACTCTGTCGCGTCGAACTCTTGGTGCGAGAACAGAAACTTTAGCCCAAGGAACATGGAGAAAAGCAAACGGTCGGACCGCGGCGACTCGCCGGCAAGGTCACCGGGATCCATGAGTTCCCTTGATGATTATGTATGAATTTGCAAAATCTGGTTTTGACAACTCGTATGCTGAAGTTCTTTCTTGTGGAGAGTTTTGCAGAACCAGAACTTGGTCGAATCCCAAGCGAATTGTGATCAGCTGAATCTTGATCATCTGACAGGACAGGCTTGGGTGATCGCTCTTCTGATGACCTTGAGAGATATGAACNNACTGCCGCTTACGCGCACAGGTTGGGGAGACATGTCACATTGGCATGGCGTTCCAGATTATGGCAAGGTGCATAAAGGACTTGGGACAAGTCGGNNCGAGCAGGATTTGGCGTAGGCATAGCGTGTAGTGTGGATACCGTACGTACATGGTTTGTTCTTTCTACAGGGAGACGTGACCCCTGGNAGCACGTCTTGGGGCGGAAAGCACGGCTAAAAATCGAGAGACTTGTACACGTATGGGTCCCGCAAAGAATCCTTAGCATCATCATGGTTGCGTGCTGGGATGTTGAGCCCCGACGGTCAATCTCACAAGGTGGAANNAACGTCTGGTGAGCGGAACCTCTCCTGTTGCCAAAGTCGTTGCGCCGCTTCCGTGACCGGTGAAATTTGCATGCGTTCCTACTGTTGTGGCAGTTTGTGCTGTTATTTCGTTTCTGATGANGATGGAAANCGCCTGTGGCAGTTGTGCTGTCCCTGTAACGACCAAACGTCTTCGTACATAACGGTAGGACTGGANTTGAATAAGATTAATGTAATAAGAACATGNAACGGTGCATTTAAACAAACAAAGGTGCTGCACATCGATGTAAACATAAACAGAAGCAGAAAGGGGACAAAGATNGATTGTAGCGATCTCTGACTGCAAGAAGGCACACATGTAGAACCTGGAGAGATGAGAGCAGAGAATCAAAGAGTACCTAGTAAACTGTTTGTTGTATGGATCTACCCGCCAGTGCAATCGTGATAAAGATANTCTGCAGTTTCTTGTCTCAGNAATAAAGTGCACTGTGTGCGTTTTCAGCACCAGTGTGAGGAGGTTTGTCAGTGGACGGCACCGATGAAGAAGATATACCGCTCTGAGAACGGTGTGCAGCTGTTGAATCTCGGGGTTGGAGGCTGTAAGACAGTCTGGGAGTGATAAAGAAAATGGCAAAGCAGTAGTTGGAAGATATGTATGATGATAGCGAATGTTCATTATACTCAAAAGCGATTCTGAAGCAAAACAAGTTGGGTATACACAATCCTCCGTCCCATGAAACCATGCCCCATGCATAGATTACAAACGCCATGAAATGTAGTAAACAGAGAAACCAAGACGCCTCATCCCTCATTATGTACATGCAATCCCGATTCTGTCGTCAATGAATCTCTAGTTGGCAACGATGGCGGACAATCTCATCTTCTCCTTGGGGCTCTCCTTGCCATCACCGCCATCCTGAGCGAGCTCGGGATCAAGCGAGTGGTGCTGAGCAGCGCCAGCCATGTGAGGAGGCATATGTGAGAAGTGGTGCTGAGGAGCCATCTGTTGGTAGACGTGAGGGAGAGGTGCTTGGTGAGGGTATTGCATCTGAGGGTACTCCTGAGCCTGGCGGTACATCATAGCGGCTTGGGGGTTGAAGGCCTCCTGAAGCATCTGAGGACGCTTGGTGCCATCTTCTGAGCGAGACATTTGCATGGGAATTTGGTAGCCCTCCTGACCAGGGACGACCAGACGCTGCTGCATGTATGAGCTAGAAGGGCGACGGTCGACGTATCGCTGGTCTTGCTGGCTGAGAGGAGGGAGCTCAACGGGGGATGTGCCGTGAGGGGAGCGTTGCGAGTAGGAGGAAGCGTCTGAAACTAGGGAAGGAGCGCCGTCTGCCGAAACTTGAGAGTAAGCACCAGGTGAAGGTAAAGGACTCTCGAAAGGAGACGCACGAAGAGTGCGGCCGAACTGAGGAACACCCAGGTTCTGAGGGTAGTGGCCGTGCTGCGTGGCAATGTGTGCCTGTTGCTGGTAGATGGCGGGCAGCTGGTTCTGGTCGAAGTACTGAGGTCTTTGCATGGCAGGGTTGAAGTACATGGTCTGGTCAGGCAGATGCTGCTGGACCATTTGACCAGGCTGACCGATCATCTGCTGCTGGGCGTGCTGTTGCTGTTGACGGGTCTCCATCTCGGCGCGGCGCTGAGCGTTGCGTCTGCGGCGGTTCATGCCACCATTCCACCAGTTCTTGACAGCGTTATCGCTGCGACCACGCAGGCGACGAGCGATCTCGGCCCAGCGCTTGCCCATCTCAGCGACCATCTGCTCAATCAACTCACCCTCCTCAGGAGTGATGGGGTCATGGTTGAGGTTGGGCTTCAGGTTCTGGTGATATCTCTCACGGCACTGCTTGGGAGAGCGAGTGCCCATCATGCTCGAGATACGGACCCAGTTGTGGGCGCCCTGAGAGTGGACAAGGCTCATGAGGATGTGATCCTCCTGCTGGGACCAGGGACCTCTCTTGTGTGCAGGCATGATGAAAGTTCAAAAGACTGAAAAGAACGTAGAACAGTTGGAACTGGAAAGTCTGTTAGGAATGGTTCGTGGCCAAGCGGTGGTATGAGGTGGTAAGAAGGCACGTCGTCGAAACGTGGAGGCTCGGCATGTGATTGGATGGGATGGTATGATGCTTACCTATAGTCGAGCTTGAAGCTTTGAAAGGAATGTGGTGAAGAGGTGAGTGTCTGAGACGTGAGGATGGGGATGAAGTAAGACAACGGGGAGGGACAACGAGGTCGTTATAAAGTCGATGCAAGACCAGTTGGGATGTTGGATGGCTGTTGATGTTGCGACGAGATCGTTGTATTTGTATCAAGCACAGTGTTTAACGGTCCAGGAGGATTTCCGAATCGGTCACAACGATGGGCCTAAATGGACAGCGGGGCAGGTGCGTCAACTCCTGTTGAAGCTCTGAGAGGGGCAGTATTTGGGTCTGGCTGATGTCGATAGTTCTCACGAAGACAGTTGGCGGCCGTTGCAGAAAAGCAGGAGACGGACGGTTATAACAACGGTTGCAGGCCAGGTCCTGATGAGGAGGAAGCATGTCAAAAGAAGGGGATCTAGGGCTCAAATGTACTTGGCTCGTCCCGCTAACGTCAGAGTCGAACTCTATCCAGATCGCTGGGTGATGCGCGATGTGCGATGTGCAGCAGGGATGGTGAGCATGGCTCTGGCAGAGGCTTGCACCAAACGCGACGAGCGCCGGCGCGGGCCCCTTGCTTGCTCGCTCCCTCGCTCCCTCGCCCAAAAAAAATCAAACCGCACGCCCGTGTCTCTGTTGCTCTGCGCCTATGCAGGTCATCGGACGCCGTTGCAGGATCTTCGCTGTTTGACTCTTTCCTGCCCCCCTTGTGCGTGTAGTAGCCCCCAAGACTCGCGACCGTTGGCCTTCAAAGCTGGGCCGTACCGAGCTTGGGAAGGCGTCATCCATCACGCCCGTTCGATGCAGAAAGCCGTTTGGAATCATTCGAAACAGTCAACAGCCAGTAGTCGGATGAGGATCAATAACAATAAAATCTGTGTCCACTATCTTCACTTTGTTTGTCGAACG